TTTATTACCTATCAAAGATCCAGATAAGCATCTAAAAGACTTATCTCTTTACATTGGGATAATCTGGAACACCAGAGTTCAAAGAAGATGGAGTTCAATTGAACCTAAATTTGATGATGCTGCTGTTCAAACAATGATAACTTTCGCCAAATCACAAATAAACAAATACAATTCAAAGAATTATTACCTTGGATCGTAAATTACAAGAAGAAAAATATTGAAATGATAGAAAACAGTTGTGACACAGCTTTATTAGCTTTTTTTGATGCATCTAAGATTCAATTAGAGTCACAAATTAGAGTGCAATTTTTTTAGATAAGTGAATTTGTAAATGAGTATAAGTGAAATAAACGTTATTGTATACAAAAAAAAAAAGTGGATCTTTGCTGAATGAACTTTAGCTTCAGTTGATTCAGTGAAGGCGAATAAAGCCAAAGCTATAGAGTAAAGGGTTGTGAATTTCATATTGTTAAAAAAGATTGCTTCAACTTTCTAAAAAAAAAAAGAAGGGGACGAGCAAATAATTAAGCAGCAGCGATACTTAGTTCCAATAAACTGAAGATAAAGTATCTGTTGTTGTTGAAGATTCAAGGGTGTTGTTGAAAAGAAGAAGAGTTCACAAAGGCTTTGAATTTGTTTGGAGTGGCGAACTCGCTCCTCCTTTTGGTGCTGTGTCGCGTACCAGGCAATTATCCCAAAGAAGAGTTTTGTATGCAGCCAGATATGGCAGGAGATATGCCTTTTTAGGGAATCTAATCACTGAAAAGGGTCTGAAATGATAGTTTAGTTTGATTATAGATCACAGTTGTAGAGAGTGGGCGTATTACTAGCTTAACTCTCTTGCAAAACTATCTAGCTTCAACCCTTCATGTTGTAGTTCTGTCATTCTTATCAAGATTCGGGGGCTGTAGGTAAACGTCACAACTATATAGATACGAGAAGCATAGAATATATACAAACAATATATTGCTTTGAACTTATATACGTCATGTGCTAAATAAATACAGATATCTTTCTGCTTATTGAGGCTCTCACAAACAAAAGCACCCAAGTACAGGCCATGAGCATCAAGCCCGAGTAAATGGCCACCTTATTGAATGAAACTAAAATTAATGACCGATCATTTGAATCAACAGGAACAAAAGAACCAGCTATTATACAACCTAGAATGGCACCAGGACTAGCAGTAATCATAAATAACTGCATTCTTGGTTCAGAACCTCTAATACCGAATATCTGCCCAAGACAGGCTGGGTGCAATGAAAAGTAAGGACCAGCAGTGAACCCAAGGAATGCAACAAAGAAAACATAAAGACTGAAAATTTTCTCCTTTATAGAAGGAATCCATAAAGCCAATACTGCAATTGCAGACCAGAATAACCATATCAGTAACACATTGACTCTACCTATACGGTCAGCCAAAAGAGCAGGTAGAATTCTTCCTGGGCCACCTAAAGCGTTGTAAATGACTGTGATGTATGAACTCACAGAACTGTTTGGAGATAAAGCATGAGAGAAGAAATCAATATAAAAGATAGCTGGGTATGAACCAAAAGCACCTATAAGATTTGAAACAAGTATTAACAAAAATCTTGGATCCTTAATCACCAATGTCCAGTTCTTGAAGATTCTTTGATATGCCAAAGGTAATTGTTTAATCTTTTCATTGTTCCATTTTGAATTTGATATTGTTTCCTCTTTGAACACATAAATATCATCCAGCTTTTGGGGTATTAAAAAGATGACAGCTAATCCAAGTGGAATATACAAAAATACAATAGTACGAACAGTCCATTCGAATCCATGTTTACCAATCATATTTTTGAAAATAATTGGCCATATAACACCACCAAGACTAACAAATATATGCAAAAGAAACACTAAATCCAAAAGCTCTTTTCCTTTTGAACCATTCTAATGGACTCATCATAACACCTGTAAACACAAAAGCACTTCCAAATGAATAAAGAATAGCTTGGAATAAATAACATTTCCAGATAGAGATTGAGTCTGCTGTAGATAATCCAAAGAACGCACTAACCATCATAGAACACCCCAAGATCAAGATTTGTCTAATCCCGAAAGCATGAACCAAAGGAATCATCAATGGTGCAAAGAAATAAAGAATAGAAGCTTGACATGCACCAATGATTGATAATTTAGACGAGCTAACATTTGAATATAAAACTGTCTCATAATGAGTTTGGAAAACACCATATGAATTGATCATTCCGAACCCCATAAAGCTCCCCAACCCACACCCTAATATAACTAACCACCCTTTACCACCTTCAGGGAATTCTAAATCATCAGCTTCACCTGTTTGCACTGTTGTTTTAGTCTGTTGTTTTTCCTGGTCTTGAGTATATTGTTTTCTATCTTGCTCATAACGGTCTCCTGCATCTTCATCTATATTCGCAGGATCTGAGCCTGGGTCTACAAGCAATTGGGGGCTCATTTTTAAGAAGCACTACAGATTGTATGGTACCAAAGGGTATCCATAACATTGACAGGCCCTTGACAAGAAAGAATCCAGTTGCTTTATATCTAACTGTACGTGTATATCCTCGACTGATCCAACTTCTGAATTTGCCATCAATCAAAAAATGATAGACACTTTGAAATTTCTTAGGTAAAGGTAGTACAGGGCCCAGGCACGGCATTGAGCGGAATTCCGTAATCTTAACCTACATAGACAGAACAACTGGACAGACCATTAGATTAGATAAACACAAATGGCTTCCTACTTATTGACAATCTCACACCTGTCAATAAAACAGTGCAAACAGTCAATATTATGCCAGAGAAAATAACAACTTTGTAGAACGAATGTACAATCTTTTCAGTATCTGTAGAGTCGATAGGAATGAATGAACCAGCAATAAGACATCCCAAAATTGGACCAGGCGTTGCTGAAAACAAGAATAAGCTCAACCTAGCTTCATTTCCTCTAATACCAAACAGCTGGCCTAATGAAGCTGGGAATAATGAGAATAGAGGACCAACAGCAAAACCGAATACTATAACAAATCCAATGTATACCCCTAAAAGATTATACTGAATTGATGGGATCCATAGTGCAAATATGGAGATGAACAACACAGCTGAACAAACGATCAGAACATTGATTCTTCCTATTTTATCGGCAATCATAGCAGGTATGGCTCTCCCTGGAAATCCCATAACAACGAAGATCATTGTTAAGTATGACACAATTTTAGCTTCACCACCAATTGTATGGCCAAAGAAGTCAATGTAGAAAATGACTGGATATGAACCAAATGAAACCAAAAGGTTTGCCAATAGGATAATTGAGTATCTTGGATTTTTAATTACATGGCTCCATTCAATCAAAATGTTTTTGAATGATTGTGGTAAGTTCTTGATATTCTCATTATTCCAAACAGCATTCGAGAAGCATTTGCCCTTGTGATTATATCTATCTTCAAGATGTTGAGGAACCAACAATATAGACCCAACGCTTAATGGAATATAAACGAATGCAATAGTCAAAACTGTCCACTTGAAACCATGCTTATTGATCATTTGTTTGAAAAGAATTGGCCAGACAACACCACCAACACCAACAAATCCAGCAGAAATACCGAACGCAGTACCTCTTTTCTTCTTGAACCACTCAGATGGAACAGTCATAGCAGGACCGAATTGTAAAGCAGCTCCGATGGAGAAGAACAACCCTTGAAATATATAGCATTTCCAGAGCTGTGAAGGAGTTGTAGTTGCTAATCCAAAGAAGGAAATAATTAGGAATGAAGCACCAACTGATAATACTTGTCTTAATCCAAATGCATGAACCAGTGGAACTGTCCAAGGTGTCAAAAAATAACACAACGAAGCTTGCGTTGCACCAATGATTGATAATTTTGAAGAGGAAACATTTGGAAATAAGACAGTTTCGTAATGAGTCTGGAAAACACCATATGAATTGATCATACCAAAGACGAAAATACTTGTAAGACCACAGCCTAGTAGGACTAACCATCCTTTACCACCTTCTGGAAATTCTTCTTCATCAGCTTCACCAACATGGACTCTATTACTTTGTTTCTCTGGGTCATTCATATTAAAGTGAAGGATCTAGTATCTTGAGTGATTGATCATACATGACAAGCCCCTTTGAATGCTCAAGCAACATGGGTTTCATCCATTTATGAATGAGAAGAAAGCAATGACTCTTTCCAAGAGCTGCTCATGAGTTTGATTTTTGCAATTAGTAATTGAATAATTAGCGGTGTTATAATTGTGTAGCGGTTTTCCAAGCCCTTAATTCTTTTTGATTGATGCAGGTGACTCAAGTTTCAACCCAAATTCAACAATTGCACGGCCTACCTACCACAAACCACCTGGATACAACCTCAAAGTAACTTGTCAGAGAAGTAGTGATTCATGATCAAATAAAGAGAGACTTACTTCAAGCCCATACTGAATTCTCAAGTTGAGATGAAGTTGAGATCTTCAAGTCAAGCACTCCTTCTTTTCCACAATCTTTTGATTTGTCATCTTTCAGATTCGTCATGGTTTAATCTTAAACATTGATAGAATTAGTCGAATGCAAACATACAATTACGCCAAAGGTAATATTGCTCTAAAGGGTGACATGGAGGCATCTTCAGGAGATCAATTGATAGCTTATCTTTTAGATGATTACAAAACAATATTGTGGATTGATTTCCAACTGAAAGTGTATAAGAAGTACATGCTGATTATTCCATTTTTGAAAACTGGGAACATGGTTATAATCAGCTAGCTTGAGTTTAGCTGACCGACTAGCTCTTGTGATAAGCTCAACAACTTACTGCTAACAAATATTGAGCTTTTCAGGGCGTGAAATATTATACAATGGCTTGCAGTTACTCATAATCTTCATAATTGAGTGCCAAATAGCCAACATTTAAATTGAGTGTACTACCTGGGATGAACCTATGAAGAAAGAATACTTTTCAGACCACATCTCTCACTACATATGAAATACTCGTCTCACATTCTTTTTAATTTTATATAATACAACTAGTTATATCACCAATCATCGTCTTCTTCCTCTTCATCACTATCAGCACCCATCTTACCAGCTCTATCTTTCAAAGCAGCAGCTAACCCACCAGCTAATGAAGACTCTTCTTGCTTTTTAGCCAATAAAGCAGCAGCTAATCCACCACCAATGTTGTTATTTGTTGTATTGTTTGATGAAACAGTAGTTGCTGGAGTAGAATCATCATTACCGCCATAACTAGTATGAGCACTCGAATTTTGAGCAGGTGGTGGTGGTGGAGCTCTTGAACCATTTGTCATTGGTGGTTCACATTCAACAACATAAGAACCTGGGACCCAACCTTCTTTTGAACCATCTAAAGTTTTAGCTAACCACCAACCATTTGCTTCTTTTTTCAAAATATAAACAACTTGATCTTTCGCAATTGGTAATTCAGATGCACTCCCTGTACCAACGAAATCATAAGCAGCTTTGAAAGTTGGATCAGATGGTTTAGCAGCTGGAGGAGGTGGAGGTGGAGCTGGTGTAGATTTCACAGCTGGTGTAGATTGAACAGGTTGTGGTACAGCTGCTGGTTGTTGTCTTTGAGCAGGTCTTGGAGGTGGAACTTGTTTCTTTGCAGGTCTTGGAGGTGGGACTTTTCTTTGTGATGTTTGTTGATGAACAGCTGGTTGTTGTGGATGATAAGCTGCTGATGCTGCTGCAACTGATTGTGGAATATTTGAGGTTGTTGGTGCTGCACTTGCAGTATATGATGATGGTTGTTGTTGTTGTTGCTGAACAGGTGCAGGTGGCGGAACTTTTCTCACAGTACGTGCTGGTTGAGTGTATCCAGTATTTCTTGGTGTGAAATCCAAGTTTGTAGCACCTGATGATTGTTTCTTTGGTTTTGGCTTGGATTTTGAAGATGCAGGATGTCCCTGTTGGACTTGAATTGTACCAGACTTGTAAAAATCACCATTCTTTGGTGCAGTTCCACTAACTTGAGTTTTAACGGTATGATATTTACCAGGTTTCTTTTGATATTTGATAGTTGTATCTATTTCAATTCTAATTGCATTGTTCAATTTTTTCAACTGTGTAACTAATTCAGTCTTGAATGCTAAATTAATGAATGGATCCGGTGTAGGTGTGTTTTTCAATGAAATTGCAATCCAATCATCTTGTAAATTGGATAACCCTAGATAATTTATATTACCAAGTGGAATGGCATTTTCAATTGTGTATGAAACTTTTCTATCAATAACTTGATGAGCAACAATATATAATGTGGTTGATGAAAGGAAAACAGTTCTTGGAACTCTTTGTGATGATCTACCAAATTTGGAATGTAACGCTTCACCATTTGCAGAAAATATTATTTTATCCTTAATACCAACTTGGTTTTTAATGAATGCACCTCTTGAATTACGTTCATTTGCTGATAAATAATCACCAGTGAATGCTCTATAACCTAATAATGACATTGAGCGACGTTCTTTTCTTGCACCAAGTAATTTGGTACCATAATCACGTAATTGTTCAAATTGGTTACCGCCAGTTCTTTCTCTCCAAAATCTTTGAATTCTAATAGCACAATCAATTCTTCTTTGTAGATAACGTCTCCAGGCTCTTTGAATTCTGGCAGCCATATTATACCAATATCTATCTCTTAAACTTTCTAAACCAAACAATGTTTCAGGTGTTTTAATGAAAACTTTAGTGACACCCATTTGATATTCAGAAGCTGGGATTGCAGCATCTTTCAAGATCTGTAAAACGGCTGATCTTGAATCACCTTGCCAAATATAATCACCTGCATATGAACATTGTGGTGATAATAAATAAAATCTTTCAGCAAATTTTTCAAATGTTTGACGATAAGCAAAACCTGCTCTTCTAATTCTAACATTTTCTTGTAAACCCAAATATTTAACTTGATGTAAAACTTGTTTTTCATCATATTCAGTTGGTGATCTGTTTTGGTTAGGCTTGATTGTTCTGATATATGATGGTGATGATTTGGATAATGTGTCAACTAATTCATTAGCACTTTTGATGATTTTATCACCAGCAGTTGGTGGTCTTCTTTTAGATTCTTGATTGACAGTTTCGGGGAACAAGGTTTGTAAAAATTCATTTGATGAAGTTGCAAGTAAATCTAATAAATCTTTCAACATTTGATCTTTATTTTTATCAGTCATACCATTGATATCATAAGTGACATCACCAGCATAATGTTTAATCACAAATTTGGATTGTCTTAGTTCAAAATGCTTGTTTGCTGAAACCATATTCAATCTTTGAGCAAATGATTGATCAGCAGCTTGAGAATCAGCATGAGCAGTTGCACAAGAATCATTTAAAGCAGCAAAGATACCAGGGGGTCTTTTAAGTTCAATCAAATCACACACAACTTTGTTATTGAAGTAATTGATTGGTGTCCACTGAATTTGTTCCTTAACATATTCATCTTGTTCAGATTTTAAAGTTAATTGAATGAAAATTTGTTGTAATTTCTCATTAACATAATTGATACAAATTTGTTCAAAAGAATTGTGTTCAAAAATTTCAAATCCATAAATATCCAAGATACCAATAGATTTTGAAGCACCACCAACGGTTTGCAAGGCTTTATTAACTCTAGCAACAATCCAATCAAATAAATTATTGTATAAACCTTTAGCTAAAGCATCTCTAACTGCAGTAGCCTGTGTGATGTTTAATGGGACATTATAAACAGAACCTCTTCTCATACCATGTGAAGTTTCCATAACACGCTCTGTAACAGCTTTATTTAAAGTTTCAGAATCAACTTGTAATAAATAAGCAACAAAATCCGTAACAGAAGTGTCACGCACTTGTGCATTACCTTCTTCATTTTCCACAAATGTTATATTACCAATCCATAATATAGCTGCAAGAACTCTAAATATTTGATCTTGTTCAGGTTGTGTAATACCAACTGTTTGCATAGCATTCAAAGTATCTTGGAAATCTTTTAAATCATCGATTGAATCCACTGAAATACAACCAGCACTTGAAGTATAAATATAACGATCAGGTTCTTGAATACCAAAAGTTTGTCTATAATTTTCTGAAGCACCTTTTGTAAATTGATAAAAAATATGGAAATTTCTTTCATTTTTAATTTGACCCACAACTCTTTGTTTTTCTAGTAAATAATTTGTGATATTACCACTAACAGGTTCAAATTGGGCATTAAAATTAATTTCAAGATATTTACCATGTCTTGAACTATTATTATTACGCAAAGTTTTAGCACAACCGAATGATTCTAATAGAGGATTTGTAGCTAAAACAATATCTTTAATTTGTTGAATTTGTTGAGATGAAGAGCTCGAACCGGATACTGCAGCGACATATTGCATAATTCTTTTAGCAGCTTCGGTTTTACCAGCACCAGATTCACCAGAAATAATAACACATTGAGATTCATTATAAGCCTTCATGTTATAAAACATTGATTCTGCAATGGCAAACACATGAGGTGGAACTTCTAGTCTATTCTTACCTTCATAAGATTCTAAAACTTTATCTGTATAAATACCCAAGTCTCTAAAGGGATTAACAGAAATCAAAACATGACCAATATAAGTATAAATTGTACCATTTTCAAATCTTTTTTTCAAATTATCATTGATTGATTCATCAGAGATTTTGGTTAATAGTGTTAAATCAGAAACACCAACTTCTTTTTTCTTTCCAGCATCAAAAGTTGCCTTTTGGATTCCATTCCTTTTAGGAGGTTGTTGTCTAGCCGTTTTTCCAGCTCTTCTCGTGATACCCATGATGGATTGAAGATTGTTTATTTAATCACGAGCGCCCTATGAGAATAGAAAAGCCTTTTGCAGTTGTTTGAAACGCTAGTTGATGATGAATTGATGGATAACTAGGCAATTGTTTTTAATAATGGAATTTGTTATAAGTTAGATCAAAGTTGTCCTTTTTCCTTGAAAATCGGCCGTATCGGGAAGTTACCCTGCGAGATTGATAAGTGTTTTAGGCTAATAGGTACAATTTTGTATAGAAAAGGTACCTTTTGGAATACAATTTTATGATATTCAGGCTCTCCTATATCTCTACTTTCGATGGTCATTTTTATAGTGGCGTTGGCCGAGATAATTCATGCTAATTACGCATTACAGCCTCTGAGAAAAAAAAAACGTCAAAAAGTGACAGATTCAATTGTACTCAAGTAAAGTACTACAATATTCAATGATCAAACTCCATATGTATTCTCAAAAAGATTCATTATCCAAGTTATATAAAAATGTAAATTCAAAAAAGGTAAATTCAATAAAATAAAGTCAGTCATCCAGCTGACATTTGTGCAATGTGTGTTGTATAAATATATTCAGATTTCATCAACTATGATATCCATCAATTCAGAACCAGACTTCCAGCTAGATTCAAAAATTAACCCTATTGTTTGGTTCACTTAAAACTTTCTTAACTTGAGCATCAGTCACGACACCTGGGTTTTGGAATGGATTATTTGAAGGATTCATACTTTCAGTGATACCCTGTTGAGATGAAACTGAACTATTTCTTGAAGCACCTTCAGCATCTGAACCAATAGAAGAAACTGAAGATTTTCTGCGTTCATAAGGAACATATTTATCATGACCATTAACATATGAATGACGTTGAGTACCAGCGTTGATCTTGGTGTTCATTTGACCATGTGTGTGTTTTGATCCATTGATCATGTTGAGATATTTATCAAAGATTCCAGACATTGTGATTTAATATATTTTGACTATGTTTGAAAATAAAAGTAATCCAAGATCAAGATTGGTTGGATTCATGGTCAATTTATACCTTTTGAAAAAAGGTACATTTCAATTAATAAGATGAGCTTGCAAACTCGTGGTGGGGAGTTGCTTACATTGTATTACTAACATTTGTATAGGTATAGGCTTAAGCAAACGTAATTCCAGATTCCCCAACCTCAGCCAAATTGTTGATAAGAGCATGATTTGTAAGTCCAGAATTAGGAAATGATAAGCTCACTATGAAGACGTAATCAAAGTGTCATGGTTAATGATCAAATGTATGAAGCAAATGACAGATTCCCCACGGTACACGCACACTCTGGCTCCACTACAAAACTGATGGATATAGGTGGTCATATAAACATGGTTTTCATTTGTGTATATACATTGTTTCATTAATTGTTTTGTTCATTACTTGTTGGCTTTTTCTTCTTGTTCTTTTTCAATTTTTTCTGCAATAAGTAGTTCTCTTTGTCTATCTAGTTCTTCAGGTTTTTGAAGCCTTAGAATACATTTATTCATATCATCTCTTGCACTTCTACAATTCCATAAAACACCAACCCCATTTTCCTTGGAACATTTAGCAAATTCTATGAGGGAAAGTTAGCGATCTGATATCTGACACTTTTCTTGTTAAATTGATACTCACTTTGAACAACTTCATCACATTGTTTGTAAGCGTACTCTTTCCATCTTTTTCTGGCTTCCTTCTCTTCCATAGGGGTTAGCATCCACACCGGAAGCTTCGCATTGTGGCTATTCATTATTGCTGTGTTTAAAAATGAGTCTAGATAAACAATCAAGTGATGATATCGTTTAATTAATCGTGTTTTTTTATGAGTTGATGGTTCAAAAAGAAAAAAAAAAAAATCAGAGGCCAATGTAACCATTTCCTAATCTGGATACTTCTTGATATGGATGAATCTCAAAATCTTGAGAAATGTAAACATCAAAAAAACATAAACAACAAAATCAATTTTACTCACAACTGATAAAATTATAAACATTACAAAGAAATGATGCTTCAACTAGACCCAGCTGAACTATTGAGAGAGACACTAGAGGGTTGTGATATCGAGACAGATCTAGACACAATAGACCGTATTGCAGAGAACTTGAAACAATTGCAAGATGAAAGAAACCAAAACATAATAACAGAACAACAAGAACTGCAAGGTGAGTAACCCATTCCTCAATATATACACAGCAACTAACGCCCCCTAAATAGAACTTTCAGAGAAACTAGCAGATGAACAACAAAATATAGAAAGTCTGGAAAATTCAAGCACTAGACAAGAAATCAAATCAAAATTGAAAACAAACCAATCATTAGAATTATCTATGAATAAAAATTTGAAAGAATTAACATCAATAAAGCAAGACCTCTCTACAAACTTGAGTAATCTAGTTGATGATTATAACTCACTAGATAAACAAATTGAAGAATTAGATTTCATTGAAGATGATGAAGATAAGGATGCTATAGTGTATGTATGAACAAATTATCTGAGGATGGAAGATTGGTACTAACGATTTTTAGGCTTAAATTGATGGTTTATAGAAAGTTTGGGTTGAAAATTGATATTCCATCAAATACTTTGATTATTTATAATAAAGAGAAGAATCTTACTGATTTTTTAAACTATGGTGATGAGAAATATAGTGATTATTTCATTTCAAATTATATATGGGATAGGTTTTGAGGATTGAATCTTTGATGTTTCGTTGGTTAGTTGCTTCTATAGTTTAATGATATGTTTGTTTTGCTTTAATAATCTAGGTTGTAACCTATCTTCCAATTTCAACACACAACAACAACTGGGTCTGTATTATCGATTTGTAACTATTGATCCCATTCAACCAACAGTTCTACACCAAATTGGCTTTCTAACTTAAAATCATACTATTTACACCAAAATTATATATACATAAAAAGACCCATTGCAAAAACCTCATAAACTTTATCTTTACCTTTCCCCCTCAACACATAATTCAAAAGTATTTTGGATTCTCTCTGATACTGAGTTTAGTAAATTTAGGAACTTTATGGACACCTTTTCTATAACCTTTTGAATATTTATTATAAACAAAATATTTATCAAATGGATCCATTTGAGATTCTTTTGGATAGTTGAAATAAAATCTTTCAATTTTTGGATTTGATTGACCAGTTTGCTTTAAACCTTGATATAATGTCTTGATCACTTCATCAACTGATTGCATTCTTTTTCTATGTCTATATTTTTGATGTTTTGACATTCTCCATGGAATTTTCCTTTTGAAATTGTTAGTATTCTAAACCCCCAAGAAATTAAGAGTTGACCCAAAATGGACAGCATGGAGATGGACATACCATAGTAGACCTCCAAGGGCAACATTAGTAGCTTTGAAAGCACCAAACATAATTAAAAGATGCGAATAATATGGCTTCGAAACGTATTAACTTTATATGTGTTGAACTTTTTGATTTTTCTTGATGGTGAAAAAAAACCAAAATCGGTTTTCGCACACTATTATTCTGATGGGGGCACTACTTTTGAATTTATAAACGCTTTAAACACTTTAAAAGGTATCAAGAAGTTGGATTATTTTAAATTGAGTATTATAGAAAACTTTTATTTTTGATGGTCATAGTCAATTTGATAAGTTAGGGTGTTTTTGAAAGTTTTTATTATTGGAAATTAACATATAACGCCTCAGCACAACAACCTGTATCAGATCAATCTTCCCAAAAGCTCAGTTAAAACTAGCATTCAGACTAGTAGTAGTCTCGTAGTAGTCTTGTTGTACTCAAGATACCAGCAAAAACTGTCCTTCTACTGCTCAGACTTGATGTTTTCCGAATCTGTAGTTTCATAGAGACAGTGCTATATCTCCTTGTTACAGTATAACAAGTAATTATTGAAATACCAATTGAACACTGTAAATCAATGAAGTTAACAAATTCTAATCATCTCTAGTCAGACAAACTTATTTCATAATTGTGTCATATCACAAATAATAGGTATTATACGCAACAATATCACAATGCGCATTTCATCCGTTGGAGAGCTTCATTAATGATCATTGAAATACAATTGGCACATAGATGAGTGTATCTCAATGACAATAAACTTCAATCTGGTAGCTCTTGAAATAATGAGAGTCAACCTTCATCAATAACTTTGTCACTTTAATACTTGTTGAATGTAGTGAGCAGCATTTCCAGAACTCCATACATTTCGAAACCAAGCCTTTCAACAACCATCATTAATATGTTATTCAGCCGTACTTCCAGTTGAAAAGCTCCACAAGCTCCAAAATACAGCTCTGTGCTGTCCAGCCTAGAATGTCAGGTCTGTAAAATCTGAATAGTTATTGGTCATAGATCCACCTAATATTTCATCAATCACTAATCGATCAAACGTATCCATCCGTGCTTTTAGTCAGAAACAAGAGTCCATATCCCCTTTTACTTGACTGTAATTCAGTATCACACCTCTATAATTCAATTGTCCCTCCTATTGTTGAGTTCATTCATCAATTGTCGTTGACTTCTTCATCCACCAAAAATTAAAGAAAAAATTGTGTCAAAGCAAATCTCAAAATCATCGGAATTCGGTTCCTCGGATTGAAAATTTTGGAATTTAGGCCCACGAAATCGTGCTCATACCAGGATAATTATGTCAGCGGCATTCCTAAAAAGGGAAGTTTTCACCAAATTTGGTAATTTCACAAGTGGTTTTTGCGCAAAAAATAAGGATGTTCATGTCCTCCAGGTCTTTTATCCCACGTTAAATTATGTTGAGAAATTGTAGAATTGTCCTTTTGAAAAGTTGTTTGAGCCAGAGTTGAAAGGAGATCATAAAGAGTAATGGACAATAGGGGAATGATATTGGGTAGAGCTGTGCTTACAGCCATGAAATAATTGTCTTTACAGAGAGTGGTTATATAGGACGTTGTTGAGGGTCCTGATCAAAGGGTAGATCGGGTGCATAGTAGTAATTTCAGTTCATAGATCTTCAAGAATACCGTAGCTATCTAAGGCTGATTGTATGCCTGTTTAAACGGTTGTGTTTGAGTAACCGAGAGAGCCTGTAGTTTTACACTGATTACTACGATTACTACTGCTTGCTCTCACTTTTGCTCATTGGCTCCAACGTTCCTTTTGCTATAGCTTATGCTTCGGGGGGCAAGGCCGAGGGGCAGAGGAATAGCTAGCTAATATGATAATAACTAATAACTATAATGACTATATCTATTACTATTACCTAGTCTATCTCTATCTCTAGTACTATTAGCCTACCTCTACTCCCTCGTTTAATTCTTGTTTATGTCTCATGGAAGATTCCGCTTAGATTCCAAATTTTCGTTTTCCTGGCGCGTTTTGGCACAAGTTTTCATATTTAAAACAGACTCGAGATTCGAGAAGCCCAAAAAAAAATTAAAAAAAGCAGATTCAAATCCCTTTATAAAAAAGCTTTGTTATCACCTCTTGATTTGAACTAGGATCTTGTTATTATCATTCTTTTATTGTTCATACAGTGCTATACTTTGCTTAAACATCCTTTAGCTCCCTTTATCAAACTCAATCAGTCACTTTATACCAGTGAGAAATCAATTATACTCACACTGGAGTTTACAACATTTACATTACATCTCTTGAGATTAGTTCCAAACTTGAAGTCGAGTACACAGACATATATTCAAGCCAAAGATCATCATCCATCAGATACTTTCTACTATCACCTTTGATGCTTTCCAAATAATCAAGTCAAGAGAAAAAAATTTTAACGTGTCCACCGTTCCGAAAAGGTTAGAACCGTATATATAAACCCATTCTCCTAGAAACCCCGAATAAATTAAAGAGAATACACTTTCAAAAACCATAATCATGATGAACCATACTATACCGATTGTTAAATCGCAATCTTACAAGACCCATTTAACTCCAATAGCTCCAGCTCCATTAAATTTAGCTCCAAAACCAACCCCTGTTCATGTTTTACCCAAACCTGCTAGTATTAATGAATCTCAAACCTCTTGTGATCAACTTGAAACTCAAAGTTTACCTTGTGTTATAACTTCAAAACAATGGGTATTACCTCCAAGACCAAAAGCTGGTAGGAAACCACAAGAAAAGAAAAAACCCTCAAATGTTTCAAAACTTAGCTCAAATTTAACAAATTTAAATATTCACAAGACTCAATCTGAAAATAATTTAAATCTTAATGATCATGATTTGAAAAATCAATTAGATTCTGCCACTGAGGAAAATCAAAAATTGAAAAACATTATATCGAGATTGAAATTAGAAATTGAATCATTACAAGCTACAAAACAACATCATTTTGTTCAACAACCTCCAATCTCACCTCAAAGAGAAGTTGTCTCCACTCCAATCAATAACTCAATCACTTCAAGAGACGTTTCTCCAACTATTGATCCTAAAAACATTCAACAACAAGAACATTCAGTTAAAAGAACCAAGCGTCAATATAGAAAGAAGAAGAAGGCACCACCAATACCTAATGTTGATTTACCAACACCTAATCAAACACCAATTTTGAAAACTGAAGATAATACACCATCTCCCATATCACTTGTTGTTGAGAATCAAATTTCATCAAACCTACCAAATTTAGAATCAATCATAAAGAAAGATCAAGTGTTTGAAGAAGAAGATGAAGATCCTCATTGTTTTAAAAAATCCAAAACTATTAAATTGGAAAGATCAATGTCATTACAACCTGTTGAACCACTCCCTTCTCAACATTTCAAAAGTATTGGATTGGATCGTACAATGAGCATACCTATGGAATATTTAGAAACTAATTTATTGTCAAGAAGTACAACAAACACCAGTTCATTTGATGATTGTAAAAAATGTGGACAGGATAGTTGTTTATGTTTGGAGAGTGGACATATTGATGATGTTGGGAAATTGAATGATGAGTTTAGAAATGATTATGATTTTATTAATGAAAAGAATGATAGAATGAATAATAACAAGAATAATAATAATAATAATAATGCTAATGAAGAAAATGAATTTGATGTTAATTTTTATATAAAGAGTGAATTTGATGATGACCAATTTTTAATGATATAGACAATAAAATGATTGAATGAACTCAGAGAAATCTAAATTCGTAGCGCTTAACATACAAAGTGTAAATATAGTTAATCATAATGAATATTTAAGTATAATATTGTCATAAATATGTTGTTTCTTCTTGAGTTCAACTCATAATCATTTATTTATTGTTCAAAAAAAAGTATAAAATGCACCAGCTAAAGCACTGAATCCTAAAACGGCATAACCTGTTCTATAAACACCTTTCAAAGTTAATTCTTTCCCAGCATCCCATATCAAATGTCTAATCCCATTACCGAAATGGAAAAAAAATGGGAATGCAGCAATACCTTTCAAAGCATATTGAGTTGAAGAACTTAATGAATGGAAAGAATCTGCAATAACTGTGGAATCAATACCAAGTCCCAAGATTGAACCAAGAGCATAAGTAACAGTGACACCATAGAAAGCACCAGCTAACAAGACACCACTGACTCTATGCAATGAGGATAAATACCAAGTTAATTGTGGTTGATAAATTGTTAAATGTGGTGATGAAGGTCTGTTTTTTCTTTGGGCAACTAAAATTTCTTGTTCCCTTTCATGAGTAGTTGTGATTGTTTGTAAAGATCTGGTGATTGTAGATTTGGAGATTAATGATCTTGAAGATGGTCTTATTAGACCTAGACCTAGACGAGTGGAAAGCATGTTGTGAATTTAATGGTATTTTTGTCAGTATTAATCAAGTTCAAGTTCAAGTTTATCAATAGTTTTTTCATCAATCCAACCCGTGACAAGTCGGAACAGGCCATTTGTGAAAAGCATGACGGAACCGACAAAATCACAATTCGCGGTCTCGGGGGAAATTTTAAGAGCAGCCAATCGCAGCCGAGTTGAAGGTCAGATGGAGTTAGGTAAGATATTATGTAATTTGTATTAGTAATGTCTTATGTAATATGTTACTGACACTTTTATTTTGACAGATGACGATTTCTGATTTTCGATTTTTCGCGAACTTTTATAATTCTTGAGAAATTGCTGGTTATAAACTTCTCCATGTTTGCTACAGTCTTTATCCAAATCTTTATACAACATCAAGTATCATCATGGTTATCCCATTCTTAGGAAGACTATCCCTTTTAGAGTGGCCAATGGTCATCGTATCCTTCGTGTTTGCTTATATTGAGTTCATAATATCCATTATAACAAAGTGTCTACCTTCACCAATCATTCATTTATGCACAAATATAATTAATCAAGTTTATACTGTTTTCCTTTTATCACCAAATGAAGAAGATATTTATTCAATTCCCAAGACCAAAAGTTATATTGATATGTTGAAATTAAGAAACAAGATTCAAAATACTGAAAATATTAAACAAATTGGTGAAATTTTCGGTCATGAAATTGATGATCATATTGTCAAGACAAATGATGGTTATTTATTATGTCTTCATCGTATAAAACCAAAAGTTGAAAACGCTCCAATTGTTTATTTACATCATGGGTTATTAATGTGTTCAGATATTTGGTGTGTTAATATTGAAAAAAATAAAAACATACCTTTTTTATTACATGATTTAGGGTTTGATGTTTGGTTAGGAAATAATCGTGGTAATAAATATTCAACAAAACATATTTACTTAAAACCAAATGATGTTAAATTTTGGGACTTTAGTATTGATGAATTTGCTATTTATGATATACCTGATTCAATAAGTTATATATTGAATTATACAAATCAACAAGATTTAACTTATATTGGGTTTAGTCAAGGTTCTGCTCAAGCATTTGCTGCATTATCAATTAATCCAATCCTGAATAAACAAGTTAAATTATTCATTGCATTATCTCCTGCAATGACTCCAAGAGGTTTACATCATAAAGTTGTTGATGCTTTAATTAAAACTTCTCCAAATATTATGTATTTGATATTTGGCAAAAAAACTTTATTACCAACTGCTTCATTTTGGGAAAGTATAATCTATCCACCATTATTTGTTAAAATCATTGATAAATCAAATGAAATGTTGTTTAATTGGAAAAGTTTAAATATTAATTTTAATCAAAAAATTTCAAGTTATTCACATTTATATTCTCCAACTTCTGTTAAATCAATTGTTCATTGGTTTCAAATTATTAGAAATTCAAATTTCCAAATGTTTGATGAAGATTTTTCAATAACAAATACAATTTCAAAACCTTTTAGAAATCCAAATTTCCCTACAAGAACTAATATTAAAGTCCCAATAAGATTAATCTATGGAACTATAGATTCCTTGGTGGATATCAATGTTATGAAGAAGTTGTTACCTTCAGATGATATTGAAACTGTTGGTGTTTTGGATCATGAACATTTAGATTTAATTTGGGGTGATGATATTGAAGATTTAGTTTTCCCTCATATTTTGAAATTTTTAAACATTGATTCAAAGGGAACATCTGCTATTCAAAATGATAATGATTCTGATAATGAAAAAGTTTCAAGTTATTAATTATCATCTTCATCACTTTCAAAATTAAATGAAAATTGTTCCGTCGTTGTTGTTTTTTTCGTTAATTCATCCCATATTTTACTTTGTATGATTTTTCTTTCCAATTCATGTTTTTTGGCGTCCTCATTCTCTAAAGTTTTCAATTTATTTAATGCATCTTCCAATATTGTTTTATTGTAGTCTGGATCTTGCTTGATTAACTCAATGAAAAATTCAAAAATAGGTAAATCAATATGATTTGAACATTCACCGATATCTTCATTATTTATTTCTTTTTCTTCAACTTCTTTTAAAAACTTGTTGAATGACTGGTTCTCAATTTTGTTTGCATCAATGAAATTCTTCAAAGACTTTGTGAAATCCTTGACATGAAACCCTGATATTTGATTTTTTTTATTCTTCAAAAAATTTAAAACATTTGGCAAATAACCAATAGGAACAAAATTTTGAGTTAATGCAACAGAATCCTCTAAATTTATAACACTATGCCACCATCCACTAGGAACAAACATACATTCACCTGGGAAAGTAATACCAATCTGACATTTGCCCTCCATTGCCAACTTGACACTATCATTATAAAAACCTGATAGAATCCATTCAGCTATCCCCACTGGTGAAGTGACTTCGCTTTCTTCCTCATCTGTCCCAACACCTGGTGGTTTAATATCTGGTGGTAACATTATCCATAGTTTCATACCACACAAGTTGGCATTCCAAGCACTTGTAAAGTTTGGATCTTTATGGAATGTGGACCCACTACGTTGAGGTCCAACGATTAACCAACGGTGATCTGGACGACATGTCACAGTGTTGAATAATTTGAAATAATCTGTTTGGAAAATTGAAGGGACTTTGTATTCTTTTGTAAGTTTTTGTATTGCTGAGCTTTGACAATCGAATAAATATAATGGTGATTCATCTTTATTTTGTTGAAAATATTTGGAATAAAAAATTAATGGCCATTGAACAGATTCTTGACGGAATTTAACTAATGGGAATCTTCCCACTAATTGGTCTAGATCCCATTGCGGCCATCTGGTTTCATCTTTAGAAGTTAAAATAAATGGTTTGTTGTAATAATCTGAATTGAATAAATTTGAAGTTAATTCATCTTCATCAATTCTTTCAATACCAAATTTAACATTTTGAGTTTTTTGTAATTTCCAACTTTGTTCCTCTTCTGCAATAAGATCTTTAAATAATGTCTTATAATCAATTTGTGAACACTGATATGGTCTAAATAATACATCTGAACACAATAAATTATCAGCTAGTTTGATATTAGCTTCTTGTGATTCATTGATTCGTAACATTGTTCTTCTCCAAGAACCTTCCCATTTTTCAATACCTAATGGATACAAGTTTTCTTGATCACTTGTTAGTTCTTTTAAACTTTTCCTCATATAAAGCCTTCTCCATAATTCTTCATCATAAATAAATGCATAGAAAATTCTTGAACAATGACTTAAATTTTTCAAATCATTCGGGTCATCAATAAAACCGAGAATATCTAGTATTAGTTCATCATTGAATATTCTAAAATCACCAAGTAAAGAATCTTCAGTTTTCGAAAGTTTCGAATCTTGGAAAATCAATGCATTTCCAGAAGGTTTCACATTTAATGGATGTCTTTGAGTAACAACATCTCTTGAAATTCCTCTACTTATATTTCTTCTTTTATTTCTAGATCCTGAATCTTCATTTATTGTCATTTCGCAGTAATTTTTATCTTATATGACCATATAGACGTTAGTAATATCTTGAATATAAATAAAACTTGGTGCTGATATCTGGTTATTGTTGAAAACTTTTGACATGATCTGATAAAATTTTTTTTTGGCAGGTGAAAAATTTCCGATGAGCTGCTTTTTATGTCAAAAAATAGAGGGACAAATATCTCGATATTACTCGGGAATTGGAGCTTTGAAACAGATTGAAGCTTGGCGAGTAGCTCTAACGTATACTCTTACACATTCCTACAAAATTACAGAACCATTCCTATCGAAACAAGTGAGAAATATGAAGAGAAAACTTTTTGTCACGTGATTGGTGGTTTCTGCTCCTAGCGACTCAACGCTTTTTCGACTTCAACAACTAGGGCGTGTGGCGTAGTTGGTAGCGCGTTCGCTTAGCATGCGAAAGGTCTCCGGTTCGACTCCGGACTCGTCCATTTTTTTTGAATCTCAGCCGCGGAAATCCGTTTTTTTGCTATATAACTTAACATAAATGAAGACTACGATTAATTCCATACATATTTCAATGTTTTAAATCAGATTTGACCGTTTATTAGCTGTATAAGCTAAGTAAAACTTCGAAAAATTACAGTAATCAAATTCCGCGAATGCGTTTTACTATGGCGTCAACTCCGGATTTTATTACCAATTCGAGAGCTTCAAACGATTTGGTTTTTTCTTGATGATAAACTTTCAAAGGTCAAACGTTAAAAACAATTCAAACCATCAACGATTCACAAAGTGTACAACCAAGGTAAAATAATGGCAACTGCTGCTTTCCCTGAACTAGACTCCGCAAAGGAATCCATCCTTGTTGAAAACCTTCTTCAATGGTCATTGGCCAATGGATTAGTTATATATCCTCCAGATTTCAAATCATATCAACCAGTTAGTGCACCAGTGACTTTATTTCCAACACCATTCCCTAGAGTAGCATTTAAAGATGCAGATGATGTGCAATTGTTATTCAATGAATTATATGCTAAAGTCTCCAGTGATTTGGAGTTCCTTTCTGAGATTATTGATGATTTAGCAAAATTTGATTCAGGATTCACAGGTAAATTATGGGAAATTTTTTTAAAAGCTAAAAAAATTGGAATTTCTCAACCTTTATCACTTGGTATTTTCAGATCTGATTATATGGTTAATGAAATTGAAGGGTTAAAACCACAAATTAAACAAATTGAGTTCAATACTGTGAGTGTTTCATTTGGTGGACTGTCTACAAAAGTTGGTGAATTACATAGATATCTAAATAATCATGGAGATTATGATATTGGGGAAGGTACTGATAAATATTATGATGAAAAAGATTTACCAATATCAAAATCAATAACTAAACTAAGTGAAGGTTTAGCTGATGGGAACTATTATTATAATGATTGTGTTTCAAATACCAAGACAGTTGTTTTAGTTGTGGTACAACATAAGGAAAGAAATGTTTTTGATCAAAGATTATTAGAATATGCATTATTAACAAAACATGGTGTGAAATCAATAAGGTTAACATTATCAGAAATTGATTCGAAAACTTATATTGATCCACAAACCAAGAAATTATATATCAAATCAACAAATGATGAAGTTTCAGTGGTTTATTTTAGATCTGGTTATGCTCCAAATGATTTCCAAAATGAACAAGATTGGGAAAATAGGTTAACTTTGGAGACTTCCAAAGCTATTAAAGCTCCAACTTTGTTAACTCAATTAGTTGGTGCTAAAAAAATTCAACAAATCTTAACAGATGAAGTTATATTGAAAAAATTCTTGAAAGAAAAAGGTGAATCAAATTTTCAACAATTATTAGATACATTTGTTTCAATTTATCCATTAGATGATAGTGAAAGGGGGAAACAAGCTAAGAAATTGGCTTTTGAAAAACCTGGTAATTTTGTCTTGAAACCTCAAAGAGAAGGTGGTGGTAATAATATTTATAAAGATGATATACCTGTTTTCTTACAATCAATACCTGAAAAAGATTGGGCAGGATATATATTGATGGAACTAATACATCCACACAACTACAAAAATAAAATCATTAGAGATGGTAAAATTTATGATGAGCCAATCATTAGTGAACTAGGACGTTTTGGTACCATTGTATTCAATCAAGAAACTGGTGAAGTTTTATCTAATAAGAATTCTGGTTGGTTATTAAGATCAAAATTCGAATCATCAAATGAAGGTGGTGTTGCTGCAGGGTTTGGATGTGTTGATAGTGTTGTCCTAAAGTAATAAACTATAATAAATGAGTGATCACCTCCCAAATGTATGAACCACTGGCACACCAACTGGAACCATTACAGGTCCTGTATATCTAGGTATCTGTCCTTCATAATAATTAGGACCCATTATGAAAGATCCAGGTCTTTGACCTGGTTTTAATATAATTTTACCTGCCCTTTGCTGAGCAAATTGTGATTCAAATTCAGCAGCTAAAAGTGCAGCACCTGTAACGCTAGTGAATTGGAATAATGTTGATACAAATGGAATATTTTGTAAAATACCAGTAACAATACCAAACCCAATGTAATGGAATCTTCTTGATGCATAGAATGCATTCTTTTGTCTTGTGTCAATTCCCTTCAATTCATAATATCTACTGTGGAACCCAAAGCCTCTTTGAGGTGCATTAATGAAAACTAATAAGATTGGACCCACAATTGGAACAAATGTTAAAATAACAGTTATTGCAAAGTTGATACTTGTCATTGGATAAATGATAAGATTGTTTGGTAAGTCAAGTAACCATCTTTTAAATCTTTTCATAATGGAAACATCAACAACTCTAAACAATTTGCCTCTTAATACAACATCATCATAACCTTCCCTTGATAACACAGTCTCAAACAATAATTGCAATGGCTTGGGATATAATAGAAAAGTTGAAACAACTTGAGCTACCAAATCCACTTCATGAATAAAATTAACCCATGCAATGAAAACACCAACTGGACCATTCATGGCAAATCCCAACAGCGATTGAATCACGTTCAAAGTGGCAAACAAAAGTACAAATACAGTTGCAGTGAGAATCATTTGAGGTATGACTATCGCTAAGAAATAGCACCAAAGACTAGGATGAGTGATGAAGTAATGTATGCCCTTATAAAATGTTAGTTTAATGAATCAAAGATGCTTGTATATGAATCATACCGCCAAAGGCATTGAAGTTGACACTAGTAATCTCAACGTCATTATTGGATAGACTTAAGCGCTGTAGCCCTATCTTTCATCTGCCAAATGAGTTCCATCTCTTTTGCACATTGTTTTGGTTTCAAATTTTTTTGTGTATAGGTCTGCCATTTCCACACGGTTCATCTTATTTTGGCACATTTTGAGATTGCAATAGATAACGGATTTGCTCTGAGATAAAAGGGTTTTTTGACGTGAATGGGTTATTTGATAGTAAGTTTGAGATTATATCTTTGCTATTGGTACTATAGTGATTCAAAGGACTCCATGAAACTGGATTCCTTAAGCACACTATCTATGATTATTTCAATCTGGAGTACATCCCCAATGAAAGTACATCCTATCCACCAAAAACAAGCTCTTTACACCCATTTCCAAGCCACCAATATTCTCTCAGATCAGCTGACATCCCATTAATAATCCCACTATATAACCAATCTCCCCTACCTTCGTTTCGGCTCATAATTTAATTTAGAACTCGATGCCACAATTGCAATTATCAGCGGTACGCACCACACCATACATTAAACTGTCTTTTTTCGTCAGTTTCAATTGATAGTGCTATGGTTCTGATAACAACCCATGCTCAGGAAAGAACGGGTGGCTTACAGTTGGAATTGGGCTCTAATTTCGCCTTTCATGTTACTCTCTGGATTGGTTTACCATTTCTAGTGGCTGATGTGCTTGTTCGCTCTCCCCAGCCTTAAAACTGTTGAAATGTGGTTGAGCAAAACTGTGGATCCTCTTTCATTATCACCAATTTCTAAGTATCAGAATAACTGTTAACAGTTCACTCGCCACCATTGTGATGTACTATATGGCTCATGTCAAATGATCTGATGTTTTTCCAACTCCAGCAAGTCTATAAAAGACCTCGAGATTCCTTCCTTCTTGAAACACTCTTTTATTATCATCTTTTCATCAATCCAATTTAAACAATATGGCACCAACAGCTACAGCTACAGTCACACAAACTAAAGAACCATCAATCCCAATCGGTAAGATTAGTGGATATAGCAATCTTGATATCCATTATAGAAAAGGTCAAGACTCTGTTGATCCTAAAACTGGTGTTTTAACCATTGGTGAAAAAGACCGTCAATATGTCGACTATCCAGAATGGTTACCAACTTGGGATCCAAATGAAAAATATGAACCATATCCAGAGGATTACAATGAGAATTTTGTTGATAAAGGTCATTTTGCTGATCCTGATTTCAAATCTTTATTCCCACCTTCTGATAAAGATTCATTCAAATTGAAAAAAATTAGTCCAAAATTAGGTACTGAAGTTAGAGGAGTTCAATTATCTCAATTGAGTGATCAAGCTAAAAATGATTTAGCATTATTTGTTGCACAACGTGGTGTTGTTGTTTTTAGAGATCAAGATCTAAAAGATAAAGGTTTAGAATTCAACAAAAAATTTGGTGAATATTTCGGTCCATTACATGTTCATCCATCTTCAGGAGCACCAGCAAATTATCCACAATTCCATATAACTTATCGTCGTAAAGATCCAAATGAATATAATATTGTCCATGCTAAAACATTATCAACAAAAGGATGGCACTCAGATGTCACATTTGAGAAATATACCCCTTCAACTACATTCTTTGCGGTTTTACAAGCCCCAACTGATGAATATGGTAACACAAGTGGTGGTGATACTTTATTCAGTGATGCAGAAGAAGCTTATAATAGATTATCCCCAACTTTTAAAAAAATGATTAAAGGTTTAAAAGCTGTTCATTCCTCTGTGGAGCAAGCATCTCAATCAAGACAAGCTGGTGGTATTGAAAGAAGACCTCCTTCCACAAATGTTCATCCATTAGTTAGGGTCCATCCAGTCACAAGGAAAAAATCACTATTCGTTTCAAGAGCTTTTATTCAACATATTGAAGGTTTGAAGAATGAAGAGAGTGACGCAATTTTGAAATTATTAAGTGATCATGTTAATAATTCTGTGGATTTGCAAATAAGAGCAAATTATGAACCTGGTACAGTTGTTGTATGGGATAATCGTCGTGTCTTGCATTCTGCTTCTTTTGATTGGGATTCTGGTGATGTTCGTCATTGTTATAGAATTACTCCAATGGCTGAATTACCAATTGGTGATGATGATGAGGAGGAAAATTAAAATACACTGCTTGTATATGTCTTATGTTGTTTATGGTTTGGGTTTCTTTTATATACGTTGTTATGGTTTTTGGTACATTTGATGTAGCGCTACAAAGTTCAATTCCTAATGTACAATATCGTTCTATTAACTAATTAATTTCAATTACTGAGTTTTGATTACTATCCTCTATCATCTCAACATCATCATCTTTCTTCACCTCTGGTTTAATCTCTGGTTTAACCTCCGTCTTCACTTCATCTTTTGACACACTTTCAGGTGTATCTTCAAGAACTTCAACTTCTTCAACTTTTGGAGTTGCAGTCGAGCTCCCCATTTCAACTTTACCTTTAAGAACATCTTTATCTTCAAAAATCATTTGTTCAATATATGACACTGCCTTTGTTTCAATTTGTTCACCACTCATACTCTTATCCAATTCTAATTTGTTTTTAGCCAATTGATACATATTCTCTTCGATTGTTCCCTTTGTGATTAATCTAATGACTTTGACTGGATTCACTTGACCAACACGATGTGCACGATCTTCAGCTTGTTTATCATCGTGTGGATTGAAACTTTGATCGAAAATAATAACTGTATTGGCACAAACTAAATTAATACCAAATCCACCAGCTTTTGTAGATAACAAAAACACAGGAATTGTCTTTTCTTCATAAAACTTATCAATAATATCCTGTCTAATATCAACTGAAGTACCACCATCTAATCTTAAAAATTTAATTGACCATTCAGATAAAACACGTTCCAAAATATCTAAAACTTGTGTAAATAATGAGAAAATCAAAATTTTACCATCCTTAGCTATAATATCTGGTAAAATTTTACCCAATTGTTCAACTTTACCTGAATTTAAGAAATCTTCAGATTTTAATGCATATTTATGAATACTTGGAAATTGCTCACATAATTTATTCAGTTCAAAATCAGTCATAATTTCCATATCTTCATAGATGTATTGTTGGTTTGCATCACAGTAAACTGGTTCCTTCATGATTTCTTTACTCATTTTCTTCAAAATATCATCAGTGTAAACATATCTAAATAATAATGGATGAATTGAAGCTTTTCTTAATCCCATTAAAACATTTGCAGTTTTATTTTTCTTCTCTTTCAATTCAATACCTCTTTGAATTTCTCTTTTATAGACAACAGATTGAGTTTCGAATAATTCACAAGTTTCAATTTCATTAACTTTTGGTGGTAAATGTTGTAAAACTTGGTCTTTTCTTCTTCTTAAAATGAATGGTGCCATCATTTTCTTAGCTTTGGAAATGGCTCTTTCTGATAAAAGCGGATTATAACCAGGATTATTATCATAAGTACTAGCTTTTTGACTGAAAACATATTTCAAATCCTCTTTTTTAGAAATGAACATTGTTGGTAAAATGAACTCTAATAATGACATCAACTCTCTAAGATTATTTTGTAATGGTGTACCTGTTAATAATAATCTAAATTTGGCTTTAATCTTCATAAGTTTTTGAAATCTATCAGTGGAACTATTCTTCAACATATGACCTTCATCATAAACAATAACGTTGAATCCTGCATGTTTTAAGAAACTAGCATCATCTTTATTACCAGTGGCAAGATTATATGTGGTGACAATAACATCAATTTCATCTAATCTTGAAGTCAAGATTTCTCTCATTTCTTCTCTCTCGGATTGTGAACCATAATATGGCTCAACAACAAATGCTGGTGCAAACTTTCTAAATTCTCTCATCCAATTTTCTAAAGTTGAAGATGGAACAACAACTAAATGAGGCCCCTGGATACCAGTTTCTTTTAAATGTGATAAAAATGCAATAACTTGACAAGTCTTACCCAACCCCATTTCATCTGCCAAAATACAACTCAAGTTATTCTTATATAGTAGACTTAACCAATTAATACCAACTTGTTGATAATTTTTCAAATCAACATCATTTGCAAGATATTTTGGTTTTTCTTTGAAATAACCATTACGTTTACTCTTTTTGGATTGCATGAAACCTTCATCACCATCATCATCATCACTTAATGCAACATCTATGGCCTCCAGTTCATCATTAACACCATGGACTTTAACACCCCATTTCCCAATTTCATTGGCAATCTTTTCACTATACTTGTTACATTGTTTAACCAGACTATCAACTGCCGCATAACCTCTCAACACAAGATTTGCCTTTTGACTGACAATTTCACCATCAGTTTTATTTCTTCTTCTTGTAGGTTCTTCATCTCTGAAATTAAAAGATTCAAATTGATTTATACTTCTGAATGGTCTTTTCTTGACAATGTTTTTGGCAATTTCAAAAGTACAAGTTGTAACATCAACAATATCACGGTCTTCTGCGGAATTCATGAATTCTAATGTTTTTTGTTCATAATATTCATCGATTGAAGATGTAACAACTGCTGATTCTTCTTCAGCAACATCTGAATCATCACTGAACTCATCATTCAGAACTTCTTCCTCTTCTTCTTGTTCTTCATCACTTAGGTTGATTGTTTTAGGTTTGGATTTAGATTTGGAAACTTGTTGCTTTGGAAGAGGCGCTGGAGGAGGAGGCGCACTCTTTGGAATGGCAATTCTAGCCTTAATGTTATTTGTATGTTTGTGTGCTTCAACAGATGGGGTATCATCATCCTCATCTTCATCATCAATAGTAACTGGTGTGACATTTCTTGAACCTCTGATTAGACGTCTCTTCTTTGGAGCAGGTACTTGTTCTTGCTCATCTTCATCCTCTTCATCAATCTTCTTTGGAGCAGGTACTTGTTCTTGCTCATCTTCATCCTCTTCATCAATCTTCTTTCTATAGTTCGTACTATATTTTTCAGAAATGGTCTTTTTCTTATCTAAAACAACCTTAGATGATGTCTTTTGAGGAGAGTTATCTGGTGATGAGCTTATCTCGATTTGTTCTTTAGGTGGAGAGAGCTCAGGAGCTGGTGAAATAGGTGTAGCACTTGCAGATTTCTTCAAAACTTCCTCTTGCTTTCTTTTCTCCACGACTGTTGTTAAATGTTGTTTGGTCAACTTGAGATCATTATTGCCCTTTGAATTGTAAACCGCTTTGATCAATCTCTCTTTGACTGTAGGGAATAATTTTTGTAATATATCTATGTCTCTTTTCGAACCTGTAGAAGTTTTATTTTGAGATAGGAGATTTGTACCGTTGAAAGAGAACTTTTCTCTCAGATTTGATCCATTTTGAGGTTTATTGATCTGAGATCCATTTTCATCATATATTGGTTTAGGTTTGACATTACCAAACAGCTTGGTGTGTGAATATGTTTGCTTTGCTTGAGGTGATGGTTGGTTGGATGATGGTGAAGAGTCTAGCACCTGTACAACAGGTTTTTTCTTTGGTGTGTCGTCTGTACTCCAGTCTGAGTAACCCATATTGATAGCAGCGTTTTATCAAATGTGATGGCTCTTTTCCAAAATGAATGTAAAAAACTAGGGAGAAACCAGTTCTTTTATAATGAAAAATTGAATCCAGAATATCTCAGTAAACAGAAACAGATTGGACCTAATTTCGACTAAATCACCAAACAGAATAACGTTGTTCTCTTATATTCAAATGGTTTTGTTTCTGTTAGCGCGCGTCAAAATATTTTTGTTCTCATATTTTTTTTCTTTTCGCGACAGAAGAAATTTCATCAAGTTGCCATAGCGAAACAAGATTTCATAAGGAACAAATGTTGAACTTTCAACTGATATGTTTTATGTTTATTCGTGTGGCTCAAATGGTAGATTTCAGCTAGGAGATGGGTCAGATGAGGATTTGAACCAGTTGAAACGGGTGTTTGAGTCCAAACTTAGACCGGTGAAGGTGGTTTGTGGAGGTAATCATACTCTGATTTTATTGGAAAATGGTGACTTGTATGCTGCTGGTGATGATACTTTTGGTCAATGTGGGATCGATCCTGAAACTATTGGAAATAATGAACAAAGAGTCAAGGTTTTTAGTAGGGTACCCAGAGTTGATAATTCACCTTGGCTTGACTGCAGTGCTGGTTATGAATATTCAATATTTGTGAATGGGAATCAACAACTTTTTAGTGCTGGTTTTGGATTGAAAGGGGAATTAGGATTAGGTGAAAAGGTAGGGAGAAGTACAAAGCTAACCAAAATTGATACAAATTTCGAGTCCAATATTATCGAAGTCAGATCCTGCCTTGATCATACTGTTATTTTGTTAGAGAATCATGAGGTTTATGGCTGGGGTAATGGTAGAAGTGGAAAGTTAGGTGAACCTGCTCAGACAAAGATTTGGAAACCTAGATTGATTGAAACTGGTTCAATCACTCACATTGAAGTTGGTAGAGACTTCACAGCATTAGGTGATACTGAGGGAAAGATTGAAATTTTGGGGAAGGACAAGTTCAATATTGCATCTAAATTACCACAATCCTGGAAACTTTTCAAAACCATGTGGTCCTCATTGCATTTTATTGATGAATCCAATCATATCATATCAGCTGGAAATGATAGCCATGGTCAACTCATTCCTGTTGAGGATGTCAAATTCTCCCATTTTGATGTTGGTAGTGAACATGGTATCATAACAGACGGCCAAAAAGTTAAATCATGGGGTTGGGGAGAACATGGAAACTGTGGTATCAATAAAATAGACTCTGTTACTTTCAATTATATCAATGATTTGCATCAATTCCCAGACACTGAACGTATTATAATGATTAAAGGTGGATGTGCTACAACTTGGGTTGTAACAGAATTTTTAGATTCTACAAAGGCAAATGAATGATTTTAAATCATATATAAATGTAAAGAAGTATCTTTTCCATATTCATCTATCACACAGAAATAGTACTAAACAATTTCAGTACGCGAAGATGGAAAATATGTAAAAACTTCGTCAAGTTATTCTTGGGTAAGTGTATCGAATCAGTAGTCATTTTCTCGAATAGGATTGAAATAAAACGCCCCATCCCAATTCAAACGAATCTGAATATGAAGAACGGATTGTTAAATCACAAATTTCCCATCAAAAATTCTAAAGAAACTTCTTTATTACCCAGTGGTCTTGTAATCATATTTGAAAACTTTCAAATGATAGTAATGTCAAGTGAATTACACCCATTAAGACCTTATACGATCAGCGCGTTCCGTTCAATCATTAACAAAAATCCCGGGTTCCAAGTGTAAGCTAGGCGCTTCTGAAGTCAACCTGTTATCATTATGGATGCTTAAAGAATAGAAGAGAAGCAGAAAGAAAATTCTTTCGAAAATTTTCATAAAATCACCAGAATTGGAAGGTGCACACTCGCTGGGTATAAAACCAATGTTGATAACTTTAGGACAAGATTGTGAAGATACAATAGACTCACTAAGCCTTCAATTCAAGTGTTTAATATTATCAGATGTCGATGTTTGGATCAGTATGCTCTGGGAGACCTGGTAAGTAAAGCACAAACTTAGAAATACTCAAGAATGTAATCTAACAATCTCTCTAGTTCAACTTGCTGAACAGGTTGATACCAATAAATATGCCATAAATATGGAGAATGGTACCAAGATATCACATGTTGCTATATTCCTACTACCAAACATCGAGCTGGACCCGTCTTTTGCTGCATTGATCTTTTTCCAGCTACCAAACCAAGATTTCAAACTTTTTGGTTCAATATCAGCAAGTAAACCAAGTGCTATCTTCAAATTAAATAATAGTGTTCAAAATAGTCCACAAATTATGGATGAGATGGATATGGATACTGATCAAGCAAGTGATCCATTGAATAACATCACGGTGGGGATCTCAATTGAACCAGTTGCTGATGCTGAAAGACAACTAGAAGAAGCTAAAGCTTTTGCTCAATCTTCAAAACAAAAACAATTAACTACAACACCATATAATGGAAGCATTATGCCTTCAAACCCAAACACAACTGCTCTTTTGGCTGGGAAGATTGTAAAACATGCATATAATTACCTAACGGGTTTCATAGATGATCAGGGGAGAATAAATATAAAGTATTTTGATACATGGTGGGATAAATTTAAAACAAGATTACAAAATGATCCTAAATTTCTTGATGCTACTCAAGAGTTGTAAATTTAGAACAACGTCTCCCTCTATGGTTGATGATATGTGTTATGATAAAGAATCAATTTTAATATAACGTTTTAATGTCCATTCAGCAAGTGTAGAAGAGCCATCTCGTTATCTGTTTAAGCGACGATTCATCTATATTACAGAGTCTCAAACCAAAAACAATTGTAGATTAAATATTACATATAAACGTTCTCTATTAAACATACCCATTAAAGCTCATCAGCCATAGCTTTTCTCAATGCGTTAGGATTACCAAAAACAACATGTCTAGCTTCTAGTAATTTCTGGTGTAAGTCATCGTTGGTTTCGTCATCTCTCTTAGCCAACTTTCTAGTTTGAACTTCCTCACTCAACCACTCCATAAAGCTTGGGTCTGATTTCAGTTGTTTATTTTCTTTCTTCAAAGCAACAGCCCTGTCAAATATCTGCTCTAATGCATGATCATCTTGAACTTCTTTATTGGCTAATGAACGCTGTATTGTCTGGAAAATTTTGGCATTGTCATTATCTTCATCTCTTTTCACCAACGCATGTCTTTTGACATCATCTAATATCTCAAGTGCTCTAACTTTTGAATCTTCTTGTAATTTACTAAATGAGTCTAAAAGTAAATCTTGACCACCAAGTTGTTTGAAAATTAATGAATTAGAATCAGTCTGCACAACACTTGAAATAACACCTAGAAATCTTTTTTGTAAGACAGAATTATCTTCAGTCTTCAAGGCATTCAAAAATTTTGGTAAGACTTCACCAGCATCGATATTTGATAAAGCCTTTGGATTATGTCTCAAGGCTTGAGCAATAACTCTAGATGCCATTTCATGAACATTATTAGTGTATTTAGATTTTGAAGTTGCAAGATCCACCAAGTTATTGAAATTTTCTGGCTCTGATATCAACACACCATCTTTCAAGTTGTGTGAATGATCAGTTAATGAATCTAACGAACTCAATAACTTTTTCTCATCTTGAGATTCACTAAGAAAACTCAAAGCATCATGAACATCGATTTGGGTATCAGCTCCTTGAACGGCCATTTTGAGTGCAGTTATATCTGAATCCTCTTGGATATCTTCTGAGCTATAACTAACGATCTGTTTTCCGTCTGTTTTTTCAATAGCTTCTTTGATCGCCACTTCTTGATATTGCGCGTTGTTTGATGCGGTATTATCTAATAATTTTGCTTCTTTTAAACCTGTTTCAAGATCTATTCTGAAATCTAAGCCTGGTGGAGTCTCTTGGCCTTCCCTTATTATTTTCCAGTCTTTTGAAGGTTCAAATAATTTTGGATAACAATCTTTTGGATCAGTTTGGGAACAAATTAATGATTTTGCAGATGAGGGTATGGTTAGGGAATATATGCTGACAGCTAGTAATAAAACTCCTAGCAAAATTGTCACAGATCTTCTATTTAGCATAATAAGGTCTTGTTATAGAAGCTCTTTTTGAACTTCAAGGAGAAAGTAAGGTGAAGGTCTTTGTGAAATTATAAATGAAGATGAAACAAATGTTGACAAGTTTCGTTAACACGTATGAGCTCTCGAAGTTTCTGGAATCGCGCACGACTTCATCGGTAGCGGCCACTACATTAAGATTATGTAATTTTGATGTGATAAGCTTTACTATACGAAGAGAACACACAACTTGTAAAATATTGAATTTCCTGTTTATTGGTTTAAGTAAAATAGTAGTTTATAACGCAAAAAGAATTGAAAAAGACCGGACTTACTCTCACCTCAAGCAAGAGCACCCATTGGATCATAGATTGGAAGAACACTGTAGTCACCTTTCTTCCAGATTTCAGTCAAGTATTTAGGAGCATATTTGGTGCTTGTAACAACTTGATAAACGTATTCATCAAACCATTTATCAGTCGCAACAAAATAACCTTTATTACCAGCAGTTTCACCCCATGAATTTTGAATTTTATATCTTTGGATCTCACCGTCGATAACATGAACAGCTGTGATAACCATGGCATGTGTCATTGCAGAAGAGCCAACTTTCAATCTTTGTTCTTTTGTCAAATTCAATTTAGTGTTGAATGCCAATTCATAATCAAAGGCCTCAGTGTCAAGAACACCATTATCCTGGAATTTACCAACATCACATCCGAAAAACACTGGCTGGTTATCTTTCAATGAATCAATAATAACTTTCTTTTGAACAATAGATTTGACATTAACATAATCAATTGGTTTACCTCCAACAACATTGTTCAATTTATCAACTGTGTATAGCTTATCATAATCATTTCTTGGATCGTTAATCAATGAGAAGGTTTCATTGATTTGTAAATCAACAAGTGAGGCGAAATCCAATGGAGAGTTTTTGATTGAATGTGCCTTACCTGATTTATCCTTGTATTCCCAAGTAAACTCTTCATCGGCTTTTGGAGGTGGGCCTAGTAATAAGGCAATAATGTTGTAGATTTCATGAATCTGTTTATCCTTAACATGAGTGACTTCTTCTTTTGAAACTTTCTCATCATTGATCAATCTTCTCAACTCCAATGCATACTCCCTAACTTTGTTCACCAAAACATAATTCAAAGCAGCAGAGTTTGAAGCATGATAATCATCGTTATAAACAGATTTTGGAACTAAACCATACTTGTTCACCAAATTCACAATCATATCCCATTGACCACCATCGCTTAGTCCATTAGCTAAGATAGTCTGGACGACTCTTGATTCTAATTTTTCATCAGCAGTTTCAATAATATTATTCAATAAATAGTTTGATTTTTCCAATTTGTCCCAAAAGAATAGATAAGCTTGTGAAAGTTCAAAGCTTTCAATATCAAATTTCTTTTGATAAAAGGTTCTAAAAACATTGGTTGACGCAAAGATCCAGCATCTCCCACTACTATTCTGAGAAGTGATTGGTGAACCTTCTAAAGAAGCTTGAGTATTCCAAATATCAACTGAATCTTTTGTGATTTGCTTGTGATTTTTGATGACATTAACAATAGGGTTGTGTGCTAAAGCATTGATGGTTAACAAGTTCTTCTTATCTGATAGTAATGATGCTTCCCATTTATCAATTGATTCTAGAGATATTGCTTCAGCAGATTTGGTTTTGGATTCATTTACCTGTGGCTTTAATGAAACAGAGGCGAATTTCTCGTTCAAAACCTCTTCATAGCTTTCATCATCCCTGTATGAAAGCTTTTCAATGTCTCTGTTATCTCTAACTGTTGATTCCCTAGAAGTATTAGCACCCATTGTACTCTTGCACCCTTATAATTTGAATTGTGGAAAAGGGGGTAAAACTTATTTGTTTAATTCTGGGTGGCTCTTTATATAGATTTTAGCTATCTACACATATGCAATTTTGGCACCAGTGTGGTTTTGTCTTATCTAATCGTGTGGTGTGTACCGACTGTTTTATCATACAAAATTATTCAAAGCATTAAAAAACTTTCAAAATTCAATTCTATTTACGATTGTTTTTGAAATCAGTGGATCTTTGTCTGATTCTTGGCTTCTTAACACGGTTCTTACCATGCTTGACACCAGCAACACGGTCACCCTTTTGGGCTCTTTGCCCTTCAATAATTTTACCGGCTTGAGAACGATCAGCTTTACCAAGGACTCTTTGAGCTCTACCTAATTTAGTCTTTTGATCGTCTGTTAAGTTCTTGAGTGCTCTCTGTTTGTTGTTATTGTTATGCTTATTATTATTGTTGTTGTTTTGTTGATTTGGTTTAACACGCTTTGATCTTGTTATTCTTAGTTTTCTCTTTTTAGCACCTAATTTCTTTTCATGTAATAATAAAGCTTTAGAAACTGAAGTGAAATCTTTGAACTGAACGTAACCAAAACCTTTACCCATGTTGGTAGCAGAGTCACGAACAATACGAACAGAATCAATTTCACCACATTCACCAAAGATGTTCCATAATTCTTCTTCTTTTTCTTCAAAATCTAAATTACCAACGAAAATTGTTCTTTTGTTATCAATTTTAGCAGGATGTGAAACAGAGTCAACTCTTAAATGTAAATTGAATAGCACTTTACCATTAGCTTCTAATGCTTTTCTAGCATCCTGTTGAGTTTTGAAGACGATGTATGCATTTAGAGAATCTCTTGATTCGTGTAATTTTTGTTTAACAAATGCAGCTTTTCTAGGTATTGGTTCATTAAAGGAGATTGATCTAAATCTTATAGACTCTATTGGACCAAAAGTTGTGAAGAATTTTTTCAATTCTTTATAGTCTTTCTTAGAAGTGATAACAGAGGAAGCCATATTCCCTATAAAAATTGTTCTTTGAGCTTTCTCAACTTCTTTTTCTTTGAAATCAATTGATTTAGCTTCTGAAGATTTTGCGGCAAGTTTTGCTTCTTCTTCATCTTCAGAATCACTATCAGCTTCATATTTAGACTCTTCATCTTCCTTTTGTTCTTCATTATCTTTTGATTTTGGATCATTTAAAATCTTTTCTAAATACTTTCCTTCAAGATCATCATCTTCATCAGAGTTCTTTTTCTTCTTTTTGATCTCAACAGGAGCTTCTTCTTCTTCAGCTTCATCCATTTCTTCATCACTATCTTCTTGTTCTTCTTCATTTATGCTATCATCATCTTCTGAATCTTCTGAATCTTCATCTGATTCACTTTCTTCTGTATCTGGTTTCTTGGTTGGTAAAACAGTTCTTTGACCAACGGTTCTCTTCACAGGCCCACGGCTTTTGGCGAACAAGTCAACCAACTTATCATCCTTTTTGGATTTCCCAAATAAATCACCAATAGCAGCCATTATATCTATTAATCAATAAAGCCTCAATACTATCGTAGAAGCTCATCTCATCTCAATATGAAAAGGTTCCTATAAAAAAAAATTATCTTCTCTCGGAGCTCCATAACCATTTCCTAATTGAGGTGCCTGTGGTTACCCTTTGTAGGGCCTTTTATCTGTGTGCAAATAAACAAAATTTAACTACAATTCGAGCTTCTAGTTGACATTGTAACCCTTTGAAACCGTCCTGGAAGTTGTTCACCAAGTGAGAGTCAGATAATTAGAAACTGGTACATCTATAGCCATCCAAACCTCCCAACTCTACACCCATCACAAGAACCAGCAACAAGTTGTGAGTATTTATCCCCGTCATGATCTTTATGGGAGATGATTATACTAACACAAGTTAGAATTACACAACAACCAACCGAATCAAACGTGTTTGTTCAAGACAATAGCATAATAGCACAGATATTGCTTAAGTGGCACAGTTTCGAAGCGTTATTATGACCGATATCGAGACCATTCCTGAAAGTAAGTATTTTGTTTTGAAGTTTTTTCTTTTAATGAACAACAGAAAATAGTTGTCAAGGAAAGTTTTAAGTGTTGAGTTGTATACTAACAGAAATTTAAATAGAAAGACATATATATAGTGAACCTGGAGAAACATCACCATTATCAGACCTTCCTACTTCACCTGGAATTTACAAACAAATGACAACTGATCAAACTCCAACAAGCACAAACAACAATACTACAAACGAACCAGCCAGTAAAGCAACAAGTACGAAACCAACAGAAGGTAGAAGCAAAAGCATTGCTTCTGACGAAAGTTCTGATTTGAGTGATTTAGATTCAGAAGCTGAAACTGAAAGAATGTATGATGGTGCTGAGTCGCAGTTAGAGAAGATTGCCAAACGTGAGGATCAAGATTCAACTTTACTTCAAGAAGATGAAGAAGAAGCGGATAACACAGTTGTCAAGGGAGATTACATTGATCAATTAGATGAAGATAAAGATATTGAGATTGAAATTGAGGCAAATGAAGAGTTTGGTAAAGTTGTTGAGCAGTTGAAGACTAGTGAAGAACCAGAGCCAAAAGCTGAGAGTGAACCAGTTAAAGAGAATGGTACCGTTGATGAAGATGTCAAAAAACGTAAGCTAAGTGAATCATTGTTGGAGCCAATCAAAAGAAGAAAAACAGCGGATGAAGAAAAAGAGGATACACAAGAAGAACAAGTTGATGAAGTAACTAAGGATGAAGATGTCAAAGATGACAATGGTGATGAGGCAAATCATGAAGATGAAGAACCACAACCGGAGCAGGAATCTCAAGTTGGTGTTAAAAAATCTGAAGCTGAAGATGAAAATGTCAACGAAGCTGAAGATGAAGATGTTGGAGAAGAGGAAGATGAAGAAGAGGAAGAAGAAGAGGAGCTTACAGAGGAGCAAAAAGTTGAAAAGCAAAAGGAACTAGAGGTTGAATTGGAGAAACAGAAACAAAGGAAAGAGGCAATACAGTTTTTAACAGAGATTGAGGTTGATTTTGCTAAATTAAGAGATAGATTATACGAAGATAAAATGTCCAGATTTAAGTCAGAATTAGAAATGTGTCTGAATGGTTCCCATCCCGAATTACAAAATGTTTACACCAAGATTGATTCACATAGAGAAGAAAAGGTAAGGCTTGCCTCATTAAGTCAAAAATATAAATTTGAATGCATAGATAGAAAGACAAGAGCACAAAGGACAGCTATACATCAACAATATTTCAAGAGAGTATCAGATTTCAAATCAGGTTATTTGAAAGAACTCACGGAAAAATGGTACAAGGTTAACAAAGAAAGAAGATTAATGGACTCATTGGTACCTGAATATTCATACAAAGTGCCAGAATATACAGATGAGTTAGTTACACAAAGAGCACAAGTTAATGAAGAGATTAGTGTGTTGGTTGGACTGAAAGAGTATTATGGTTTCCCAAGAGCACCTGAATTGGCTCCAATTGAAGGTGAAGAACTTGATAATGATCTGAAAGCTATGAATATTCAGTAATGTAATGTAATAAAGATAAAAATAATATTTGATGAATAATTTTGTAGTTGACTACGGTTTCATTGAGTTCTAGTTTTTTTTCATTATTTTCCTTTTTATTTTAAATACACAAACATGATCCCACAAAAACTAATAATCAGAAATCTATTTCAATGGAATGAAACGGTTTGAGCCAACACCGGCACGACCGTGACGAACTGGAGTATAAGTGATTGAGAATTCACCTAAGTAGTGACCAACCATTTCTGGTTTGATTTCAACTTGGTTGAAAACTTTACCATTGTAGACACCAACAACTGAACCAATCATTTCTGGGACAATGATCATGTTACGTAAATGAGTTTTAACAACAGCTGGTTTTTCATTTGGTTCAGTAGCTAATTTAGCAGCTCTTAATTTTTTGATTAAACCATATGGTTTGTTGTTTAAACCTCTTTGGAATCTTCTTCTAACTCTAGCATGGGCTAATTTAGCAAATTCTTCAGTTGGTAATTCTAATAAATCTTTTAAATCAACACCTCTGTATGAGAATGCTTTGAATGTTCTCTTTCTACGTGAGTCAGTAGCAGCTAAAAAAATTGTTAGTATATCCATATTTCGTCAGATTCTTGAAGGGTGAATAGTTTATTCCTTGAACATGTATGGGTTCTTTGAATTAATTATGAATTGATATATAATCCTTATGACTGTGATTTATCCTTTTGATTCTTATTCATTTAATGATTGATGTTTGAATCCTTCCTTTATCTAATATTGAAATTCCATCTCTCTCAACGACATTTAATACAACTTTGATTCCTCTTTTGCTCTTCATATATGTTTCCAGTAATAACAATATTCATTTCCTCTTCATTCTATGATTCCTCACATACCGTCAGACATATTGGCTATAACTTTCTTGGTGATGTTCTTTCAATAGTTGTTGTTGGTGTTTCTCAACTTCTTTTCACATTTTTTCATAACCAAACTGGACTCCCAGCGAACGCAAAAGCGAAAGAAACGTACCTCCAAACACCACGTTTATGGCATTTTGGTAAGCGCAGACAGTTTTTGTGACTGTTGAAATTTTCAGTTTTCAGCGCTTGTTTGTGTGACGCTCAAGCATTTTGGCGTAGACACCTGGACACCACTTCCCTTGGGAACCAGGTTTGGTGAAAAATATGAGTGTTGAACTCGTTGAAGACGTGCTAGTTGAAGGTGAAGAAGGATTACAACCAAGTAAAGAAAAAGTGAGTGAAGGATCACAGAAGGAATGGGAGATTGCACATATATGTGAATTATTGTCAAGAGAGTTATTCCAGGAGAAAATCCCAAATTACCAAATTGAAGACCCATGTTGTCAGAAAGTGATGAAAAGTGCTTATTGATCAAAGTATTCAACGAATTTTATTTGAAAATGGATAAGATATATCACAATATGAATGATTTATTGGAAACGAGAATTGCTATGCTCTAGAGTGTTCAAATTTATCAAAATTTCAAGTTCTTGACATATATTCCACATATCACCAATCTCCCACGAAATCTACAAAAGATTCAAAGTACTAACAATATCTAGTGTCTAAATACTTAGCTGCTTACTTATTATTGAACGCTGCTGGTTCAACCCCATCTGCTGATGGTGTCAAATCCGTCTTAGAATCAGTCGGTATTGAAGTTGAAGAAGAAAGAATCTCTCAATTATTCGAAGCCGTTGAAGGTAAATCAGTTGAAGAATTAATCGCTGAAGGTAACGAAAAATTAGCTACTGTCCCAACTGGTGGTTCAGGTGCTGCTGCTGCTCCAGGTGCCGCCGCTGCTGATGCTCCAGAAGCTGCTGCTGAAGAAGCTGAAGAAGAAAAAGAAGAATCTGATGATGATATGGGTTTCGGTTTGTTCGATTAGATCGTGGTTTAGCATAAAATTTAATCTAATGTACCTTTATAAGTAATCAATGTTGATGTAGAGAAAGGGTTGAAATGGTGATAGAAGAGAATTATGAAAATATTGATCGTTGATTAACAGAATACCCAGAAAGTCTTATGTCCTTTAGAAAATGTGTCAAAAATACAGTATTTAATACTGATTTGCTTCGTTATTTGTACTCTGGAGCCTTATTCTAGTGAAATAACAATTAATCCATGATTCACCAGGCCTGATATTGCAATGACAATATGGCAATAATCTTTGCAATGTTAAGACTGTTAATTAGATCCTATCAGCATTTCGCAAGAGCTTAGGATCATATAAAGTCAAAACAGCTTCAAAATGATAAATATCTCCAGATCTATTGATGTCAGTCACTTCACCTCAAACTTCACCTGTACGATCACCTCCAGCACCGTCATCAACCAAAGACCATTTCCACTTGTGGACTCTGGTCCGAACCGATAACAGAGCTCTCCGTATCTAGGAATGGCACGGTGCTAAAAAAAAGATGAGCTCAAATGCTATTAAAAGCCACACTTTTAATCAGATTCTACAGATTTATTGATGGTGATAACCTTCAGTTCAGCCCTCTATCTTTCCTAAATTTGCACTGGAATTGAAATGGTCTCGTTTAACTGTTGCAATTCGTCTTCTTTTTCTCAAAATGCCATCAGATAAATGAAAAATGCGCCAAAGTAGATATTCCTGGTAGGCGCACTCGACACATAGGAAATAACGACATTTGTCGTGAAAGTGGTTATCCCTAGAGCGAGATTAGAAATCCTGAAAGGTAAATAAAAATATTCATTCTTATAAAAACTATCTCATGTACCAAAACCCTTGATCTCTTCTCGATATCATAGAACACCCATACATCCACAATGTCCTCATACAATTTCTCAACAAGAGCTGTCCACGTTGGTAGCTCTCCAGATCCAACAACTGGTGCTGTTATCCCAGCCATCTCTTTAAGTACAACTTTTGCTCAAACCGCCCCAGGTAAACCAATTGGTGAATTCGAATACTCAAGATCATCAAACCCAAACAGAGCCAACTTGGAACAAGTCTTAGCTTCTTTAGAAAATGGTAAATATGGTTTAGCCTTCAGTTCAGGTTCCGCTGTTACTGCAACCATTTTACAAAGTTTACCAATTGGTTCTCATGCTATCTCTGTTGGTGATGTTTACGGTGGTACTCACAGATATTTCACAAAAGTTGCAAACACTCATGGTATAACTACTGAATTTGCTCATGACATCGTTAATGATTTACCAAACTTAATCAAAAAAGATACCAAATTAGTTTGGATTGAATCACCATCAAACCCAACTTTATCAATCACTGATATTGCCAAAGTTAAAGAAGTTATTTCAAAATCTTCAAACCCAGATATCGTCTTGGTTGTTGATAACACTTTCTTATCTCCATACATTTCAAACCCATTGAATTTCGGTGCTGATATTGTTGTTCATTCAGCTACCAAATTCATCAATGGTCATTCAGATGTTGTCTTGGGTGTTGCAGTTACAAACAGTGAAGATATCTATCAAAAATTAACCTTTTTACAAAATGCCTTAGGTGCTATTCCATCTCCATTTGATTCATGGTTAGCTCATAGAGGTGTTAAAACTTTAGCTTTAAGAGTTAAACAAGCCGCCACATCTGCTCAAAAAATTGCAGAATTCTTATCAACTTCTCCAAATGTTGTTGCTGTTAACTATCCAGGTTTACCAACCCATAAAGGTTATGAAATTGTTCAAAAACAACATCGTGATTCTTTAGGTGGTGGTGTTATCTCATTCAGAGTTAAAGGTGGTCAAGATGCTGCTTCAAAATTCACTCAAAACACTAAATTATTCACTTTAGCTGAAAGTTTGGGTGGTATTGAATCCTTATTAGAAGTTCCAGCTATTATGACCCATGGTGGTATTCCAGTTGCTGAAAGAGAAAAATCTGGTGTTTTCGATGATTTGGTTAGATTAAGTGTTGGTATTGAAGATACTGAAGATTTGATCCAAGATATTAAACAAGCTTTAGAAGCTTCCACTTAATTGAAGAAATGATTGGAATGATTGTCTGATTAATTCATAAAAATATTTAATAGAGTATCATTAATTAATAAAGAAATGAAGTTGTTTTATGTTCTTTCTCTTTGGTAGTTTTGTATCTTGACAATACTAGTTTACCTGAAATGTTCCCTAAATACTGAGCTTTCTAATTCTTTCAATATCATAGTTGATCGTTTAAGTAAATCACGATCGTTTCTTTAATGGTCAGCAGTGCCATTAACTACACTAGCTGGTAGATAATGGTATACAAGTCAACAGAAAATTTCAACTACATAGTCAACAACATCAGTTTATTAAACATGCAGGCATTGATGCAGATTCTACATTAATATCGACCCAACGACATGAAAATGATTAAAGTTTAGAACAGCAGTTCTAGCTGATAAATCAATATAGTTACATACGTCGTAGCTACTAATGTGCTTATTATACATTTGAGTATAGCAAACTCATGATGTTTAATAGTTGTGGTTAAATAAATTGATTCAATATTATGTTGATACTTATTTTGGCTTCATGATCGGCCGTCAATATTCACAATATTTAATATCGACTCTAGCTATAATAAGCTCATCAAGTATATAATTAATATGGCGGGCGTATAATAATTTTATGGCCTGAAATTATCGAATTGATGATCTATTTGATTAATTTACCTTTAAAACACGCAACATACTAGCTATTTTAAATTTTGTATAATTTATTCAATTTTGGACATTTTAGAATTTACATGATCTTGAAAATTTAATTTGAACTTCAAAATTTCATAAACCTTCAAAATATTGAAATGATATTCGATCCAAAAATTACGAAATTTGGCTCAAAGCTTATATTTTTGAAATCCTTATTTTCTTAGAAAAATAAAAGATAAAAAAAATCAATATTTTTCAATACAATTTTATTCAATTAATTATTAAAACAGTTTTGATAAACTGGGAATTCAAACTCCGTTTATATCCGGAAAGCTTTCAAACATCGGAGATAACAGCTGTTGAAGAATTAATTCCGAAAGCTGTTGATGTAATTTTTAGATCCTTGATTGAAAACTTCAGAGATTTATGACATTCTATAAGAAAAATAACTTAAAACTATACACTTTAATGGATAATTCAAGGTCTAATTAGTTGCCTAAGCCCATACAAACATTGACCAATCGGATTCCTTATCCAGTTGCCTAGCCACATTCATGATTTGTAAACTCAAGCCACAGATTGGCTGTGAAGATGTCACGTGAAATATTGTCAAAGAGATCAATCTTCGAGTTATCACTAAATAATCAACTTTTCAAATAAATGCTTTCAATTAACCAACGAAACTACAATTTACTTGTTACTTTGAATAATAGAGCAAAGTATTGTTGAAAAAGATGGCTACTAATATCACATGGCATCCAAATTTAACCTACGATGAACGTAAGGAATTAACTAAACAATCCGGTGTCACAATCTGGTTGACAGGTTTAAGTGCTTCTGGTAAATCGTGAGTCTTACTATTGATTGCCTTTTTCAAATTTTATTTCTAACAAATTTCAGAACAATTGCTTGTGCTTTAGAACAATATTTATTACAACATGGTGTTTCTGCTTATAGATTAGATGGTGATAATATTCGTTTCGGTTTAAACAAAGATCTTGGATTTAGTGAAGCTGATCGTAATGAAAATATTCGTCGTATTTCTGAAGTTTCAAAATTATTTGCTGATTCAACAACTGTTGCTATAACATCTTTCATTTCTCCTTATAAAGTTGATAGAAACAATGCAAGAAAATTACATGATGATAGTGGTTTACCATTTGTTGAAGTTTTCGTTGATGTTCCATTAGAAGTTGCTGAAGAAAGAGATCCAAAAGGTTTATACAAAAAAGCTAGACAAGGTATTATTAAAGATTTCACTGGTATATCAGCTCCTTATGAAGCTCCAGAAGCTCCAGAAATTCATTTACACACAGAGAAAACTTCTGTTGAAGAATCTGCAAAGATTATTGTTGATTACCTTGTATCTAAAAACTACATTTCTATTGATTAGATATTCCTAGAACAAAAGAACACAATAACAAAAATTAATACACAAAATTAATGACGTGGAACTCAATCAACGTTTCTTTAGACTATTCAATCTTGCTTGTAAATCATCATCTTCACCATCGCCCTCACCATTAGCACCTACAGCTTGAGGGACACGCTCCCTTTCAGCAACACCAGTATCCAAACCTTGAGGAGTGTCCTTCATTTGTGAATTCAAATCAACACCAATTTCATCCAAAACTTTATTGACAATTTCATCAGCTTCTTCATCATCTTCGTATTCATCACCAATTGCATCATCTATAGCATCATCCATCATTTCTTGTCTTTGATCCATTATATCATTTTCTTTCTCAAAATCCATGGCTATTTTTTGCAACTGTGGTAAATTCATTGAACGGTTCATTGATCCTAATAATCTTGTTGCATCTTTCATTGATTGGGTCATTTGATCACTACTTCTAACAGCCTGTTCAAATATTAGTATATCAGAACTATAAAAAACTAAATGTTGATACATACTTGAATTCTCAATGATATAGCTTGTAATGAGGTCTTCATGCTGTTAAATTTTTCAATGTATCTTCGATAGGTGTTAGTAACTGATATTGCCTTTTGAAATAGATGAAACATACCTTTTAGTTCTCACAAGATCTTTAGCTTGTATTTTACAAGCACCCATTTGACCATTTTTTGCAGATTTCTTTATCTCTGCAATCAACTTCTTTTGTTGCTGCTCTAGTTTATTCTTTTCTCTTTCTAATTCTCTTTGTGTCTTTTCTAAAGCTCTTTGGTTCTATATCTGTTAGTTCATTGAATCTAATAAAATGCAGACAACGGAAAACACAACAGCGTCAACGTACTTTTCTTAGCCTTTCTTGAGGCGTAAGCTTCTTCCCAAATGCCCACTCAAACAGCTGCATCTTTTGCCACCTGGTGTCACTTTCAATAATGTCTTTATACTTTTGAACTTCTTTATCAAAAGGGTCAATTCGCAAAATCAAATACATGGTCGGATATGAGTGGTCGCGAAACTATTCGCGAAGAAAAACGTGACTTATAACCCTCGAATATGATACCAAGGGTTTCGCGAATTGACAATAGGGAAAAAAACCACTTGTAAAACATGGCTTTGATCAATTTAAAGAGCTCTTTTAGTAATTCAAGAACCAAACTAGCTATTTAATCTACTGCAAAAGTGATGTCCACACAACTGTCGAACCTCAGGCTTATAGAATCATATTTGGATGATTTGAGGTCCTTGATAGAGGAATCCGATAGAATACAATCGCTAGGTGTGTCATCTGAAGATAATGATTATGATCTAAGGAAGTTGTTATCAAAGATTACAAAGTTTTTGGAAAGAAATGATGATGGGTGAGTAAAATGAGGGCTGGCACTATATGATTCGCGACTAACGTTGTTACAGTGATGATTATGACGAATTAGTTGAACAATATCAAGAGTTGTTGAATGAGGTGAAGACAATTGACACAAAGGATTATGAATATGTTAGAAATATGTAAGTTATTGATTTTTAAAGAGCATTGGTACCATTGTACTAACCTGATAGTCATATCAAACCTCTAAATAATAAGAAATCAGTAAGGTTCAATGATAAAGTGGAGGAGGCATCACCTAAAAAGTTCAAACCATATAAAGACCAAGTACTTGATCCACCAGCACAATCTGATACTGATCAACTATTTGATGGTAGAGAATTAGACGATGATCAGGAGGATGACACTGATTCTGTGAATAGCTCATCCAATCAAGAAATGTTTATTCAACATCAACAAGAGTTGGTGCAACAAGATGAACATTTGGATACTTTGGCACAAAGTGTTAGAAGACAAAGAGCATTAGGGTTGGATATAAATCAAGAATTAGATGATCAAAATATTTTACTAGATGATTTAGAGGCTCAGTTAGACCATAATGATCGGAATTTATCAAGTGGTCAGAAAAGATTGAAATATTTCAGTGAAAAGGCAAAGGAAAATGGTCAATGGATAACCATTATTATATTAGTTATTATTTTAGTGCTACTTTTGATAATATTGAAATGATGGTAAATATGTTACTGGAATGTTTAAATTAAAGAATTAGATAACTATAATAATGATTGTTGATGAAAAATGCAAAACTCTTTTTTTTTTGTAATATTAATGCTTAAACTCTTTTTGGTATATATATATTATGATGAATTCTAGAAGCAGTATGAAATAAATAATGATGATGTATGATGATGATAAAAAAACACTGAACTTAAAAAATAATACTATGATAAAAACACACGACAACTAAATCAAATGGAAATGACTTGAAAAAAAAGGCATAAAACCGTAAAAAACACATGAACGAAATTTCTTTAACCTTCGAATAACCCCTATAAAAATTTCTTTCTTTTGAACTCTCATAAACCATTAATAAAAACACAAATATTTGAAATAAGAAATCTCTTTTCTTCTTCTTGAAATGAATTAGAACTACCAATGACGTGTAGTTGATGATGAATTTTGATACATTGGTGAAATGTTTGACAAATCTAATCTTCTAGCATTAGACATATTTTGTGGTGAATTGAAAATTTGGTTATGGTTAATAACACGCTGAGGTTGTTGTTGTTGTGGTGAACCGATAACTTGAGCTGGTGACATATACCCCATTCTATGAACTTGTTGTTGGTTAAATTGAACTGGTTTTGTAGGTGTGTTGTATGGAGAAATTGGAGAACCATTCATAACCATTCTAGAATTAATAGCAGATTGTTGATTAGCTTGTTGTGGTTGGGATCTGATTCTTGTGGTTTCAATAGGATTTGGGTAAAACTCCAAGTCGTCTTCGAAGTCAAACAGCTTCTTTGAACTGATTTTTGCTCTGGCAAACTGTGCCTCTGTAGTGATTGGCTGGACTTTGACTGAACGCCCTTGACCAAAAGAGCCTTCTTGTCCTTGAAACTGTTGCTGCTGTTGATGTTGTTGAATGTTGTGCAACTGGCTCACACTCAGCGGTTGGGTCTGTCTTGTGACTTGGCTACGACCAGTGCCCTTTTGGAGCTTGTTGCTGTTCACCTGGAGCAACCCATTAGTATGGCCGCCAAAGCCGTTGACTCTGTTGAACTGCGACTGCTGATTCATTCTGGTGCCAATCCAAGTCAAAATGTTGTTGTTTACTTTGGTAAAAGCTTTTTTTGAACCTTCTCTCAGATCAAAACATTTTTCAAACGAAGATGAGCTACACACAAAAAATTTTTGAAGATCATCAGAAACTTTTTGGAAACGGACACGACTCTGTTTTTTTTTAATTTTTATTTGTATATGGATATGGATCTTAACATTTGAATAAAGTCAAGCTCAGCATTTGCGGTTCATCAGCAGGATGTGGAGGTCTATACGACAAGCGAGTACTCTGAGACTCAAGCCCAAGAAGTCATTGAACCTGTCGAAAAAGGTAGATGTCAATCCAACAACCCCTGCTAGAACTAGATTCGCACCATCTCCAACTGGATTCCTACATATGGGATCTTTGAGAACAGCTCTATACAACTATTTACTAGCTAAACACACTGGTGGGCAATTCTTGGTGAGGCTAGAAGATACTGATCAAAAGAGATTGGTGGAAGGTGCTGAACAAAACATCTATGATTCATTAAAGTGGTGTGGATTACAATGGGATGAAGGACCATTAGTTGGCGGTGATTATGGGCCATATAGACAAAGCGAAAGATCAGAGATATATAAACAGTACTCAGACAAACTGCTGGAATCTGGAGGTGCTTACCGCTGCTTCTGTCCCAAAGAGAGATTGGATTCATTGAGAGAATCTGCAATGAAGTTACAACCACCAACTACAGTTACATATGATCGAGCATGTTCTCATATCCCATTAGAACAATCAAAAGAAAGAGCTGCAAAAGGTGAAACTTTTACAATCAGATTCAAATCTCCTACAAAATACCCTAAATTTGATGATCTACTTCATGGTACTCTAGACCTTCAACCTCAAGTTAATGCAGATGATGTTAGATATGATGATATCGTCTTGGTGAAATCTGATGGATTACCAACTTATCATTTTGCCAATGTTATTGATGATCACTTGATGAAAATAACACACGTAATCAGAGGTGAAGAATGGCTAGCATCAACTCCAAAACATGTTGCCCTGTATGATGCTTTTGGTTGGGAAGCTCCTAAATTTGTACACATTCCATTATTAACAAGTACAAAAGATAAGAAACTTAGTAAAAGATCTGGTGATATTGATGTTATGAATTTTAAAAAGAGAGGGTTTCTACCTGAGGCTTTAGTGAACTTTGTTGCACTCTTTGGTTGGTCACCTCCTAGACACGCTGGTGTGAGTATTGCTGAGACTTTTGAGTTGAAAGAATTAGAAAAGTTATTCACTTTAAGTGATTTGACTAAGGGTAATGCTAAAGTTGATGACAAAAAATTGTTATTTTTCAATAAACATCATTTGCTAAAGAGAATAGATGAGCATTTGGACCATGTTGTCAATGAAGGATACGATTTGTTATCTCCAGCTTACCCAGATATAACTAAGGATACTGTTAAAAAACTGATTAATGAAGTTAAACATAACTTTACTACATTGAATGATATACAAAATTATGATTATTTACTAGCTGGTGTTGATTTTGAGAATGAAAATGCTAAAAGATTTTTGGAAAATACCAACAGAGAAGAATCAATCAACATTTTGAAAACAGTGGAGGATGTCACATCAGTCCAAGATCTGGATGCAAAAGTTGATCAATTAACATCTGAAGGCCTCAAAAAGAGACAAGTATTTGAAACAATAAGATTCGCATTAAGTGGAAGTATTTCAGGTTTAAAAATCCCACTTTTGATTAACTTCATTGGACTAGAAAATGCCAAACAAAGAATTAGAGATGCTATAGAGAAACTTTCAAATTGAAAGAATTGCCTACGATTTCCTTTTAATGACCAAAAAAACAAAACAAACAAATTGTAAATAGAAACACTTATACACACACAAACAAGAACATAAATCAAGTATAAATAGAAGTAGCACCTAATGACAAATATTCAGCCTTTTCTGTTGGATTTGGTGTCCAAGGACCAGCCATAATACAATGAACACGCATGTTTTGTGAATAAAACAAATTAGTCAACAATTTTGGTGTGATCAAGAAATATTGGGAAGTATGTTCTTGACATGCAACTTGAACCATATGTTTATGAACAACTCTTTCATTTCTTGCATCCATACCTTGATTGATTTCATCAACAACTCTGAATGGAGATGTAGTCAATTCTTGCATACTAATCATATAAAACACAGTGGAAACAGCTCTTTCACCACCTGATTGAGAATGACTATCAAGAACTTTTAATTCACCTTCATCACGGAATTTAACTTTGATTTCTAATCTCCAATCGGAATATTTTTCAGCTCTAGCAACTTTAACTTCACCAGCAACACCAACTGATGGGAAAATACTTGAAAATTTGGTAGAAATCTTGTGAACCATATCGAGTAATTTTGGTTCCCACTCATTATGAATATCTTTAAGACTGAAAGATTGTTGTTTGATTCTTAATTCCAATTCTGGAATTTCTTGATCCAATGTTTCAAGTTGTTCATTGATTCTTTCTAATGTATTAACAGAAGATTTTGAACCAGTACCCAACAAAGTCAATTCAGATTCTAAACCTTCAAGCATGTCTCTTATTCTAACTTCTGTGAATCTTTCCAGTTCAGTGTACTTCACAATCAAGTTGTTCAATCTTTCTTTTTCATCACCTGTATATCTCATGGTTTGTTCCAATAATCTCTTTCTTTCAGAACTTTGTTTATATTCTTGATATCTCTTCTTTGCCTCTTGATATTGTTTTTCTAACTCTTTCTTTTCTTGAGCAATACTTTCAATTAATTTCTTAATTGAAACCTTCTTGTTCTCTTGATCAAACTTCTTAACTTCTAATACTGCAATAGCTTGAGAAATTTTGGTTGATTTGATTTGAACCTTTGAAATGTTTCCCAAAATTTTAATTCTTTCTTCTGCAACTAATCTCAATTTCTTTTGTTGTATTGCAAGTTCAGCAGAATAATCTTTATTAGCTTCTTGTTCCAATTTCTTCACTTTGTCCTCCAAGGAATTTATTCTAACTTCCAATCTATCATACTCTTTCTTTGCAAGTGCTGCATCCTTGATTCTTTTTTCAACTTCTGCTCTTTCTTCCTTTACTGGTCTTCTTTCTTCATCCACTTGATAAAGGTCTTCTTTGATTTGAGCCCTACGTGCAACAAGAGCTTCAATATTTGCTTCTGATTGTTTAATCTTTTCATTCAATTGACGTTTTCTTTCATCTGTCATACCACCAGCAGAAAAGTAATTTGGTCTCATATTAACTTGTGAAATTCTTGCAGTAACTTGATTTGAACCATATCTTGATCTCGACAAATTGTACATTGAATCACCACTAATGAATTTTCTGAATAAAAGTTGACCATTTTGTTGTGGTCTTTGTAAACGTTGGATCTGTTGCTCCGATAACTCTCTAGTAGCAACAGGAACATCATGAATAAAAGCTGTTTCTGCCAACATTTGAACAACAGCTTTTGGACCGGTGACAAAATCACGTAGATAACCATCGAACCCTAACTCATTCAATTGTTCTCTTGATAAACTAGGATTCAACTGTCTGTTTGCCAAATATCTAAAAGGCACACTATTCTTGTGTTTTTGGAAAATTTCTTTTGAAACATCATTATAAGCATCTTTGGAAACAGCTGTCAAAGCAAAAGTTGTTTGTATATCAACAAGTTCTTCAAGGTAGGCAGCATATTCAGGTTTAGTGGCTGATAAAGTAACACAAGGAGGTTCGAAAACTTTCCCTTTATATTGATGGAAGTCTGGAGAACGTAGTAATCCCACAGCTTTTTTAGCTTCAGATGCTAGCCTGTTAGATACAATATAACCATGACCACCAGAATCCAAAACATGTATACGATCATCAGATTTGAACTGGTGTCTTGTTTTTTGAATCACATCATTATGGAATGCTTCATCTTTCTTGAATCTTTGATATTCACTATAAATGTTGTTATATTTGGTATCTAGTTCATCATCATACACAAACAATTCTGAACTTTTGGATTTATAGCTATTAAGAGTATCTTCATCAAGGAGTTGAATAAGTTCTCGATCTTCTTTCAACTTTTCTAATTGTGCTAAACCTTTTTCATGATCTTTTTTCTTCATTTCAGCCTTAGTTTTATTTGAATTTATTAAACTCAACAATTTTTGGTGTTTTTGCTCAATATCAGAAAGTTTCCCTTTATAAGTTTTAACTTCTTCTTTAACCCGTTGTTGTTCAGTCTTTTTATCATGGACTTGATTCATGGATGCTTGGATGTCACCATCGAAAGAAGCAGCAGCCTCCTCATAAGGTCTTGTAAGCTCTTGAAATTCTTCTAATCTTTTCTTAAGTTGATCACGCTTCTCTTTCACCTCTTGTTGTTTGACTTTAAGATCTTGAATCTTAGCGTATGGTAACAATCTTTCATGGTCTTCAAACTCTTCCTTCTTCTTCTGAAAAGCTTCATATTTACGGGCTTCATCTTCAAAACGTTTTCTTTCTTCAGACAACTTTTCATGGTCAGCTATCTTGGTTTTTAACGTATCATCAAGTTCGAACTTCTCTTCATCTAATTTGATCAATTGTTGATGTTGTTCTAATAATCCAACTTCAATGGCTCTTTCAGTTTCTTGTAACAAATCTTCAGGACTCAATTTAGCAAAATCTGCAACTTTTTCTTGTGGTAAGAATTGACACAAGTTATCTAATTGGATGTTCATGTCTCTCAAGCGACCCTTGATCTTTTGTTCAGAAACTGGTTTACCGCTTAAATACCAATCAGATTTATTAGTTGGATAAAAGTCTCTTTGGATGACGATTTCAGGTTTTCCAGGTTCATTTTTCAAGGTGATTTCAATAGTTGCGCTATTTTCACCGTTTTTAATGAATTGATTCAAAGCTTTTTGTCTCCCTAATAACAATGGTGAACCACCCAAACCAAGGCACACAGCACAAACAAAAGTACTTTTACCAGTACCATTTGGACCAATGATCATGTTTAATGATGGAGACAACGTAAATTCAGTCAAAGCATAAGTAACGAAATTTTTGACTTTTACTTTAATAATAGCACCAGGGGCAAACTTTTCCAAATCTATAATACTGTGTTAGCTTTATTCAATTTAATGGGTAGAGCGAAAATTTCACTTACCAGTAGCATGGATAGTTCTTCTCTTTTTGGAGCCAGTGGCACCAAAATCATTGAGGTTAACCTCACGCTTAAGAGACATCCCTGAGGTGCTTGTAGGCGCTTCCAATGAATCAAACTGAAGTTGTTGATATTGAGACGCGTTTTTTTATTTATTTCCAGTTTTTTTTTTTCTAGTTTTCGCGCCTGGCGCGATTCAAAGCTCGATTGTTTGGTGAAGAGAACAGGACTTGTGTTAATTGAATATTTATACAGCATGATAAAACGAATTAAAGAATCAACAGAGATCAAATGACTAGAGATCTTTAAATATCCAATTTCCAAAAGATCATGTTCAAAATTGGTGAATAAATTAGTAAATTTATCAGCTCCGAGGCCAGATCACGTGATACAAGGTCGAAAAGGATTTTTCACGCTTTGAACAACAACTTTAACAAACTTATTACTGATTCCAATCAAGATTCAGTCAATTTTAGCCCATCAAGATGCCTCCAAAGGGAAGAAGACGTGGTGCTGGAAGATCCAGATCCAAAAATGAAAATGCTTCTGATATCGAAGAAGAATTGCCCCCACCCCCACCACCAAGGCCATTCAAAGAAGTTGAAGGGCTTCCACTATCAATTGAAGAGCCATCCTATAATATCTTAAACAACGCCTTGTCATTAAAAGATAGTGCTGTTTTATACTCGTCATTGATGAGATCAAGAAAATCATACACAAATGGCAATATTTTTGACCTGTATTGGGCTAAAGGTAAAACTAAATTTGATAATGATGTAAATGCAAGAGATAGAATGAACAAGTTTTGTGACTGTGCTATGACCTTAGGTCCTCATAACTTTGATGTTAGGTTTTTCATTTTGAAAGATGAAGATGTTGAAAAGAAAAGACAGGATGAGAAGGAGAAAAAGAAGGAGAAGCGTTTGGCTGCTAAGAAGATGAGAGAAGAGAAACAAAAGATTAGAGAATTGAAAAATAAAGCTAAACAAGAAGGACTAGATCCAAGCACTGTTGTTCCTCCAACCCAAGTGTCAGTAGATCAACAAACAGAACAGACAGAGCCAGCTTCAACTGCCCAAAATACTGAGGCCAAGGAAGACGAAGAGGAAGACGAAGAGGATGAAGAATCTGATGAAAACGATAGTGATAAAGAAAATGAAAGTCGAGAGACTTCAGCTCAACCAGCTTCAAAGGATAACACTGAACCACCTTCAGAAACTCAATCGAAACCTGAAGTACCAACCGAACAACCGTCCCAAGATGCTACTCCTAGTCAAGAAGCCAGTGGCTCAACTACTACACCTCAACCCCCAAAGGAACAAACCCCAAGCACGTCAACACCACAGACAGAAATACAGAACCGTCCTTTGCCTCCTCTTCAAGTACAAAATCATCAAACTCAAACTGCTTCACCTCAACCTCAAGCTCCATCAGCAAGTAATGCTTCACCAACTCAGAACCCACCACCTCAACAACCAAATCAATCAGCTCCACCACCTATTCAACCACCACAACCTCCTCCACAAAATGATATGATGCAAACACCAGAAAGCCAAATGATGATTGCGAACTTGAATGTTATCGCAAGAGCTGAACCTGCTTTGAATACATTGATGAAAATAGTGGCTACAGGTAATGCTAAACCAGAACAAATTAGAGAATTTCAAGGATATATACAGAGAGCAAAAGCAATGGGTCCAACCTCTTATTACAGACAACCACCTTTCATTTCAAATCCTCAACCTGTTTCACAACCCACACCACCTGCTCCTAAACCATTAAAGAAACCAAAAGCTCCAAAGAAACCAAAGCCACCAAAGGAGAAACAATTAACAACTTTCCAAGAGATGTATGTGGATGGTGCTGATTTGGTGTTTGAATTCAGCGAAAATGCCAATATTCGTTATCATTTACCTAAAGATAGTATAATTGAAAGATTAGAGAATGGCGATATTTTGGTTTCATTTTTGGTGATTCATAATAGGGATCAAATAAAAAGATGGAAAAATAGACAAGAAGCCAAAAAGGCAAAGAAGGAGAAGAAAGATCAAGAGGAAGAAGATGTCGAGAGTGAAGAAGCCAAGTTAGAGGAAGTTAAGGAAGAACCAAAGGAAGAAAAGGTTGAGAAGAGAACAAGAAGAACTAGAAAAAGTAGTGAAAAAGAAGCTGAAGAAAAGGAAATTGAAGAAAAAGAACTAGCAATAAAGGAGGAAAAAGAGAAGAAACTAAAAGAAAAGGAGCAAAAGGAACAGAAGGAAAAAGAAGCCAAGGAACTCTTGGAAGATCAAGAGCCAATAACGTACTTTAGTGCCATGTCCTTCACGCTAACCAACATTTCCAAACGTTTTTTGACTATCTTCTACAATAGTTTTAATGATCCTGATGATGTCAAGTCTAGAATGGAGAAAATCTTAAAAGAGGGAATCAGAGTCCCAAAACATTATTTGTGGTATTCTGTTGATGCTTATGAAGATGAAGATTTAGCAGAATCGTTAAGAGAGGCTTTATATTTGATCGAAAATCCACCAAAGGGTAAGAATAGAAAGAGAGCACTTGAAGAAAACCCTTTAATTGGGAACGCTACAGCTAAAAAAATTAAAAAGGAGACATGATTTGTATTTTTTATTCATGATGCATATTGTACTTGAAGTCCCCATTTTTTCACGTCTGGAACTTGTGAATTGATTTGAATGTCAACACCTGTAGATATCAAGAAATCTTTAAACTTACCTTCCCATTTTAACTTCACATCTCTATCATTCATCGTGGTACCAATTTTTATAACACTTGTAAAGTCCGTTTCTTTAACCAGGCTTTCAAATGCTTCAATGACAGTTTGATCTTGAGATGTATGTTTACTATAAGGTGCTAATTTTGGATCAATACGCCTTAAGGGTAGGACTGGTGAATTATTCCCACTAGTTCTCCATAACTCACACCCAAATCCCAAATCCGAGTCATAAGAATAAATGTTGAAATCATATCTTGAAGAAAATGTAGAGCTTGCACTAGTTCTGACCGAGTACGTTGATGAAAGATGTCCCAATATTGGATTGCATGCTAATGTTATCGTTAATGGTTTCCCGGTATAAGTAGATTGTGTTGAATATCTTAGTGCAGTCGAAAGACCGGGACTCATATTCATAGCACCATACCAAATTTCAGCACCTATTGATAAAGAAGAATTGTTATATAATGCAGTGTTCAATCTTTCAGCACCTTGACGGAAGTTATAAAGACACCTGAATCCCAATAATGCTTCATTTGTGGAGAAAATATATTCTCTTGATAATCTCCCGGTGTCTTTTTGAAAATAAAAAGTCATAGTACCATTGTTTTTGAGTTTTTCATGACTGACACATTTAACCAAAATTTGTGATGATTCAGATATTCTCTTAACAACCATAGCTTCTAAAGCTGACCCAGGGAAGTACATTCGACCATAATATAACGAGTGTGCTCCAAATATAGGTTTGTCCTTCTTGTAATTATATGACTTATACAATGGAGGCCGTATCACTCTGTATCCTTGTATAGCATCCTGAAGACTGATCTCACTCGTACCCAACACATGTTTAAGTGGTGTTAATGTGTATAAGTATGCTATTGAACCATTGATGGCACCGCTGTTTGTCAGCGAGAGCGAGGTTGCAGTGTTTTCTGATGACTTTGAAGAAACGCTGAACTTGAGATCAGATTCTATTGGGAAATCTATCAAGGCTGTTTCATGAATGTTAGTTTATTCTTTCTGTAATTTTGAACTTCACTCACCTTGAGATGTTGCAATGATGTTTTCATAACTGTTGTCCTCATTCCAGCCAGTGGATTTGTAAAACGATTTGAGAATGTAGTCCATATATTCGTACATAGCTCTCTGGAATCCAATTCCTGGTTAATATGAGCTTCACTATGCTCTTCACGATTCAAGTGGTCAACCATCGCTGGTTCATAAATTCGCGAAAGATCTACAACAACGAGATTTTGTTGGCCTCTCCAAATTTCAAAACCAGAATTGGACTTTTTTCGTTCAGAATGTGAAATAATGAGAATTTGAGTGACAAAGGAGTTTCAAGAACAGAATCCTTCAGAGTTTGAGCTATTCAAGAATATTGGTACTTCTGAAAGTATTTTGTGGTATTCGTTTACATTTCAGCTCGCTTATCTTTTGGTGCTCTAGGTCAAATTCGTGGTTAAAGATAGAGGAAAAAATTGAAGAGTGGATGCATCAAATAATGGAGAACCAACAATCAACGAGTAAAAGACTCGAATCACCATCTTTAGATGCCATCTCACTAGACGATACTGAGAAGTCGCCAAAGCGTACACCCAAATCCCCAAATTTCCACTCTAGAAGAGAATCTACACAACAGGAACAATCTCCAAACTCCACCTCCCCGTCACCTCTACTGCTGGCTATGGATCAAATAACACCCTTAACTTCAAGAGATGAAGATTCAGCCATATATTCAGATTCAGATGTTGCCTCTCAGAATAGCACTGTTGTTGCTAGAGGACGAGGCGCTACACAGAAGGACCCAAGAAGTAAATCAAAAGGGAGAGGCTCTAGTCGCAGAAGAAAATCAGATTCAAGTGAAAGAAGCAATAGAAGCGTAAGGTCTTCGAGTATTCACAAGGATAAAATATCGCCAACCACCAAAATCTTTAGAAATTTGCTTATATTGGAGGAAAGTCTACGTCAACAATCACAGGATCAAAGAAGTCTTAGAAGAAAATTCACTGCATTTTTAGCCATATTGACTGGATTAGCTGGTTTTGCATTCTATAGCTTGTATTTTTCAGATATAAACCCATCACAGTTGGTAAAAGTAATGTTGCAGTTTATGTTTTTCTTCATATTGATCACATTGGTGTTGTTCAATCTATCGGGTGAATATCGTCGTACAATTATAATACCCAGAAGATTCTTCACATCAACCAACAAGGGTCTAAGACAGTTGAACTTAAGACTTGTCAAAGTCAAAAGCCCTATTACTGATAGAATTATTGATTGGGCAAGAGCTATCATGATGTCAATTGTGCAATTTGACCAACAAGTTCTTGATCATACTGGATTTTTCAAATCAACAAAAGCTGGGAAATGGGTCAAGAAGAATCTCAGAATATTGGAAATAAGGGCACAACCAAGAGTTGGTGCAACGGATGTCAAATTGGTGTTGAACCCAAGAGCTTTTAATGCTGAAATTAGAGAAGCATGGGAACTATATAGGGATGAATTTTGGGCGAGAGAAGGTTCAAGAAGAAGACATAGTATCTCAGAGGAGCAACATGCTAACAAGGATGTCTTGAATAAGAATATGCTGCTGGAAAAGCACAGAAGAGAAAGAAAAGATAGAAGAAGAAGTCGTAATGATGATGTTCAAGCTGCTGCACTGAGCAGTGGGATTGACTTGAAACAGTTTAGTTCGGGCAATTACTGAACAAACTATATGAATGTTTTGCATTGGCTAGAGTGATTTATCTTTTTATGATTGGTTTTAATGGGAGTATTGCAATTTGAATTAAAGCATCGGTTTCATTTGTAGAACGCATTCGCGAAAGTTTTTCAAGATCTTGATCGATCGTGTTCAAAGTGGGAAAGCCAAACAGATCAAACCACACTGGAAAACACGAATAATACCCAACAAATTTAAGGGATCCCATCACTCGAGATTGGTTGACCTTGGTGCTCAATCAATATGGCTGACTTCAAAACACAAGAAGAGTCGCTCAGGTACGAGAAATTGCTAAATCGTATAACAAATTCCACCCAATTGGAAAAATTCATCAAAGCCATAGAGAAAACAGAATCTCAATTACAGGAGGATCTAGATAATTTTATAGACTCAAGAACGCATTTTAAAGAGGAAAGAAAACTAGAATTATCCAAGACGGAATTATCAACGACACTGAACAACTCGAGTAGTCTTGTTGATCTTTTGTCAAATGCGGGTTCATTAGCTTCAAGGATCACAGCTAGAGTTAGATTGTTAGATGCTGAAAGATCTCGAGTTAAAGAAACTACAGATTATGTGGGTAATGTAAGAGAGTTGAAATCATTAATATTGGCCGCAAATTCATCATTAGAATCACATGATTGGGAAAATGCAGCAAAAGCTATTGGAAAAATACGACTATTACCAATTGATGGTGAATTTATAAATAACGTTGTTCCATCTACAGATGTTCCAGATATTCCAAAAGTCGCAGTGGAGAAGTGGATTGAAGATTTAAGTGATTTGTTTACCAAAGAGTTCAATAAAGCCGCTGATTCCAAAGATGTTGAAAAATTAACAAAATTCTTTTCATTGTTCCCATTGATTGGAAAAGATCATATTGGGTTAGATTGTTATTCGAAATTTATTTGCAATATCATTGCAAGTCAAAGTCGGATGATTATAACAAACCAGTCTCAACAGGATAAATTTGGGTTTTATCCAGCCGCATTAATGAAATTATTGGAAATCATATCTTCAATGATTAATCAACATTCTCACATCATAGCCAAAGATTATGGAATCAGTCAAATGGCCGGTATTATTGAAAGAGTGGAAAGGGAGGCAGATTCTCAGGCTGGTTTGATTAGTGACACTTTTTATGATCAAAGAAATATTGCAAGAATCATTGATGAAGTACAATCTTACAAGTTTCCTATTTTAACAAATTATTCAAACACTGCAAATGCTTCGAGATCATCAACACCACCAAGATCAAGTTTCGATGGTAAAAGAGTCTCAGAAGATGGCTTATCAGTGGTGGAGATTGGTGATGTCACATCTGAGTTTTCATCATTTTTGAACTATTGGTCACTATATTGTAGATTTGTTGCAGTTAAATGGAATGAATATCAAAATATTAAGCAAGATGAATTGAAATTACCGAAACCAATATTGGAGAGTAAGTTTGGGAAAAAAATCCAATCAAAATTATTACCATCATTTGAAGTGTTGATCACTTTTTATATTAGAAGATCCTTGGAACAAGCATTTCAAATTGAAGAATTTCCAGACTTGAATCCATACATCATATCTAAAAAAAATGTTGCTCCAGAAAATGCACCAGTCTCATCAGCTATTGAAGATTTCATTTTAGTGTTGAATACTTCTTTAAGACAATCAATTGAAACTGGACAACCCATAACAGTTAAGAACATTATCACCAATATCAGAAAGATCATGGAGAGTGACTATCTATTAACAATTTATAAAAGACTTCGGGAATTCCAACCAAGAGCTGGGACTGTTCTTGCACCTACACATGGACCTAATTTAACTCAAAACAGACACCAGCATCAACAACAACAATCAAAAGGTAATACCATGGGCAGTATATTTTCTAGAGGTGCTTCTGCATTGAACAATATTGCATCGGGTGATGAAACAAGATTACACACTTTCATAATATTATTAAATACTGTTAATTTGGGGTCGGTATATTTTGACAAGATTATTAAACAAAATATTTCATTATTAGCCAAAAATTATCCATTTGGAACTGATTCTTCAAAATTACAAACAATTATTGAAAGTTTGAATGAAACTTTTACTAAAAAATCAAATGATACTATTGATGAATATATTGGGATTTTGTTCAATCAAGTTTTCAAAAATAAATTGAAAATTTTATTAACTGATTGTTTTAAAGATTCTGAGTATTTAGTCAGTTCATATAAGGAAGATGAAACTGTTGTTGTTCAAAGATTCATCAGTCAATGGAATACATTAATAACACCATACCATAAGACATTGGATTCTTCAATCTTTGATAAGTTCATGTTTACAATTGTCTCAACATTATCGAACCTGTTGGAGAGAAAAATTTGGTCATTAGACAATAATGTTAACGAATTAGGTTCAATCAAATTGGAAAGAGATTTCAGTGGTATTATTGGTGAAATTACAAGATCAAGATATAACTTGAGGGATAAATTCTTAAGAGTTACACAAATCATCATGATTTTAGGGTTTGATGATGAAGATGATGAAGTTGATTTAAATTGGGTCCTAACACCTTCAGAAAGACAAAGAGCTAGAAATTTACGTGTCGATAGAAAATGAAAAAGTGTCTTTATGTTTACGAGAGTTGATGTAGTTTTATTATCATTAACTTTTCAATTCATTAAATATACAAATAATATAATACATGTGTCTCAATACTCTGGATCAACAACTTTCTTTTGGAACCTTTCAAGTTCCTCTCTTTCTTTTTCCTCCCTTTCTTTAGCTTCTTTCTCCAACTGTATTTCTAAAAATGATTTTTCATGTTCTTTAGCACCAACAGCTCTATCAGGTCTTATTCTTAATTTATCTGGTAATAATTCAAATTGTGGATGTGCTAAATCACAATCAGGACCATCTGGGCAAAACCCTGTTAAATAATTTTGACAAATGATTTTCTTTATATGTCTATTTTTACAATTTGGACCTTCTGGACAGAACCCTCTTGAATAATTTAAACATTCAGGTATTTTGGATTGTGGATCTATATGTAAATATTGACATTCTGGAGTCTGAGTACAAAATCCATTCTTTGAATAAAACAGACATTCAGGCATTTTTCTTAAATTATATTCATGCAAGAATTCACAATGATCACCTTTTTTACAAAGACCTCTTAGCCAATGCTTGCAAACAATTTTGTTGCTATACATTGGTAAAACATGTTTATTTGGACATTGATCACCATTTGGACAACCTCCATGACCGTTCCAAAATTGACAAACTGGTCTATCAGGATCTAGCCCAAAGTTATATTCTGTCCGTAGGAAAGGTTCAAATTTGAATGGGTAGTTGGAACTATTTGGATGTATCACAGACATTGGTTTGTTGTATTAGAAATGATAGATATTCAAGATGTTAACTTATACTATTTGAATTTTTCTGATTTCAAAATATAAAGAAATTCGCGAAATTATTACGTAATATTGATAGAATGTTCGCGAACTCGTTCTGTGATTTGTAATGACCTTTCGAATAAAGACCCTTGAACTTTTCCAACATAAAGAGATACAAATTGTGAGTAATTAGTAATTCAAAGATAACAGACGTTTGTTACGAAAGTGTAAAAAAAACTGAAAACGTCTATTTATCTATCTGTGCGAGTCTATCCAATTCATCAATCCAGTCACCTTCTTTGATCTCACTTGAAGACTTATTCATATGTGGACGAGTAATTGGATACCCATTGTCAGTAATTGTGGTGTAGTTAATGGCTCCCAATCTTCCCACAGGTCTATATTTGGAAATGTCAATAGTCTTACGTTCTTTATTCAAAATATCTTCTCTAACCCAACTATGAACACCTTCAACAATAATCAAAGTTCCAGATTTTTGATCAGGATTTGATTTTGTATGCCATTCATGAGTTGTTAATAATTTAGCTTCAATGGAAAAAGCAGACTCAGCAACATGTGGAGGTTTAACTTTTTTGGAAGGTGATGGAGTTAATCCAGCCAATTTAAATTCATCAATACCTTTAGGTGATGGGATTGAAGTATAATTCGCTGCATCGACAAACCAATCAGAAATGAAGTTTATTGTTAATTCACCAGTATCCAAGATATTAGTCAATGTATCTTTTGTACCATCATCTCTTGCTGCATTTTTACTGACACCGAAAACGAAAACTGGTGGGTTTGAACTAACTATATTGAAAAAACTATAAGGTGCCAAATTTTGATTACCTTCTTTATCTAAAGTTGATACAAATGCAACAGGTCTTGGGACGACACCTGATATGAAAAATCTGTAATTTGTTTCAAGTTCTGATGGGTCTTGAATATCTAGTTCTAATTTTTTGTAAGTTTTCCAATCATCACTGGTTGAACCTTGGCCTACTGACCATTCCTTATTGTATTGATGTTCTAATTTAGTCATTTTGCTAGTGTGGTTTGGATCGTAGAAAGGATATCCAGTTGGTGATTCTGCAAAGTATTTATGTTGAAGCTGAGTGATTGTAAATGTTTATCCACAGTTTTGTTCATTTTGAACCTTCGGAGATCGGTGGGAGTATAGCCGATATAAAACGGAAATAGACGTACAATTAATTTAGATCATACAAACAAGAGTTCAATATCGAGATTTGTAAGTATTGATGAAGCTGTTGTTTGAGGATTGAGCTGCATCATACACTGAAAAGAGCATCTGGGAAAGAGCTGGTGTTTTCGAGTTGTATGTAATTTGTTATCACAATGTTACAAATCATATTTTGTGAACATCTCTTGATATTGTCTTGTGTAATTCATTTTTGTTTAAATATGTGTTATACATTATCATGGTTATTGATTCTTGTCCTCTTCAAATGTTAAAGGCTGCAATTAAGAAACTTAATGCAAAACTTATTTTGAAACTTGGATCCTCAAGAACCAAATGTCTAATATCAACTCTATCAGAGCCAACTTTAACAATCGAAGTCCATGGAACTCTAATAATACCACGACTTTGCAGAAACTATTGAGGAGTTAGTATTTACTTTTTTGAAATAGTCATCTTTTGTTGTACTCACCTGTAAAGTCAACACTGCAGATAATGTGATAAACACCAAAACTGAAGACAATTTCCCAATGACAACACCGAAAAATAAACCAGCCAAACTACCATAAGACAATTGTCTATAGTGTAAATTCCCATTAAATCTTGAAGTTCTTGGATGACTTAAAGAATCTGGATCCACAATTTGTTTTGGATTATACTGATTTGGGGTATTTATATTGATTGTTCCTAAATTTGCAGCTTCATTTAAGATTTTGGAATGGGTATGTAGTAATAAAGCAGTACTAGCACCAATTGCAAGTCCTAATTTAGTAGTTAATGAAGATGGTGATGTTGTTGTTGATAAAGATTTTGTGGAGATGAATCTTGAAGCTTGATTTCTTAAAAGAGAAGGATAAAAGCCACTTGATTTGACAGAACGAGAGGCTATTCTAAAAGTATTCTGGAGAAACATTGTTCAATTGAGTATAGATGCGTATTCTTTCTTTTGATGTTCAAGTTGGTGTTGTTTTGATGATTGTAAATAGCCAATTGTATAAAGTTTGCTATTCAATTTCAGTTGAGTTGACTACTTCTGGCACCAAAAAGCCCAACATAAACAATCGGCTGCCACAAATGCACGTGCCACTAAGCAAATGCTGATGTAATCATAATGTCATGTGACTTATTTTTATTAGTTAGTGCTGAAATGTTCACTATAGTTATGATCCTCCTGTGTAAATAGCAGCACTCATTGTGTCCCCTACCATCCCCGTCCGAATGCGGAAATCAATCGCCAGCGCTTTTTCAAAAAAAATCAATTTTCCATCGCGACGGTGAGTTTTTTCTGTTCTCGAACCGATTTTTGCAAAGTGCCCAAAGACTCGACGAAAGAACGTCTTTACGCTTCGACTCGCTTAAAGAATTAATTCAACCAATTTCACTTTCATACTTGTTTCCAATCTTTTAACAAAACAAACTAACACTCATTCAAATACAAAGAAACGATAAACACACACATACAAGTTATCAGTCTATCCTCCGCTTAGACCCCAGAATCCAGATTGAAAAAAAAATTGTGTCTAAATTTTTTTTTTCGTTACCCTTGATACAGCTAACTAGCCTCGAGAGGAAAAAGGTGTCAACTAGCCACCATTCAGAATACACAACAACACAGCATCTCAAATCACCATGATTGATCAATTCCATAGTAAACATGCTTTAGCAAACACTTTGAACCAATTACAACCTCAAAAATTAAGCACCAATGTATGGCTAGGTCCATTAAACTCTATCGCGCAAAATGATTTTTTGTCAACAAACAATATTAAATACATTTTTGGTATAATGCCATCTCAAAAATGTTGTTATTATTTGAAAAATTTCACAAATGATTCAAGTTGTTGTGTTTCTATTGATCCAAATTTTAATACTCAAAAATTAACAGAAGATGAAGGTGAACTAATCATGAATTTCAATACAAAATTTTCAAATAGCGTGTCTTTTGTCAGTGATAAAAGGATAAATAATGCAATAATAACCAATTTAGATTTCCAAAAAATGCTTGAAGACTTCCTTTATTTGATCCGCTCTATTCAAGAAAAAGATTCACAGTGTGGGATTTTGTTGTTTTCACTAAATGGTAATGATAATTTGTTGTCAACTTTTGCCATGTCTTACATAATGGATTCTCATAATTGTGATGTTACAAGTGGATTTAGTTATTTGAAATCAGTTAGACCAAGTATAATTGATTTTGATGAATATGGGTTTTATGCTAGTGAATTATTAAAATTCCAAATGAACAACAGAGCTAGAAAACAATTTGGCGGGTCCAATAACGCTAGTACTCCAGGTTCTGCTGAAAAGGCTAAAAGATCAGTTGCTGATGCGCTTGATGATGAAGATCAAGAGTATCATGATAATTCAAGAAGTGCAAAGAGAATTATAACCTAGATTATATACTATTTATTTAAATATTCTACAAATTAATAAGAATGAAAACGATGTATTTACATCAATATGTAAAATTAATAGGCGGGAAAAAACTAATGTAAACTTTTTTATAAATACAAACCCAATGAAACAAAATGCAAATAACCAGAAACACAACCGTATCTTCCCTCTTACTTCTTCAAAATCGTAACAACATCTTCATCTTCCAAAACATGATTCAAACCAACATATTGAGGTTGATGTTTAACACTTGAACCGAAAACAACAGCTGTTCTGAAATCAGAAACCAAACTTTTATGGATTTGATTACAGAAATCCTCCACTGTACAACGATTTGATCTTAAAACAATAGGTTCATTAAAATCTGGCAATTTCCCCTTTGGTTTTGTATAAACTCTAACCAAATTCAATCTATCCCACATGATTTCCAATAATTCATCTAAATTCCATTCTTTACCACTACTGATTGGAACAGCATTTGGAACTCTTGTTAATAATTGTAATTCTTCAATTGAAAATGAATCAATCTTATTTAAAACGTAAACTGCTGGAATATATTTTCTTTGTGAAGCTTCTAAAGTATCAATCAAATCATCAACTGTAGCATCACATCTAAATGCAATATCTGCACTGTTTAATTTATATTCACTCATAACAGCTCTGATTTCATCATTATCTAAATGTGTTAATGGAACTGTATTTGTAATGGAAATACCACCTTTTTCCTTCTTTTTAACAATAATATTTGGTGGTTCTTTGTTCAATCTTATACCAAAACCTTCCAATTCCTTTTCAATGATTCTTTTATGTTCTAATGGTTTATTAACATCCAAAACAATAAAGATTAAATTACAAGTTCTAGCAACTGCAATAACTTGTTTACCTCTACCTTTACCATCTTTAGCACCTTCAATGATACCAGGCAAATCCAACATTTGGATCTTGGCACCTTTATAACGAATAATACCAGGAACAGTGGTTAAAGTTGTGAATTCATAAGCTGCAGCTTCTGAATGTGTACCTGTTAATTTACTCAATAATGTAGATTTACCCACAGATGGGAAACCAACAAACCCAACAGAACCCACACCTGTTCTTGCAACATCGAAACCTAAACCACCACCTCCACCACCACTACCTGATGGTGTTAATAGTTCTCTTCTTAATTTAGCTAATTTGGCTTTCAATTGACCCAAATGGAACGAAGTTGCCTTGTTCTTTTGGGTTTTGGCCATTTCATCTTCAATAGCTTTGATCTGGAAATCGTTAGTCTTGGTCCTATTCTAATCCTCTCTCTTCAACATACCTTCTCCACGGTGGTAGACATCTTGCAATACTCTTTCAACCTTCAAATTAACCAACTTTTCAACAACTCTCTTCGCAATAATTTCAGTTTTGATCAAAGAAAAAAAAATCCATGTTAGCCCTACCGAAAAAAAATTTTTTTGGCGAAGAAGGCAAAGAAAGATCAAAGAGTGTGAAAAATTACCAGTGGTACAATAGATTGTTAACGAATTGGATCAAAACCGTGGTATCAAAACATGGCTAAAAAGTGGGTATTATAATGGCTTGAAGATGTAAATGAACCAATTACTAACAGTGTTAATCCCAGGGATAAAAAAGGAAAGAAAGGTGGTGACTATTGGGACGACGAGTTTGAAGATGACGCTCCTCAAGCTGAAGAATTCGGTTCTACACCTGCCGCTGATGAATCTGCTGAAGCTACTCCAGGTGCAACTGAAGCCACTGAAGACGATGTTGCTGGTGATTTCATGGCCACTTTGAGAAAGAATAAAGAAAAGAAGGCTAAACAAACTGATGAAAAACCAAAAAATAGTGGTGCTTCAGTTATTAAATCTAAAAAGGAAAAGGAAAAAGAGAAGAAGGAAAAGGAAAAGCAACGTAAGAAAGAAATGGCTGCAAAGAAAAAAGCTGCTACCGCAGGTAATAAGAAAGACAATTCTGCCGCTTCTTCAAATGCCTCCACTCCAGCTCCTGAATCTGCACCAAAAGATGAACCAGAAGTTCCAAAAGCTGAACCAAAAGGTAAAGGTAAAAAAGTCCCAGCCGGTATTGCTGCTTTAAGACGTCAATTAGAATTGAAAAAACAAGCCGAAGAAGAAGAACGTCGCTTACAAGAAGAAGAAGATAAATTAGCTAAAGAAGAAGAAGAAAAATTGGCCCAAGAAGAAGCTGAAAAAGAAGCTGCTAGAGCTGCAAAGAAAGAAAAAGAAAGATTAAAGAAAGAACAATTAAGAGCTGAAGGTAAATTATTAACCAAAAAGCAAAAAGAAGAGAAGAAAGCTATTGAACGTCGTCGTCAACAATTATTAAACTCTGGTGTTATTGTTGAAGGTTTACAAAAATCTGGTGAAGAAGCACCAAAACCAAAGAAAGTTGTTTATGGTAAAAAGAAGAAACCAACAAAAGCTCAAGAAGAAGAAAAAGCTGCTGCTGAGGCAAAAGCTAAAGCCGAAGTCGAAGCCAAAGCTAACCAAGATGATGAAGATGAAGCTCTTGTTGAAGATTGGGAAAACATGGCCTTGGATGATGATGAACCATTAGCCGAAGATTGGGAAGCTGCTGGCAATGAAGATGAATCAAAAGCTGAAGAACAAGAGGAAGAAATTGCTGAAGTCGATGAAGAACAAGAAGCTGAAGCTGATAGTGGTGAAACTGAAGAAGAAGTTAAAGCTAAAGAAGCTGCTAAACAAAAAGCTGAACTTGAAGCTAAAGCCAAAGAAGCTGAACAAAAAATCAAAGAAGTTGAACAAAAAGTTTCCAAGAGAAACCAAAAACAATCATCTTCATCTCAAGCCGATTTACGTTCTCCAATTTGTTGTATTTTGGGTCATGTTGATACTGGTAAAACTAAACTTTTGGATAAGATTCGTCAAACTAACGTTCAAGGTGGTGAAGCTGGTGGTATTACCCAACAAATTGGTGCCACTTATTTCCCAATTGAAGCTATTAAATCTAAAACTGCAGTCATGGCTGCTTATGAAAAACAAACATTTGATGTTCCAGGTTTGTTAGTTATTGATACACCAGGTCACGAATCTTTCTCCAACTTGCGTTCCCGTGGTTCATCTTTATGTAACATTGCCATCTTGGTTATTGATATTATGCATGGTTTAGAACAACAAACTATCGAATCAATCAGATTATTACGTGAGCGTAAAGCTCCTTTTGTTGTTGCCTTAAATAAAATTGATCGTTTATATGATTGGCAAACAACCCCAAACAATTCATTCAGAGATTCATTTTCAAAACAAACTCGTTCAGTTCAACAAGAATTTGATGATAGATACACCCAAATTAAAGTTGCTTTAGCTGAACAAGGTTTGAATTCTGAATTATATTTCCAAAATAGAAATATGTCTAAATATGTTTCTATTGTTCCAACTTCAGCTGTTACAGGTGAAGGTGTTCCAGATTTATTATGGTTATTATTAGAATTAACTCAAAAGAGAATGTCCAAACAATTGATGTACTTGTCAGAAGTTGAAGCTACTATTTTGGAAGTTAAAGTTGTTGAAGGTTTAGGTACCACCATTGATGTTATTTTATCAAATGGTTATTTGAGGGAAGGTGATAGAGTTGTGTTGTGTGGTATGAATGGTCCTATAGCGACGAATATTCGTGCATTGTTAACTCCACAGCCGTTACGTGAATTGAGATTGAAATCAGAATATGTCCATCATAAAGAAGTCAAAGCTGCTTTGGGTGTTAAAATCGCTGCTAATGATTTGGAAAAAGCCGTTGCAGGTTCTCGTCTATTAGTTGTTGGTGAAGATGATGATGAAGAAGAATTGATGGAAGAAGTTATGGATGATTTGACCGGTTTGTTGGATTCTGTTGATACAAGTGGTCGTGGTGTTACTGTTCAAGCTTCAACTTTAGGTTCTTTAGAAGCCTTGTTAGATTTCTTGAAAGATATGAAAATTCCAGTTATGTCTATTGGTTTAGGTCCAGTTTATAAACGTGATGTTATGAAGGCAACAACCATGTTGGACAAAGCTAAAGAATTTGCTGTTATGTTGTGTTTTGATGTTAAAATTGATAAGGAAGCTGAACAATATGCCACTGAAAATCATATCCAAATCTTTTCTGCAGATATTATCTATCATTTGTTTGATGCATTCACTGCTTACCAAAATAAATTATTGGAACAACGTCGTAAAGATTTCTTGGAATATGCCATCTATCCAACTGTTTTGAAAACTATTCAAATCATTAACAAACGTAACCCTATGATTATTGGTGTTGATGTTGTTGAAGGTTCTGTTAGAGTTGGTACTCCAATATGTACTGTTAAATTGGATCCAGAAACTAAACAAAAGACAACAATGGTTTTGGGTAAAGTTGTTTCATTAGAAGTTAACCATAAATCTCTTGAAATTGTTAAGAAAGGTCAAACAAATGCTGGTGTTGCTATGCGTTTGGAAAATCCATCAGCTGCTCAACCAGTTTGGGGCCGTCATGTTGATGAAAAAGATCCTCTATACTCTTTGATTTCACGTAAATCTATTGATACATTGAAAGATCCTGCATTCCGTGACCAAGTTGCTAGAGATGATTGGTTATTGATCAAATCTTTGAAACCAATCTTTGATATTAAATGATGACTTTCCTTCTACGTTGTTTTTTTTAGTTGTGTTTTTTCCTTTTTATTTTATATAAAACAGTACCATATTGTGTATTAATGCATTCCAAGTAAGAATTTTAAATCAAATTGTAGACTACACTGTTATTGTTAATAAATCTATATGCATTTTTTTGATTAAAATCCTTAAATCTAATTTACAAAACTTTAATATTAATTATAACACCACCTTAAACACCAATTAATGAAAGACCCTAAGCAGTAGCTGGCATACGTGAAAGCAAATCAAAACTACCGGTACCAACACCAGATAATTTACCCAGCACAATACGAGCAGAAGGACTCTCCAATTCTTCACGGTCATTATCTAAAACAGCTTTGGTCAAGAATTGACATGTAGTTTCATATGACATCTTCATGAATGTAGAAGTTGATGAATCAATACCTTGACGGTTGAAAGCTAGATAACTACCTTCTCTGGTCATCATATCACCAATCAAATCCAAATGACGGCTACTGACTGAGATAGCATAACGACCGAAAACGTTGTTGATTTCATTCACAATAGTGTTTCTAGCAGCTTCAACACCATAAGTACGTAAAACAGCAGCAACATCATTTGAAGTGATACCATTAACGTCAATGAAATCATCATAGTCCCACATAGCACCAAAGTTAACACCTTCAGTGGTTAAGACACGTTTACCACCTTCAGGTTGTGGATGTAAACAACGACCAATGTGTGGAACTTCTTTAACAACAACTTTACGACAAATTTCTTCAACAATGTTAACCATAAGTAATTTTTGAGTACCAGCACCTAATTCAAGTTTGAATTTACACCAGTTACCATTAACATCATCAAAGTTAAATCTGGTAATCAAGCTATGTGAACCTAAAACAGCAGATTGACGATCACGAGCAGCTTTAGATAATTCACCAGTAGCAGCGCTCTTGGTTGGTTCTTCTTCATCGGAGTCTGAGTCTGAGTCTGAATCACTATCTGAATCCATTTCTTCATCTGATGATTTTTCAGCATTTCTCATAGTTTCAATTTCATCATCATCTGGTTCATCATATGAAACTGATTGTTTAGTCTTGGAACGTGATTTTTCATCATCAGCATCGTCATCATCATTATCATTGGATTTGTTAGAAATACGTTCATCTGAAGTAATTTGTGTTTGTGATTTTGGAACAGCTTTACCAACTTCTGGTAATGATTCTGAACCAATTTTCTTTTGTTTTCTCAATTCTTTAGTGATTGCACTTTCCAAAGTTCTCAAGAATTTAGTAGTAATAACTTGTTCTAATTGTTCTTTTGAAACATCGTATTCTTCATGGTATTGTTCACTGTTGAAAAATTCAAGATCAATATCATATGAACGTTTACCACGACCATCTTCAGAGTTACCAGAAGTTTCAGTAACGGTAACGTTATCAACAAGTTCTGAGAAAACAACTTTTGCAATGGAACGACAGAAAGCATCAGCTTGGTCATCAGTAACCTCATCCAAGATTGGTAATGTCATTTGTGGGGTCTTGATAGCAGCAGAAGCAGTCATAATAATTTCTCTCATACGTGGAATACCTAATGTAACATTAGCAGCACCGTGACCAGCAAAATGGAAAGTATTCAAAGTCATTTGAGTGGATGGTTCACCAACAGATTGAGAAGCAATAATACCAACAGATTCACCTGGATTAATTAATGATCTCATATATTTCAGTTGCATCAAAGCACGGAATTTCTTATCAGACAAACCAGATTTGCTGAATAAATCTGGATTTCCATCAATAAATGAATCCAATTTAGATTGGAAAGTTTCTGAGACAGAACCCAAATATTTGGATGGATTGTAAACAGAAAGAACTGGATCATATTTGGTGGATTGTGCAAAGTGTGGAACATCTTTGTTCTTTTTCATGCTCTTACGAACCTTTTTAGAATAACGTGAAGCTGATTCAGTGTCCAAATGATCAATCAAAGCACCTGGGTTATATTTAGTTAATAATGCATCATAGTTATCAATACAGAATTTGAATTGATTCATATGAGATTCTTTAGTAACATCGACAGCATCACCACCATACAAAAATTGGACCAAACGGCCATCACCATCTCTAACAGAGTTATCATAAGAAACATGAACACCTTCCAATTGTTTTGTCAAACAACGTTGTAAATAACCAGATCTAGAAGTTTTAACAGCAGTATCAATAAGACCTTCACGACCAGCCATACAATGGAAGTAATATTCTTGTGGTCTGATACCAGAATAGAAACGACCTTTAATATAACCACCAGCTCTAGCATCAGTTTCATAAGCTTTAAATGAAGGTAAAGTTTTACCACTGACCATGACTGGTACACGTCTACCCTCTAAAGCTTGTTGACCTAAAAGACACATAATTTGAGAAACATTAACATTAGAACCTTTAGCACCTGATAAGGCCATCGCTTGCATTGAATTATATGGGAATCTTTTCATAGTACCTTCTGGAACACACTTGGAGACAACTTGAGAAGTAATACTGTTAACTTTTGATTGTGTGACAGCATCTAAAATACCAGCTTTGTTATCATCACGGTAAACTTCTTCCAAACGTTGCAAGAATTTAGGATCAGTACTCTTTGTGTTCTTATCCAAATTGGTAACTTCAGTGGCAGCTAAACGACCAACATCAACAGAAGTTAACAAAATTTCATTTCTCCAATTGTTACCTTCGGCAGTTAAACGTAAATCATCCATACCACAAGTAAATGCAGTAGATTGAATGTAGTTTGTGAATAATCTACCCAAAACAGATAAAGATTTACCAGCGACAGATGGACCATAAACTTCATGTAAAGAATGAACAATACCATATTGAGAAGCACCATATTGTGATTTATCCAAAATACCACATAACAATTCACCATTTTTGAATAAGACTTCATTTTCCTTTGAACCTTCACCCCAATATTCATTTTTAATTTTGTTCTTTGACAACAAGTTGATACCTGGCATGTTGACTGGAGTAATATTCAACAAAACAGTAGTAATAATTTGTTTACCGGTCCATAATGGGATTGGTTTGAAGATAGCTGGAGGAACAGTGACCAGCTTAGCTCTAGTAGAATGACCATCTTCTGGACGTATACAACCATAAACATATTGTTGGTATTGTTCTCTGGTGAAGAAACTATCTTTATTTGTGATCCAAACACCAGCAGAAATATGATCTTGAATCAAACCTCTTAATGGAGAACCTGAAGTTGGAGTCAAATATTGTGAATCAGTGTTGGCTAAATTCAATGCTTCAGCTCTGGCATTTTCATTTTGTGGGAAATGCATGTTCATTTCATCACCATCGAAATCAGCATTATAGGCATTAGTGTTTGCATAATGTAAACGTAAAGTCTTTTCACCTGGTAAAACTCTGACTTTATGACCCATCATGGAGGCTTTATGTAATGTTGGTTGACGATTCATGATGACAATATCGTTGTTCTTGATATGACGGTAAACTTTCTTGTTCAAGACATGACTGGTGTTACCTGATGGAGTTAAAAGTTGATTGGCCAAAGCTTTACGTTGATCAGTGGTCATACCAATTAATGAAATCAAGGAACCATCTTCATTTTGAATTTGGATAGCACCTGGCCATTTATCTGGACCATTTATAACAGCTTGACGTAGTTCATTAACGTTATGAGAGGTGACTGGTTCTGGGTATGTTAATTTAACAGCGAAAACTGGAGGAACACCAATTTCATTTGTTTCGATATTTGGATCAGGTGAAATAACTGAACGAGCAGCATAATTAACACGCTTACCCATCATATGCTTTCTGAATAAACCTTCTTTCTTTTCTAAAGCTTGTTTGATACCTGGAGCAGCGGTTCTAGCAGCATTAGCATTTTGATTCTTTGTAGAATCAATGAAGGCATTAACATCATTTTGGATGGTGACAAAAGCATTCATTAATCTGTTGAAAGTGATTTTTCTTTCTTCAGCAGTGATTTTATCCTTTTGAACAGTTGAAATTTGATCGTTCAAATCTCTGATTAATAATGATGTGTTCAAAACCTTAGATAACAATTCATTTTGAGAATTTTCATGGATTTCATCACCTAATTTTGAAGGTAAACGGAATCTTGTTGGTGGAACAACAATAGCTTGTAAAAAGAAGATATCAGAGTTCACTTTTTCAGTAGCTTTTGGTCTTGAATGGAATAAATATTTCAAAATGTTGGATTCAGCTTGGAAAACAGCACGCATAATATTTCTGACTTCTGTACTCAAGACATATTTGGAACCAGTGGATTTTTTAGCTGGCTGAGCAGGAGTATCAACATCCATTTCGTCACCGTTTGATTTACCATTTGTCTTCAACATATCTTGACGAGCATGACCTTTAACTCTGTTATTTAAAACTTGCTTTTCTTTCAATGGATTTTCAAAAAGTTTTGTGAAACCATCTTTTCTGTAAGTTGGTGAAAACATGCTACAGTTACCACATTTTGGTCTTGATAGTAACTTTTTGTAAAATTCATGAATCAAATGTTTTCTTTCTTCAAGAACTGTTGTAGTCATAACACCGTTTTCTGAAGTTCTTCCCTCACTCAATGCTTTAGCAATAGCACTATTCACAAAGTCTTCTCTTCTTTCGATCAAATCACGATCAGCTTGTGGATTAGAATCTGGTGCATTATCTTCCTCCTCACCTTCTTCAGCTTCCATTGATGCACCACTCATGTGAATGTTATCAAGTGGTTCAAGTTCAGACAATAAACCATATTGTATCAGTTTCAGTTTGCAAGCATAACGATGAACTTCAGTTGATTTTAATCTGAAATGGTGACAGTAAAGACATGCACTTCTTAAAAAGATGTATAATTGATTAAAGAACAATGGGTTGTAAACTGGAATTGGTAATTCAATATGACCTTGATGACCAGGACAGAATTTATCATCTAGACCACAAGTAGCACACAAGTTTCTAAGGAAAGCACCTAAAGCTAAGTCATATAAACCACCAGATATAGGATGTCCCAAATTATCGAAAACGGTAGGATTTGTGATTTGTTTAGCAGAAAGCTTACGTATGTCCTCAGCAGAGAGAACACCGAAATCAACGTGAGTGATTTCTGATCCCACTGGTTTGGAAATATCCATCTTGAATTCGAATGACTATACCAGCAGCACCCTGAGTGAAAACCGTTGTGTAATGAATGAGTTTAATAAAGTACACTAGCTAATGGGTTAAAAAAATTTCAATTATCTATCTGCAAAAAAAAAATTTCTTTATTTTGCGGGTAAACTCATCGGAGGATTAGGCACTTTTAGCAGAAACATCACAGTTTTGAAGGGAAAATGGTTTGATTTTGTGATTTTGGGCCGCTATAATATAATAGCAATACCTCACTCTACTTAAATCCAATTTCAACCTCAAGAATATCCCAATTCTTCTCTTTAAACAAAGTATTTTGGTAAACGGGTTTAAAAATTTTGACATAAACATTTCAAGATCCGGTTCACAGAACGAATTCGCGGCCTCGGTTTAGAATTCTCGAAATGTTTGCAAAAAAAACTTTGGATCAAGGAATCCAGTTGTTTACATCAAGTGAAAAAGTCATCAATTGAACTCATTTCAACCAACAAAAGAGGCTCTGTATTGAGTCCCTATCAATCCTCACTCATTGTGCACTAACCCAACACTATCCCCGTTAATAACGCTAATTGACAAACGCGTGTGTCTGAAATTTAGGTGAAACAACAACAAATACAGTGATTACAACATATATCTAGATGTTTGGCTCATCAAATACCAATTCAGGTTTTGGATCAAACTTTGGTGCAAAGCCAAGTGGGTTTGGTACTAGTACACCTACTAATAATAACACATCTGGTGGTCTTTTTGGTAACACTAATAACAACAATAAGCCATCAACAGGCTTCAATTTTGGATCTCCAGCAACCAGTCAGCCCAACAACATCAGTACGCCAACATCAGGATTTGGTGCTTCTAATACAAACACTAATGGTGGTGGTCTTTTTGGTAATAAACCTGCTACTACAGGTGGTGGTCTTTTCGGAAACTCTGCAACGAATAACAATACCAGTTCTGGTGGCCTATTTGGAAACAACAATAATAACACAGCTCAAACAAATGCTCAAGGACCTGGGTTGTTTGGAAATAAACCATCGACTCCAGCTTCTGGTGGTCTCTTTGGTAACTCATCCAACACACAACAAAATGGTGGAGGTTTATTTGGAAACTCATCGAACAATTCAAACCCTTCAGGTGGGCTATTTGGAAATTCTTCAAATACCAACAACAACACATCAAGTGGTGGCTTATTTGGAAACCAACCAAACAACAACTCAACATCTTTGTTTGGTAACTCTTCAACCTCAACTGCACCAAAACCAGGTCTTTTTGGAAACGCAGCAAACAATACACCACAAACAACTGGTGGATTATTTGGGTCTACCAATAACAACCAAGCACCAACAAATTCACTTTTTGGATCCTCAAACAACAATCAACTAAATCAATATGCAAACACACCACCTACCAAACAATACAACTTCAAGGATTTGCCAAAATCAATCACAGAATCTGCAAAAAAGAGTAATCCAGCTTTGAACGATGCCTCACGTAAAAGAAGTTTATCAAATTCTTCATTCTCATCATCAATACCAATTGCCCAAGGTCCAAGATCGACTATATTAGAAAGATTGAGCACTAGATTTAGCAGTTTGAAGTCACAAGCTCGTTATGATTCAGAAGGGTTGTTTTCCCCAAAGAAAGATATTTTACATACAGCCTTGCCAGCTGAAAATTCCAAAGAAGTCCAATCTTCCAAAGTTCTTATAAGACCTTTTGGCTCATCAAGTTATAGTTCAAGAGCGTCATCTCGCAGAAGAAACCTGTCCACGGATTATTTGAAGCTAAAAGTTGATCCAAGTAGAAGTGAAGCAAGAAGAATAAAAATATTTGGTGAATCTGGTGGCGCCCAAAAAGTTAGAATTCTTGGTCGTGAAGAAGAAAGTACAACTAACGGTGACTTGAATGGCTCTGCTAATGCACAAGTTAAGGATACACATACACATATCAATGAGCAAACCGAATTAATCGAAGAGACAAATGAAACTCCTGGAGAGGCCAAGCTCAACACTGACACTGAAAGTAAGAAAAATGCTGCTACTGATGCTGAGTATTGGTGCTCGCCTTCTATCGAAGAATTATCAGCTTTACAATTGAGACAACTATCAGAAATCTCAGGTTTCACGATAGGGAGAAAAGGTTATGGTTCAATCAGTTTTGAATATCCAGTTGATTTAACAGCATTTTGGTCTGATTTGCCAGGGTATTTGTTTGGTAATGTTGTCAAGTTCAACAAAAATAAGACTGTTGAAGTTTATCCGAATGGTAAAGTCCCACGCGGTACTGGATTGAATGTTCCTGCTATTATTACATTAGAGAGATGTTTCCCTGTTAGTAAAAGGGGTAAACAAGCCTCAGAAGACCCTGTTACAAAAGATTTGGAAACAAGATTATTTGTAAGAAAGTTGAAAGACCTGAAAGATATGGAATATGTAACATATGATCCATTTTCAGGTGCTTGGACATTCAAGGTTAAACATTTCAGTATTTGGGGTTTAGTTAATGAAGATGATGATGTTGTTGATGTCGATGCTGAGCTTGAAAATATTCAACAGAAACAGTCCAAACTTGAAGAACAATCAAGAGCTGAAAGTACTGTCAATGACCAAAGTCTAGGACAAGCTCAACAGCTTAGTTCTCTCAAAACTAGAAATTTAACTGAGAATACTTTTTTATTCAAAAAACAAAAAATTGATGAATCTTTTGACTATGATACTACTGATTTGATGCCTGGGAGTTTTATTTCAGGTCAAACTTATGATTTGATTCGTGCTCAACAATCTCAAAATGATGAAGAAGGTGTTGCTTCCCATATCCCAATCACAATATCTGACGATGATGAAAGTGATCTTGCTAATGATGATATTCCAGCTGATATACTAAGAGGTGATGAATCATTAGCTCAAGAAGATGAAGAGATGGACGACGATGATTCTGAAATACTTGATGAGAAACAATACGAACCAGTTGATGTTGATCAAGATGATTTCAAAAATTTAGAAGTTGATCCAAAGTTGGCTGTTGATGATGATTGGACCAAACAGTTGAATTTATCTGCTAGATTTGATTCAGCATTTGCAAAAGATTCTTTGAAACAAACAACACTATATGATGCTCCATTTTCCAAAGGATTAACACCAGGTGAATTAGATAATTTGATCTTCGGTGATTTCTCTAAAGTTCTAAAAAGTCAAAAGAAGATTAAAAAAGAATTGAGACTTGATAATTACAATTTCACACATTTCACAAATGAAGCAAAGTTGATTTTGAAGAGTAATGAAACTGCATCACATGCTAAGGAACACTCATTAGATGACTTTTTTGGAATTACAAACAAAAACATTTTCAAAACTATTTATAAGAAACATTTGAACCTAGCACATATCACTCAAAGATCAAATGGGTATCCAAAAGTGGATAAAAACCAAGACCTAACATTTGATTTTATACTAGATTCCTTCAAGGGGGATTTCAAAAATGAAGAGCTACCAATTTGGAGCTTGGCTTCAATCTTGTTTGATACAAAAATCTTGCTAACGCCTGAATTATCTTCATTGAATGATGTTGAAGTGGTTAATAGAGTTGTTGAAGTTAAACGTCGTGAAAAGTTGATTGGTTGGTTCAAAAATGAGATTGAAAAAGAAGTTAAAACGGCTGCTCAACAAACTGAAGATTTTTCTGAACAAATTTTCTTGTTGCTAGTGGCTTTTGAGGTTTCCAATGCAGCAAGACTGGCCATCAATACAAGCAACCCTTACCTCTCAGTATTGATCTCTTTATTGGGTTCAAATGATCCAAGTGTCAAAATCAGTGCAACTAAACAAATTGAGGAATGGAAGAAAAATGCTGTTTTGCAAACAATTCCTAAAGGTATATTGAAAATTTATTATTTGTTGAAAGGAGATGTTTTAGCAACTGATCCAATTGTTAAGTTAAGTGAGGGCCTATCGTGGAAGGCTAGACTTGGTTTATCTCTATATTACGGTGATTCAAATCAAAGCATCGCTACACTTTTGTCAAACTTTGTCGCAACAAATCCTGCAGACATTCCATATGAGGATGAAACATTTTACAACATTTTAAAACTATTTGTCCATAAACATAATGATCAATATAATATTGGGCATATTATTTCTGCTTTGAAGCTATCTAAGAACCTTGATGTTAGATTCCAGTGGTACATTTATGAGGTTTTGGTTAGATCGACGGAACAATTAAACTTTAAGAGATCTGAAGAATTTGGTGATCAATTAACCTTGTTATTTGCTGAACAGCTTCAAGCTGCAGAATTATGGGAAGAAGCCTTGTTTGTTTTGGCACATCTACACAATGACCATGCTGCTGAATATTATACTACTCAACTTCTCACTACAAAGATCGAAGCTTTCAATAGAGATGACACTTTACTTGATAGGCTCAGAGATGGATTACATATCCCTGAGACTTTATTGTTTGAAGCTAATGCTCTTTATTACAGATATACTGGGGATTACTGGAAAGAAGCTGCATTTCTGTTGGATGCCAAAAAATATGAAGAAGCACATCGCACTATTATTGGAAAAGTTGCACCTGCTGCTGTTATCAATAATGGATCAAAATTGAATAAGTTGGACAAGTTAATCAAAAGATTTCCTAAACAAAATTACATCAGTGATTGGTCTACTGGATTAGAAATTTATCAAAATTATTTGGCTTTAATTAATGGAAATACTCAAAAGTCGTTGAAATTTTTAGCTGATAATCTACCTTCAATGAAGCAATCAAGCTTCAAAGTCAAAGTTGCAGCTAGAATAATTGCAAAAAGGGTAGCTGATACAATTCTTGAAAATGCTGGAACTGGAAGTTCTGGTGTGGAAGTTGATAAAATATTGAAACTTCCATTAGGTGAAGGTGAATCTCAATACTATGCTGCTCCTCTAACTTTACAATATGTTAAGCAACAATTTTTAGAAGGTGCTTAAATTAAAAAGTGTATCTATATCTGTACAATAGTGTTATTTTAGAGTTACAAAAAAAATTACGACAATGCATTCGGAACACACAGTAGTCTACTACGAATTGCTTCAAATCAAAAAACTCCTTGTGTATTATAAATGACCATTTCCCATGCACCTTTTCGATATAAATATTTTTGCTAATTCTCAACGGAATCTATTAGAGCTTCAACAACATCTAAAATTGCGGTTGAAGCTGGGGAATCTGGATACAAGTCCAAAAAGCTTTCTCCAGAATCACAGGCTTTCCCAATTCTTGGATCTAAAGGAACAGAACCTAAAAATGGAATATTTAATTCTTCAGCTAGAGCCTTACCACCACCAGTAGTTGCTTTAAAAATTTGAGATTCTCCCTTACAATTAGGACAAACAAACCCTGACATGTTCTCGACAATACCTAAAACTTTAATGTTTGCCTTTCTGCAAAAATCGATTTCTTTTCTAACATCTAATAATGCAACTTCTTGTGGGGTTGTCACTATTAAAGCACCGTCGATTCCTGACTCTTTCAAGTATGTATTCACTGAAATATGTTCATCTGAAGTACCTGGAGGTGTATCCACTATCAAATAATCTAGTCTTCCCCAGTCAACATCTTTCAAAAACTGTTTTATCAAACCATTCTTTTTCGCACCTCTCCAAATAATTGCAGAATCAGCTTCTGGCAACATGAAACCAATCGACATCATACCCAAGTTATCGTTGACATAGACAGGAGTCCAGCCTGAATTTGAAGCGTGGATTGATTCGCCTTCAGCACCCAACATTCTTGGTAATGATGGCCCACAAATATCTAAATCCATTGCACCAACTTCTAAATCTGGATCAGCAGCTAATGCCCATGACAACATTGAAGTAAATGTAGATTTCCCAACACCACCTTTTCCTGAGAGAACAAGGATCTTATGGTCTATATTGGCTAATCTTTCATTGATTATGGGTATATCTGGGTCAGGACCTTTTGGTAATGATTCACAAATTTCTTTATTAGCACAACCATCACAGGCATCACCTTTACCAGCGTTTTCCGATTCTGGCCCTGGACAGTGTTCTGGTTCTGGAGCTTTGAGATGAGGGTTGTCCAGTTGTCTCGTTATTGGGGACTCCACGGCTATCATCTTTATTGTTGTTAATGTGGTTATGGAAAGCAGAAGATAGTAATTTTGGTTTCGAATAATTTATTTGATTCTCTGACAATTGCTTACAAACTGAAAAAGAAAAGTCAAAGAAAAAAAAAAAAAAAAAACAAGAGAAATTTCAATGATCATAAATCTCAAATTATCCGTAGAAATATTTGATTTTTGGTGCTAGTTATACTACATTTATCTTCTTGAAATTTCATTCTGATTCCAATGGTACCAAAAGCAGCATTTTTTGGCCGTCGACCAAATTAGGTAATTTGTAGACTTCCCACTTCGGTAATTTTAAGCATTTGGAATAGCGCGTTGAAAATAATTCACAACTTGCCACAACTAAACTCATACACCTTTCCTACTTCTCAAAATTCATACTCAACGTGTGATCCACTCAATACTTGCTCAGATCTCAATTGTCACGATTATCAAACTTTCGTGAAGATAAAGGAAATCAGATTTGACGCGTTTTTTCTCGGTGATACATCAAGAATCAAGATTGAAGGAAGCACGATTCAACCAAATACCATGAGTGAGTTCAGCACAGACCAAGTCATCAACATGGATATAAACAATGGTGTTAATGACATACGAGATGATTCAACAGATCCAGAAGTAAGTTCCATTCAGAATAGGGTTTGCTCTCGAATATGGTTTTCATAGCACCTCTATCCTACATGGCCATTATGTACTAACAATCAATTTAAAGGGAACACCTGCTATAACTGGACCAGATCCTCAAACTTTGAGTGAAAAACAGAAGTCTTACTTTGTTGATCAATCTAAGCCAAAGTTTAATGTTCAAGAAACAGCTAAAAGATTCAAATATTTATTGGGTTTAACCGGTTTATTCTCCCATTTCATCAATAATAAAGCTGAGAAGGATCCAAAGTTTCGTCAAGTTTTGGATATTATCGAGAATGATAAAAATGGCTCAAAGAAAGCTAAGACCACAAACAATAGAAGACGTAAAACTGAAAAGGAAGAAGATGAAGAGTTATTACAAGATGAAGAAGATGAAAACAATGTCATCACAGAATTCACTGAAAGTCCAGGCTATGTCCATGGTGAACTGAGACCATACCAAATTGCTGGCTTGAATTGGTTAGTTTCCTTGCATGAAAATAACATTTCTGGTATTTTGGCTGATGAAATGGGTTTGGGTAAAACTTTACAAACTATCTCATTCCTTGGTTATCTTCGTTACATTAGAGGTATTGAAGGTCCTCATTTAGTTATTGTGCCAAAATCTACTCTAGATAATTGGTCAAGAGAATTTGCTAAATGGACACCAGATGTCAATGCTTTCATTTTACAAGGCGATAAAGATCATAGAGCAGATTTGATCAAAAACAGACTATTAACTTGTGATTTTGATGTTTGTATCACTTCATATGAAATTGTGATTAGAGAAAAGGCACAATTTAAAAAATTTGACTGGCAATACATTGTCATTGATGAAGCTCATAGAATTAAGAATGAAGAATCCATGTTATCACAAATCATTCGTATGTTCCATTCAAAGAACAGATTATTGATTACAGGTACACCATTACAAAACAACTTGCATGAATTATGGGCCTTGTTAAATTTCATTCTACCAGATGTGTTTTCAGATTCCGAAGCATTTGATCAATGGTTTTTGGCTTCTAATGAAGGTACTCCAGATCCATCAGTTAGCGGTGAAGAAAGAGATTCTAAGAAACAAGACCAAGTTATTCAACAATTACACAAAGTTTTACAACCATTTTTGTTACGTCGTATAAAGAATGATGTGGAAAAATCATTACTACCAAAAAAGGAAGTCAACCTATATATTGGTATGTCTGAAATGCAAAGAAAATGGTATCAAAGTATTCTTGAAAAAGATATTGATGCAGTTAATGGTGCTAATGGTAAACGTGAATCCAAAACAAGATTGTTAAACATTGTTATGCAATTGAGAAAGTGTTGTAACCATCCATATTTGTTTGAAGGTGCTGAACCAGGTCCTCCATATACCACAGATGAACATTTGGTTTACAATGCTCAAAAATTGAAAGTTTTGGATAAACTATTGAAAAAATTGAAAAGCGAAGGTTCAAGAGTTTTAATCTTTAGTCAAATGTCCCGTTTACTAGATATTTTAGAGGATTATTGTGTGTTTAGAGATTACCAATACTGTCGTATTGATGGTCAAACTGATCATGCTGATAGAGTTAGGGCAATTGATGAATATAATGCCCCAGATTCTGAAAAGTTTGTGTTCTTGTTAACTACAAGAGCTGGTGGTTTGGGTATCAATTTAACCTCTGCAGATATTGTTGTCTTGTATGATTCTGATTGGAACCCACAAGCTGATTTACAAGCTATGGATAGAGCTCATAGAATTGGTCAAACTAAACAAGTTAAAGTTTTCAGATTGGTTACTGAAAATGCTATTGAAGAAAAAGTTTTAGAAAGAGCCACTCAGAAGTTAAGATTAGATCAATTGGTTATTCAACAAGGACGTAATTCTGGTGCTGTCAATCAACCACAAACTGCTAAAGGTACCTCAAAAGATGATTTGTTAAATATGATTCAATTTGGTGCTTCTGAAGTCTTCAACAAACAAAATGGTGTTGATGCAGAAAGTGATGAGTTTGATCTTGATAAGATTTTAGAAAAATCTGAACAAAAAACCTCCAAATTATCAGAACGTTACTCTAAATTAGGTCTTGATGAATTGCAAAAATTTGCATCTGATTCTGCATATGAATGGAACGGTGAAGATTTCAAAAAGAAGGGAACTGAAAAGATTGCTGGTTTGACTTGGATTAATCCAGCTAAAAGAGAACGTAAGGAGAATTATTCAATTGATATGTATTATAAAGATGTTTTACATACTGGTGGTAGAACTTCAAATGATAAGAAAACTCCAAGAGCTCCAAAACAACCAAATATTTTTGATCATCAATTCTACCCTATCAAATTACAGGAAATATTTGATCGTGAAAAGGCATACTTTAGAAAAACAATTGGTTACAAGGTCCCATTGCCTGAAGGACCAGATTCAGAATTTGAACAAAGAGAAGCTGAACAAAGATTACAACAATTGGAGATTAAAAATGCTGAACCATTAACTGAAGAGGATGAAGCTGAAAAGGCTGAATTATTACAACAAGGTTATGCCAATTGGTCTAGAAGGGAATTCACTCAATTCATTCAAGTTTGTGCCAAATACGGTAGAAATTCAATAACTGCAATTGCTTCTGAATTTCCTGAAAAGACATTAGATGAGGTTCGTGAATATGCAAAAGCATTCTGGACACACTATACACAAATTGAAGGTTACGAAAGATATATTTCTCAAGTTGAAGCTGGTGAAGAAAAAATAAGAAAATCCAAGTTGCAAAAGGAAGCACTAAGAGTCAAATTATCAGAATATTCCAATCCATTACAAGAGTTGGTTTTGAAATTCCCTCCAGCCACTACAAACCGTCGTGTTTTCTCTGAAGAAGAAGATAGATATATTCTTGTTCAACTATATCGCTTCGGTCTTGATAGAGCTGATTTACATGAAAGAATTAGAGACAGCATCAGATCATCGCCATTATTCAGATTTGACTTCTTTTTCCAATCAAGAACACCATCAGAAATATCAAGAAGAGCTCAAACTTTATTGGCATGTGTTGTTAAGGAGATTGAAGGTGGATCAAAGATCAATAGAAAGAGAGTTAGAAAAGATGATGAAGTTGAAGATGATGAAGTTGAAGTGAAAAAGAGTCGTGGTAAAAGTAGAGGTAGAAAATGATTTAAGTTGTTTTTGTAAAATTTAATTAAATAAATTTGTGTTATTACTATTAAACTAAAAATGAGACCGTAAATGCTTGTTCATATATAAACCACTCTCTGTATTGTCCGTTTTGATATTGTTTGTAGTTTTTTCGTTTGGTTCTGTTTATCCTCCTTCTCAAATATTTCAAGCAAATCTTTGTCTATATGTTTTTTTGCCTTTTGCAACGTTGAATATCTCTTCAAAATAGTACCATCTCTATCGACTAGGAATTTCTCAAAGTTCCATTTAACACGTTTTGTATTCAAAAACCCATGCTTATTCTCTTTCAAAAACCTAAATACTTCACTTTGGTTCTTTCCATTCACTTTAACTTTCTCCATTATTGGGAATGATACGTCAAACCTTTTTCGACAATTGTCAGCAACTTCTTGATTGGTTCCTCTCTTTTCTTGATGAAACTGATTAGAAGGGAATGCTAACACCACAAAGTCTCTATCTTTATATTTTTGATATAGGGCTTCTAGTTGTCGAAGTTGATAAGCAGAGGCACATTGTGTAGCAACATTGGCGACCAGCACTATTTTCCCAATAAATGAATGGAAATATATTGGATTATCATCACAATCAAATGTGTATAGGTCATGGAAATTGACAACACTTTTGGTATCAGTCTCTTCTTGAATCACTTTTTCAGTTATTTCTGGTAATAAAGATATGACATCCTGTGAACTTCCATGGCTACTTCCAGTTTCACTGACCAATGTTTTCTCTGACTCTGTTGATTGTTGCATTATTGGACTCATTATCAAAGGTGAAATGCTCTTTACAATCCACTGAAAGAGAGCACAGGGAAATGGGTATAATTTATAGCAAAATAAACATTACCCAAAGGGGAACCATCAAATAGATATACCACCATTTCAACAACTGTGAGGAGGGAACCTTTCTTTTCAAACAGCAGCACCCGTTTGAGACCTTTAACTCAATCTGGAAGTATAATTGAATCAAGTGCAGCTCTGTGTCGACGATCTTCACCACCATCCACCGAACAATAACCAGCGGCACAAACCACATAATGACGCACGAGGTTCTAGAGCTCAATAAACCACTGTCCATGCAGAGAGAACAGGCCATACCAAAAAGCAGCTATCAGTTTTTGCATCGATACGGTGTTTTGAGGTCTCAATGAGAAATGTGGATTCAAATGCTTCAATTTTAGTGCAATGATGCTCATCAAACTTTGAATAGCCAATGAAACCAATTCTGGCAAATAAGTAAGACAATACAATGATTCACTGGCTGTCAGAGAACGCTGAAACTGAACTCACCATGTCGTTTGATGTTTGGCACGATGAAGAAGCTCCATCACCGTGGCATTTCGCAAATCAATTTTTCAAGTTTACATGAAATGGTGGTGAAGTACATGTGTGAAGTTTAAACCAGGGATCGTGTTGAGAGTTGAAAGGGCTTTCAAGCTGATAAGGAACAGGAACTGATTTAATCCAATTGTCATTCTGGGCCTTGGTTAACACTGTACACAGGCACCTTGCGTTGCCCAAGACCATGTGCTTTTGAGGTTCAAGCTTGTAAAATGCCCTATCTTGACGGTGATCTTAAGCCAACATCAATTTCGAGCCACAACGCGAACCACCTTGGAGACCAAATTGTTAATAGATACGGAATTTGATTGTACTGCGTAATTCCAAATATCACAGATTTGTTTGATTTTGCAAAATTGCTGACAGTTTCTTATACGTGATCAGTCGGTTCAATCAGTAACGTAGCTTGAAGCATCTAATTTGAGTTCATTATAAGTAGCTATGCAGTACTGGTAGATTAGTGAATTAATGGACGACGTTTTTGAATACTTTTGAAACTATTGGAAAACAAATATGACTTCAAGCCCAATGATATGCTCATTTAATCGCATTCATACAGCTGTGTTGCAATTATAATATGTACTCTATCTCTGCAAGAAACATTATAACGATATTTGTCGTTCAACTATATAACGGATTTCGGTGGACGGCGCCCGAATGCGCTGTATTGTAATATTGAATTAATATGAATTATAACTAGTTCTCATATATTCATGATGACAACTTGAGTTTTACTGAAGGGTACACGTCAGCTAGTGTCGAAGGAGCTCATGTATACGTGAAAATTTAATTTTGCTCACGTCGTCATGAATATTATCATGTCGATGGGTAGCTATACAGGCGCTTCCACTAGTAATTATAATAAGATATTATTTTCATAATTATTAATGCAGTTAGTATTATATTAATAAGCTACTAGCTGCTGTCAATATGTATAATTGACGACGTTAATTGTTAATATATTTCTAATTTGATGAATTAACTTGGATGAGGAATGCAATTACGCACGATTAACCGCTTGGATTCATGTTATAGGCTAATTCTCTGGAATTCAGGCAGCAGCTTCCTTATAATATCCTTCTCAGCGGCCAACTGAGAAATATATTACGTCCCCGCGGCAATATTAATATTATCCGTCGATTATAGATACGTCGTCTTCATTAAAATTAATTATATTATTAATTAAATATTTATAATTAATCTTATTAATAATTAGAAGATCATCGACATCATGAGAAAATATTATATTTAATTATTTTTTTTTTTTTTTAGTTGATGTATTTGATGAACTTGGATGAGGAATGCAATTACGCACGAACCGCTTGGATTGTAGGCTTCTCGCTATGCTGGAATTCAGGCTTCCTTATAATATCCTTCTCAGCCAACTGAGAAACCTATATATATATTTAATTAATCATTAAATTAATTGTACAGTACAATTAGCTAGCTACAGCTAGCTGGTAAGAATATTAATATTATTAATGAACTTATAAATATTAATATTATACATCAACGTCTAATTAATTAAAAAAAAATTAAAAAAAAATTTATAATATTAAAATTAATATGCAGCAGCAGCTTATACTAGGCGCTAATATTTATAATAATATTTAGTACTAAAATAATGTGCAGGTACAATTATAACAATAGGCGACAGCGCCAGCAGCTTTATTAGTTTATTAAGCTCATGAGTACGACGTACCTCATCATGTATAACTTAATTTTTCAAATATTAATATTCAGCTAGCTGCTGATAATTATCTAGTAATTCTTTTGATGTAATTATATTATAATTGAAATATAATTGAATTACATAAGATTCAAAATGCCCTATATGATAAGTGGAATATTGAACTTCGAACTTTGCAGAACTTATAATATAATTGTACAATTATATTCATTATAGCTATTCTTTTGATCTTCTTATAAGGAGCATTTGGCCCTGACTCTTGGACAATTTGTAGTAATGTGTATGAACTTGAAAGCAGTTGAGCATCATTCAAGAGAAAAATCCAACTCTGATATGTCAACTAGCTACTTGTTTTCACGTGAATTGATTTTTAAATGAAGATGTGATCTTGAGATCTTTATATAAAATTCATGAAGTATTTCGTAATATCTGACAAATAATTTCGCGAATTTCTTCAAAAGCTGGATACAGGAAATCAAAACAAATTCCATCATATAATGTGAGATGCAGAGAAAGTTCAAATCGTGACGTTTGAAAGCCAATTGGCATGGCTAAATCATTGTGACTTGCTCTCGTACTAGAAACCAAGCAACTGCAGCAATTTAGGATACATGGGTGTCGCAGCCGTATGGGAAGTGACTAAACGCGGATTTGATGAAAGACAACCTTTTAGTGTTTTAGTTACAAACTTTTACAAAGAACATGGGAGACCAATAAGGATAGCCATAGATGCTTACCAGTGGATATTTGAAGCTGGTAGTCTTGGTCAGTCTATGAATTTACCTTCGGCCACTCGTATCAGCAAATTGATTCAAAATTTTCATGCAAGAATTAGAGAGTTGATTTCATTGAACGTTTCATTTGTGCTTGTATTTGATGGTAGATTCAAACCGAATTTCAAAAGAAATGTTGAGTTGCAAAAAGAAAGATCTATTGAGCTGGAAGATAAGGATTTCGATTCGGAGTATTTGAAATATAAGGAACTTAGTGAACGAAATGGAAACACTTTAGATCATGTTAATGATTTGCCTGATATTGCTGAGCTGAAAAGGGAACTCACAAGATGGAACATAGACTATGTCGAGGCTCCAAGCGAAGGTGAGGCCGAAGCATCTAGACTTCAACGAGTAGGTGTGGTGGATTATGTATTAAGCAATGATAGTGATTCAATAATTTTCGGTGCTACCAAAATACTGAGAAACTTTTCAAGATTTGAAGATGACAAGCCTGCTGGTGCAACTGGAATTAAGGATCGAGATGAATATTGGTGTACTCCTGTAAATATGAGTGCTGTTAAAAGGAAAACAGGGTTTGATCGTTGGAGAATATTGTTATTTTCAATTTTGACTGGTGCTGATTACAATAATGGGGTCAAGAATATTGGATCAGAAAAGGCCTTTCAATTGGCATTATCTTCCACTGAGTTTATTACAAGACATATTGCCACTTGTCCTTATGAAGAATTTCCAGATTTCTCAACCCAATTGAAACAGATCTATTACAGAGATGATGGATTACCTCAATCTGATACCAGAAGAACCAAGTATAAAACGTTTCAAGCCGATCTGTTCAAACACGTATCTGAAAACATCTTGGAGTATTTTGGAAGGAATGAGAGAGCTATGATAAAAGATGGTTATTTTGATAATTTCCCACCTGATTATGTTGTTATGCTCTATTATTACCCCCTATTGAAAAAAGATATATTCCAATTCAAAGAAGGTTCTACAAACTTTGCTGAAACAAAAAATCCTCAAAGCTGGTTTGATCTTCCAAAATTTCAAGATTCGCTAGTATGCTTTAAAAAGACTCCACCACCAAATGTTACAGATGTCGATATATGGTTCACGAGAATTCTGACTGAAGCTTATCTGCTAAAACATATTATCCATGATGTCGAAGTACCTGCTGTTATAGAGAAAATGAAAACCAAAGAGATTGGAACATTCGATTTAGATCAACTAAGTGTGAGGTTCAAACACTTTTTCCCATTTGGAGAAATCGAAGATCCTGAAGACTCAGATACTAAGAAGACCAAAAAAGGGCACCTTAAATGGATACCAAAGGATCTTGTTCCTACAACATCAAAATATTATACAGATTATTTGGAAAGAGAAGAAGCCAAGAGGAAAGAAGAAGAAGAGAAGGCAAAGTCAATAAAAAAGAGATCACCCAGAAAGAAGAAACCAACTCAGGCTTCAACATTAATATCAATGGGATTCATTGATGCTCCTACTATAGAAAAACACACACCAATGCTACAAAGAAAGAAGTCTGTTGGTGTGCAGAAACAATCCACCACTGTGCTGGATATGTTGAAAGTCAGTAAGGATCCTAAAACTCCAATACTGCCACCAGCCTTACCACCAGTTACCCAAACCAGTCCTACTAAGAGCCAGCCACTATTTGTCGAGGAAGACTTTGAATCTGACTTTTCAGATGGTTCAATTGAAGAAATTGGTGATCCTGCCGGTGAAATTGATTCATCACCTTTAAAACCTAACAAGACTTCACCAACCAAAATTGAAACAGAAGTCAAGAGTGCAATCCAGGAAAGTCCCATTAAAGTTAAATCGAGAAAGCAAGAACACAACACCAGTCCTTCAAAAGGTAGTAGAACTTATGAAGTTCAAGATCTCGAAGAAGATACCGCATTTTCTCGTGCAAAGAAAAAATTAGATTTCACCAAAGTCCAAAACACTTCAACGCCCATGAAAAAAACACCATTGGAGAATTTTAAAACCACTCAAGAGGAGCAAGAAATTTCTATAATAACTATTAGTGACACATCAATGGCCAATGATTCATCATTGATGGAGATATCTCAGTTCTCAAAGTCAAATGAAAACGAATCCCCAAAGAAACAGACAATTCCTGAAAAACCCGAGAACCAATTGAAAAACTATTCAGCTTTAGACGATATATTGAAACCAATTGAATATTCAAGCGATGATAGTGATTAAACGAGTTATGATTTGTAATAATAAGAGTAAATTAGATTTTCCTTGAAGTAGTTAAATTAGACTGTCGGTATGGACTTCCTTACAATAGTTGGCTGACTAAGCCTTGGGTGTAAAGCTTAGTCAGAATCCCGTTAAAGCTCCAGTATCTGAAATGTTTGGAATAAGCTTTAAAAGAACCCTTTTTGTTCCATTTTTCACTCAATTTTATTCCTAGTCGACTCATCAAGGTATATAATCATGTCATCACCAAGATCAAAAGTGTTAATAGTTGGTTTAGGAGGTGTTGGTGTGCTAGCAGCATATGCACTAGAGTACAATAAAAAGGCTGAAGTCACTGCCCTAATACGTTCAGATTATGACAGAGTTATAGAGAAAGGTTATGAAATCAATTCCGTTGATTACGGTCACATTGAAGGATTTAGACCAACCCATGTTGTCAAGACAATCGAAGATGCTAAGAAATATGGTGAATTTGATTTCATCTTGGTGACTACAAAGAACATTCCTGATATTCATGTTGTGGAAGATGCCTTCGCAGATGCAGTAAGTGACAAGACAACGATTGTGTTGTTACAAAATGGATTTGGTATTGAAAAGGCTACATTTGAAAGATTTCCAGGCCATATTGTGCTAAGTGGTGTTTCTATGATCAGTTCTGCAAATTTTCACGGAGTTGTTGAACATGTTGGTACTGATAGTCTTGGGATTGGGTATTTTGATAATGGTGTAAGCTCAAAAGAGGAACAACAAGCTAAAACCAAGCAATTCATTGAGTTGTATGAAAATGATGCAATTGATTGTCATATTGATGAAGATGTCAAATTTTCAAGATGGAGAAAGTTAGTATACAATGCATCATTCAACACTATCGGTGCTCTAGTCGACTTAGATGTCGGTCGTATTCAAGAAGCTGGTGGTACAGATACTTTAATCAAACCGACAATGAGGGAAATTTTCAGAGTTGCTGCATCTGATGGCGTTACGTTAGATGAATCATTGATGGATACCATGATACATTCAGATGATGGTAACTGGTACGCCCCATCGATGTTGGTCGATGTAAGAAAAGGTAACCAAATAGAGCTAGAGATTATCTTGGGAAATGTTTTAGAAATTGCTAAACAGAATAACGTTGAAGTTCCTATATTGTCTGTTCTTTATAATTTATTGCATTTAGTTCAATTTAGATTGAAAGAGCAAAATGGCCTCATAAACCTTCCAGAGGAAAGACCATTGAAAAAACAAAAAACTTCAGATTAGTTATAACTCAGAATCGCATTATGTATAATTAATATTCAACCAAACGTTTTTGACACCCATTGTAATACAATGATCGCGTAGTCTGCCAAGTCGCGACGGTGCAACAACGAAAAATGATAAAGAGAGAAAAAAAAATAGACGTGTAATATGAATCGCCTTATTTACTCACAAACAAAACCGCTATCAAATTAAGTTGATAGGGTATTGGATTCCCAAATCAATCATGAGTGATATCGTCAATATGCTGACACGGAGACAAAGTCTACAGCCACCAAAATCGAGTCCCAACAGACCATCCCCTGTGAAATCATCAACTATTTCAAATAACTCAAGTAATAGCACTGTTAGTAATGATGATGTTGGTTCTGAAGCGGATAAAGGAGGGTTTTCATCAATAAGCAATAGTGATGCTGATAGTGAGAGTGATGATGATGACGATCCAGTTAATAATTTGATTAGTTCGTTGAGTGGGTCAGGTGTGAAGAGATCATTATCCTCACTAAGTGCTAAGCGCTCTGATGTTTTTGAAGATGATAGATCTGGATTGAAAAGATTGAAATTACCACCAGTAGTTAAAGCGCCATTTTTGAAGAAGAATAATGGTTCCTTGATTAAAAAATCCACAGAGTTGCAACAATTACATGTAAAAGATGAAGAAGAAGCAATTAAATCATTGAAAGAGAACAAGACACCAAAAGATCGAATTTTGCAAAAATTGGATAAGAAAGCTGCAGAGGATAAAGATTATGTTGAATATTTGGCATTGCATAAAGATAATCTACAATTGGATGATTTCTATTTCATTAGACAAGCACCTTATGTTAAACCAAAAACTATCAGTCAGCCAATAGAATTATATTGTATTCCTGGGATGATACGACAGGAAGATAATGGAGCAGAATTTGATGTTTTCAACGAGTTTGACAATGAAGTGATATTGAGAGAAATTACAAGAATCAATAAGTGCGATATAGATGCTGATGGAATTAAACAATACATGACAAATTTGGGAGCCTGGGAAGAAGTGATGGGTCATGATGAGTTCAGTGTTACTGAAGATGATTTGGAGATGGACTCCAAGAAGAAGACACAAGATATTGGAATAATAGTTACAAAGTTCAATTATTTGGTTCAAAAAATAATACATTCTGATTACAATTTGGAAAAATTTGAATATATTTTCAAGATGTTTGGGTTTTTCATGATGGATAGAAGGGTTTTCAACTCTGGTGAATCTAATTTGTTCAGTAATCTAACCAATGAGTTGATTAAATGGAGATTCGATTCTGAGGGGAAAATTGCATTGGACTCAGTTGTACATTGTTGGTATTCATTATCAGATCAATTGCACTTGATCAGAAGAATAATTGAGTCATTGGCAAGTGATGTTTCAGTCATAATTGCAGAACTCAGAAGACTTTTGTCATTAGATGTATTTTTACAAGGTCAAGCTACAGATTTGAGGTTCATTGAGAACCCAATTGAATTTAATAGTCTTGTTAATAATCAAATTTATCAAAAACTATCAGAGTGGAACAAACATGGAAGAGACTTCTTTGCGCACGGTGATTTCTTCAATACAAAAGTTGAGTTTCAATGTTTATTCCAATGTTTTAATTTTGTTTATTTAGAGAATAAGACTGAATTAGATCAAATCAAAAATGAGATTGAGAAATTAAGAACAACGGTTTCTACAAGTTTCCACGATTCTGAGCAAGCATCTTTCAAATCATTATTGTTATTGATAGCTACAGTATTTGATGCAGGTGAGATAAATCCTGGTGAGCAACATCAATAAATAGAACGATAATACAAGGTAAAAAAAAACATCTATTTAATTTGTATTTGCGCTTTCTATTGTTCTATTTTTTTGGTAAACAATTCTGGTAGAACTTTTGGTAATTCTAGAATATCCCTAATTAACAAACTTCCTTCAACGGTGTTCTTTAGATCTTCATCTCTTTCTAAAAACAAAACAACTTTTTTGAAACCTAATTCAACAGCTGTCTTAATATTGGAGCTTGAGTCATCAACAAAGTAACAATTTTCATATTTTGTAACACCGGCTTCATACATTGCCTTATCAAAACTTTCCTTCATTGGTTTACAAACCAAACTATCTTCACCATAATCACAATAAGTTAATCCATCAAATAGATCACCAATTCCTAGTAAGGAAATAACTCTTTTGGCGTGATTCTTGTACGCATTTGTGAATAACCATAATCTATCAACAGTTCCAGATTCTCGTAAATTTATCAACAACTTTCTCAATTCAGGATCTGGTTTCAAGATGTCTTGTAGTGGTAGAGCATCGTCAACCTTTTTATTATATTCAAGAGCATCAATCTTGTGATATTTGACTAAACCTTGAATAGCCAACCCATAAGTTCTATAATAATTATGCTGTAAATCGTAAGCTTCTTGATCACTGATATTCAAGGTTCTAACAAAATAATCATGAATGTACTCTTGCATTAATTCATGAATTTTTGTTGATCTTTTATAAAGACAATTATCAATGTCAAAGAAGAAAACAGTGTCATTTGGGCTTTGTGGATTAACAGGACCTGATTCAAAAGGTAAAACAGGTTTTGACCCAGGGTGTGATAAAGATTCCAAGTTCTCTTTATTCTTTTGAAGCACCTGTTGAATATGAAGGTTATATTCAGAGTTTGTTGAATCGTCATTGATTTGATATAAATTGGTCATTCTGGAGAAATGGTGCTTTGTGACTCTTTTTGTTAATTGATTGTTCAGATTTGATCGAAGTGGTTGATTCTTGAACAGATGGGTTAGCATCTAATATTGAAGGGTTGAATTGATCAGGCTGACTGTATTTGGGTAACTTCCTTTCTCAATGAGTCATACAGAGGGAGGTTCTTAAAATTAATGAAACACTTTCAGAGTCTTGAATGTTCGGGATCTGTAATTAATCCTATTATTTATGTGCTAAAGTCGGAATTGCACAGATAAGAGCACGTGCCAAAGCCAATTCCGGGAAGCACAGATTCGATTCTGAGCAGGAGCATATATTTAAATTTTGCTGTAAAATAAACTTTGTTTTTCAAGCCCCACCGGAAAAATTTGAATTTTACACCGTTGAAAGAGTGGGTTTTAAATTTTCAAAAAAAAAGCATAATTAAAGGTGTATGGTGAATAAGAATCGAATATTGACAACATCTATGGCTGCCAATTACTCGTAGCAGATCTTCCAGATACGATTCCTCTCAATCACGTACGATTAGGCTGCCCAACCGTTGGAGCCCAGGTCCAGCCCATTTCTGCCCAACTCTGGCCTGTGCGTGGCCCTGACCAAAACAATTTTTTCGTTGAGTGGCCAAATCTTGACCAGTTCAAAAGTCATACCATAGAGGCGCCATCAGTTAACCAGAACATCATCAGATAGTGTCACAGCTGCGAGAGTCCATATATTTAATACCCATCTTTCCTATTGCTTATCTTTCATCTCAACATAGCCCTCGTTTAGACCAACAAATCCAAGGATAACTATAATAGAGATCCTGATATATAAACTATAGATCATCATCATCAATCAACAACTTCATTGAAAGACATAAATATTCATCAAGGGGAAAAAGGGAACTCAATAGAGCTTATACTGTCAAGATATTCATCAAAACAAAAAAAACGATACTAATAATAACAACAACAATAAAAACTACACAAAATGTTCAGATTAACAGCCCAATCAAACGTCTTGAAGTCAAGAATTGCAAACCAAGTTGTTTCAAATGCAAGAAACTCTTTAAACCACTCAATAAGGTTTAACTCTGTTGCCTTGGAAAGATCAGCTTCATCTGAAATCAACAACAACAATAACAATAATGGTAATAATTCATCATTCAATTTCAGTAAAACAATCAAAGACGTTGCATCTTCTCAAAATCAACAAAAGGAAAAAAATAACGCTTTTAAAAGCTATAGATCTTCTAATAATTCATCTTCATCTCCTTGGTTCAATCAATTAAATGCATTTGAAGACTGTGTTACTCAAACTGCAGATTTCAACTCAAGTGGTTCTCAACCTTTCTTTTGGGAAAATGCTCAAAAGGCTATGAATTTGTATCATGAATTGAGAGGTACACCAGATTTCACACCAGCAGCCATTGGTAAATTATGTCATTTGCTTCATAGTGGGTTAAGAGCTAATAGATTCCAACTAACAAGATTATCTAAAAAACCAGATTATGATTCTAAATCATTCCACACTGAAATGCAAAACTTTGTTAAATACTCTGTCAGAGAAATTATTAATGATTTATTGGAGCAAAGAGTCTCTGTTAATGAAAATGGTGCTATGCATTTATTAACAAGTTTAAAAGAATTGAAATTAGATCAAGAAGCAGTTGCTGTTTGGAGTGGTGCTATGAAAGTTGAAACTTTGAAAGATACTTTCTTACAACCAAGAGTCGTTGGTGTTTTGTTACCATTGATGTTCGAAGCTGGTACTCCTTTCGAAGATGTTAATGCTTTATTCCAAGAATCAAGAAAAGCTACTGTTCAATTACATCAAAATTTAGCCATTGGTATGATCAAGACTTGTCTTGCTGCTAATCAAGATAATCAAGCTTTAACTTTATTCACTGAATTATGTCAAGATGCCAAACATGGTAAAGTTCCTTATATGATTGAAGCTCACTTGACTTTTATTGGTGATTGTAAAGATTTAAACATTGCTGGATCATTTTTTGAAAAAGCCATCAATAGAGAAATGCCTTATAGATTAAACTTGCAAGTTAATTCAGTTAAATCTTACTTGAACAACATTTGGGAAGAAACTGGTGACTTCAACAGAGTTGTTGATGCTTGGACTAAAGCTACAACTTTTTACGGTAGAAACATTCATCATGGTATTTCATCATCTTTAAACAATATGTTCTTTGAAATCTTTTTCAAGAAATATGAAGGTGATAGAATTGCTGGGTTGGCTCACTTGAAAGATATTATTGCTGTTTATAATGATATCAAACCAATTGATGAACCTTTCTTCAATATCATCATTTCAAAATGTGGTGTTTGGGGTGATAAAGAAACTATTGACTCATTATACAAGGCTTATGATATCTATCGTGTTAAGAAAACACAAATCTCACGTCGTATCTATTTGAAAGTTTTAGGTTCTGTTAATTCTACTGAAGAAGAAATTTTATCAAGTTGGTATGATATGCTAAGATTTGCTGATTATGAAGGTTCAACTTATATTGCTAATGCTGACTGGGCTGCTATCAGAGATGCTACTGTTAATTCAAAGACCAATCAAAGAAATTTGTTATATTGTCAAATCTTTAAGAAATATGGTGCTTATTGTCGTGATGCTCGTCAATTCAAGAAATTGAGACAAAACTTTGAAGATTCTGCAAATGGCTCTTTAATGGATCTTGCTCAAATTGATGATTCAAATGTTCAACTAGTTGACTTTACTTCAATCAGAAGAACCCACATTTGATTGAAGAAATCAAACTTATACCAATGAAATGTATTAAAAAAAATAGAAAAAACTGCATGAAAACAAAAAAATAATAATAACAAAACTTTAAGGATTTTATGACGACTTATGGGATACTTGGTGAGAATCTGTATATAATAATAACTCAATTCAATAATAATAATGACGCTATTTTGGTTTGTCTAGTAGATTCCTGTTTGATGAGATCTTGATTTCCCGCGAAAAAACAGATCAACTTGCACAAAGCCACTTTTTCCAAGAAATTTGATGGTAGAAGGTAGAAGTACCGAGTTACCAAATTCTTTGGCGATACAATATCATTCATTAATTATCTAGCAGCTTGATCTTATAAATCCAGGTAGACATTACAAATGGGTAATTGTATGAGTAGTGGCTCCAAAACTTTAACATCAGAAAAAGAAACTCACCAGACCACAAAACGTACAACTCAAACGATCCAACGAAACGATAACAATGCAACAATAAAGAAACCAACTCCCGTAAAGGTTTCCAAGCCATCATATCAACAATCCAAGGGCCACAAGCTAAGTGATAACTCTTCAAGTGAACCGGATAGCTCAATCCAAATCCTAAGCCCAAAGGAAGCTGCTGCTAAAGCTGCTGAACAACGAATGATTGAAAAGGCCAAATCACAGGGGAAACTAGGAAATAAATTAGAACAAGAGAGAAAGAAGAGTGCAAGAACTCATCTTGCTGATGAAAGTGAACGTGTAATTCAAATGAAGAAAGCTAGTGAACTAGTTTATGATTGAACTATAGTGCGGTGTAAGATATATGAAGGTAAAGGGTGCTTTCGGTATCGTCTTCTTTTATAACTACAAGTATCCAATTGGTTTTTTTAATGCAAATGATTTTATGAAATGAATTTATGAATAAATCTATAGAGAAAATTTACCAGTTTGGTGTTGTGCTTTCTTTAGTCCATCAATGATTATCTTTTTGAACAATTCAACAGCCTCTGAAACTTGATAATCCTTTTCAGCTTCAACCAATAAATACAATTTTGGCTCTTCACCTTCTTTTGGTTGTTGACCTTCTGGATAAAATTTACCTTTATAAGTGACCGATGTAGATGTTTGTTCAATAACTTTTGTCAACGTTGTATTATTTGTTGCAATCCATCTAATGTTTTGTGGTAGATCATTGATATTAATTCTTGCATTATAGGTACCACTATCTGGAGCTGACCCATCAATTTTAGAATTATAAACAATATCAATGTTAGCACTAGCATCTACCTCATTGTCGCCATCCTCCCCGTTATCAACTTCTTCGCCATCACTATTAACAGCAACAATCTTCTTCTTCTCTTGATCATCTTCACCATATTTCTTTCTCTCAGTCTTTTCAGTATCATCTCTTAGTTTATCAAGATGATCTAAACCTTTACCACCAAACCCAGAACTAATTTTTTTCTTACCGGCTTTCAACTCTTTCTCAAATTGGACAGCCAATTCCTTAATGTCTTGCGGTATCTCATCTTCAACCATACACTTATACAAGATAAATGCTTGTGTATCCTCATCTTTTGACAACAATGATATAGCAGTACCTTTTGTATTACCCCTGGCTGTTCTACCTGTTGTATGGACATATTGAGCAAATGTTCTAGCTGCATTGTACAAGACAACTAAGTTGACCTCTGGAACATCCAAACCTCTAGATAAAACCTCTGTACATATTAAAATGTTGGAACCTTTTCTGAAATTTGAAAGATTGGTAGTACGTTCATGAGCAGGTAAACCAGCATGAATTGGAACAGGTGAATAACCTTTATCAACTAGTCTTTTATTCATAAAATTCACTTGAACTTGGGAATCACAGAAGATGATTGTCTTTTGATCACCTTGTTTACCCAATAAGTTTAGAAGGTAATTGAACTTTTCGTCTTCGGTGCCAAACATCTTACCCATTTGTGTGATGTTTTCATTGACAACTTGTTTATTACCAACTGCAATAATGACGGGTTTCTTCAATATTTTCACAGCAAAAGTTTGAAGTTTTGAAGGAAAAGTTGCAGAAAACAAAACGCACTGCTTATCAGGTCTAATTGTTTTCATGATTTGATTAATTTGTGGTTCAAACCCCAAATCAAACAATCTATCAGCTTCGTCTAATGTAACAAAAGTAATTCTATCTGTCTTTAATAATTTCCCATTGTTCAATGTCAACAAATCAATAAAACGACCAGGCGTCGCAACGATAATTTCAATACCTTTCTTGATGTCATTAATTTGTTTATTCAACTCAGATCCACCTGTGCAGCAAATGGCTCTTAGTTTTGTGTTTTTGAGAAATACTTGACACGCTTCAAAGATCTGTAAAGCTAACTCTCTAGTGGGTGATAATATCAATCCCAAAGGACCTGTCTCACCATTTGCTAGAGGCCTTTGCTGTTTTATATGCTTCAACATACTTAGAAGAAAGCACATTGTTTTACCAGAACCAGTTCTACCTATACCGATGACATCATTTCCTGACATAATAGCTGGGATTGTTTGTGACTGAATAGCTGTGGGATTGTCAAATCTTAGATCATTATTTATTACATTCAAAGTTTGTGCATCAAGGCCAAAATGATAGAAGTTCATGACTGGATTGATTTTCTTATTGTTTATGAAGATGTTGTTCATGACTCTAAAATTGATCACTTCATCAGGATCTATAGACTCCAATTCAACAATGAAATTTTTGGGGAACTTCTCCATTTCTTTCATATTGTATTTAGGAATATGAAGGTCCTTGCTCTTCTTGTTTTTTAGCCTTTTCAAGAGCTGACCGGCCTCATCGTCGTCATCAAATCCGTAACTTTCTTCATCTTCACGATTGTTATCATCATCGTCATCGAGTCGAATATCTTCATCAGTTTTCAATTTTTCACCATTTTCAACGCCTTCTAATTCATTCATATAAGCATCCAATGGATCAAGCTCATCATCAGAACCTTGCTGTTTAATTGAATTACCGTCATCAGCTCCTTCCATTTCAACATCACCAGAACTTGGCTTGAACACCATTCTTCTCTGTGGCGTACTGTCCTCATCATCTGATCCCAAAAACACATTAGCCTTTTTGAGCCCATTCCCAGAACTAACTTTTCCTTTGGCCTTTGCTGTTAAAGGTTTGGTCTTCAGTATCGTTTTCTTGGGCAAGACAGGTTGTGGTGTTAATGGGGATGCTTCTTTTTCCTTTTCTTTCTTTCTCTCTTGTTGCTTTTTCTTCCAAGCCTCAAGTTTCTTAAGCCTCTCAAGTTTCTTCAAGTCCTCTGGAGTACTTTCTTTTGTAACATCAACAGCGTTGTCTGTAGCACCTCTTTCTGATGAGGGATCACCACCACCGTTCGCTGGCTTCTCAGCTTCTGTAGACCTCACCTGGCCACCTCTTGATCTATGACTTTCACCCTCATCACCCAAATTTCTCTCATATCTATCTCTGTCTCTATTCCATGCTCTATCACGGTCTCTGTCACTGTATCTGGATTGATTATCGTAATCTCTGTCTCTGTTCCAGTTTCTATCTCTTCCTCCGTAATTAGAGCGGCTATTATTGTATCTATTCATCTTAGTATTGGAAGTTTTGTAGATGAGCGTACCAAATATAATCTCAAACTAACCTTTCAAAGTCTTCACGTCACAAATTCCTCTGATGGTTTGGTGTTGTAATTGTTGATGCTACTTGTTCTGTTGACATGAAAATTTCAAGAGGCGGCAAAAGTTTGTAGAACAAGTTCGCGAAATCGAGATTTGGACATCGACTTGGACCAAAAAGTTTTATGACGAGCAGATTTCAATCAGCATCAAGAGTGCTTTAATCTTTAAAAACTCAGCTAAAAGCTTAGATTGAATATACTAGAAATGTCAGAAGCAAGTGATATTCAAGAACCTATATCAAATACTGAAAAAGTTGAAGCTGAGGCTCCAACAATGCAAGAAGAAGTCACAGAGGAAAGCAAGGAAGTGACCCAGAAACCATCTGAAACTGAGGAATCAAAGAGGGATGATGCAAAGACAACTGCTAATGATAATCCGTTGAAAATAAGAAAGAGAGCAGTCGATGGTAGCACAGCTCCAAGGGGGTTTTCAATGCGTCAAAGAGGTAACACAGATGAAAGTGCTAGAAGAGCTCCAATTAGAAACTCACCAGCTCCATCGTGGGCCAATAAACCGAAGCCAACTGTGAAGCCAACGTGGATTAAAGATGAAGACTACAAACTAGTTCATAATGAAAATTCAGAACCATCACCTGCAGAGTCTCCTGCCACAGAGGAACCTGCACGTAAGTTGAAGAGACCAAGTAGAAGAGGAAATGTTGATGATCAAGTGAGGAGGGCTCAAATGGAGAGAGAAAGGGAAACTGTCGTAGAACAAAAGATACAAGAAGAAATAACTAGAAAGAAAGAAAACTTGGACCAAATTGTCAGACAGCATTATAATCAAAGAGCATATGTGTCCAAGCATTCAAGAAGACACCTTTCTCCTATTATTAAATTAAGAAATTTCAACAATGCCATTAAGTACATGCTTATTGGAAACTTCTCGCAACCAGGCTGGAGAGCGTTGGACTTAGGGTGTGGTAAAGGTGGTGATATCAATAAGTGGAGTATGGCAAACATCTCTGAATATATTGGTATAGATATCTCGAATGCTTCGATCGTGGAAGCCATCAAACGTTACAATAATCTTCAGGCTGGATTTGAGACAACTTTTATTACAGGTGATTGTTTTGGTCAACCATTACCATTCATCCTAAAAGACTTTCCTCACATTCATTTACCAGTTGATATAGTGTCTATGCAATTTTGTATGCACTACGCCTTTGAAACTGAAATCAAAGCCAGAACCTTATTGGAAAACGTTTCCCGTTCATTGAGAGCTGGTGGTTATTTCATTGGTACCATTCCTAGTTCAGATTTCATCACAGAAAAAGTTGCTAAATTACCACCAGGTGAGAAGAAATTTGGTAATTCTATTTACTCAGTAACATTTGAAAATGATCCTCCACGCGACGGAAATTTCCGTCCAGCATTTGGTAACATGTATACATACTTTTTGAGAGATGCTATTGATAATGTTCCAGAATATGTGGTCCCATTTGAAGCTTTGAGAGCTTTGGCTGAAGAATTTGATTTGGAATTAACCTACAAAAAGACTTTTTTGGAAATGTTTAAGGAAGAGATTCCTACATGGTTTAGAAAATTGAACCCAAGACTAGTGGAAGGTATGAGAAGAACAGACGGAACGTATGGTGTTGAAGGTGATGAGTCTGAAGCTTCTGCATTCTATTTGGCGTTTGCTTTCCAAAAGGCAGCTTACTAGACTTACCATGTATAGATAGATACATTATAGCATTTTCTTGACTACAAGAAAAAGTGAAGCAAAACAAAGTAATAACATTTTTTAAACTCATAATGCAGTTGTAACGGTCATAGATTGGGAATTTATCAAGAAGATAGGTGGTAAATCATCACACCAAACTTGTAAATTATCCAAGTATTCCTTGCAGTCTTCTTCATTGTAATGCGTACCAATAACTGGGGCTGGTAAGGTTGAAAAGATAACCGGAACATTTTTGGAGACAGTTTTCATCATGTCATTTAAAATCAAGTGTTGAGCTTTTGCTGGTAAATCATTAAATGAAAGGTTATTAATATCAAAAGAATCATCACTTTCTTGAGAAGGGTCAGACTTTGGGGAGACTGGATCTTTTGTGTTGAATGGTTCTGGGGATTTTGGCATTTCGATTGAGTCTTTTGGACGGTATTTATTCTTCTTTTGTCTCTCTTCAGGAACCAAAACGATAGATGGTTCATCACCTGTAGCATCATCAATAACTTTAGATCTCGGAATCTTTTCTGAAGAGAAGTTTGGCCTTTTGTTCTTTTTAGCAGACTGTAATGCAATATTTAAAGAAGACGCCGAAGACGATGGTACTCTCTCAGAGTTCTTGGTTTGATCAACTTGTCCTCTTTTTGGGACTTTCAAAGTACTGTTGAGAGACGAAGTTGAATTAGCAATGCTTGGTGTCTTGAAAGGTTCCGTTTTCGATCTTCTTATTTGATCAAAAGTTGAGCTTTGCCCCATTGTATCAGAATCACTTGTGAAACTATCAAAATCAGAATCACCATCGGAATCATAATCAGCTGCTGCTCTATAGATATCCTCATTAATCAATTTGTTGGTTGTCATACTAAAAGAAAGACCCATCTTCTGTAATTTTGATAACTTGTACTTTTTACTTTGCAAACCATCAATGACATATGGTGCTGCAATGGATATAGATGGAATATTGACGTTAGTGGTACGACGCGACTCATTTTCTCTAGCTTCTTTCAACTCAGTCCACCAATCTTCACCCTTTAGGATCATGTCGATTTGTTCCATATTAGCATCACCACCTTTAACTATAGTATTATAGTTCTTAAAGTCGCCGAGACAAACAACCAAAATTTCAGCTCTTATTCTCAAAACTTCAATCAAAGATCTAACTCTTTGTCTTTCATTTGGAATATCTGTCTTATCCTCAACAAATACAACTATTCTTAGTCTGTGTGTTTTCTTCCAATTTGGAACAGTAGTCAAGATTGCACCCAATTGTAAAATCAATGTGTAAGTATCAAAATTTGTAGTGAGTGCTGATTTTTCACCATTCTTATCAAACACTTCAGCAGTCATTTGAATTGGGTATAAATCAATAAACTCTCTATCCTCGTAACTTAACCGATGTTGCTTCCCTGTTGGCATCTTCAGGTCGTCAAAACCTTTAGCAACAGCAACGTTTGCCTGCATCAATATCAAATCTTCAATAATCTGGACCCAATTTTGAATGGAAACTCTCTTTTCATTACGGCACTCATCAGTCGGAAGACTTTGGATGTTAACAGCATGCTGACTTGGTTGTCTCTTATTAATTTGTGGTCTAACATGTTTGTCGTTCTTAGAGTAATGCTTTGCTAAATCAAAGTATCCAAGAACAGTGATATTTGGTTTCATACCACCTAGACCCGACCCCAAGAAAACATTTCTAACACCCCATGGTAATGTAGGGCCCAACCCAATTTGGACAAATGCCTTGATCTTACTGAGATCTCTCAATTTGATCCATGCGTTCTGTTGTGTTCTAAATTCAGCAAAGTTTGTTTGGAAGCTTTCGCTCACGATAACATGTCCTAATATATAAAGACCACCTTTCTTCAAATTGTTACAAAAATGGATCAAGTTCCATGAGCTTCTTGGACTATCTACCAAAAGTAATATCTGTGGTCTCCAGTACTTCACATTATCTTGTCTAAGCCGTAGCAAATATTTTCTAACTTGATGATAAATCAAACTCTGAGAAACATCACCCCAAGGTTTTGGAGGACAAATGTAATGAATAAACAGGAACAATGCTATCAAAAAAATAACAACAATTGAAGCTGATATACCATCGACAATGAACATAGCAACCGCACAGGCAATACCACCAACAAAAGCTGTATGCCAGTCAAAGAATCTGAATGAAGGTCTAAAGTTTGGAGCAGAAGCAATTTTTAGCAAGAAACAAGCTAGATTAGTGACTATGAATGTCATTAAAAAGGCCATTGTGATATATGTTGCAATTTGGTTGACATTAGCAAACAAACACAATTGAGTCAACAACCAGGTGAACAAGATAGCATTATTTGGGTTACCATTCTTTGGATCCTGCTTGCTGAACAAGGAAAGACCTGGAAGAATTGAATCCTTAGCAATGGCTTGCAGAACGTTTGCGGCACCAACAATACCCACAATGACTGAAAACAAGGATGTTGAAAACTCACCCAATAACACTAAATAGCCTGAAAGGTTAACAGTTTGAATGATCTGAAGATCTTTATGTAATAAATCTCTTGGAACTGAAGCACCTAATGATAGAATCACTAGGCCATAACAAATAAATGTCAATAACAAACCCCATAATGTACCTTTTGGGATTGATTTTGAAGGTTTTCTCAAATCACCAGACATACTAGCACCTGCAAAAATCCCAGCTGTTGCAGGGAAGAAGATCCCAAAAAGATCATTGAAAGTTTCTTTACCCTTTAATAATGAACCTGCAGCACCTTTTGTGAAATGTGGATATAGATTTCCCTTCAAGGTAGTCCATGATAATCCAGTGTAGAACGAGTCCAACTCAGGAACATCAAACGGTTTGACAAATAAGGTTGATATTGGAACAGAAATAGTTGCTGCTAATAACAAAAAAAATAACAAAAAACCAGCTTTTGATACTAATTGCGATCCAACAAACGCAACACAGATACACAAGAATAACAGGATTGAAGAGTATAGAAACTGCCACCAATAACCTTCAGGGAACAGGTGAAACATCATCCCGTCTGTTTGTCCCAAATTCAAAAGTAGCGGTTCAATAAAACCCACAACATTTAAACCTGAATTTAAAACCTGTCCAATATAGAAAACCAATCCAATTGAGCCACCAAATTCTGGACCTAATGATCTTGACACCATATAATATGCACCACCACCTCTAACTGTACCATTTGTAGAAATTGCAGAAATGGATAAAGTTGTCATCAAATCAATAAAATACGACATAAATAATAGTAGAAAAGAGCCTAAAATACCCATCTGTCCAATAATAAAACCAAATCTTAAAAACATCAAAATAGAGAGCACATTGAGAGCTGTGGGCACAAAGACACCATCAAATGTACCTAGCTTGTGTGAATTGACAGCATCTTCTTTATCATCCTCGATAACAGCACTGGATTGATCATTTTGTTGTTGTTGCTCATGAGACCAAGCTCCAGTTGATGAACGTCTAAAATACGACGAATCCCGACGGCGCTTTGCTAATAATGGGGTAGACTCATTGTGGTTATGCGGCACATGGGATCCAGGGATATCATAGAAGTTGGATCGGGTGGCCATCTAGAAGCGTTGCTCTGTTTGTGTCTATGGTTGAAGTTGACGTTGGTGTTATGGTTCATGTCAACGTCTGGACTCTCTCTTATCAAGAAATTTTGATAGGGTGCGCTAAAAAAACCACCTACAATTCGCGAACATGGTCTAGCCAACAGCGTTATTCATAATAACCTTGGGAATAAGTCTAGTACAGGATCAACAAAAATTTCAGCTCAAAATCTTATTCATATAGACAAGCCATGTAAAGGAGAATGCATAAACAAAAACTCAAAAAAAAATATCTAGCACTGAGACCAGATGATAGTAGAGAAACCTTGCAAATTCAATTGCAAGATCAAAAAAAAAACACACACACACAAACAAATAGAATTATGACAAAACAAACAAAAGTAAAATTTCTCTTTTTTTCTTGTAGATGATCCAATTGGGATCCAATTGTGAATAAAAGCAAATAGTAAAATCAAACAGTTGTGCTGTGAAATGAAAGTGGATGACTAGAGGGCAAAAAATATATTATGGGAAACCTCAAAAAAAAAAGACCTTGCGGTCAAAAAAAAAATCAAAAATTATAAAATCAAGGCACATCAACATTAGTAGTGCTTTTTTGTAACATAAAAAAAGTGTATCAAAGTCATTGTCTTTTAGGCATTAAGTCATTGTAATAATAATAAAAATAAAGTAATAATAGTAAAAAGGTCATGAAGTGGGAAAGTGGGTTCTTTAAACGTTTGTAGAAACTTTTTGAGGTTCTTCAGGTTCTAAATTTTCATTCTCTTCTTTTCCAGCATCATCACGTTGCTCAAATGGTAAAACCCATTTACTCCAATTTTCACGAGGTCTAATCTTTCCTTCGAAGGCTTCAATTTCTGGTAAAAATGGTAAAGCATTCTCTAATAATTGGATATTACCTCCGGTTAAAGCTTTCAATCTATTAAATTCAATCAATTTTTTCAATGGAACAAAACCTTGAGAATTCATTTGTTTTCTCAAATAGGTATCTCTCAATAGATTTTCAAATGAAAAATAGTAATTTAACTGAGCAATGATTGAGCCTAAATCTTCAACAAATGGGTAACCAACTGATTGTGGAAAGACACCACCTGGAACAATAGGTGCTGGGATACCAGCCCCATTAGCGTTCAAAGGAATAAATTGATCTTGGCCAGGGGAGCCTGAATTAGATCTTGAAATAGGAGCTGGGTAATAATTGGCATACGCAGGAACCAGTGGTGGATAACCATAACCAAAAGGAAGGAATGGCACGTTTGAATAGTTACCAGATCCAGCAACTGAGTGTCTGTAATTGTTGAAATTATTCTTGTTATTTGGATGATAACGACGACCACCTTTGTTATTGTTGTTGTAGTTATTATGTTGGAATGATTGACCATTATTATTATTATTATTACTATTGAATGGCTCAGAGTTTCTATGTTGGAATTTTTTCTTTTGTTGAAATTGTTGTTGTTGAGGAACTTGAGGCACTTGGTTTGTAGAAGATGATTTAGCTAAAGTTTCATTTGTTGTATCAATTCCAGCATCAGTTTCTTTAATCTTAGGTTGTTCTGATTTATCACCATTCTCTTCTAGTGGGTCAACTGGAACAGATGCTTCTTTGGTACCATTTTCATTCTTCTTGGTAGTTGTTTCCTTAGCACTAATCTTCAAATCTTCAACACCTTTAATGTCTGTCTTTTTTTCACCTGATTGAGCTTTAGACTTGTTTTCATTATTATGAGCACTTGACTTTTTAGCCTTGCTAGCATTATTGCTGTCCTTTCCACCCTTTTGTTGCTGCTGTTTACCTTGATTCTGTTTCTTCTTGTTATTACCATTGCTGTTGTTATTCTTCTTTTTGTTATCTGATGATGAGGAAATGACAATTTCAGCTTCATAAGGAACCCATTTTTCTTTACCTGTTGATTTAACTTTTGGAGCAGGAATGGAAGGAGAAGGTTTATTACTCTTCACCTGTGATTCTTTTGTAACATTCTTGTTAGCAGCTGAATCTAAAGCAGCTTCGGCGGTTGGCCATTGATGAGTTTGAATACCATTTTGAGATGATTTTGAAGAAAGGGAGGACGAAGATTTACCCCAAGCGCTAACTAAAGGAGCTGGAGCTGGTTGGAGCTTTGATGATGGTTGAATAGGAGTGGTGGTTGCAGATGTTGAGGAAGGTGATGTTGAGGTAGTGGTAGCTGGTGCTGTTTTTTCAGTGGATGACATCTTGAAATTAAACTTGGGGTGCCAAAATTAAAAAAAACAATGAGAGGTATTAAAGCAATGAGCAGAAGCTTGGGAAATTGGAACTTTTCACTCTAATTTAAACAAAAAAATGCAGTGGTTCTTCTTTTTTTTTTCTGTTTTCTTTATTATTTTCTGTCTTGTAACAACTCAGAAAAAAAATGAAACAAAACAAATTGTATTTTGGCTAATAGACTTGATGCAGTGTAAAAACGTCTATAAGTAGCCTTTTAGTTTTCTTTTTGAAAACTGTGATCAAATCAAATAAAAAGGTTTCTCTTTAGCTGAATGGGTTTTGATTATTTAGCCTCTTGTGTTTGGAATAAACTTGATGGAGGCGAACACAATGTGCTTCTTTGACAAAAAAAATAACTTGTGTAGTCTTTTTTTATCTCTTGGAATTGGAGGGAGCAGTCTGATGAATTAACCGTGAATTGTTCAGCTCCTTAATATGGCGACGAATTAAACACTGATATATGACTTAGTATACTGGTTCAGTAATAATTCTGGGAATTTTATAGAAACAGGTCGAAAAAAAGCGGTTAAGGGCCTGTCTTTTGAGAATGGAGGTGTGATGTGAGAACTGGATTGATCTTGTAGCTGTACAGCTGTATTGATGGTAATTGTCTGTTCTCGTTCAGCGGATTGGACGGTTTTGGTAAGAGCAATTGCTTCCTTTGTGTGTTGAATAACGCTTGGATTTAGTCAATGGTGGTGAAAAGCCTTTTGAATTTTGTATTTTCGCTTGATTTCAAAGTCATGAATCCAAAAAAAAAATTTGTTTGGGCGAGCGAAAAAAAGTGGCAAAACTCACAAAAGAGGGAATTACCTTAAAAGGAAGGTGATGATGATGGTCGCGATCTTTTAGTCTATTTACGCGTGAAGATTCAAAAGCACATCATGGCATATTCTATATTTCTTGACGTTATTCAATATATCTTGGACCATGGATCAGGATCAGGGTGTAATAGGAGGTCACAACATAGATGGAACTTTTCTTATATCAAATAACTCGGTGAAGGATGAACCAATGGCGCTTACATTGATCAAGCCAATACCATATTTACTGAGTGATGTCTCTGATAATATTAACCATCTACAACCTTCATCCAAATATCAGATCATCAACAATAACAAATCCAGAATATTTAGGTCAAATGATGACGTGCTACACCAAAAAGTCACTGGTTCAATGTTGGTGAAGCTCACAGTCCATTCAAAAGATCAGTATGGCGTCGTCTCGAAATTAGATGCTCATAATCATTTCATAATAAATTATTTAAACACACCCATGAATGCTAAATCTCAAGAGTCTTTCCAACCATTACCATACACACCAAATATTATTACACAATGGTCCAGCACTTTATCAGAAACAAAGCAAAATTCTTTCAAATTATCAATGACTCCACCTATTGATAACAAATCCCCAATTAAGAACACAGCACTAAATGAAGAAGGTGAAACCATTGATGACCCCTTTGATTACTTTCTTGATAGATATTTTGAAAATCTATATCTTTTGACAACTCCCTTGACATTTTTCACTAAATCTACATTTACAAGGTTGAAAACACTATGTGAAGGTGACAATAACGAATATGAATCAATATTGAAACAGTTTGTGATAGATCATGAAACTTTTGATAATAGACATGTAATGTCAAATAATGGGCTACTAAATTCAACTTTGCTATATGAGAAAGAGAATATCTATAGGAAAAAATTCATTCAAAAATCGCTTAACTTGATTGACTTTGATATTCATTCATCAACTTCAGTTGAGACCAACAAAAGTTTATCAAATGTCTTGAACAATTTCAAAATTAGAGAATTGCATCTACAGATTTTGCTATTAATCGAGCTCATATACGTTACAGATCATGATAATGTCAAACATTTCAAGAAATTATCCAAAAAACCACATCTAACTAAAAAGTCTCTAGTGGGAAGAAGAAAATTGACACCCACAATAAATGGTGGTGCTGTTCCTCTTGAAGAGCAATCGGTGAATAAGCAAGTGCTGAATTATAACCAGATATTAGATATATACATTGATAAACTGTGCATTTGGGATGTATTGATGGGGACTTCATCAACTGATAATTCAACTCCAAAATTCATGTCATACATTATTGTTCCTTACTTCAACAAAAAGTGTCCAAATAGTGTGAAGCACATGTTGAAGAAAATCAAAGGGCCATCTTTCAAAACGTCATCTTCATCTAGCAGTAAAACAAATGAAAAATCTTCCAAATCTAGTTCCTCATCAGCATCACTTAAAAGGTCAGCCTCAATATCATCATCAAATGCAGAGATTAAACGTCCATCATTATCCCGCTCATCGTCAAATATTAAACTAGAGGATATCCAAGAATTGAAAACTTCACTTTCAAGAAGTAATAGTGATTTACAAAGCTTAAAAAGAACATCTTCATTCACTGCAAACAATTTATCTAAAAGACAAATTGATATGTCACTCCCACCTATTCCATCAGAACCTGAATCCCAACCTTTGAAAAGAAACTCATCAATATTCACAAGAGTCGGTAAAAAACTAACACAATCCATAACAAATAATCCAACATCATCAAAATCACTAAGTGCACCACCAATAGAAACTTTTTCACAAGTTGATGCAACACCTGTCAAATCAGTCAAATACATTAATCCATTATTAGATCAAACACCAAGAGATGGAGAAAATAAAGTTGTGACGAGTTCTTCACCAATTGAATATGCAAAGACTCCACAGATTATGAAAACACCTGCAGTTATCAGATCATCTGTTAAGAAACCTGGTGAACCTGTTGATTTTAATAATGCTGAAGAGGTTGAACAAATGTTGGGGAGTCCAATGGGGAAAGGTGTTAGAAGACGATTATTTGCCCCTCCAACTTCTCAAACTAAATAATGACGTGTAATGAAAAATGTTTACGAGATGTTTGAAATAAATTAATAATGTGCATTTTAAAAGTTTTTGTAGTTTTTTTCATTTCTCTAAATCACCGAAAAATATAGCATCAATTAATTTTTTACTATCATCTTGTTTTATTATTTCATTAGCCAATTCATCACCAACTCTTTTCTGTAATTTTTGTTTATCATCCTCAATTATTTCAACATCCATTTCATCATCAGGAGCATTTTCCGGGATTAAACTTCTTAAAGCTTTAATAATTGTACCAATCAATAAACTCTTTTCATCATTTTTCAAAGAATCCAAAACAATCAATGACCAATTTTGTAAATTCCCCAATATGATTATCCTAATAACTTCATCGCCCAAGTTTTTCAACCCAATGATAGCACCATATAATGTCCCCACTGGTTTATTTGAATCTAAAAATGCTTTTAATAAAGTCCGTGTCACTCTTGGTTTTAATGTTGTATAAGCCTTACCGTAATTCTTACAAACATGTTCCAATAAACTTGAAGCGAAATCACGTACTGCGAAATGTTCATCATCATTATTTGATCCGATTCTTTTAGCCAATAATAATGTCAAGATACATGGCATCAATGCATGGATATAAGGATCTAGGAAAATATTATCATTTGATAATAATGAATATATCACTTCCAACATTGTTGATAACAGAGCAATATTGTTCAAGTTATGAGTGATTTGTTCAGATATGAGTTGAACAAAATATGGAACTAATTGATGTAATCCAGGATCTGAGCGTAATGAAGTTAAAGCTGCTTGTTTGAAATGTAATGCTTCTTCTGTATCTTCTTGGTTTGTTAATGCTTGAATAACTTTATCAAAATATAGTTGTAATTCCTTGGAAAGTACATGTTTAACTAATGGTTTAATCTCTGTATCTTTTGAAGAAGTCCCTGATGTGGAGTTATTATTAGTTGAATGACCATTTGTAGTGTTATTATTTGAAGTCACTGCGGAATCATTGTTATTCAACACATTTGTAATAGCACCTCTTGAAGCTGGTAATAATGATCTAATTTCAGATTCTAATGGATTTTGAGGAATTGCAGGTTGAACACCTTCAATTGCTAACCAATGTGCAGTGAATGTTGTAGATCTTGGAACTTTTGGTAATGGTTGATTAATCAATTTTTCAAAATCAACTTCTTCATCATCGATATAGTATAAAGTTTGACCGTTTCCAACTAATGCTTCTTTAAAATTTAAAGGTCTTGATACATCATAACCATATAATGGTTCAACATTCAATACTCTAAGTGCTTTTTCCACATCAGTTGTGGTTAATGTTCTTCTTTTCGAATGTCTCATAAATTTAACAGCTTGTTCCAAAATTTCATGAATTCTATATTCAACATCCATTGCTAAATTTCTTGAAGCTTCATCATTCAAATCTGTTAAACCTAAAGAATCTGCAACATCTTTAACTGTATCTATTGGAGACCAAAGTGTATGTGACATTGGCGCTTTGACATTCTGCTGCTGCTGTTGTTGCTGTGGGTTCTGTGACATTGTGGGAAGTTCTTGAGATGATAATAAGACACTTGTTAATGATTGTTTGAATTGTTGATGTTGATTTTAAAACTCGCGATCAAGCCAAAATTCAAGAATAATTTCGCGAATTCCATCAACACGGGGTAACACCTGCAGAATCGCGGCTACAAAAGACCTACTTCATGAGAACATTTAATCAATCTCTAACAGGAGTTATTAATCATTAAATAAAATATTACTATTACTACTAAATTTCAATACAAATGCATGTTGAAATCTTCTTCTCCTCACTGTCTCCTTATCTTGTCCCACTCAATCTTGTAGTATTCAGGTGAACATTAATATCCAATTCATTCATCTCATCATCAACATTTCTCAATCTATAATTCTGTCTATCAATCTCCTCACCTTGGTTCATGGCTAATCTTTTCAATCTCCCTGCAACTTTACCAATCTCGTCAATATTTTCACCAATTTCATTCTCCATTTCATCATCTTCACTATCATTTTCAAATTGATATTGTTTGGCCTCATTTAGATATTTTTCTCGTTTGTATTTTGAAGTTATAGTATCACCTGCATCTTCTTTATCATTCAGACTTGATTTTATTCTGTTCGTAGAGGTTGATAATTCTCTTCTTTGTTGTTCTTGGATCAATTTTGATTGTAAACGATCATTTTTAATACGTTCTTCTTTTTCTCTTAATCTTCTTGATTTTGTAAATGGGTTTTGAACACTTGGTTTCAAGATATTTCTATTATAATGATTTAATTGGGCAACTTTTTCTTTAGCAATACGATCTTGAGTCTTGGCTAAATCTAAATTTCTCTCCACGTTATATAAAGTTTCACTTTGAGAACCAAGCATCCCCATTGTATTCTTACCAGATTCTTCAGCTTCCCTAGCCATTCTAAGAGTGTTTCTTGTTGATGCAACAGATTCTTGTTTAGTATACCTGATTTGATTCTTGATCCCTTCAACTTCTTCATCCTCTTGTCTTTGTTTTTGTAAATCCTCCAATTCTTCAGGACTCAATTGTTGCTCTTGTTCTTGTTGTTGTTGATAATAATAATCCTCCTCTTCTTGTGGAACTTCATTCAAATCTTCAAAATCAAAACCTCCTTGATCTCTTGGATGTTGAATCTGCTGTTGTCTATAACTTGGAGGTCTTGTTGATGCGTTATCTGGCAATTCATTCAAATCATCTTCATCTTCGTTAACTGCAACTTTATTAGCATATGAGTTGTTATATCCATTACTGGCTTCATTTTTTTTAGCATATGGATTGACTCTACCAGAACTATATCCACTACTTTGAGAACCATATTGATCATGACCTTGACGACCACTTTGAGAACCATACTGATCATGACCTTGACGACCTTGACTTTGAGAATTCAACGAGCCATAAGGATTAGCACCATTTGATTGATTATTGCCATTCAAAGAACCATATGGATTCGAACCACTATTGGAATGATTCAACGAACCATAAGGATTTGACCCACTCCCCTGACTTCCCTGTTGATACGGGTTTGAATTATTTGAATTCATCGTAGAGTATGGATTATTACCATCAAAAGCACCACCACCACCATTCCCCGGTTGAACATCATACGCATTCTCAGTCTCGGAACCAGGCACTATAACCTTCTCACCTTTATTATTCACCCCAAATTCTTCATACCCCTTTGGTGCATATATTTTTTTTTCACTTTTATCATTAGCGAATTTTGAATATGCTTGAAATAATTGAGGTTTTTGCTTTTGAGATTTAATTGGTATACCATTTTCATTCATTTGGTCTCTTATCTTGGTGTTGATCTCTTCTTCGGATGGTGGTTTGGTTTTAAAGAATTTCTTGATACCCATTTTGGTGGTTGAATATTTATAGTACTCGTTTAACGAATGATGATGATGGGATTCGTTTATTGAAATGTTAGGAAATGATGCTTTTTATAAACTTGTTTTTGGTGGGCAAAGCCAGGAGTGAAACCGTTGGGGCACTACTTTTTCTGTCTGGCCGAACCGTGCTGATTTGTATGACAGAAATTTTTATAAGCAAATGATGAAATGAATTAGATAGAGGATGGTACACTACAACTATATTGTAAAGACAAAAAACACATGGTCATAAAAGAGGGGACATTAGGGACAGAGTTGTCATCAATTCAACAATGATTTAATTGAAGCAACAGAAGTATCTCTTTTCATACTCAGCAAGACATTTGCAGAATGTTCACTAGATTCATTCAATTCAAATTCATTAATTATACCCAATTTGGAATCAGGTGTGGTATTGTTTGATAATGCTGGTCTCGGTAGTTGGAAATCTTTTTTAGATGTGTTTGCTGTTGTTGAGGTTGATTGGTATTGGAATTGAAATTCTGGATTTATTGTTTTATAGTTGACTAGTGGTGTTGTGTTTGTTGATGAATTTATTGAAGATGATTTGGGGAATAGTTCTGGAGTTATTAAAGGTGATGGTAATGGTTGGAATTTAGTGTCATTAAGAGAATGTGATCTTAATTTAGTTATGCTAAGGTCTGATTTCTGTTTTTTTTTGATGAAGCACTATCAGAACTTGATCTTGAATTTGATGAAGATGAAGAGGAGGAGGATGCCTGGCTTTGGAAATCTTTAAACAACTTGTTGAAATCATATTCAATATCCAGATTTCTATAAGAATCAGTATCAACATCAATTTTAGCAAAATCTAAATCTTGATCTGATATATTTGGATATGATTGATTTTTATTAATTTCATCTTGTTGAATATTTATAACTTGGTGTAAATATTTAATATAATCCACAGTTGCTTGCAATATTGTTAATTTATACATTCCTTCCCCATTATTATTTGAAGTTGATAGATTATTTCTGCAAGCAGGTACAATGAATTTTAAAGCTTCAAATTCTCTATTCATTCTAATTCTTCTTTTTTTTTCAATTATGGAGTGAGCAGTCTTGTGTTCTCTTCTTCTTTTTTCAATTTCATTCTGAGAGATTAAAGAGGCACTTGATCTTCTTCTTTTCCTTTTAGGTTGTTCAGAAGGTTGGGAGTTATTTGGAGGAACGAATTTAGGGTCCACCGACTCTTCAGAAGGTGTTATGTTCTCTGAAGAGTTTTGCATTTGGATGATTGTTGGTTTGAGGTCTGGAGGCGAAGGGATCAGTGACATTGTGGTTATTGGTTGGTGCCTCTGTTCATACTAGACTGCTTCTGGATAAGGATATCCAATTCTCTATATACAAGTGTTTATCGCTTCTCCAGACAATCCACGTGTAACCCACGTGTAGAAGTCACAAGAGAATTAAGCGCGCACATGGCACACGACAATTAGCAGCGGCAGAAATGAGATTGGAAGCGAGGGTAGGGTGTAGATAACTAGAGAGAGAGAGTTAAGGTATTGATTGTATTGATCTGGTTGGTATTGATGATTATGATTATGTAGTTGACTATATTGATTATGACTATGATTATATTGATTCTGTTAATGCTCATACTGTCACTCCCTGATCCGTGTACCTGAGCACACGTTGACAGGACAGATTAGTACTATCACTGCTATAAAACAGATTTGATTAATCTTCTCTGCCCATGTGACCATTCTATTAACAACGTGTCTTCTGATCAATACAAGAGCACGTTGACATAGCAACATCTTTGATCTCTGATAAACGTTGACTAAAAAAGCCATCAGCGTAACGTTCAGCACAGGGCCTCATTTCATTTATTTCATTTCATTTCATCATAACTTGATCAGTTCTATGGTTGTATTGTTGTACATTGTTGTGCTCATGTTCTGGTTGTATCCTGGTTGTTCTGATCTGGCAGCCAGAGCCCCATGCTGATAACAGTCGTGACAGGAGCATTACATACACATACTCATCAGAGCACAATGGAGAAAGAGAACCAATACTAAACACCATAGCATACTAAATACTGACTACTACTACATCATTCTTGCCCTAATTTACTACGCACCTGATTCCCTTGAAATTCTTAAAAACTATTTGATTTCTTTTCTCTCGTCTCTATTTTTTTTCTTGGTCGTGTGCCATTTATGGAATTTTTTTTTGTTTTTCGGTCAAGGTTAAACACGGATAAAAATATGACACTTTCAGCTCGGTGATGAGTCAAAAACATATAACAATAGTGAAAAATTAAAACATGAGTCAGTAGAGGGTACAACTATATATACTGATAACCATGCTATGCTCATAAGGTCATCCAAACCATGACCATTATCTATCAACAACCAACATACAATATGATAAAGGGACTTAAACAAGATCATAACGTCTTATTAGACCTTATATTCAACCATTATCACAATATTCAAACTTCATTAATACAACTATTTGACATCTTTATTGAATTATTCCAACAAAGCCAATCTGCTAAACTACTGGAATGTATCTATATAAAGCAGAAATTAACCACAATCAACATTACAGAAAAGTACCTAAAGACACTAATAACACCATCTTCATTCCATCATATAACTCCATTATTAAAAGAACTTGATTCAATAACTTTACCAATCTTCAACAAATCATTAATAATACTGACTTCAATACATAATGATTATTTAAATACCCCATATTCACAAGTTTACAACTTGTCCATGATTAAAGAGTCAGTTTTAACATTATCTCAAGTATTAAATTCATCACATTCGATATTGATTAAATTTATTGAATTTATTTCAAAATGTCAAATTGATGAAAATATCACAAAATTTTCTCCAAATTCTTTTAGTGAAACAACAATGATCATAATCAATTTTGAAGGTTATGAACAATTATATCATGAATTATTTAATGATTTATATGATTTGGAAGAAGTTTTAAAAGATTTTAAAGAGTTGATTAGAAAAGAAAGTCCATGTTTTAAAGAATATACTCAAAAATATCATGAACATAGTTTAAAAGATGATGAGATTGATGATGGGTTGTTCAGTCAGGATGTTTTCACTGAGTTTGATCAGGATGATTTTGAAAAATTTTCTAAAAAGAGAAAAATTAGAATTGGTATAGAGAAGAGAAAGTTGTTTAGTGAGTTTTAAGCTCACTATGTCTATGATTTAAAAGTTATTTATTGGTTTCAAAGATTTGTTGTAGTCGATACTACCATATTCGAGTATGCTAATCAATGCCAGGTCCGAAGTTACAAAAACTACGACCAATTACTTAATTTAAACAGAAGATATCTAGAACCATGAGCTTGTCAGAATGCTGGTTTCCAAAGGTTTATTAATCTGGTCAATATTGGCTTATATTGTACTCACTATCTCAAACCCATAGCTTTCGCCTATTGATGTTCACGGATACACATATGTCGATTATTCGAATAACTACAACTTCTCATTTTCATGCAGTTGACCAATAAAAAATGTAAATAAAGCATAAAGAATCTCAAAAAGTATTGTTTCAACTTTCATGAATCCATCTTTTGCAATTTGAATACTTGAATTACCAAATATAATGCTTCAAAGAGTATCATTTCAACTCTTTTGTGAAAGCACATACTAGCTGGACGTGAAACACGCAATAAAGCTCAGATATACAAACAACGCTATTGATGATAAAACCTAACGCCATAGCTGAAACGTCTAATGATCTGAGTTTCAACTAATCAAACTTGAATTCTGTACCCAATATTAGACTTATCGTCAGCGTACCATCACATCCAACGTCCGCTGAACTTACCACTTAATTGAGCACATTCACAACGTCGAACACCAAATCTTGGATTACTAACAGAAACAAAATAGAAGAAAAATTATTCAGCTTCATTTTCCTAATTGGCTCATTATGGGAAAAGTATTTATTGGTATAGCCTACAGTGCAATTTTTAAAACTTTGCGCGCCTCAATTTTTTTTTTTTGCTTGAGCTAGTTGTTTAAGCTAGATCAACACAGTGCAATGGCAACGACACTATAAGGATAGAATCAATGCAGAGAAGGCGAAATCATCAGCATAATCCAGAAATGAAGGTAACAATATGAGAATTTTCTTAAGGGTGTTTGTGCTGAAAAGATTGATTGGATATTCTGATACTGATCATTGGATCAACAGACCTTGAATGAGATCCAGTACTGGAAACCACTATTGGTTGATCAATTACTTGTACGTTGTAGTTAAATAAATCAGATTAATAGGGATACGTTTTCAATATGCAATATTGCTTAAGCAGTCAAAGACTGCACCGGCTTTGATCACCTTTACTATACACTAATTTAAAGCTAGATGAATCAACTAATAACGAATTACCCCAAACCGATCGATATTGTCTAATCATCCAGCTAATTAAAGCTACAGTCATGAATAAAGGAAATAGATTCAGGAATAGTTAATATCATGTTTATCCACATGTCACCTAATTATATACTGTTGCATAGTTCATCATAGTACATATATAAATCCTAAATATAATATATAATTGACGCCTAGTGTCGACAATAATAATCATTCGAATTATAACTACAACTTTCAATTGTATGTTGATTATTAATAAAAATGAATTGAATAAAGCACCAAGAAGTTCAAAAAGTATTGTTTCAACTTTTATGAATCCATCTTTTGCAAATTGATAAATGATTGAACCACCAAATGCTCCAATCTCTCCAAAGAGTATCATTTCAACTCTTATATAAAAGCACACGCTGATCTATTGTATCAACACATCAATTAAATTACCAGAACACTATCTTGAAACGTATAGCATCCGAAGCTACTAACAACCAATAGAGCTCATATGAATATTGAATATACCATCATGACACATTAGACTTACAAACTTATGTTCATAAAGTACATTCATTAAACATAGGCTTTGAAGGTGTGAAATGCAAATATTATGACGTTACAAAAGCGTTCATCCACACTGAAATAACAGACAAAGTCTTTACTAGAAGTGCATGTCAAATTTCAATGTCCACTAGGCCTGAACTGTGTCAATTTTTTTCTACTCGACTGTCGACGCTCCTACTTTTCGCGATTCTCCACGATTCAACAGTTTTCCAATGAGCTTTACGCCAAAACATTTCCAAATTTACAACAATTTGAACTTCTCTACTTCCTCAAAATGTCACTTCCTCCAGCCAATTCTGATCCAAGAGTTTATCAAATCCGTCTAACGACTCAAAATTTATATTCGCTACTATTTAACTCTTTCCAAACAATCTCCAATTTAGCTTCAACTTATAATCAAATTGCAACTGCATCAACTAACAAAGTTTTAAAAGATGATATAGCATGGCTTAAAGAATCAATTGATAAAGATATTGAAAAACTCAACGCATTACAAAAACATTTACAATTCTTGAACGCTCAAGAGACCATAACAACTCCTGGTGAATTATTAAAAGTTTTCAATGAGATTACAGATTTTGCACAATTGATATTATTAGATGATTTAATTACAACTTTAGAAGGTATTGGATCTGTTATAACTGAAGATGAATTGATGATTGATGGCGTGGGGTTGAAAGATGTTGTTATACTGCTGAAAAAATTCAGTATATCGTTGAAATTGGCTGTTGATCCATTGAAGAAATTGAAAGATGAGGAAGTTTCAGTTATTCAACTTGAAAAAAGTGAAGTCATTATTACTGAAAGAGTTGAGGATTTGAAAAAAAGAGTTACTGAATTGGAAAATATCATAAATTAGAATAGACAGAATGTGAAGAAAATTGACAATCATAGGATTTCCAAACCCTTTACGATAATAGTGTAGATTAAACTCGATACTGTTCGGCATATGTGTGTTAGTGCAACGCTTTCAATGTCGAGCAAAAGTTGAGAATACCTTTTTTCTTTATCAAATAGGTTTGAACCTGTCATTATCTGGATATTATAACGTTAGATCTAGAGACTACATTCACTTTCAATGTGGAAATAATGAAAATTATATTGACTAAAGCATAAAAAAATCTCAGAAGGTATTGACGCACAACTTTCATGAGTGAAATCTTTTGCTATTAGTATAGAGCTCACAGAATGGAAGTAGCTGAAAATCAAGACTGTATAACCATCCAAGAGTTATAAGGGATAGTAATGAGCTATGAACAAATTACAAAAACAAAATATATTAGTCCAAGAGATCTTCCCAAGCTAATTTACGGCCTGCGATTGAAGTAAGTAATTAAACGTTCTTCAATCGAGTCCTAAAGGAGTTAAAAATCCTTATCCAAGCTATCACACCGGTTAAATGACGGTTGTGCCAAAGATCAATGTATTACTCAGGACAACTCCACTTACAAGCTGCAAATAGTTTTAGGGAAATTGTTATAGGTATTCATGTCTTTTTTGAAAAAAGTGCATTTTTGATAACTTGCTGCCCAACTTTTTTGCAGAACCCATTCGCGAAGATTTAATCACTTTACCTAAAACGGCAAAACGTAAACAAAGCCAAAATGACAGAAACCTGAATATCTTTGAACCACAAAATTTCTTTTTGGCCCCTAGAGCAAAATTCAAAAACCTTTCGAGAAAACATTTTATCATCTATTTGCAAAGGTATATCATATTACCACCAAAGATTCTTTAAAAGAGGTTCAAGGATTCCATTCCAGAACAATTTAACACCCTTCAGCTAGCTTTGCCAATTTTCTATCTATAGATAAATCTGTCGGGCTGGACCTGAATTTCAAGATCTTTGCACATTCTCAACATCTATCAACATTTTCAGATTCAAGTATAGGCTGGTCCTATTATAGTCAATAATCAGCTCAACACTACCCATATTAATGTCATCATCAGTTTTCGATTCACCACCCAGACGTTCTTCAAAGAATCGTACAAATTTACAATACTTGGGGTCACCTACAAAGGAAAAAGTTAACTCATCAACATTATCATTAGCATCACCTACAAAGTTGAATGTTGTCCATTCAGATTGGGATAATTCCACAATTTATGGGAACTTGAAAAGAAACCCATCATTTTTATCATCAAATCAATTACCTAAAACAGATCGTTTCATTCCATCAAGACATTCATCATCAAATGGTAGAGTCTCGTCAGAGGAACATTTACCACCACCAAATGCATCTCCATCGGAACATATCAAGGCTCAATCTCAACTATTTTATAAACAATCAGTGGCAGATGCTTGTGGTATTGAAGTTGGTCAAAGAATTTTACAATATCAACCATTACCTCCACAAAGTAAGCATTGTGTTCAATTGAATCAAAATTCACAATTTAAAACGAAAACAAAATCAACTATAGATCCAATAAGATCAAGAAAGATATCATCAAACCCTGAAAGAGTCTTAGATGCCCCGGGTTTTATTGATGATTTTTATTTAAATTTAATAAGTTGGTCTTGTGATAATTATTTAGCAATAGCATTAGATAATTCATGTTATATATGGAATGCATCAAGTGGTTCAGTTTCAATGTTGACAGAATGTGAATTTGGTATTTCATCATTAAGATGGTCAGATGATTCTTCATATCTTTCAATTGGTAAAGATGATGGATCTATAGAGATTTGGGATATTGATTCATCTTCAAAATTAAGAACAATGAAGACTCAAGGTGGTATTAGAATTGGTGCACAATGTTGGTCAAATCATTTAGTCACTGCTGGTTCAAAATCTGGAGAAATTTATAATAATGATGTTAGAATCAAGAATCATATAACTGGGGTATTAAATAATCATGTTGGTGAAGTTTGTGGATTAGAATATAGAAGAGATGGTTTACAATTTGCATCAGGATCAAATGATAACACAATTTGTATTTGGGATAGTAGATCCTCAATTCCACAATTTACCAAAACAACACATACAGCAGCTGTTAAAGCATTAGCATGGAATCCAGATATCAATTCATTATTAGCAACAGGAGGGGGTTCATCAGATAAACAAATCCATTTTTGGAATACCACAACAGGTGCAAGAATAAACACTATTGATACAGGATCACAAATTTCATCATTACATTGGGGGTCATCAACATCATTTGGTAAAGAAATAGTAGCCACTGGAGGTTATCCAAATAATTGTATTAGTGTTTATTCATACGATCACAAGATTAAAGTGGCAGAAATTGAAAATGCACATGATTCAAGAATAATATCAGGACAAATTTCACCAGATGGTTCAATTTTAGCCACTGTTGGAGGTGATGAAAATTTGAAATTCTATAAAGTGTTCAATAATGTTAAAAAACATGAACATTCAAGCAGCATTGCTAATGGGAAACAAATGTCCAAAATCATGACAATTAGATGAAATAATAATGAACAATTAAATATGTGATATCCAAATAAAGAATCAAAATATCTTGCTAAGACATATGTGTAGTAAACTTGTTATTCTCTTTTAAAACCCATTGATGAACTCATCAACAAACATTTTAAAAAAGGGGGTTTGCGTCAGAAGCCAAAACACAGTGCAATGGCAACGACACTATGTGACAAGAATCAATGAGCAAGCCCATTAAGAAACCATCACCGTAATCCAAAAATAAAGGTAACAATATAAAAGTTCTCAATGAGAACATTCCAGTTGTTACACTGAAAAGAACAGATACTACACTTGATCTAAGCCAAAAGGCAAAGAGATTTGGAGAGTTGTAAAAAAGGGAAATTTTCAAAGGGGGTTTCGGTTTAATTTATAGTTTTTTGGGGGTGGTGAAAAAAAATTGGTGCAAAAAGGGAGGGTAAGCGTGGCTGTACCGGAATATTTTAGTTAGGGCAAGATTAAAATGGTTAATGTATTATGGGCTTCGAGTGGAAGTAGATATTGGTAGATTAAGATATTTAACTAAGATAGATCTATCCTTAACCACTTTCCAAATACTTTTAACTACAGTGTTCACCCTTTTTTGGTTTGGTTAATTTGTATGGCCGATTACGTAAAAATCCAAGTTTGAAATTTCGAAAACAACAAAACCAAAAAACAAATCTCCATAAAACAGAAGCGTATTTGCAACTGTACACAACAACATCTCCATATCCAAATCATCAAACAATCATCAAGTCATAATTACAGACTAATATCTCCATTATTTATAACCAGTCACTTTTTTACCACTTTAATCCATCAACTTTGGAGCCATCATCACATTTTGTATCAACAATTCAATAGAAGATAGTCATCAACACATCAACTCGGACCCCTTTCATTATAATAACATCAACAACGTAAAAGATAATGTCTACTTTACCATCTATAGAATCAAGACTACAATCAACACACATTGGAGGTAATATCAACACAGAAGTTTCCAATGATGCCAATAAAATTGCACATGATCAAAAAATGGCTGTCCAAGCAATTAGACAATTTTTAAAATCGAAAACTTCATATGATGTTTTACCAGTTTCTTATAGATTAGTTGTTTTGGATACTTCACTACTGGTTAAGAAATCTTTAAACATTTTACTTCAAAACAATATTGTCTCTGCTCCTTTATGGGATGCTAAAACTTCAAGATTTGCTGGGTTATTAAATTCTCAAGATTTCATTAATGTGATACAGTATTATTTCCAAAATCCTGATAAATTTGAATTTGTTGATCGTTTAACCTTAAATGGGTTAAAAGATGTTGAAAAGGCTATTGGTGTGGAACCTATTGATACAGGTTCAATCCATCCTTTTAAACCTTTATATGAAGCTTGTGTTAAAATGATTGAGGCAAGATCAAGAAGAATCCCATTAATTGATGAAGATGAAGACACTCATAGAGAAATTGTTGTTAGTGTCTTGACACAATATCGTATCTTGAAATTTGTTTCATTAAATTGTAAAGAAACTGCAATGTTATTACAACCTTTGAAAGATTTAGGAATTGGAACAAATAAACAAATTTCCACTGCAACTATGAATACCCCAGTGATTGATGTTATTCAACTGTTAAGTCATGGATCTGTTAGTTCCATTCCAATTGTGGATGAATCTAATAAATTGATTAATGTTTATGAAGCTGTTGATGTCTTGGGTTTAATTAAAGGTGGTATTTATAATGATTTATCATTAAGTGTTGGAGAAGCATTGATGAGAAGGTCTGATGATTTCGAAGGTGTTTATACATGTACTGTGAATGATAAATTATCTACAATTATGAACAACATTAGAAAATCAAGATTGCATAGATTATTTGTTGTTGATGATGATGGGAAATTAGTTGGTGTTGTAACCTTGAGTGATATCTTGAACTATATCTTATTTGGTGAACAAGATTAGAGCAAATAAAGAAACATAATGATGATATAAATAAAGTGAATTCAATTCTGATTTTGTATAGTACATTTTTTAAACGATTTTGTTCCCTTTGGTTTTTCGATGTACGGTGATAGAACCAAATCAGGTTAAAACTTCCTTCGTGATTATTCGCGATTTCAGAAAAGATGAGCCATAGTTTTTTTTTACAACGGTCATTTGATAGCGATTTGATTAGAAATTGAAATGGTTTAAAAATGAATCTTCTGGAAAGTTCAGTTCATTTATAAGTTTCATTGTTTCCTAAGTTTTATTATCTTATTTGTTATATCCTTTATATTCTACAATTCATCAACTTATTTAGCCGTTGTGGAGATATTAATCAGCAAACGTCAAATCTGAAAACTCCATATTAAAGTACCCAAAATCCATATCATTAATACCCATATTCAATACACTGTTCTTAAACCCTAAAAGACTATGTCAGAGATCAACCCAGATAACCAAATATTCAACCAAAAGGCAGGAATAAGGCAAATCACGCCCAGAGCCATAACGGCTGGTTTGATAATTGGTTCAATTGTTTTAATATCAAATTTCCAATTTGGTTTACAAACAGGTTGGGTTTCAATGATGTCCTTACCTTCTGCATTATTAGCATTTGCAATTTTTAAACAATTACAACCTTTCCTATCTTATGAATTCACTGATGTGGAAAATGTTTTCATTCAAAGTATTGCAGTTGCTGTGGGGACTGGTCCTTTAGCTTATGGATTTGTTGGTGTTGTGCCAGCTATTGAAAAATTTCTAGGACCTGATGAATCTGGGACAGGGAAGTTGATAAATTTGAATACTTGGGATTTAATCATTTGGTCAATTGGGTTAGGATTCTTTGGTATATTCTTTGCAGTTCCCTTAAGAAAACAAGTTATTATTAAAGAAAAATTACCATTCCCATCTGGGAGTGCCACTGCTACATTGATTAGTGTTTTGAATAATAGTGAAATTCGTCATGAAGATACTTTAAATCTAAAGGCCACATGTGATTATAATGAATTATTATTGGAAAGTGATGAAGAGGAAAACATTACAAGTGAAGAAACCGTTGTGGAGCAAGATCGTAATTCTCATGAAGGTACACCATTATTAGATTCAACATCCATGAAAAGTTTACAAAGCTCAGATACTTATAATCAAAACATTAAATCACTAATAATAACATTCACTGTTTCATCAACTTATACAATCTTGTCATATTTCATACCCATAATTAAAAACATCCCTGCATTTGGTAAATACCTAGCAAATCAATACCTTTGGACAATACAACCATCACCTGCATATATCGGACAAGGTATTATAATGGGGCTACCCACTGTTTCATACATGTTATTCGGTGCTATATTAGGCTGGGGTATCTTGGCTCCATTATCGAAAAATCTAGGATGGGCACCTGGTGAAATTGACGATTGGAAAACCGGTGCTCAGGGTTGGATCTTGTGGATTTCATTAGCCGTTATGGTTAGTGATAGTGTTGTTGCATTTATTGTGGTGACAACTCAATCTGCTTGGAGATTTTATAAACAACGTTATGAATTTATTGAATTACAGAAAAAACTTGGTGATAATAATGATGATCATAGAGGTTCTATAAATAGTGGTGCTGGAAGCTATAACGATAATGAAGCTTCTCCTGAACATTTGATCCCGGTCAGTACTGTTGTTGTTGGTCTGATCTTATCTTCGATCGTTTGTGTCGTGGCTATGGTTTCATTATTCGGCACTACAATAGTTCCAATTTATTCAGTAGTTATTGCTATCATATTGGCATTGTTCTTATCAGTTCTTGGTGTTCGTGCATTGGGTGAAACTGATTTAAATCCAGTTAGTGGTATTGGGAAATTGTCACAGTTGTTATTTGCCCTAATCATTCCAAAGGGACATCCAGGTTCAGTATTGGTTAATTTAGTTGCAGGAGCAATTGCGGAAGCTGGTGCTCAACAAGCTGGTGATTTAATGCAGGATTTGAAAACTGGACATTTATTAGGTGCTTCTCCAAGAGCCCAATTTATTGCACAAATCATTGGTACTGTTTGGTCAATTTTCCTCAGTGCAATCATGTACAAAGTTTATAATGTTGTTTATGAAATTCCAAACAAAGTGTTTAGAATTCCAACAGCAGTTATTTGGATTGATTGTTCAAGATTGGTTACTGGTGAAGGTTTACCACCTTATGCTTTTGAATTTTCCATATTATTCGGACTCATATTTGGTATCATCTCACTGATTAAAAATATTTTCAAACATAATCCAAGAGTGCAAGATAAATTGATTTGGTTACCTTCAGGTGTTGCAGTTGGGGTTGGTATTTATAATACACCGTCCTTCACAATTGCAAGATTCATTGGTGGTGTTATTGCATATATTTGGTTGAAGAAATGTAAACATAGTCATGAGGGTAAAACTGCAATGATTGTTTTCAGTTCAGGTTTGGTTTTAGGAGAAGGAATGTTTAGTATTGTAAACATGACATTAACATCATTGGGTGTTCCTCATTTTTAACGTCTACAAATATTTATTTAGAATTTTAATAGTATACAATTGGTCGTAACATTTCGTAAACACATAGTCCATCATTTGCTTTGATTCGCCAGTTCCTTCTTTCTCATCTCCTTTATTTGAGTATCTTTGAAGAATTCAACTCTGCTCAAGAAATCTTGTTTTTCAAGATAACCATTCTTATTATGTTGTCTTAACTCATCATCAATACCTTCTTTATCAACAAATTGGGCAAAATCCAACTTTGATTTCTCCAAAGTGTTGAATTTCGGTTTAATAGCACCACTAATGATGCCCTCTAATAATGGTGGTCTCTTTCTTTTGACTCTTAGTTTTTTACCAACATCATTGGATTTTTGTTCTTTAGGTTTATCATCACCTTCTTGAGTTTCAACCTTCTCATTTGGGTTATTCTTGACAGAGTTCAGATACTCTCTAGCCTCAGCTGATTCCCTATCAACCCATTTATCTTCAACAACAATTTCACCTGCAAACTCATATCTTCTCTTAATTTTAATCTTTTCATTTGAATTCAATTGTTGTGGAGTCTGGGATGGTGATGGCGAGGATGAGCCATATCTGTATTTTAATCTTTCTTTGGATTGTGCTTGTAAGTTTTTCCATACATCATCAATATCCACATTGCTCTTCACACCACTGACAGTTTTATACTGTTTAGCTTGTTGTTCCTCTAGTGCTCTCTGAGTTCTTGTTTTGATTAAACCACCTTCTGCACTTTCAATACGATCATAATTTGCACTTTTCACTTCCTTTTCAGTCGATAAATCGTAATCATCACCACCATTCTTGTCATTCTTTTTCTGCTTCTTTGTTGGTTTCACTTCTTCCTCATCATCACTTGAAAAATTGTCATCTTGAGCTATTTTATTGTTAGTTTGGGTGGATCAATGGCGAATAAACTCATAAGTACATACCATTTTCTGGATCGAAATCTTCATCCTCTTCTTCGATATACTCTTCTTCCTGCTCTTTCTTCTCAGCTAATTCCTGACTCATGATAGCAAATACTCTCTAGCTGTTATTTGTACAATATTCACTGGAGTCCTCTAAAAGTTTCACTTCAAACCTTCAAAATTCATCGCTAAGGCCTTCGCGAATTCGTTTTACAAAAATCTTCCTGATAAAAAAAAATCCAGACGCGACTTTGGAAAAAGCAGACAGTTCAATTGGGCTCAACTTGAAAGAAAGAGGCAACTCAATCAAAGGGCTATACCACATTATAATTTCGTCGCTAATTGGCTATGTTGAAGCGTAAGAACGAGGAGGACAACAACATCGACCAGCCTAATTCCGCCATCAAGAGAGTGGCTCTGGACGCTGAGGCAATCGAGGCACAGGATGATCAACTGGGGAACCAAGTTGACCATGAGATGAATATGAACGATAATGACAAAGACAAGGATGGTGGTGATTCCAAGAGTGAGAAGGATGAGACTGCAAGAACCATTTCCAGTCACAAAGTACAGAATAATGATGATCCAACTTATGTTCATTTTAGAATGTTGTGCCATTTCAAAGAGGCTGCGTTAGTTGTTGGGAAAGGTGGTGAAAAGATCAGTCATATTAAGGAAACTTCAACAACTAGAATCAATGTGAGTGAGAATATCAGAGGGGTCAGTGAGCGTGTTATTCATGTTAGGGGACCAGCTGAGAATGTTGCAAAAGCTTTTGGGTTGATGTCACGGGCTATACTAGATGAAGCGGAAGGTGTCCCATCAACAGCAGATTCTAAACAATTCGCATTGAGGCTTCTTATACCGCATCAAGTTATAGGATATGTCATTGGGAAGCAAGGTCTCAGATTTAGAGAGATCGAAGATAATTCAGCAGCTAAATTGAATGCTAGTGCACATTCAATGCCATTCTCCACAGATCGTTGCTTAACAATAACTGGTGTTGCAGATTCAATTCATATTGCAACTTATTATGTGGCACAGACTGTGTTGGAACACAAGTCATTGTTTAAAGGGAAAGTTATCTTTTATGATCCAGCTCAACAACATCAACAACAACAGCAACAAGGATTACCGCCAAATCCATTATTATTTAATGGAATGATGAACTATGGACAAATGCCCCAATTTGACCAACGCCAACTACTACAGTTCAACAATTTCAACAGAAACCCAAGACAAAATACAAACACAAACACTAAATTTCAAAATAGAGTACCTTTCGGTATGAATAATATTCCTATGAATCCACTATCACTACCATTGGGTAATCCACAAATATCTCAAGATATTTTCATCCCAGATGAATATGTTGGTAATGTTATTGGTAAAAATGGTAAAAATATTAAACAGATAAAAGATACTTCAGGTTCCAGGATACAAATTGCAGATCCTGATCCAAATTCAAAAGAGAGAAAAATTAAACTAGTTGGTACAAGTGCTGGTAACCAAACTGCCATCTTTCTCATAAATAATAGAATTGAAACAGATAAGAAGAGTAATGAGGCAAAGGCAAAGCTACAACAACAGCAACAGGAGAATCAACTGGTTGATGGTAATTAGTGATGTGTTGATTTTCAAATGAATGAACAAAGATATTGATACCCCCATACTTTTGCTAGTTTCTTGAATGATTATTGGCTTATACCCATTATATAGTTTTCTGTTATACTTTGACTTTTATTGTGTTTTTATTATGATTTCCCTTAAAATTGTGACGTTAGTTTTGGTTTTGTCTTTTTGATCGTAAAGTTGGTTTTTATTTCACTATATAGCTTTTGAAAGCTGTAATAAATATGAATCTACATATATTCTAGATTTGTTATTACTTGATTCTTTGTTTTCCTGAACATTGAACAGGTTTTTTTAAAGTACATTTTAAATTATACACAGCCATGCATTCAAGAATCATTGCTTAATTCTGACTTCTTTTAGAACTCAACCAATTGATAAAGTCAAAAAAGATGGAGCTAGTTAATCTTGAGTTCTTCTTGGTGAACCATTTTTTTAGTAAATCGGTATATTGATCAATTATTTCATCAACAACTGTTTCATCTAATTGCAAGATTTGCTTGGAAATAAAGATTGAACATTGAGATGATGACAAGTTGAAATCATTTGTATTTGAAGTTTTCAAAATGTCTTTTTGAACATGTTGTAAGATTTCTAATAATTGTTCCTTGGAAACAGTTTGAATGTCAACTTTTGATTTACAGACTCTGCTTTTCAATAATTTGTGAATCTTTGTACCAAGAGATTTATCTAAAGTCAATTTCAACCCCGTTAATAATGGTTCAACAGTGTAAATGATTAATTCACTTGTTGGATTCTTTCTAACAAAAATTTCAAGTAAATCAACAACACGATGTTTGAATAACAAAATATTAGATCTAGCATCTTGAACTTCTGCCTTTCTCTTGTTACCGGTCTCAATAGAATCTAAAGCATCACGACGTTGTTTGAAAATTCTTGATAATTCACCATCAATCGCCATCATTTGTTCATCATCCATTGACTCATCTGACATATCGTCATCTTCATCACTTGAAAAGGTCACTTCACCATTATGTTGTGGTAGTTTCAAAGCTTCAGCTAATGCAAGGTTGGTCTTCTTGTCAAGTTCACTAACGGCTTCGTTATCTTCATCTTCCTCATCATCACTATCTTCTTCTTCACTTTCTTCTTCTTCTTCGTCTTCTTCATCATCCTCACTGTGTTCGTGATCATGGTCATGTTCTTCTTCTTCATCCTCATCGACAAATTCATCTTCACCTTCAAACAAAGCCTTTTGACCTTCTTTGTTTTCTTTCGTTTTGATAACATCAAACAATAGTTCTAAAGCACCTAAATCAACTTTAGTGCAAAAGTTTTCCCAAACAATCATACTCAACTTCTTCAATAGTGAACTCTTTTGACTCATAAAGTTTAATAAAATCTCCACTATACCAACAACACTATCATGTGGATCATCATTTTCTTCATCATCTTCATTTTTATCTTTTTTTTGTTCATAATAATAATCTTGTAATTCCTGCAAGGTATCAACAGATTCGGCATCACCAGAGAAGAGTTGAAGAGTAACCATAGAAAATAATAGTTCAAATACTAATAATCTAGAATTATCCGCATATTTTGAGCTTTCCCGTTTATTTCTGATTTTTTTCAAAATTTTCAATGATTTATCCTTCACAGCTTTTAGTTCATCATCAAACTCGAATATTGGAGTGTGGTCTTTTGAATAGTCTAGTAGCGAGCTCAAAGTTTTGTAAGACCAAGTGTTATTATCATTACGTTCAATAGTGACAACATCAGAAAGTATGGAGTTTAATCTTTCTTGTGCAAATTCTGTAATTGGTGACTCTTCTTGCTCTGGAGATTCCTTGAAAAATGCAATTTCAACTAATGCTTTTAAAACTAGGTCAATCCATTCCAAGTCTGATTTAGCATCCAACTTTGATTTCTTTGCACGAACAAGATGAAGTAATTGATCAATTGTCCATTTCTTGGTCTTTAACAGTGATTCTTCATCATTTGATTGGTTCTTAACGACTGGAGATTTGAGAATTCCAATGAAAAAGTTAGCCAATTCGGTATTTGAAGAGGTATTTGAAATCAAAGTTTCAACGGTTTTGGATTTGGTTAATCTATCAAATTGTAAACTTCCATATTCTCCAATTAGTACATTTCGCAAAACTGGGATCACTTTCTCTGGTTGTTGCGAAGTTGTCTCTGAAATCTTGGAAAGTGTCTTTTTTGCAACTTTGTTCAAAAGTCTATTGTTATCTGATGTTTGATTTATTAAGGTTCTCATAAGGTTTTGAGTAAACAATGACGAAACAACTTCAGCTGAGACTGAGCCAAACAGAATTTGAAAAATTTCAAACCCCCAATATTTGCGTTCATGTGAAGACTTTTCACTAAAGAAACCTTCATCAATAATGACTTTCCAAAACTCTGGAACAGTGATATGGTCATTAACACTAACTTCTGATTTGGAATTTGATTTTGATTTCTTTTTGCTCTCCTTGTTGTGCTTTTTTCTCTTTTTAGAGTTTTCAACCTCCTCATCAACTGGTTCTTGGTTGTTAATAGTAGTTAGTTCTTGAATAATCAATTGCCAAACAAAATGTAGTCTAGGTGACCAAGAACCTTTTTGCTTTGAATTTGACTTAGTACCTTCTTCAGAAGAGTCATCACCGCTAGATATATCTTTCAAAACTTTAGACAATAAAGATATGTTGGATTGGTGTAATGGGTCGCATTCTTTCCATGTGGAATTCTCAAAGTTCAATTTGGATAAAGTTGATGATCTAAATGTGGTAGGAACTGAGAGGTAAATGGCCAAACCTTCAGTTGTTAATGACAATTTATTTTGATCCAACTTTGTAAAGACATAAACAATTGAATCTCTGTCAAGACGGTCTGGGATAGCTTGAAGTAAAGTGACAATGGTGAACAATGTTGGTTCTCTGATCCATGATTTCAGACAAGCTAATTCAATCAGATTATCGATGAACAATTTGAAGTCTTCAAACTTTATATCCCCAGCAAAAACACCAGAGTTCAAATTTGAAATACATTGCAAACCAAATAATTTACCAAACAAGACAGCACGTTCTTCCTTACCATTCATTGAACTTGACACCTTTGTGTTTGAATTGATCAATTCCACAAGGCTTTGTAAAGTAAGTTTACCGCTTGAAAGTCTAATATTGATGAGTTCAGTTAAGCAAGTGGAGAATCCAAGTCTTGAGGAGCCTCTTGAAGAGGACAAACCTTTGATTAATCTTGATAATGCATACTCCCATTCACTGTCGTTGTCAGCTTCATTTAACTCGTTGATCAAGGCGATTGCTGCGCTAATTCTCTCTTGCTCCAAGTCACTACTCAACTTGTAGTAGTGGTCTCTTGATACTGTCATTCTGCCAGCTTCAAACTCTATGATACCCACTTGTTCAAGCTCATTTAACCTCGATCTCATCGCATCTCATCGCTCTTTGGCTTTTGCCTATAATTAAAAAAATTCGGATTTTACCCTCTCTTGCGAAAAATAATGGAGGTTCTGCTCGACTTATTGCCAAATACGGAAGTCAACTATCGCAGGCGTAAATCTCAGAACAAATCAGAGCCTTCAGAAAAATTGGTGTTTTTCAAGATGAAAGGGAGACTAGACGAACACCATAGTTGTTGAAGTACAGATCTTTTCGTATCTATCTTATACCCAGATTAAATATTCAACAATGTCTGCCTGGAGAAAAGCTGGATTTTCGTATGTGCTTCCTTATTGATTGAAATTGGAACGTGAATGTCCAATTGAGTTGTGTAAATTGAATACTAACCCAACATCAAGATTCAACAAATACTTACAAATCTCTGCTCAAACTGTCAGAAAAGCTTTGAAACCAGAATTTCAAACACAAAAAGTGCAGGCCAGAGGTAACACTGATGCTAAAGTCATCAAATTTGAAAACGGTGTTGCTAAAGAAGCTGAACCATTAGCCAAACATTAGATATAGAATCAATTTTACAACAAAAAAAAGTTTATACAATCAAGTAAAGGGTGGAAAATAAAATGATTTTGGACATTTTCTATCAAAATTCATTAATGTTATTTATGGCATCAAAAATATAATACAATTTATGACTTTATTAGAACTTGGAGCGTAGTATTTTACTTTTAATGTGTGGTTCTCGACAAAGTCGATGATACGCACACTCGGAAACGTAGGTTTTCTCAATTTTGATTCTGGAGTCAAACTTCAGAAATCATGATCAACTACGATTTAAAGAGGTCTCAACACCTGAAATCTATATTTTGACTACACATTGATCTTTAATTAGCTGCTTTGATTATTGAAATTCACCAGTTTCCAGAATAGAGTCAACATCATCGTTTTCAGTTCATCAGGGCGCCGTTAAATGTTGAACATATCTTCAACATGTTTATTTTATTGAAACCAACCATAAGGTTGAGACCATCAATCACAAAGCTGTCACTGGTTTCAAACTGTTTACTTCATAAACCACTGAATAGCTTTTCAGCATCAACGCAGCAGGCCAATTTTACAACTTCAATTAGAAAGAATGTTCTAACTTCACCATCATTAGCATCTAAATTTGCATCATATAACAATTTCCATTTCACACAGATACGTCAATTCTCACAAGCTCCACCAGAACAAAAAGATACTTCTAATGAGTCCAAAAAGGCTAATCAAGAACATGAGAAGGCCAAAATAGAAGCAGATAAGCAGAAACAAGGATATGCTTTGAAAGACCTATCCAGGTTGTTAAGCTTGGCCAAGTATGATTGGAAATTGTTGACTTTAGCACTAAGTTTATTGCTAATATCATGTTCTATTGGAATGGTCTTGCCGAAGGCTTACGGCTTGGTGTTAGATGCTGCTAAGAATGTTATTGATGGAGAGTTGCCTCCCATCATTTATGGATTGTCATTATATGAATTTGTTGGTATCGTTGGTGCCCTATTGGTACTTGGTATTGCTACAAATTACGGTCGTATAATATTACTAAGAATATTGGGTGAAAAATTAGTTGCAAGATTAAGAGCTAATGTTTTGAAAAAGACAATCTCTCAAGATGCTGAGTTTTTCGATATTCATAAAGTTGGTGATTTGATTTCGAGATTAAGTACTGATGCATTTGTTGTTTCCAGATCAATTACTCAAAACCTTAGTGATGGTATGAAAGCTGTTATTACTGGATCAGTGGGTATTGGAGCTATGTTTTTGATTAGTCCCCAATTGGGAATGGTTGTTATTGGTTTCACTCCTATGGTTATGATCGCTACGGCTATATTTGGTAATAAAGTTCGTAAAATTTCAAGAGGTATCCAACAAGCTACTGGTGAATTAACCAAAATTGGAGAGGAACAACTAAGTAGTGTAAAGACTGTTCAATCATTTGTTGCTGAACAAAAAGAATTACGCAAATATAACACAGGTATAAGGAATTTGTTTGGATTAGCTAGAAAAGAAGCTAAGTTGAATGCAACTTTTTATGCTGGGACTGCTGTTCTTGGTGATGCTGCATTTTTGGTTACTTTAGGCTATGGTGCTCTATTAGTTGCTCGTGGAAACATTTCTGTTGGTGATTTGGCTGCATTTGCACTTTATGCTGATTATGCTAATAATGCAATGTATTCCTTAGCAGGGTTCTATTCAGAATTGATGAAAGGTTCTGGTGCTGCTTCAAGATTATTCGAATTAATCGACAGAAACCCACAAATTAACGCAACTGTTGGTGAACCAGTCTTAAGTAAACCACATGGAGAGATCGAATTCAAAAATGTTTCATTTTCATATCCTACAAGACCAAAGATTCAAATTTTCAATGAGTTGAATTTCAAAATACCTGCCAATTCAAATGTATGTGTTGTTGGACCATCAGGTCGTGGTAAGTCTACAATCACTTCATTATTGTTACGTTATTATGATGTGACTGGCGGTGAGATTCTTCTTGATGGTAAAGACATATCCAAATATAGTGTTAAAAGTTTGAGAAGACATTTAGGTGTTGTTCAACAAGAACCAGTCTTGATGTCAGGTTCTATTCGCGATAACATCACTTACGGTATAAAATCAGAACATGTTTCCGAAGAAGAAATTATAGAGGCTGCCAAAAAAGCCAATTGCCACGATTTCATTGACAAGTTTCCTGATGGCTATGACACCATTATTGGACCAAGAGGTGCTTTATTATCTGGTGGTCAAAAGCAAAGAATTTCAATTGCTAGAGCTTTGATCAAGAATCCAGCGGTTTTAATTTTGGATGAAGCTACATCTGCATTAGATAGTAAGAGTGAATATGCTATCAATCAAACTCTTCAACAATTAATGAGAGATGAAAAATTGACCACAATTTCCATTGCACATCGTCTTTCAACCATTAGAAAGGCTGATATGGTTATTGTTCTTGGGTATGATGGTAAAGTTGCTGAAATTGGGAAATTTGAGAAATTGTATGCTGATAGAAATAGTGCGTTATACAAATTGTTAAATGAAGAGAAGCATGAAGGTAATGATAGAAAAGATGCTAAGAAGAAACTTAAAAAGAAGAATGACTCAGAAACTGAAGAACATGAAGATGAACAAGAATTTACGCAAGAATTCATCAGAAATGAAATAATTAACAAAGCTTTGGAAGATATCAAGTTTGAACAACCAGTTGTGGTCAAAGGTGACCAAATTGAACAAAGTGAATCAAGATAGATTTGACTAGCCTTTGCTAGATACCCAGTCATAATATGTATATACCTTTAATATTCAATCACAATTCCGTTTACGACATTCCATCTTTTGAGACGTATCACATCTTCTCTGCATAGAAAATCCACCTTGTTCGCGATGTCAAAAGTTTCGCGAAAATCTTTGAGGGTAATTTTTTTGTTTTTGTTTTGAATCAAAATAGGCAGATCCTGATTCAGATCAAAGGTCTATAAACAAAACAAAACAAAGAAAACACCAACATCACCATTAAAATCGAATATTTCAAAAGATCCAGCTTTGTTTCACGCGCAGGTATCAATAAAGACGCGACAATGGCACAAAAGTTTTCAGAAATACTTGTGATAAGGTCAGAGTTCAACTTCTTTCAAAGTATCGCGAACTTGGAACCTTTCGATCTATCAAGATTAGAAGTTGTTATTGATGATGTTTTGAATTACATTTTAAGAGTCAAGGAAATATTTGAATATCTAGATGCTATCCCAGATGATTTGAAGGTCAATTTGGATTGGTTGGCTGAAGGAAAGTCTAAATATTATGACATCTACAGAAACATTGATTCAATAGATTCTGTTGTGCTACAATCCCTAAATTTATTAGAAACCAACTTAAATAAAGATTCATCCATTGTTGATACAGGTATATTTGACAAACTTGATAAGTTAAGTGAACTGAGTCTAGATGTGAAACAAAATCATTTGTTAAAGTTCAAAACTAACGTTGATGTATCAACAGAATATCATGAAATTTTCAATACCACAATGAACTCAATTAACAATGAACTGGAAAATTGCTTGAAAAAATGTTTCAGGATCCATGAAAGAAGATTTAGCTCTCCAGTTCGTCATGCTCCAACATTTAACCTTGAGATGTTGACCAAAAAGCTTTTGCAACAGAAATCAAACCTTCGCTTACCTCTATTGAATGAAGTTGATAATGAACTTTATGAAGAGTTCTTGGATTTAAAGAGTATAGTGGATCCTTTGAAAGCTAGCTTACACTTCATACCTTTAAGAATTGAAGAATTTCACGAAAAGCACAAAGAATTGGGATCTTTGAACGTTGCCAAAATCACAACAAAATACAACTCATTGATTAAGGAGCTTGATTTCTTACAAAATGAAGTCAATGATTTGAAATATGAGCTAGTAGACAAAAGATGGGATGAAATCTTCAGTTATTTGAATACAGAGATGTCGTTCTTGATATCAAGTGTTGAAAAGGAAACAAAAAAACTGAATCATCTCAAAGACAAAGAAGAACATGGTTCAATCGAGACTCAAATTCTTAAAAAGATGAGATATACTTGTCAAATCGTTGAAAGTACATTCACGTTAGTCAACCAAGCAATTGATGAAAAATTGATTGACATCACAGTTGTGGAAAAAACCAACCAGTTAGCTGAACGTTGGTTAAATGCAAAAGGTTCAATACCAGAAGAATATACCGTATACATTGACGGTGATGATCTTGTCTTTGAGGAGTTGAAGCAATTCAAAACATTATCACTTGATGAAGACAACTCAAAAAAGATACAATTTGATGAAGAATCTAACGAAACAAAAACACCTGTCAAGTTCAAAAGAAGAAGTAGAGCCGGTGAATTCTTTATGGGAAAAATGAATTTAAGACCAGTTTTGATTGAAAATGATCCCACTTCTGTTAGAAAGCCTGCTGATCCAAATAATGTCCCAAAGAACGTGCTGGGCGAGAGCCTAAGACATAACCAGCTAGAGAACTCACCTTCTAAACCCAGATTGATGGGAATCAAGCCTCAAGATTTTAACAAAATTCCAGATTTGAAAACATCATTATCAAAATTGCCAAATGAACACATCTTAACTGCTGCTGATATTCCAAGCAACCCACCGGTCGTCAAGTCTGATTTATCTACAATGAGCCCAATTGTTGAGGCACAAACACCACTGAATCAAAAATACACTGCATCGGGCTTCTCAAATAGTGATGATGATGTTTTTCAAACTCCATCGGTTTCTAGCAAAAGAGCTTCAACTATAAGCTCGTCAAGGTTACCAATACCAACAAAGCTTAAAAACTCAAATCCAAATGCTTCGAAGATACCAAGGCCAAGCTCTCGCTTAGGAACTTTAGATAGGGAATCTTCAGTTTCAAAATTACATTCAGATGGTTCATCATCAGTGACACGGGCAAGACCAGCAAGTGCATTAGCTTCCACAAGACAAAGTCAGTCTGAAAGACCACCGTCAAGAATTGGCAGAATGAACAAAAGACACTCAATGATCCCACAAACTCCAGTTAGAGTTCCTTCAAGAACTTCAGAAAGATCAATATCAAGAACTTCAGATAGAAAGTCATTATTGCCTCAGCCGACACCAATAAAGGAGATTATTGAAAGAGGTGGCTCGCGTTTAAGTGACAGACGCCCCGGTTCAGAATTTAGGAGTTCAAGGATCCTGGATAAACCAGCAAAACCAATATGGAGATGAAATATTAATGTAATGCGAACACAAATGTACTATACTTAATGGGATAATGAATAATTTTATATGTATATGGGAGAATAAATACAAGGAATGAACCTTTAGGGATTAATAAATAACGTAATAAATAATCTTGTGGTGTCTGTTTATCTTTTTGGTAACTCGCCCGCTTTTGACTCATCGCCAAATATCTGTGTCATTATGCTCTTTTCATCATGATCTTTGATTTCTTGTGGGGAGAAAGGTCTGATAGAGCCATCGTCCAAAATTTCACCAGTTCTAACTCTTTTTTCTTCACCAACAATTACTAGATACGGTATTAGCTTGAGAGCATAGGCAAGTTGATTCCATACATACCTCTTTTGTATAATAAATAACTTGTGATTAAGAACATCGGGAACCCGAAAAATAACAAGCGAACACTAAGGATTGTTAGCGGGACAATGGCGTATAATAACAAAAGCACTCACTGTCTTGCTTGTTGATGTACTTCCTTAGGTATTTGAGGATATATTTTCTCCATGATTGCTTCACTTAGATGATAATTTCGAAACAGTTATGAAACCGTTCAAACCTTGGAGGGATGAAGCATTCAAAGAATTCGCGAAAGTTTTTTGAAAAAGTTGATGGAGTGCGTAAACCGAGTTTAGGATAAGAAATAAAAAAAAATTTATGCGATGAGTTTTTGATCTTAGTGGTTCAAAATCCTTCAAGCTGAGGCTAAGTGAAATGGGCAAAGTGGTTAATAAAAAGAAATATTCAAGTGCTAGTGACAATCAAGTCTCTGCTGAAAAGCATATGAACTCTGTTTTCAAGTTCAACACAGATCTTGGGCAGCATATTTTGAAGAATCCACTCATAGCTCAAGGTATCGTTGATAAAGCCAATATCAAACCTTCAGATATCGTTTTAGAAGTTGGTCCAGGTACAGGTAACTTGACTGTTCGTATATTGGAAAAAGCTAGAAAAGTTGTTGCAGTGGAAATGGATCCTAGAATGGGTGCTGAATTGACCAAGAGAGTTCACGGTACACCAGTTGAAAAAAAATTGGAAATCATGTTGGGTGATTTTATGAAGACAGAATTACCATACTTTGATATTTGTATCAGTAATACCCCTTACCAAATTTCTTCCCCATTGGTTTTCAAATTAATCAACCAACCAAGACCACCAAGAGTATCAATACTGATGTTTCAAAGAGAATTCGCATTGAGATTGTTAGCTAGACCAGGTGATTCGTTATACTGTAGATTATCAGCAAATGTTCAAATGTGGGCTAATGTCACACATATAATGAAAGTTGGTAAAAACAATTTCAGACCACCTCCACAAGTTGAATCTAGTGTTGTTAGAATAGAAATTAAAAACCCAAGACCAGCGGTGGATTATAATGAATGGGATGGTTTATTAAGAATAGTGTTTGTTAGAAAGAACAGAACAATAGCAGCTGGTTTCAAATCTTCAACAGTTTTAGAGATTTTAGAGAAAAATTATAAAACTTACTTGGCTACAATGGATGGAGATGCCATGATGGATGTTGATTCTAGTAAGAAAGGCCCAATGATTGATGTTGTTAAGCAAAAGATTGAACAAGTTTTAACTGATACCGGGTTAGGAGAAAAGAGAGCAGGTAAATGTGACCAAAATGATTTCTTAAGATTGCTATACGCATTCCATCAAGTTGGTATACATTTTGCATAATATAATCAAACGTTTGTACAGATTTTGAAATTCATATTACTGTAGTATACATCTATCTTCTTTTAGTAGTTTTGGTTGTATCCTTCTCTATAACTTCACCAATCCCACCAAGTTCTTCTAATCTATCTTCCTCGATACGAACTTGTTCTCTTCTTTCCCACCAACGATCTTGACATAAATCAAATGATTTCTTCTTCAAGTGCTTACCACGGGCATCTCTATTGTTGGAAATAGCCCATTGAAGGAAGTCAGCACCAGTTCTGACATAGAAGGCTCTTAATGATTCGAAAGCCTTTGGATGTGGTAACCAAGGTCTTAAATCTGGAATTTCAGGTTCGTCCTCAATAATATCTTCCTCGTCCTCTTCGTCTTCCTCTGCAACCAATTTCTTATCTTCAGTTTCCCCTTCATCATCTTCATCCTCGTCATCTTCTTCGTCGAAATCGTCTTCATCTTCTTCCTCCTCTTCTTTAGCATTTTCAACATCTTTCAAATTCTCCCAATACACTTTCATACCATCTAGTTTAGCAAGATCAATAGAATACAAACTATCAATCGAATAATCTCTTTCACCTAATTCCCAGACACCACCGAAAATGAACAAAGAATCGTCAACGACAGCAGTTGCTGCGTTGAATCTTGGGTGTGGTAAAGTATTAACAACAGGATATTCATTTCTTTCACCTTGCTCGTCTTCATCACTATCGGACTCATCATCGAATTTTTTCAATTCAGCTTCAATTTCATCATCATCTTCGTTATCTTCTTCATCGTCCTCCAATTTAGCCTTAGCCAAAATGGAGTTCAAAAGTTCTTCCAAGTCTTCATCTCTATTTTGCTTCTTGTTCAATTTTTGTTGTTTTTTCTTTTGAGCTCTTAAGGAAAGTGAATACCATCTGTTATTTTCAACTTGATAAGTGAACAAATCATTGAAGAATGACGAGTCTAAAGATTCTTCAGTTTCTTCGTAATCGTAAACACCCCCAAACAAGACCCCTCTACCTTTATGATGTACCATAGAACAACCAACTCTTGGTGAAGGTTGAAAACCTTGCTTTTTACGTCTTTCCCATCTGATAGCACCTAGATCACTCTTCATCTTCAACATCCAACAATCTGTCAGGATTTTACCCTTTTGTAAACCTTTACCAGCTTTAACTTTGCAATAACCACCCCATAACACAGCACCATCAGCTGAAGGGATCAAAGAATGACCAGATCTAGCATCTGGAGTTGGGTGATTTGGAGGAAATTCAATTTGTTTCCATTTATAATTTGTGATATCGAAAACCCAAAGGTCATTTAAATATGAAGTTGAAGAGCCTAAATCTCTAAACCCACCATACATGATGAAAAAATTCTTCCAAACAGTTATTCTATGACCAGATCTTGCACTTGGACCATTTTTTTGTTCAATCTTGGTCCATTCTTTTGTAGTTGCGTCTAATAACCAAGTATCTGAATAGTGGTAGAATGTGTTTTGTTTAGGACTTGAAAACTCACCACCATGTAATAATACAACACCACTTGGATGAGCAGCTATAGCAGCTGAAGATCTATGCATTGGACTATTCTTGGATGTTATTTTTCTCCATTGATCAGAATCTGGAGCATAAGTGTATAATTCGTTATAAAATGCAGAAATGTTATCAACTGTGTTTTCACCACCAAAGATGAATAATTCTTTTTTACCATGATTTGGATTAGCAACCATGGACACATTGATTCTTTTTGAAGGACGAGTAACAGTTTCAACATTGATCGCTTCGAAAGCTTCTTGTTCTTTTTTGTAGTTGGCTAAAATTTCATCAATGTCAACATCATCTTCATCAACTTCACCAGTCTTTTTGGCCTTCTTCTTATTTTTACCCTCAGCTTTTGACAAGTTTTTCTTATTCTTCTCTTCAGCACGAGCCTTTTTGGCTTCTTTATCTTTTTTACTATTCTTCTTAGCCATTTTATCAAGCTCTGTCTTTGATCGTACCTTTGTAAAGAGCCTGAGCTCATCTCGTAATTTTTTTTTTGGCCTTCGGAGGAAACACTACAGTGGGAAAAAGATCATGGTAAACATTTCATAAACTTTTTATTCGCTTAAACACATTTCAAACTGAATTTTTAACCAATTCGCTAACTTCTTGTGAAAGTTGATCAGCTTCAGCTCTTGAGTTGGCTTCTGCATAAACCCTGACAGCATCTTCAGTACCACTAGCTCTTACAAAAGATCTACCATGTTGGAATTTTTTAACAATTTCATCAATCTTGGCCTGTAATCCAGCAGGTGAAGTTAATTGTCTTTCAGCATTTGTGGTCTTGAAAACATGTCTATCAGGAACGACGACTTTTGCTAATCTGTTTGGTAAATCAGTGTAAGATTCATCCCAGTTGGAAGGATCCCAATGTTTGATGGATAAAACAATCAAGACTGCCAATAAATCAGAAATTGCATCACCAACAGTTTGATTAATCAATTGAGAAAGTTCATACAATGTGTCAATAGCTCTCTTTTCATGTGGGGTTGATGGAGTTGCTGTTTTTAGATTATCAATAAAAGAATCTGAGAATAAGACAGTACCATGACCGTTGGCTTCAAAGTAAACACCAATATCAAATTTTGCAGCTTCATGATGTAAATGTTTAACACCAGTTGGCGTACAGACAACTGGTACTTTCAACACATCTGTGATATAGTTTGTGGAGCTACCATTAGCATAAGCTGTTTGAACAACACCAATTTCAGCTTTAAAATTTGATTTTTCAACTAAGTCTTTAAAGAATCCAGCTAAAAGTGTGGAAATCTTGTCACCATCCAACAACTTGAAAACACCTTGAGCATCAGTATAATAGAAAACGACTCTATCAGCATCACCATCGAATGAGGAATAAAGTTTTAAAGGTTCAGCATTTACATTATTTGGTAATTTTTGATTAGTCTTGACGTAATCAGCACCAGAACCAACATTTAAAGCTTCAGGATCTGAATAATTGTTGTTAACAACAGTGAAATCAATATAGTCCGATAAGTATCTTGAGAGTAGATGTTGAGCTTTTGGACCACCAATACCATTTGCTGCATCAATTGTGATTTTAACCTTTTCAGGTGTTTGACCATCAAGAAACCCATCAAAGATTTTCTTGTAGGAAGTTGACAATTTTTTGAAATAACCTTCTTCATTTGGCTCACCAAAACTTACTGGAGTACCGTGTGTGTTGATGGCTCTAACTAAATAGTGGAGTTGTGGAGTTGTCAATAGATCAAAGTTTTTATAACCAGTATCTAAAACTTTTAACCCGTCAATTGTAGCATCAGTCAATGCTGGACCTGAAACTCTGGAATCCCTAGCAATGACAACGTTTGAAGGGGTTTCCAATTTGATGTTAAGTTGAGTTGATATCTTGATAATTTCGTCATAGATCTCTTCACTTGTATTTAGATTGGCTAATGTGGTTGCATAGACCTCCCACGCTTGTTCTAACATTTCACCTTGTGGGTCAATCAGTTTGATACCATTATCTTCAGGTGGGTTATGGGATGCTGTAATCATGATACCAATGGATTGACCATCTAGATATTTGGATCTAAGACTGGCTAATATACCTACAACAAAGACAACACTATCTAAAATGTTGGCTTTTGTACGGAAACCAGCGGTACCATATGTGAACTTGAGCTCTTTTGGTTTTTGATGAGCAGTGTAGTATTTTTCCAATTGCACTTTCAATTGTGGACTCATCTTTGGTGGATTGGATAGTTCAGGGAGTTGTTGAGAAGGTAAAGCTTTAATTGGATGAAACTAAAATCACGTTGACGTTTTTTTCAAGACACAAGTGTAAACACGATTTTTTTGTCAGAGCTCAAAGAAACTTCAGCCTGAAAACAGCTGGAAAATAGAGCTCCAACCAACCAACAGCTACAATAACAGTTACTCATGGCTCCCCCTACGCCTGTGCTGGTGAAAGAAGACCTCAGCAGAGTCTACGAGCTGGACAAGAGACTGGGCGAAGCTCAGTGCACTCTCAAGTCGCTCACCCAATTCGAGTGCACATTTAACGGTGGGCTGGTGAACTGCTATCCTTTCAAAAGACTATTCAAGGATTGTCTACTGGCAAATGGTAAGAGACAAAGAGTGGAAGTCACTGAACCTTCCACAAATGCTGCTGAGAAGCTGAAAAGCACTGAGGCCAAACGGTTTTTGAATGCTGAGTCCAAGATACGGCAGATGTATGAGAAGGACTTGACAGAGAGTGAGGAATGATGAGCCATCAAGAAATAATACAACAACGAATTACACGATTATTACACAATTTACTTTTGGATATTTCACTTGTAGAATACGCTAATAAAACCACGTCTCAAGGGATTAATGGGCTATAATGGATAGGAGCTGGTCGCGAATTGGAGCGCGGTAAGCCTCTAGCCGCTGGTTTTATCAACAACTTTCATTAGCAACAATCCACAACTAAGCTAACAGCGGCATCTAATATTGGAAAGAAAAGTTTCAGAGGTGCTGTGGAATGGCTGATATCACACCGACAAGGGAGCATTTCCTCAAAAGGGAGCTTCTCAGACTACAATTGGCTAAGGAGTTTGAACAATTCAATGACGCTTATGCACTACGAAGATTTGGTTATCCATTTACTAAAAGTGATCCAAGAGAATACAAGGTTGAAAAAAAGTTAAAGAATGGTGATGTAAAGCAGCCAGATCCAGATGATACGCTGGATGCTTTCCCCTTATCCAAATACTTCTTCAACAATTTTGTCCTTACTATACCTTTCCTATCATCAAAACATCAAACCACTGAAGAGTTTTGGATCAAGAAAGTTCAAGTGTTTTATGAACATTTCATGAATTTGAGCATGAGCGAATCATTTGATAGAGATGAGTTGACTAAGAGAAAGAAGTTGGGTTTGAAATTAACTAGAGTCATTTTGATGTTTTACAATTCAGGTATTGGAACTACAAATGAAGCAATATATTACGAAAAAGATAAAGAAGAGGTTGGTGAAACGATCAAAGGCAGCAAGCTGGATAAGTTGATGTTTCCATCTAAAGAGACGTTACAAGATCATATAGCTCAAGGAACTTTCATCAATGGGATAAATGTTAACGTTGCTGGTGTTCGTCTTGTGAAGAAGGCCAACAACAAATTTTGGAGTAATTTGAATTTCACCAAGTCTCATGAAACATATTATGAGTTTCTCATAAAATCTAGAGTTGAACTTGATGAAAGTTATGATATTTGTGTTGCTAGAAGGTACCATGATTTTAAAGAGTTGAGCCATGCATTGAAAAAAAGATATCCTGGGAAACAATTACCAAAACTACCAAGCAAAATCAAATCAGAAATCAACGTTGGTGGATCCAATAATGATGCTGATGATTTTGATGAAGATAATGAAGATGACGAAGATGATGAAGATACTACAAAAAAACATGATGAAGAAATTAGAAGAAGTTTGACAAATTTGTTCAAGGACTTGAAAATTGATCCTTCAACCATCAATGAAAAGAATCCAGAAACTCCAGTCCTCAATCAGAACCCAGTATTTGCTGAGGCTCCAAAGTCTCCAAAATCTCCAAAGTCGACAAAGTTGTTCAAATCACCAACTAAAAATTTATTTAGAAGCCCTTCTACATCTGAAAAGAAGACCCAGTCCAGTAATCCTGATGCTTCTACTGATAATAACAAACTCCCAAGAGAGAAAATGAGAGTTTCCTTAAGAGCTTACCTTCGTGAATTGTTGAAAGATGACGAAGTTAGTCATTGTGATTTGTTGAAGGAATTCTTATTCAAAGGACAAATATTCAAATTGTCGAACGAAGAAGAAATTGATATAAAGATTAGGGAGAATTTAGACTTGTTGTTGGTTTTAAATCAGGTCAAGTTTCAAACCGAGGCTTATGCTAAGATATCGGCACTAAGAGAACAAACAATGCCATTACGTGTGAAATTATTGGAAAGTGATAACGGTATAATTGAAGTTTTTGATGAATTAAAGACCAAAGAACATATCACTGAACTATCACCAATGCTTAGAAATTTTATTGATTGGTGTAAAATTAACATTGCAGCAACAATTTATCAACTATTCTTGGGTAATGATAATTCATTTGAATTTTATTCTCAAGTTAGAAGATTCCACAAGATGTTGCCATACTCTGTTATGATTAACATTCTAAAGTTTACAAATCCAATGAGTATTATGAAAACAATGCTTGATTTGATGATGGCTAGTCCATTTGGTGGGAAATCTTTGTTACAAACATTGTTTTACGGTATTTTGACCGATGATATCAAGGCTCAATTGAAAACAATTAACGAACTTGAAGTTAAAATCCATCATGAAGATATTTTGCGAAGATTGAAATATTTTGTTTATGATTGTGAAGATGTTGATTTATTAGAGTCAATTAAACAAGAATCCAAAGAATTGAATGCTGATTTGTTATTAACAATTATAATCACTCCAAAGCTTTCAGAATATTCAGATGTTGATGATGAAATTGTTGGGACTGTCTTTGAAAGTTATAAAGAATATAAAAAAATGAAGGCAGCTGATGATGCCGATGAAAAGTTATTAATTAACCATGAAAAAGCTGAGTTATATTCAAATTTAAAGGCTGTTTTCAAATTATATGTTAAAAACCATGATAAAGATATCTTGAAACAAATTTGGGCCGAACCTGAATTGACCTCAATCCTTAAAGATTTATTAACAATGTTTTATCAACCATTAGTGAATTTATTCAAGAATGCTCATGTTGATGTTGCTTTTAAAAATTTTGAAAATTTCATGGATGAATTAATAATCACTATTGATAGGTTAACCAATGAAATTTATGTTAGTGATACAAGTAAAATCGTTGATGAGATAATGAGAGTGTTGGATACCCATGAAGATGAATTTTATCAATTTTTACATGATGTTTACATCACTGACTCTGGACAAATTTTCCAACAATTAATCGAATGGATTAATTCAATATTAAATTTCCTAAGAAACTCCAAAAACATTAATGTCTCATCATCAAATATTCATAAAAAATTGGACATTTCAGAAATTGTATCAAATTCATCAAACTCTCCAGAGATTATTAAAGAGATAGATTCAATTATAGAACAAGTTAAATTACAACGTCAACAACATATGGAGAAATTATCTAAACAACAAAAACAAAAACAAGATTTGATTACTGATAATTGGGATGCTATAAACAATATAGAAATTTTCAATACTGGTGATTTTGGATTGAATGAGCATGATGTTTTAGAATTAAATGATGAAAGTGAAAGTGAAGATGAAGATAATGATCATAAAATTAAGATAAAACCAAGAGAAGAAATGAAGACTGATGAGATCGAGAAGTTGGTTCCTATATTCAAGGACTCTGTTGTGGATATTTTGAAGAACTAATAGTAATGAACGTAAACGTCGATGGTTATTTTACCTACTAATCGTAGCTTTTTTCAAATTCCCGAAATCACTCCTTGAAAAACTTTAACTATAAATCAAAAATGTTGTCTAATATACACTGGTCTGTAAATTACTTTTAAACCACCTTTTTTCACATCACTTCCAGATCACCATCTTCATCTTCCTTATCATCGTAATTATCATTAATATCATCAATAACTTGTTCATCAATACTTCTTTTCAAAAATTCACTTTCAACAGGAGAATTCTTCATTGAGCTTAAAGTACTCAAAGCACTATCAGTAACAGACCTATTATTAATTGACAATAAAGGTCTTTCTAATGATTTCAAAGCTGGTGATAACGCAGTGGCAAGATTATCTTTTGTTGTGGTACTATTGATATTGTTGATGACTTTTCCTAATTCTTGATTCGATTGAGATCTTTTATTTGATGGGCTCGTTTCAGCCAGATTTGTTGAAGAATTATTACCATTGGAAGGGAAATTTAGCAAGCCCTCATTTGCCAATTGATCATTTGTTGGATTCATACTTGCAATTTCTTTTAATTTATTAACATGATGAATAGTTTTAGCAATGGTTTGGATCAAAAGATTTGGTTTCAATGGTTTGGAAATATATTCATCCATTTGAGCTTGCATACATTTTTCACGATCTCCCAACATGGCATGAGCAGTTAATGCAATAATTGGAACTCTAACAGATAACGGATCAATTGGGTTCATTTCTTTTTCCCATTTTCTAATCTTTTCAGTAGCTTCAAACCCACCCATGATTGGCATTTGAACATCCATCAAGACAACATCATATCTGTTTTGTTTAACTTCTTCAAAAGCTTCCAACCCGTTTTGTGCAACATGAACTTCATGACCATATTTTTCCAAAATACGAACAGCTAATTTTTGATTAACCAAATTATCTTCAGCCAATAAAATATTATAAGATTGTGGAGCATCATCATCACTTGGAACAATTCTCGATTCTAATGCAGGTTTCAAATAATCAGCAAGATCCATAATAGAACAAGGTGTATTACCATAGGATTGAATACCAAGATCTAAACAAACTCTCATATTCAATCTTGGAATGCTATGATGTAATAAAACAAATGGAATATATTTTATTTCTGGCAATAATCTCAACTTGTTACCAGTATCAATTGAATCAATAATGATGACATCATATTTACAAGGTTCTTCCAAGTTAGCTTCGTCAATAGTATGAACAACTGTTGGTCTCAAGTTTAATCCTTTCAAATCTTCTTCAATTTTATTGGTTTCTTGAGCGGAATGTTGAGTAGATATGAATAAAATTTGATGTAAGTTAAAAGTTAATAATGCATCTGATTGCTTTGTGAAGACTTGATCCGGAACAGGACGAACTGCAATAGTGAAATAAAATCTTGAACCTTCACCGTATGCTGATGTGACCCAAATTTCACCACCCATTAAATGAATTAATCTCTTGGAAATTGACAAACCTAACCCAGTACCACCAAACTTTCTTGTTGTTGAACCATCAGCTTGTGTGAAATTTTCAAAAATCAAATCTAACTTATCCTTCTTAATACCGATACCAGTATCAGAAACACAAAATTCTAAAACTAATACATCATCTTGTGGTGCCTTATTTGATTCCACTATAGTGGAAGAATCATTACCAATAACATAATTGTTATTTTCCACAGTTTGAGTGATTTGTTGTTGTAATGAAGTTGTAGCTTTCTTCACACTTAAGGAAACATGACCTTTTGAAGTAAATTTAATAGCATTACCAACCAAGTTTAAAATAACTTGTCTCAATCTGAAAGAATCACCAATCAAGTAATCTGGGAATGATGCATCAACTTGATAAATTAAATCCAAAGGTTTTTCAATTGATTTAACTGCAAGAGTTTTCAAAGCACCGAAAACAGTGCCTCTTAAAGTAAATTCAACTTGTTCAATTGTCATTCTGTTTGCTTCAATCTTGGAAATATCTAAAATATCATCAATAATTGTTAATAATGAGTTTGCTAAATTATGAACAGTTGACAACATTTCTCTTTGATATTGAGTTAATTCCGTGTCTAATGTCAATTGTGTATAATTCAAAATACCATTGAATGGAGTTCTTAACTCATGTGAGAAAATACCCAAAAATTCTGATTTTGCTCTATTTGCCAATTCAGCAGCTTCTCTTGCAGCAGTGTTTCTTTTAATTGATTCTCTCAAATTAAACACCATTTGATTAATTTTGGTCTTTAAAGTATCCATTTCACCACTTGCTTCCACGGTAATGAATTTGGTAAAATCACCATCAGTAGCAGCAGCAGTGATTTGAGCAAAAGCTCTAACTTGAGAAGTTAAATTAGCAGCCATTACATTAACATTTGTTATAATTTCCTTCCATAACCCATCGACATCACTAACTTGGGCCTGTACGCCTAATTTACCATCAATACCAACATCTTTTGCAACTCTTGTCACTTCACTAACGAAAACTTGTAAAGAATCCACCATCTTATTGATGGTATCTTTTAATTCTAAAATTTCACCTTGAGCTTTAACATCAATTTTTTGAGACAAATCACCATGAGCAACTGCTGTGGTAACTGCGGCTATAGATCTAACTTGATTTGTTAGATTGGTAGCCATGGCGTTAACATTATCGGTTAAATCTTTCCAGGCACCTTCAACACCATTAACAACGGCTTGGCCGCCTAATATACCTTTAATACCAACATCAGTAGCTAAACTTGTAACTTCCAGAGCAAAAGTTTGTAAAGAATCCACCATTTCATTTATAGTAGATTTCAAATCCAAAATTTCACCTTTACAATCAGCTGTAACTTTTTTAGATAAGTCACCTTTTGCCACAGCAGTGGTAACATTTGCAATGTTTCTAACTTGATTTGTTAAATTTGTAGCCATAGCATTGACATTATCAGTTAATTCTTTCCATATACCTTCTGCGCCAACAACAACGGCTTGACCACCTAATCGACCTTCAACACCAGTTTCTCTTGATACTCTTGTAACTTCGAATGCAAAAGTTTTCAATTGATCAACCATAGTGTTTATAATTTCTTGTAGTTCCAAAATTTCACCTTGAGCATGAACATTAATTTTCCTTGATAAATCACCTCCCGCAACGCCTCTAACCACTTCAGCGATTTCTCTAACTTGGTTAGTTAGGTTCAGAGCCATAACGTTTAAATTATCAGATAAAGTTCTCCATATCCCCACGGTACCTTGATTTTTAACTTGACCACCAAATTCACCATGAGCGACATCAGTTGCGATTTTAGTAACTTCACTTGCAAAAGTATGTAATTGATCCACCATTGTATTTATGGTCATTTTAACTTTTAAAATTTCTGGATCTGGTTCATCATTTATTTCAACTTGTTTTGTTAAATCACCCATTGCCACAGCTATTAAAACATTACCAATTTCCATTGAAGCCTTTTGGAAAGATTTCTTGGATTTCTCTAAATGTTTTATTTCTAATTCTTTATCCCCCAGAAATTGTAATATTTGTAATCTTGTTGCTTCTATATCTTGTTTAGTTGATACGGCATTTTGGAATGCCAAAGGATCCTTCAGCGTTGATATTATATCAATAGTTGCCATCTTTAACTAGTGATCTCTGATTAAACTATAATGATTCTCAAAAATTGTTGATTGTCTTTTCAATTATAGCGCCCTGTAAATTTGCCCCCCTTGGTAGCTAACTAAGAAGTTGAATAAAATGAATGAATAAAAAGGTATAAATATAGATAGGGCTGATGAGATCTAAAGCAATGTACAATGGGACTTTTGAAGTTGAGCCTTGAATAATAGTGAAATAGCAACGCTTTAACTAACCCAAGAATTCGAATGTCACAGCAGTACCTGAAGGTCTTTTTAATACAAAATGTAATGAGTTTGACCAATTTTGTACTTGTGCTACCAAAGATTAATCCTTTTCGTTGTTTTTCAAAAAAAAACACGAACATAAAAAAAACAAAAAACAAAAATAAAATGCGCACGGCGGTTTTTTCCCGGTGTTCAGATTCAAGTTATTGGCTACGTAAAAGTGATGTAATGGGCAACAATAGAATTCTGTATAGGAAAGATTAATAGAGAAAGATGGGTTTTATTAGGTCAATTGTGTGTTAATTACTAGTGTAAAGCGTTCACCTGTTGTTGTGGTGAATTCCGTTTGTCTAGATGTTCTGGCTATCGACAAAAGCACTGAAACGAGTAACCGAAACTTTTTTGATTTGACTACACAAAATTAGAGTATATCTAGAAATGAATCACTAGCTAGAAGACTCTTGGACCGTTATTCTAAACGGTTTACACTCCACGGTCCACTTAGTTCAACTCAATTTCTTGTTCCTTCGAGAATTGGGCGGTGATGATCTTCATTTTCGATCTTTTGTTCGTTGTTGATCAAATTCAATTTTTTTTTTTGTTTCAGTGAATTGGTACCTTGCGTTATGCGCGACCATTCGAATCTGGCAAGTGGCAAATAATTTTTATGCATTCCGGCTGGAAGTCAGGGCAACCCCTCGTTTCAAAATGAAACAGCCCAAAGTAGTAATTATCCACTTTGGGATATTAATTACATTTCCTAATACGGTACTCTACTCTTTTGGGAAATGCAATTTACAACCAGATTTGAAATCATCATGATAACCTCGAATTCCATCTATATCCATTATTTTAAAACTCCCTTTGTACTAGAAATATCAAACAAGGACATCAATACCCATATATACTCTGTGCTAGAAAGTGCTATCCACCCATCTAGAAAAGCTCACAGTTATAATACACCTTTGGAAAGCCCAGCCTACAAACCTCCTGATCTGATCGTGGCAATAAAGGGTATCAAGAGAACAAAGGAATTCCCATCTATAAAAATAATCCCATCACCCAAGTGATAATCCCATCCACGTCTTTCCAAACTATAACAGATACCACAACAACCATTACAAACAAAAACAACACGAAAAAGAATATTATATCTCAAAAAGTGACTAGTCAAAAGCCATCATCATCATCATCATCATCACCATCCAGAATGACCGACTCACCTCATACTCCAATAAATTTAATAAATTCAAATCCAACTTCAAATTCAACTTCCATATATAATCAACTATTGAAATCCCCTTTGAATTTCGATTCTGATATAGATGAACAAGATGAAAGTCATCATCTTCTACAGTTTGAACAACCATTTGATCAATCACCAAGTTCCAATTCAGAAAATGTTGAAATAATGATTAGTAACTTGATGATAGTATTGGAAGATCCTCAAAAAGATGTCAACAAACAACAGATTAAAACAATATTACAAAAATGCTTAATAACAATATCTCATTATAAATTACAGAATGAGATCTTGAGGTTTGAAAACAATGAAGTTAATAAAAGAAATGATGTTGAAAATGATTTAATCAAGAGACAAGTTGATTATTTATTGAAATCTCCATTCAAACCATCAGATGAATCATCAATAACTCATGAAGAAACTACAGTCCAACCTAAGAAACAGAGAAGAAGTTCTTCAAGAGTGAAAAAACCAACAACTGGTGCAAAGAACTTAAAATTGGTTGAAAAATTTAACAATCATCCTGATAAATTAAATGAATTCAATAATTGTATTAAAGTGTTTCATTTAGAAAAAAACTGAAAACTAAGATATCAATATTGGGAAAATTTATACCCAATTCATTATTATATGGTTTTTTTGATCATGGTGTTTCAATTTGGTTTACTTGTTGTTTTATTTTTTGCTTTGTGTTAGATAAAGAGAAAAAAGGGAGGGAATTTAAAAAGGTGTTCTTACTATTATATGTGTTTGCTATTATTATTACTACTAATTATTATTATTACTTTGCTATTTAATGTCTTAATATTCATAATCTTGGGTTGAATCTTTGCTATATATTGGATTCAAACAAATTTATTTCACTTCTTGCTGCTGCTTAATTATTTTTATAAATCTTTGGCTAATTAATGTTTTTCAAATGGGAAAAATTCATGGGGTTACTGGCCAAATATCGTATGCTATATATATATTTAATGTTGTTATTAAACTAATTTGATGTTGCTTTTAATTGTGTTCCAGCTGCTAGCTTGAACTACAATTTTTTAATGTTTATACTATTATGCTATCTATGTTAATTTATTATTATTCTTACAGTTTAGATTTATACCTAAAATAATTTAATTTTCAGAAATCTGTTCATGTGGTTAATCTTACTTTTAATATGATTATTTATATTGCGGTACCTCTATAGATCTACTATAATAATTAGTATATCATCTTTTTTTATACAGATATAAATTGATTCGAAGCACTACAGTAGTACTTGTTATTTCTGTATTTGAAAATTAAAATATTATGATTAAACTAATCGCAATTCTGACTTAACATCACTAATTGTGTTCAAAAGTACAAGAAAAATGTGAAAGGTTCAAATATTAAGGAACCAAATCGGGAGTACGTTATAGCTCCGCCTAATGTTCACAAGCCTTATGAAGGCCATAACGTCCAATTGACTCAGTCAAGCTCCACATTTGACTTTATTAAATTGTAAAACTTAACAAAGAATAACAGGCTCTTGAACTACTCATCATTAATCTTGAATGCTAGAAATACGCAAAACTGCACACATTTAATTTGAAAAGTTAACAAGATGAGCAAAGGTATACGTTAATCGCAAGAGTTGTGATCAAATCAAATGTTTTTCAACCCCCGTTCTTAGTCAGCCATTGACCATGTGACTTCCATACTGTTTGTATTAATTTCATTCAACAACTACGTTATTGCTTATTAACCTGTATGGGATGAGAGAATCAAATCGTATTGCAATATATCAATTGTGATATTAATCTGCATGAATCTACACTTATAATCAATTGATCTCCAGCACTAAAAATACATAACTTTTCTTTGGATTAATTGTTCATTCAGTGATTTCAATCTGAATCTTTTGGAATATTTATATTAATGTGATTTCATAAGATTTCTTTGAAACCTTTCAGAGATGAAAGGATTAAAAGATAAATCTACTCATCAAAAGCAGAAGCTTCTTTATTAGACAATGCAGGTAATTGTTCCAACCATCCTCTAACAATTTCATAAACGGTAAAAGTAACAGCTTGACCTGGGGCAACTCTCATAACTCTTGGGGTAATACCTTTATATAAAGCACCAACACCTTCTTCTTTAATCAAATCTTTACCAATTCTTGTAATTCTACTCAATGCACTTTGTTTAATTTCTTCACCAGCTGCACTAGCTTGTTTAGTTTCTTTTTGTAGTCTAGTCTTTATAGTATCTAAAGGAGCATTTGAAAAAGGACCAATAGCACCACTAATCAACCCAATACAAGAAGTTTGCCAACTTGGAATGACACCATTATTACCATTTTGTGTATGATGTTCAGTTAAATATTCTTTTAATTTGGAATAAACTGTAAAATTTGCACCTTGATTTGTAGCTTGTCTTGCAGCAGTTAATGAAACACCTCTATAAAGAGTTTTAAAACCTTCTTCTTTAATAATAACATAAACAGCATGACCAGCATTTCTATATTTTGGTACACTTAAAGGATCAGACATTGAGTGATGTTGAGCTTGTAATCTAATTTTAACAACCTCCATTGGATTAACAACAAGACAAGCTTCAGTGATACCAGCACCAACACCTGCCAAAAAAGTTGAACCAGTTGTAATGACACCAGTATTTGGATCTTTCAATAAACCTCTATAAAATTCATATGAAGAAAACCTTATAGCCATTTTTGGTATAATACCCATAACAACAGCTCCTAAACCTTTATATAAACCAGTAACACCTTCTTTTTTAGCAATTGATATACCAGTTGTAATGAAACCAGGGTTTTTAACAATTCCTGATTTACGATGCAATTGCATTCTAACTTTGATGGTATCTAATGGATGACAACATAATGCTTCAAATAAACCAGCAGTACCACCTGCAATCAGGTTGACAGCTGTGCTTGATGATTTCTTCTTATCTGACATTGTGGTAATATTAATTGAATTGTGGAGTTCTTCTTGAGAAAAGTGAAGTGAAATTGGACAAAGTCAAGGGTATTTATAATTTGAAACTTCTCATGGTTATAATTGAGATTTTAAGGGTGAATGATCACTTGTTTGGTAATTGACATCATTTTTAGGCGCCTGTTTGTGGTTTGGTTTTCCCTTTATCAAAAAAACCAACCATTTATCCCTGGAGAATAGCGGGTCTATGGGGCTCATGACGCTTGGGGGGACACCGGAGGGAGCTAGGCAGAGAAGCTAGGCAGGGAAGCGGTACATGCACACACGGAGGATATGTGTGCCGAATAGGAGTGGTGGGCCTAGAAGGGAAGAATGGAAAATCTGATTAGCAGGTACCATACTTTGATAGTGAGAAGAATTAGAAGTAGGTGATGGTGTAACCTAGAATTGACTTATGGTAGAGTGGCCACCCACTAATTGTACTAGGTATTAGTATACCCCGGGACTCCTAGTATTATAAATCTCTTCAACGGTTAAACTTTCTTGTTGTTGTTCGGTTTCTTTTTTGCTACGCTCGATTTCTCCAAAATCTGGGGTAAATGGAGATGAGTCTTCAGGATCCGTAACACGGATTTCACTTAACCAGGATTCCATAACCATTTCTTGAAGTAATCAAATTAAGAAGTACTAAACGTCTTTTTGCCTTTCCTTTCTCTATCTTGTGGATTATGGGTTGTAGCCTGTAGGTTACCACTCTATATTCCAACGATTTCCTCTGTTGGCGTACCCTCATTTCAAGATGAATTAGGCTAGGATGTACAATTTAGGATAGACGTTAGATTTCAACCATATTTATAGTATCACCTACTCGAAGTGGTAACTAGATTGATTCTCATTGATAAATATTCTCAACTTACACACCAAAATGGGTTCCAAAATGTCAATATTAGAAAGAAGATGGTTGACTAGGTGACTCGTGAAGTGGATAGAAAACTTATACCAATCAAGTGGACCAAGTAAATGGATGTTGCCTGAGTTCAATCCATTAACAATGCAATTGATTCACTAGCACTCATGTTTCATTCAGTTGAGGTTCTTTTAAATTCTGGCTTGTGAATTGTGGTGTTCAACTGTTTTGAGAGGAAGCTGTTAAAAATTGTAAATCAACATGGCTCATTTGATTTACAGAATCGTCCCTTTGACAGGTTTAAATTTCAGATGTACAAGTCTTCAAGATTAATTGTCCTCTTACATTTGGTGAATTAATTGAGGAGCTGATAATTCTATTGCTTTTAATTTCAAGAGTTCAGGGTGGTTGTGTTGTGGACTTGGTTAATACAAAGTCTATTAAGGATTCATAACGATCATGAGATGAGAGTACTGATATAAGTAACAGCCATTGATCAAGTTCTTGGTCCATGATACGGCCATGATATCATTAAAAGAACTAGACCTGGTCTAATGTTCTATGAATCAATCCATTGATGTTCAAGCTGTTCTGTTAATGGTCCACGCTGAGACTGAATAATGTTGGCTGAAAGAAATTATATATTTCCTTGAGAAGACTCAAGACTTTCCTATGCTACAAAGGTGGTGTTCAGGGTCTGGTACCAAAGAACGTGTATCACTTCTAGTGAATATCTGTTTTATGTGTAGAAGTAATAGCTTTTGGTGTTATGGCTTGACACGCGCTGTATCGGTTTTCGATATCTAAGACCAAAAACTTCTGATCGAGGTCAGCTTTCATAACTCACAATTAACGTCATTGAAATACATCCAAATGGGTTTAACGAATCAATAGATCTTTCAATAGATCTTTCAATCCTCATGTTCTTGACTACAATTCAAATGTCTTTTAAACCATTAAAACCATTTTATATCTTTTGGAGATGTCACAAACTATAAAACATGCCCTTTTTCTTTTATTTAAAACACAAAGTAAAATAAAAACACATAACTTAAGCTTCAGCCAATTCTCTTAAACGACGAATGGTTGATCTAACAGTAGCAGCAGCAGCAGTTGAAACAGTGTAAGCACCACCTGCAACGGTTTTACGACAACTATGACAGTTCCAGATACCAGTGGCTTCTCTTTTAACGGTTTTTTTACCACAGAATGAACAATCATATCTAGCATGTTGTTGAATTTCTAATTTTTTGGTTTGACGTCTTAATGATGAACCGTAACGGACACCAAATTTACCAGTGATACCAACCTTCTTTGTTCTTTTAGTCCTATGGAAAAGTTAGTATTAATGAACATAATGTATCGATAGTTCATTGATAGTGATATTTATGAAGGGATAGAGGTCTATGTCTAGTTATTGATACTTGATATGCTTGTTTCAAAATATTTAATCAGAGTTCTTGACTCGATATAAAAATTATTTTGAACTCTTTTGATGGTTTCTTTGATGTTCAACAAGACTCTGGTTATTCAATACTTTGGATATTTGATATTACTTCAATAATCTCTTGTGTTCAAATCTTGATTCTTGCCCATAAAATTTCATAATTTCCAGAAGTCATAACTCATTCAATACTATTGATTTATTCATTCTTATTTCCCATTTCTTTCATTTACTTCCTTCAAATATCACATCAATGATCTTTTATTCTATCATCATCACATACATTTTGTGTTATTATCGTTGTCTATTTCCAAAAGTTAAGGAAAGAGATTGTAGTTTAATTTGAAAAAAATTGTTTTAATGAAAAAGGCGAGGACTGCTCAGAGTGTTCCAACCAGGGATTTTTGTAAACCTTGGGCAAAAAAGACGTGGCTCTTGCGGTTTTTCGCAAAGCTCAAAAAAGAGTTGTTTGGATTTTTGCCGGTGGTTGAGGGCACTGGGATGGATTTTGGGCTTTTCTCGCCGATGTGAGTTTTTTCCAAAATCAAATACTTGGTGTTGGGGTGTATTCCTGAGCCCTAGCCCTATGCGACATCACATGATCTCACAAAAATGATTTTCTTTTTCACAAGATAATTGGGTCTGTACTTTTCTTTGTGTCACTAGGGAAACAATAATTTGATGTAGTTTCCCCCTTGTTTCAAATAAATCAAATCTTCGCCTTATTACGCACAATTTCAAGATGTTATCTATGGATCCGAAATTGTGATCTGGCTGAGCGTACCTTTCGGAAGAGAGCGCTGCACTGCAATTAATTAATTCATTGCATAAATAGCTCCTTAAAATTTTGATACCCTAAGTTTTGATAAAGTGCATCAAAGATATGCATACGATCATTTGGAATTTGCATTCAAAATAATTGGGGAGGAAGAAGTTACAAGTATTTTAGTTAACTTTTTGTGAATTGTGTCCAGATGCGGTTAATTTAATTAATTATTTACAAATCTACGAGTTGGGTCCTGTCAAGTTATCATGTATGAGTTTGAGTTTTGAGCTTTGCTGTGCATTTAGATGAGAGAAGGATCCTTTGAAAGTAGCCATTCGGTTTTACATGGAAGGCGTCCACATGGCTCAGATCTGTTGGGTAGCTTGGTGGACTAGAATTTGCAGGTGAGGCTAGATGATAGAAGAATCAAGATGACAATGGGTTATGATCATGAAGATGATAATGATTGTTACAATGGCTATTACAATGGCTATTACATGGTTAGACACCTACTCCACTCCATCTTTATTGGCGAATCAACACAGCGGTTCACCCCATCTTCTCCAATAATTGATCTGCTGCAAGTAATCAATTTAGAAATTCACACGCGGCTACCGTGTCATCATCTGTCTGAGTTAAAGTTTTGAAGATTTATGGCCTGCATCTGATACGTGATTGCAAAATGTTCAGATCACGAAATCGTGCTGAGGGATCCATGATCAATTTGATAATTAAATGCTGCGATTGGGCGTATGATTGGGGCTGGCTAAAATTGGTGTCTCTTCTTTATTGATCCACGATATTGGCGGTTATCTCAATTTTATTTTGCCATCTTATTTAAACCATTTCATTTATCCACATTTTGTGATCTGTTACATTTCCTCTAAAATAGCAACCTAAGAACACAGATTTTAGTGGTAAACTTTATCAACATCAATTCCTTCGGTTAAAAATGACTTTGATCCCAGATACAGCTGCTTTATATCATGGTGATGATGATGGCGTTGGTATACATCAAAGAAGTGTCAATCAACAATCTGATTCTATGGGTGGGTATTTACTACTACTATAATTGGTTTTGAAAAGGTTTCTAACATAAATAGCACCAAAATTACCTTTTGATGTCAATGATTATCTTAACTTTGAACTCAATGAAGATTTCATATCTTCCAGTGGTGATTTCATCAATGATTACTCAACTTCTGATTCAAATCACTCTGATTCATGCTTCTCTGTACACCAATCTTCTTCAAAATCTTTAGATGGTGGGTTTAATCAATTGACTTATGAAATGGATATCTTTGATAAAGAAAACTATGATTATGAACATGATTATAATGACATTAGTCGTTATGGTGAATTCAATGATGATGACGATACATGCTACCTGAAGAACTATAAACTAAGCTCTGGTGGTAAGTTACTTTCCAATCTTTTCACTATCATACTACCAAATTATCTAGGAAGTGGGTCTTGTTTACTTTTTTAAATTCCAATTTCATGAAACATTAAGAATGAGTATTATGATGGTTTTGATACCCCTTCCTTTTCAAACAGGATCTCATACCCTAAAGAAATGAACTCAGATACACCTTTATACTTTTGCAAAGAGATATTTATCTTCAAGTGAAGTTATTTTTAATACCCTTATTTTGAAATTCTTGTTATTTTTCTTCTTTTCATTCTTTCGAACGTTTTCCATTTGCTTCAAACCAATCAATCAATACCCTCGCATTATAATACCAATTTTTGCCAACATTATTATACTATTTGCTAATACCTTGTCCCCAAGGATTCTTTTTGTTTCTTTGAAAATGTTACAAAAGGTTTACAGTCGTATTCGCATTTTAGATAATAAGGGCATTTGATTTATTCCAATTTTATGATACATTTTTGTTGTTTTCATTCCAAATTCAAAATATCTATCTTAAAATTGTTCTTTTTCCCATGAGATTCATTTTTACTAATTATTATCTTTTATTTTCAGCTCAACCAACATTACCATCAAATGATTTCAAGATTTTTGAATATGATCATAAAGATTTCAATTGTTCAGTCATCACAAAATTAAACAACACACCATGCAAGAATAAAATCACTTGCAATTTCCATTCAATTCCAGAAAAATCTAAAGTTGAAAGATGTGATTCAGTTTTAAAATTGATTAAAAATTTCAAATATTTACAAAAACTAAATGAAGATATTTCAAAATTTACAATATCATCAAAGTCTAAATCCAAATCAAATGGTTACACAGCTGCTAGTCGTATGAAGAGACATAATTCATTTAATGATTCATCACATATTAAGAAAAAACCTCAATTACTGAATCCAATAGATATCTTGAATGATAATGATGATTATTATCAAAATGAAGAAGATGATGATGAATTTATAAATACTTTGATTTTAAAAATTGGATTGTTAAAAAATGACCCTCAAGAAAGATTATTAGAATTTCAATACAAGACTGAATTGAAAAATTTAGCAACTATTGAATATTATAATCAAAACCAATTCACACTATGATTGATTCATTGTGTTTTGGTTTGTTCAATTTTTCTCATGATGGCTTTTCGGTATTTTGAATAAGGAAAAAGATTATAGCTGGTTCTGTGGTGCTTTTTTTTTTGGTTTCAATTGGTGTTTCCTTTCATTTTACTTTGTTTTGATTATGATAGCTATCATATTGCATATTTCCAATTTTTTTGGTTCATCAACTTTTCTTTGGTTTGTTTGTTCCCTCAAGCTCTCTTTCTATTTCTTTAATTATTAATTTTGCATATTTTTGTTGGTTTGGGTTTTCACATGAGGGTTATTTTAATTTGGGTTTTTTACACTAATTCTTAGTTTTGAGAGAGAATAAAAATATACTAACTATACACACATATATTCTTGAGGGTCTAGCTGTTTAACATCCTAATCATATTTATTTAGTCTGTATGTTCAAATATAATGTAGAACTCCTAAGCATCGTATCGATATTAGCCAAAGTCCTTTCTGGATACATGCACTATAATGGCATTCTCAAATAGAATCAGCGAGTTACTAAACCTTCTTGTCCCTACGTTCAGTCATGATCTAATCTACATTGAAAACATTTGTGTTGTTTGTCACTCTCTTTGAACCATAACAAAATGGCAGATGTTTGTGCCTGCGGATGTTCGTCAAAGCGTCAAAGCGTCACTATTCATAGGTCCCTTGATTAATGGTGAAGGAAAAGATGTTTTCAATAGTTCAGAAAAGTATTTAAACAATGTCATTCTTCAAACAAACTAGCTGTGGAGGGAAGTTCCTGGTGTAGTGAATGTGTGGGAATTATGGTGCATAATGGTTTAGCTCTTACCAAAAATGAAATCGCTAAATTCATCACTTTTCGGCAATCAACCGTGAACTAGGTTCAAACCATCATCAGATTTATAGAAAAAGATTGTGCCTTAATCGGTTTGATAGATTTTTATGCTCTGATGGAATGGGTAAGAAGAAAAGTGTTGAGCTGAGGAAGAACATGATTATGGATCAGGGTTTCACCTGGGCTTTGTGAAAAGTAATGATCGTGGTACCCCAAGAACTAATTGATCATCTTCATTATCTTCTGTTTTTGTTTCAAATACAAAGACCTGCGTTTAGTGGTTGTACAATGAAACTTTAGCTAGCCATGGGGGTGGAGCCTTTGACTCATCAAGATCTTATCATTTAGATCATTGATCATTAGGTTCTCTAGACACCTGACAAACCATCATGTCTTTTCACAAACAAGGAAAACATAGGATACCCAAATCCTTTCTTCTCCTTCACTACCCCATCTTTTGTCTAGGTTTCAAAAATACGACATTTAATCTATAATTAAGATGCACAGATTTTATTACAGTTGAAAAAGCTAATCTCAATATAATTAATTAAAGACCCAGGACCAAAAAACCATTTCAGAAGCGACGTGAACTTTAATCAATAAATTGTTTAGCTGCATAATAATCTTGTAGATCCTGATCTTGACATTAAACAAGTCACAAGTACTTATCGTAACAAGCTCATAATTGCAAGCGCTCCACCTAGTAGGTTATATACTGCATGCTGGACCGGAGCTTTACATGAGCACAGCGAGGGCGCCAGTGCCTATAGGTTGTTTAAATTAATTATCTTGATGGTATTGAGCCTAGTATACAAATTTAATTAATTAACGTATTCTTTTTTTACTGTATTCAATGCTAAAACAATATACCTTATTAATCGAATTGCAAAATTTTGAATTATAAGGACATTGTTATAGTCTGCCCCAATTTCAAAATTTATAAATTAATTATTTCATATTTTTGAAATTTTCTCAAAAACACATTAAAAGATTAAAAATAAAAATTTCAGCTGAAAAGAAATGATAATTCATAATTTAAAAAATGGTCGACATTATTTTACTTTATTATATTATAGTTCAAGATATTTATAATTTCAGTCACGTGACATTTTTTCAAGTGAAGTGTGTATATCATTTTCGCGAAGTTTTGATAATAATTTTCGATGTTTATAGTATAGCGTAGAACGTAAATATAATCGTGAACATTATTATTACTTTTGACATCAAGCTCACTATCATATCAATTGGTAGATTATAAATAATCACCTGTCACAAAAATGTCTAATGAAATCGATGATGATGATGCCTTCTTGTATGGATCTGAAGACGAAGGGGACGCTCAAGTTTCCAAGAAACAAAAATTAGAATCAACAACTCAAGATCAAAAAGAATCGGCAACAACAGAGAAAGGAGAAAGTAAAGAAGATAGCAACGAGGATGAAGGTGATGATGAAGACGGTGATTCAGATTCAGACTCAGATTCAGATATAGAGTTCATTATAGGATCTGAAGAACCTAAAACAACTACCAACACTTCACAAGAAACTCAAGCTCAACAATCAGGTACATCAGCAGCCCCTTCAACTTCTGGTGTGACAGTTCCTGAAACAATTGATGAAATAACAGATACAACTCAAACTGAAGCTCCAATAGGCGATTCCTCTACTCAAGCTACAACAACAGATGCAACAATTACAAGAATTCCAGGTATAGATATAAACAAAGTTGGTGAATTTGAAGGTAAACCAATCACTTCAATAAATTTACAAGATTTGAAAGAAAAACCATGGAGACAACCAGGTGCTGATGTCTCTGAATATTTCAATTATGGATTTGATGAATTTACATGGACAGCATATTGTTCTAAGCAAGATAAATTAAGATCAGATTTCAATCCTCAAAAAGTCATGATGAGTATGATGCCAATGGGTATGCCTCCTATGATGATGGGTATGCCTGGATTTCAAATGCCTCCAGGTGGCCAAATGCCTCAAATTCCACAAGGTCCTCAGCAACAACAGCAGCAACAGCCACAAGTACCCCCACCTCCTCCACAAGGTCTTCCATCACAACCACAGCAAATGAGTGGTAACGAGAAAACCATGTCTTTGAATCCTAATTTACCAAAAGCTCCAAGAGAAAGAGATCCAAGAGATAGAATGGAGAGAGAAAATTCCTGGGGTCAAAATGATGGTAACAACTATAGAGACCGTGAACGCAGAAATCGTGGGAGAAGGTAAAATTGTATAGTGAAAATGAATATTTGTATAATAGATGATCGAAACATAGGTAATCTTTGGTAATTATTTGTCTTCTACATCTTGAATCATTAAAAATTAATATTCACTAATTAACTGTCCCTATATTACATATTTTGAGTCAACAATTTGACCCATGGTTGATGGAATTTATTCAATTCCACAACTTTTTCCAAATTTTGAATCCATTCATCTTTTAATTCTTTTGTTTCCGCATTGAAATTTATTATTTCACCATTTAAAAATTTCAGTTTAAAACAATCACTCATTAAAATCTCATCTGTAAAGTTTCTTTGACTATTTGTTTTCTTCCCATCATGTATAATATCAACAACCTTCAGCAAATTGATTTGTGCTCTTGGTTTTTTTGAAGTTTCTTGATGTGCAATCAGCTTAGTACCTTCAATTTTGAAGAAACGACGTTTCCACAAATCACAATCACCACCTTCTTGGAATAAATAGCCTTCATAATTTATTTTGGATTGTTCCACCAAATGATCTGCAATCTTGTAACCTATCTTTATTGAAGGTGGTAAAGTTTCCAAAGGCGAAGTTCTTGGTAAAAATAACATATCAACATTCAATTTTCCAACCAGATGAGCAGGTTTCTTGTAAATCTTGTCACTTTGCTTCACAACCTCCCATTCATTGAATAGCTCAACAATATAACTTTGGCATTTACCTGAAACATCATTATCTTGTGCACTGAAACTTATTTTGTTTTTACCAAAACTACCATCATTAGCAAATTTATTGTCCCAATCATCTTTAGTTTTCTTTTGAGTTATGAATTTTTTTTCATACTTGAATTTTTGTTTAAATCCAAGTAAACGACTCAATCTATTTGATTTAATTGGTGTTTTTTCAACAACTTCAACTAATTCTTGATCAGGGGTATGATAGCTAACTTTTAAAGTGAAAAATAAATCCGTAGAGTCCTCTTCAATAGCAACTTCAAATTCTTTGTCAATCTTTTGATTATTGTCTAACGTTGCTTTTGGTGTTGATATCACATGCTTCCCATTATCCAAATATAATTTGAAACTTGCTTTATGATACTTGATTTGATCCAACAATACATCATCCAAAGTGTTGATATGAATATATAATCTACCAAGATCACTTTTTGGCAAATCAACGTTCTCATTAGGAGCAACAGATACTCTTTTGGTAACATGTGGTTCTCTTTTTTTCATCAAAAGCTCACCTGGTTTATATTCATCACTGATAACTCTTGTATTAGCACTTGGTACTCTGGATTTAGGTTTGTTACTTTGTGCATTTAGGTTGGAATCACCAACATTACTCAGAGGTGCTCTCACTCTAGCACTTGGAACTCTATCACCATATTTGGATTTCACCTTTTGTTCTCTTTGTTTAACATAGTTAATATTATCAGCTTCTGGAACCAAAGGCTTAGCTAACTCAACCGGATCAAGCATATCATTGTCTTTATTATTTGTTTGACTTTTGGCAATGATGACCTGTTTAGGCTCTCTTGTAGCATATCCATGTTCTTTGATTTGTAGTGCTTTATCAAACTCTTCATTTAAATCATACAGATTATCCAAATTGGTTGATGATCCAGATATAAACCTTTTGTGTCTTGGTTCTTCTTCTGGTTGTGGTTCAGGTTCTTGTTGGATAACAGGGAGAACAGCCTGATGTTCCTCAGCATCAACAAATTTATCGGCTGGTTCAATCTTAGAATTATTCAAAGAGTTATAACGTGAGTCTTGGTCATATTCTAGCTCAATACTGTGATCCTCATTATTACTAACGATAACTCTACCAACAGCTTCTGATGATTTGACATTAGCAAATTCTCCTTGAACACCATTTTGTGCAATGAAGTTCTTAATTTTACCAGTGTCAATAGATGGAGTACGGCTCTTTTGTTCACCGGTTGCAGCTGGAGGAGGAGTTGGAGTTGGATCATTTGAACCATTTTGCCATATATTTTTAATATCTTGATGGTTTGTAGTATCTTTCAATTTCTTAGCAGCACTCAATTGCTCAGTGTCTTGTTCAAGATCTTTTAAAATATTATTATTATCAAGCTGTTTCTCAACTTCCCATTCTTTAAAAGCATTAGCAAAATCTGATGAGTTTGTAAGTTCTGGCAAAACAATATCGGAAGAATTGGCTAAAACATTGGATGAATCAACAACTGAGACATCTGGTCCTTTCAACGACCTATTGATGAAAGACGAATCATTGTGATCTTTGCTCAAATCATGTAAAAATGAATTTCTTGAACCAACTCTAATGTACGATGGTTTGGAAACAGAAGTTGTAATCAATGAATTGCGTCTGGAAAGGTCAATTGATGAGGAACCAATACTCAAGACAGAATTTCTTTTGCTTGCTTCACCGTCACTGTCACCACTTGAACTTATTCTTCTATTCAACAATTTCAAAACTTTTTCAGGGGGGGAAACTTTTCTTTGTGATACGCTATATTGAGGTTTTGGTGAGCAAGATTTTGGCTGACTATGCCATATTGAAATGTAGTCTGTTGGTGGTGTCTGTAATTCTAAAACATCGTCATCATCTAATGGTTCTTTATCATGAAATAGTGTGCTATTGAATGAAGGCAATTCATGCTTGATGACTGGGATCTCTGGTTTGACGTCTTCCTCTTCTTCCTTGAACTCTTGCTTGAATGATGAAGCCATTTCAGGTTCAGGTTCAGACTCAAACTTGAGAATTTCAGATGAATTTTCACTCAATGACGTTTCAATTTGGTTCAAGCTTACTTCATCAAGCTCACCAGTAGGTATTTCATTATCAACTTCATCATCAACTTGTGTTTCTTGTTTAATATGAATTCCAAATGGTAAAACATTTTTACTATCAGAAGTATCCGAAGTATTGAACAATGGAGTTTCTTTGAATTCATCACTAAATGAGCCGTCAGCTTCATCAGTTTCATTAGTTAGCTTCAAGGGTGGTTGCAAATCCAACATATCAATAGCTGATTCATTATCTTGTGATTCATCTGGTGTGAATGAAGGTGACGGTTCTGCCGTTTGATGATCCAACAATGGCAATGATTCAGAAGGTTCAACTGAATTTCTTGGTGTTTCATAATCATGTTCAGTAACTGACGAAGCATATGACTGAACATCATGGGTATCGATTATCTCAACAACAGGAACAGGGTGTGCTTCCAATGGTGCTTCACTTGGAGCTTCTTCATTACCATCACCATAATCACTAAAACTTGATTGTGGATCTTCTTGTTTAATCTCTGAGCCACTGTCGGTTCTTTTGTGAATAGCGTCTTTCATATTTTTGCCAAATGATGAAATATACGACAACCCATTATTGATTGAATCACTCAGGGACAATTTCTTTTTATGGGTTTTGACGGGGGAGTCTGAAGAGGAACCATTTCGTAGAGTTGAAATTGAAGTTGAAGATTGAAATCCATTATTAGTATTTGCACTATTTTCACTCAGCATTCTCATTATTGATTGTTCAGCAGTATCAACAGGTTCATCATTATCCTCAGATTCATTGTCATAAATTTCCGTAGCTGATGCAAAAGATTCTGTATCATTATTTGTGAAAGCGGATTGCAAGCTTAGAAGATCATCAGTTGAGCGGTTCAACGAAGCAACATCAACATTTTTCATTCCATCTTCCAAAACTATTGGGGCAGAAGTGTTTTGAACCACAATTGTTTGCAATTCTCTTTCCTCATCTCTTAAAGAGTTGTTTGAACCCCTTCTTTTCAATTGTGGAGCTAAGCTCAAATCATTTGATTCTTTATCATTATTGCGCAAGTCAACTTCAAACAAATCAGCAGCATCTCTTAATGATTGTTCACGTTCAATTTCCTCTTTACTCTTGATATTATAAATCAAATCTTCTTCTTTCTTAGTCAATGACCTTTGAGGACTGCTTGAACCTTTAGTCATTTCATCATTTTGGACTCTTTCAGAGACCTCGTTAGAGCCAAGGACCAAATCCAAACGTTTTTCCAAAGTTAATGAGCTTTTATCCTTTTGAAGTTCTTCATGTGTTAATTCATCTTCAAATGAGCCATCAACGGAACCGATCGAAGTTTCTTTAGTTGGTGATGAGATTGAGCTGCTAATGGTATGTTTTGGTGGTAATGGAGGTAATGCGTGTAATGAAGGTTTGACATTAGCATTCCAGTTGGACTCAAATGGGTTGGTGTCTTTCCGATCTTCATCAAAAGATTCATCCGAATGTTCAGGCGTTAACTCATCATATTCCATTATCTTTGGTGGTGAATTTTCAAAACAGACCGATTTTTTGGATGGTGAATTATCTCTTGTGGAGGGGCCTCCCAGAGATTTGTTACTGTGAGAATTTGGTAACTTGTTTGAAAATGTTCTGCATATGGATGATGATGATAGTTGCCTTGGTCCACTTAGTCTAGATAATGAGGAAGTTCTGTTCACTTTAGTATTGAACTCTAATTCATCAAATGATGGTGCTCTTGGAATATCTTGCATAACATTTTCTTTCAATGGAGTCTTTAAATTTGGTAATTCACCAAGAAGATTATTCAAACTTTGATGGTTTTCTTGCTGTTGCTGTTTCCAGTTCAATGGTTTTATGGGACTTGGATCATTAGAAGCTTCACTGTTAAAAGAATTAGAATTGGTATTGGATGTGTTTAAAAAGCTGTTCTCATTGTGAAATGAGGTTGATGATATATTCTTGTCAATGGCATGGAGCAAATCGTCAACTGAATGGTTTTGATACTCTTTTTTAATCATAGGTTGGCTCTCATCTATACTTTCATCATCTGAATCCATAAATTCTTTTTTTATTGGAGTTGAGTAACGATTGAGGTCCATACTGATGGACATCTTGTCAATTTGTTCTGTTGGTCAATGAAGGTAAACAAATAGCTGAAGCGCGTTTACCCAGTATCTCTTTCTCAAAGGGAATAGTTATAGAAGGTCAATAAGGGTATGAATGAATTTGGCAATGGTTGTTCAGAACGAGTGTAGGTTGTTTTTGAGGTTTGGGCTTAATTTGTTTGACTTGTATTTCATGTTGATGTTTTTTTTTACGGGAGACCAGAAAACTTGGGTTGTTTATTTGTTCCCAATGCGGAAGTATAGTGGTTGCCACGGTGACCATAATTCAATATACATAAGCGTGACTAGTCATGTGATTAAGTCTGTCATACACCAAGTGCCAATAACTGTCTGGTTGTCTTGGTGATTATCGTGTGTACTTATGATTGGCTCTGAAATTTGAAGCATTATTATTACATGTACAGAAAGGTTTTTGAATAGCTACTTAGAGGCTTCAGTTTTCAATACTATACGGCTAAAAAGCACAGTAGCACAGTAATCCAAAGGTTATATGAAGGGAGAAAGCTTGACTGACATTCTCATAAGCTTCTTTGACCATTTGCTCTGCCCCAGCTTCGCCCTTTTTGAAGTTGAAACATTTCAGGGCAGAAAACATAGTACCTGAAAACACCAAAATTCTCTCAATATGTTTTTGCAAGGAGTGTACTATAACCGTGCTCAGTCAGAGCCCACTCAGTGGCCATGACTCTTTATGAAATTAAATATAGAAATTCCTAAACTACTGAACGGAATAAAAGGAGCTGGTAAAAGTTTTCACTGCAAAAACACTCCTTCCAAATCGTCGTGTTGTCTGAAGGGAAGGTATCAAAAACTCCATCTTGAAGTGAATATAATCTATAACGACTACCAAGCATAAACAAAATTGCTCAAATATAGCTCAGGTTCCACTTCCAATGTTCACTGTTTTCATCGAAGTAATTTGAAATTTACGCGTCATCGAAGTGCGAAGTTTCAGTGTACATCAAAGTCCAGCGTATGAGAAATCGCACAAGTTCACATAAATAATCCCTTAGAGGAGTTCGCCCCAATAATGATGGGTCCTCAATCTACTTCATAAATGGTTTTAAATCAAAGGTTCATCCAGTACTGTCTAGCATTTTAAAAGTTTGTTTGTCGGTTTGAAGCCCTGTCATATTTTTTTCTCGCGTTGTGTAGCTTCTCCTTTTTTTTCTTCGAAACGCTGTCGAAGCTGATCCAGAGAACACATCGTTAAACAGAATTATTCGATAAATACTCGTTGATTTCACCAGACACAATCCTCAACACCAAAAGGGCGCCTCATCAGTGATAAATACAGACAGCACACACACAACGGACTGCCCACTCCTCGTCTTTAATAACTAATATCATCGCAAGTGCTTTTTTTTATCCACGGAACTCATCCCAACGGTTATATAGCAAAGTGAATTAGCACGTCAAAGCAAAAATCAATTCAAAACAGTTTGAACATCCTTAATAAGATTAACTTCAGGTAAGTAACATCTTCCATGAGATGGGAGTGCCGCTGTCTTGATGTCAATAAAAAGCTACCAACACGATTCTGGTTTTGCTGCTCAAAGCGCTAGTTCTAGAACTACAGCTTTTTTTTAGGCGGAGACAAACCTTTTCCAATAGTTCTTGGGGTAATGTTGACAACCAGGCTTCTCAGAGTTCATGTATTCAAAAAAGAGAACTATATACTAACCATTTATAGCTTACCACGGAATCATTTTATTGCTCGTGAGATTCACAAATTTCAGCCTGCTTATAGTTTTCTAACTTGTGTGTCCAAAAGGGGTTTTAGTGCAAAAAAAAATCAAGAGAGAAGTTTTAGGTTGAAGTCTGGCAAAATTAATGGCCAATTCATCCAGCTGTCACTAGTCTATCATCAACTTCAATATCATACTGCATGAACAACAACAACCAGGACGCTGCGTCCTTTCTATCGGTTCCAAGTGATGGGTTAGAACAGCCCTTTCCCTCGCTATCACCCCAACGTTCAAGCTCTCCAAACTCGATTATGAGTGAACAGTCTAACGCTCAATCATTACAACAAAGCAATTCAAGTACCAGTAACTTGGGAAGTTTCAGAACTCGTACAAGAGCGGGTACACTTCCCTCAAGATTCAACTCAAACACTTTGGCACCACCTTTGCAATCGGCAACAAATCAACCACCACCAAGCTCTTCAATATCTCCATCCTTTAATGCATACGATCCAACCACATTGGGTTTAGAGACACTATCTATCTCAGGATCATCACCAACTATCAACAATGGGTTTGTAAATTCAAGCAATGCAACTGCTCAAGCTACTGGTCGTCCAAGATTACGTTCTGGTTCATTGCTTGGATTATCTGAATCAAACTCCATATGGAGTAATGATCAACCAACATCAACTCAAGGCTTGCAAGGTCAGACGACTTCATCGTTAGCTTCTGTCAATTTCATGTCTGATACAAATTCTCCTATTAGAGAGTTTCCAACAACAACAACCTCTTCACGGCTATCAGTTTCCCCAACAAAGACACAATTTCAATCACAAATGTTGGATGATAATTCAACAAGAGTGGATATAAATCGGGCAAGAGCATATTCAACAAACAATGTTCTTGTGAATGAACCACCTACAAGTTTCTACCTTCAAAACTTTGTGACTTTAGAGGAGGAAAAATTGATGCAACAACCACCTCCACAACAACAACAGTTACATCAACAACAGCACTATGGTAATGACTTCACACCAAGACCAAGAGCTCAAACTTTCCAAAATGGTGTTGACTCTCCGTTACCAATCCAATACAACTTTACCCCAAATAGAATTGTGGAGACTCCAGAATATGACGATGGTCAACAACTTCCTCATCCTCCTGTTCAGCACTCTTTTTTGAAAGATCAACCTCTACTACTCGATGATATTGATCCTAGATGCTTAAACTGGACCTCAACTTACCAAGATCCATCATTGGGTCCAACAAATACCCTGTTCTTATCAAATTTACCACCACAGGCTGTTTCCCCATTGTCTCTAGCCAATTTATTGATAAAGTTCGGGAAATTATCAAGTGTTCGTATTTTAAAAGGCAATGAAAATGCCATTGTGGAGTTTGACACTATTGATTCTGCAATGCAAGCCAAAGCGCAACTGAACCATCAAGAATTGATGCCAGGCTTTGCATGTTTGATTGGTTTCGCTAAACTGTTATCATCACAACAGCAACAACAACCTTCTTTGGTTATAAATGATGAAGTTCAAACAATTGGCGGAAGTCAACCTCAACAACAAGATTTTTCACAACAGCAACAGTTTCCACCACAAATACATGTCCAACATGATGAATCCTTATACACACCACCAGTCACCATCAGCGAAGAACCTCTTAAATTGACCGAAATGTTGAATGAAATTTTTAATGCAGTTAAGAAATTAGGAGTTAAGTCAACTTCTGGTACAGTTGAAAGTATTGTTAAAAATTCATTAACATACAAAGGGTTTGATAATGATTTTGGTCCACTACCTGAGCCCTTACCAGTAAGAGAGTATGACGCACCAAAACTCAGAGAAACCAGAAAATTAATTGATGCCAATTCATTGTCTCAATTTGATATCGAAGAGTTATCAGTTGCTATGTTGGACGAATTACCAGAATTGGCTAGTGATTATTTGGGTAACACCATTGTACAAAAATTATTTGAATACTCGTCAGAATCAATCAAGTACATTATGTTGAAGGAAGTTTCACCATTTTTAGCGCAAATGGGTATTCATAAGAATGGTACTTGGTCTGCTCAAAAAATGATTTCAGTTGCTGATACACCAATTCAAAAAGTTGCTGTTGCTAAAAGCTTGAAACCGTATTGTGTTCCATTATTCAATGATCAATTTGGTAATTATGTTATTCAATGCTCTTTGAAATTTGGTTCTCCTTGGAATGATTTCATTTTTGAAGTGATTTTAGCTAAATTTTGGGATATTGCTCAAAATAGATTTGGTGCAAGAGCTGTTAGAGCATGTTTGGAAAGTCATGAAGCATCTGTTGAACAAACTGCTTTGATATCTGCAGCCATCATTTTACATGCTGAACATTTGGCCATCAATCAAAATGCTGCGTTGTTGATAACTTGGTTTTTGGATACTTGCACTTTACCAAACAGACATATTCTATTAGCCCCAAGATTGGTTCCACATTTGGCTCAGTTATGTACTCACAAATTGGCAAGCTTGACTGTTTTGAAGATTTTGAATCATCGTGGTGAAAATGAAGCTAAAAATATGATTTTGGGTGCTATTTTCGGTCCAGTTGCGACATCTGAAAATGGTGATGTTGATTCCCCAAGACCTCCTGAAGTTTTAGAGCAAATTTTACATGATAATGCTCACGGTGCTACCTTTATTTTCAAAGTCATTTCCAATCCTTTATTGGAGCCAGAAGTTCGCCAACATGTTGTTTCTCAGGTACGCAGAGTATTGTTAGAATTGAATGTCAGCTCTTATCAAGGTTATAAAAGACTGATGGATGAAGTTGGGTTATCAAATAGGGGTGATGGTAATAGACACAATAGAACTCTTTCAAATGGAGGCGGCTCGAATGGTCGAAAAGGGAGACAGAATAAAACATCGCCACAAGGACCATATAACAATAGACGCTCAACTCCAAATGGTTACAGAACTCAACCACCTCCTTCATTGATTTCACCACCACAACCACCTTCTTTTATACAAAATCAAGGCTATTATGATGACCAACAATCATTGATAAATGAATTTCAAACGCAGCAGCAGTTTTATCAACCATACTCAGCACCACAACAACAATCACAACCGCATCCAATGCAAAGCAACATGGGGTCTTATTTTACAGGTGAAAACCTTGGTTCATTTGATAATTCAAATCCATTTCCCAATAACATGAGACCTCAACAGCCTCAACAGCAAGGTCCAATTTTTGATGATCCATTCATGATCAATCAAATCAACTCTATTACAAAACCGGCCTATGAAAATGATAGATCTATATACCAACAACAGCAACCACAATATGGGTTTGGTACTGCTCAATATTAGAGAGTCCTTCCCAGTTATTAATGTCTCATTCATGTACAATACATCAACCAATCCAAAAAAACAAAGCACATAGGATTGTTATGACAGAAAAAAATTCTTATATCACAAAATAAATATTTATAATAAATAATACCCAGTTTTCTTTACAATATTTAGTCGAAAAGACCATGAAATACTTTTAAATCGTATAAGACTTGAATTACGTTGTAGAAATTGAGAACCGAGGAAAATGGTCGGAATTGTAATTTCCTTTTGTTTCGCGATTTTTTTGTTTTTGTAAAAACTTGGAGCTCATGATGAGATTAGACAGGTGAACATGATCAAGAATTAGCATCGTCAAATTTAGAACAGCTGAAAGCACAACAAAAGACACTCATTGTGCTCGTGCAGAACAGAAGTAGGGGGTTCTAGGATTGAATTTTTATTACACTTATTTCAACTGAGTTTGTGGCCACATTTGAGAATTTTGGCTTTGAGATTAGATTGTTCAAAATTTTGAGTTGATTAGGCTTTTTGTGTGGTTTGTTTGTTAAGTTTTCATTTATTAGCAAATTCAATTCAAGTATATTCAACAACCGTTTATCTTTTAATTAAGGTCTTTTTGTCCTGTTCCCTTATTCTATCCTCAAAGGGTACTCAAAATTGCCATCAAGCATTTATCAACAAAAAATGGATAGTGACAGAGAAAATTCGCCAGCGTCATCTTCAGTATCTTCTCTTTCAAGAAGGGTGATTGGAATGGAAAATCCAAGAGTGACGAGGCGTCAACTTATTTCAACTGATATGGATGATTACAATATGGAGTCTGATACTTCCGAGTTCACAATACGGGATTATAATGAATCAAAACATGAAAGAATCCAACAAGAACACGGCTTTGAAGACACTAGCTCAATTCACAAAATACCTCCAGAAGTGTTGTTATTGATATTTTCAAACATTTCTCATAAACCTGATTTGGTGCCGCTCTTGCTTGTGTGTCGAAGATGGGCTAATTTGATTGTTGAACTGATTTGGTTTAGACCGTCCTTAATGGACAAGGGTGCTCTGGATGGCATCTCTAAAGTTATGAAAATGAATAGACAAGAAACCCATTGGGATTATCGACTATTTATACGTCGTTTAAACCTTTCTTTTATCTATGATAAAGTGAATGACAATTTTTTGAATTTGTTTTCCGGATCGACGAATTTAGAAAGGTTAACGTTGGTGAATTGTTCCAAGCTTACCCATGAACCAATAGTTGATATATTACAAGGCTGTGAAAAGTTACAATCAATTGATATGACAGGGGTAAGAGATATAACCGATGAAATCTTTGCTGCCTTAGCTGATAACTGCCCAAGATTACAAGGCCTTTATGCTCCAGGCTGCCCCAAAGTTACCAATCCAGTTTTACTTAAAATAATTGATAGCTGCAGAATGCTTAAAAGAGTCAAGATATCAGACTGTGAGAACTTATCGGATGATTCAGTATTAGAACTGACTATGAAATGTAAATTTTTGATTGAGGTTGATGTTCATAATTGTCCAAATATAACGGATTTTGCTTTGCAAAGATTATTCAATGAATTGGAACAGTTGAGAGAATTCAGAATTTCACATAATCCAAATGTTTCAGATGCTTTATTTAGAAGCATGGCAGAAGATACTTATATGGAACGTCTAAGAATTATTGATTTTACAGGTTGTTTAAGAATAACAGACAGAACCGTGGAAAAGATTGTTCAATGTGCACCACGCTTAAGAAACGTTGTTTTATCCAAATGTCTGAATGTGACAGACACATCATTAAGAGCATTGGCAACGTTAGGAAAAAGTTTACACTACATCCATTTGGGACATTGCAGCAGCATAACAGATTATGGGGTTTCAACATTAATTAAAAACTGTCATCGTTTACAGTATATTGATTTAGCTTGCTGTGCGCAATTGACTAATATCAGTCTGGTTGAATTATCACTGCTTCCAAGACTAAGAAGAATAGGTTTAGTGAAGTGTGCAAATATTAACGATGCCGGAATTTTAGCGTTGATTCAACGTCGTGGTTACGATGATACTTTAGAAAGAGTACATTTATCGTATTGTACCAATATTGGTCTTTATCCTATCTATCAGCTCTTACAATCATGTCCAAAATTGACACATTTATCATTGACTGGTATTTCAGCTTTTTTGAGACAAGATATCACCCAATTTTGTCGTTCCCCACCAGCTGATTTTACTGACCATCAAAAGGGTTTATTTTGTGTGTTTTCAGGACAAGGTGTCAAACTTTTAAGAGATTACATGACAAGATTATTCCTTGCTCCAAATAATATGATTATTCCAAACGGATTATCAGCTTTAGGACAAGATGGGATACAAGGGGCTGCACAAACACATTTACAACACTTTCAAAGACTAAATGAGTTTTTTAGACAAGCCATTCCAAACAGACAAGCAATTGATCGTATCCCTGACACTGAAACCATCAACGAGGTTGAAGTTCCTCAAGCGAATCCAATTGTTCAGGATGAAGATGAGATCATGTATGAATCTGAATAATGTTATTAATGTTGTTAATGTGTATTTGTTTGTCGTATCTCTGTGTTATGAAGTTGATTAGTTATTAGTACAGCAAGTTTGAGTTATGATAATGTCGATTTTGCACTACGTTTATTTTTTTGGTTTACTTTATAACAAAATCATTTCGTATAATAGTACTTATTATTTATAATGCATATCTGCTCTACTTTAATCTGAAGATAATCTTTTCAACTTTTGTAAAGCTCGATCACATTCTTCATCAAATTGCTCAAGCATTCTCCCACATGTTTCCTCAATATGTTTCTTACCTTGTTGAGCTGAATATAATATCCATTCGCTTATTGTCATCTCTAATTCATTTTCCGGCATCTCGTTGATAAAATATGAAATACGACCATCAACATCATCATTTAAATCATAATCAAGATCCTTCAACTCTTCCAAATAATTTCTAGCAGTATCCAAAGGCTCTAGTTTTTCAAAAAGTTTATTCGTATCTGTGGGCATCCAGTAATCCGTTTCAGCGTTTTCCACTCTGAGATAGTTTGAACTTGAACTTTCTAATTCTGGTGAAGGGTCAGCGTCTGGAAGAATGGTATTACTGTCCTTTTCTGGTGAAAATTGCTTTAGTGCATCTAATGGTAGTTGAATATGATGATCAGTTGACTCTTCGATAGGAGTGTCATTTGGACCTATGATTTGGTTAGAGTCTTCAATATGATCTGAGCCCTTATAATCGGCATCAAGAAATGGGCTTTGGCTCCTATGAAGCTGTGGACTCTTGAAGAACCTTGAAATTGACTGTAGGATACTCTTATTTCCCGACTTTTCTGAGCTTTGTTCCTCTAAAGAAGGCTGCTTCGTTAGGTCAGTTTTCTCATTTATATGTATCATTTCCCCGGAGCACAAATCTTTGGATGGTTTAGAATCAGTTGACTGTTGGCCCAAAGCATTTGAGTGTACTGGTTCCTGTTCAGCACTTTGTGAAGACCTCGAAGGGGAATGTGTATCTCTTGGTTCTTCTTTGGAGATTGGCACCTCTCGAGATGATTTCCAGGATTGATCTTTCTCACTTGTTGATGACTCTTGTCCAATATTCTCTTTACTATTACTTATCAGTATTATTGAATTTTCCTCGTCAGATTCCGGATAAACAACCACATTTTGTTTTTTTGGTGAAGCTTTTGAAATGTTTGTGATGTCACTTAATGGGGGTTTAGAAGAGGACCTTAGAGGCGAGCTGGCTTTTTCTCCTATAGTACGGGAACTTTCAGATTTTTTGGTGGTCTCTCCCTTCGAGATTGTTTTGGTTGGAGATTCAGTGAGCAGCTTTGTGACAGGTGGAATTTCGAGTTTTTTTGTGTTGGAGAACATGTCATTATCAAAAGAACTATCCAAAATTTTGGATTTTTTTGATGGCGAAGCTGAAGATTTTGGTTGTGAACTTTTTTTCAAGGAAATTGTTCTGGATATTTTGTGCTTCGATCCTTCAATATAGTCATCATCATCTAATTCTTCATCATTTGCAGTAATACCAAAGCTTTCATCATTAGCATCATCATTCTCCTGAGACTCTTCTGAGCTTAAGTCTCGCAGAATCTTGCGTTCTCTTTTTGGTCTTATCGAATGATCACCAGATTTTATAGAAATACTGTCTTGAACCTTTTCTTCCACTGACAGCTCTTCATGCGCAACCATCGAACTAGATCGTTTGAAGGACGCCCTGGATATATCGCCTTTTTCCAAACAATTTAGAAAGTAGCAATCTTTTGATCGCTTTTGATGCTCAAATAAAGGATCATCATCAAACTCCCAGCCTTCTAAGGAAACACCACAATAAACACATATAGCCAAGTCATCACCAGAATCCAGAGGTGAATAATAAAACCCAGCGTTGACCATATTCTCTGATACTGGGTTGGATCCACCAACTTTATCATGAGGCCAGCTCTTACCAAAAGTTTCTTGCCTTATCTGAATGGCCTCCTTACACATTGGATCTTTAAATATTTCGACTTCAGACCAATCAAAATGCGGGTTGCTTGATCTTTCTTTGGAAAGGTGAAGCAGCTTTGAAAATGAACAATCACGACTGGCTTCTAGATGATACGCTGTAGGGTCTTTAACATCTTTCCAATTTGATTGTGTTTTCTTACAGTAAAAACATGTCACTCTATCTTTGAACTTTTTAGTTGGTGTGAAATAGAAACCTGATTTACCCATGAACTCTGCTGAAGGAGTTTTGTAGGGCCATTCTAAAACATCTTTGGATCTGGCTAGTTGTACACCATAAAAGGTCTCAGTGCGTTCATTTGAGCCTTCGTAAACCCTTTTCACTTTTGGAGGCATCTTGATATTATCGGTGAAGCTATTGTTGTTTTGTTCTTCATCATTAAGTCTAACATTCGAATGTAAACAAAATCAGTACGCCAAAAAAATTGTGGATCTGAGATTCGAGGACAACAAAGTCGGATTTAATTAATATTCAAACTTCAAGTTGAAGTTCTTTGATTAAAGCATTGAGGGAACGAAGATGGATGAGAAACGATGGAGGCTGAAGTTGAGTTTAACGATACTCTCAGATGACTTTGCCATGATCTCAGTTTGGTTCAGTGATACAGCTAAAGCCGTTCTTCGTTAAGGGTTGTTCATTTTTGATAGAAATCCTAACAATTTTGCGAACGGTCGACAATTACGTTAACTGTCAAACCACTTGGAAATGAGGCGTGCTATTTGGTTTCGATAGTGCTCAATTGAAAGATACCACGCTCATCTTAGCCAGTCAACTTTCCCACTACAGTCTTTGCAAATGCTTAGAAATGACCAACTTTCAATTCGCCCTCATCTGACACTGAAAAAGATTTCCTCGTTTAGCTTGGAAGATTACATAATCAAAAACCGTTAAAACTTGATCGAACCATCATGCTTAAAGAACGAAGACGCCAAAAGCTCACAGCATATAAAGCTTTGCAAACAGTACCTCTTCTTGGACTCTATTCACTCGTTTTCTTTACCAGCTACAGAGAAACCATCATCAAAGGACCACGATATCTCGCTCGGATCCATTAAACTTTGAAAGATCAAGTCGAATAAAAATTCAAAAGAAAAGAAACAATACTCCAGATATGACTACCAGTACTGAATACGAAGCCATCGTTGTTGGGGCAGGTGCTATTGGGCCAGCTATTGCTGTTGGGCTAGCTAGACAAGGTCGTAAAGTCCTACTCGTTGAGAGAGATTGGAGAGAACCTGATAGAATTGTTGGTGAGTTGATGCAACCAGTTGGTTTGAGAGCTTTGAGATCTCTTGGAATGGTTCAAGCCATCAACAACATTGACGCTACACCAGTGGAAGGATATACAGTGTTTTATGAAGGTCAAAAAGTTCAAATACCTTACCCATTCAAAGCTGATGTTGCACCATATAAACCTTTGAAGAACTGTGTTTTCGATGGTAATGACAAAGTGCTTGATGATTCTACTTTATCTAGAAAAGTGTACGAAGAAGGTGAAAGAGAAATGGGTGTTTCTTTTGAACATGGTAAATACATTTCAAATCTAAGAAACATAGCAAAGAATGAAGGTCTGATTACACCATTAGAAGCCACTGTCACTGGTATCATACAAGATCAAACTGGTGTTCACGGTGTTAAAGTCAACTTACCAAACAATGAAAAGAGAGAATATAGAGCTGCTCTTACTGTTGTTTGTGATGGTATCTTTTCTAAGTATAGAAAGACTCTAGGGGAATCACATGTACCAACCGTTAATTCAGGTTTCATTGCCTTGAAATTAAAAGATGCTGATGTTCCAGTAAAATACACTGGTCATGTTATCTTAGGTGGCTCATTCTCACCTGTGCTTGTTTACCAAATCACACCAACAGATACTAGAATGTTGTGCGCATATAATGGACCAAAACCACCAAAAGATATTAAAGGTTATTTACAAAATGAAGTCTTACCAAACTTACCAAAAGAATTACATCCATCAGTTAAGGAAGCACTAAAAGACCAAATTAAAACACATCCAAACTCATATTTACCAGCAAGACAAAATGATATTCCAGGTCTTTTAGTCATCGGTGATGCATTGAACATGAGACATCCGTTAACTGGTGGTGGTATGAGTGTTGGTTTAGGTGATACCATCTTAGTCTTGAAACTTTTTGAAAACATCAAAAACCTTGCAGATCGTGAAGCTGTTAATGAGGCACTTTTAGAGTTCCATTACGAAAGAAAACATTTGGATACTGTTGTGAATGTCCTATCTATTGCATTATTCTCGTTATTTTCAGCTGATAGTGCGAACTTGAGAATCCTACAAAAAGGTTGCTTCAGATATTTCCAAAGAGGTGGTGATTGTGTTTCTATCCCAGTTGGATTCTTGAGTGGGTTATTACCAAGACCATACTTGTTGACATGGGTGTTCTTCAAAGTTGCATTCTATTCAATTGCTTGCAATTTCGGTGACAATGGTCTAGTGCTACTACCATGGTCTATCATTCAAATCTTTACAATTTTATTCACTGCTGCTGCTGTGTTCACTCCATACTTGTGGAAAGAATTCTTCAATTGATGTTATTGTTTTTCGTTAATTTTGCTAATAATGCCCTTATATAATTTATTTCGCTTTTGTGTGTGTGCTTCCATGACTTTTAAGATTATAGATAGATACTACAAATTCATGGATAATTTACGACGACTCTGAATATATACTATATACTAATTAATCATTGATTTATATGTCAGGTATGTAGCTAGAGCTAAAGCCTTCCACGCGAGTGCGGTTACCATTTCTGATTACGAAACCGAAGAAAAAAATGAAAACGATTGGCTTTTAGCAAAGATCAGAATACACAAGTTATCGAATTAAGAATCAATTTTGGTATTGAGCCTTCATTTTTAAATTATACTGAAATAATCAAAAAGATGGAAAAACCATTGTGGTATCGTTGGGCTAGAGTTTACGCCGTTGGGTTTGGTATTATCGGTTTCGGGTTCTTATTATATAATAACATTGTTCCAACTGATGAAGAGTTAATCAGCAGATTATCGCCTGAGTTAAGAGCTCAGTATGAGAAGGAAAAAGGATTAAGAAGAAGAGAGCAAGAAGAACTTATCAAAATTGTTAAACAAACTTCAGCATCAAATGACCCGATCTGGAAGACCGGTCCTATCAAGTCACCTTTCGAACATGGCGGTGAGCAATTAGCTGATGTCAAGCAAAGATATGAAAAAGAGATGGCTGAGAAGAAACAAATGGGTGAGATAGAAAGAATAAGAGCTGAATTAGAAGAAGCCCAAAGCAAAACTAAACTTGAAACTGAGGAACAGTTGAAGAAAAGAACTTGGTATAGCTGGAGATGAGCATGATCTCATAGAAATATTTAACGTGAAACGAAGATGCTGGATTAACGGATCGATAAAGAACGGGAACCTTGTACATAATATGATCTGACATTTATTGTATAGTAGCTTGTGAGGTTTTGATTAAATGAAACTTTTTATTATCATGATTTTGGTGTATAATATTACAAAGTAAACTTTCCCATTAGCGACCAGGCCAGCCTAATCTGCTATCTCTAGCTATTGCAGAAAGTGCACTTGTTGCATTACTCAAAGCTGAGCTTGTTGATATGCTGTAATTCTTCTCTTGATTGGCCTCATCGACAGCCTATAAGTACTGTTAGTATCTTGAAAAAAGATCTAAAAAAGCCGTGCTCAACTCACCTTCACTATATTGGATATATTAGTTTCAATAACCAGCCCACCTTGCACTATTTCCCTGATTAATATGTTAATAAGATGTCTTTAACTGAAATTAATTGTCTTTTCAACTTACTCAAGCACTGTCTGAAGCACCTGCCATCCAAAAACTAGGTCCAATTCACAAACATTTTCAAAACACTTGTCCAAACTTTGAACGAATACCTGGATCAAGTCTAATATACCTAGTTCACTTTCTTGATCATCCACTATGAACACAAAGTACAATGTGGCATAATGTCTATATATGACTTTGATATCTTCAATACCCTCCAATAATGGTGGAGGAGTCAAAAATGAGGATTGGTTTGGTTGACGTTGGTTCACTAGCTGATAAACTTGACGTAGTAGAAGCACCTGTGTTTCAATGTCCTAGTAGTGATGAGTTAACATTCATGAGTTGAGTTGTGGAAACATGTTGAACTTACCACTGGTGTATAAAATTTCATCAAACGTGGAAGACAATCATTGTTAACTGAAACTTTGGTTAGTCAACGAAACTTAAATGATGAGGGACTTTACTCACAAATTAAAACTGAGTGTATCATATTGTATCATGAGTTTATAATTGTCAGTAATTTCAATTAAAGTGTTGTGAATCCACCGATGTACACAAAAGCATCGTATTCTCAAGCTTTAAATCAATTTCCGGGCAAATCACATGGATTTCACATGACTTATTTATGGCCGGATATCCCATCAAGGGAAAGGCGACCTGTATACATATAGATCTAGACACAAAATAAAGGACAAACGAGTTTCAATTGTTTACAATACCAATCGATTTTGAACAGAATTTTTACTCGGATAGCATATTTAAAGCGTGATGTCGGTGTTCGTGCCACCAGGTGTCAAATATAGGGACATTCTTGAGGATAAACATCAACTTATTGATGTCCAGATGCTAGTCAACCTTTTCAATTCAGTGGCTCCTAAACTTCAAAGCATATTACAAAATTCCAATGAAGAGTATATAGTGGCCTGGGGAAAGCTTAAGAACGAAATTTCAAGCCAGGATAGTGCTATAGAGTCTGAATCATTGATACTGGGGATCGATATGGTCTACAACAACAGATACCAAGGGTTTCTCAAAAACATTGATAGCTTCAAAGACGTTTCCGAAAAGCTGGCGAAAAGGATTGATTCACACATTCAAACAAACGAAAAAGAGCTCTTGCAATTGATTATGCAGTCGAAGTCTTTGGTACCTTCAATACTAGACCTCTTTAAAGATGTCGATAAACTTGAAGAAGATATTATTCACATGTTTGATGAACTATCTGACTTCTTGAATGAAATATCTTCTCACTACAAGGCATTATCAAACTTCAGAGCTAAATGCACGAACTAGCTATGTGGAGTGAGTGTTTTTTTGGTTTTGTTATTTTGCTCTGTCTATGTGTCATTTTAGGAGGTTTACTGGTTATGAAGGTTCTACAAAGGTTGGTTAAAGGTCTAGTTTTTTATAAGTGTGTACTTGTTGGTTTTATCTATGAAATATGTCTATTCATAATTTAGATTTGATTTCCTTGTACTCAGCAACACATTCTAATTCGACCTTAATTTCAGGGTTTGGGAAACCAACAACAATGCAACTTCTGGATGGTTTGGTAGTGAAATATTTGGCATAAACTTCATTGACCTTAGCAGCATCTGCTGGGTGTGCAACGAACAAAAGAACTTTCAGCACCCTATCAAGTGATGAGCCTGAAGCTTTCAACACACCCTCGAGGTTTTTAATGGCAATCTCAGTTTGTAGTTTAACATCAGTTGGAATTTTTCCAGCAGCATCTGTACCTACTGAACCCGAACAAAAGACATGCCCGTTGCTTTTATAAGCTGGAGAAAGGAAAGTGGTTCCTTTTCTGTTGACCTTTTCCCAGGAGACTTGTTCAGGCATCTTGACTTTTACCTTTTCACTGATACCTCAAAATCTTTTGCAAAGAAGTTAAAAGACCCTGGCTTTATAAGTTTTTTCGACAGCACTTCTTTTTCGGGGAACCTTCCAGATTAAGCCGACAAGAGCTGATAAGAGTGGTTCAGACGTTCAAGCCTTCTTGTTAGCTAAGAACTTGAAAGTTACCATGATTTTCCAATACTTTACTACTTACCCTAGGGGAGATTCTTTTCACTCGCCAACTATTCCATCTTGTAAGGTGGAGTTTCTAAAGTACACGAAAACTCGAAAATACTCGTGACTTTCACGTGCCCAACGCGCTTGCTTTTAAAAATTGTACTGATCACAAAAATATTAAAAGAACATGATGAGATCAAATTTCCTAAGATTACAGAAAGCACACAACAAGTTATGACCAATGTCTGATAGAAAGCGGGACGCTAACCAGGTGGTATCGCCAAAGAAGAATACTTCTGAGAAGAAGAGAAAAGATGACATGCAGAAAGAGAATGATTTTTCATGTGCAAGACCAAAGACAAAATACATATTCGCCCCATCGAACAAGTTGAGTTCATCTACACCATTAAAGCAAATAAAACATGATCCAAACGTACCCAAGAAAGAATCAATATCACCAGCAGTCAAACCACCCAGGGAGATCGTACGAAGTGATAATCATAGTTCAGATGATCATGTATTTTGGGCTCCTACGCCTAAACAAAATAAGCAAGTTCCGCAACAACAAACTGCAACCACATCAAATGAAAAGAGAAGAAACCCACCATCATCACCACTCACAGATGAACTAAGGCTTGATCTAGTGGAGGGCTTGTCTAGTAAATACCAATCAATCGTGTATGATAATTTTGCTTCTCAAAGATCCCCGACTGCCTTAAAAGTCAAACCAAGAAAGAGTCAAAGTTTTCCTACCCATAATCTCATCAAGAAACCAAACTCAGAGAAGTCCAAGCTCATACTCAGTAGATCGTTTACAAATTCACCAAGTACACCGTTTAATGATAGCACAAGGAGAAGAGATATAACAAGCCTCATATCTGCAGTTGAAAGTGGGTTCCAACCTGACCCCAATGATTTTGAGTTGACAGATACTACGAAGAAATCTATACTGAAGGATATTGATATAACAACAGCTTCCCCTGGAGTCGTCAAAGCTGAGCCAAAGAAAACTTCAACCCCTGGATTTGATTTCTCAAGTGACTTTTTTAGTGATGATTTCAGTGATGATTTTATGAATGATTTAGACAAAGCCATAGAAAAAAAGTCCCAAACACAACCCAAAGTTGAAGAAAATAATATGTTGGTTAAATCAGATCTTGAGTATGCTATGAAAGAAGGTAACGACGGTAGAAATTTTGATGTTGATGCTGTTGCAGAAAAGCTTAGTCAAAACCATATAATAGAGGATCCAATACCAAGTGATGAGTTTGATGATATGGACGACGAAGAGTTTGGTCAAATGTTGGATAAAAAGCTTACGCAACCCCCTGCACCATTGTCGATCTCGAATCACACACCTAAGCTTACAACTCAAGAAGAGAGAATCAAAAAGGTTGATTTCGAAGGCTTGAAAATTTTCAAGAAAGACATTGACGAAACAGATTTGAGGCAAGAAAGCTTCAAAAAGTCAACTGAAAACCTGGCTAAATGCGCTGTTCAAAGAGATGGTGTTAAAAGATTACAACTTGTAAATGTCTTGACAACATTCTACACTCAAATGAGTAAAAAAAAGCAACAAAAGATTTTGACAGGTATTGATGCCGATGGAACGACATTTAAAGTTGTCGTAAGAGATCCGTGGGTTAACCTTGACTTTGAGCCCAACGATGTGATTCATATAGTGGGAAAAAACTTTAAAGTTGTTGACAGAGAAAGTGACAACTTGCTTATATGGAACCCAGATCTTCTTTTATCAGCAACATTGATTGGTGATACAATCAATTGCAACAGACGGTCTGTTTTGAAAACAAAACTGGACTTTAGAGGTGATACAAGTGTTGCATTGATTGTTGGTGAAATTGTTCATAGGTTGTTTCAAGCATCTTTGCGTGAAAATCAATGTTCAATGGAGTTCTTACAAGACGAGCTTAAAGAACACTTAGATGACCAAATTCTTTCAATCTTGGTGATTAACGAGACAAAAGAAAGTATAAAGGAAGAAGTTTTCAAGCATATACCTTATATCCAAAGCTGGTTTCAAACACATGTGGCTAATTCCCCCTCCTCAAAATCAAATATTAGAGTTTCTGGTAAAAGGGAACAAACATTATTTTCAACCAGCAATATTTTGGATATTGAAGAAAATATTTGGTCTCCAATCTATGGACTACGTGGATTGATAGATGTTACAATCGAGGCAAATTTGAAAAATGCTCAAAAAGCTGGTAAATTTATAGCACCATTGGAGTTGAAATCTGGTGGACGTTCCCAGCTTACTCATTCGATCCAGGCATCGCTATACACTTTACTTTTAAAAGATCGTTATGAAATGGATGTTGGATTTTTCATGTTAGTTTACACCAAGCTCAAGGAAACAACAAAGTATGAAATTAATGAAAATGAACTGAAAGATCTTGTTATGTGCAGAAATGTTTTATCAAAATATTTGAAGGAAGGTTCAAGGATGTTGCCTGACTTACAGAAGTCTTCTGAATGTGACCATTGTTATGCCATATCAGAATGCATGACATACAACAAATTAATGGAAGATGGAAGTGCTGTTGAAAGCGGCTTGAAGGAAAATGTTTATGATGATCTTACAGGGCACTTGAATAGCGAGAAGCACAAGTTATTTTTCAACTATTGGGATGATTTGATCACCAAAGAAGAAGGTTCTATCAATTTACTTAAACGAGATCTATTTTTGATTGATGGTCCAACAAGGGAAAAGACATCAGGAAAGTGTCTTAGTAACTTGGTGATTAAATCTGCAACTGATGAAGATCAAGAAGAGAACAGAAAATACTTCTATACCTTTGAGAGAAAGAAGGAGGGAATGGCTTTGAATTCTACACAATTAAGTAAGCATGATAGAATTATAGTGAGTGATGAAGCTGGTCATTTTGCTCTCTGTTCAGGCTGGGTTGTATCCATAAGGGCTAATGAAGTTGTGATCTCCACCAATAGAAGACTCAAGAACAACAATGTCAAGCTAGATGATTTCAACATTGAAAACAATCAAACCTATCAGACAGTTTTGAAACCAATGAGTGGAAATGGCTCTCAGAACCGAAATGTAACATACAGGATTGATAAGGATGAAATGTTTCATGGAATGAGGTTGGCTAGGTACAATTTGTTGAACTTGTTCTTGAAGGATGGTGACCATGCAAGAAGAGAATTGATTGTTGAAGAGCGCAAACCCACTTTCAAAGAAAATCCTACTCAATATGTCTTACCAGAAAATCACTCTTTCAATTCAGATCAGATAAAGGCTTTTGATAAAGTATTTTCGGCCAATGATTACACACTTCTCCTTGGTATGCCTGGAACAGGTAAGACAACTGTTATTGCTCAATTAATAAAGATGCTGGTGAGCCAAAATAAAACAGTTCTTCTTACTTCTTATACACATTCTGCTGTTGACAATATATTGTTAAAAGTTAAAGATGATGGAATTGGCATTGTCAGGCTTGGAAGTCCATCACGTATACATCCAGAGATCAAACAGTTTTCACCACATCAAAAGGATATCAAGACCAAAGCTGATCTCAATCAAGCATTTCTAGACCCACCAGTTGTTGCAACTACATGTTTGGGTATATCAGACTGGATTTTCAATACAAGGAGATTTGACTACTGTATTGTTGATGAATCTTCTCAAGTATCTATGCCTGTTTGTCTTGGTCCTCTTGGGTTCTGTGATAGGTTTGTTTTAGTTGGTGACCATTACCAATTACCTCCATTGATTATAAACCCTGATGCTAGAGCTGGTCTTTCCAAAAGTTTGTTCAAGACTCTCAGTGAGAAATTTCCTGAAGCTGTGGTTGATTTGACACACCAGTACAGAATGTGCAGTGATATTATGCTTTTATCAAATACAATCATCTATGAGGGCAGATTGAAGTGCGGATCTGAAGAAATTGCAAATCAATCCTTGAAAATTCCTAACATGAATAATCTTAAAGGTACTTTCCCAGAAAATTTAGATATAAAAGACCGTTGGATTGAAAACATATTAGATGAAAACAAAAAAGTTTTATTTTTAAATCATGATCCTGTTGGTGGTTGCGAAGAAACATCTTCTAAAGAGAATATTGAAAATGTTAAGGAAGCTGATCTCATTTTTCAAATTGTTGAAGCTATGCTTTTGTGTGGTGTTCCTGAGTCAAGCATAGGTGTCATGTCATTCTACAGAGCTCAGTTGCGTTTGTTTTACAGAAAATTTGCTAGACGTAAGGATATTGAAATGCTTACAGCTGATCAATTCCAAGGCCGTGATAAAGACTGTGTTATAATATCATTGGTAAAATCCAACGATAGAAATGATGCTGGTAGTTTGCTTAAGGAATGGAGAAGGGTTAATGTCGCGATTACAAGAGCTAGGGCCAAACTTATCATAGTTGGTTCTAAGCGTACTCTGCAAAATTTGAGAACCATCAATGCATTCATGAACATATTAGATACGAGAGGTTGGTTTTATGATCTACCGTTCAAAGCTGACACATTTTACTCTTTTGCAGTTCCTCCAAACCCAGAGGATGTTGATTCTATTACCACCACTACTGCAAAAGTTTCCAAAACAAAACCTATTGCTGCATCCAGAGCAATTCAAAATAGACAACTCACAAAGGATATTGCCGCAGAAATGGGGCTTTAATGACATAAACGTTAATGTATTTATTGAGACTACTGTAGGTTCGCGAAGAGGTGTGAGTAAAGTACTTAATGTGACGAACTTGTAGTTGCTTTCTGAGCTGAAGCTAAAGGAAAACTGGAATCACAAATTTAGCACCATCATCCTTGGAAGCGGAAAATGCTTTGTATAAATTTAAAAGTATTGTTAATTGTCATTGATGCTCATAAAACTTTAGAGTATCATTTTTAAATTGGCAAGCGCCACACACGACGGTTTTTCGCTGCTCCATGTGTTTTATGAGTTCAACAGTTCATTCAACTTCAACTAATACTGCTGGATTACTATATACCACAACCAAGATTCAAGATGTCACAATGTCAATGTAATCATTCAACTTCAAAAGTTGAGCCAATTGAAGGAGATGATCAGCTAATTACAAGCTCAGATCCAAGTCATCCTGCCAATTTGATCTGTGAGCTTTGTAAACTTTTTTACAATAATGGCTGGGTTACTGGTACTGGGGGTGGTATTAGTATAAGAGATGGTGATAAGATCTATATTGCACCTTCAGGTGTTCAAAAAGAGAGAATGGTACCGGAAAACATGTTTGTTATGGATTTCACTACAACCAAATATTTAAGAACTCCGAAAGTTTTCAAACCATCTGCTTGTACACCATTATTCATGTCTGCTTACACAATGAGAGATGCTGGTGCTTGTATACATACTCATTCTCAAGCTGCTGTTTTGGTTTCCTTATTGTATGAAAAAGAATTCAAGATTGCAAACATTGAGCAAATCAAAGCTATTCCAAAAGTAACAGAGCCTGGATATTTGAGTTTCTTTGATACTCTAACGATTCCAATTATTGAAAATACAGCCCATGAAGAAGATCTAACAGAGACCTTACAACAAGCTATCAAAAATTATCCGGGTACTACTGCTGTTATTGTTAGAAGACATGGTATTTATGTCTGGGGTGAAACTGTTTGGAAAGCAAAAGTCTACAATGAAGCAATTGATTACCTTCTAGAATTGGCTGTCAAATTGAAAGGTTTTGGGATTCCTCCTCATATTGGTGTTGGTGAAGAGAAAAACTATGTGGATCCAAAAATATACAATTAGATGCATTCAATATACTTTTTTTTTGTTCCTAGCCATTGGAAACCAAGCTCTCTATAACTTGCTGTACATAACTTCTCAATGCTTTTCATTCTCACTGTATCGATTTCTTTGTCTTTTGTAGTTGTTCTCCTTTTACTTTTGTCCAATCTATCTGTTTATCTATCTCTTCATCTATAAGGCCAACACAAGATACCAAGTCACCTCGTATCACATATAGACCCAATTCCTCCACTATGCTATCTTCATCCTGCAGTATTATTCTCTCTGTTGTTTCTGAGAGTATCAAATTGGTTAGGTTATCATAACCTTGAAGTGTTCCTATGAAGTATTTACCATCTGTCGTTATAACTGCAACTTTTTCTATGGTGAATGTTAGTATACAGACGAAAAGAAAAAAGGTAGTTTGCCAATCAACTTACTCTCAAGGAAAGCATTCAAACTAGACATTTTGAAATACTGATTATTAAGTTATTTTGCCCTTGTTGTTAGTGAATAAAATGATGTGAATATGATTTGTTTTGGTTTAACAAATTTCTTCACATTGAGCCAAACGATTATGTAATATTCAGCTTTTTTAATTCTTGCAACGGCCTTGACCTCAAACTCCAACATCAACGAGTTGTAAGAAGGAAAGCTTGATAATGTCGAGGTCTAGTGATGCGCCTGAATTCAGGTTTTTCAAAAGCCGTGATGAGGAACCAATTAGCTCATCTACTCGGTACGATATCCATCCCATGGAATTGGTTGTCCAATCCCTTCTCGGAGGTCCACTAGAAGGTCTTTCAAACCATTTACAAACTCTACACGAGTCACAAGTTGTGTTGATCGCTAGATTGAAGATTTTGGAAGAGAGTGAGTGTTGTTTTCATAGTCAGGATTCTTTTTTTACTAACGTTCCAAAGAATTGAGAAAATACAGTGACCAACTGACAATCGATATCGATGTCAAGGGAACAAATGAAAGGCTACACATTGTCAAGAAAAAGCTTACAAAGATACAGTCAACGCTGAAAATAGTCGAAGATAGATTTGAAAAGCTGAGTACAAATATCAAGTGAATTTATGTTGAACTTTTATTTAGAATTTGGAAAATAATATTTGATGTGTTTTTATGATCAATCTATTTTTGGTTGTGTTTTAGTTGGCATCATTTCGTTTGCAATTATGACCATAGTTGAAGTAAATGGTATGGATATCCAGGTGATTTGAATTGGAAGATCAGCATCAAAATACTATAAGCAGAAAGAATGATCAAACTGACAACGGCAACAACAACAAATTGAACTTTTTCATTTTCAATTGATTTAACTTTGGTGACTAAACTCACTGCTGAAAATGCTAAAATACCATAGACAAATGACAAGATTTGAGTTTCAACACCATATTGACTTTGCTGACCACGAGCAAAGTACTCGGTACCACCATCTTGTGTTGGTCTAGCATATGGGGACCCTCTGATTGCATTGAACATATAACCAGTAATAAAGATCAAGATTGAAAAAACAGTAAGACCACCCCATAAAGGTCTGCTTTTCAAGATTGTAGAGACAGAAGCAAAGTTTTTCTTGATTAATAAAACAGAACAGAAGGTGAAAACTGCAGTGATGATAATATTACCATAAGCAACTGGTTCATAAACGTTGATGTTTTTTTGTGTAGCTTCTTTCAAATTTTGGGCAAGTTCTAATGCTAAATTAGCGTTTGGAATTGGTAATTGTTCAAGACCTTCGTTGAAAGCTTGGTTATCTTCAGATGGAGAGTATAAGTACAATCTTGGGACATTATTCAATTGGAAAGCTTGGAAAATTTCACGATAACCATCAGCAAAATCAGCTCTTGCAAAGAATAAATTGTCACCATCTGGGTGATCCGAGAACCAAGAATCAGCTATCTTATCAAATTCTGGATTCAATTGTTGACAAATAGTACAGCCAATTTGAGGGTTGGTAGCTGTTAAAAGTAGCACGATGTAAGAATCTCTTGGACCTTCTAAAATTCTTTCATAGTTATTCTTGGTTAGTTTTATAACGTTAGAGCTGGCCTTTTCTTTATGTTTAAGAAGGTTTGAAGCACTCAATGCATTGGTGAACGCCATGAAAAAAGTGAAGGCGATCAAAGTGAGCTTCATATTTTATGAATTGGATACCAGCTGCCTCTTATTTGCAAGTTCTGATGGTCGTTCTTTCAATATAACCGTTAAAGCTCGTGGATGATACGCTGTTCAGTTTCTTTCAACATTAGTACACGCCAAATTTATGAGACCCGAGGATTTTCGCGAAAGTGGTCGGAACTGGCGATTTTCCAATTTTGGACGCTCAAGGAACTCAATGATCTTGTTGTTGACATACAAAACACAACGAGAACATAATCACGAGGAAGCCTCTGTTGACTACCCAACACTGTCCCCATGCCTGGTATGCTGACCTCAATTGGCTTCACATTTGTATTAGCTACTAACATCTCCGTTTAGTCAAATCTTTGGAATCATATTTCTTCGAAAGAGGACTTGCAAGCACGTATCCAATTGAAATATTGAGAAACGCTAGAATTGGTATCGATGTCAATCATTATTTATCTAGATTGATAACTTTCAATAAGGAACCATTCCTAGATGCAATTGGTGGGTTTCCTGCGTCGTTGAAGCTGTACATTGAGTCAGACCTTCAAGTGTTAAAAGAGTTCAACATCACCCCAATCTTCGTGTTCAGCGGGAACGATATTGTCGACCAATATGAATATAAGAATGCTAAAGAACCAACACCTTTAGATAAACAAAGAAATAAAGCATGGAATATTTACCAAGCTTATACCACTCAAAACCAACAATCAATCTTACCTCTTCCTCCAACTGAAACATTTAGAGAGCTCTTCACAGCGTTTTCAGCCGATCCAATTTCAAAAGATTTGGTTAATTATTTTATTGAAAGTGAAATCGAATACATGATTGCACCATACCTATCCTGGGTTCAATTATCATACTTATATGAACATGATTATATTGATGCTATCTATGGTCCAACTGAAACATTATTACTGCCAAAAGTTGATAAGTTTATTCTGGGCATGGAATTCCCAGGGAGAGAATTCCGCTTTGTTGATAGAAAGAGAGTATTGAATGATTTCCGTATCAGCCAACAACAGCTGTTAGATATAGCTGTTTCTGTTGGTTGCGATTTACAGCCAACTACATTACCAATCTATAATGGATACTCGCCAGGCCAATTATTTGATGTCGGGTTGGATATTATCAACAATGGTGGGAATATATATGCAAACATTTTGTCATTGAACAACGAGGATATTACTGGAAAATTTCAAAGAGGTGTTTTAGCGTTGCGTTTCTTGCCAGTTCTGAAGCTAAATGGTCGAGTAGAACTCAACAACTACAATGAAGCTGATCCAGATCCAAACCCAGATACACAACCTCCTTCAGACATTCATGATATTATTGGCCAAAGATTGCCACATGAATATTATTTCTACGAATCCATCGGTTTAATCAATCCAAAAATATTGGAATCTATTGTTTATGGTACCTATGTGGAAACCCGACCATTGACTGGTGAAACAACACTTCAATACAAAAAGCTTGCTAACGCAGTCATTGGAACTTTCAAAAATAAGGAAATCAATTTGTTGACCCAGAATATGGCAAGATATTACCAAGTTAAAAAAATCTATTACTTAAATTATGCTGATAACATTGATGTTGAACTTGAAAACAGAGTTACACCTCCAATTTTCCAAAAGATCAATGGCTTAGTGATTAGATCAACTGAGAAAGAGTTTTCCTTGTCAAAGTTTTTATCATCACTACAAAATGAAAGTTTAATCGGAACGAAAGTTGCTGGTGTTCAAGATGAATCTGAAAGGTTACAGACTGATTACGAGGTTATTTCTACTTCACTATTGAGAGTATTGTATCTATTAGAATTTTTCAGCTTTGAGGGAAGTAAGTTAATCCCAAATAAATGGACAAAGGCACTATATTCTTTGAAAGATCTTGATGAATCATTCCAAGAACAATTATTATTATTTTTGATTTTTATCAAATTGAACACATTCAAATTGACAGATACATTACCATCATCCTTTGTCGGTGGTCCAAAAACTACTGATAAAGCCTCACTATCAGTCGTGCTCTTAATATCAAGATTGGCAACTTTCATAAGAATTGAACAAAAGAAACAAAGCTATCATGGGCCAATTTCCAAATATTTGTTAAGTTTCAGATCATCAGTTGATTTAGTGAAGGGAAACGTTAGAGAAATACTAGAATCTGTTTTGGTGAATTCACTATCAAATAATGAAGTTGCAAAACTATCCAAGTCAAATTCTGATTGGAGAAAATTAGTTGTTCAAGTCCCTTATAAAGAAATAACACCAAACACAATTTTAGGTATTATTTTCCAAACATTTTTGGACTTATATTTCAGCTCTAATGACTTGGCTCAGGCTAAATCTACTGTTCTTGATTTTTTTGGTAATCCAAATAATTCAATTGCCAATTTAAGAAAAGATTTTGTTAGAGGTTTCAAATTTGTTAAAGAAGCTTTTAAAATAGCACAAGTCTTGAATGAAGATAAATTAATTGACACTGGTGTTTTTGAAACTTTTGTCAAGGCAAATGAATTGGCTCATGACGTTTTAAAATTATGAATAGATATTTGTGTTTAGTGTGTCTTTTTCCGCTCGAATAAAAGTATAATGTACGAATTGCTGATTTTTTTTTAAACATGCAAGTGATATATTTTGTGCCCTATTTATAGGTTTTGATACCAAATAATTTGATAAGATCTCCTTCTGATAATTTTTCAAACAATTTATTCTTTGCAACATTATCATTATCAGTAATTGCCTTGGCTAAATTTCTCTTTTGATCTTGTAACTTCAAAATCTCAATTTCAACAGAATCTTTGATTGCAAATTCATAGATATCAACCTCTCTTGTTTGACCAATTCTGTAAACTCTATCAACGGCTTGTTCTTGAATTTGTGGATTCCACCATGGATCAAAGATCACAACTTGTGAAGCGACTGTTAAGTTCAAACCTAACGCACCAGATTTTAATGAACATAAAAGAACCGTAGTTTCTGGATCATTTCTCAATGTATCTAAAGCTTTATCTTTCTGTTTCAAGTTCATTTTACCATCATAATTCACATATTTTATACCATGAGAAGATAAAATTGGTCCCACAAGCATCAATAATTCTCTGAATTGAGAAAAGACAATTGTTTTTCTCTTGGGATCTTTCTTCAAAATCTCAATCAATTTCAAAACTTTGGAACCTTCATATTTTTGGTTTTGATCAATTTTGTCTTGACATTTCTTACAAACTTTTTGATCTTCTTGAACTTTTTCTTTGAAGCAAATTTCACATTTTGTGTCCTTAACTGTCAATGAAGTCATAAAGTTCGTAATGTCATCCAATTCGGCAGCCAGGTCCATGTCTCTTTTGGATGGTGATACGTTAGCTTGATTTGGTCGAACAACAGCAGATGACATATTTAAATCTTCCAAATCATCATCAGTCAAGTCACTCAATAATTTCCAATGACAACAAACTTGACGCAATCTTAATAAATAAACCAATGCACACATGTAGAATGTTTTATCATTTGTTCTACTTCCACCCAGTTTGGATGGTGATAGCCTTTGGAATAAAACACCAGGTTCGTTGGAAGGCTTTGATAAACCACCAGCACTGATATTATCAAATTGGTCCTCTAAACTTCTAACAAAATGATTTTTCAAGTTATTGTATAGCTCATCTTCCATTTCAGTGAATTCAATTTCGCATCTATGAATATTCTTTGCTGGAAGCTTGAAATTCGTTGATTGTAAAATAGATTTCGTTCTTCTTAACATGAATTCTTGTAGCTCTTTTTTCAACAATACGAATGCCTTGTCCGATTTCTTAGACTTTAAAAGTTTTGAAATAACTGTAGACCATAGATGATTATCAGAATATTTTGAAACTCTCATAAACATAAACAAAGATTGCAATTCATCAATAGAATTTTGAATTGGTGTACCTGTCAAACACCATCTTCTCAAACTTTCAACGTTATAAGTTGCAATAGCAGTCTTTGACTTTTTGTTTTTGATAGTATGAGCTTCGTCCAAAACAACTCTGTGCCAGTATCCTTCATAAATTGGTGACTTATCTTTTAGATATTCAGACCTGATTGTGTCATATGAAGAAATAACAACATCATATTCTAATAAATCTTTATAGTTTGACGGCCTTTTAGGGCCATGGAACAAGAAAGGCTTGAGGTGAGGAGCAAATCTTTTAATCTCCTGAAACCATTGTGTCGTCAAACTAACTGGACAAATGACTAAAGTACCTCTGAACTTTCTTAATGGCACTTTTTTATTCAATGGTTGAATTTCTTCATCCTCTAGATCTTCATTGCTTTTCAAGTCCTCTTCATTTGGTCTATTCTTCACTATGAGTGCGATTGTTTGAACAGTTTTACCCAACCCCATATCGTCACATAACATACCACCTTTATGAATAACTTTGTCACGCTCTCGTTTTCGCAAAAACTTTAACCCATGGACTTGATGGTCTAACAAATTGACACTTAGCCCTTTAACTTTTCTATCCTTTTCACTAATCTCTTCTTTCAATTTCTTTATTTCTTCCTCTGTATCTTCATCTTCCAAAGTCTTGATCAAATTATCAACCAATTTTTGATCTGTGGCGTATTGATCAGGATTATCCAAAAAGGCAGCTCCAGATCTTAGCACTGTGTTGTTATTTAATGTGGAATAAGGATCTTTGAAAGGGGAGTCACTCTTTGCGAATTTCTTGAACCCACTTTCAACAAATCTAATATTCTCTCTAGGATCAATGTTTTGGTTTTGTTTCAATGGTGATGTAATTACTACTGGGTTTTGAGAGGCTGTCTCTTTCATCTCAGTGAAAAACTTTTTATTGTTGTTCCATTTAGCATCATCCACAGCTAATGGAGTATCACTGAAAAACGCATTTTTATTAAATGGTGCTGTCTTCTTTGTAGGGGTTGATGGTTGATTTCTCTGGCTGAAAACTGATGGTTTCTTCTTTGGAGCTGACAGAGAAGACATGTTCTTTTTGAGGAATATGCTTGAAGATTTTGGATGTGGTCTCTCATGAGATTTCCCAGCATCTGAAGGCTCCAGCTTTTGTGTTGCTGGGATCTTTGATGGAGATATGTTCATGGAAGACAATTGCCTGTTCAGCTCATCTACACCTGACATGATGGGCAAGAAATGATGAAGACTGTAACTGTTTTTCTATGGTGGGTCAAGGTCCTCAACGACGTTAAAGCTGTCGAACCTGTTTTGAAATCACAGGTCAATTTTACATCCAAAAAAATTATGAAATCAAAACAAAACTCATGTATAGTTTCCAAGACAACAGATCAAAATGGTTTGCACCACTCAATTTGATTTCGCGGTGGTTAGGGCAGGAGACTTTAGCTGAGGAAGGATATGGGATTGTTCTTTACCAGTGGATTCTAGTATTGTTTCTAAAATTGAAAACGTAGTTCGTAGTTCAATGAGTTCTATGATAATCAACTTCTTGCTTTGCAGCTCTGCAGTCAGATAAATGATTTCACACTGGCGTTTGATTTGAGCTACTGCGGTCGAGGGTACATTTGATAGTGGTGAAATTACTTCAGTGCTCCAATCTAAATTTACACAAAGAACCCTTTGAAATAAATAGACCATTACCAACTTAGTTAGACCTCACTCAAATCCAGTTAGTGGTTTCAATTTAGTGCTGTTGGATTCACCGTTTGATTTCTCCATCAAAATCAGCTCTTAGGCACCACAAAAATTCTCTATTTGATTTTTACGACTGGGCAAAAATAACTAGATTAGAAAAAGCACACTGCCTATCCAAAAGCCAATTCAACAAGTTCAGAAAAGTTCAAACAACACCTTAGCCCTGCTAAGTAGTATACACAGTCAGAACAATAGCTGGTCGTCAATATATTCAACTGTCGAGTCTTTCATCTACAAGGGGCTCAAGGTTTGAGAAAGGAATCAGGTTGTAAGCGCTCAAGATCAAGCACCCAAAAAGAAAAACGTTTCTGCTGATTTTTCAACAATATATTGCAGCCAATTTGAAGCAGTGAACGTTAAAGAAAACAGCTGCTGTTTTACCATATCAATTGCTTCTACCTGTGGTGACTTTGCTGTGTATGAAAGATGAATGGATCAAATTCTGATCGAATTAGTGGTTCAGATAATCCACCACAAAAAAAAGACAGAGAGGGTACTCACTACGGACTCAGCTCTTCAACAAAAACGTTGATAAATTCAAGAATGACATTGAAAGTAACAATCCACCAAATAACATTGAGCTGCTTTCAATAGTAGATCAAGCCACATCAATTTCATCCACAACCCAGGACCAACCTGGTAACAATGACCATCATCAACAATCTAAAAGTTCTTCAGAAAGTGATGAAAGATTCCAGCCTCCTTCAAAAATAAGGCATCATTCAACCAATAAAATGTATGCTGGCCAAAGAGGTGTCATAAAGAAGAAGCTGATAAATTTGAAAAATTTCGTCTTCAACATCAGACCATACAAGAAATCAGAAAATGGTCGGAAAATCCCAATATCCATTAAGAAAGAGTATGATCACTCGGAGTATCTGACTCTAGATCATAAAGGTGGAGAATTATTACTAGACGAAAGATACAAACAACCATATCTGAATAATGACATCACGTCAGCAAGATATTCACCTTACACATTTTTACCTCGTCAATTATATGCCCAATTTTCCAAAATTGCCAACATTTACTTTCTAACAGTTGCCATTTTACAAATGATCCCATCATGGTCAACGACCGGTACATATACTACTATTATTCCATTACTTATTTTCATTTCAATTTCAATTCTGAGGGAGGGTTATGATGATTGGAGAAGACATTTACAAGATAACAAAGAAAACAATCAATATTCTAGATTATTACAGCATAAAAGTTGTCAGAGAGACCTACACTACAAAGACACAGAGTCATTATATTCCTTGTCAAGAACAGCCAGTCAAAATTCAGTTTCTAGACTGGATCCAGATGAGTATGAACAAGTCTATAATGAAGACCTCTTAAATCAACCAAATACTTTTACTAAGGAAAATTACTTGAAACAAATGGATATAATGATTTCCAAAGTCAAATGGAAAGATATCAAAGTTGGAGATATCATCCAGTTAAAGCAAGATGAACCTGTTCCAGCTGATATATTTGTTTTAACATCGGATGGTTCAAACGAAAATGAAGTTTTCATTGAAACTATGGATTTAGATGGTGAAACAAATCTGAAATCAAGGATCCCACATCGTAAAATCTCTAGTGTTATGAATTCTGCCATTGGGCTAAGAGATTTCAAAGCTGGTATAACAATTGAAGATCCAAATTCTGATTTATACAACTTTGAAGGTAACGTTAAGATTGATGGAAATACTTATCCTTTGGGACCTGAAAATGTCATATATAGGGGTTCAATCATTAGAAACACCAAAAATTTGATTGGGTTAGTTATTTTCACTGGTGAAGAATCAAAGATTAGAATGAATGCTATCAAAAATCCAAGAATCAAAGCTCCAAAATTGCAAAGATATATCAATATGATTGTTGGTTTTATGGTTTTGGTTGTGTTATCACTGTCGTTATTTTCATTTATGGCTCAACGTTTGAATTTGAAGAGTCATTGGGATACCTCTTGGTATCTATACAATCAAGAAGCTGGTGTGGCACCAACGGTTATGTCGTTTATCATTATGTACAACACTTTGATTCCGTTATCATTATATGTTACAACTGAAATCATTAAGGCAGTTCAAGCTGGATTTTTACATTGGGATATAGATATGTACCATGAACCTTCAAATACTCCTTGTGAAGCAAGAACGGCTACAATCTTGGAAGAATTAGGTCAAGTGAGCTATGTTTTCAGTGATAAGACTGGGACTTTAACAGATAACTTGATGATTTTTAGAAAGTTTTCAGTCGCAGGTACATCATGGACCCATGAGATTGATGAAGAGACTGACAACACCAAAGTTACTACTACATCCAATGAATCAACTAGTGGTGATGAAGATATGAATTTTGCTCCAGTCAGATCAAGGCCATCAGTTGACATTAGAAAAAGTAATACAGTTTACACTGGAAGACCAAGTTTAGCAAGTGCTTTAACCTCAAATACTTCAAAGAGCAAAACAAAGAAAGAAACTTTCAAGACATCATTAGATTTGTTGAAACATATTCAAAGAAACCCTCATTCGTTGTTTTCTAAAAAAGCTAAATTCTTCATTTTGTCTTTGGCATTGTGTCATACTTGTTTACCAAAACCTGTTTCTGACGATGATGAGGAAGATATTGAGTATCAAGCATCCTCCCCTGATGAATTGGCATTGGTTGTTGCAGCACGGGATATGGGATATGTGGTTTTTGGTAAAAATCATAAGGATTTGACAATCAGAACATATCCAGAGGGTTTAGATGGTGATCCTTTCGATGAAGTTTATCAAACCTTGGATGTTGTTGAATTTTCATCTGCTAGGAAAAGAATGTCCATTATCGTTAAGTTCCCAGATGATCGTATTTGTTTGATTTGCAAAGGTGCTGATAATATTATTATGGAAAGATTAAAAAACTCTGATATGGTTACTACCAAGCAGCAAGAACTCTATAGAAACACCAGTGTCAGAAAGGCTAATGAAGCTCAAGTGATCCTTCAACAACGTCAATCTATGGATGTTCCAAGAAAGTCTGTTCAGTTTTCAAGACCCTCAATAAGTGCTGCCTCTGTCAATTCAAATGTTACTTCGATTGATGATTTCCTACACAATGTCAAGAGAGATGAAGATGAAATTGATGATGTTGTCAATGAAGCAAGAAAATCTTTAAACTTGCAACAAAAGCAGAAGTATAATATTGACTCGGTCGGTGATTATCTAGGAAATGATAAGTTGGTTCTGAATGAAGAATATGTCATTGAAAGAACATTACAGCACATTGAAGAATTCTCTACTGATGGGTTGAGAACATTACTGTACGGTTATAGATGGTTAGATAAGCAAGAGTATGAAAAATGGTCTTTAGATTATGCAAGTGCTAAAACTTCACTGTCTGACCGTGCAAAGAAAATAGAACAAGTTGGATGTCAATTGGAGAACAACTTGGAACTTGGTGGTGCTACGGCTATTGAAGACAAGTTGCAAGATGGTGTTGCTGACACAATAGAGAAATTAAGAAGAGCTGGTATCAAGTTATGGATGTTAACGGGTGATAAAAGAGAAACAGCTATCAATATTGGTTATTCCTGTAAATTGATTAAAGATTACTCCACACTTGTGATTTTAGACTCCAATGATGAAGATGTTATTGCCAAAATGAATGCAGCAGAATTAGAAATCAAAGCAGGTAATGTGGCTCATTGTGTTGTTGTCATTGATGGTGCAACTTTAGCAGATTTTGAATCGGACCCTTCGATTCTTTCAATTTTCGTTACACTTTGTACAAAAACAGATTCTGTCATTTGTTGCAGAGCAAGCCCTTCTCAAAAAGCCATGATGGTTTCAAGTATCAGAAACTTGAATAAAAGTTTGGTCACCTTAGCTATTGGTGATGGTGCAAATGATATTGCCATGATTCAAAGTGCTGATATCGGTATTGGTATTACAGGTAAAGAAGGTTTACAAGCAGCAAGAACTTCAGATTACTCAATTGCACAGTTCAGATTTTTACAAAAACTATTATTAGTTCATGGAAGATACAACTATGTTAGAACTTCAAAGTTTGTGTTATCAACATTTTACAAAGAATTACTGTTTTATTTGACTCAGGCCATTTTTCAAAGAAACACCATGTTTACAGGTACTTCTCTATATGAGCCATGGTCGTTGTCAATGTTCAATACTTTGTTCACATCGTTACCGGTGTTGTGCATTGGTATGTTTGAAAAAGATTTGAAACCTGCAACATTACTTGCAGTCCCAGAACTTTATGCAAAAGGTCGTTTAAACCAAGCCTTCAACTTGAGAATTTTCATTGGGTGGATGGTTGTTGCTGCTTCAACGTCGGTGTTGATCTGTTTTACGAGTTGGTATTTATGGGGATATACAGCTCTTATTGATAACTCATTATACCCATGTGGTGTCTTAACGTTCACTGCTATTGTTTTCACTATCAACATTAAGTTGCAATTTTTGGAGCAACATGATAGAACTTCCATGAATCTTGCCTCGGCATTGATTTCTTGTCTGGGATGGCTTTTATGGTGTTGTTTATTACCTGGTCTGTACAAGCCTGAAACAAGTAAAATTTATGGTGTTTTGAAAGGTCTTTATCATGGTTTTGGATCTGATGTTACTTGGTGGGCTAGTTTGTTGATTATTGTTTCGATGCCTTTACTTTATGATATTATTTTGCAAGTATTGAGAAATTGGTTTTTTCCTACAGATTCAGATGTTTTCAGAGTTCTTGAGAAACGCACTGAAATTCGCAGAAAGATTGAAATTGAAGCGTACGATCAAATGCATCAAGGCTGGAGCTGGTCCAAGGATGAATCAAGTCTGTCTAAATATATACCAAACAGAAGAAGACAAAACACAATCACTTTGGATACTGAACTGCCACCAGGAGCACCTTCTGAAGCTACAAAAGCAACTTCATACTTGCATAATGATGGTGAGTTTGAAACTGAGATTTTACCTAGTGGTAAATTGATCAAGAGACGTCTTAAAGATACTACAGCACAAAAGATTGGAAAGAAGTTGAGGTTTGTTAAAGAAGAAAATGATGAAGACATTGATCAAGTTATAAAAGACAGAATGAAGGATTTAGAGTGATCAATAGCTGGCTATTAGATATATTCTTTCCATTCATATTTATGTGACTTTCACATCACCAAAACCAATTATTTATATTGTTATTTTATGAAGAATTTTGATTTGTTTTTTGAAATATTAATTGTAGTTGAAATTTTTGTGCCATATTATTATCGGAGAGACGTTTCGCGATCTTGTTTTGCAAATTTTCTTGGACATCACGAAAACCTTGATCGAAAGAAAAAAAAAGATCGATCACATGTACAGCCAATTAAGGAATAGACCAAGGAGCATTTGGGTCAACATTTACTTCGAGAAATAAAAGAAGGTCTGCTAGGATCTATCATCAATCATTCCTTGCGCTCATAGCTATCTTCAGTTACCAAAAGTGACTATTATTAACACCTCGGATCATTGATTTTTAAGGAGAAGCAATTCGAGAAGGCACCATTTACAGCCATTCTTCTTTCACCTGGTGTAATTTTTTCTTCAACATTCATCACCAAAACAATACCAGCATCAACGTGCTCAATGATAATATAGAACTATAGAGCGAAAATGGATCAAGGCTTTCAAACTCATCATTTTGCTGATTTTCAAAACGAAAATGACATCTTTGACAACCATGCTGATTTTGACCAAGCCTTAATGGCGGATGTTAATACAGACATGATGTATAATGAATTCCAAGATTCAACTAATAACAATGATGGATCACAACAACAGGGAGGTAATGAAGGAGCACAAAAACGAACTAGAGCATCAGGAGAAGTACTGGCGTTGTTAGTCAATGAATTCAATAAAAATGCCAATCCTAACGCACAAACGAGGAAAAGGATAAGTGAGCAGACAGGGATGCCTGAGAGAAGTGTTAGAATATGGTTTCAAAATAGACGTGCCAAATCTAGAAAGATGGAAAAATTACAAGCTAATGAGAAAGAGGACCCATATACTTTTGGTGTTGGGAGTTATGTCTCATCAACTACAAGATATGATAATATTCCATTGACTTTGAACAATAATTATTTCTTCATCGATGCGAAATCTTTGACAGTGGGTAGTTGGAAGCGTATCAAAAGTGGGAATCTCTCAAATGATAATGTTTTCAGTGTTAAGAATTTATCAAATTTGTCACCTTTCTCCATAAATGAAATCATGAGTAATTCTACAGATTTAATGATTGTGATATCAAGAAAAAACTTTGAGATCAATTATTTTTTCAGTGCAATAACGGATACATCAAAGATTCTATTCAGAATTTTTTATCCAATATCACAAGTCAACAATTGTTCTATTAGTATATCTCAAGATGGTGATGACACAAACAGTAGTCTATGTGAATTGAAGCTTTTATTGAATAAACCACCAAAATTTGCAGTATATTTTTCTCAAACAATGGCACAAAATGTTAACCAATGGTCTATATGTGATGATTTTAGTGAAGGTCATCAAGTCAACGATGCATTTATAGGAGGATCCGGATTACCACACGTTTTCACAGGGCTGGAGCAATCATTAAAATTTATGAATTCGTTCATTTTAGACTATAACAGTACCAACGTCTCACAACAAGAATTCTCATTACCACAAAGATTTGATTCAAGATCACCAACTATAATTAATAACTACCCAAATCATCAACCTCCTCAACAAATTCAAGAAAATAACGATAATGACATTGCAGATTTTGAATTCAACTCAAATCCTTTATTACAACAATTTGTTCAAGATCCAAATTTTTCCAATGACCCTAATGATGCTTTTGAAAACTTCATAAAGGAAGATCAAGGTACTCCAAGTGGACCATCATTTGATCTAACAGGTGCGGAAAATAATATTCAGAATTAATAATAATCATAACTAATGAAAGCATTGTACAATCTCCAGTATTGAGAAAATTAATAATATCTTTAATAAAATTCAAATGACTACAAACACTGTTGTTCAATTCGTAAACCATATAATTATAGTGCAGTATATATTCTGTCATGTTTCCATTTCTCTTACCTATCTCCTATAAATCATCATCCGGGGTATCTTCAAGACTGTTCCTATTTCTTGCTTCATATTCGTATTCATCACCTGCATCTTCTGCTTCATCTTCTTCATTAGTATTGTTTTCCTCGTAATCATCATTAACAAATTGGTTATTCAATGTGTTCCGTAGCACTTCGTTGTCAGTGTCATCGATCGAATCATTGATTTCTTCATCGGATTCATAAATTGGTGGATTCGCTGGTAATGAATCCAATGTGATATTATCGTTCAAACTGGTCTTGGAACCATTCGAAGACTGATAACCAGCATTTGAGTAGAAATCAGGTGGTTCAATTATTTCATCATCATCTTCATTACTACTCTCCAACAACAAATCATTTGTAACAAAGTTATAATCAGGGAGTGGAGGTCTTGTACCTTCTTTCAAAGCAAACCCCCATTTTTTGATATTGGCCTCTATGAACACATAGCCATACTGACCTAAATTAACATGAATTGAGCATGGGTTATTTGCACCGATTATTGGGAAAATGTTGTTCATTTTAAAACCTTTAATATGACCACCTATTGGTTTCTCACTCAACTTTTTACCATTTCTTGTGAAAAATATAGTACCACTGCGGCATCTATAACCAATACCAACCACATCACCTTGTTGTAACGATGGGAAGACAGATGCTTCCTTTTCATTTAGTTTGAAAGAATTATTGAATCTTCTGGATCCATTTGAGTCATAACTTATGGAGTAATGATGTCTTCCAGGTAACCTGAAATATGGGTAGGGTCTTGTAGATAGACCTATTGATGCAATGGTGTCTTCTGGTGAGTCCAAGTTGAACAATTTTGCTTCAAAATAATAAACGTCGTTCAGTTTTGGGATTGGTAAATTTGCCATAATTGAACATTGATAATCAAAATTTGTAAAATTAATTTCAGTTTTGTTATTGATGAAAATAGCTTCATTTGGTAAATTGCTATCAGGGATGAAATCCCAAGCTTCTATTCCCTTTTCTTGAATCAGCAAATGGTTTGATAATGACATTTCCTCATTGATTGGTGGATTTTGTGTGATGAAATCTTGTCCTGATCTATAAAGATTTTGTTCATTTGGGGATAGCTCACTTAATCTCTCCTCTATTTCAAACTCATCATCTAAAGACCCTGGAACATTATTATCTAGTGCTAAATATTTCTTTTTCACGAAAAACCTCAATAAGGCACAAAATAGAACACTGAACAACCCCAATACAATTAGACAAATCACCACACTTAAAACAATTATGAGGGTGATAGCTGTTTGTCCATCATCCAGGTCCACATCATTTCTCTTGATTAATGGTAGCGACCATACCTTCTGTTGAAACAGTGCTATAAGTATCACGATGTCTGTAATCATTCTTACTTTATGCAAATTCTATATGCCAAAAATAAACCGAAAAAACAAAGCAGCAGGCCTCAAAATCAAACGGCGGTTAAGTTTATGATTCTCTCTTGTCTTCTTAGTCAACAGCTTTTGGTAATACAATATCTCTTGCAAGCTAAAACTGTTGTTTGATGATTGGACTTCTATGAGATATCACGATCACTGGAAATTTCCCCTAAAAAAGCTGAAGTAAATGCTTGTGATTCAAAACAACCTTGCCGAACGAGCCTCTTCTCCTAGTTTGGACCGTGTAAATGTCTTTTGGTGTCACTGGTTTAAATATTTTCAATGGAAGCCCACTTCTCAGGTGCTGCTGATGGTGGGTTTGACGTGAGTGTTATCAAAATGTTGACTCAAAGATGGTGGCTATCGCTTAAAGGCACTTTTCCTATTTACACAACCAGCTTTCCTTTCTGATAAAAAAAAGGAACATAAATGGCCAAATGCAGTAATTCCTCTTTTAGATTTTAAATTGTGATTATGTAATTTTGAACCCGATACACAGCTTAAATTTGTCAGATCAAAGAACATTTGATTGAAAACAACTTTTATACTCAACTGATTAACTATTGAGCATAAAGTGAGAGTGGTTTAAAAGCATTCGGTATCAACATTTCAAAGGTCGTTCAGAACTCTGTTACGTTTTAGCAAAGAATTTTTGGTGTCCATCCCGCTTCAATTGACCGTTAGTTCACAAGTGCCATACACCAATCGCCACTTCTTATTCCTTTATCTTCACCAACTTCCACATCACACTTTAGCAGCGCTTTGGAGCTAATTGATCGTCATTTTATCAATATGATGAACTTCAATGGACAATTGAAGAAAAGGAATGTCAATTTAGGAGGTGGTTTCAAGAACAATAGAGCTAATATTCTTCAGCATACACAAAAGGAAAGAGAAAAGAGAGAAAGAGAAAGAGCTAGGGAAAAGTCAGTCATCATTGTCCAGTCCTATATTAGAAGATACCAAGCTTCAATAAATCACAAAATATTAGTTGGAAAGCGCTGGGAAAATTTAGTAACCAGTGTTGCTGAGATCAATTATGTTATACACCAATTTACTATCTTTTATTCAACACTATACAAAGTTAATGAAAGAAAATTAGAGCAATTGAACTTACTTTGTGGTTTGTTGAAGGAAACTAATCCATCTGAAATCAACACCAAAAGCTTTCTGGAACTAGCTTCAACCATTGTCAACACATTCCCAAATATCAGTCTGAAATCCACCATTGACCTGCAAGTTCTGGATCAGCTCCTTTGGTTATCTGACCGCCTTTACTCCAGTATAGAAATACAAAAAACTCTTGGAGGGATAATACCGGAACTATCAAAGCTTGTGGAATCGTTAATTAGCTCAAGAGACTTTGAGTTGGCATCAAAATTGGTGTTCATCATTTCAAAATATGCTCCATTGGATGTGAACAACTACATTAGATTTCTATCAACCACTGATCTACTTAGAGTTCCATCTTTCAAAGTACGGTTTGATGTTCTCAACTCTCAAATAGAATCGTCAACTTGTCTTTTGTCATTGTCAGACGATGAAAAATTGAACATTCTTTCCACTTTGATAACACAAGCTGAAAAGTTTAGCATACAAACCATATCCCCTATTTCATGGGTTCTTTCATCGATAAATGTAACAGTGGCTACCAAATCAGAAAATGAGTTTAGTATGGATGAAGATGACGAGAATGATGGTAATGATGCTCATGAGTTAAAACGTAAGCTCATTGATGAGGATTTGAATGAAAGCATCAAAAGATTATACAATAGGGAATTCATCACGGCCGTTACAAAAAATGTTAAAGATTCCCATGTTTTGACACGTCTATATGGCTCATTAATGCGCTTGAAGCCTTTACTGAAGTCTACATTTATTATTTATTTGATTCCAAACAGTTTTAAAGAGCTAGTGGATTCGGTTTTAGAAAGTTCAGTTTTCACTAAGTTTATTGAGTTGCAAGAAAATTCAATTTACAATATTGATCAAGAATTCATCAAATTTGTCTTTCAGGAACATATGGATTTCCTACAGTATGATCTTTATATATTTTTTGAGGTGTTTCAATACTTTCTTATTGTTTCAAATGATTTTGAAATATTCAAAAAATATGACTTCACGGTCAAGAAGTTTGAACTGATTTCCATTTTTTTGAAAAAATTCACATTTAATTTGATCTGGAATTCCTCAAAGGTTAGAACACTGTTGGGGGATAAGAATCTTGATTTATTAGAAACCCTATCTATTAAAGTTTTGAACCAGGTTTATTTGAAAGATTCAAGATTGTCATTAGTTGACAAAACAATTTGGTTGATCAATGACAAGAAATTGGATATTATGACCCTAGTAAACTTGATTTCTCAATATGAAGAATCTAGAAAGAACGACTATGATTCAGATAACGGTGCTCCAGATTTTATAAGTTCATTGAATTCAGATTCTAGAGCCAAGTTGAAGATTTTCTTGAAAACACCATTCTTCATTAGCTTTGAGAAAAGAGTTGAAATTTTCCAAGTTTTGGTGGATCTTGATAGAGATAGACTTGGTCTGAGTGAGGCTAACAGTTTGAGTATGTTTGGATTTTTGGAGCGTAAACAGACAGCAACTATCAGAAGAGAACATATGCTTGAGGATGCGTATGATAGTTTCAATAAGCTTGGAGAAACTTTCAAAAGCAAGTTAGGTATTAATTTCATTAATGAACATGGTGAGGAAGTAGGAGTTGATGGGGGTGGTCTTACAAAAGAATTTTTAACTGGTGTTGTCAAAGAAGGTTTTAAAGATTTGTTTGTTGAAAATGATAATCATGAACTATACCCAAATCCACAAATTGGCCTAAAATATCAATACAGGATTGATAGTGAAGAACAGTTGAAATCATTAAATTATACTAATTTCTTGGGGAAGGTTATTGGTAAGTGTTTATATGAGAGAGTTTTAGTGGATATTAGTTTTTCAAGTTTCTTTTTAACCAAATTCAATACTGGGTACAAGAACTCGTTTGATGATTTGAGAAGCCTGGATGGAGAGTTATACACTAATTTGGTCAAATTATTAAGTATGACTGATGAAGAACTAGAAGGTCTGAATTTGACTTTCAGTATTGACGAGAAGCTCGATAATAGAAACATTAGCATTGATCTTGTTCCAAATGGTTCAATCACTCCTGTCACAAGTTCCAACAAATTGAAGTTTGTTCACGAAGTTGCCAACTTCAAGTTGAATAGATTGATCAACATTCAATGTAACTCCTTCTTGAATGGGTTATTTGAAATCATTTCAAAAGAGTGGTTGGCCATGTTTAATCCATATGAACTCCAAATGCTGATTTCTGGTGAAAAGGATATTAATGTTCAAGATTTGAAAGAATATGTTGTTTATGGTGGCTACACGCTGAATGATAAAACAATTCGTGATTTTTGGGAGATTGTGCATGAAATGACAAATACTGAAAGGTTCCAACTTGTCAAGTTTGTTACTTCTGTTCCAAGAGCTCCTTTATTAGGGTTTAAAGCATTGGTTCCAAGATTTGGAATCAAAAATGGTGGTGATGAACCTGAAAGATTACCAACTTCTTCAACGTGTGTGAACTTACTCAAGCTACCAAACTATAGAAACAAACAGCTACTGAAGGAGAAGCTACTCTATGCAATTAATGCAGAAGCCGGTTTTGACTTGACATGAAATAAAATAGAGTAAATGAATACGTACCTAGTACAAATGTAGACTTGAATCTAGAAAGTTTCCCAATCGGCTGTTTTGTTGTGCGCGAACCATATTTTTGTTGTTTGTTTACTATACTGTTGCGCTAACCGTGAATTTCAAATTTGCCATGGAAACGATGAGCTCCAAAGAAACAAAAACAAAAAGAACAACTTCAAACCTCATAAACAAAGCTTCTTTCTTTTCAAACATCAATTCAAAACTTCAATAGCTCGTGGAAGGTCCTTTGTCAGTTTATACAGTCTCTCGCTTATCATTCTCACTATCAATATAACTAGATCAAAACCTGTCTGTTTTTTTTATCACTCAGATCAACACAATTTCAGTTTTGCACAATATTAAAGGGATTTGTACACAACAAACCACAAAACTCAAACTTAACGTCACAAAATAACATTGAGTACGTTTTGCATAAAATAAAACTTTCTGTGGCATTCCTCTGAGACTTTGAATTTTCACTCCAGCTCCTCGTATCTGGATTTGTTTTCTTTGAATTATACCCATTTGTTTATTTTGTTGTACTGTATTACAGATCATTCACCCATCAACAATCAATCATCACAACCAAAAAGTGCTATAAAATCTTTTCAACTTTGAGCTTTTGACATTCACTTTATTATTTTTTTGCTGAAGGTTTTGTTAATTGTTTTGGTTTTTCTCATCTTCAAATCAAAATTTTAACCTCCAACAACAACAACAACAAATTATTCAAACACACCATATAACAAACCCCGTATAATATCATGGAAGGAAGTCAAAAATACAGATCATTAGCAAATGAAAATGCTCAAGCTTTAAGACATAAGGCCCCAAAGATTCAGCAATCATCATCAAATAGAGTAGCTCTAGGCAGTGTCTCCACAAATATATCGAGAGCATCTAGAACTGCATTAGCTAAACCAGCACAAAGAGTTAAAGTGTATGGTGATGAAAATGATGAAAATCGTGTCCCTGGAAGAATTGGAAGAGCAGATACAACAACAACAACAACAACAGAATATAATAGACAACCCTTGGCTGAAATAAAAGATAGATATGTGAATCGGGAACCTAGTATGGACGATGCTAAAGTTCAGCTAACTCGTGACTATGAAGAGGATCAAACTGAATTGTTTGAGGAAGAGGACGATGATGATGATGAATTACCTCAACCTTTGATGCCAAAATTGACACCAGAAATCCATCAAGAATTACTTCAAGTGTACAGAGTGTTTTATCAAGAAACTTTGGATGAGGAGGATGAAGATACTTTTGATGTGTCCATGGTTGCAGAGTACGCTCCGGAGATTTTTAACTATTTACATGGCTTGGAAATAAAGCTAAGACCAAATCCTCGCTACATGGAATCACAGACTGAATTGAAGTGGAATATGCGTAGCATATTGGTTGATTGGTTAGTTCAAGTGCATTCAAGATTTAACTTGTTACCAGAGACATTGTTTCTAACAGTCAATTATATTGACCGTTTTTTAAGCAAGAGAAAAGTCTCCTTGAGCAGATTCCAATTAGTTGGTGCAGTTGCTTTGTTCATCGCTGCTAAATATGAGGAAATCAATTGTCCTAGTGTTCAAGAGATTGCATATATGGTAGATCATGCCTATACTGTTGAAGATATTTTGAGAGCTGAAAGATTTATGATTGACGTTCTAGAATTCGAAATGGGATGGCCAGGCCCAATGTCATTTTTACGTCGCACAAGTAAAGCAGACGATTATGATTTTGAAACCAGAACTTTGGCTAAATACTTTCTAGAGATCACTGTCATGGATTATAGATTTGTTGCATCTCCACCAAGTTGGTTAGCTGCTGCTTCTCATTTTTTGAGTAGATTGTTACTGAATCGTGGAGACTGGACAGAGGCTCATGTTTATTATTCAGGTTATACAGCTGAACAATTGAAGCCTGCTGCCTCATTATTGTTGGATGCATGTCGCCATCCAGAGGAGCATCATAAATCCATATATGAAAAGTACCAAGAACGTCGTTATCGTCGCTCTTCCCTTTTTGTTCAAGAATGGCTTAAAGTTGCTGATGGTGAGCAGTGAGAGTTCAGGGCTGTTTTCAAAGTCCTTATATTGTATTTTTAGTTTGGAATTGGTTTCCTATGCATGTTATTTCATTTCATTTTTTATTGAGTGACTTGGTGTTTCCAAATCATCTCACTTTGATTCTTTTTGAACTCCAACATCTGAAAGGTTTGGTTGGTTTTCATTTTTGTTTATTTGTTTACATCAAGAGATTTTACCTATGGATTGGTTATGAGAAAGACATAATTTACTGGAGAAAAGTTGGCTGAATAAGTGGCCACATTGTACACTATCATATTATTAGTTGGTTGAATGCAAAATGACTTTCAACATTGAATTTATGTAGATAATATTGTAACAATTTTTCTCCATCAGAGCCACATGAACCTCCTGCTTGAAAAAAGCAGTTATACTTATTACATCAACAGTTTACATGACACAAACCTGTAATCTACAGTTTCATGTTTTTGTGGATTTAATGCCCTTTCTTATATTTCCGGGACTAAATCCGAGGGCTTGAAAAATTTATTGTGAGCTAGGGATTTTTAGGCATGTACAACTTCTTTATTTGCTACAACCCATCTTCACTTTGAACATCGTCAATACATTGAAATAGATCAAACAAAAGATGTCATTCCGTTTAACCAACCGTACTGCTATTGCTGCCTTGAAATCAATCACCAGAAGCTCAATTGTTAGAACTGCCACTCCATTGGTTCATAGATCAGCTGCTTCAACCATTGCTCCACGTTTATTCTCTACTTCATCAATTGTTTCTAATGATGCTAAGAAACAATTCCATGAAAGTGTTATCGCTGAGATTGAACATGAAGCAGGTAACGATAACTCATTACCAGAAGCTCTTGAATCATTTTTTGACAGATCTGGTTTCAAATTAGCCGAAACTACTGGTCAATCTTTAGGTAAATTAATCAAAGAAACTGAAACTGAAACTTTACATCTTTACTTTGATGTCAATCAAGCTGTCAACATCCGTGCTGTTGAAGAAAACTTTGAAGAAGATGATTTAACCAAACAACCAGATGAATTCTTTTTAAATGTTAACTTAGTTGTTGCTAAAAAAGCTGATAACTCCGCTGTTAGCTTTGATTTAATCTACCGTACTTATGATGCAGCTGTTGTTGTTGAGGGTGTTACTCATTATGCCAATGCTACTGAAGCTTTATCTGAAAGTGCTGAAGATGAACAAAAACGTGAAATTGCTTATCACGGTCCAGCTATCTCAAACTTGGATGAAAAATTAGTTCTCAGTTTAGATAACTATATGGAATCATTAGGTGTTACTGATGAATTATTACACCACATCATCAACTATGGTATTTACAAAGAAAATGAAGAATACTTGCGTTGGTTATCAAACTTGGAAAAATTCTTGAAATAAGAGTAACTAGTTCCATGATGTTTAATGATATTGATTTCCTTTGTATATAAGATTTTTAGGGTTATTTTATTCAGTTCTTTCAAGTGAGTTTATGATAATACATGCCACTTAGGAATCGATTGAATATATTTGTAAATAGATAGATTGACTCAAGCCATCAACAATGTAGCCATAATATGAATTATTGATAAATCACAAAAAAAAAAGTTGAATAGATTGCAGCACCTGAGTTTCGCGTATGGTCTCCCACTACACTACTCGGTCAGGCTCTTAGCAGCTTAACTACAGTTGATCGGACGGGAAACGGTGCTTTCTGCTAGATATGGCCGCAACCGAAAGAGATAGTTTTAATAATTGTGATGATTTTACTCGTATTGATTATTTAAGCCAGAAAGTTGCACTTTTATGCTAAACTTTGAACTCATCTTGAAAAAAGAGAAGATAAGGTCAGTACTTGGCTTAAACAAATCTCAAAACTCATTAAGATCTCAACCCATGTATTTGGTTTAGGAGTGTTAGATTGGAGTCTTTGGCTATAATTTATGGGGGTCAATAGTCAATAGTATATTGTGCCTGTTTTTGTTATATCTGCCAAATTCAATGGGACACAATGAATCATCAGAACACGCGTATGAAACACAATAAAGAAACTAACACAAACTAAGAATATCCTTGACTATTGGCACTTTGATAGCTCGTTCAAAATTAGCGACACATCATATATGTAGTTCCAATTTTTGATCGATAGCTTTTAAAGACGTTATGCTGAAAACATATCCTTAGTTCCAGAATCAAACCTGTGGATAGCCCAATTATAGCAAGTTTAGGATATCCTTAGTAAATACATAGTAGTAGTGCCATTGATTCCTCCTCCTAGATTTGTTTCCAAGCTTCTAAATGCTAGTCTTTGAATACCTTCAATGTAGTCAAGTATACTTGATTTGGGTTTAAACTTTTGTGCTGGCAAGATCTGTGACTGTGTTTTTTGACATATTCTACATAAACAAGAACACACCCAAACACCACCTCTCGAAAACGACGCTCCGAATAATTTTGAAAAAAATCTTAACTATGGTGTGTCCTGTACCGTGTGATTTTGTATGGTGGACCGTTCCCAGAGGATAGGTAATATCAACACGATCAACTTCATCAAGGAACACCTTGAAGTGCTCTCGTACAAGCTCCATACATACAACACATATACACAATGTCTGACGCTATTGTTTCATACGCTGCTTTGATCTTGTCTGATGCTGGTCTTGACATCACCTCAGAAAACTTATTAACCTTAACCAAATCTGCTGGTGCTTCAGTTGACAAAGTAAGTTCGGATTATATTTGAATGCTATAATCATCAAGAAGGGGTATCAACTATTTCAGGAGAATTGAACCATGAAGATTATTGCAGCGTCTTTTTCGAGAATTATTTACTAACATATATACCCCTAGGTTTGGGCTGATGTTTTCGCTACTGCTTTAGAAGGTAAAGACTTAAAAGAAATCCTAAAAGGTTTCGCTACCGTTGGTGCTTCTGCTCCAGCTGCCGGTGCTTCTGCTGCTGCTGCTTCTGGTTCAACTGAAGCTGCTGCTGAAGAAGAAAAAGAAGAAGAAAAAGAAGAATCTGATGACGATATGGGTTTCGGTTTGTTCGATTAGGTTCATTAATTTCCAAAAGAGTTTACTGTATTTAATAAAGCAAAAAGTCATGATATCACAATAAATGGGGTTACAAACTAATAATATACTGGTCGTAGAAAATTCAGGCGATATAAGTGAAAGGAAATCCTAGTTTTCGCTCAGATATTCATGATTCAAATTTCACACATCATAATTACGTACCAAGATTGACAAACTACAAATACAGACACTTAATTTAAAACCCAAAAAAAGACATGATACTAATTAAACAAAAAAAATGACTAGAACTAACCCCCAAATGATATTATTTTATACTTCTCAAGACGTTGCAGCTTATTTTTTCTTATCAGCTTCAGCTTCAGCTTTTTCTTTAGCTCTCTTTTCTCTAATACCTCTGTATTTCTTTTCTGATCTGGCTAATCTCAATGTTCTGAAAGCAGTTTGTTCTTGTTGTTCAACGGCTCTTGGTGCTGATTCTGGAGCTGGTTGAGCAATTGGGAAAGTAGCAGCAGTTGATAAGACTTGTTCAGCTTCTGGAGCTTTACCCTTTCTTGGGAAAACAATCAATTTAGATTGGTATTCTTTTAATCTTTGAACGTTAGCTTCGAAAATTTCAGTAGATCTGTTTTGACGACGGTGGTCAACAGCAATACCAATGGTTCTAGCATATGATGGAGTTAAACCAGCAGCTTTAACTTCACGTAAAGTGAAACCTCTACCAGCTCTGACTTTTCTGTTGTATTTGATGGTTGGGGCTCTAACGACTGGTCTTAAGGCATCTAATGGTCTTGGAGCAATTCTGGCAGCTTTTGAAGCTCTAGCTTGTCTTCTTGAAGCTTTTTTACCAGCTTGGTCAAAGTGAACTTTGACACGTTCTTGCCAGTGTTTTCTGAAATGGTTTTTTAAGAGTGGTAAGTTTTTAGCGATAGCTATTATCACATGTTAGTATAACGAACCAAAATTAAGATCATAATATCACATTTACATACCCATTTTGTCTTTGTTCTGCTCGAGTTTTTAAAACTACTAGTTATGGCTTCAGGTTTTTCAGTTTTTTTTTCAGCTTTTTTTTTTCTTTCCAAGAGTCTCATCATCAAAAAATATTATGTAATCTTCATCCCAAAACTGATGTAATCATTAGTCAGAGATTATGAAATCTTGATAAACAAAATCTACTCCAAAGTTTCAACAGTTTACCGTTTGACTTTGACTCATCAGTAATACATACTTATAGGGTGAATGTGAAAATACTAATTCAATTCAAAGAAGTTTTTATTCAGTATTCGAAAGTGCTACCAACGGATCTCGAAGCTTTAACATTTGGGAAAGAACTTCAATTTCGAAGATAAAATTTGTTTGATCGGATAATGAGTAACAAACAATCAACTTCAGAGGAAACTCAAAGATTAAGTACCCCTGAAAGTGCTCTATTAGGAGAGTCACAGGTAGCATACAATAGTTTATCCTCAAATAGAGAACTCCATGATGGCTCAGAACATAAATATAACCTGAAAGTGATACTTCCTGCTATATGGATGGGTAGTTTTTTAGCTGCAATGGATGGAACTGTGGTTGCCAATATTATGAATGGTATAGCATCTGATTTCCAGCAAGAGGATTTGAAATCGTGGATTGCAACTTCTTATTTATTGACAAATACAGCTTTCCAACCCTTATATGGTAAAGTTTCAGATATTGTGGGGAGAAAGTATGCATTAATGTTTGCACAATTCTTTTTTGGATTTGGGTGCTTTCTGAGTATTTTTTCCAACAATATTGTGCATTTTTCCATCGCTAGAGCTGTTTGTGGTATCGGGGGTGGTGGATTAGGTGCAATGTCTAGTATTATTGTTAGTGACATTGTCACCTTGGAGGAAAGAGGTTTATATCAAGGTTATGCAAACTTAAACTATGCATTGGGACAGACTTTAGGTGCTCCATTAGGTGCTATTTTGCTGACTACAATTGGATGGAGATGGATTTTTGGAATTCAAGTTCCATCTGTTATGGTTTGTATGTGGTTGGCTTATAAGCATGTTAATATTGGACATGAAAAACCATTGACGAGAGAAAACTTTTCGAGAATCGATTTTGGTGGGTCTATTACTCTAGTCTCTAGTATTACTGCATTCTTACTTTTGTTGTCAACAAATCTTAATAAGGTTGTGCTGAGTCTAGTTTTCCTCTTGTCTTCTTGCTCATTTTTTTACATTGAGACATTCATTGCTAAAGAACAAATTGTTCCAGCGCACCTAGTGAAAGGTCTTTTGGGTGTTTGTGGGCTCTCATCATTTGCTGTGACGTTTATATTGTATGCTGCATTGTTTGGTGTCCCATCTTTTTTGCAGGTTGTTCAAAATCAAAGTACTAAAGAATCAGGTGGGTTTTTGATCTTCATCATTATTTCACTTTCAATTGGCTCATTGACATCGGGTTATTTGTTGAAAAGGATAAATATAGATGTCAAACCATTATCATTATGGATTTCATTTGCAAGTGTTGGTTTCACACTAGTTGGTATGGTGCTAGTGTTTGAGGTTTTGAAAGTTCCAGAACCTTTTGATTCTGATATTGGTTGGAAAGTTGTGATTAGTGTTGGTTTAACAACTATGGGGCTCGGTTATGGTTCATATTTAGTTTCTGCTTTGATAACTGTCGTTGCGCTTGTTGGTAAAGAAGGTCAAGCTGCCGCTACAGGTATGAACTATCTTTTTAGATCCATTGGACAAGTTCTTGGTGTTGGTGTTTCATTGGCTGTTTATGATAGATCAATTTCCAATAAACTTCACTCTATTCTAAATAATGTCGATCATGGAGATGAAATTATGGAGAAGTTGTTACATGACACCAATTATTTGAAACAAGGCAAGTTGATAACCGAAAAACTATTCTATAAGCTTTTGAAGGCATACCAGGAAGCAATGATTGATTCTTTTGTACCAGCATTAGCGCTGGGGGTTTTCAGTTTATTAGTTTCTGGTGTTGTAGCCATTAAATATGGAAAGTCCAAATAGACACTGATGCGCAATTTACAATATACAATCCGAATGTGACACATTTGTTTGGCTCTGTAGTTGTGTAAGTGAGTAGTAAGTCTAAGTACAATTCAACTATGTTGTACAATTAATCAACCTTGCTGACTGCCAGTCTAGTGACAATATTTGTTTCCTCAACAGCTTGCGTTCCAACAATATCGGAGTTGTTTAATTCTCGAGCCGGTTTCAACATTTCAGCAATTAAACTCTTTATAATTTTTGGAGCCTTACAGACAACAAAAAGGTATAAAAAAAGTAGAAATGGAATCAAAATTCATTTGCTCCCCTTATTGCTGAATACTCAGCGCAAGAAAATGACTACAATTGAGAGAATACATGCTAGATATGTTTATGACAGTCGTGGTAATCCAACCGTGGAAGTGGACCTGACTACAAATCTTGGAACCTTCCGTTCAATTGTTCCATCAGGTGCATCTACAGGCTCAAATGAAGCAGTTGAGTTAAAAGATGGTGATAAGTCAAAGTGGGAAGGTAAAGGTGTTTTACAAGCTGTTGAAAACGTTAATGAAATTTTGGGACCTGAATTAATCAAGAGTGAAATCTCTGTTACAAAGCAAAAACAAGTTGATGATTTTTTAAAAAAACTTGACGGAACTGCTAATAAGATCAAGCTGGGTGCTAATGCAATTTTGGGTGTTTCTATGGCTGTTTGTAAAGCAGGTGCTGCTGAGTTGAAATTGCCATTATATGAACATATTGCACAATTGGCAGGCGATGAAGCAGCTATCAAGAACAAAAAGTATGTTTTACCAGTTCCATTCTTAAATGTTTTGAATGGAGGTGTTCATGCTGGTGGTAAGCTAGCTTTTCAAGAGTTTATGATAGCACCTATAGGTGCTTCAAGTTTTAGAGAAGGGTTAAGATATGCAACTGAGGTTTATCATACTTTGAAGAAACTAGCACAGTCAAAATATGGCCAAGGTGCAGGAAATGTGGGGGATGAAGGTGGTGTTGCACCAGATGTCGATACTGCAGAAGAAGCTTTAGATTTGATTTATGAAGCTATCAAAAAATGTGGTTATGAAGGGAAAGTTTGCATTGGTATGGATGCTGCATCTTCAGAGTTCCATAAGGTTGCTAAACAATATGACTTGGATTTCAAGAGTCCAGAACATAATAAAATCCTCAGTGGTGAACAATTAGGTGAGTTATACGTTGAACTACTTCAGAAGTATCCTATAGTGTTGTTGGAAGATCCATTTGCAGAAGATGATTGGGACAGTTGGAAGCATTTCTATAATGTTACATACAAGAAATTGGATCAAAATGTTGAGATTGTTACAGATGATTTAACTGTTACAAATACCAAACTATTGCAGAATGCGATTCAAGAGCGTGTTGGTAACTCATTGTTGTTGAAGGTGAATCAAATTGGTACTGTTTCTGAATCAATTGATGCAGCTAACATGGCATTTAAGAACGATTGGTCAGTTTTTGTGTCACATCGATCTGGTGAAACTGAGGATACGTTCATTGCAGACTTGACTGTTGGATTGAAGGCAGGCCACTTGAAATCTGGGGCACCAGCAAGATCTGAAAGATTAGCCAAATACAACCAACTGCTTAGAATTGAAGAACAAATAGGGGATGATGGTGTCTATGCTGGCCGTGATTTTGGAAGAGCAAAGAAGCTGTAACTTTTCATAATTTAAATACCCTTGTAAAATTTTATTTTCCGATGTTCTCTTCATGGTGATGGAAACATTTGTAGCATATTTTAACTTGAATCAATCCGAATTGTAAACATAGAGGTTATTCCTTTCGCTCGGGCCACATTTTCTTATGTAATCCTCGGTCTTTCTCGGAGGATTCCTTTCCATCCTTTTGGAAAATTTTTCCATCCAACTGGTGACCGGGATGAAGTTTGAGTTGAATCAGTTGACTTGGGAGGTGAAGTTGCAGGTGATGATTGTTAAAGAAGTGTAACCATCACCAGGGTGTTGTAGTCAGGGTGATTTAGCCTACACATGTTTCGATTAAAATGCCACATTTGCATACAATTCGTACCAATTGCCAGTTGTCAGTTTGTTGTATCGTTTTATCTGGTGAGGAACTCGTCATGAGCAGATTCGGTTTGTGCGTGGCTTGACTTGATAATTGGTAGGGCCGGGATTCCACAACGTCAATAGCATCACCTACACCAACTGCTGAGTCCAGTCTTGGGCCCAGTTGCACTAGTCAGAGAAGCTCAATTGCACTGTTTTAACTAGTAACAAGCTCATGGTTTACACTCCAGTGGCTAATTAGTCAATTGATGCATCTGTGTTGTAAAATTCTCGCGTTTTCTGGTAGTTTCAAGCCATCACCTCATGAGCACCATCACGATCAGTTGGATCACTACGAGCAGCATTACCCTTCAACGTTCTCGACACCACCGGGTACCACACATTTGCTGGCCCATGATGAGAATCTGATGGGCCAACTGGTATAAATATTTCACCTTATCCCTTTATTACTCGTTCTATTACTCTGTTTTCCTATCATACATCAATTGTTTTCCAAACAATAACAAGTATTAACAACACACAAACAACACACTCATACAATGGCCGTTCAAAAAGTTTTCGCTAGATACGTCTACGATTCTCGTGGTAACCCAACAGTTGAAGTTGATTTAACCACTGACAAAGGTTTATTCAGATCAATTGTCCCATCTGGTGCCTCAACTGGTGTCCACGAAGCTTTAGAATTAAGAGATGGTGACAAATCAAAATGGTTAGGTAAAGGTGTTTTGAAAGCCGTTGCCAACGTCAATGAAATCATTGCTCCAGCTTTCGTCAAAGCTAACTTGGATGTTAAAGACCAAGCTAAAGTTGATGAATTCTTATTATCTTTAGATGGTACTCCAAACAAATCTAAATTAGGTGCCAATGCCATCTTAGGTGTTTCTTTAGCTGCTGCTAAAGCTGCTGCTGGTGAAAAAAATGTCCCATTATACCAACACATTGCCGACATTGCTAAAACTCCAGAACCATTTGTCTTACCAGTTCCATTCCAAAACGTTTTAAACGGTGGTTCCCATGCTGGTGGTGCTTTAGCCTTCCAAGAATTCATGATTGTTCCAACTGGTGCTCCAACTTTTGCTGAAGCTTTAAGAATTGGTTCAGAAGTTTACCACAACTTGAAATCATTAGCTAAAAAGACTTACGGTCAATCAGCCGGTAACGTCGGTGATGAAGGTGGTGTTGCTCCAGATATCACTACTCCAAAAGAAGCTTTAGATTTAATCGTTGCTGCCATCAAACAAGCTGGTTACGAAGGTCAAGTTTCAATTGCTTTAGATGTTGCTTCATCTGAATTTTACCACGATGGTAAATATGATTTAGATTTCAAAAATCCAAACTCAGACCCAACTAAATGGTTAACTGGTGAACAATTAGCTGACTTATACGCTCAATTAATCAAAGAATACCCAATTGTTTCTATTGAAGATCCATTTGCTGAAGATGACTGGGATGCTTGGGTTCATTTCTTAAAGACAGTTGATATCCAAATTGTTGGTGATGATTTAACTGTTACCAACCCAATCAGAATTAAAACTGCCATTGAAAAGAAAGCTGCTAACGCTTTATTATTAAAAGTTAACCAAATCGGTACTTTAACTGAATCAATCAAAGCTGCACAAGATTCTTATGCTGCTGGTTGGGGTGTTATGGTTTCCCACAGATCTGGTGAAACTGAAGATACCTTCATTGCTGATTTATCTGTTGGTTTAAGATCTGGTCAAATTAAGACTGGTGCTCCAGCTAGATCTGAAAGATTAGCTAAATTAAACCAAATCTTGAGAATTGAAGAAGAATTAGGTGACAAAGCTGTCTACGCTGGTGCCAACTTCAGAAAATCAGTTGCTATCTAAGTTATATGATTTGTTTAAGTTAGTTTTAAACGTTTTAATGGGTTTATAAATTTGTTCATGAATTATTTTATGTTATTTGAAAATTAAGAATTTGAAGTTGTAGTTTGAAATCTTTTGTAATTGATTGTTTTGTAATTTGAATCTTCTACATTTTCTATCATCAAAGTCGTATATAAATAGATGTCAAGGTATATATGTATGTATGTTGAAGTACTCAATGGCAAGCCATTGAATCGTTAATCTCACCACCATATAGGTAGTTCCCAAGAACAGCACCAAGAACAACAGCGATCATTGCCCAACCATTATATGTCATGAAAACCAACATCATCATATATGAATAGCCAACCAACAATCCATAATACACTGATTTTTGTATACGACTAACGGAGCCTATTTTAACTGGATTAGTCACACCTTGGTCTTGAAGTGAATCAGGAATTCTAACAGAGGAAACTATCAAAGAATTAGTTATTAACTCTCTCAACAAATTAACCTCTATCGTATAAAATTACTCACGTTTTGCTTCGTATCTCTTTGCTCTAGATTTGAAGAATTCATAACCAATACCAAATACCACTAATGCAACCAACGTAACAATGAACGATGTTAAGCTTCGAACATGCCACCATCTGAACACAACACATAGGTTTTTCCAATCCCATGTGAAAAGCATCTAAACATGAGAGTTAGTATATCCCATACTATTGGTGGAGGTAAACTCACATTCATATTGCACATGTCATCATCCATACCAGGCATGGAGTGGTCCATCTTGGAGTGATCCATCATTGAATGATCCATTTCTCTTTACTTGATTTGAAGTTGAATGATATCAATAAGATGAGAAGTATCCTTAAAGAATTTTATATCTTTTTAATCAGTCGGTCTTTGATCGTATCAGGTTTTGCTTGAAATTTTTCGCGAAACGTCGACGTTTGGCTTTTACTACGCGACGAGCAAAATATCAACCATTGTATTTGTCAAGAGAGTCTGATTCAATGTCATTGGTGACTTGTGTCAATTGTGTCTGCTGCTGATACGAGGCTCCTCTGTGTTCTTATGATGCTTGAAAGGATTGATGGCGAGTCGATGGTACACAAATTATGGATACACCAACAACAAGGAATTTTCAACATTAATCACTTTAAAACTAGCCTCAATTAATTAGCGTACCTGATTGAACCAAACAATAGTACCGTCATTCCAATTTCCTGTTTTTTTGGGGCTCTTATGCTGTACAGTTTCTCAATTGTTGAAGTGCTGCTTTCAGGGAAAGTTATTCATTGAGATCTCATTTGGGAATCATTTGTTCGTTTAATGCTCACTCCACCGTCAAAGTTTGAGGCAATTGGTACTCTAAAGCATCACATTTAAGAAATTTATCACGATTCCAACCTTCAAGCTCCAAATTCCTTATGGGGCGTTCAATCAATCAAATCATTTTCCTGGTCCATGTGTTTTTGCATCAGTTTTACCGAATCTAAAAGATGATGTGCCTCAGATCTCGTAAAACTCGTGTGTCTATGGTGGTTCAACAAAAGTTATCATTGATTTTCAGGTAAAATATCTTGGTTTTGTATCAAAAGCTGGTGTCGTATCTTGGTTTGTCGCTAAGTTTGGAGATCAATGGGAAAATTGAAACTTCACCGTTGCCATAGATCTGAAAAAAGCGCCTAAAAGAAACTGAAAATTTCTTTATTACACACTAAATGGTAATTCACTTGCATGAAAGGCTCCATTGAATGCTGAAAGAAGATGATTTTAAGTGATGGAAGAGTTAAATTTGATGCATGTTGGTATTTCCGAATTGGGAACTCAATGGTGATTTTTAAAGAAAGGTCTTTTTTGAAAACCTTCTATTCAACACTTGGGGCAACTTACAGGCCTGAGCTCTATTCACAGTGTTTCATGGTATTAGCTTTGCATGATAATTGTTAGGCTTTGTATTCAAGTTTTGAAATATATAAAGATGCTTTGAATTCCTTTCAAATCAGATTCAATAATGTTTCAATTTATCATCAATCAATTGAATCCTTTTATCAATCAACACTCTTTTATCAACAATGAAATTCTCAACTGCTTTCGTTTATGCTTTTGTTTTAGCTTTAGCTAACAATGTTTTCGCTGAAGAAACCCCAGCTAACCAAGAAGAAGAACAAGTCGGTACTTCAAAAGGTGTTGAATTCCCATTCTCTGATGATGCTATCATTGAAGCCGTCAACTTAGGTTCTGACATTGCTCCAATTGTTTTAGATGATGCTGTTTACTTTATTAACACCACCATTGCTGAATCTGAATTATCAAAATTATCCAAGAGAGATGCTGAAGCATGGCAATGGAGGGTCTGGAGAAATGGCCAACCAATGTACAAGAGAGAAGCTGAACCAGAAGCTGAAGCTAATCCATGGCAATGGAGGGTCTGGAGAAATGGCCAACCAATGTACAAAAGAGAAGCTGGACCAGAAGCTGAAGCTAATCCATGGCAATGGAGGGTCTGGAGAAATGGCCAACCAATGTACAAAAGAGAAGCTGAACCAGAAGCTGACGCATGGCACTGGAGAACCTGGAGAAATGGTCAACCAATGTACTAGGTTATGTTTCTCCTTTGATGGTTTGGATTGGATTTTTTATTATCTCTTTTTACTTTTATTATCTTGTGTGTCTCCTATCCATGGTTCCTTTGCCTTTTGTCAAAAATACTTTCAATCAATTTCAACCTTCTTTAAACGTTTATTTTCTTAATATTTCATCTTTTTCTTGATATAATTAATGGACTTTTTTACTTTTTAGTTTCAGAAATCAGTAGTACTGCCTTTTCCAATTGAACTTGGAATTCTTCCTGGTAAAGTATCACCATCCCAAAGATGTAAGATCAGTCACATCACCGCAACACTAGTGTTACGTCTATTGTTAAAGAAATCATTTTTTGACAGCGCCTAGTAAATTTATAATGAGTAATAATATGAAAGCTTCTAATAATTTGTGTCTTAAAGGTACTTGTGCTTTTATTTTACGCTCATAGGTCGAGTGTATATTGAAGCGACAGATAGTACATATCAAAATCGAAACCTCTCATATATGAACCTTAGAATAAGTATTCTGATATCTCGCAAAGACGCTATTCGTCCCAAATGTTATATTGCCTACGTCGAAAGCATCTGATGTACATCCCATGGTGCTCACTTTAAGCATACTGTCAATTTTGACGGGTTTCTCAAAGACATAAATTGTAGGTGTATTTAATTGGGTTTTATAATAAACATGCCAGGCATGGCATTACTTCCACTATGGATATTATGGAGAGGCTCAAAAAATGATTCAGTTTCAGCTAATTGACCAATTATTACTACATAAATATTATAAATTGACTAGAAAATGAAAAAAAAACCTTCCACTCAAATATCTCATTTTCAAGCACGATTACTCAACACACTTTGCCAGATACTATATATATTAAAATTTCTCATTCATCATAAAACTGAATTCTCTGCAAGATAAATGTATGTTTGGGGTGTTTCAAGAAATTTTCTAGATACAGAATATTAATACCCTTATTTGTATTATAGATTAGAGATATATACGTCGTTAAAATTCTTAAAATTTCAAAAGTGAAAATAAAAAGGCTAAATCAAACATGAATTATACCTCATTATAATCTTTGGAAGCTGAAGAATATATACATATATTTTATTTATATTGTGTCATATAATGTTGTTTCGTTATTTACGTTTGAAAAGTCAGTCATGTGATCAGCGACAATTTGCACTGGGTAAGCCTTTTTGGGATATATTCGGTGAAGTGAAAATACAAATCGGGAAATCTCGTCAGCTTTTGCAAAAACTTTGCTGATTTTTTGGCGCCGATAAATAAAAAAACAAACAAAGAAAACGCCAAATACTGGAAACAATACAGTCCTCTAACTTCAAACTTCATCAAACAAAAATGATAAAAAATTTGATCTAGATTCAGCTGTTACTATTCGATGTCGTGATGATCGCGAAACATGCTCATTGATCAGCCAATACTTACATTATTATGTATTTTTAACAAGTTTTTGTGTGACTAGACAGCACAAACCTATGAAAAGATCATATAATTTTGGTTGTTTCTTAGTTCAAATGTTTTTAGTAAGTGCATTTGTGGTTTGTTGCTGGTGGAACCTATTATTGTCTCTATCCTTTTTGTGGCAGTTAATTTGATATACGATATACGTCACTGAAGAGTTTTATCGTTTTTGTGGTTGCCTATAGAAATTTACATTGTTTTGGGTTTGTGGTCATGTACACAAAGATGAATTACTTAGGAAAATAATTCAATTACTATGGTGTTTGTGGTTTGTGGTTTGAGGTTTTGTGGTTGCTTTGGGTTTTGTGTCAACTGGTGTCGAAAAGGTTAAAAGAAGGTCGAATCCCAGATCACTTGTATCCTTCTACAACTCTTAACTCACTGTTGGTTTTTTCATTCATCATTCATTTTCATTCATTTTCAGGTAGCAAGCTCATGAACAACATTCCCTTGATATCTGTTGAAGATTCACAGTTCACTTTGATGGTTAGAAAGGTTATTATTTGTCATTGAATCTAGTTTCTTTTTGAGAAACGTTATCCTTGTTTGATGGGTTACTATTATGAAGGTCAGTGGTGGACTTGATTGATAGGAAGCATACTTTGATACACTACCCCCATTGAAAGGTTTGAGAGTTTATTCTTTTGAATTTAGTAATTGGGTTTCATTGTTGCCTTGAACTTATATCTACAATTATGGGAGGATTCTTGATGAAATTATTTATAACTTTTTATTCCAAATAACCTAGGATGACTATTATGTTTACATGACTCTGATGATTTTGAAGAACTTTCCCCCAGCCTCTTTGTTTTTCCATAAAATCACTGATGATTGTTTTCATATGTTGTTCTTGTTCTCGTGTTTCAAGATATCATCCCCCAATGGTGTTTTGTTGTTTCGTTGACTTCTACCCCAGGCCATCATTCATTGTTCATTTCCAGTTCTTGTTTTTTGGTATTATCAACTTACTCTTTTATTATTATTTCATTATCAATCATTGTGATGTTCAATTACTAACTTTTTTTCCAAAGTTATTTATTCATTATTTTCTGTTCATTTCCAATTATTGCTTTTTGGTATCATCCTTTACCTGTTTTTTTTCTTTTTCATGATCAATCATTGTGATGTTCAGTTACTAACTTTCATTAACAGACATTTATGTTTGTGTTGCCATTTCATTTTGAGGTTTTATTGCTGACTTTCCATCGTTGTTGTGTTACACCTGTTTACTGTTCATTGATTTTTTTTTCCATGTTGTTACAAACTTTTTTTTTAACATTGTCATTACACTTGTTTATTTTATTTTCCATTTGATTGTCGGCGCTTACATCCGTAATGAAGACAACGACGTATCTACACGGGCTGAATGCCTCACTCGCTTGAAAATTATAATAAAAGATTAATTATATATAAAGAGAGATCAACTACATGCCATAAACCTTTATGACATCAAGATGAAAAATAGGTGAAAATGACTGAGATCAACCAATCAGTAAGTTTCAATTGTCACAAACAGTTCCAATCTAATACAAACTATCAATGAAAGATCCAGCCATAAAAAACACCTTCGTTATTATCCCCAGACGACAATCTAATAACAACCGAATCATCTTCCACATCAGACAAGGCCCTTGCCTTTCAGTTTCATCATCAATTGAAATCATCAATATCATTTGTTTGAATGGAATAACAACTAGAGATCAACTGATCTATTAGTATTAGGTTTCAAGTTCTTTTGCTTTTGCTTAATTTTTTTTTTTTTTGGTTTCATTGTAAACTTCTTAAGACTTTTGACTAGTATCAAAGAAAACATTATTCTACCAATAAATTGGCATCTTGACTGACTCAATACTATTCCCGCACTACCAGGAAAATGAAGCAAGCAATGAACTCCCATCAACATCATCATCAAAAGCTGAAAAATTCCGAAATCATAACTTCATCAATTCTCACAAGTTTCCAGGAATCATAAGTACATCTAAATGTAGTCCTCCCAATTGACTTTGAACATCTATTCACTCATTGAAACCTTTAAAATGAAAACATGTAGCAAAAATCTCCATTATGTTCCCCTATTCCAAAATAATTCAAAAAGAATACAAATCACCATGAAGAACTGAACCTAATAAGCCCGGATAAAAAAGTAAAAAGGAAATGAAAAACCCAATGACAAATGATAATCCCCCAGTACCCATACTCAATAAAAGTGCCCCAGTTCCCACAATGAAAAATAAAATGCCCCAGATCCCACAATGAAAAATAAAATCCCCCAGGTCCCATAATGAAAAATAAAATCCCCCAGATCCCACAACAAAACTTGAATAAATCAAGAAGTGACAAAGTTTAAAACAAAAGTTTGAAACAAGTCCAAAGGTGTAAGTCAATTCAAAGAAAGAACTAAAGCTCAGTTTTATTAAATGATTTTGATTACTACACTCTCCAGTCACTCACGTTCTACCGCCATAGAAGTGTCGAGATTGTGGTCCTGGTAGTCTACTCTTTTTGATTCTGTTGAAGCTAATTGTTGTCTAGAGCAAGGGAACTACACGTGAAATAAATAGAGTGTACAAGACAGCTTAGATTCATATTAGGTTATTAAAACTAACTATTGGAATAGACATTCATAGAAGTGGTCTCTTCATAAAACTATTGAAAGAAAGAACACTCACATACAACACTTTTTATCATTATTTTCACTATCGGACCTAGTGGTGCAAGTAATAGGTTCATAGTTGAAGATTATTCTTCCAAATAGAGCACCTAAAATACATGAAATAATGATGTAACCATTATAGTACATGAATAGCAACATGATAATATATGATTGACCCCATTGGATAGTGAAAATTAAACTTCTGATCAAATGTTCAACAAAACTTGGGTAGGCTGCACTGAAACTAGAACCTTTTCTGAAATCCCAGAACCAATTATGACTTAAAGTATATAATATTGGCTGAAGAAGATTTGAAAATGCAGTGTTTTCTGGGAAAAACATCAAGGCTTGTGAATCATTTGACCCAACCTCACTTCTCGTGATTGAGGCTTCTTTTTCAACATTATCAATTGAAGAATCTGATGGCTCTGATTTCTGTAAATGTAAAGTTTTTCTTCTAGCAATAGCTGCATCATATTCACGAGCAACTCTGTGTAGCCACTGTGCAGATAAGACCAAGAGGAAAACACCAATACAAGATCCTGCAAATTGACCTCTGGTGTTCACATGCCATGATCTTGCAATGAAACACGAATCAATTGTGTACCAATTCCACAGCATCTAACAAAATGGGGCCTGTTAATCACATTGTTTGAAAACAACTTACTGACTGAATACATACTGATATCTTGCAACTTGGTTTTGAAGATGCAGAGCTACCGCTCATTCCTCCCATGTCCATTTTGTTCACGACATTAAGTGCCTCTTCAATATTGTAACTTGCACCATCGTTATTGACATATGTCATCTTTAAGCTTTATAAAGGAAATGATATCTTTTAAGATCTTCATAAAAACAAACCAAATAGAGGAATAAGAGAAACTGGAGCCAATTTATACCTTTCCAAAATGCTTCATTGTTCCAAACCCTGTCTTAAAATATTTCACCAAACTCAATTCATTCGCATTTAACATAGTCAACAAAATCAGCAGATATACCAAAAAAGCTTTCCACCCAATAATAATTCTCCAAATTCCCAACTAACCTTGGAATTATTTCGGTTGTATTACTTTTAACTATTCAGGTGTTTGAAAAAATGCTCAATCACGAGCAATTATTTCCAGGGTAGTACAAGTTGAAGCGCGAAAGGCTAACAAAAGATTTATAAAGATCTAAAACGATGATTATAAAAAATACGAGCAAAAAAGTCCAATCCTTTATACAATCTCTTAAACCGTTAATGGAGATGTTGTTATGACTTTATATTGGTGAATAAGTCTGTCATTTGATGGGTTTCTACATCTTGAAGAAGTTTTTCAAAATAATTTACAAAATGTGTATCTTTTACTCCAACAAATTGAAATGAATCAATCAGTTTCCATTCTATCTTCATTTGCTCCTTCATCACCTGCAGCATCTTTAACTTCTTCATCCTTACTTTCTGGGTTAGCACCGTCATCGTTATTGTTATCATCATTATTATCATCATCACCAGCACCTCCGGAGCTTCTAGCATTTGAAGTTGAATCCAAGCGATCCAACCAAGGTTGAACGTCATCATCATCAAATAATGTAAAAGATGTATCTTTACCAACAACAGCAATTGATGTGTTTTTACTATTCAATTCTTTATCTTGTGCTAATGTATCTCTTAAAGCATTCAAACCATGAACAATCAATTCATCTTTAGTTGCATTGGTATAACTCTCAAAGTTACGTTCCAAATAAGTTCTACCAGCTTGTGATCTGGCACCAATAGCAGCACCAACATATTCCAATACTGATCCAGATGGTTGAAATTCAAACAAATGTGCACCAGTTTCATCATAACCGGCAACTAATAGACCAACACCATATGGTCTACCACCGTAACTCTGTGTGTTCTTTTGTGCTTTATCTGCTAATAGGTTTGATGCTTTCTCCACTGATAATGGTCTATTGTACACCATTTTTTGTGACATGGCTTGTTCACGCAAGAAATTTGATAGAACTCTAGCATCTGGTGCTAAACCAGCTAATGCAATACCTAAATGATCATCAACTGTGATTATTTTCTTTTGATATGAACCCAATTCTTCTGCATTTCTCTAAACCAATGTTAGTAAAATCATCCATGACCAATTCAACATTTCTCAAACGTACCTTTAATGCCACCAAAACGACATGTTCTTTTGTAGCTAGCCCCACAACAGCACTACCTTGTTTTATAGCTTCTAATGCATATTCAACCTATCAGGATTTAGTTAGTTGGTGTCTCAATTCTTATAAATCTGATTATGAACATACTTGAAATATTCTACCTGTTGGAGAGTAAGTGACAGTATCACCATCGTAATTATTTCTAAACTAGAGGTCAATTGGTTAGTTGGGGCCGCGTAAAGTGAAATTGACATTGAAATCATCCAAACTTACCATCCTTCTTTAGTCTAAACTATGTTGTTGACTTTATTTGTTGATGTTGTTGATGTTTTCCCAATTGCCACTTTCAATTTCTGATTCGAACGAAGATTTCTAAAATTCCCTAGTCTGCCAAACCTGACCGGTTCAAGTGTGGGCATACCGATTTGGATTTTTTCATACAAAAAGATCACTACTACAATGCTGCGGAACGATAAAAGGATTGTGAAGTTAATGGAGTGTAAGAAAGTCCAAGGTTATTGATTTTACTTCAAGGATACTTTAGAGATTATTAATAAGAATGCCGAAACTGTTTGGGAATCCATTGTCAAAGATAATAGCGTTGTCATTAGTGCTGGCAATAGGGTTTTTGCTGGTGATTCTAGGTAGCACTTTATACAACAATTGGTTACCAATTATATCTGGTGAGTTGAATTTGAACCTCTAAATTGACTGATTTTAACAACTTGGATAGCATTTATACTACTGGTGGCACACCTGCCTATTGTTTTTTGTAATAGGTGGTCTAATGATGATTTTATGAGTGAGACTTCAACGTGAGTACTGAATAATTCAAAACCCCATTGCACTGGACCATTTACTAACTATTTAGATATGTTGTTGATTTTGGAAAGTTTTTATCTGCATTTTTACTGATATCAGGATTGGGTAAGTTGAAAATTATTTACATTTTAAAGCAAGTTTGCTAACTGAACAATAGGATTCTCGTTAGTTTTACAACACTCCCACGTCATAAGAACACCAGCAGCTATACTATCCATAATTGGTGGAGTATTGATATATGGTACTGTTGTCCTGTTTACTTCGTTTTTTGATGACTCCGAAGATGATGAATTTGCAATTTGAAGTTTGAAGATTACAAGAAACACACGTATGAATATTCTAAAATGCATGGATTTTGAGATCTCAATAAATACAAAACTTCATAACGTTACTGAAATTATTTCTGACCGTTGATTGTAGCGACAACATTTCTTGTATGTTGATAATCACGGAATTCCAATAGATAGATTCCTTGCCATGTACCTGTTGCTAAGCGACCGTTTGAGATTGGAATAGTTAAATCAGTACCAACAACTAGAAAAATGTTAGTATTCTCAACTTGCAAAATTAACAAAATTATTACTTACGGGTTGATTTAATATGTCCTGGCATATCATCTGGACCTTCACCAGCCGAGCTATGGGCATAATGGGTTCCCTTAACATCATCTGGAACTAATTCATTCAAGGCCAAATTCAAATCTTGTCTGACATCTGAATCCCAGTTCTCATTTAATGATAATCCAGCACTTGTATGTTGTAAAAATAAATGTAGTACACCAACTTTATAATCTTTCAATTCTGGTAGGGCATTTATTATTTCTTCAGTGATAAGGTATGCACCTCTTGATCTAGATTTAAGTGAGATCTTCTTTTGATACCAGCTCATTTTGAATATATTCTAGTTTGTCAATTGGCTTTTAAAATTAGTGAATGAAGATGGAAAGAATGGAATAGCAAATAAGTATTGAGGAAATGTAAGCTCGTGAGCGTATACGTCTGACTTTTTTCGCGAACGTCAATTCCGATAATTTCGACCAATTTTGTTTTTCCGAGGGCTCGTAATGTTGATAAGAAAGCGACGGAGTTGCCCATTGAAGTTGGGTATAAAACCATCAAACAAACCATATAGAACTCAGGTAATGAGATTCTAGATCAAGTGATAGGGAGATTCAAAGATGGTTCTAAAGACATATGATACTACTGGGAAGAAAGCTGTTGTGACTAAACAATTAACTCCAAAATCATTTGCAAAATTTGGAGATATAATTTCAGCAGATCATCAAATTGGTTTAAAAGAACAATCAAGTGCAAATTATGGTACAGCTGTTAAAGTTCATAAAGTTGCTAAGGTAATAAATAATTCATCAAATGCCAAGTCAGGCGTGAAGGCTCAAGCTAATTGGAATATATTTAGATGTTCACCGCCAAATCATTTATTTCAAAAAAATTCAGATGGGAATATTGTATATCTTTCAAAAGTTTTAGAAAGACATCCATATAGCACCCAAACATTCTTGCCTATGGGTGTTGATAAGGAAAAAGATGCATATATTGTTATATGTGCTAAATCAAGAAAAGGCATGTGATATTTGGAATTTGTATTGATATGACCATACTAACACTCAGAATAGAAGATTCATTACCTGATCCAGATACCTTAGAAGCTTTTATATGTAAAGGGAACCAAGCTGTGACATATGGTGCAGGTGAGTAATCAATTTTAGAATCAATTTAATAATGACACTAACATATCAGGAACATGGCATGCACCAATGGTTTCATTAGTTGATAACCTTGATTTCGGTGTATTGATACACGAGAATGGAATAGCAGATGAAGATTGTCAGGAATGTTATTTTGAACCTGGTTATAATGTTGTTATTAAGAGCCATCTGAGCTCAAAATTATAGAATCGTTGCATTATTCTTCAAGTGTAGTTGGAAAGGTATCTGAAATTCTTGTGTGTGGCTCCCAGAAGTTCCACGTTGAAACTTTAATATTTTGAAGGCAAACTGGAATTTGTAAGTTGTGACTTGGATTCATAGCGTTTAAATCAGGGAAAAGGTGAGATTTGGGCTTAACAGTTGCTAAAATGACCGTTCTAGAGTTAAATATTTGGGTTTTAACCTTGAGCTCCATATATTCCCGTTACACTTCAGTGGACGACTTGTAGATGAACTAGTTACAGAACTGATATTCAAAAAGTTCTCAAAACGACTAAATCAAAGCAAAGTAGATTCATGATCTCAAAGACCCTTTTTATTAATTAAAAACAGTTAGTTATGTAATTCGAAATGTTTATGTCTCACCATCAAAAGCTCATCGCCAGCCATGATGCGGTAGGCACACACCCCTCACCAATTTTTTTTTATATGACACTTGCGAACAAAAATTTCACGTTTCAGGAAAAGATTCTCGATACAGAGGTTACTGCTGTTTCTATATTTATTGGACATTATTCGATTTGATATAAAATCAGACACGGTTGCCATCCAAGGAAAGTTCTTTCAAACCTGTCACTTTTACATGCCACTAAATTCTTCACAAACAAAGAATAATATACTCAAGATGATGGAAACAATACACCAAAACTTAGTCAACCAACTGTCAGAGATGGCTATTGGTAAGCCTACATTCTCACCACATCAACAAATAAATAGTACAGGTGAAGTCACAGTTAAAAAAGGTTCAGGAAAGACAAAAGTCCGTAAAGGTCAAACAGATGAAGAGTATGAATATCAAAAAAATGAGTTCCGTGCCACTGGTCCTGTTTTAAATACAAAGAATTGGTTGGAAGAATTAGATTTATCCAAAATTGATCCAAATGTTAAAAGTGATCGTGCAAAATTAGAAAATTTGACGGAAAGATTGTATTTCAAAAGAGATTATGCTAAATGTTTGGAAACTACTGTTTTTGCCTTGAAATTATTTGAATCATTAAATCAAAAAAAGATACAGAATGAGATTGAAGAATTAACGTATTTGAAAGATTCTTGTTCAAAGAAGCTGGGAAATTCAAATGAAAAAGAACTTTAAGATTCTATTCCCCCCAAACAAGCTAATGATATATAACGACCACTTTTCATGACATGCATTATAATTTATCAAAACAAAATATTCAATATTTATACTATCAATACAAAAGCGTTTTCCTTTTTGTTTCACTCAAAATCATTGTCCTTGTATATATGTAGCTCAACAGCGGATACTTTTCTCTTTCTATAGATAGTATCATGATCTAAATCTTCATCATCAAATTCATCCAGCACTTCCACCGTCTTGGTAAGAATATCAACTTTAGCACCTTCATCAACTTGAAAGAATACACCAATACTTAATGTTTTCTCAATAGCAGCACCCATCCCTAACACTGTTATATATTCAAATTTTGGTTGTTTCTTGGGTAGATTTGAAAGTAGTTTTTTCGTTCTTTTTATTGCTGAAATGTATGGAGTTGAAGCCTTGATATGAATAGTTGTCTCTAGATCAGAGTATTTGAAATGTTTGGAAGGATTGTGCCTTATATGCTTACCTTCGAAACGAGGTTGTTTAGTAGGATTATCACTCATGACTATTGATTTTGGTTTCTAAATATCTTCACTCAAGTTGATCAAGTTCAACTACTTTAAGCATCTACAAAATTTTGAGAACCGTGCCCACAATCACAGAACACATTCGCGAAACATCAACACTTGTAAAATCCAGAATTTGAATTTGATTTACCAGCGCTTAACCAACTACAATGTTCTACTGAAAGGTTCTTTAGAGTTGGTGATAGGTGATTATGGAGAAAAGACCAAGCACTGAACCGCAGAATCCCGAGAAGCCAGGGTCTGCTTCAGATCATAACAATAGTATGATCACAGCGGTAAGCGCTGATAGAGATACAGAGAAATCGTCAAGTCCAGTTACAAGTCCAATGATCCATAGAAGGGAAATCATGGGTGTTAACAAGAACGCTGAGACTAGGTTCAATGAAGCTGTTTCTTCAAAGTCAAAAGAATTGATCTCATTAATGAATGAAATTGTGCAAATGACTGAATTAAAAGATCAAACTTTACAAATTTTTGTTGATGAACAAGGGGGAAATATCCAGAAAAAGAAGTTTGATTGGAGGGCTTTAGTGGAAATGTCTGAATCTATCTTCAATGATTATTCTAAAGATATGGAAAACATTACCAAAGAATTTGATGAATTGAATAAAGTTCGATTATACCCTTGATGTACTAACTTTTCAAAGCAATACTAACTCATCATTTAGGAGCTATTGATTTGGCAAGAGTCTGCTTATATTTTGGATAGTGAAAAAGTTGCAAAAAGACTTGGGAATCAGAAAGAATGGATAAATTCCAAAGAGGCTTACTTAAACCATACAAGAAATGAACTTGTCAAATCAGCCCAATTGATTGATAATGCAATCAAGAATCTAAAACAGGATGGTGGTAATAAAAGTGACAAACCAGCCACATAATTCACAACTACAACTAATCTAATTCAAAATACCATAAATCTTCGTTAAAATAGTTAAATATTATTACTGTATAAATCATGCATGGGAAACGGGGGAAACAAAAAAATGCTTCAAAATGAAATAAATATAATCTTTTGCAACTTCTTGATTTGTCTATAAATTATTGAATTTAGTAATCCCAATATTTGTCAACTCCTTAAATTTCATATCATCAATAAATCGAACATTTTTAACAAGGTGCCATATTGATGAATCTAATTTATTATAATTTTCAGAAATTTCCACAATCGGATCATGTCTTGATTCAAAATGTTGAGTTTCTAAAATCTTTGCCGGATCTGTTGGTTTTTCCAATTGATTCCAATTTTTCAAACGATCTCTTAATTCTTGAATTTTAGAATTTGATTGTCTTTGATTAATAACATAAGACATTGGTTCACCATATTTTGAAACCAATTGTTTAACATTATCTAATTTCCTCATTAATTCACCTTGTGATAATATCATATTTTCATCAACTATTTCATTCAGGAATTTCGAAGCATCATTATAACGAACCGGTGAACTATCTGTAATTTTGTCCAGTTCAAACCCTAAAATAATTGATAATTCATGTCTTAATGAATCTGGTGTCATTGTTTCAAAATTGAAAAAATAATAATTCAAATCAATGTTTTTAATAATGTTGTAAAGATCTTCAATGTTTTTAAAATTTTTAGATAATAGTGTAGTTAAGAAATTATTTTGTTCAATTGAAACAATTTCTTCACTTATAAAGACATTTTTCTGATTATATTTCAATGCAGAAAGAACAGAAATTGGATGAGGAATTGAAATCAAATTTAATGCTTTTGAATCAAAATTCAATTCATTTGTAATTTCCACTTCTAAATCATTTGAACACATGTTTCTTGTTGCTGTTTTTGAACTTGAATACAATTCCTCCAATAATTTATCCATCCTGGTGACATATTCTAAATCAGAATCTGGTGTGATTGGATCTGGTAATCTTTCTTTTAAATTTTTTTCAAAATTTTTCAAAAAATGTTTAGTTGGTGGTGTTATTATAAATTCTTCACATTTTGTTAATGTCCTCAAGATTGAAAAAATTGGTCTGAAGAAATAATGATCTGATAATGCTAATGGATCCACAATATTAATTTTGGAAAACCTGTTTGTTAATCTATATGCTCTTAAATGTTGATCCAAAATCTTGGGTATTTTCTCCACTAAAGTTTTGATGTTTTTGTTATTCAACAATTTGGCAAAAGTTTTCAATGAATAATCTGCAAATATGCTATTAAATTTATCAGTTTCCAAAATCTCGAAATCTCTATTTTTAGAAATCAACGAATCCAAAATTTTAGAAATTGAAGATGAATCAGATGTAATCAATTGGAAATCATAATCTTCAAACAATGTAAAGCCTTGGAAATCTTTACATGTAAGCCTTAGGTCACTCAACACTGAAGAATGTCCAACCATTGGGAAGATTGTATAATCTGAATAAAACCCAGAAATACCGGATTCTGGATCCATCTGTAAACTTTTATTCTCCCAAGCTAACAACTTCATATAATTCTCATTGATTTGATTGTTTTTATTAAACAAGATTCTTTTATTAACAAATTCATCCATCTTGGGATTGCTAACAGCATCATTATAATGTAGGATATTAACTTTAAAACCCAGGGAATCATAGAGCATAATCCATTTTTTCAACATTGCTTTATGGAAATTTTGTTCTTCAATTGATAATTTACGTATTTTTTCATCATTGAAGAATGTGAACACTGGACAAAAATTATTCATATCATTATTTAATCTCTTCTGTAATTCTTCATCATGGAATAAATTTTCAATGGGTACAAACTTGAATTGATTATCCGAATCATCTGAAGTACCACCAAATGTGTTTCTGAACGTTGCTGGGTTATAAGTGTTGTAAATTGCTGTGTAGTCCATATCGTTGTTCCTAAACACCAAAAGATATATTAGCACCAACGTGACAGATATGATGGTGCTCGTCAGGAGTCTGCTCAAGGACTTTTGGTTGAGTTTGAAATTAAATATCATGGTTTGGGGGTATATCTATAATGGGGGTGATGTCTCTCTTTGAGTGGCTCTCTCTGCAGGGCGATGGTGTTGTTTGTTGAAGGTGGAATGCAGCACTCCACGGGCTGTTTGGTTTTATCTTGTGTCAGCAATAAAAAAACTGGAGATGTTGTCAGGATTTTGACTGGAGGAGATGGGAGGTGTGTAGTTGTAAAGGTGTGATCCTATGAGGAGGTGTGCTATGTGCTGGTGACTATTTCGTGTTCTTTAAATCTTTAATTCCATCAAAAAGGTGTGTTTTCATCCAGCAAAACAATACGGGTACTAATTCAATTTGTTGATGTTGTTGATGCTCTTCGGTGCTGGAAAAAACAATCGATCGAGATCTGGCTTTTTGGCTGGTGTGGTGCGTACCGGTGCTTTTTTTAGAGGTGAAAATTATTTGAGATGAGTTTTAACAGGAACAGAGAGCCTACGTTCCACAGTCAAGAGATGGTGTTTGGAACGAGAGTGCTCTGGAGTGGTGCTAAGAAAGTGGCCAGCAGTGCTGCTGCGAAGAGCGACAAACCGACTTTCCTGATCGTGACATCCATAGGGAACCCAGACAAGGACTATGCTGGATCAAGACACAATACTGGGAAGCTGCTGCTCCAGATGACGAGACACAAGTTCTTCCCTCACCCAAAGCTAAGAGGTGTCGAGTACGCTGTTGACTTGGAAAGACCGAATGTTCTTTACTTGCAGACATTGAACTATATGAATGTCTGTGGTGTCGTTGTTAAACCAGCATGGCACTTGTTTTCACGTTTGAAATCCATTGATTATAACGTTCAATATGCTGTGGTACACGATGAATTGAGTAAAGACTTAGGTGAAGTTCAATTGAGAAGCGGTAAAGCCAGTCCGCGTGGTCATAATGGGCTAAAGAACATCAGTAAAATGTGTCATGTTGAATATCATAGAATAGGAATAGGGATTGGTAGACCTGAATCAAGGGATCCTTATGATGTTGCTGACTATGTGCTAGGTGTTCAATCAAGACATGAGAGACAAACTCTTGAACAAGAGTCTTTCCCAAAGATGATGAAGATTATTGATGATTTGAGAAACTCATAGCTTCCTAGGAATAATGATCTAGTTAAATGAGGGACTAGAGAAAGGAATAGATGAACATGGTGTATATAAGAATAAAAAGAATATTTGTATATAGCTATCTTCGATGTATGCACGGGTTCTTCATTGGCTCTTGACAGGGTCCTTTGATACCAGCCCAAAAAAGCAGCAAATTGCTGGAGAATGAAGAGCTCTTCACCACCAACACAACCAACAACAAACATCAACTTCACCACCTAAAACACACTTTCAAATCTCAGATAAACTTGTCACCGCTTAAACAAATCGCGCTCGGAACAACTCTTGCTCCCTTTGAAGCCGACACCCGATGATATGTAATATTTTTTTCTTTTGGCACCGCATGGGAACAAAATTTCATAGGCAAAAAACCCAAACAAACTACTATCAAAATCAAGAATCATAAACAACTTCATAAGCCAACCGTTTGGATAAAACTGCCATACTTCAATTTCAGCTAACGCGCTTGAAAGTAAAGCTGCTGCTCGAGAAACACAGGTACAGTGAGTTAAAGGCAGCGATGAAGAAAAGAGTCTGAAGTTGTGCCTTGAAAGGCTGGTACTGTAATGTTGTTGGGTTGACATGTTGCAAGGGTAATGAGAATGAGAAGCAATATCAATCAATCTACATGGAATACACTTTAGCACAACTTCAGCAAATAGACTTGATATAATCAAATACTAACTACCTATAGAGCGACTTTGATGAAAAATGGGTGTTGCTGAAACCATTCATGGTTGGTTTGTAAAGCCCCGAGTATTGGAACCAAGAACGGTTTACTTCAACCAAGAATTACCACCTTCAGAGATTGATCAAAAGTCTCATAGACCATTGAAAATATATGATAAGAATGAAATTAGAACTACAAAATATACTCCATTCTCCTTCATTCCCAAAAATTTGTTTTTCCAATTCCAAAATATTGCAAATGTTTATTTCCTCTTCTTGATTATTTTAGGTGCTTTCCAAATCTTTGGTGTTCAAAATCCAGGTCTGGCTGCTGTTCCATTATGTGTCATTGTTGTTGTTACAGCTATTAAAGATGCATTTGAAGATTCTAGAAGAACAATAAGTGATTTAGAGGTTAATAATAACCCAATTTCAATTTTACAAGGTGTTGAAAATTACAATGTTGATGAGAAAAACATCCCGTTCCGTTCAAAATTAAGTAATTTCAATTCATCAATTTTCGTTTGGATCTTGAACACATTTGGTAAATTGTTTAAAAAGAAACAAATCATTGATACTTCAACTGAACCAAGAGGTTCTTTAGAAACTTACCATTCATCACTGAGACCAAGTCTTGATAACACAAATACAAATGATATCCCAGCAGGAGTTGATCATATTTTAAATAAGAACCAAACTAATGCATCACAACCAAGGTTTAAGAAAAGTTATTGGAAAAATGTTAAAGTTGGTGATATTGTTAGAATCCGTAATAATGAAGAAGCTCCAGCTGATGTCATTGTCCTATCAAGTTCTGATCCTGATAATAGATGTTTTATTGAAACTAAAAATTTGGATGGTGAAACCAATTTGAAATCTCGTCAAGGTTTGAAATCTACTTCCCAACTAAAACATGCTAGAGATTTAGCACAATGTAACTTCCATATCAAGAGTGAAGCACCAAGTATGAACTTGTACAACTATCAAGGTTCTCTAAATTGGGAAGATAATGAAAAAAGTGATTCTAGTGATGAAACCATCAATATCACCAACATGTTGTTAAGAGGTTCAACTTTAAGAAATACAAAATGGGCCATTGGTATTGTGATCTTCACAGGTCATGAAACGAAAATCATGTTAAATTCAGGTATAACACCTTCCAAAAGATCAAGAATTTCTAAAGAGTTAAATCTTTCAGTCTTGATCAATTTTGCATTATTATTCATCCTTTGTCTTGTTTCCGGTATTGTTAATGGTACTTTTTATGATCGGAAAGACACTTCATTCAAATTTTATGAATTCAAAGCTTATGGTAGCACCCCTGCAGTGAATGGTATCATTTCATTCTTTGTTGCTGTTATCTTGTATCAAGCTTTAGTGCCAATTTCGTTATACATCTCTGTGGAAATTGTGAAAACTTTACAAGCTCTATTCATTTATTGTGATGTTAATATGTATTACGAGAAATTGGATTATCCATGCACCCCAAAATCTTGGAACATTTCAGATGATTTAGGTCAAATTGAATATATTTTCAGTGATAAAACAGGGACTTTAACTCAAAACGTTATGGAGTTTAAAAAAGCTACAATCAATGGTAAATCTTATGGATTAGCTTACACTGAGGCTCAAATGGGGATGGATAAAAGAAAAGGAATTGACGCATCATCTGAAGCTGTTAAATGGAAAAAAGTTATAGACGAGGATAGGGACAAAATGATTCAAATATTGAAAGAATCCCCAGAAAATACTCATTTTGATCCTGAAAAATTAACATTTATTTCAAGTGAATATTTGACAGATTTGGATAACAAGGAAGATAAGGCACAGAGTGAAGCAAATCATCATTTCATGCTTTGTTTATCATTATGTCATACTGTCTTGACAGAACCATTAAAAGAAAATCCTGATCAATTTGAATTCAAGGCAGAATCACCAGATGAAGCTGCATTAGTCCAAGCTGCAAGTGATGTTGGTTTCACTTTCATTAAAAGAACGAGATCTGGTGGGATTGTTAATATTCAAGGAACTGAAAAATCATTTGAAATATTACAAATTTTAGAATTCAATTCAACAAGGAAAAGAATGAGTGTTATCACTGAATTAGATGATGAAATTTTCTTGATTTCCAAAGGTGCTGATTCTGTTATTTTTGCACGTCTTGATCCTAATGAAAATGATGAAGTTTTGTTAAACAAAACTGCTGAACATCTTGAAGAATATGCTAGTGAAGGGCTGAGAACTTTATGTATCGCTGGTCGTAAACTTTCTAAACAAGAGTATCAGGAATGGAGTAAGCAATATGATGCAGCATCTTCATCAATGGAGGATAGGGATGAAAAAATGGAGGAATTGGCTAGTGAAATTGAGTCAAATTTAGTATTGATGGGTGGTACTGCTATTGAAGATCGTTTACAAATTGGTGTTCCTGAATCTATTGAAACTTTATCTAAAGCAGGTATCAAATTATGGGTTTTAACAGGTGATAAAATTGAAACTGCTATTAATATTGGGTTTTCATGTAATTTATTAGGAAATGATATGGAATTATTAGTGATCCGTCCTGATGAAGGGAAAGATCCAAAACAAGATATGGATTCTAAATTAACTGAATATTTACAAAAATTTAACGCAACAGGTTCAATTGAAGAGTTGAAAAAGGCTAAAACTGATCATTCAATCCCAGAAGGTCAATATGCAGTTATTGTTGACGGTGCTGCGTTATCTGCCATTTTTGAAGATGAAGATTTACAAAGAAAGTTTTTGTTACTTTGTAAACAATGTAAATCTGTTTTATGTTGTCGTGTGTCGCCAGCTCAAAAAGCTTCAGTTGTGAAATTAGTTAGGGATGCACTAGATGTTATGACATTATCTATTGGTGATGGTGCCAATGATGTTGCAATGATTCAAACAGCCAATGTTGGTGTGGGTATTGTTGGTGAGGAAGGTAGACAAGCTGCAATGTCTTCAGATTATGCTATTGGGCAATTCAAATTCTTAACAAGATTGGTGTTGGTCCATGGTAGGTGGTCTTATAAACGTTTAGCTGAGATGATTCCTTCATTTTTTTACAAAAATATTGCATTCACAATGACATTGTTTTGGTATGGTATTTATAATGATTATGATGGTTCTTATCTTTTTGAATATACCTATATTATGTTTTTCAACTTGGCATTTACTTCATTACCTGTTATATTTTTGGCTGTTTTAGATCAAGATGTTTCTGACAAGGTTTCTTTAAAAGTCCCGCAATTATACATGAGTGGTATTCTAAGAAAAGAATGGTCTCAATATAAATTTATCTACTATATGATTGATGGTCTATACCAATCAGTCATCACTTTTTTTTTCCCATACTTGGTTTTCTATAAAGGTGATATTGCAAGTTATAATGGATTAAATGTTGATCATAGATTTTGGATAGGTATTTATGTCTGTCATATTTCTGTCACCTCTTGTGATATTTATATTTTGTTGAGACAATACAGATGGGATTGGCTGACTTTGTTGATTAACTCTTTATCTATCTTAGTTGTGTTTTTCTGGTCCGGTGTTTGGTCTTCATCAACTTTCTCTGGTGAATTATATAAAGCAGCTGCACAAGTTTATGGTCAAACTTCCTTCTGGGCATGTTTCTTCGTCGGTGTTTTAGTTAATGTCTTACCAAGATTTGTCTTCACCACATTAAACACTTTTTACAGACCAGGGGATATTGATATCATTAGAGAATGTGCAGTCAGAGGTGATTTTGAAGATACAGATTCAAGTAAAGCTTCATTAAGTGATGAGGAAAAAGACATTTCATCAAATAACATGACTTCAACTCTATCAAGAATGTCATTAGATAGAGTGCATACAACACATGAGATTCCAGGATTGACTCAGGCACATTCATTAGTTAAAACATTTACACAAGCATCGTCTGTTAGAAATGCTCATGACTGATGGTTGTTTTATTTTATTTGGTTTATTTGTACATTAGATACCCATTTTAGAACTTCTTATACGTTTTCATTTTAATTCATTTTCAAGAGTCTGCCTACAAATGTTATTAAACAGTTGGTTTCAATATCTCATCCTGGATTGTAGTATTAGAAACGTTGAATATGTTGAATCAATATAGGTTTCAATCCTAACCAGTGCTCAAACCTTTCCTTTCAGAGAGCGAATTCCAACTCCCGAAGGTAAAACAGAAAGTAATTTGATGGTTAAAACGTGTATAAAGTTTTGTTTTAATGTTAGACTAGAGATATAGTTCTTGAAAACTATACAGAATGAAAGCTTTTCCACTAGAAGGCCATGGTTTAACGCATTATCTTCGCTTATTTGAGCTTCATCATGGTCTCCCACTTGATAATCTCAACAATTGCGATTCCAGCACAGCTCATATATGATGATACAGAGAAGTAATAGCTGATCCATGAAATCACTATCCAATGATCTCATATAAAGAGGCGATGAACTATAGCAATTCCAACGTCTTCACTCGAATTCTTTGCTGAGCTGAGATCTGTCTGTTCCTGCCTAAAATTGTTTGCGCGCTTCGACGAGCGTAGCCTAAATTTTTCTTTGCTAGCCGCCTAAGGTGGTTACGTTTTCGTGCATTCTTCATAACCGCAACTTTGGAGATGGAGTGTATTTAAACAAAGGGGAAACCTGTTTAACCATTTTCATCTCAATTTAATTTAGAACATAATCAATTAAAACCAAACTAGAATAAACTGAAGAATAATGACAAAATATTTCAACGTGGATCATCCAGTCGCAAGTGCCCTCGAAGGTCTTGCATTGTCAAATCCAAACTTGACCCTTATTAAAGATGAGAAAGTCATCTTTAGAGAACAAACAGATAAGAGCAAAATCGCATTGATCTCTGGTGGTGGTGCTGGTCATGAACCTACCCATGCTGGTTTCGTGGGTAAAGGTGGTTTAACCGGTGCTGTCTCTGGTGAAGTGTTTGCATCTCCAAGTACAAAGCAAATCTTGAATGCTATTAAAGTCATTGGTAAAGATGCCCCAGGTGTTTTATTAATTGTTAAAAACTACACTGGTGATGTTTTACATTTTGGTTTAGCCGGTGAAAGAGCTCGTGCCTTGGGTTATGATGTTGAAGTGTTCGTTGTTGGTGATGATGTTGCAGTTGGTCGTTCAAAAGGTGGTTTAGTTGGTAGAAGAGCCATTGCAGGTACAACTTTAGTTCACAAGATTTTAGGTGCTTATGTTGAAAATTATAAACATACTTTGAAAGATGCTGTTAAATTAGCTAATGCAATTAATGACAATTTAGTCTCCATTGGTTCTTCATTAAATCATGCTAAAGTTCCAGGTCAAGAATTTGAATCATCATTGAAAGACAATGAAATGGAATTAGGTATGGGTATTCATAATGAACCAGGTGTCAAAGTTTTGAGTCCAGTTCCATCAGTTAAAGACTTACTCAAAGAACAAATCTTACCAAAATTATTAGATCAAAGTGATAAAGATCGTGCATTTGTTAATTTTGAAAAAGGCGATGAAGTTGTCTTATTAGTTAACAATTTAGGTGGTGTTGCAAACTTGACATTACAAGGAATTGTTAAAGTTGCTTCTGACTTGTTGAAATCTGAATATGGTATTGTTCCTTCACGTACTTATAGTGGTACTTTGATGACTGCTTTAGATGGTGAAGGTTTCAGTATAACTTTGTTAAACATCACTAAAGCCAACAAAGCTGCTCAATTAGGTTTCAAATCAGTCATTGATCTATTAGATGCTGAAACTGAAGCTTCAGGATGGCCAGTAAAGAAATATTCAAACAATGCACCAGATTATGACGCTTCATTAATCAAAGAAGGTTCAGATAACATTCAACAAGCTGGTACTTTTGACTTTGACCACTTCTCCAAGATCCTAAAAGCTGGTGTTGAAACATTAGTTAAAGCAGAACCTGAAATCACTAGACTAGATACAAAAGTTGGTGATGGTGATTGTGGTACAACTCTAGTTTCTGGTGGTAATGGTATTGTGGAGAATCTATCAAAATTACCAAAATCTTCACTATCTGAATCATTACATAAGATTTCTGATTTAGTGGAAACTTATATGGGTGGTACTAGTGGTGGTTTATACTCAATTTTCATCTCAGGTTTAAGTCATGGTGTTATCTCTAATGCTTCAAAAGATACACCTGTTGATGCTAAAATCTTTGCTAAAGCCTTACAAAGTGCCTTGGACACGTTATACAAATACACAAGAGCTAGACCTGGTGATTCAACAGTCATTGATGCTCTTGAACCATTTGTCAAAGAGTTTGCCAAATCTAATGATTTGAAGAAGGCTGTTGAAGCTGCTGATAAAGGTGCTAAATCAACTGGTTCATTTGAAGCTAAATTCGGTCGTGCTTCTTATGTTGGTGAATCCAGTGATATTCCAGATCCAGGTGCCATTGGATTAGTTGAATTCTTGAAAGGTCTAGAGTCTGCCTTTTAAATAGTATGTACATGTACAAAAAGTAATGAAAACTAGTTTATGATTGGAAATTTGATATTGTAGTTTATAGTCAATTCGCGAAATTGAAAAATTTACCCGCAAAATGCCAAACGCGTCAAAAAAATTGAAGCGTAACTTCAATATTTGATCAAGTGTACAAAAAGGCAACAAATTCAAATATCATCAAGAACGAGGAATAATCATGTCTAATTTGGATTTCGAAAGAATATATTTGAACCAATCCAAGGCTAACGGTCGTTTCCGTATTGCTGAGTCTGGGTTAGGTTGGAAAGCTGCCTCCACTGGTGGTTCAGCAAATAAAACTCAACCATTTTTATTGCCATCAGATGAATTATCTTCAGCTCAATGGAGTAGAGGTTCAAGAGGTTGGGAATTAAGAATTCAAACCAAAAATAAAGGTGTTGCCAAATTAGATGGGTTTGATCAACAAGATTTCAATCAATTGAAAAATGAATTGCAACGTCTTTTCAATATACAATTAGACCATAAAGAACATTCGTTAAGAGGTTGGAATTGGGGTAACACTGATTTGGCTAGAAATGAATTAGTTTTCAATGTTAGTGGCAAACCTGCTTTTGAAATTTCATATAATCAAATCAATAATTCCAATTTGGCTGCTAAAAATGAAGTGGCTATTGATATGAATTTAATTAATGAAAATAATGATACTGCAGGTGATGAACTAGTTGAACTTCGTTTTTATATCCCAGGTACTGTTCCTTATGAAGATGATGATGTTGCTGAAGAAGATAGAGAAGAGAAAACATCTGCAGCTGCATTTTATGATCAATTGAAAGAAAAAGCTGATATCGGTCAAGTTGCTGGTGAAGCTTTAGCTTCATTCACAGATATTTTATTCTTAACACCTCGTGGTCGTTTTGATATTGATTTATATCCAAGTTATTTGAGACTGAGAGGTAAAACTTATGATCACAAAATACAATATCGTCAAGTTGAAAGAATATTTTCATTACCAAAACCTGATGACATCCATCATTTGATGGTTATACATGTGAATCCACCATTACGTCAAGGGCAAACCCCATATCCATACTTGGTGTTACAATTTGCTAAAGATGAAGAATTGGAAGTTGAAATAAATGTAAGTGAAGAAGAATTTAAAGAGAAATATGAAGGTCGTTTGAAGAAAAGATATGATCAACAAACTCATCTGGTCTTGAGTCATGTCTTTAGAGGTTTAACAGAACGTCGTATTATCATTCCTGGAAGTTTCACATCAAAACATGGTCAAGCTGCAGTCAGTTGTTCCTTAAAAGTTAATGAAGGTTATTTGTATTTATTAGAAAAATGTTTCCTTTTCGTTACAAAACCAACAGTTTATGTTCCTTATAATGATGTTCAAAGTGTTTCCATTTCAAGAGCTGGTGATTCATCAACTTCAAATCGTACATTTGATCTAGAAGTTACACTGAGAAGTACAAGTGCTTCACATACATTTGCAAATATTTCAAAAGATGAACAAAGCACATTAGAATCATTCTTAAAAGAGAAAGGTCTTAGAGTTAAGAACGATGATATTGAACAACAAGCTAGAATCAATGCTGTTTTAGCTAATGAAATGGATTCTTCAGATGATGATGTCCGTATGGGATCTGCTAGTGATGATGAAAGTCCAGATGAAGATTTCCAAGGTGAATCTGATGATTCAGATTCAGACCTTGCTGAAGAATTTGATAGTGATGCACCAGGAAGTGACGATGAAGCTGAAGGACCACCATCAAAGAAACCAAAGAACTAGATTTGTAAAGTGTGTGTTTTAATTGTATTTTAGATCGAAAAGTAATAATCATTTTGTAGAATTTCTCGGATCGCAAATAAATAGCAAAAAAAAAGACATTTTCTGGGGAAAGAACCTATTTCTAATCGACTTCAATTTCAACAATCACATTCAACAAAAATGTCAATGAAATCATTCTTCAGTCCTTCAAGAGTCTACGCAGTCATTGGAGCTACTCCAAATGAACAAAAATTTGGGTTTAAAGTGTTTAATTGGTATTTAGCTCGTGATTTACCAGTGATTCCAATTCATCCATCAGCAACTCACGTTTTACACGTTCCAACATCTCAAGATATTGCATTAGCCATAAATAGAGCAGATGAGGAATACCCAAATAATGATGGGATAAGTATTTCATTCATAACACCTCCTAAAGTCACTGAAAGTGTTTTGAGTGAATTGGAGGCCAAAAATTTAGTTAATAAAGTTAAGGGAGTTTGGTATCAACCTGGTGCTTATGATGATGAAGTTATAAGTCTTTCTGAGAAATTAGGTATACAGCCAATTATTCAAAATGGTCATTGTATCTTGGTGAGTGGTGATTCTAATCTAGTCAAATCAAATTTGTAAATTGCTACAAGTGAGTTAATACTAGGGTCATTAAATTGTGTTTGATTAGTATACAGAGTTGTTTTATCATCTAGAGCACCAATTATCCAAAAATTCACACACATAAAAATCATGAGCTATATTATGAATGCATAATATTATCAATAAATAGGGTCTTTAAGCATTTTTTTAATGAATGCCTTCCAACTATCATTATTCCCATGAGATGTAGACATTGTATAAGGAAATGGAAATAATTCAGTTGAAGTAATCACAGGGATATGATTTTTATTTGTATCACAAGTTTCACTTATTTCTAAAACTGTTTTTTCAAATTGGTTTGTTGTATTTTCTAATAATGTTGATTGATGATTTGTATTATTTTGTACAACACGAACATTTAATATCCATGTTTCCCAATTAATCTCCTCTTCAGTCTTACCAAACCATGTTGGTTTTTTCAATTTTTTCCTTTCATAAAACTTGATTGTGAATTGACCAAATTTTACATTATTGTTATTGTTATTCGTAGCTGTTCTTGTTGAAGTTGTTTGTAATGTTGAGCTTGTAGTTGGCATTGAACTTGGTGATTTTGTGGATAATTTATTAGAAATGGCACCTAAACTATGTACAGATGATGAATGCTTATCATTATCAAATTCATCAAATGTAGTTAATGGTTCAGGTTCATTGAATTTTATATTTGCATAAGGATTAGAGATCATATTTGTTGAACTTGTTGCTGTTGAACTTAATGTGAAATTTTTCGCTCCGGGCGATCCAAAAGGTGTTGACGTGGTTGAAGTTGATGCCAGTGTAGGTGTAGCTATATCTGAATCTATTCTTGATAAAAGATGGTCTAGTTTTTGTTCAATTTCATTATCTAGTTCTGGTGAATCAAAGTAGGGCTATGGGAACAATTAGTCACTGAGCTTTGTAGACAATTTTGATCAGGAAGCACTTACGTATGGTATATCCAGAAACTCAGCTGTTGAAGGTATTATTGAACCGAATGCTCTATAAAAGAAAATTGTCCATATGAGGCCTGTTAAAGGTTAGATAAATATTTCTGTACATGTTTCAAAAGACTCACCTTTGACAGCGTCATGAACATGTTGCCTATCAGCTGTCAAATCAAAGCTGAACTCCATTATGACATGTGTATGGCACCCATGAATATCCACTAGTACGAGTATTTGAAAGTTGATGGTTAACAATTTGGTGTTGTGGAGTTGATTGGTTTCACCATTCGTTTCGCAAAAAGCTATAAACATAATTCTCGCGAAAAATATCACACCTACAAGCGTATTAACGTGAATAAATAATTTCATTAAAGAGTTCTTGAAAGTCTTTTGAAAAAAGATGAATGGATTCTATGGCTATTAATGCATGCTGCAACAGCTGCCCCTAAAAGGGAGCTATTTTCAATGTGGTTTAGGTGGATTTTATTATCTGAATGATGTTTGATTTTTTTTTGAAATTCAACACAATGGAAAAGAAAAGACCCAATATAATTAACATTAATCACTTCATTTGGGTCATGATCAATGAATTGAGATAATGCTCTGATTGCACATGAAACGTAAATTGCACTTCTTTCTAAAATAATATCTATAATTGCTTGTAATATTTCAATTTGTATAGTATTAACTTTGAGATTGTAAGAACTGTTTTTTAAATCTGATTTGATCTCCTCTATAGATTTTGATGGGTCTAAAGCACAAATTAAATCACCATGTAATGTGAAAGGTTTGTTAAATTTCTCAATTTTGAAAAAAAGGTCACCATCCCGAATCAGCTCTACTATTATTAATCTTAAAATTTCAGGTATATACCTCCCAGAGGCTAGAAATTCTAAAGGTTGGAAAATTGGTGCAACTTTTGAGTTTTTCAAATAAGGTTCTTTCATTTTATTCCATCTAGAATCTAATTTCTTATCATAGACAGTAACTTCATCTAATTTCCCGAAAAATCCCAATTCGGTATTGATAAGTTGATTATTTTTCAAAACACATGAATTTAGCCCAGTACCCAGTATGAATGATATTTTAGAATTCAACACATCAGAATTAATTAAGCCTGATAAGTTGACAGCAACTGAATCATTAATGATTGCTTTAACCTCAGCATTAAATCCTTTCTTATGACAAATTTTGGAAATAATTTTATCGACACCTATACCTAAAACTTCAGGTTTCACATGAAAGCCTTTCCCCATTGTGACTATTTCATTTGCTGTATTCAGAGGAAATGACCAAGTTATACCTATATTCCAGAACTTTTCTTTATTATTTCCAACTAATTCAATCAACTTGTCAACTAAATTTTCGAAAAAGTCTTCATGAATAATCTTGTCACCTTCACTCAGCAGCCATTGCTTTTGTGTGATTATCGGGGTACGACGATTTGACAAATCCACTATTCCAATTCTTATAGTGGAACCACCTATATCCAATACAATAAATTCACCTTCCAAATCCTTCTCATGATTAAAATGTTTATGGATTTTAAAACACGGTATCATTGAAATTTCAGATTCGTTGAAAGCGTGATTAAAAGTCCTTAGGAAATCTTGTATTAGTGCATCTTTTGAAATTTTGGCATTTGATGGTTGGAACCTTTCAGTTAATGCAGCGACGTATTCATCAAACCCAAGTGAAGTACTAGCTGACATTTGTGAAAGACATGATTGAACTATAGGGCAGCGTTTTGGGATTGAGAATGAGGGATCAAATTTACCATCACCACCAAAAGAGGGTGCAGCCATGGTATTGTATGAGTTTGTAGAGGTTTGGTCAGTATTATAACTTTTCGAAATCAAAACACAAAATAAAAGTTCGCTACAAAATTGTAAAACGCGTTCGCGAGGGCATATTGCAATGTGCTACAAAAAATTGAGAAATGTGAATAAATAAATTGCAAAAAAGTGAATGAGAAATGTCAAGGATGTTCATGGCTCTAGACCAAGTATCCTTATCAATTAGCTCAATATCTTTAGTTTATTAGTTGTAGAATAGAAATTTCTCTCAGTTTGACATCTTCAATTAAAGCATACACTAGTGAACAGGTGATCTGTTTAGCCAATGCTAGCTGAAATTGTCGATGAACTGGTGAGGATATCAAACCCAGTTACTGAACTTCTTAAACACAGTTGCTCACATTTACCCAGACAAGGGCGCCAGCCATAATTTCATTTAAATCCTGTCGTCATAAATAGTAATGAGTCAAGACATGGTTATGATTAATGATGATAAACGCTGGTAGAGATGCTTAGTGGAAATGACAGTGGAATAGCTGATCCAGACTCATAAGGAATTGTCCGTGTAAAGACATGACCTCTGAAGAGTTCCCAGCCACTCGAGCTATGAAACACCAAATAAATATGCATGAAACCAGCAAATGCTCATGGTATGTAAAATCATCAGTTAAAGCAGAAACACTTTTTCAACTGGTTTCCAGGATTACATCATCAGCCATCCAATGCTTCCAGGACAGAAAGGTTTTCCAACAATGGATATTGAACAAATTTCCAAAGGGTGCACTAGCTTTATAAATTCATAATTTATCGAAAAAAACCACGTACTACTGCTGCTGGTGTCCGGGTGTGATTGCAGACCAGTTCTAGGCCCCTGCATTCGCGAATCAGTAGGTAGCCTTGAATTGAATGTGTCAAAGGTTACAATATATGATGAATTATATAAATCTCCATAGAATGACAAGTGTTATATTTATTATCAAATACACTATAAACAAATCACCATCCTAAATATTGTTAAACGCATCATATAAAAAAGTTTCCATAAAGTAATATTGTCAAAAAAAAGGTATACCACCCAAAAATAGAACTGAAAAAACAAAGCTAGAAACTTGTTCTGGTTATAATATAAAAAAAAAAGACCCGCTAATGTTACAATCATATCTTTTCTTCCCAAATATTCATAATAATCATATAATAAAACCATTCTTTCAAAAATGGTCAATATTGTCCCGTGTAATTCTTCATTTCTTCTTTCTACCGAAAAGTCCCTTCTTCTTTTTAGCAGCTTCAACTTTTTTAGCAGGGGCTTCATAAACACCTTGTTCAAAAGCTTGTTGATCTCCAGAAAAACTATGGATTGGAGCTTGACCAAATTGTTGAGAGTTACCAGCAGCTGCACCAGCACCATATGGATTCCCACCTGCAAAACTTGGGAAATCATTACGGACTCTAAACCCTAGATTATCACTTTCCAAACGATCTTTATAAGATAAATCACCAGTTATTGAATATTCAAATCCTCTTATAGTGTCTAGAGGTCTTTCATCTCTAGCTCTTGTTGGATTTGAAATATCTGGTTGATGAATAGGTTTCCCGAAAACATCATAAAACCCACCATTTGAAGCCATCATGTTATAACTTTGTCTTGTTAATGAAGAATTGGAATTTCCTTCAAGTTGTTGATCTAAAGCAGCTTCTTCAAAAGGTTGAGCTTCATTAACAGCTTGTAAAATTGGATCATGAACAGAACCAGTACGAACTTTATACGCACGTTCATCATCTTTGGTGATTTGTAATTTTGCAGGTTTACCACCTGAACCTCCAGAATGTTGTGAAGCGTTTGAGTTTTTTCTAAATAACCCCATTGTTCTTGTTTGATAATTGTATCAGGATATGAAATATGAAACGGAAAGACCAGTGCTTGTAACACTTATAAGACAGCTTTGTTATATAAGGGCAGTATCTTTAAAGAACAACTAAAGCGAAGGAATAAAAGAGCTAGTAATCAAACCTGTTAATTCAACGAGTACAATTGATTCCAAACAAGAGATCAAAAAAAACTGGAAATCTAACGCCTTTTTGTCCTGTGAAGAACTCTTCTCCAGCACTGCCAAACGCGTCTGATACGCACCACACAGACAAGAGAAGAAATTGATTTCATCATTTTGGTGATCTGTAGCTTATAGGCGATCAATAAGAGGGAGATTATTTGTAGTTTGCAGCTAGTTAATTACAAGAGTCAAGACGTGGCTGTGAAATACTAAAGCCTTGTTTTATTTAGAAATGTTTATGCTTTTGTTGTTGATGAGCTGTTTAATCGGTGTTAACAAAATGTAGCTGTATGGGGAAATGAACAGCTGGTGTATTACATCATGACACCACCATGGTCGAGAAGTACTACAATAGCTTAAAACCGTCTCTATATTAATTAGTTGTATTAAGTTGGGTTATATTAGTATTAAGGGTAGTTGTATGTGTCTAATGAGTTCTTTTTGCTTTAGTTGTTTGCCAATTTGGTAAACTTTTCTAATGTAATACCATCTAAATTATTAACAATGATTTTAGAAATGATATCATGAGCTTTGATTAAATCACCTTTATCAAAATCAACATTTGAATGGATTTTCAAATGTGGTATTAATGGTAATGATTCTTGTTCATATGTGAATCTTGATCTTGTTATTAAAATCCCTTGAGATTTAACTTCATCAATGATTTTTTGTAATAATAATTCTTCATTATTTAATTCTTCAATAAATTTATCAGTTATACCTTTTTTAATTCTATATGCTAATTCTGAACCTGTTCCCGTGTATGAAGTTGGTAAATTTAATAATGATCTGATTTGTGAATTGATTTCTAAATGTAAAATTGAAGATTTTGAACATGATTTGATTTCAACAAGTTTAGAAATTTTAGAATCTTTTGAAAATAAATCATACAGAGTCTTATTATTTCCATGTAATTTTGATAAAATTGAAGATTCTCCATTTTTTTCATTAATAGAATCTTTAATCAATTGAATTCCAACAGATGTAGCTCTTGCCACATAAGCAGGTAATGAAGCACTAAAACAATAAGCCATACTACCAATTCTTTGATGATAAGACATGACACGATCACCAATACAGAATCCACCAGATGAACAAAATGCATTAGCCATTGAACCAATTGTAATATCAACTTCTGAACGTTCAATATTAAATTCCTCTGCAAGACCTTTACCAGTTTTACCTAAAACACCTAATGAAAAACTTTCATCTAAAAATAATCTAAATTTATATTTTTTTTCAATTCAATTAATTTTGGTAAATTTGGATAATCTCCAAGATTCATAAATAAACCTTCTGTAATTATAAATTTTCTTGAAATTGGTTTTTCATATTTGAAAACATTTTCATTTAAATCCTTCATTATTTGTTCCAAATGTTCTAAATCATTATGATTATACCAATATATATCACATCTTGACAAGATTAAAGCCTTTTGAATAGCAACATTAACCGAGGAATCCGCAATAACTGTATCATTTCTTTTCAAAAAACTTGGTAATACAGAACCTGCAGTACAAAAATCTTGACCATATAAAACTGCACTTTCAGTTCCGAAAAAACTAGCTAAATCATTCTCCAATTTAATATGAATATCTTGATTACCATAAAAATTTGGAGGTCCACAAGCTCCAACACCATTACTATGAATGACTTTAGAACATTCTTTTTTCACTTTAGAATCAACACCAAAATTTAAAAAATTATTTGAAGCAAAATTTAAAATTTTGGCACCATGAGTATCTATTAATTCCACTTTTGTATCAATTGGACCTTTAACAATTGGGATAGAATCCAATTGCCAAGATTCTTTGGATTCAACAGATTGCACCAAAGGTTCTGGGATCCAATCATCAATTAAATCATCAATTTCATTTTGGTTTAAACGAACATAATCCTTCTTCTTTCTTTCATATTTGGCAGTTGTGAAATATTTGATTGCAAAGCCTAATAATGCAATTTCAAATAATGTTCTAATTGGATCATTCTTGTGTGAAGATTTTATATATCTAACTATAATGGACCCACCTGGTATAGATTCCATATATGATAGGATGATGATTAGATATTTGGAAACAACATCTGATGTTGAATTCCATATGTCTTGAAATGCAATTGATGTAGTTAATGTAGAGTTCATTATTAAAGAAAATTTGTTCTCTCTTTTAAATAGGGGTAAAAAGACTAAATGGATAAATGAAAACAACAAGTAAAAACAAATGAGCACAAGTTATGATATTGGCTTTATTCGATCTTTATTGATGTGAGAATATGATGATTTGGAAATGAATATGCCTTTTCGAATATGTCTGTTTTTTATTGATTGTTTTGGAATAGTAAACTTGTAACTAACAACGACACGCTTTCAAAGAAAAAAAAACAACAACACAAGACACGTCAAAAACAGTCACCAGCACCAGCACGCTTTTGAAATTAACCAATGATGATTTGTGTAGAGTATGTGAATGTGATTAGTGAAATCCCAGGACCTTTTGGGATTCTTGATTGTTTATTTGTTGTGGATTTGTTCTTTTGATCAAGTCTGAGAATTGAAATCTTTGCCAACGTCTTGTTTTAACCGTTGATTTTTTTGGTTTTTTTTCGTGAGTGGATTTTTTTTAAAGTGAAATGAAGTAATGGAAGGGAGGATTCAGTTATTTCCGTATTAGGAAGTCTAGAAATACTGACACTGCGTGTGATGACAGACGGCGTTCGGCTGAGCTCGGCGGCGCCATTCTTGCAGGGCCTCCCCACGAGCCATAGGCAGACACGGAGACGTGCTAGGCAGGGAGCTAGGCAGACCTCTGCCCAGCCACACGGACAGGGGTCTCTGCCTAGATCACCAACCCGCTGGTTAGTAGTAGTCCGAACGAGACAAAAAAAAAGTCTCCACGAACAAATTTGAAATGGGATTGATTCGCTTGAGACCAGTTGTGAATAAATTCTTTTCCTTGCTTCAATTACAATCAGATCTCCAATTAATCTCTGTATAACAAAAACAAAACAAAAGAATGTCTTCTGCCTTTGCTAGATTCATGGCCTCAGAAACAGGCCCAAAGACTGTGCATTTCTGGGTATGTGTTATCTCGTTTCTATTTGCCCTGGCTATCCGTCCTCTATTTTTTTTTCAAGATGGCTTCCAACTTCCTTGATGAGGTTTTAACTACAATGATTATAAACGAGAGGATGTGGTCAATTCAATGTGTTTCAAGAATACTAACAATTCATTATAGGCTCCAGTTTTAAAAGTATGTTGATCAACAAATGTATCTATGATTAAAGTTGTTTACTAACGATGTTTTAAAGTGGGCTCTAGTTATTGCTGGTATCAATGATATTTCGAGACCTGTTGAAAAAGTCTCTGGTACTCAAAATCTATCGCTTTTAGCTACAGGTACCATATGGACAAGATGGTCTTTTGTTATCAAACCAAAGAATTATTTATTAGCTTCTGTGAATTTCTTCCTTGCCGGAACCGCTGGTTATCAAATTTCAAGAATTATCAATTATAGAAAGAGTGAAGGTGATTCACCAAGAGAAATTGTTAATTATTTGATCAATGGTCCTCAAAAGCCAAAAATTGATACTGAAACTGTGATTAAAGCTTAAATCAAATGAAAAAAAAAACATGAGAAGTTGTGATTGATGGAAAAAGAAGGAAGAGAAGCAGATTATAATATTAAATATTTATAAAACTATTGTGTTTTATGATCTAACATGATAGTTATTCTAGTATATTTGAGTGTGTCTTTATTTGTTTGTTTGCTTTGTTCCAATCTTTTGTATCAATATATTCTACCTGGAAAATGAAAATTATAATACTTTGCAAAAAAAAAAGAAAACTACAAGGGATCTAACGGTTAATAGGATAGACTGTTTTTGTTTTTTTTTATTTATAATACACTTAATATTCAATTATATGAAATAACCAAATTACTCATAGCTCCAATCCTTCAGTCTTCTTAACATTTTGAATTTGTTTATTAATTTTCTCCAAATCCACTGTTAAGAATCTTTTCAAATCTTTTTCTCTTTCACTCCATTTATCATAAGAACCTTCCAATTTCTTAATCTCTGGTTCATGAACACGTTCATTTAAGAAACTAAATCTAGCTCTTTTATCCTTTTCAATCTTTAAAACTTCTAATAATTGATCTTGTGAAAGATCTAATGTTAATACTTTATCTGAATCTAATTCAATCGGTTTCAAATCACCAAGATCCCTTTCCAGTGTTTCAATTTCATTATTAACTAAATTTTGATCATACAATGTTTCTAAATTTGTGGAAACATCTTTAAATGAATGTAAATTTATCTTTGATAATTCATCTAATCTTTCTCTATATAACCGCTGGAATGATTTCTCTAAACGATCAATATTCTTGGAATGTCTAAATATAACTGAAGGATCTTTTGATAATGTCCTTATAAGGTCTTGATATTTGGATATATTGGTTTCATCTGTTGGGTCTAATGAATAAAATTCAATCAATTGATCAATTATCTTTATTGTTGCTTCAAAACTTTCCTCTAATGACTCTCTTTCTTCTCTTAAAACATCCATATATGAATCATCAGAAACACCATTGTTCTGTACTTGAATTAATTCACTCATCTCCAAAGAACCACTACTCGTTAAGATGAATATTCAATCTAAACCATTTAAAAGTGGAATCTTCATACAACTTCAACTTTCCACCACCAAAAACTTGATACATCCCAACACCTTCTTTTTACTTTTCGCGAAAATGTCAATGTTTTGATTTCGACTTTCCAATATAAACAACATCTTCACAAGAATAATTCAAGATACAAGATACAATCAATACCCAAAAATGAGCTCTGAAGATGCTGTTGTCCAAAGCTTGAAGAAGCACCTTCGTGACTCAGTATCACTGCTTTCCAGCATGAAGCTTTATGAAGGCGCCAAATGGTCAGCTGAAGCATTAACTAGCATGTCACAAGAAGATTCAGATATGATTTCAATTGACCATATACCCAAGTACAAACTCCAAGTGTCCAAATCTGAACAGGATGTCTTTGCATTAGCAAAGACTTATTTTGATTGTAAAGAATTTGATAGATGTGCTCATGTTTTGAAAAATTGTAAAAGTCAAGATGTTTTATTCATACGACTTTATGCAATGTTTTTATCTGGTGAAAAGAAGAAGGAAGAGGAAAGTGAAGGTGTTTTGGGACTGCATGATCATAGTTCTGTAAACACTTCAGTTTCATTAATCTTAAAAGAATTGGAATCAATATTAGAACAAGAACCTAATGGGTTGAAAAGTCCTTTTTTAAACTGGTTACATGGTGTGGTGTTGGTTAAACATAAATCAATGGCGGCTGCTAAAGATGCATTCATTAGAAGTTTGGCTCAATATCCTTATAACTGGAGTTGTTGGGCTGAGTTATTGTTTTGCTTACCTACTTTTGGTGAAGGTATGGATGTGTTGAGTTCTTTAGAATTACAATTTCAAGATAATTTTGCAGAATTAATAATGTTAAAATTTGCTAAAGTTGTTATAAATCAACAATGCTTCCAACAAACAGCAGAATTGAAAACAATGTTGGATTCATTGATTGTTAAATTCCCCAAATTTTCATTTTTGAAAACTCAACATGCATTAATTTGTTATCATGCATTGAAATATAATATTGCTGAGGAATTATTTGATGAAATTTTGGTTAATGATCCCTTAAGATTAGATGAAATGGATATTTACTCCAATATCTTGTATGTTATGGATAAAAGATCTAAATTAGCATTCTTGGCTCAATTTGCTTGCGCAATTGATAAATTTAGACCAGAGACATGTTGTATTGTGGCCAATTATTATTCAATGAAATTTGAACATGAAAAGGCAATAATGTATTATAGAAGAGCTTTAACATTGAATAGAAATTCTTTATCTGCTTGGACATTAATGGGTCATGAATTTGTGGAATTGAAGAATACTCATGCTGCTATTGAATCTTATAGACGTGCTGTCGATACAAATTATAAAGATTTTAAAGCATGGTATGGGTTAGGTCAAGCTTATGAAATATTAGATATGCATCTGTACTCATTATACTATTATCAAAAGGCTGCATCATTGAATCCATTAGATCAAAGAGTCTGGGAAGCTTTAGGAAATTGTTATGAAAAATTGGATAAAATACGGGATTCCATTACATGTTATCAAAAAGCAATTAATTTGAATGAAGTTAAGAATGTATCACATTTATACAAATTAGCACTATTGTATGAAAAATTACAGGATCCCGCAAAGACTTATGACTACATGTTTCAATGTTATCAAGAGGAGATCAATGAAGGGGTTCGTAATGATGAAACTGCAAAAGCTAGATTATGGCTAGCTAAATATGAAACTAGAAATCAAAATTGGGAAGCGGCTCATAAATATGCAGTTGACTTGACACATGGAACAGGTCAAGAAATTGAAGAAGCAAGAGCTGTAGCAAGAGAAACTCGAAATAGGATAAATCTTCAATAATGGCTACATTTATAAGTATCTTTCTCGTAGGATATTTGCGCCGTTCTAAGGCTGGTGTTTGGGTGTAGAGAGTTTTGAAATCTTCACGAAAAAAAATTCAGCATGATATTATTGTCCTAGACATTGAAAATAAGAGAAACCCCATTATACTCAAAACATTATTTATCACACGTTATCATCGTTGTATTTGGTTGCTGCTCATACTTTTCCCTTTTCTTTGATTGATTTGAAAACTGCAAGCTATCAAGTTTTATATTAGTTGACAATTGAAGGAGTTAGTGTTGTTTTGGCAATTAAACCATATAAACAATGAGTAACTTGCCTCCTCCTCCTGGATGGCAACCTCCACCACCTCCACCACCTCCATCATCAACTAATGGGAATGGTACTTCGTCAAATGGACTACCTCCTCCACCACCACCTCCAGGTTTCAATGGCAGGGCGCCACCACCACCTCCACCACCTTCATCATCAATTCCTAAACCACCATCAAGGTTTAATAAGAATGATTTAGATATTAGAAAGAGAAAATGGCTACAGCTGCAGAAGAAGCGTTTTACAGAAACCCGTTCAAAAGTTGGAACGTTTGTCCATCCACAAAAAGTTGATATGCCTCCTGAACATCTACGGAAAATCATTTTTGATCATGGTGATATGTCTTCAAGAAAATTTGCAGCTGATAAACGTTCATTTCTTGGATCCTTGAAATTCATGCCACATGCTGCTTTGAAACTATTAGAGAACATGCCTCAACCATGGGAACAAACTAAAGATGTTAAAGTTTTATATCATATAACGGGTGCTATAACTTTTGTTAATGAAATACCTAGGGTTATTGAACCTGTGTATACTGCACAATGGGCAACTATGTGGGTGATGATGAGAAGAGAAAAAAGAGATAGAAGACATTTCAAGAGAATGAGATTCCCACCATTTGATGATGAAGAACCTCCATTAGATTGGTCAGAAAATTTACAAGATCTCGAACCACTAGATCCTATACAGATGGAATTGGATGAAGTTGATGATGAACATGTTATTGATTGGCTTTATGATCCTAGACCTCTAGTTGATGATTTGGATTTTGTTAACGGTGAATCTTATAGAAAATGGAACTTAAACCTTGAGCAAATGATCAATTTACATCGTTTATCAACTCCATTATTAACAGATATAACGAACAAAAATTATTACTACTTGTTTGATAAGAGATCTTTTTTCACTGCTAAAGCTCTTAATAATGCTATACCTGGTGGCCCAAAGTTTGAACCATTGTACAAAGATGTTGAAGAAGAAGATTTTAATGAATTTAACTCAATAGATCGTATTATCTTTAGAATACCTATAAGGACAGAGTACAAAGTTGCATTCCCACATTTATACAATTCATTACCAAGATCAGTCCATATTCCATGGTATTCAGATCCTGTCAATTGCTATATCAAACCTGATGATCCTGAATTACCTGCATTTTATTTTGATCCTCTTTTAAACCCAATATCACCAAGATCAGTCCAAAACACAAAAACTGATACTGAAAAGGAACTTTTCGATGAAGAAACAGGTGAGGATATTGAAAACTTTCAATTGCCATCGAAGGTCAAACCATTCTTTTCTGAACATGAAGTGGAGACTGATAATACAGCTGCTGCTATAGAATTATGGTGGGCTCCATACCCATTCAATCGCCGCTCAGGCCATATGAAGCGTGCTCAAGATGTTTCTTTAGTGAAGAGTTGGTATTTGGAACGTCCATCTCGTGATTTCCCAGTCAAAACAAGAGTTTCTTATCAAAAATTGTTGAAGAACCATGTCTTGAATGAACTACACAAGGGACCACCATCAAACCACAGAAAGATTCAGTTATTGAAGAGTTTGAAAAATACAAAATACTTCCAAACAACAACTATTGATTGGGTTGAGGCTGGTTTACAAGTGTGTCGTCAAGGTTTCAATATGCTGAATTTGCTAATACATAGAAAAGGGTTGACTTATCTACATCTTGATTATAATTTTAACTTGAAACCAACAAAGACTTTGACAACAAAAGAAAGAAAGAAGTCCAGATTTGGTAATGCATTCCATTTAATGAGGGAAATTTTGAAAGTCATCAAACTATTAGTGGATGCTCAAGTTCAATTCCGTCTAGGTAATGTTGATGCTTTCCAATTAGCTGATGGTATCTATTATATTTTGAACCATCTTGGTCAATTGACTGGTATTTATCGTTACAAGTATAAAGTGATGCATCAAATTCGTGCATGTAAAGATTTGAAACATGTTGTCTATTATAGATTTAATAATGTTATTGGTAAAGGTCCTGGTTGTGGTTTTTGGCAACCAGCTTGGAGAGTTTGGATTTTCTTCCTAAGAGGTATAATACCATTATTAGAGAGATGGTTAGGAAACTTACTATCTCGTCAATTTGAAGGTCGTTCCAACGAAGTTGCAAAAACAGTTACCAAACAAAGAACAGATGCCTATTATGATTTGGAACTCAGAGCTGCTGTTTTGAATGAAATTTTGGAAATCATGCCAGAAGGTATTAGAGAAAATAAATCAAAGACCATTTTGCAACATTTGGCTGAGGCTTGGAGATGTTGGAAAGCTAATATCCCTTGGAAAGTCCCTGGGTTGCCTGAACCAGTTGAAAGAATCATTGAACGTTATGTTAAATCCAAAGCTGATAATTGGACATCCACTGCTCACTATAACAGAGAACGTATAAAACGTGGTGTTAGTATTGAGAAAACAGTCGCTAGAAAGAACTTGGGTAGATTGACAAGATTGTGGATCAAAAATGAACAAGAACGTCAACAAAATGTTGAAAAGGATGGTCCTGCAATTTCTCCAAATGAAGCAACTACAATCTTTAGAACCATGGTTAACTGGTTTGAAAGCAGAAACTTTGCACCAATTCCTTTCCCACCTTTAAGTTATAAGCATGATACTAAACTTTTAGTCCTTGCTTTGGAAAATTTGAAAGAATCATATAATGCTAAAGGTCGTTTGAATGCCACGCAACGTGAAGAGCTAGCATTAATCGAACAAGCTTATGATAATCCTCATGAATGTTTGAGTAGAATAAAGAAATTCTTGCTTACCCAAAGAGTTTTCAAAGATGTTGGTTTAGAAATGTTGGATCAATATCATCAATTGACCCCAGTCTATGAAGTTGACCCACTTGAAAAAATTACTGATGCTTATCTTGATCAATATTTGTGGTATGAAGGTGATAAAAGACAATTATTCCCAAATTGGATTAAACCAAGTGATGCTGAGATTCCACCACTTCTTGTATATAAATGGTGTCAAGGTATAAATAATTTGAACGAGGTCTGGGATACTTCCAAAGGTCAATCTAATGTTATGCTGCAAACAACTTTGAATAAAGTTGCTGAAAAGATTGACTTCACATTGTTAAATCGTTTATTGAGATTAATTGTTGACTCAAATATTGCTGACTATATTACTGCAAAGAACAATATAGGATTGACCTATAAAGATATGAGCCATGTGAACAAGTATGGTTTAATCAGAGGTCTACAATTTTCATCTTTTGTATTCCAATATTATGGTTTGGTGTTAGATTTGTTGATTCTTGGTCTTGAGCGTGCTAGTGAATTGGCTGGTCCTGCTAACTCACCAAATGAATTTTTACAATTGAAATCATTGGAACAAGAAACTTCAGGTCCTATAAGGTTATACTCACGTTATATTGATAAGATTCATATATTCTTCAGATTTGATGATGAAGATGCACAAGATTTGGTTCAAGCTTTCTTGTCTGAAAATCCCGATCCAAATTTTGAAAATATTATAGGCTATAACAATCGTCGTTGCTGGCCAAGAGATAGCCGTATGAGGTTGATGCGTCAAGATGTTAACCTCGGTAGAGCTGTGTTCTGGGAAATTCAAGGTCGTATACCTAGAGCTTTAGCAACTATCCAATGGGAAGATACATTGTCATCAGTTTACAGTAAAGATAATCCAAATTTACTCTTCACAATGTGTGGTTTTGAAGTTAGAATTTTACCAAAGTCAAGAATGGATGAAGTTACATCATCAACAGAAGGTGTTTGGGATCTTATCGATCAATCCACCAAACAACGTACTGCTAAAGCATTCCTTCAAGTTACAGAAGAGGATATTGAAAAGTTCCATAATCGTATACGTCAAATTTTGATGTCTTCAGGTTCAACAACGTTCACAAAGATTGCTAGCAAATGGAATACGGCATTAATGTCACTTTTCACTTATTATAGAGAAGCTGCTGTATCTACAGAAGCATTGTTGGATGTTTTGGTCAAATGTGAAACTAAAATACAAACTCGTGTTAAAGTCGGATTAAATTCTAAAATGCCAACTCGTTTCCCACCAGCTGTTTTCTATACACCAAAAGAATTAGGTGGTCTTGGTATGTTGAGTGCTTCTCATATTTTGATTCCTGCTTCAGATTTAAGTTGGTCTAAACAAACAGATGCTGGTATTACCCATTTCCGTTCTGGTATGTCTCATCCTGAAGAGAAATTAATTCCTACAATTTTCAGATATATCACATCTTGGGAAAATGAATTTTTGGATTCTCAAAGAGTCTGGGCAGATTATGCCATCAAACGTCAAGAAGCGTTACAACAAAATCGTCGTTTGGCATTTGAAGAATTGGAAGGATCATGGGATAGAGGTATTCCAAGAATTAGTACATTGTTTCAAAAAGATCGTCACACATTGGCTTATGATAAGGGTCATCGTATTCGCCGTGAATTCAAACAATACTCTTTGATTCGTTTCAACCCCTTCTGGTGGACAAGCAGTCATCATGATGGTAAATTGTGGAATTTGAATGCCTATCGTACAGATGTTATTCAAGCATTAGGTGGTATTGAAACAATTTTGGAGCATACATTATTCAAAGCTACAGGATTTGATTCTTGGGAAGGTTTATTTTGGGAAAAAGCTTCTGGGTTTGAAGATTCTTTGAAGTTTAAAAAATTGACGAATGCTCAAAGAACAGGTTTGAGTCAAATTCCAAATCGTCGTTTCACCCTATGGTGGTCACCAACTATTAACCGTGCAAATGTTTATGTTGGTTTCTTGGTTCAATTAGATTTGACAGGTATTTTCTTACACGGTAAAATTCCAACTTTAAAAATTTCATTGATTCAAATATTCCGTGCTCATTTGTGGCAAAAAATCCATGAAAGTGTTGTTTTTGATTTATGTCAAGTTTTAGATGGTGAATTAGATGTTTTACAAATTGACAGTGTCCAAAAAGAGTCAATTCATCCACGTAAATCATACAAAATGAATTCATCAACTGCAGATATTACAGTCAATGGTTCTTATAGATGGGGAGCAAGTGCACCATCCTTGTTACACGATACAAATGACGATATGACTGTTACCTCAAGTGACAAGTTTTGGATCGATGTTCAATTACGTTATGGTGATTATGATTCCCATGATATTTCGCGTTATGTTCGTGCTAAATTTTTGGATTATACTAATGATGATTTATATCCATCCCCAACTGGTGTTCTAGTTGGTATTGATCTTGCTTATAACATGTATGATGCTTATGGTTCTTGGTTCCCGGGCTTCAAACCTTTGATGCAAAGTGCAATGAAAACGATTATGAAAGCTAATCCTTCATTATATGTGTTGCGTGAACGTATTAGAAAAGGTCTTCAGTTATATCAAGCACAACCACAACAAGCGTTCTTGAACTCTAACAATTATGCTGAATTATTCAGTAATGATACACAGTTGTTTATTGATGATACCAATGTTTATCGTGTTACTGTTCATAGAACCGTTGAAGGTAACTTGACAACTAAACCAATCAATGGTGCCATTTTCATTTTAAACCCAAAGACTGGTCAATTATTTTTGAAAATTATCCATACATCAGTTTGGTCAGGTCAAAAACGTTTAGGTCAATTAGCTAAATGGAAAACTGCTGAGGAAGTTGCTGCTTTGATCCGTTCATTACCTCGTGAAGAACAACCAAAGCAATTGATTATCACAAGAAGATCAATGTTGGATCCATTAGAAGTTCACATGTTGGATTTCCCAAATATCTCAATTAGACCATCCGAATTAAGTTTACCATTTGCAGCTGCTATGAAAATTGATAAACTTCAAGATCTTGTTTTGAAAGCTACTGAACCACAAATGGTTTTATTCAACGTTTATGATGATTGGTTAAAGACAATTTCTGCTTATACTGCATTCTCACGTTTAATCTTGTTATTGCGTGCCTTGAACGTTAATCCTGAACGTACCAAATTGATTTTGAGACCAGACAGTTCAGTTATTACACAAGAACATCATATATGGCCATCATTTACTGACGACCAATGGGTTGATGTTGAAACTAAACTCCGTGATTTAATTTTGAATGATTATGGTAAGAAACATAACATTAATGTTGCATCATTGACTCAAGCTGAAATTAGAGATTTGATTTTAGGTCAAGATATCAAGGCACCATCTGCAAAAAGACAAGAGATTGCTGAAATTGAAGGACAAAATGAAGAAGCATTGACTGGTGTTAAAGTTAAAACAAGAAATGCTCATGGTGAAGAGATCGTTGCACACGTTTCAAGTAATTATGAACAACAATCCTTCACTTCAAAGACAGAATGGAGAAAATTGGCAATTTCTGCGTCATTATTGCATATGCGTACTAAAAATATTTATGTCGCTTCAGATGATTTCGTGGAGGAGAAGACAACTTATATTATGCCTAATAATGTGTTGAGAAAATTCATTCAAATTTCAGACACAAGAACTCAGATTGGTGGTTACATTTACGGGTCTTCCCCAAGTGATAATGATAAGATTAAAGAAATCAAAACAATTGTTTTACCTCCTCAAACTGGCTCATTGAATTCTATTCAATTGAGTAAAACTCAGGATAGTGAATGGATTGAAGGTTTGGAATTATTAGGTTGGATCCATACTCAATCTCAAGAGTTCAACTACATGTCTGCAAGTGATATGACTACACATGCTAAGTTGTTTGAAGATAATAATCCTGATTTGGTTGATATATCAGTTTCTTTGACGACTGGTTCAGTTTCATTAAGTTGTTTTACATTAACAGAAGATGGGTATAAATGGGGTCGTCAAAATAAAAATATTGATATTGCACCAGAAGGATATAGACCTGAATTTGGTGACAATGGTCAGTTGATTCTTTCCAACAATATTATTGGTAACTTCTTGGTTCCTAGTACAGATATCTGGAATTATTCGTTTATGGGTACAAGATTCAATCCAGAATTGGATTATGATTTGAAGATTGATGTTCCTATTGAGTTCTATCATGAATTGCATCGTCCAAATCATTTCATTGCTTTCAATGAATTGGAGCATAAGGTTAGTTTGGAAGCTGAGCAAGAGGATGTCTTTGCTTAGATTGTATTATAAAAATAAATTTGTATATTAAAAAAGGGAGAAAGCTTCATTAATTGGTTAATTTAATATATACTGTAAGAACTTAATTACGCTCAAATTGGACATAGTTATAAGGGAAAAGGCCCACACGCCCATCCAATTCACCTTTCCACCATTCTTTTAATTTCTGATCTAAAAGTTTAATACGATCACCTTTCTTGAATGATAAATCACCATCTTGCTCTGCCTTGTAGTTATATTTAGCAATACAAAAGTTGTTGATTGTAGGTACAGATTCTGTTTCTGTCACTTGAGAAATGAGATCATTTTGTTCTTCAAAAGATTGTTCTTGTTCTGGACTGGTAATCACACTGCTCAGGAGGTTACCACATGTGATATCTAAAGTGTCTGTGATTTGTTTTGTTGAATCATATTCACTATGGAATTGTTCAACTAAACCATCAATGAATGTTTTCAAGTCCTTATTTTTCAGTTTTTCTGGTTTGAACTTCACTGATGAAAGCTCACCAAAGTTTTGTTGGAATTGAAAGTGAACAGTAAGTTGAAGGTAATAGAACAAAACGAGTAGAGGATGAATGAACTGATGAACTAGGTTGAAGAATTGTGGTAATTCATTCTTCAAAGAGTCATTAATTTTTTCAAACTTCAATTTTGAAATCTCAAAGTTCTTTTCATACCTAATCAAGTTTTGTTCTTGTTTTAAAGTCAACGAAGATTTTTCCTTTGAATCCAAAGAGTGAAAGTCATTGTAATACTTATTAACATCTAATAGAGCAAAGTCTCTCTCTTTAACATATCTTTTGATCTTTTTAAATTCACCAGCTAATCTTGTTAAAGGGATTTGAACATTATTTGTAATCAAATCCAAGTCAGAGCATATTTGACTTTTGATTTTAACTGCTTGTTCGACATATCTTTTGGTGACAACAAATTTGGAATAATCTTCTTCAATGTTTAGTCTCAGTGCTTTTGATGCAGGAGATTCATCCCCTTGTCTTCCCAATTTCTCAAGATTGGGGTTGAAAACTTCAGCCATTGATTCACCAATTAAAAATGAATGCTTGATAAAAGATCTAACGTAACCAGCATACCGATTGACTTCAGTTTCAAGAGCAATGACATCTTCATCCATTTCCTGAAACTTTAAATAGAGTGATTCAAACGTTTCATCTTTTGGTAGTTGATGGCCAATGTTTATCTTTTGCTTTAAAATTTGAGGAACTCTCACCATTGACCTTTTGATGTTTACCCAATCTTGATCATTTCTGAACTCATGGACAACACATTGAACCTTGTTGTCAATCTCATTGATTTGATCCATGACTGAGCCTCACCTTGGCAAACAATCTCATGATTGATCATTCTGGATAATAGCGCATTATAAAGTAAGATCAATAAAATATTAATGTTTTTGTGGTTGAAGCGTCCCTTTATGGGAATTTTGCAGATCTGATTTAATAGTGAAGATTACATAATTAGCCGGTGAAGAAGATTATAGATGACATACACTTCTAAAGACTGAGTAGTAATGATATCGCCTACTATAGCTTAATTAGACATCCATAATCAAGCATAGAATAGAACTGTCTGTTGGTCTTGGATCCACAAATCGTCTTCGGCGAAAGATCAGCTCTTCAAGCTCAAACTTTTATACCAACCAGTTTCGTTTAGCTACAATTTCACTCAATTTCATGCTTTCACTAGTAAAATTCATTAAGTTCAACAAAACAGACGAAGCCAGTCGTCACTTCCTATATTTAGTAAATTTTCTCAAGTTCATCAACAGTTTTTTGAACAGCTGAAACAATCAAGTCAACTTCTTCTTTAGTAATAGAGTAAGCTGGAGAGAACAAAGCATGATCACCTAGAATACCGTCAACAGTACCATTTCCATTTAGACAGAAGACACCATTGTCATACAACTTTTCAGCAAATTTGTAACTAAATTTGACATCTGCTGGGAATGGCTCTTTTGTTTCTTTATCTTTAACAAATTCGATAGCCCAGAACCCACCTTTACCACGAACATCACCAACATATTTGGAATCTTTCAAAACTTCAGCTAGCTGAGCGCCTAAGTAATTTCCTTGTTCTTTGATATTATCAATCAAGCCATCTCTAACGACTTTTTCCATAACAGCTAAGGAGACTTGACAATTGAAGGAATGTGAATGATAAGTTTGAGCTCCAGCTATTTGCGCATTATTTTCCCTAAAAACCTTCATAACTTTTGGAGAAACCAAAATACCTGCAATTGTAACGTATCCAGCACCTAAAGTTTTACCAATTGTTTGAATATCTGGACCACCAGTGGTCATAAATTGTTCCCAAGCATTAAAAGATCCAACACGACCCATACCACACATAACTTCATCCAATACAAAAAGAGCACCGTATTTCTCACAAATTGCTTTACAACCATCCAAATAACCTGGAATTGGTGGATTGCAACCAAATGTAGACCCGACAACAGTTTCAGCAATGAATGCACCAATGGTATCTGGTCCCTCTTTTTGGAAAACGTCTTCCAAATTTTGTAATAAACGATCTTTATATTGCTCCAAAGATTCTGATTTGTTTTTAAATCTATATGGATAGCATTGTAAAGCTTTTGGGGTGATTGATTCAGGCATTAAAATGTCTTGAAATTCTCTCTTTCTGAAATTATCAGCGATAGATAAAGCACCAATTGTAAAACCATGATAAGATTGATTTCTTGAAATGAATTTTATTCTTTTGAAATCACCATTTTCAATATGATACTTTCTAACAAGTTTTAACATATTTTCATTTGATTCAGACCCTGAACCGGTAAATGTTGCAGTCTCAAAAGCACCCTCTTTGGAATTTGCAATCAAGAATCTTGCCAATTTCTCACTTTGTTCATTTGAAGTCAAAATTGGGAAAGTATAAATTTGATCTTGAACCGCTTCAATCATCTTTTGTTTAATCTCTTCATCACCATGGCCCACACTTGAAACAGCAGCACCTGATGAACCATCTAACAATTCTTTTAATTGACCCGTTTTAGGGTCTTTAACTGTTATGTAGACACCTTTACCAGAGACTGCAACTGGTAATTGTTTGATTGATGTTTGTAGGATTGCAGATTGTTCAATTGTCATTTTGTGATTGTGATTTGAGATGAAGTTGGTTGGAAAGGAACTAAGAAAACCATGAACATTTGACCACCTTTTATAGAGACAATTACCCACAACTCATCAATTATGGATAACTCATTCTTCTGTACAAACAACGGTGATGGGTTCCCTATCTGAAGGGACCACATACTCAAGTCTTATCAGTAGAGCGGATCTGATACCGTTTGTGGACAGCGCTCCGACTGAAAAGGTCAATCATTTCGGCTACCATAAATTGAGTCTATTCCAAGATCACATTTCCCTTTGTCTAGTATCTACCTTCATGCTCATCTTTTGCGTGTATTCGTTTTGATGAAAAGTGATGGTTACATTTCAATTTTAAGCGTTTGAATGTGTCACCTCAAAATGGCACAACTGACCGAAAATTGGACTTCGCTGTGAGCTAATGGCCTGTATTTTCCTTCATCGCGAATGCGTTTTGCAAAATCATGGAACCTTCGCGAAACGTATTTTTTTGACACATCACCAAAAAAACTCGTACACAACGAAAACCTATTGTGTGGTGTTGATAATATCGAGTATCAAGATGAAACCCAGTATAATAATAATATCATTGCTATCTGGGCTAGTGGTTGCTTCTTCAAATGATTTGAATAGCAAATTACTAGTGATCGACTCGGATTTCCAGAAGAGTGGTCCTTCATTGGATATACTAAATGATTATGATGTCTTATTGAGACAACTGAATACAGAGAAGGATATTACTAGTGAATTAGAGAGATCCAATATTTTGAGCAAAATATATTATAAGAAGGCTATAGTTGAATTAAGTTTGGGTAAAGATGAAAGTTCAATCGAAGATTTTTCCAAATCATTAGAATACAATTCAAATAATCCAGTTGTTAGAAAGAAATTATTGGACTTATGCATCAAATATGGTTTGAAAGACCGTATATATTCATTGAAAAAAGTGTTCAATGGTGAAGACCCGGATTACTTGGATGCCTTGAATACGTTAAATGTGGTGGATGCTTTGGTTGCGAGTGATGATTTAGGTAAATTGAATGAAGCCATCAACATTTCTCCATTTGATTCATCATTAAGATTGAAAAGAATTGAGCTAACAACACAAGACATAAAACAGACTGGTGATTCATTGAAATTTTTGGATCTTGTTGATGATATGACAAGTTTGATCAAAACCAATCCAATTAATCATTTGGAATTTATAAACAGTTTGTCAGAAATTTACATCTTTGCATTATCAGAGTTTTCAAACGCTTTGAACTTCAATAAGAAATGCCTCCATTATGATATGGATAATACTCTCTGCAAGAAAAACTCTAAATTCTTGAATAAATATTCCCCAATCCTTTTAAACTTATCAAATTTCAACAAATTCTTCCAGTTTCTAGAAGACAAGGACAAATCTGATCAAGATGTTGATTTAGATGATGAAGATATGAAAATGGAGGCAACTCGTTTGCAAGACCCTTCAAAATTTTTGAAAATAAGAAGGGAAAATGAAAATTTCAAAACAAATCAAGAGTATCTTTTACGCAAGTCTCAAGAATTCAATACCCAATACAATTTGAAAACCAATTCTTTACAACTAACCATTTTGAAAACCTTAATATTTGATGCATTTATCAGAAATGATCATAAATCATTCAAATCATTATCCAAGAAACTAAACTCAATTCAAGAAAATGCATCGGAAACTTTTTTACCATTGATATTAAGAAACGTTGATATGGCAATTGACAAAAATGATTATAATCAAGCAATCCAACTATTGAAACAAGTTACAGAAAACGGTAAGAAAACGGTATATTACGACACAAGAGCTCAAAAAATCCAACATCATCAAAACCAACAACGTCAACATCAACAACGTGAACAACAGCAGCGCCAGCAGCAATATTATCAACAACAGCAACAACACCAACAACGATCAAGAACTCCAAAGAATGATTATTACAAGATATTGGAAGTGCCAAAAGATGCAGATCAAACAACAATTAGAAAAGCGTATCGTGAAAAGACAAAACAATATCATCCTGATAAATATAAAGGAGAGTTATCACAACAAGATATTGAAACTAAAATGACACAAATTAATCATGCGTATGAAGTTTTATCAGATGCTGAATTAAGGAAAAATTATGATCAGGGTCAAGATCCAAATGATCCTGAAAGTATGCATGGAGGTGGTGGAAACGGTGGTATGAGACAAAATCCATTTGGTGGTCATCAAAACCCGTTTGGTAATGGTGGTTTTAATTTCCAATTTGGTGGTCCTGGAGGGTTCCAATTTGGTGGAGGACAAGGAGGTGGTGGTTTCAAGTTTAGAGACGGTAAGAGAAAGAGAAGATCATAGATTCATAGAGTTGATTTCATTAATTAGTTAAACTCATTTATAAAGCGTAAACAAAAGTACAGATTGTGTTTCTTTTTTCAATTACTTGGTATTATTATTGTAGTATTATTCTAAATTAGTTTCTGTGTATATATTGAAATACTCTTTTATCATTGAATGAAAAGTCTAAATAATCAAATGAGAGCCTCTGTATTTGAATTCTGGAATACTCTTTGCTTCAATTGTGTTTCTAGCTGGGAATCCACTCAAGTCTTTTGCGTAAACAGCAACACTATGAGCAATCAATTTAGTGTTTGTAAAGAAAGCATCCCAATTCAAATTAGTTGAATCATCACATAATAAATGGTAACATTTATCTAAAACTTTACCATTTTGAGAGTTTTTACCTTCAGCACCTGCAGCTATACCACCACCCGGAATATCATTTTCAATGAAACCGACATAATCTGAACGACCATCAAATGGGATTAAAGTCCAGTTTTTGTTGTGTTCTTCATACCAATCAATATACAAGTTTTTCAATTCTTCAGAACCAACTGGGTTAACAGCATTAGAACCATTGTAAACTTGATATTCAAAATTTGGTGAGGCCATCATATCGTAATCCATAAATAATCTAATTTTATGGTTTTCTTCTGGAGTCAAGTTGGAGGCATAATAGTTTGAACCTAATAGACCTTCTTCTTCAGCAGCCCACCAAGCAAAACGAACTGCATTGTTGATTTGGAATTTAGATAATTCTTTGGCAACAGTCAATAAAGAGATAGTACCAGAACCATCATCGTTGATACCTGGACCAGCAGCAACGGAGTCAGAATGAGCACCTAATGCAACAACATTCTCATGATCACCATAAATGGTTTCAGCAACAACATTTTTAGTTTTAATCAAACCAACATATGAGTTAATGTTAACAGTAACAGGAACTTTTTCTCCAGCAGCAATTATTTGCAATAACACTAATGCTAAGCCACGTTGAATTCCCAGAGTACCAACAGTGGTATTGGTTGGTTCACCTAAAGTACCAGAAATGATTGATGTTGGAGATTCATTATCATAAATTAAAACAGCCTTAGCACCCAATTTACCAGCTAGTGATGATTTATCACCGAAAGCACAGACACCTCTTTCAATTAATGCAACTTGTTTTTTGGTTGGGTCAAGACCTTCATAATCATCTTCTGAACAACCATTATTCTTGACGGCGAATAATTCACCATGTAGATAATGAACCGGTGGAGTTAATTGAAATGGTTTGACAGTGCCAATATCAGAGCCATTAACACTTAAAGAATAGTTGAAAACTTTACCATCTAATGCCTCAAATTCTTGAGTTTCAAAAGTGAAGTAGTCTTTTAAACCTTTCAATTCTTCAATAATGAAGGCAATAGTTTTCCAATGACCAGGAGAGCCATTGACTCTTTTAGGATGGCCATATTGGCCCAATGATGCATTAGCAATTTTGTAAAGCTCAATTGCACTAGCATTTAAGGCCTCAACAGTGATAAGATCTTGTAATGCTTCGGTTTCAATGAGTGGTAGCTCTTCATAAGGAGTCTTGATGTTATCACCAGCCTCCGGGGTTTTCAGAGCGAAAATTTGTTGAGCATCTGGTATGCTGAAAGGAAGCAGGTAAGCAGAAGCTGCTGAGATGGAAAGGAGTGTGGATAGTGCTAGCTTCATTTTGGCTACTAGACTGGTTGCGTCGTGTTGAAGCGTTGTTGAGTTAAAGATGACTCTTTCGAGGAAATCTCACGATGAGATTGTTATCTCTTTTTATGCTTTTTGTGGATTTAATTCGCGGTATGGAATTTAGGGTACACAGTACTGATTAAAACGAGATTTGGGTAATTACAGATGGGATAAAGTCATTCTGGTTGTATTGTGATTATTTTATTATTATGAATGCTTTGTCCTTGTGATATCCGGAGTGTGGAACTTGAGCTGCCTGTGTTTGGCACATTTCAGATAAGCTGACTATCTCTGGGAGAAGACCGACCACTTGAGCTTATTGTGCTGTAGCTGGGCTCTCAAACGTCTCTGCCGTGGTGTACCGTGGTGTGCCAATAAATCTATAATCATTCGACTCGCTTTCTCTGATGGAGACAATAGTGTTGGACTTCACCCTCTGTTTACTGGTTTTTCAACTCTTTCAACACAGCCCTTATCTCTTCCTTCAGCTCGTCTGACCCGATGGTACTCTGTTTAACCTCTTCATCAAAGATATCATAAACATTACCAACATCTCCCAAATCTATTGAACTTGTATTGTTACCAGGAACATTAGCAGTGGTGGTGTTATTCAGTCCCCCAGTATTTTGAATCTGACGACTTAATGTACCCTCTATCAACGCAGCTAGTTGACCTTTATTTTTCAATAACAATTCTGGATTCTTGTGCACTATTTTGTTCACTATTTCCTTTATTGTGGATAACAACTGGTCATGAGCATTTGTTGTTTTAAACTCTTTCAAAATGGATTTTCTTTTGTCATCGAAATAGCCCTTTCTCTTGTAGGAAATACTCAAACTCTTTGCGTCGTTACTTGACATCTTGTACCACTTTTGTCGCCTTCTTTCTAGATTTGTCAATTCCAGCTTGAAGACGTTTTGAATTGTTTGGTTTTTAATTTCGCGAAACAGAGAACAGAAAATTGGTATTGCCACTACTTTTTAAAGGTTTTTGTTCCATGGGAAGGATACACAATCAAGTGAACAGAACAATAACAACAACAATTTTTGCTGAATCACTTAGAGAAGAAGTGTCTACTAATAGGAGCCAACTTCAATCAATTTCAAGGCAAAATGTCCTCCAGAGTCATCAGATCACACTCCAAGGGATCTTCAAAATCTAAACCATTATCACCATATCTCAATACAGTTTATGATCAATTAAATGAACAAATAGATAGAATACTTGGTGACTTCACCCCAACTGCAAAAGTTACAATCAGTTACCAAAAGCTCTATAAGTTTGTTGAGTTCTTGTGTCGTGATAAGATGCAATCCAAAATAGCTGCCACCCTATTTGAGAAACTAGATGCATTTATAAACAAAATTGCAGATATAATATATCAAGCATACTGGGACTTAGGGCATGACGAACTAGTCGGAAGATTTGTTGAGTTGGCAACTATTATTGATGTTAAAGTCACTGCTTTGGAAAAGATACATCTATACCTTGATAGAACATATCTTTTAAATCATCCTGCGAAGAAAACAATAGTCAGACATGCAATGTGCACTTTTGTTGAAAGCTGTGCTGGTGTAGATAATGGAAATGGTGATGAATATAAAAAAGATGTTTTATACCAAGTTGTGATGGAGTTTACTTTTATACTAGGAAAGTTAAGGGATGGAAATTTACATGTTGAACCATTACTCCTCAGGTCATACCATTATTTGCACAAAATCTTCTACCTGACACAGAGAAATGATTATCTTGACAATGAGATCTTTTCACGGCAAGAGGATTTCTATCAGGAGGAGCAGGATGCTATTATTACTTGTCGTGATACATCACCCGAACTTCCTGACTTTATAGTCGCCCGTTGTGATTCAGCAGATGAGATTTTTGATACAATGTACAAAATGATCCTAAGAGAGCTTCAATTTTGGGGAAAAACAGATGCAGACGACAAATTCAAGTTGAAAATAAAAGAATATGCTGTTGAAAACCTTATTTTTCATGATTTTGATAAACAAGCAGTGCAATTTGTGAAACCTTTGTTTGTTAGTAAAAACTATTTAGGGGTTTCAAGAATGTTTAAGTTTGTAATAAACTCATCAACTTCCATCAGTTCAAACAAGTACTTGAAAACTTTTTTGAATATCTGGTATTCATATGTTTGTGATTATCTTCATCTGTTACTCAAGGATACACAACAAGATATGGTTGAAAAATTAATTAAGGCAAAAAAGAATTTGACTCTGATAATGCAGAAATATATGGATTCAAATTCAGAAGTTGAATTTAAGTTGAGAGAAGCTTTTAGAACTTCTCTGCATAGCTCAAATAAAGATACTGAGATTCTGAGCAAGTTACTGAAATATATTGATAATTTTTTCAAAACGGTTGATCCTTCCAATACAGAAGATAATCTCAAAGTTGTTGATGATTTATATCTGATTTTCAAATCTGTCAAAACGAAAGCTACATTTATCAAACAATACCAACGTGATCTATCAAGGAGATTAATCATTGGTGTTTCAAAAGACAAGGATTTGGAAAAATCATTGATATCTAAGATTAGAAACGAGGTTGGTGATGAAGATTCCAAGCCATTGTTGACAATGTTTGATGATTTACAAATCAATGAAACTGTTGCTTCATCCTTTAAAGAGAAGTTATCAACTGTTGAAGCTAATTCGTTCACAGGGTTTGATCCATTGGTTTTGAACTCTAAGGCATGGCCAATTCCCAAAGCTAGCATCAAGATACCTGATGAAATGAATGATTTAATGACAAGGTTTCAAAAGTTTTACTTAGAGACCCATGATAAGAGAAAGTTAAACTGGTGTCCTGCTCTGAGTCATATGACGATCGGTGCTCACTTTCCTAAAGGTGACAAAGAACTTCAGGTGAGTTCATTTCAAGGTATCGTACTCTTATTATTCAATGATCATGACAAGTTATCATTCAATGAAGTTAAAGAGATGACTGAGCTGGATTCAAAAAGTCTCTCAAGTATCTTGTACTCACTTACTAGTGGTAGATACAAAATTTTAAAAAAAGATTCTGCTGGTATTTATTCAATGAACGATGAATTTGAAGATCGTAAAAAATCTATAAAAGTGAAACAAATTCAAATGAAACTGAAAAATGGGGAAGATGAAGACGTATGGATGCAAGAAGTGGATGATAATGTTTTCAAAGCTGATAGAGATGAAATTACTAAAGCTTTTATTGTAAGGGAAATGAAGTCAGAAAAAGAGATGGACCATGATGTGCTTATGAAAAAAACTGTTGATCGTTTTGTTGTTGAGTCCGCCGAAGTTAAGCGAATTATTCAACTCTTATTAGACAGTGAATATATTGAAAGAATCGAGACAGATAGGTATAGATACATTCCTTGAGATAAAATACAAGACTTGATTCATAATAAAAGTGTAGTCCAATCTTTTTTTATGACGTATACATTACAAAAAATATCATTAACATTCAGCTTATTCAGCCTCAAAAATGTCGTCAGCATGGTGAATCAACTCTTCAATCAATTTACCTTGGTAACTCATATCACTAGCATTAAAATCATCTTTAGGGAATAACGTTGGACCCCAAATGATACCCAAATTTCTAGAGTTCATTAAATTGGCCTCTTGTTTGGAAACGACTTCACTCAAATGGAAAATCAAACTTCTTAATGTCCAGTAAGAACCATCAGGTAAATCATAGACGACTTGATGAACTCTTTTCAACCTTAGCTCAGGTTCTTGAATTTTGATATATTCCAAAAACTTTGGACTAGCCTCATTAGTAAATAAAGCTTCTGGTAAAGAGTTAAAGTAGGATTTTAGCAATGAGGCGACAGCATAAATATCACTATCAGAAACTGAATTTGGATTTGGTAATATAAGTTTGATATTGGTTGGATCTTTGTCTATTAAATCACGTAATGAGTTGACCGTGGAGACGTTTCCACTGGTTCTATAAATTCCTTCTTTCTCTAAACCATACTTATCTATCACATAGATACATTGACGAACTATGGATGGAACCATTTCACCTTCAAATTCAATCAAGTCTGAAATTGGAGTACCAAATGTTTTAAAGTTGGAAGCTGTGCCTGGTGGTAATGGAACGTTTTCATTATTGATAACAGAGAGCGGTCTTGGACCACCAACGGTGGAACTGTTGAATGAAGCATCGCTACCATCAATATACGGAGAAGATGCAACTGTGTTTGAGCCACCCCTTGGATCTAGATTATTTGATTTGAATGAATTGCTAGTTGGTACCATACTTGGACTTTGAGCACTGGAAAATGGAGTTTCATTATGAGTTGAGATTTTACGTCCAGCTGGTAGGCTGTTGTTATTGCTTTGATTGAAACTTCTCACTTTGATTGAACTGTCACTTGTAGATGGCGCAATTGATGGATGCTGTCTGTATTCCACGGGTATTAACTGCTTGTTTGTAGCAGTTCCTGTACTTCTCAATAAGTATTGATATAAATCACGTTCGTTATTGATGGAGGCAGCAATGCTTTTAACAGATTGAACGTCTTTTCCTGATAGAGGGCTAATTGTTAAACCTGTATTTAACACAGACTCTTCTAGTCTTGACGCGTACTTTTGTAATTGAACACTCATTGCAATATCGATTTCGATAATCAAGTCTTTTAAACTTTTTGCAGTTGATGGTCTGAAAGTATTCAAGAAAACGCTTCTCAACCCAGTTGAAGTTGCAACTTTTTGTCTATAATCAGCATCCGCAATCTCAATTTTCTTTGTTAGAATCTCTTCTTGTTCTGTTGTGGTTTTAGAACCTTTTAAAGTAAATGTCTTTTTTGTGGGATCGGTGGTCTTCAATCTTTCCAACTCCAAGCAAAACCCATCATATTTGTTCTTTGCCTTTTCAGCACTTGAGATGGCATCGACGACTTCCTTTTCCTTTCTTCTGAAGTTTTCTTTGGTTGATTTTCTTGATTTTGCTATAGTTGAACCTAAAGCTGTAAGCTCCTCGTGCATTTGATGTAAACTTTTGCTGAATCCGGATCCGTGTTGAGATATTTTATCATCTAATTTAACAATTTTATCAAAATTTGTGATGAAAGAATCACTCTTCAATGAGCTGGAACTCTTTAATAACTCTTGAGTTGTTTTAGATATTTTCTTCAAATGCTCATTATGATCTTCCTCCAGCACAGCTTTCTTTCTCATATATCTGGCAAACTCTTCACAAGTCAGCACACTTCTCTTCAACCTTGACAGCAACGCATCAATGGCACCATCAGAATTCAAAAGTTTTACAATTTTGTCTTCTTGAAGAAGTTCTGGCGATGAGGCTGGTATTATTTTGGAATCATTCAAAGTTGTTTGGCTAGGAGACGTTGAAACAGTCTCGTGCACTCCAGTAGCACCAGATTCTGAGGCTAAAGGCTGGCTACCCTGAGTTGATGTAGATGCGACCCTTGACTTTGGCTCCTGCGATTGGGACATTCTATCAGCTGGTTCACTTTGTAGTTAAAGCTCTTTGAAGAGTTCCTAACAGACTGTTTTCAACACAAATTCTTGAGCGCGATCTAGTATACGTTTTTGAAAATGATGTATTTCGCAGATCCCAAATTCCAAAAATATTCCGACTTAAAACCCTTCTTGACTGCCAAATGCGGAAATGAAAAGAAAATTCGGCCGAGATAACGGGACAAAAAACACTACACTTAAAAGTCAAACAAAAAATAGTATGTATTATGCATTCATGTTGTATTAATAAATAAGTTTTCAGGAATATCAATTTTTCTTTGGATCATCCTCTAGGTTTATATGGTTTCCATTGTATGTCATTCGGTCATCATTCTCACTGCTATTCAATGTTCTGATCCTAGATTGACTGGAGTTCATTCTTGATAATGACAAAGGGGTCCCTATTCTGCTTCCATGTTCTTGAGTATGTGCACTAACTTGAGGTGATGTGGGTCTTTGGATCTGATCCATGTTGAGATTCAAGTTGAGAGCCGACGGGTGAAGCAAATCAAGTGTATTAGCTTCCGGCTCGTTAAAGTTTCTTGGTGTTTGAGCAGGTGATGCATATGAAGAAGAAATTGGTGAAACTGGATCAATCAAGTCATCATCTTCTTCAATAGTGTCATTGTCTCTATTTTCTTCATTAGCATTGAGTCTTCTGTTACCTTGCTTCCCATACCATAGGGATGATAATCCACCGAACACTCTTGATAGTAAACCTCCGTTTGGTGCTCTTTGTGTCGTCTTTCCAGAATTGCTATATGCGTTTGCATATGTATTGAATGGTTTCAAAATAAGTGCTGAACGTGGTGTCAACTCTAAACTTTCCAAAGTTTTTTCTTCATCAGTAACTCCAAATGTCACCCTTGGAATTGTTCTATGGAAACAATATGGATCATCACTATCTGTTCTGTTTTCGTCTATCCACTTTCTCACGTCATTTAAAGTATCTGTATTCTTAAACTCGTGTCTCAATGAGCTACCATCTAATAGACGAATCAATAAAGCGCACACCAAACTTGTTGAAGGTCTTCTATCCCGAACATTATTTTTCAACGTTTGATTTTCATTGATAATATCATCAATTTTGACATCGTCTTTAACTTCCTCATCATTTGATAATCTTCTTTGTCTTTCCCTTTCTTCTTTTCTTAATTTTTCATCCAACCTACGTTCTTCCTTATCTGCTTCCAACAATCTCTTAACTCTTTCACGCTCCTCTTTCTCAACTTTCTTCTTTCTGAGTTGTTCTTCTTTATATTTTTTGGCTGAAAGTTCTGCAACTTCTTCTTTTAATGTCTTGGGTTCTCTTTTTCCATTTATTTGACTACCTGGTGTATTGGCTCTAGAGCTAGCTTGTGATGATCCTCTCACTGATGATGATCCTGAAAGGTTACCGGATGCTGAAGGGATTTGAGAAGTGTCCCTTGGTAATGTTGGAGTTGACGCTTGCGACTGTGATGGAACTTGGGGCGTATCCGATTGTTGACTTCCCGTTTGCGGAGGATGAGAAGACGATGATGGTTGTGGATGTTGGCCTTGTGGATTTGTAACTAAAACCTTCTTTATTCTTGATTCGAACTCTGTGTTGTCTAAAGCACCATGAATTATATCTAATATAGCTGACACTTTGATACAATAGAAACTGGGTATTATAACTTCTGGAAAGATCTGTTCAAATAAAGCAAACTGGGCAGAATTCTTAACCAACTTCAACGCGATAGCTTTTTCTGAAATCAACTGAAGTATATCATCTGACATTAAAGATTCTACCCATCTGTTTGATTCATCTGATGAATCAGTATTGAATACTATTAATGGTTTATTCTGTGCCACCGAAGCACTAACAGCTGCCTCAACGGTGGAGATGAAAACCGAATCCAAATCAGTCATTTTGTAAGCTTAACAAACGGAATATGTTTCTAGTGTCGTGCAATATGGGTTCTTAGTTGAAATACTTGGATGAACGATGAAGATCAGAATTTTCAACCTTTGTTGATTCACTAGTTTGACAGCGCAATTCTATTGTAATGATTCTGATATTTGGCAAGTTTGAGCTGGCACTAAAAATTACATTTTTTCGCGAAATAAATTGTTGAAAACATCCGAAAGTGGTAATTTGCCATACGAGGAGTACAGTACTGAACATTTTGGTTTCATCATATTAGTTAAACATCTTAATCATGATCTTCTTCGATATAAACAGCTTCTCTACTCAAGACCGTTATTCTCTTGAAAAATCTTCTCCATTCTAAAGGATCACCTTTGGTCTTGATGAACTCAACAGTCTTCAATTTCAAATTTTCCACTCTGGAGATTCTAATACTTCCTCTCAAATAACCCTTTCTTCTATCCATAGTTTGGATAGATATGTGAATGTTTCGATGGGACAAATATGATTCTGTAACATTTCTTTGTTGAAATCCTGTTGTTGAAACACCTGTTCTGTTAAGCGCTGATAGTATTATTGGTAATAAAGATTCAACTGGTAATATAGAAAAAAATCTTGTAAGTCTATCAGCGAAATGAAATTGTGGTGTGTTTTGAGTGGCTTGTTGCTTATGTTTGGAGAATTGGAGGATTGCAGGATCTTGTGAAATGATTTTGAAAATACTTTCACGTTCACTGTCAAGTTTACCAGCTAATTTTGCTTTATTATATTCAGTGTAAACTTGTTGAGTAGCGGGCAAATTGTCAAAATTGTCATCTTCATCATCAATCATAGCAGCGATATCAGCAACAGGTTGAGATGCGATGAGTTGGTTCTCAATAGATCCATACTCATCTTCATTTGAGCTCTCCACATAATTCTCATCTGAAAGACCAATATGCATATTTTCAAGCAATTTGGTTGTAAGTAACGCAGAATCTTTACATAACCCATCTGCTGTGGAGTATGAGTTCTCTTGATTCACCCAAATGTGATTTCTTATTTGATCCATGTCAGGTCTTTTACCAGCATCGATCTTTAGAATGATTCTTAGCAACGACAAAACCATTGGTGAGAATTTATTCCAAGGAGCTGTTAAAACTTTACCTTCATTTGCAAGATAATGACTGAAGAAAGGGTCATTAATAGTAGGTTCTTCCCATGGTGTTTCGCCACTAAGCAGAACAAATAGCACAACACCACACGACCAGATGTCAGTGAATTCGGGATCATAACCAGCTTTATGAGTTGCAATCTCTGGGGCCATATAAGGTGGTGAACCACATGCTGTAGTACATAGTCTTTTTTTAGGGTTGTTTTGTCTTTTGAAAACAGTAGCAAGACCAAAATCAGCTAATTTCAAATTTCCATGTCCATCTAGTAAGATATTTTCTGGTTTTATATCACGGTGAGCAACACCCAACTTATGCAAAAAATCGATCGAACTTATTAACTGCTTGAAATAGAAATGTGAAATTTGTTCATCGACACCAACATCCGGCTGTATTTTGTCAAATAAATCACCACCAGGAGCAAGCTCCATTGCAATGTATAGCCAATTACTATCAGAACCGGCATCCATAAGTTTGATAATATTTGGATGGCCTGAACACTGTTTGTGAAGTAAAACCTCTTTCCCAATGTCGTTATCTGTGAGCCCATTTTGATGTGATCTCTTTCTATGGATAAACTTCAAAGCAAACACTGAATTCTTTGGCTCTATGTATGCTAATTTAACACTATCATTCACGTTAATTTCAAGTTTCAGTCTCAAGCAAAAAAGTGAAAACTTACATGGCAAAAGAACCTTGTCCAATTGTATTACCAAGTCTCACCCTGTGAATTCTTGGTAAGGGATCGAGCTGAGAGAGTCTTAGATTAGACATCTCTTTTGTTATTGATATTCTTCGCTATTGCTGAGTGTCTTATGAAAAGTTGAAGAGACAGATCTGATCTATCATGATTTGAGATGCGCTTCGTTTGTTTGTTTTGACCCTTCCCGATTTGGTTCGAGAAAACCAATTTACCTGTAGAGAGATATAATTCCCAATTAGGAAGTCAAGCTCTCGGGTATTATAATCTTGACACTTGAAAATGTTGTAGGAGAATCTCTTAACAAAGTTCAAACTTCATACAATCACATTTAAAGGTGAGGGTACTGGGCAAAAAGGTTCCTTTAACCATCCTTTCCACTAATTTTGGCCATTCGAGTCTTTGGACTCACTAAAAGTTTTCAACAACTAAAATGATAGCAGCTAAAGAATCAAAAGTGACACATTCTGTGAATGATGAGAACAATCCAAAGATTATAACAACCAATTCGGAAGTGCTTAATGAGCCTGAATCTCCAACAATATCAAAATTCCGAGAGCAGAATCCCAATCTCCAACCTCTAAGTAAAGAAGAAATCAATAATCTAAAAACTAAAGGAAGACATAGTATTCAAGCACTGCCCACTGTTCAATCAGTTACATCCTCAGATTCATTGAGTAGGCAACATTCATTCAACTCCAAGGATTTCAGATCCAAGATTAGTCGCAAAAGCTTTTTGAGATCTGGTGAAAAAAGATCCGTTAAAACTTCCACCCCAGATACTCAAACATTCTGGAAATATCATGTCCTCGAATTTGGTAATGGATTGTATCTTACAACTAATCCAGATGCAAAGCACATGTATTGCCGCAATGCACCTGGTTTCCATGTTGAAATAATGTATCCAAATAATAGCCGTGGTCGTGTTGATATGTCTGGCAGAAGTGGGTTCCGTTTGGTGTTCAAAAATGAAATTGATGGGGATGTGTTTTTAACAGTAACAAAGAATTCACAAGGTTTTGATGTTGATATGGTTCGAAGATTTTACGAAAACAAAGAAGGAAATCTGGCCGCTGCTAGTGGTGAAGTCAAAAGTAATCATCTTCATGCTTCTGAAATAGAAGTTGATGAGCTCAAAAGGAGATATTTTGAGTCGACTTTGAATCCTTTTAGATACCAACTGTTTGACTTTAATGACAAAGAATGGTTTCTAGGATCAATCCCTCAATTTAAAACTGCTACGAAGTTGAAAAATAAAAGATTCATCTTCTTTCATGAGCCTAAAAGAGAAAGAATACTATCGTGCTTCAGACCTCAAGAGATAAGGACAAAGAAAAAGCTGCTAAAAAAATTCAACAGATCTGTTCAATCCAGCTCCAATAGTTTTTTCTACAATGATGAAGATACATCTGAATCCGGTCTTTCTAGCAGATATGATAGTGTTTATTATGCTCCAGGTGATGGTGTGTTCAAAGAAGATCCACCAGATGATTCGCCAAATAATGAAAAGCTCGGTTGGATTACTATGTATGATGACTTTGAAATATTTAAGCAACCAGGTATGTGGGAATTGACACTATCACTTACATTGGCTGCAGGGTTTTCCAAAATTTTGGAGGAGAATTACAGTGATGACAAATAATGAGATTGAGTATATTAATTAATTGTGTAAAGCCTCTTTTTCTACCTTCTTTTCGCTCTTTGGGTCTATCTCATTTGGTGCCAACTTCAACTCTTGCAATTTATCAACCAATTCATTTTCTGAACTTTCAGTGTAATGTTCTGGCTTTTGTCTGCCCTTTTCTTGGGACAACATCTCTTCAAACTCTGCTTCAATCTCTGAGTCATCAACTTGTGTATCGAGACGATTAAATTCAGCAGCAATCTTATCATTTTGATACGTTTCTTCCTCTAAATCATCCATGATCTTTTCAACCCTTTCAACACCTCCAATTTGTGAGTTTAAACTTTTCAATATCACAGTACCATTTTCCAAAGCTTTCAATAATTGAACATTACTTGAGGATTCATCAATTTTGTACATGACTGATTCTAGTTGGTTCGTCAATGACAATTGGGTTGAGAGCGAATTTTCTGCGAGTTTCTTGGATCTGAGTAAGTTTAATGATAAATCTTTATTGTTCTTATTTCTCAAACTCTCTTTCAATCTCAATGAAACGTTATCAAGCTTTTGCTGAAGTTCTTCGGTCTTAGAGTTCAAGCTTTTTAACGTGGATTTGATTTCAGCAATTGATTCATCCTCTTCCGTTACTTCATCTGTGCCAAATTTCACTATGTCGCCTTTAACTTTGACCTTATGAACATCCCTCTCCAGATATGTTAAAAGAATATCATAATCAAGATCAGATAGCTTCACAATTTTTCCATACAAATGAATATTCAAAGCATTCAAGTAACTAAGCAGCTCGAGCTTTGTGAAAACATTTCGAGAATGGGTAGATAAATTTTCTAAAGCTGTTTTGTTTTCAAGTTCTTTCACGTAATCTTCCAATAAGTTCTTGGATATCAACTTATCTGACTTTAGCTGGTGTTTTCTATCACCGATTTTGTAAGAGGTATCGTAAATGAATCTGTTCACCGTCCAGTTCAACATTGGCCTTATCCATTTTCTTGAATAAATGCTATCTGTCCTTTGTTTGTACTGTTTAATTGGGATCAAATCACCAGTAGCGATCAGCTCATCAAGCACCAAATCTAATGACATTGGCTTCCCATATTCTGCAAGTGTCAACTCTTCTAGTAGACCATCTGTGGATAAGACAAAAATATCTTTGAGGACTTGCTTTTGGAAAAAAGTTTCAACTAATGATTTCCATGCAATCATATTAGCCTCGTAACCATATGGATTAACTTCCTTCAACTTCCTAAAATCAGAGTAAAGAGAGTATAATCTAGACTTGGTAAACAATGAGTGGGATGTGACACAGTCTCTGACTTTCGACATTTTCTGGGATGATTGGATGGTGAAGGATCACTTTCTAAAGGCTTTGTTGATGTTTTGATATTTTGTGCCAAAAATGTTTTTTTTCTACTGGTGTTCATTTTTTCAATTTGCCTCTTCTACTACAAATCAAAAGTTGGCTGAACATCCAATTGGGCATCAGAATCAAATGTCAAACAATACTCAGGAAATAATCCTAAATGTTCAAGAGCATCTACAGAAGGTTGACAATGCTGAGGTTGGAGACCTCGACGACAGGCTTATTGATCAATTAATATCCTTGGTGACTATTGACAAATCGGTTTATGAAAACAAAGAACTCATCAAGGAATTGCTAGTGATTGTCGTGAAAGTCCTTCATAACACATCCATTGATATTGACTTCAACAAGCTCATTGAGCTTCTAGATGGTTTGTTGTCAAGTTTGGATTTTGAAAGTGTGGTTGAGCTCTTCAAACTATCTTCCATAGTCGAGGCTCTTAACTCGCCAAATGAAAATCTCCAGATCCTAGCTCTCAAGGTTTCATCAAAAGCTAATCCACCAGATATCATTTCCAACACTGAAATTGTGCCAAAGATTATACATTTATTAGCCACAAAAGAAAGTTCTATCAAAGTCGTCAATGAGGTTGAAAAGGCGCTTGGTGCATTAGTCAGAGGTGAATTGATAAGAAGACGTCTCTTGAGTGACAGTGTCATCTCAGTTTTATCTAATATGAAATCTTCAAAGGACACTACTTTGAAAACAAGGTTGTTGGATTTGGTTGTCCAGATGTTGCCTTTTGTGAAGGAGGATGAGTTACCAGATGGTCTTTACCTATTTTCAGATTTTACCACAGATAATGACATTCTCTATACCTTGAGCTTGATTCAATTTTATACGCAAATCATAGAGATCGTTGACTCGACACTTAACAAACAATGGCTCCTCCAGAAGGTTTTACCAGAGGTTCAACTCATTGGGAAATTATATTTTGAAAGACATGACAACCCGAATGTTGAATATTTTGCATTAACTGATATATCCCTGTTTTTCAAAAAGTTGTCATTTGTGTCACCTGAAACGTTCAAGCCGATTGATCAAAGCTTCATAAAATTAACCCATAATGATAATTTTTTACTTTCAAGTATCAATCCATCTTATTTGGCAATTGCTTATCCCACCCTACTCAAGGGTATAAGACTAACAGCGGATACCGTCCCTGTATTTAGAAACTTGATCTCAGATGAATCCAGTTTTCATTTGATACAGCCTGAAATCACCACAGAAAAGTTACAAAGATTATCGTACCTTGAATTTGTTGCAGTTTTAAATAAGCTTTCACAATTCCAATACAGTGCAAAGTACTTGCTCCAAAACCTTCCACAGATAATGAACAAACTTTTGCAAGGTGGAAATGTTATCGAGCCAGAAAGTTTTCAGTTGAGAAAAGATACTATTGAAAAATTACTAGCTTATCCTGATGAAGACTTGAGTGTCTGGAAAGAAGCACTAGTGGGTGAGCAATACAAGCTGACACATGGGGCTCCAATGAAAATCCAGTCACTAGTTCATGATGGTACTATATAGTTGAGATCAATTACCGTTGGCATTGTTCGTTGATGTAGTCTATCGTAAGTGGCGCTTAAATCCGCTCTTCTGATTAGGTAACATTTTTTTCAACTAATGTTCTTGACAGCGAAGCGTGGTCCATGTACTTTCTTGAACAAGTTGATTAATCTTCACTCAACAATGAGCTCGTTGAAAGAGAGAAAGCAAGATTTTGTCGCAGGTCTTAGTGGTGGTGAAATACCAGAAATTAATGCTGTCACATCAATTGCCCTTGTGGCTTACTTTTCCTGGAGTTTAATCAACAAGTACACTGATCTTTTCAAAGGCTCCAAAAAATGGGAACCAACTAGTCTGATAATTGACTTCTTGCTGAACTGGGGTGGCTTATTATTATCTATTACAGTATATTCAGGCTCTCCACTTTTCTTAGCTGCTGCAATTTTATTGCCATCGGCCTCATTGAGCGTGCTATTTGGAACACCAATCAAAGTGAAAGCCGATCAAAAACCTGCCTCAAAAACATTAACAGACAAGACCTATCTAACTAAAAAACCGTTCATCACGGCATATAGAGGTGGGATGCTCATTATCACAACACTGGCTATCTTAGCTGTTGACTTTCAGGTGTTTCCTAGAAGGTTTGCCAAAGTTGAAACTTGGGGGACCTCTTTAATGGATTTAGGTGTTGGATCTTTTGTCTTTTCTATGGGTATTGTTTCAACAAGAAGTATCATATTAGCAAAATTCAACAATGTTAAGGTCACATATATCTCTAGGTTATGGAAGTCAATTTCAAGCAGCTTTACCGTTCTTGGGCTTGGTTTTTTAAGACTATTTTTTGTTAAAAATCTAGATTATCAAGAACATGTCTCTGAGTATGGTGTTCATTGGAATTTTTTTATCACATTGGTACTTGTGGGACCTCTAACTATTTTTATGAGTCCTTTGTTTTCTGTTATACCACGTTGTATAGCTGGTCTTCTGGTTTCTTTGGTCTATGAATGGTTCATTGTCAATAGAGAAGGGTTTTTGAATTACTTATTGCTAGCACCAAGAACAGATTTGGTAAGTTCAAATAGGGAAGGAATCTTCTCTTTGTTTGGATATCTATCAATCTTTTTAGCGGGTCAATCTACAGGATTCTATGTGCTACCTTCAGTCAAGTCTAAATATAACTTGTTCAAGCCAAGTGACAAAAACACCATCATCAGTACACAAACCTCCAAACTGACGTTTTTCCAAAGACTTACAACAGTGTCACCAATAACGGGTCTCCTTATCTGGTTTGTGGTTTATCTTTCAGCATTCAACTTTGTCTCAGCAAATCATGAGTATAGTGTCTCAAGAAGACTAGCAAATCTGCCATATGTTCTTTGGGTTTGTGCTTATAACACGGGTTTCCTTACCTTTTATGCCTTGACAGATAAACTTTTAGACTCTGCTACATCATCATACGAAGAAAAGGTTCCTCCTTCTTTAGAATCCATCAACTCTAACGGTATGATTCTGTTTTTGTTATCAAATGTATCTACAGGTTTAGTCAATATGACAATCAACACACTGGATGCCTCCACTGGAAAGTCAATGGTGGTTCTTTTTGCATACTCCTCATTAATTGCCCTTGTTGGAGCATTCCTCTACTATAATAAAATCTTTATTAAATTATAGAGATCTCTTTTAATGAAACGATCATGAATCTTGTGGGTACTTTGTAGTGACGATGTGGCTCTTACCGATACAGTATCTGATTTTTTGCCGAAATCATAACAAACCTCAAGAGTGAAACCATAAAACTCTATATATCCAGATCTAAGGAGGATATGTTATATTCAGGCTCCAAAGATGTTCTTCAAAGGATATTGAGTGGCTTGAATGATGCACAAAGGGCAGCTGTCACCAGCTCTCCAAATGGACAGCTACAAATCATCGCTGGTCCAGGAACAGGTACGTGAATTGATCATCTTTCTGGTTACTTTTGTACTAATCAAAGAACAGGTAAAACCAAAGTTTTAACCTCCAGAGTTGCATATTTAATGATAGAGCATAATATACGGCCAGAGCATATTATTGTGACTACTTTTACCAAAAAAGCTGCCAATGAAATGAAAGAAAGACTATCACAGATGTTGGAAGGAACAAACATTCAACTAAATAAATTGGTGATTGGGACATTTCACAGTATCTGTATGAGAATTTTGATGCAGTATGGGTATGTGATCAATCTCAAGGGCTTCAAAATTGCAGCTGATAGGGATTGGGATGAAGTGATGAAGTCTTTAATAGATCCAATCACAGATGATATTGCAGATATCAGAGATCTTGTATCTAATGGAAGCTTAAATGGAGGGAAACCACTTCAACTTGAGCTTAATAAACCATCAGAAAAATCACCATATGATATCAAGAAGCTGAGGAAGCAAATATCCAAATTAAAATCCAAAGGTATATACCCTGATGACTATTCCTTGCAAAAAGATTACAACAAAGAATTACACATTATCTTTAAACTGTTTCAAGAAAAGCTTGAGTCAAGTGGGTTACTGGACTTTGATGATCTGCTTGTAAAAACCAGTCAGCTATTATCTAAAAGGAACTGCGTAAGCAAAATAAAGCATGTGTTAATTGATGAATTCCAAGATACCAATACCATCCAGTTACAGCTCATGGTGAAATTTGCTATGGGAGTCCCTGGAAACTGCAATAATATTACTGTGGTTGGTGATCCAGATCAAAGTATTTATCGTTTCAGAGACGCAGTTGCTTTGAACTTTGAATTGATGAGAAAGAAATATCCAGGTTGTGAAATAATCAAATTGAATGAAAACTATCGTTCCACAAGTGATATTTTGGATTTCAGCGAGGCTGTTATGCGTCAACAAAACTCAAGAACTTCAAAGAATTTAAGCTCACAATTTTCTCATACTTTCCCTGCAGTTCATCAATCGTTCGGATCCAGAGAAGAAGAAGCGGTAAATATAGCTCAGGAAATCAAATTTCTGAAGCTTTTGCCTAAATTATTTCAAAATTCTGATTTTGCAATTCTTATACGGGCAGCATATCAAAGTCGAGCTCTTGAAAGGGCATTAATTGAAAAGAAAATTCCTTATAGAATTGTTAAAGGCCGTGCATTCTGGGAAAGAAAAGAAGTTGAACAAATTGTTGATTTTTTAAGACTCGTTGCTTATGATGATGATAAAGCAGCATTCCTAAGAACTTTAAAAAGCTGTACTTCAGGTATTGGCCCAGTTACTATCAAGAAAATTGACGCAGTGATTGATGAAGAAAGTAAAAAGGGGTTTACTGCTATCAGTGCATTATATAAAATTGCTCGTGGTGATTTTAAAGGTGTTGGAAGTTCTAAAAACAAAGATCAAATTCAGTTGTTTTTGGAAATGGTTGAAAAGGCTAGAAATTTTGTTGCTAATGACAACTACAGTCCAAACCAGTTATCCTTGTTATTTGAATTTTTGAAATCACAGGAACCGTTGGCATCACTTATAAAAGAAGAGGAAAGGGCACAGAATATTGAAGAAGTAAAATCCCAGTTGGTTGGTTTTGTTCCTACAGAAGTTGAACCGATAAACTCTGAAGACAGTGCGCCATTGAATGAAGACACTTTTTTACAAAGCTTTCTTTCATCAATTCAACTTTACTCTGTTGATGACAAAGAAGAAGATAATGAAGATGGCGTTGTTTGCATTTCAACAATTCATTCAGCCAAAGGTCTGGAGTGGCCAGTTGTTTTTATACCAGGTTTGACTGAGGGTCTATTGCCTGCTAGTTTTGCTAAGAAAGATGAGAATGAAGAAGAAGCAATTGATGAAGAAAGAAGAATATTTTACGTTTCAACAACAAGAGCCAAGCAACTACTTTATGTGACCAACTCACTTGAATGTAATAGTTGGTCTATAGAAGCACCAGAGCCATCAAGATTTTTGACAAATCCTGTTAGACGATTAATGGAAGATAAGCAATTGGCTTTTAAAAATGTTGAAAATATAATGAAACTTTATGATATCCAAGGTGTTCCTTATGACAACGGTTGCTTCGATGATAAAGTATCAGAAGTCATTCGCCTCTACAAACTCGCTTTTGTTGAAAGATCAATGGTGCAACAAGATGTACATTCTGAGCGTTATGAAGGTTTCAGTACTGTGAGAATGTATCTGAGAGATCCAAGCTTTTCCAAAATTGCAAGAAGTCTCGAGTCAGAACGTATCTCTCAAGCAGATGTTGAAATTGTGCCACTTCCTGGTCCTGGTGTGAAAAGTTATGCTCCAAAAGTATCAGAACTGGACATTGAATCGTCAAAAACAGATGTACCAGTGAAAAAAGCAGAAGAAGAGTCGGAGGAAGAAACTGACACAGATTCAGATGATGATTTACCACCACCTGTGCCACCTAGTATAAGCAGGTTTTTTGAAGAAAAAAATGATACAACTTCAAAAATAATACAGCGTAAATTCTTCAGTCCAATTGATATCAAAGTTGATCCGAAAGAAATAAATCCAAAAGATCTAACACCAAAGAAGACACTGAATAATAAAAGGTTTTTAACACCAGTTGAGTTGAAAGTTGAACCAAAAGTTACCGCTACAAAAGCTGCTGCTCCAAATTCAAGATCTGGTCAAAGATTCTTTGCTCCAGTTGAAGCAAAAGTTGATCCAAAAGTTATTTCACCAAAAGTTGTTCAATCAAGTGCCCAATCACTCAACCGTAGGTCATTTGCACCTGTGGTTTCACCAACAAAGGTGCAATACATGCCAAACACACAAGTTAGTGAACCAGTCAAGATGAAAAAAAGAAAAACGCTAGGTGTTCGAAGAATAAGAATGCCATATAATTAATGAAATACTACGATTTGGGCAAATTTCAGCTAGCTTGAAGTCAATAGTTAATAAAAGTACAATAATATACAGAATGGTTTAGTCTACTCATCTCTTGAACCCTGGTGGTGGATTGAAACCTTTAGGAGCTCCTGAAAATCCTGGAGTACTTTGTGTACGCACAGGGGCTGTCAAACTTTGGCCAGTGCTCTTTGTGTTGTTGTTTTTCAATGGTTTTATAACACCAGAACCTTGCTTCACGCTTAATCTTGATTTTTGATTTGCAGGTGGTGCTTCAATTGTAACAGATATCACATGTTCACCTCTCAATATAACTAATCCTAATATTCTTTTCTGTTCTTGTATTAGATTTGATTCAGGTTCATCTGATTTATTTCTTGCTCTATCTTTTAATGATAATAATGATTTCTTTGTAAGTCTAAATTCTTCTGTATTTGCCAACACCAAATTATAATGTTTATCAAATGATAAAAGTTCACCAATAAATTGACGTGAATCAAGGGTGATGACTTTGACACGATAATTTATTAAATCAGACTTGAATTCCTTGTTAGTACATGATGTCTCTCTAATAATCACTTTGCTTATACATACCAATCTCGTCTTTTTTGAAACATTAACACCAACCTGTGAAGTTTGTTAGTAATAAAATCTTTTATTGAGTTCAAAATCCAATACATACCATTTCTATCTGCTGAAAAAGTATTTTAAAGTCTGTATTTGTTAATGAATCTTTATGAACTGAATAGTACTTTCCAAACCGTCACTATAATTTTGCAAAATCCAATTCGCGGGTAACGGATTTCGCGAAAATTATTTCCAAAAGGACTTCCATCTGCAAATTCATTTCTGATTGAATCCAAGCGAAAAAGAGCGTCAGAGATGCTAGAGCTTTTGTAAGAAAAATGAATTGAAAGACCCTTAAACAACTGGGGTTGATTCTCGGGTGCCCTTTTCATGTATGTTCTCCATGTTTCTCTGTCTGTTCTTATAGGGTGAACTAGACCGGTTCGAAGATTGATAGGTTGTTACAAATTGTAAAAACAATCTACCTAATCCATGTACTGATCCCGGTATAATCTATATAGAAGAGAGTACACGTATCGAGTCCAAGCTGGTTCAGAGCAGGAAATATGTACTTTATTTATCTAGAAGATGGTGTGAAATCTACAGAACGAATTCGCGCCTGGATTTTTGGAGAAGTTCAGGCCGTGTGTCGAAAAGTGAAATATAAGAACCCAGATTTCTTTGAATTTCTTCAAATCTTACCCAATTTACTCAATTGAACTAATTTCAATCCGTCATAATGTCTGAAGAAGTCAAAGAAACCCCTGTTGCTCCTGCTCCTGTTGAAGAATCCAAGGAGGCAAAAGAAGCTGAAGTTGAAGCTAAACCAACTGAATCTAAAGAAGAAGTTAAAGAATCTAAAGAAGAAGAAACTAAAGAGGAAAAACCAGCTGAAACTAAAGAAGAAGCAAAAGAAGACAGTGAATCTAAACGTAAGCCGGAAGAACAACCAGCTAAAAAGGAAAAAAGAGACGTCGTAGACAATACGATGATGCTCCACAAGATGATGAAGATGAAGATGAAAGTGATGAAGATGACAGTAAAATTGAAGCTCAATTAGAGGAAGAAGGCGATGATGAAGAAGATGATCTGGTTGAAATTGATCAAAGTAACATTATCACAGGTGGTAGAAGAACTAGAGGTAAAGTTATTGATTATGCTAAAACCGCTGAGAAATTAGATGCTGATGGCGCAAAAGACGAAGAAGATGAAGAAGATGATGGCGATTTCAGAGAACCTGAAACTTCATCTACTGCTAAATAGATTATGATATCAGCAGGATCGTGTTGATATAATCCTTTAGTTTGAAATTCTATGTATTACTCTATGTTTGTTAAAAGTTTTATTTTTATGTTGCTATCTAAAAGTGTAGTTTTCTACGCGTCAATATAACGCGTCAAAATCAAGAAATTGAACTACAATACTTTATCATGAGTTAAACAATTTAAAATAAACAATGGAGAACTAAATCAAAAAATATATATACCTGAAAAAAAATTAGGGTTGTTGTGGTGGCTATGGGTAACTATTGAGAAATTATGAAGTAGTGAATGTGTCCGATTCTTTGTTTAGTATATAGGGTTAAATATTTTGATTAACAACAGTTACTCTTATTTTTGCTTGATTCATTACCAGGAGTTGGAGTCAATGAGATAGTTGGACCGCCTGAAGGTTTAGGACCAGAATAATCAGATAAATCAAATTGATGTTTTGAGACCATATCATAAATTGATTTCAACAATTGTTGGAAAGATAAATCAACATTTTCAGCATTAAGGGCAGAAGCTTCTGTGAATAACAATTGGTTTTCAGCTGAGAATTGTTTGGCTTCTTCAGTTGGGACTGCTCTTAGATGATCAAGATCAGATTTGTTACCAACTAATTCAATAACTATGTTTTCATCCGCATGTTCTTTCAATTCTTTCAACCATTTACTAACATTTTCATAACTTTCTGATTTTGAGATATCATACACTAATAAAGCACCAACAGCACCTCTATAATAAGCACTTGTTATAGCTCTGTAACGTTCTTGACCTGCAGTATCCCAAATTTGTGCCTTGACTCTTTTACCTTCAATTTCCACCGTTCTGGTTGCGAATTCAACACCGATTGTGGATCTAGATTCAAGATTGAATTCATTACGAGTAAATCTGGATAAAAGATTGGATTTACCAACACCTGAATCACCAATCAATACAACTATACTAGGGGTTAGTAAAAAATGTTCATTTGGGAGACAAAATCAATTTTTGCAAGTGTCATGATGAAAGTACATACTTTTGAATAAATATTCATAATCATATGTGTAGTCATCTGTTTCAGCCATTTTTATTTAATTGTTGTTGTATCTATTGGATTGTGTATAACCTTAATCGTTCGTTGATTTTGACAGATCTATAATTAGGTGGTTAATCTCAGTATGGAGCTGTTTATGGGCACTATGTTTGTATGTGGTGGATATCTATGTTATCAGTTACTTCTTTGAATGAACTTTTGAGATTCCTGTGGTTCTTGTGAGGTTGTGTGATCTTTTTGATTGTTGTTGTTGGTCGAACTATACGTGGTGTATTCAGCATTTTTGATGTTTTGTGATTTTTTTTGCTGGAAGGAAATGGGAAAAATCTACGTGCGACAACCAGATTTTGGAGTTGAAGGACCTTTTTGAAATAAAATTCAATAATTGAGAAGAGAAGAGAAGGATTTTAAGCTTATTTATTGGATATTTGGTTCCAATGCTAAAAATTTGGTTACTGTGCTTTTTTCCATAAATCAAGGGGGCTTATATTGCGTATATTTGGCATATGAGCTTCAATTTCGTGAATTCGCGTCCCTTGAAAGCTACAAAAAAGACACAAACCACAGAAAAACAGTACCAAACCACTTCAATGCTACGCTTTCAATGAATTAACTATTATTACCAGCTTCCACACTTATTGCACCAGCAAAAATCACACCAGAAGACATTAATGACCGGGTAAATTTGCTTTTCCACGAATTTCGCGAATTTCAAAAATTGAACGCGTCAGTACATTTTTTCACAAGAAAAAGTGAAAGCGTAACTCAAATTCTACACAAATGGCAAACGTCAACAACCTCAACCAACTAAAAACTTTCTTCAGGTTTAAGGTATCATTGAGTTGTGAATATACTATTCTGGATCCAATTGTCGGTTCTGCTGATTGTGTTTTATTGAAAACTTGAGCTAATTTTGCTGGTGTTTGATACCTCTTTAATTGGCCTTCACGTTTTTTTACCACAAATAGAGAGTCTGTATTACGTTTGATCAATTTGCCACCATGTCTGAACCAAAAGTTGATACTATTGCCTTCAAGAAAAGAGTAGCATCTTTGCAAAAAAAGTTGGGAGAACAGGAATTAAATGGAGCTGATTCAATTTTGATCATTATTGGGTCCACAGATGATGAAAATCCATATCAAAAATCTACAATTATCCATAATTGGTTATTAGGTTATGAATTTCCAGCTACTGCTTTATTCATCACAAAAGAATCAGTCATATTTGTGACTTCCGCTGGTAAAGCAAAATACATTAATGGTCTTAAGTCAAATTCATTACAAGTTTGGACCCGTTCAAAGGATGTTGAACATAACAAAAAATTATTTGATGATTTAGTTGCTGAGATCAAAAAATCATCCAAAGTTGGTATCCTCACCAAAGATAAATATCAAGGTAAGTTCATAAATGAATGGGACCCTATTTGGAATGGGGTCAAAGATAGCTTAGACTTGGTTGATGTTGGTGCTGGTATTTCACAAGCTTTAGAAATCAAAGATGAAGATGAATTGAAGAAACTTAAAGCAGCCTCCAAAATCTCTTCAAACTTTATGGATTTTTTCCAAAATCAAATGGTCAACATTGTTGATGATGAACTGAACACTACAAACAACCAACTGAGTGAGAAAGTTGAAAACAAAATTGATGATGAAAAATATTTGAATAGTATGAAAAAAGGTGTTGTTGCTGACTTAGATATCAATCAACTAGATTGGTGTTATACTCCAATTGTCCAAAGTGGTGGAAAATATGATTTGAAACCAAGTGCTCAATCCAATGATGATCCATTGCACGGTGGTGTTATTGTTGCTTCTTTAGGGGTTAGATATAAATCTTATTGTTCAAATATAAGTCGTACTTTTTTGATTGATCCAACTCCAGAAATTGAGAAGAATTATGATTTCTTATTACAAGTTGAAAAGAAAGTGTTACAAGCCTTGAAACCTGGTTCAACTGGTTCTCAAGTTTACAATGAAGTTTTGAAATTTATCAGAAGTGAAAGACCTGAATTGGAAAATAATTTCACCAGAAATGTTGGTTGGGCCATTGGGCTAGAATTCAGAGACTCATCGTTTGTTTTGAATGCAAAGAATGAGCGTGTCATTCACGATAAATCAACATTTGATATCACTATTGGTTTCCAAAATATCAACAACTCAAGTGCAAAAGATCCAAAATCTAAAGTTTACTCTTTACTGTTATCAGAAACTGTTAAATTACAAAACAAAGAAGTCACTATTTTGACAGATTATACCAAAAATAGATCTGATGTTTCATTTTATTTTAAAGATGATACAGAAAACGTCAAGAAGGAAGTTGCTGATTTAGGTGATGGGGAAAGACCAAAAAGGGAAGCCTCATCAACAGCACCACACACAAATTCAAAGATTTTGAAATCCAAATTACGTACTGAAACCAAAAATCATGATGAAAATGAAGAACAGCGTCGAAATCAAATTCAAAAAGAATTACATGAAAAAAGACAAAGAGAAGGTTTGCAAAGATTTAGTGATACCAATGCCTCAGATCCTAATGAGCGTAAAGTTGTCTTTAAAAAATATGAATCTTATGTTAGAGAGACTCAAATTCCAAATTCTGTTAAAGATTTGAAAATACGTGTTGATCATAGAACAAACACCATCATTATCCCAATTTCTGGTAGACCAGTTCCATTCCATATTAATGCTTATAAAAATGGTTCAAAGAATGAAGAAGGTGAATACACTTACTTGAGATTGAATTTCAATTCACCAGGTGTTGGTGGTAATACCTCTAAAAAGGAAGAGATCCCATATGAAGATGATCCAAAGAAAGAATTTGTTCGTTCATTAACTCTGAGATCTAAGGATAACGATCATATGAATGAAGTTTTCAAAGAAATTTCAGATCTAAAGAAAGAAAGCACTAAAAGAGAAACTGAAAGAAAAGCTATGGCCGATGTTGTTGCACAAGCTAAATTGGTTGAAGCTAAACCTGGTAGACTAAGAAGATTGGACAATGTTTTCGTTAGACCATCTGTTGATACCAAAAGAGTACCAGGTTCTCTGTCTATTCATGAAAATGGTTTAAGATATCAATCCCCATTGAAGACTGACTCAAAAATTGATGTTTTGTTCAGTAATATCAAACATTTGTTCTTCCAACCATCTAAAGATGAACTGTATGTTATCATTCATGTTAACTTAAAGACACCATTGATTATTGGTAAGAAAAAAACTTTTGATGTTCAATTTTATAGAGAAGCTTCGGATGTTTCCATTGATGAAACTAATGGTAATAGAAGAGGACATAGAAGATATGGTGATGAAGATGAACTGGAACAAGAACAAGAAGAGAGAAGAAGAAAAGCTGCATTGGATAAAGAATTTAGAAGATTTGGTGAACTTATTGCAGAATCATCTAATGGTCTCCTTGATTTGGATATTCCATTTAGAGAATTAGGATTTAGTGGTGTTCCATTTAGAGCATCCGCTTTCTTGATGCCAACAAGAGATTGTCTTGTTCAATTAGTGGATCCTCCATTTCTGGTTGTTACATTGGAAGAAATTGAAGTTGCCCATTTAGAAAGAGTTCAATTTGGTTTAAAGAATTTTGATTTAGTTTTTGTTTTCAAAGATTTTAAAAAACCAGTTGTCCATATAAATACTATTCCAATGGAAGTTTTAGAGGATATTAAATCATGGTTGACAGATGTTGATATTCCATTTAGTGAAAGTACAATTAATTTGAATTGGTTAACAATCATGAAGACATTACAAGCTGATCCAAAACAATTCTTCTTAGATGGTGGTTGGTCATTCTTAGCTGGTGGTTCTGACGAAGAACAAAGTAGTGAAGAAGAAGAAGAATCGGAATTTGAAGCTAGTGATGAAGATCCTAGTGATGAAGATGTTGATAGTGCTGAAGATTATAGTGATGGTGGTGGCGGTGATGATTCTGGAAGTGATTTCGATGAATCAGAAGAAGAGGAGGAAGGTGAAGATTGGGATGAAATGGATAAGAAAGCTGCTAGAGACGATGCAAGAAGTTCATATGATTGAAATACTTGATGCCTTTTGTTACAAGGATAATTTTTTTGATGTTTGTTAGGTTATTGTATGAACAGGAACCAATTTTTTAAAAGTAAGAGATGTAATTTGATGTATATTAAGAAATATCACTGTATTAATTTTGTTTTCAAAGTGATTTTGTACCCGGTTTATTTTCGATCATTATAGCCATCTGTGTGTAGTCTATCTCTTCTGTCAACCATGATTCATGTCCCGATATGCCTTCCACGCGTGAAAATGCTGGTACAATCATCTGATAGGGGTTGGTTTGATTTACAACTTGACTTACAACAAATCTCAAATATGGAGGATTTGATTTGTTCAAAATTTGGTGTACGTCTTGTATTTAACCGTGGACCTTTCAGGTCGTTTGCTCTTCAGCCTATGATAGGCTTGAGCAAATATCCACTTTACCCAAGGTCTTCAAGATTATAGCTGTTGAAAGAAATGATCCATCAGAAACACACCATAGGAGTTAAGGAACCTATGTTTCATAGAAGATGTAGAAGCACTTAAAAAGATAACGTTGAATGAAATAACAGCTGGAGTATACACAAGGTTGAAGAAACCAGTGCCTCATTTAACTCGTACATTACAACTCGAAAGTGTAGGATATCATAAATGAGGTCCCTTAATATCAAGCCAGTTGTTGAACCTGTAGTACCTACATTTCATTCAAAGGGTTATTTTTCTAGATCCCAGTTGAAAAAAGGGTTCATAGGCTGTGAATTGTGTTCCTTGAAGCTAGAACTGTCAGGTACACTGCTTAATAATAGTTATAGCCTACAAGACTACACTTGAAATGCCAATTATGCCATCTGAACTTGGCAAGGTGGTATAGGAATTAATACACTCTTTTCACAATCCTAACTTCTCAGTGAACAGTGTGTAGGCCTTTTCTTGTATGAACATTGAATGAATACCCTATCTTATCAGCCACTGGTGGTTTGTGAAGTTCCCAATGACTCTGGAGCTTGAGCAAGGTTATCAAAACACACATATTGTAAGACATATATGTCAAGCAAGTGTGGTTAAATCAACTAAACATCTGTCAAAACCTCTAATTGAGGTCTATAGGCATGGCTAATACCCTGTGATGGACCATGAGTTGATGGCAATAATGAATAGGATCTTCAGGAAAGGGCGATATAGGATGATGGAATATCTGATCCTTAGCCTATAGAAGAAGAGTGAAGAGCATGGGGCATCAATTCTATTCGGCTCAATTAGAATCAGCCATTCACAGCCCATGAATTATTCCACCATTTTGTCGACGTTGGTGCAATTGTAAACCCGATTCTCGTTGACGCTAATTTTTTTTTTTTTTTTTTTGCTCAACCTGTCAATTTGTAAAGCGCAGGAGATCTTGAAGCATTATCGTTTAAATCTTCCTAATAGCCTGCGTACACTTTGGCACTAGGCACAGAGAGAAGAATCAAACCTTCGTTTGAACCGCCAACTTCCAATCATGTGCAAGCACAAGCACTAGAATGCTAGGGTCCCCTACACCCACTCACAAAAGGGTTTTGAAATTGCTTCACAGGAATCGATTGAGCCAATAACGTTAGAGTTTGCAACGTTATATTTGGCATTTTGCTTGGTGTTTTAGATAATCCTTCAAGTAACGTTGATGAAATTTAATTGCTTGGGTTGGCATACTGTGCACCTAGATCTACTATTACCACTAGATGTTAATTACCCACGGTTAGATAGAACCACAACTAGATGGCACAACGTTTCAAGGTTTGTCTGAGTCAACTAGTTCAATGGTTTTGAGGATTTCAACAAATCAACGGAGCGTATTAGCATGCAATGCTTGAAGTGTCAAGCTATGATCAACTATCGTTAGCTAAACTATACAGATCCTCAAGGTTGAAATTTAAAGCAATATGCATGATGCTTTCATAACTTTTCTCATAACAAAATCAAGAATTGTATGTCCACTCATACTACGGTGCTAATTAAATTTGCTGCCACAAGGTGTTTTTTATTAGCTTTCGGGTCTTTTTGGGTAGCCCAACTTGCATATTTTGTGAAACCTATGGTGGTTGTGATTATCAATAGATCAAAGAAATTACCCATATACACACACAGCTGTTCACACCAAACTTGATTATCAGCCATAAAACAAGCCAAGGGTTCTAGAAATAAATTTGAAGCTCACACCCGAACCATGAATCCAAGTATAAAATAACTCATCAATCCTTACTCAAATACTAAAACTTGATTTTGAGGTCAAAGAAATCATCAATCTCCGGAAAAACAAGCTGACACCTGTCAAATCGTTAAAAAAGAAACCCTGATACAGTTTATCCGAAGAACGGAGTTATCAACATAAAGTATGGCTAATAACAAAAACCAAGTACAAAAGAACAAGAAAGATGACTGGCATACAAGTGATAGAAGTGTGCACTCTTTATCAAGTGATAATGGTAACTATTCACCAACATCGGATGAACCAAGACCTTTAGAGCCTGTTAAATCAATCTTGTCAGCTAGAAATGATACTGATGAACCAAATAACCATGATTATCAAGAGAAAGAGTTCAATGAACAATTAAAACCAATGGCAACACAACAATCATTAAGTAAAAAACTAGGTGACTCTCATGATAAATTGCTTTCACCAAAAGAATTGAAAATCATTTTACTAGCAATGTCATTGTCGTTAATGGTTTCATTTATTGATCAGAATGGTATTGCTATCGTTCTTCCATATATTGCAGATGAACTAAACGCACAATTAACTATAAGTTGGGCTGGTACCTCACAACTGATTGCAAATTGTTGTTTCCAATTATTATATGGTCGTCTTGCTGATATCTTTGGGAGAAAGTATGTCCTTTTAACATGTATCTTGCTGCTAGGGTTTTTTGATCTAGCTTGTGGATTAGCTAAAACTGATGCTCAATTCTTTGTCTTTAGAGCACTAACTGGTGTTGCTAATGGTGGTGTTACCTCTCTAGCCATGGTTATTATGAGTGATCATGTTACTTTAAAAGAGCGTGGTAAATATCAAGGTTATTTAACTTCATTCATAGGTATTGGTAATGCTGTTGGTCCATTTTTAGCTTCTGCTTTCACCACCTATAGTAATTGGAGAAACTATTATTATACTTTATTTGCTATTGTCACTGCTAGTTCTGGTATTATATGGTGGTTTTTACCAAATTCTCACTCACCAATTAGTATTAAAGAGAAATTATTAAATATTGATTATTTTGGCTTCTTATTTAGTTCTGTTGGGTTGATCTTAGTATTGATTCCAATTAATGGTGGTGGGCTAACCTTTGCATGGGGATCACCAAAAGTTATTGTCATGTTTGCTGTCGGTGGATTATCATTAGTTGCATTCTTGTTTATTGAATGGAAAGTTGCCAAGTTACCAATGGTTCCATTTAGATTGTTCAAATCCATGTCCTTGGTTATTGTCTTTACCCAATGTTTCTTCTTTGGTATGTGCTATTATCCATTGTTTTATTATTACACATATTATTTTGAAGTTGTTAAGGATCTAAAACCAATCATCACTGCTTGCTTCTTCCTTTGTGTTGTCATTCCACATGCTGTTATGTCTGCAGTATCTGGTAAAATCGTTTCCAAAACAGGGCATTATAATCCAGTTATTTGGGCAGGTTATACATTCTGGGTTTTAGGATTTAGTCTTTTAGCAGGTGTTGTTCAAGTTAGTACTCCTTATTATGGTATTGCATTAATCATGGTTTTGAATGGGTTAGGACAAGGTATGACTTTCCAAAACACTTTAATTGCAGCTTTGGCACATTCAAAACAACAAGACCGTGCAGTTGTTATATCAACTAGAAATGTCTTAAGATCATTTGGTGGTTCATTTGGTATGGCTTTCAGTTCAATGATCTTTGCTACATCATTCACCAAGGATTTGAAAACAAATTCATTCATTAATCAATCATCAAACGGATACTTGAAGAAATATTTACAAGAGCATGTTTATTCAAAAGTTGATTTCACTCAAATTAGTGTTGATGCTCAACAACATCTATATGTTCAAGAATTATACATGAAGTGTACAAAGAATGTTTTCACATTTTGGGCACCATTGATTGGTGCATGTTATGTTGGTTCTTGGTTCATTAGAGATCGTGGTGTTGCTTCAAAGAGTGATCAAGATAGATTAGCAAAAGCTGAGAAGGAAGCTCAATCTCCTGAACAAAAAGTATAAAATATATATAATTAAGAGAAAGCTGATTAATGTGTGTTCACTCCTTTGAACTTATTTATCTATTGACATCAAATACAGTCGTTCGTTGTTTTTTCAATTTTCATGATAATAGGATAGAGGAAGTCTATATAGAAATTTTATATTCATACAAAATTATACATTAGGACTTTTATCATTAAAACTAAGAATATTGTAGAACTCTACTTCATTATAATAGTCAATTAATTACTCATCAATGCTAAAAATTATTTCCCATAATAATACTCTGGAGAACCTTGTCCCTGACCTTGTCCTTGACCCTGTTGTTGGGGAGGTTGCTGTTGCTGAAGATGTTGGGGAGGCGGATAAGGAACACCTTGTGGAGGTAGATGTTGAACCATAGGGTACCCAGGATGATAAAGTGGTCCAGTGACTGGGATATGCTGTACATAAGTACCAGGTGGCGGTGGAGGGATATGCTGAGGAACTGGGATGGGTAATGATGATGGTGCTGAGACTGCAGTAGTTCCTGGTCGTGGAGTAGTATTGAACCCCATTGTTGGGAAGCCATGGACATGTTGCTGCTGTGGTTGTTGAGGTGGCTGTTGGGGATTCATAACTCCTCTGTTTGTAAAATTAAACGCCGTTTCATGAAAGTGTTCAACTGATGGTAATTTTGTGAATGTTGAAGAAGAATCTGACATTGGTAATGAATTTGATGATGATGAGGGTTGTGCAGATGATGAATATAAAGGATGAGTATAGGGTGAATATGAATTTTCTTGAATCTTTGGAAGTTTTCTATGTGGTAATTTTGATATCGAAGTTGATGAAGCTGATTTAGTCAACGATGGAGACGAAGATGAAGTGCTTTGCCCTTGGTGTGATTGATATGATTGATCAGTATAATCATCATTTTGATCTTCAGTACCATCTTCAAATTTCCTAACTGATGGAGTTGACCTTTTTCTTTGCCTTATTCTAGCACCATGTTTATAAAGGAAGCTTGTTAATGAAGTTGAAGGGAAAGAACCTGGGAATTTTTTTGGTGTATAAACAGTAAATTCATCAGATAAAAGTTCACTTCTCCAATATATTTTACCTTGAAATACTTCGAATAAATCAAATTTCAAATTAAATGTACCAATTTTTCTAACAGATAAATCCGAAAATACAAATGTTATAGCATAATTGCTTGCCTTGGGTTTTTCAGTTGGTAATGATTTTTTCAAATAAGAATTTGAAGGAGATGAAGTTCTTAATGAAATTGGCATTCCAGAACAAACTTTTGTACCAATCAGTAAATCATCAACTGATTTTTCAGATTTATTGTTGAATAACATTTTCTCATTTGTACCTTTAACAGTTTGTAATCTTGCAGTGACGAAAAAAGTTGAATAATGTGACCAAGATGGAATTTTACATTGTCTCATTTCTTTAATAATTTTCAACTCATCAATTCTTTCTGATGATCTTGGGTCATTTTCATTAAACAGATGATTTAAATAGTCATCGTCTAAAAAACTTGAATCATCTTTAAATTTGAAATCATCAACTCTCAATTGTAAAACCGGTGGTGGATGGATTGGACGATGTTCAGAAAATGGTGGGAAAACTCGACTTGGAGGTCTTGGAGACACTTTAGCATGAGTTGGTTGTTGTAGTATCTTCAAAGAGAACTTTGGGTTCTTAGGCCTCACTATTTGTCGTCTTTTGGAGCTGGACGAAGTTTTCAGTATTGTTTTCGGCTCGATTGATACTTTTTCTTCAGTTGGCGGACCAGACAGAAGGAAATCAATACTTGACTTTTGAGTTGAACCAATAGGCATTATGACGGTCTGTAGTGATAGCTGTTGGTGTGTATAGTCTGCGTATGATGGTGGTGGTATTGGTGGTAGTGGGGGCTTCTTAGTTGAATCTTATTAATTAAGGGTGATTTAAGTTTTGTTGTTGATAAAGTTGATATTTTTGCTTGTGACGACCAAAGATCAAAAAAAAGTTCCAATAAACTCTTTGAAATGTCTGAGTCCTGGCTAAATGAAACTGAGATTGGGTAATGAGCCTTTCTGGAAGCTAAGCGACGATGTGATTGGAAAGTGACGGAGTGTGTTGTTGTTGTTGTTCAGGGAATTGTGGGAATAATCCTGCTTATACACCCTGAGCTAGTCGTAAATGAACCGAATCTGGGAACTCTTCTTTCTAGATATTGTGCAGGAGTTTAACACTATGGGATTGAGCACTGACAACCAAGAAACGTCCACTTCTGTGGGTACAATTGAAGTGTTTTTATAGGAAGAGGCAGTTTCAATTGTTGTCGAATCTCACCAAAAATTTGATCGACAATCTCTTATTTTCACGCAAGGTACAGTTTTGAGCTACAGCCTTGACTACATCATACAAATTCGAAAGAACTTGGGTATACACTATATATATTCTATTCAATGCTCTTTCATCTACAAAGAATGAGCTATTCTTCACATGTCATGACCTGAAATGATGGTGTCTCAAGTGCAATCTAAAGCAAGCTTAAAAAATTACATCAAAAGCGAAAATAATGTGTTCTAGAAACGCATTTCCCCTTGTACCAGTTCCACTTTACAGACGTACCAGCCTTCCACTTCAAGAATTTCATGGTTCAATTCAATCTTTTACTCCTTGTGCAGATATTCGAAGCTCAATCTAAAACCTGAAATATTGTTAAAAAATATTACATGTACTGTGCTCCCCAGAGATGAACCATTAGACATCACCAGAATAACGCCTTTTAGATCCTAGAAGGTTATAGGTTCATTAGTTGAATTGCAGCTCTGTATCTCGCAAAATCTACAGAATTAAGGCTACAAAGACGTTATGTTACTCAAATGGCAACTTCATTAAGTCTCTTGAGCCTTCGCGAAGCTATTCCGTACTCAAATAAATGTCTAGTATTTTCAACTTCTTATCCGAATTATGATCATATCATGTATTTTAAAAATTAATCACGTGACCAAAATTTAATATATACTAGCATTTCAACGGATTTTGGTCCTCAGAACTCGTCCTTGTTAGCTCAGTTGGTAGAGCGTTCGGCTTTTACAGTCAAACTAGGGAAAAACCATTTCTTAGCGGAAGTTAACCGAAATGTCGGGGGTTCGAGCCCCCCTCAGAACTCGTCCTTGTTAGCTCAGTTGGTAGAGCGTTCGGCTTTTACAGTCAAACTAGGGAAAAACCATTTCTTAGCGGAAGTTAACCGAAATGTCGGGGGTTCGAGCCCCCCATGAGGAGTTCTATTTTTTGCCGGAGTTTTGCGCCCGCAACCGGGTAAATATGAGATAAAATTTCGCGATAATCTTCGCAAAAGAAAGCGGAACTCGTAGCCCATATATCTCAACTACATGATGTTTTTATATCTTTTATCAATGATGAACTGCAATTGGCAATCTGCAATATTGATTCTACTAATAAGATTGAGCCTAATTTAAGGATAAATTAGATCTATTAACTATGACAATAAATCGTCGTCAAGAACTGCTAGCTTTTTATCAAGATGTTGATCAAAATTCTATTGATTCACTAAGAAATCAATGCTATCAGCTTGGTTTATCAACTGTTGGAGGAAGAATTGAGCTTACCAAGCGCCTAATTAATTACAATTTAGGCGCTGATATGTTAAGAGATGATAAAATTATCAACCGTGAAAGCTTGAAAAGTGATTTTGTGACTAGAGAAGAGTTTGAATCGTTGCAAAAATCTGTTCATGATCAAGCTAGAACTATCGAAACAATATTGGATACTTATTACAAGGTGTGCTCATCGAACAGAGACAATTTATCCTCAGCAAGTACAGCAAACAGAAGCTCTGTTACTAAGTCATATGAAGAAAACGGAGAAAGTGTAACCAAAGAATTATTAGTGTCACTTTTAATCATAGGGGGATGCTTTGTACTTTGCCTGTGTCTTTTCCTCTTTTTGAGTGTTTGCCTGGTTGAAATCTCTTGCATAATGGGTCCACCACTGATGAAGTGCTTACACGAGTGGTTGAAACGGTATGCTGAGTGGTTACTCAATGTAGTATTTGGATCAAGTTTTGTGATACCAAGAGCTTAGTTAGACAATATGTAGTTTCTAAAGAGATAAATTGAAAATAAATGACTTTTAATAATGATTATAATGTGGCAAGATAAAGATGCACTTAACAATAATTATATATAAGAACGTTCCACCAATAATATGGATATCAATATTATTAATTACTTTGATATTTACCATATAGCCGGCTATATAAATATATCCTCTCCTTTGACGAGCTTTCCTGACCTAGTGAAAACGTCAACTCTCAATTTGTCACCTCTTTGAACTCTCCATAAAGATTTGTGTGCAATTCCTAAGAACTTTGCATTCACATAAATGATCCAGTAAAGCACTTCAGTATCATCTTTCCATGTTGCAAGTATACTCCTAGAATCCAAAGTGATCTTCCTAGAAAGTTTGGTGACAGCATCTATATTTCCGTTTGCCGTTTTGATACCTTCAACCAATAAATCCCCGATAAGCAATTCATATACAGCATTTGGGTCACTATTTTGAGGAACAATAATCCAAGATTCCGTAAAGTCACCAGATGTGCCAATTGAAGAGCTTAATTCATCTACATTATCAACCCATCGTATCTGAAGCCCCTCCAATACGAAATGTTCCCTTATTTGTAACCTTGGAAGTGCAAATGATGTTTCAATATACTTCCAATTTTTGTTAGAAAATGCCAATGGCAACTTAAAAGTCCCATCTCTAACCCTAGTAACACTCCTATATCTTCGTTCAATGTAAAACTTGATTTCTAGCTGGAAAGTTGAATTGAGCGGAATTTCTGACAAGTACTTGAAGCTCACTGAAACGTTTAGATTATTAGAGTGTATATCATTTTTGAATGAGAATAACTGGAGAATGTTGGATTTCCCATCATTCAAAATAGAATTTCTTTGTGTTACTTTCAAACTTGAACCACCATTAAATGATTCCTTATAGTAAATATCAATCCGTTTTTCATTATCAATGATTGGTGTAGGAAGTTGCAGGTTACCATTCACCCAGTTGTTTTTGAAAACAGTGTGTGCAAAAACTCTGTACTTTGTTCCTTCACCAACACTAAAATTCGTATAAAACTTAACATTCTGATCCTTCACATAGACTGGCGTGGTGTAATGGGAAACATAAGTTGCAACACTACCTCCTGTCTCATCGCTTGTTTGATCACCAATCCAAAATTTTCGATCTTTGATCAAAAATTGGTCCTCTTCAAAATTCTCGTAAGTCCATGCTGGTGCAAACAATGCCACGTTTGTTGAGTATCTTTTCAAATAATTTATAGCTAGACCACTTTCAAACCCTCCATTACCTATTTTTGAGCCTCTCCCCCAAATATCAACACCAACAAACAATTTCTGCTTAACACCTTGCAGACCAATATTCAAAATATTTCTTTTCAAATCTTCTTCATTCCACCAATAATTTGTGAAGAACAGATCTGAGGTGGAAAAATGATCATAATTCCATTCATTGACTGCATTTTGATAGAAAACTCTATTCTTTTGTGTAATCAATGAATCATACCATATTAGCTTTGAACCAGGGACTTTTAAGTGAAGTGTTGATCTCAAAGCTTCGTCAAATAACAAAAGGTCTTGAGCTTTTGCCACGGAGCTGAAGTGAGACTCCATGTTAACCAACCAACCATCAAATCCATAATGCCGTACCAATTCACAAAGAATTTCCAAATATTTGAAGTCTCCATTCTCATTCTTTTCCAACAATTTATCAGATTCAGAGACATCTGTACCCTCAAAAATTAAAGTACCAAGCACTGGTATTCCTTGTCTATGCAATGAATTTATCCAAGACACTGGTGGTACTGCAATTTTGTAATGAGAAAAATAGATGAATAAATCAACCAAAGAAGGAAACTGGATGAAATAATGTTGACCAGATGAATGAGGAAAATAACCTAATGGATTTTCATCTTCACCTTCTTGATAATTGCCTTTGAAATCATGACACACTAGAACTTTTATCTCATCATTGTTGTCTCTAAAACGATTATAGTGTGATAATGATTCCCTTGGAATCCTCAAGTCGTCTAATGGGCTCTTGTTTTTAGTATTGTACCATTTTTCCACTTCATCCAAGCTGCTAAACCTTTGGCTGGAAATCGAGTCTTCTTCAAACTTTATGGCAGCAGGTTCATGTTCCATTCTTTGTGGGCGGCGTTGTGTTGGGGTCTTTTCTGTATTGTTGTCAGGGGATGTGAATTTGTTTTGAGATGAGCAAATTGATCTAGCAATGAGGCAGGAAAAAGTTGGGTTGGAGTTGATATCTGAAAACACTTTTAAAAAAACTTGATGATCAAACACGCGCTCAAATGACCAGCATTTGAATTGACTGGTGTTTAATCGTTTAAGAAAAGAATGCTTTTGTTTTTGGATTTTGACACTTTTTGTAAGTCAACAGACCCGATTCAAATTGGCAGATTGTTCTACAGGTCAATACAATTATGAATGTGCTTGAGATTAAACCAAAGAAAAAGGTCACAAATACTCATTCTTATGTACGTAATTATAATTCTTTTTTATGTTTTTCTTTATTTTGATACTTCAATTAACATTAGATGAAGACATCAAGTTTTCAATCTTGTTTCTCTTTTCTCCTAATTTACAGATTTAATATGCTGATTTGAATATTTCTTCTAATCATTAAAAAGCTTCAGAAAAACCTTCAACAATATGTTTTTGGAAACCACCTTCTTTAGCAGCAATTTCGTAGTAACTGTAGATGGTGGTGACAGCTAACAAGATTGAAGTACCTGAACCTAAAGTTCCTAATAAATCACAAGCAACGGAAAGAGCACCAATTGAAGCACCACCGAAAGCGGCAGCAGTTGGGATGATTCTTTTCAATTCTTTGTAGACTGAAGTTTCACGACGACCGGCAATAACTAAACCTTGATCTTTGAATTGTTTAGCAACATCTCTTGGAGCAGTACCAGAAATTTCGATCCAAGTTTTGGAGAACAGGGCACAAACTGATAAGACAAATGAGACATAGATGACAGTCTTGATTGGGTCTAATAAAGCTTCAGTTAATGAAAGTGGTGGTTGAATGTAATAAGCAAGACCGTTGGAAGCAAATAATTGAGCTGAACCTGGTCTAGCATCCCAAACACCAAATAAACGAACAACTGGGTTCAATGGGAATCTTTGGAATAGCATTTGTGAAATGATGAAAAAGTTTGAGGTAAGTGCGGATTGTAACATGATTGGGGTGTTTGAAGTATAGAACAACTTGATTGGGTACAAACCGTTTTGACCTCTTTGTCTTGTTGATCTAACTGGGATTTCATAACGGAAACCTTGTAAGTAAACAACAAGGAAGAAGACAATAAAAGTAGCCAATAATTGGAAAATGTTTGGCAAGTTTTGTCTGTAAAATGCTTCGACAAGAGCTCTTCTTTTGTCTTTTCTGACACTTAATAAATGGAAAAGAGCAACAACAGCACCTTCAAATTCATCACCACGACCATTGTTAACAGTGGTTGGAGCAAAAGCTTTCCAGAAAATTTGTTCACAAATGTTTGTAGCCATGAACAAGGAAATACCTGAGCCTAAACCGTAACCTTTTTGTAACAATTCATCTAGTAAGATAACAATGATACCGGCAAAGACTAATTGCAAGATCAACAATAAACAAACACCAACACCTAAATCAGATGGTCTACCATAAATACCAGTTAAGACATAAACGGTGGCTTGACCAATTGATAATAAGATTGCAAATAATTTTTGAGCGGTTTGGAAAGTTTCACGATCAGTTTTACTTTCTAAATTGACATCTAAAAGTTGTGTACCTTGTAATAATTGGAACACCATACCTGATGAGACAATTGGTGAAATACCCAATTCCATCAAGGTACCTCTATTTGAAGCAAGCATCATTCTTAACCAGAATAAAGGATCTGAGGATTCTGATGAAACAATACCATATAATGGGATTTCACTCATGACTAAAAAGATCAATAAGGTGACACCAGTCCACATTAATTTTTGATTGAAAGGCACTTTTCTTTCAGGAGCAATAACCTCTGGCAAATAGCCAGTAAGAGGCTTTACAAGATCTAGGACACGGACTGCAAATATTTGTTAGTCTATTAGTTCAATCAGAAAATCGATTCAATTAATGTTGTTGATATTTGAAATTTCACCATCAACGAAATCAACAGAAACACGTCATTGTTCAGTGCAAAAAAAATAACATACAACTACTCATTTCTTCAAGACCGATCTGATAGTATACTCTCTAGATTTTTCTCTTCGCAGGGATAATAATCTAGTTTCGATTGAAATCTTCGTGTTGATCAACCAAAATTTGTTAAAACGTTACTTAACACATAGTCGATTTCTTTCAAGAGGCCAACGCGACATGAAAGTCGGTACGCGACACAAAAGTGGTTGACGATCTACCGGGTAATATTAAGTCACGTGGATGTCACGTTTTTCTACTATGAATTGAATAGAAGAATTAACAAATAGATGTAATTAATGTAATGCAAATGATCTATGATAATGAGAGACCTCTTTTGGTCCAAATTCCTTTCCATGCAATGAGTAATAGTACTGCACTGAAGGCAAATGCTAAGGAATTGATCCAGAAAACAAGACTGACACAGTTACCTGTTGTACTCTCAGTGAAAACACCACATGCTGAATCATAAACCAGACCAAATATCATACCGAAGGTAGTTGATCCTATAGCTGGTGCAATCATAAATGATCCCCATGCGGAACCGAAAATTTCTGGTCCCCAAATCGAGAAGATAACTGTAGGGTATAATGTAAATAATCCACCATATGAAAACCCTGATAATGCACTAATGATATAATATTGATCTTTAACAAAAGTGGATGTTGCAATGAATATTTGGGTAAAGAATCCGAGTACTATTATAGATAATAACAACCAACTTCTTGAAATTTGATAATTTGTAACTAGAAAATCTGATAATGCACCTAATGATAATCTAGATAATGTTGAAAAAACAGCATGGATTGCAACTTGATCAGAAATTAAAGAGTTTGGAGTTATGGCTTTAACCAAGGAGCCCATATTTGTAATATACACCTCTGAAGGGCCAATACTTAACAAAAGAGAGAATAACAAAACATATGTAGAAATATCTTTTATGAATTTCAAAAATTTAGACTTATGATTTGGGACTAAATCGTCATTATTCTCATGCTCTTGGTTTGGATCAGTCAGCAATGGTGTATTCTCACCATCTTCATGCTTCCTCAGTAACACATCTCTTTCAATAGAGACAACACTTGCGCTGACCCAATTAAATAATCCTAGGAACAAATAAAGAAAACTGAAAAACTTGAAACATCTGTATAGATCCAAATCACCATTTTTCTGTAAACATGACAATTTCAAAACTCGTGACCCGATCAAAGAGGATAAACCATAGCATGTCACAGGTGCACTGATAGTCAAACCTTTACTCTTTGGGTAAATCTTTGCGCAAGTTAGTAGAGCTGTGAAATATAGAGCAGAGGTTGCACAACCAATCAGTCCAAAACTTATTGCAAGATACCAAAAACTCCAATCTTTTTGGACAACAGTAGCAGCCAGCGTATAACCTGGAGAGAAAAACAAAACACTAATGACTGATAAAAGCACTGGACCATGACAATCTGCTAAATATCCCAATACTGGTAATGGTAAATACATCCCAATTGAAGTGAAACTACCAATAATATTAATCTGGAACTGTGTGTAATGTAATTGGTGTTGTAAGACAGGAGTGAATAGGGCAAATAGCAGGACTGAGCCAGCACATAGACACGAAATCAATGATATTGAACATGCTAATCTTTTCAATGACTTTGTGGAGAAATGGGTTTGTAGTAGAGAACGAATATGCTTTGTGAGGGCTGTTTCTATGGAAGAGAGAGCCATGATTGTATAGTATGCACCAAGGAATAGCTACTGATGAGTGTAGCCAGGGTAGTTTATAGGAAGTCTAGCAGGGAGGAAATGTTGTTGTGAGGTGAAAAGTGTCAAGGATGGATCGCTTATGACTGTTTTCATCAGACTCATCGCATCAGTGCACTTGACGCGCCAACGCAAAAGAAAAAAAGAGCTTCGCGAATGCGTTTTGTATATTTCGATCTACAAAGTAATAATTCAAAAAGGTCATGACAAGGGTTCATTTCAGCTATTTATATATAAAGTTTGTTGTTCATCATCAATCTATAATTGTTAAGTTCTAAATTTTACCAGTGGCTTTTAAAAATCTATCGATTTCAACCTTACTACCCAACCAAATACCTGATCTGTCATGGATAGCTTTTGGTTTCAATTCCAAAATACGGTCACCATTATCAGTAACAGCTTTACCACCAGCTTGTTCAAACAAGAAAGCCATTGGGAAACATTCATACAAGATTCTTAATTTACCAGCCTTTGATTTGGCGTCAGCTGGATATGCGAATAAACCACCATATAGTAAAGTTCTATGAACATCAGCAACCATTGACCCAATATATCTTGCACTGTATGGTTTACCATTGAATTGAGGTTTTTTCAAATCTGCAATGAATTGTTGAACTTCTGGTGTCCAGTAAGTTGTATTACCTTCATTGACAGAGAAAATGTGTTTTTCATCACTGATTGTCAAATTTGGATGTGTCAAAATGAATTCACCTAATGAAGCATCTAAAGTGAAACCATTAACACCTTGACCGGTAGTCAACATCAAATGAGCAGATGCACCATACATAGTGTAACCAGCTGCAACCATTTCAGTACCTGGTCTCAAGACATCTTTTATAGAACCTTTTGATCCCGGGAGTAATTTATAAATACCAAAAATTGTACCAACAGAAACACCAGCATCTATATTTGAAGAACCATCAATTGGATCACAAACGACAGCGTAATTACCTGGACCATCAAAAACAATTAAATCTTCTTGTTCCTCGGAAACTAAAACTTTCACGTTACCACTAGCTTTCATGGCATTTATAAAGATTTCATCACCAATGACATCTAATTTCTTTTGAGCATCACCAGTAGAGTTTGAAGCACCAGCTAAACCCATAAGGTTAACCAATTCAGCTTTACGGATGTTATTAGCAATGAATTTGAATGCAAATTGTAAAGAGTTTAACAATAGAGTTAATTCACCAGTAGCTTGAGCAGCCACTTTTTGTTGTGAAGTCAAGATAAATCTTGATAGAGTGATCAAATCAGTATCAACGTGGTGTTCGTCAGAGGCTTTGTGGGACATTATGAATATTCAATTGGGTAAAGTAAGTATGGAAACAATACAAGAAAGGGAAACAAGTATGTTTTTTGGGAATCCTTGATGTTTATATACTACTCACGCTGGAAATCGGGAACTGTAGTCTGTGGGGTGCCTGGTTGAGTTTCTTGATCAAAACAAAGCAAAAAGCCTTAATTTCAGCTAGCAAAACCAGGTTGAAATCATGGTCCATAGCCTTTCCAGTGAGCAATGGATCAACACTATTACTTCATTTACTCGATATCACAAACTACAACGTCCCACACCAAAAGCTTTTCCACTTCAGCAACTGTTTGTTTTGTTGCTGGCTTGAGCTGGCAGCTCACTCTAGCAATTGCCGTCCCGGTGGTTTGAGGGTGGGCCATCCCGACGTGCTATACAGTCATTTCCCCAGATAACAGCACAATTGTACATGAATATAGGCTATTTCAGAGGCTATCGAGGAAAACATGGATACGTAAGGTTTAGCAAAGAGTGAAACAAGCTTACAAGCTCTTTGATTGATCCGCTCTTGATCCATTCAGAGATGCTTTGGTTACAGCTACACCAGTAATTGAACAGTCTGAGCAGTTTCTGGTGAACCAGAAGGCCCGGAGTTAGAGCATTGTTCACTTTCAAACAAGAATCAAAAAGTATAGCTGGCTAAAGGAAATCATTGGTTGAAAGTGAGGCCATTTGTTCAAATGATAGACAGCTTGGATAAACGAAGCTCCGTATAAGTTTGTTAAATAGTTAAATATTCGAATAATTGAGTGAGGCAGCAATCTTCTATGCTGCCGGTTTATGTTTCTAGGCTAGTTAATTGCTAAACAGAGAGGGCTCTGTTCAGTTTAAAAGGAGTGGGATTTTGGTTCCGGGAAGAGCTTCTCATGGAGGCCTCTGCCTAGGGCGTCGTTCCAGGCGGAAGCAACTCGCCAACTCGCCTGCTTGTGGCCCTTTCCCAATCCCAGCCCACACATGCCCTTGAAATTTTTTTTCAACAACTGAGGTTTTTCGCGAATTCTAGATTTTGTAAATAATTTGATTCCTCAGCGTGTAATCATCTCGAAGGTTTGTCAAGTTTTAGTTTGTTTTGTGCAATATTATCATTAACTCCAATCCTACCTATTCAAGTTTTCACAAACCACGAAGCTCAGCATTTTGAAATCCAACCTAGATCAAAAAAAACTGCATCATTTCCACAATGGCATCAAGCGCTAAATCCAATAATCATGAAACAAAGCCTGAATCAAAGCAATCATCATCAAACAATAACAATGCTCAACAGAAACAAAAACCTTTAACTCCAGCTTCAAGCCTTCCTACCAAACCTTCATTCGCAAAGAAAACTTCAGGATGGGCTGCAATTGCTGCTTCAAAAAGTCAAGATCCTTCAGCCGCCTCTCAACCTTCATCGGCATCACAAACTGGCTCTACAACACCAAATCCAGTAAGAAAGCTAAAAACTCAACATAGTTCAAACCACACAAATACGAATCAAAATCAACGATCAAATAAAAAATCGACTTCTCCAAAACCTACAAGTACCCAAGTTAATTCTACAAATATAGCGCCAATCGTTAAAAGTCATAAACCATTGAATCAATTCAACAGTGAAGGTGTATTGAAATTATTAACTGAAAGAACTGAAGAATTGATTGCAAATTATCCAATCCAAGCATATAAACCAAGTGGATCTGAATGGTCAAAGCTGGGGAATAAATCTAATCGAAAGAATGAAAAAGATGTTGTTCTGGCTGAGTTGGCTAAATTTCTTAAATGAGGAGATAGAATTTTTCATAGAGTACTTAAAATTGAAAAGAACATGTACGCTATTTCAATACCATGGAGTATTTGTAGAGAATTGATTAAAAGCTTTCATTAATCATGACCCATTTGTTAAGAGTTCGTTTATCCTTCAAAAGCCGGAAAAACTGATCCAAAAGTGTGCGCTTTTCAAAACGGTTATTTAGTGTACACAGTTTGAGGTGCATGATTGTTTTACAACATTATTACCGGCTAGATAGAAGCTATGGGTCAATAGAAAGACTGACAGCATTCAAACACTAGTGGGCTAATAGAATTAGATATGGAGCGTTTGAGAGTAGACTTGATAGGTTAATTGTAATGTCTCAAAATCTCACCAACATTTGCGCAAAACTAGCATTCGCGAAAATCTCAACGCGTGGTGTATAGACGCGTTAAAAGTACCACATACTTAGTTCACTTTCAATTCCCTGTACTATAAGCCAATTCATCAGAATGTCACTTCAAAAACCCAATGACACAAATTTTGTTCGAGCAGTGAGAGCTAACCTTGTTGGACGTGATAGCTTCCTAGTTGTTGCTAGAACTAACAGAATTGAGATCAGTTTAATTAAACCAGATGGCTCATTAAAATTTGAAAGAAATATTGAGATTGACAAAAAGGTCACTGATATAGAACATATGAAAACTGTTCGTGGTGCTTTCAGAGATTGGTTGGTAATTGCAATTGAAAAAAATGGTGGTACAACACTTCGTTTGTTAGGGTTTAGAAATATTAAAGATGATTTTGTTGCACAGGAATTAGCATTGAGATTCAAAGGTAAACATTACACTGCAATCCCCAACTCATTAAGAGAAGAAGCAAGACAACGCTTCATTTCAGTCTATACTGAGGAAGGTGATTTGTTATATTTCCCTCAAGTAGGTGGGAAGGACCTCATGAAAACTTTGCAAAAGTTTTAAATCCTGAAAACAAGTCAAAGTTCAAGTTTTTCAAACAGCCAGAGATATACCCTTCAAGAGCTTTCATTCTCAAAGACCAAGAAGAAATCGTATCATGGGATATGGTTAATTGTCTTGACGAAGATGGTGAATTTGCTTTTTCATTTATTACAAGGGATCGTAGTGGTGAAAAGTATGAGTTTTCCAACCCACTTTATAAAATCAAATCATATCAAACTCAACTAAGAGCTGCCTGGGGTGGTTCTTTCCCTAAACCTGTTGCACCTATTGAGCTGAACTTAGACTTTATTGGATCTATATTGTTTTGTCAAACAGGCCTCTATTACCATTTCTCGCCATATGGGTTTGATATTAAACTAAAAGAGGATGCCAAAATCCAAGACGGCTCAAATCTTTCATTTGTGACTAATGGTTGTGAAGGATGCTTAGCATATTTGGAAACTCCAGGTAAAAACTGGGATGTGGTTGCAGTTGCTCAGGTTGGTAAAAGTGAGGATTCTATTATCATTGAATCAAATGGGGATGCTCACTTGATGACTTTCAAAACTTGTGCAGGTGGTGAATATGAGACGTTTATCACACAATGGACATATAAGAAGTTGGAAGGCTCTTTTCCTGATATTGTTCAACTCGTTAAGCTCAAGGACAATGTGTTTTATGCCATTTCAAATTCAATTAAATCATATGTATTCACAGTGGTTGAAAATGAAGTCAAAATTATTCAAGAATTACACTCTGAGAGAAGAACGTACAAGAGAAAACCTGTTGACTTGATTTTGCCGGAAAGAAAATTGTATAAACATGATGATGAGATTTGGGCCATTTCTCGTAATGAAACCAACTCATATAAGATGAAATCCATGAAGGTGAACAAAACTGCAAAGATGAAAAATGTTCCTACTGATGTGGATATATTAGATATCAAAACCATTGACGGGGAAACATTGGTGTTGACAAAAGAAGGTCTGATGAAAAATGATGAAATAATCAAACCACTTTCAATCAATCATGGTGTTATCCTTGATAAATATGATTTGGTAACAATATCTGGTCTGAAGCTCTCAATAAAAGATGATGTTATTGATTTGAAGTCTGAGCCATCCACTCTACAAGCCGTGGAAACCAAGGATGACAAAGTTCATGCTATAGTTGGTAATTGGGATGGAACTGTTGATATTTATGTTGACAAAGAACTACACAGCTACAAATTATCTTCGTCCATCTGTTCCAGTGCAATTGTTACAATAGGTGATAATGTGGTTTCTCTTGTTGGTTCAGATGACGGTGAAGTTAAGGTGATAAATCAAAAGTTGAATAGAGTAGAACAGATTCTGATTGGAAAGGGAGCCCTTGACTTCTCAAATGTTTTTATCAAGAAAATAATAGTATATAACAAACTGAATGTTGTTGAAATAACATTTGATGCCAATGGTGAAATTAAAGAGAAAAATTACCTAAAACTACCTGCTGAGACCCTTGGTTCATCTGCAATTAGATATGATAACACGGGAAAATTGATCATCTTTGTGGCCAATGACAAAGCAGTCTTGAATCTGATTGACTCTGCAAAGTTATCGAGGAATCCAATATCTTGAACTGGTGAATAAATGAATGAATGTATTATTATAGTGCATTACTGTATGTAGCTCAAAATGCAAATCGTTTTCGCGAACTTGAAGATCAATTCAAATAGAGCTGACGAACGAAAGAGAATTCATTACTTCACCAACCAACTAGCGCAATGTCTTTATTCAAAGGAAATGACACAAACTTTGTGAGATCTTTAAAGGCAAAGCTCGTTGGAGATGATGAATATCTGGTTGTGGCTAGAACACATCAAATTGAGATCAGCTTAATCAATAAAGATGGCTCGTTGAAACATGAACGAACGATTAAGTTTGAGGAAAGAATCTTAGATATAGAGCATTTCAGAGTTGATACGAGTAACGAAGGTCACTGGCTAATCATTGCTTATGATAACAACCCTACAAGTCTTCGCTTTTTAGCATTCAGAACAATTCAAGACTCATTCATACCTGAAGATTTCCCTTTAAGGTTTCGTGGCAAAGAGTACAACATTGTGCAAAATTCATTGAGAGAAGATGGGTTTTTGTACTTTACAGTATGGACTGAAGAAAGAGACTTATTACTATTTCGTCAAGCTGGTAAAGGTTTCGAATGTGAAAATTTTGCAAAAGCCATGGATCCTAAAAACACTTCAAAACTGAAATTTTTTAGAAAACCAGAAATTATACCTTCAAACTTTTTTATACATGATAACAATTCAGAGATTTTAACATGGGATATCATTGGTACAGAGGAAGGTGATTTTGCTTATGCTCTGATCAGAAGTGATAAGTCTGGTAAAAACTACTCATTTACTAACCCATTATGGAAAGTCAAGATGTATGAATCATACTTAAGAAGTGGGTGGGATGGAAAACTTCCAGGACCTGTTCAGCCAATCACTCTGAACTTAGACTTTACAGGAACTATATTATTTTGTAAGTCGGGGTTTTACTTCCGTCATTCACCTTATGGTTTTGAGATAGAGACGAAGGAAGATGCTAAAGTTCAAGAAAACTCAACCATCACAGTACAACAGAATGGTGTCGAAGGATGTTTGGCCTATATGAACACCCCTACTAAGGTATGGAACGTTGCTGCAGCTGCTCAAATTGGATATGGTAACAACTTTATTATCATTGAGGAAAATGGGGATATTTATTCGATGACTTTCAAAACTCTATCTACTGGAGCTTTTGATATTGGGATCTCAGAATGGACATACAAGAAACTTGATGGCTCTTTGCCTGGTATCATTCAGCTCATTAAACTCAAAGATAATGTTTTTTATGCCACCTCAGACTCAATCGAGTCATACGTATTCACCGTCGTGAATAATGAAAAGATCCATATAATTCAAGAGGTGCGTTCTAAGATGTGTTCTTGGAAAGGGAAACCTTTTAGTAGCATTTTACCAAAGAGAAAGATGTACAAACATGAAAGTGAAATATGGGTTGTTTCTTCTCGTGACATATGGACATATGATATTGGTGCCATAAAGCTAAATATGAATGCCCAAATGAGATCAATTCCTAATCTTGTTATGGACATCTTAGATGTCAAGATCATAAATGGGGAAACTTTGGTTTTAACAAAAAACAGTTTGATGAAAGGGAAGAAGATAATCAAATCTTTTTCCATAAGCCATGGTATAATTCTTGAGAATGGTGAGTTGGTTGTGGTATCTGGTACGAATCTCTCTGTGAGAGATTTTGCGATGGAATTGAAATGTGAACCATCGATTTTGCAAGCTTCTGAAACTACAGGCGGTGAATTACATATTTTAATGGGGAACTGGGATGGTTCAGTTGAAATTTTCTCTGGTAAAGAACAGCATACTTTACGTTTATCTTCACCAATAACTGCTGCTGCAATTGTTAATTTGGGAAATGCTGTCTGTTATCTTGTTGGTTCAGACAATGGTGAAGTCAAAATCTTCAACCAAAACTTAAAGAAAGAGGAACAAGTCATCATGGGTAGAGGGACTGTCGACTTTTCAAACGTTTACGGAAATAAAGTCATAGCATTTAATCAAGTTAATCTCGTGGAATTTGCATTTGATGACAATGGCGAGATTGCAAGAAAGAGCTATCTAGAGATACCTAGAGACCAGGCATATCCCCCACTTGTTCAGTATGATGACCATGGGAATTTGCTTGTGGCTATCTCCAATGAGAGTAAAAGACCATTGGACCTCATTGATTATCAAGAAGTATCCAAATATACCATTCCATAAATAGTGAATAGATGACTGTGCAGTTAATTGTTTGTATGGCGTAGTAACTGTTTAATGCATTGGGTTACGTAATCTTTGAATAATTTCGAAGCTTCAAAAAACGAGGCCTTCCAACTTCAACTTCAAACATCAACAGCATCTGTTTGAAAAGCACAAACAACATTCCTTCAATTATGAGCTGGTATAAAGAATTGACAGAGCCAAGATTAACGTAAGTGGTACATTTGCGTAACTGCTAAGTTGAAAACGACGTTTCAGATCCACTAACAATAATTTGAAGTAAGCCATTATCTGCACACATAGAGTCCCCAAATGGGTATTTAGAGGTCACAAAGGTATGTTCGTTGTCACAACCTAACGTGTTATCTTTACTAATAGGGTTCTAGTCGAAAAAGGCACCAACAACAAGTCAACCGCAACATGTGGAGGCATTGAAGATAAAGGTATGTAAAATTCTATCACCCTTTAGAAATCGACTCCTGACATCAATCATAGAAAGCTTGGGAAATAGCAACAGGTCCAGGTGAACAAATTCCAATGAATCTATTTATGAGTTATATGTCTGGTAACTCTTTGCAATTGATTCCAATAACGATGACATTAATGTTGTTCACAGGCCCTTTGAAAGCTATAGTGTCTGTCAATAGTGCATTCCAAGGCTTGGAGTCAGAGAAAACAAAACAAGATATCCTTCTAGCAAAGTTAACATATGTTTTTCTACAACTTGTGGTGGTTGCTATTGGTGTCTACAAGTTGAATAGCATGGGATTGATTCCAAATAGAAAAGGTGATTGGCTTTCATGGGAAATCCCAACGCATGTGAGTAACATTTCCAGCAGACTTCTCGGTTAATACCTACTAACAAAATCCTATAGTATTTAGAAAGCGTCATATCTGTATAGTATTGTGGAAATTATTTATACATCAACTGCTGATTTCTCTGTACTGTCTTCTAATTTCTTGACCTTGGTGTCTTGGTCTTCAACTGGGGACTCACTTGTTTTTTCTTCGACCTCTGTGCTTTTTAATGAAACTTCCTCTTTCTTAGCTTTGGATTCATTAGCTTTTTCAAAGATTTGTTGCAAGTTAAATTTTTGATATTTATCATAATTACTCACAACACTCATCCCAATGTTGTTCTTGAAACATTCAACCAAAACTAACTTGTCATAGTTTTTCAAATCAACTTTATGTCCATAATCTCTACCAACACATTCAGCAACTTTTTGAATGATATCCATCTTGTCAATTGTGTTGAAATTACGTGCACTAACTTTAACTGCAAATTTGACAGGTTCTTGACCTTCTTCTTTATGGAAATGTGGGGCTAATACTTTCTTTGCTAATTTTGTAACTTCTTCCATGGATGCAGAAACTGAAAACGTTATTGGTGTTAATTTTTGTGTATGTCTCGTGTTTTTGATACTGTGTTCGTGTGATTCTTGACAGATTCTCTCAACAAAGTCCACTGGGTCAACTGGTTTTCTAGTCTTAAAAAAGACAACACATTCACATCCAAGATCTATGAACTGAAATGGTTCTTTTTTGGTTGTATCTTTTGGTTGTTGTAATTCTTGAAGTTCTTTCTTGATCGCATCTTCAATTGAAAGCTCTTCCTCTTCTTCTTCATCATCTTCAGCCTCAACATCCTTGTAATACTCTTGGTATTTGTCCTGGAATAAATTCTTCAATTCATTTTGACATTGTTTCTCATGGTGTCTCAGGCAGGTTGCATATATTCCTGAAGTTGAAGGATCAATAATACCATTTGCAAGTTTATACTTTGAAAAGTTAGTTCACTCAACATTAAAAGTGTTTCGTAGTTAAACTCACTTTTTTCTTGCGATCTTGGCCATTTGAGCCATTATTCTTTCTCTTTTCACCCATTATATAGCAAGTTTGATAGATCTTGTTGTTGAACTGAAGCTTGGTATTTAAATCTTTATGTCTCATCGAGCTCTTCTTCGATAATTTTTTATGGGCCAAAAAAAAAATTAAAAAAAAAATCGTACACACAAACATAGGTGGAAAACTACAACACAAACAAAAGAGGACATCATCAGTATTCGTTTCAAGCATTAGATCTAAACTTGTAGAATTTAGAGTATTTGGAGGCCAAAGAAGGATCTGGACTATCAATTGGAGTTTGTGGTCGACTTTCTGGTGTAATTTTTTTAATCAAATTAACTGCATCATCAGGCTTGATTTGATCAAACTTTCTCATTCTAGTTGTTTGGTCCTTGTATTCATCGAGATGGCCCGATTTCAATAAATTGATTGTTTGTCTTAATTGCAAAAACATTGATTGTAAAGACTCTCTGCTTGTACCATCACTTGTCCCTTTCGATGGATTCAATTCTTGAGTTATGGCCTCCATATAGGAGATATCAGTATCAAAATTTGAAACTGAAGCTTTTGATACTGAACTTTGTTCATTCAAATTTTCCAAAAACCTTATGGCCAATAAATCAAATACTCTGTATAACAACAGTGTTTTCACTGAATATGGTAAGTTTGAAAATGTAGAATTAAACATATTCTTCAGGAAATCACCAATATCTTTGATGAAAAAGTTTGGTTCATTGTTAAAGTCTTCAGTTTGCCAGTCCCAATCAATAAAATCTATTAAGTCTTCAATCTTACCATCAACCATTTCAAATAATTTGGTCTCCGTGATTTTTCTTGTTTCTGAGATGGCTTGAATTGATTTCAATTGGTCATTTCTATGGAGTGTGTTATTCAATTGCTTCAATACTTCTTTGGACATGATTAAGAAATATTCAAGATTGATCAAGTTTTGAGATAGCTCTTCTCTTGTGATTAAATTCAACTTTTCATGGAAATGCTTGTTCACCACCGTTAATAATAGGTTATCCACATTTTCAACAACCAACTTATTCAAAGAATCCGAATCATATTTATAAAAATCTTTAAGAAACTGTGTTTGTTGATTAATAAATACCCGAACTTGTGCGCACGTCATTGGATAAATCGTACTGAATGGCAAAACCTGTGGAAATTCAATCTCTTTTTCAGGTCTATTTTCCTCGTACCAACTAAGATTGATGATTTTCTTGTAGAGTTTCAGATCGTAAATCACCATTGGCATAGAGTCATCATCTTCGGCTAATTTTTGGAACTCTGACTTGAAATTGAATGTTGCAACTTGTGAATATTTCTTGAATGTGATGATCAATAAGTTGTAAAAATGATCACCATTGAGATTGAAGTGCTCTAATATCAAATAAAAATTACCAATTATGGTTTTGAAATCAATTATCCTAGATATTTCAAGCAATCCATTGGAAACCAAATCCTTCAGAAATGGATAAATTTTAGCAGACAAATTTTCCCATAAATCATTAGTCTTTTGAATGACGATGTTGGGTAGTTTTTCCGATATCAATGTGTGAAATATCAAAAAGCCAATCAATCTTGCCAAAAAGGACTTCAAATTGTCATTGGTGACAATGTATTTTTTGAATTGTTCATTATGCATATCATTTGTTAAAAATGGGTACAAAATCTTATCCCTTCTCAAATTCAATTCTTTATTGAATTCATGTTTCAAAAACTGTAGTTGATCTAAACTTTTAAAAATCAACAAAGAATCATAAATGAAGCCAATGTTCAAAAAATCTTCCGCATGTGGTAAATGAGACTCGGGTGAAGCATAACTATCCCTCATACTAATTTCAACTGATGAATTTATTTTATATTTGTCAAAATCTCTATTGTGGTGTTTAAAATTGTCCCATTCTGATATAAGATGACCAAATCTTTCATAGTATGCCAATGAAATAGTGTCATATTTAGCATCTAAAGAGTTCAAATTTCTCTTGACCAAACTTAAAGATTCATCTCTAATCAACTCCTTCATTATTGGAATTGAATCATTTATGTTATTTAAAAACTTGAAATCTTTATCAAAATCTTTATTTAATGCATTCAAATCATTCAAGTTTTTCAAAGCGTTAAAAAATTTGTTGTTTTTGATCAATTCATGGGTACGATCTGTTAATTCTAAAATTTGTAAAATCTTATTAATTAAAATAACAGATTCATTAATCTTGTTGATGTTTTTCTTTAGCCCAAGCATTTGAAATTTCTTTTGTATTGTTAGGTTGGAAGTTTTGGCCAAATGATCATTTATATCTAGTATCTGTTCATTTATAGTAGAAGCATTTCTTGAAATTTGAGAAATATCGGATGTAGTGGTTCTAATTGTAGATTCATTTTGATTGATATTGCTTGTTAACTCATCATCTTTCTTTAATCCTTCAGTATTTAACGTCTCTAAAAGCTCGGGGATTGTGTTTGATTTCAAATTCGACTTGATGATTGGAACCAATTGGTCTAGATAGTTGTTTGAGTTCAATAGAGTAATGGGATCACTCTCATTGAGAAAGCTCAATTGCTTGAAATTGCTGCTATCGTTGACCTTTGACATCTGCTATCCATTCCAGCCTCTAAACGCCTCGAAAACACCAATTTGTACTGTCGGCTTACACCCTTCTTGTTGTTGATGAATGTTGATGTCAATGTTGTTTATCCCGGCTATGATCAAATCGTTGTGAAATTAAAAACAAACATCCCAACACCAACAATTGAAGATGGTCACATGATCCAAGTGTAAAGCAAGGGCGTGTAATTCCGTGGCGAACACACAGAAGAGAACCAGTTGCCAGATCAGTTAGGATCAATTAGGCATCGATGCTAAGTAATAGTACAATGTATGTGACAAAGGAGCCCGAAGATTTATAAGGATCTTGAAGGTCAGCCTATGAAGTATCCAGTTCTTCCAAACCTACAATCAATCAACTGTTAAATGAGGCCTCAAGTGGTCTACAATATCAATTGCTTTCAGCACTTCAACCATAGAAGAGGACATTCTTTTAGACGTTATTTCAAAGACTATTTTAACAAATAAGACGCACAATACAGGCTACGTTTTTACAAGATAAGTATAAGCATGTAATCATATTAATCACCACTGCCCTTTTGAGCCATCCCAATTCCAAAAATCATCAGTGGTAATCTTACCATCATTCAGTCCATCAATGATATTTTCTTTGATACCTTTGACACTGGCTTCAACTTCAATAGCACCTATTTCTGTCAGTGATTTTTCACCCAAATCTGGGAAAGTCTTTCTAACTACTATATTTGCAGTTTCAGTTGCAACAAAGCCAGGATGGTACGCAACAAATTTGAAGCCTTCATTGTTCAATTCACCATTCAAATCTCTGACAAGATGATTCAGGGCAGCTTTTGCACTCCCGTATGGGGATGAAATTGTCCCAGGAACGTAACCAGAAATTGATGCAGATATTGTTGATGTGAAAAAGACTTGTTTTGTCTTTGCTTTCTTCATTAAAGGATAAAACTTTTGAAATGTGATGATGTTACCAAGAGCATTAACTTTCCAGTGGAACAAAAAGTTTTCAGCACTTATATCAAGAATTTTAGCAATTGCGGAACTGTATCCGGCATTTGGAATCAATATATCAATACCTTCATCAGCATCAAGTTTCGCTTCAACTGCCTTTACAGCATCTTGTGTGGCCTCTTCGGAAGTAACATCAGTCAATGTTATAACTTCGACATTTGAATGTTCTTTAGCAAAACTAACCAACTCAGGAGCTTTTGATGGGTCACGAACGGTTGCAAATACCCTATTATTGTCATCTTTAGCAATTTCCTTAACTAAATTTTGACCAATTCCATTTGGTTTGTTTGTTCCAGTGATAACGTAGTTAACCATGATTTTAAGCTAGTGATGTAGTATATCCCGAAATAAACAAATGATTGTATCAGTACTGTCTGCGTACGATAAGTATTATGGGTAAGTTTGAAGAACAGCTCTCTCTCTCTCTTTTAAATGATTTTGGATTGAAATTACCACATGGTAAACATCAAGACTTTCTTAACTTCCGAGCATTTAGAGCTGGTGGTTTATCATGGTGTCCTATCACAGCTTCGGCCGTAGCTTTTGGCACCCTTGGGATAGTTACAGTTTACCTCCAATATCTTCAAAAAACCAGCGTACTTATGGTAGAATAATGGCTTGGCCTCAGCTCGCATGGGATCCCTGTATGATATGCTATGATCACCAATTGTTCAGCATCATTACTAATATATTTGATACACGGATCTCGTACTAGTAGCTGCGTACCGTCATGTTCTCGAATCAAAGCTTCAATCAAACTGGAAGAAGATGAATTATAAATATTGGTACGTACACTCAAATTTTTAAAATGGGACAATTTTTGATCCACTAACAAGCTTTTAAACAGTACTTTTATCCTTCTATTTTAGTTCTTAACTGATGATACCTTTATATCTAAATCTACTCATTGAACATGTTTTATTAGAATAGTAGTATTTCAAAATGCTTCAGTTTTGAGTTGACAGTTCCTAAAGATCTATAAATCTGTAATCATGCTAAGAATGCTGACATAAAATATAGGAATATTATGTAAGAGCTGAGATGAAATCGGACATTGATTGAATTTATATATTAATGACATTTAAATCAGTTTCTCTTTAACTTTGTTTGACCTATACTACTTTAATTTGACATATGATACAAAAGCATTACTGTGGTAAATATCGAGCTGACTTACGTCCACATTCCACTTTCTACCTCGTCGTGAAGTTAGTTTGAAAGGGTCTGTACCTATCTGTTACTTTTACTCATGTAATGAAGTGCACAGTGAGCTTTTCATCAATATGGGGACAATTCCAAACAACTATTCTACAATTAATTCAATATTATAAAACACTATGTTACATTTTGATCACAAATTACTCATTAAAAGCATAAATATTAACACATTTGGGAACATCAATTTCATTATAATCATTTCTTCAAAGAGTTGACGAAAACAGTTCCTTCAACACTTTGTTCTTGTTTTCTTTCTTCCTCCATACTTAGTTTTTGACTAACAACAGCTTCTAATTCATTTTCATTATTAAACTTCATATCATGGTATTGTAAAAATTCTTGCTTCATCTTGTCCTCTTTTTCTAATCTTTCTGCGTGCATAACTTTGTGTAAATCACGGTATAACCATAAGAATATGAATGCTGAAATGAAACCAGCAATAGCAGTTGCAACAAATGGCCAAATTAAATGAGGATCAATCAAAGCTGATGTACAAGCTTCAGAAATAGCAGCAGAAATAGATTGCATGAAAAGGAATAAGGCCATAACTAAACCTTTCATTGAATCTGGAGCTCTTGTGTATGCAATTTCATAAGCAGCAGTATTAGCAAAACATTCAGATGAAGCAGCTAAAACGTATAAAACAGTTTCAACCCAAACAGAGATTGGAGATACACCAGTACCGATTTCACAATTAGTAGCATAATAACCACATGGTGATGTTTCATAAACTTTCCATTGAATGATAGCACCTGCAACTGAAGAAAATGAAGCAATGATGAAACCGGTGAAAATTCTGTGAACAGGTCTAAATTCAATCTTCAATTTTCTCAAAAGTGGGTATAAAATGTAATCTAAGAAAGGAATGAAAACAATAATAGTCAATGGGTTGAAATTATTGATTAAATCATTTGGAACACCGTTAGTGGTCATTGTATTTGCTTGAGAATTTTGGATACCACCAATACCAACATCATTAATGTTATAGATAATGAAAAACAAAAAGATTTTACAGGCATCTATAGTGACTTTAACATCTTGAACAAATTGATCAGTCCATGAAATTCTCTTTTTACCCTTTTTGTTGACAGCTTCGGTAGATTCAACTTCACCTCTGGCAACGATGTTGGAAGGTTTAGCATATTCCCAGTATTGGTTTTCTTTGATTCTTTTAATCCAGCCACCTTTTAATGTGTATCTAATAACTTTGAAAGCTTCTTCCAAGATTGAAATACCGTTTGGAGTTTCTTTTTTCAATCTTGGTGATAATAACATTAATGTTGGAATCATGATAATATAGACGATACCTGGAATCAAGTAAGCTAACCAGAAACCGACTCTTTTAGCACAGTATGAGGTACCTAAAGATAAGAAAGCACCAGCATTAACGGCCCAGTAGAAAAACAATGTCATTCTTTCTAAAGTAGCTTCTCTAGCAACAATAACTTTCTTACCGTCATTTTTGGTTTCAATTATATCACGATGATGTGGATATTGATCAAACAATAAAGGTAATAAATTTGGTTTAATGAAACCAGTACCAAGGGCTAGAGTTAAAATAGAAATAATAGTTGGAGCCAAAGCATTACCACCTTTGATAACTGATGGAATAGCAGCAATAATCAAGATAACATGAGAAATAGCACCAATCCAAACACCATACCAGATGGTTTTCATTCTACCCAACTTTTTATCAGAGATATAACCACCATATAATGGAGTCAAATAGGCCAAGAAGGTCAATAATAAAGTAATAGCAGAGGCGGTTTGTAAGCCTAAACCTAAGGCACCTGCGTTTTGTTGTGTACCTTTTGGAGGGGCACCAGCACCATTACCACCTTTTGGTAGTTTCAATTGAATGAAATTGTTTAAACGATCTTTAACACCGTAGTATGAGGCTCTTTCAGCAAATTCAACAAGACAAACCAAGTATGTGGCATATGGAGCATGCCCTAAAACTTTTGGTAAAGTTGTATAGTCTTCTGCAGTTGGTTCTGGGTATTTTTCATTATATTCTACTAATTCATCATATCTATCAGCGTTATTTTCCTCTGTGTTGTTTGAAGAAACTTCGACATCTGTTGGACGAAGCCTTTCTGAGATTTTTTCTTTAAGGTTGAATCCTTTTTCCTTGATGTTAGTAATTTCTTTTAAATAATCATCAGAACATCACACATACCCATTTTGTTTAACTTGGTTCAAACTTTTTTTGCACCCAAACTTGCCAAAGTTTTGAAAGTGAGGGATTCAGTTTCATTTATATATGTAGCACAGTCTTTAGTACATGTACTTTCTAGCATGACCAATGATGAGTCGACCCAAACTATTTGCGAGATAAGAATCAAGATCATGAGTCCTTTCTTTTTTTTGGAGCCTAACGTGAAGTAAAAATTCACGACCAGGTTGAAGATTCGCCGGACATAAACGTTATTAATAGAGATAGAGTTAAGCTCAAACGAAACTCTCACTACAAATACACACTAACCCTGGGCTCTAATCAGCCTGATATTTGGGGAACAGGTACCTAGTCGGTACATAGCTACGAAGTTTCAACTACAAACCCTTTGGCTAATAGGATCTTTCTTCGGCAACTTTTTGCTTTTGAGTGGAGTTTATGTTAGCATTTGAGAAAGCTGCATTTCGTTTTCGGTGATCGAGATGTCACAATTTTTTCAGAAATGCAAAATACAACGGCCGTTGCAGCTGTGCTTTGAAGACGATACCGCAAAATGGGCCAATGAAGAACAAAAAAATGGCCGGTGTTGTGTATCTTCATCTGCTCATTTGTATCAACTCTCCTTTCCCGGTCTTCAAAGCTAGGTTTTGTATCGATGGTTAGTGATAATTAGAACCAGTTGGCTTTCTTTTCATCATGAGCTGCCGTATGAAAAATGCGGCATCATGCAAAGTGGAAAGGGCTCAAACGACTTTTCACTTTCAAAAACATCAACAGAAACTTGAGCCAGCGAGCTCGTGACTACCTCGAGTTTGTGGGCTTCTACAAATGGTACTCATAGATCGTGGTAAGCTGAAAGGTTGGGGAGCTTGGTTATGAAGTTAAACTTTATCATGTTGAGGTGCCGTTTCTGTGGAATGATGAATCTACGCAAGAGGGGCCAGGGCCTCTTCTGAAGGTGCCTGGGTTGGACAAACTGTGTGTAAGGTTAAATGATCAAGCAACCCCAGGAGCCAGGACTAATTCGGCCCTTGAAAGGACCCTTCAACGATAGTTTTTTGATACAGCTGTTGGATGGTAGAAACTCGATAAGAATACAACCAGTAGCTCGTGAGCTCATGGGCTCGAAAGTTCGTCTTATGGTGTACAAAATCTATTCATATTTTTGGCACATTTTCTAGTCAATAAACTCTTATGGCCAAGTGAAAAAGCTTAGCGATTTCCAAGCTATTGGCATCGATGCTGTACTGTTGTAACATCCCGTGTTGGCTAGATCATTTGCTAAACTTGGCTAGTATACACACATTAATCGTAGTTTAATAGTGATCTAGTGGTCTATCAATTTTTAGTACTCCATTCAAGTAGTTGATTGGATCTTTAGACAACATGAGCATGATTTTTCAAGATAGATTGGGTAGCTAGTGTTACACGTTCAGTCAACTTTCAGGAGCATGATCCAATATTCAATGGTGGAAGCTTGACTTGCAAACAACTTATAAAAGCCTAACAATATAGTTGGCCCGTCTCAGGTATAAGCTCTTACCTACTGGCTTTGAAAACTGAGAAATCCTTCTGATGTTGCTTTCACAGAACGGCTCTTCTGTTCAAAAAAAGAGTACTCACTCGAGGGGATGCTTGACGATTTCAAGCCATACTTTTTCAAGCTTCACTTCCCCTAGCTTTTAAGTTGTACAACTGTAAGACGCCTTGCAATCTTTGCAAACAGTGTACTTGGATACAAGTTTCAAGTTTCATTAATCCTTTGTAAACTTCGATCAAATGTCCAAAGTCCAGAGCAAATCAGCTGTGACGCAATTCCCCAGATTTCAATCCCCGTATGTTGTTAATGATTGACGAATTACCAGGATGTACATCTAGAGTCTTCAAAGGATAAGATATAGCTCCATAACTTCATTTAAGCTCCTAAATCTCTGATTACCAGTGAAACTCTTGATGAAATAAGTACTGTTTGCACTTTCAAATCTGAAGCTCTCGAAAGCTACATCTCGAAGCCACAGTTCGGATATTTTCAAATCCCGGAAAAATTGAATGCGTTCAAATTCTTTTGTGTCATTGCACGTGACAGTTTCGGAAATAAGTGCCTGAAAGAAATGAGGATGGTTGAAGCTTCTGAATTCTGAGTGCAATTCATGAATTGTTTGAAACTACAAAAACTTTCATTGTCAAACTCAAACTTGAATGGCATAATTAATTCAAAAACAATATATATACACAAAATATATTTTTCCTTTGTAAACATTTATAAATAATACAACAATATTAAAACTCAGTTACGATGACTTAAAGCACTTCCAATTGCATAAAGACCGTCAGTTTCTTCTTTAATTGAAGTTTGTTGATCAGCAATTCTATCAATTGAATCAGAGCTTTTGACATTGACACCTTTCTCAGCAAGATATTCAGCGTATTCTTCTCTAACTTTTTCTTCTTTTGCGATTCTTTCAGCCTCCATAACTTTATGTAAATCACGGTATAACCATAAGAACCAAAATGCAGCAAGAACACCAGCAATAGCAGTTGCAACAAATGGCCAAACTAAGTAAGGATCAATCAAAGCTGAAGTACAAGCTTCAGAAATAGCAGCAGAAATAGAGGTGGTGAACAAGAATAAAGCCATAACCAAACCTTTCATGTTATCTGGAGCTCTGGTATAAGCAATTTCATAAGCTGCAGTGTTTGCAAAACATTCAGAAGAAGCACCTAAAATATACAATACAGTTTCAGCCCAGACACTGATAGGAGAGACACCAGTACCAATTTCACAATCAGTGGCATGATAACCACATGGTGAAGTTTCATAGACTTGCCATTGAATAATTGCACCAGCGACTGAAGATAATGCAGCTAAGATGAAACCAAAGAAAATTCTGTAAACTGGTCTGAATTCGATCTTAAACTTTCTTAAAATTGGATAAATACCATAATCTAAGATTGGAATCAAAACGATAATGGTCAATGGGTTGAAATTGTTGATTAAATCATTTGGAACACCGTTGGTGGTCATTGTATTTGCTTGAGAGTTTTGAATACCACCAATACCACCATCATTGATGTTGTAAATAACAAAGAATAAGAAAATCTTACAAGCATCAACAGTAACTTTGACATCTTGAACAAATTGATCAGTCCATGAAACCTTCTTCTTACCCTTTTTATTAACAGCTTCGACAGCTTGAACTTCACCTCTTGCAGCAATGTTGGAAGGTTTAGCAAATTCCCAAAATTGGCCAGTTCTCAATCTTTTAATCCAGCCACCTTTCAAAGAAAATTTAATAACTTTGAGTGTTTCTTCAATGATAGAAATACCATTTGGAGTCTCTTTCTTTAATCTTGGTGATAATAACATCAAAGTTGGAATCATGATAATATAAACAATACCTGGAATCAAATAAGCTAACCAAAAACCAACATCTTTAGCACTATAAGAAGTAGCTAAAGACATGAATGCACCAATGTTAATAGCCCAATAAAAGACCAAAGTCATTCTTTCTAAAGTAGCTTCTCTTCCCAAAATGACCTTTTTACCATCTTCTCTAGTTTCAACAATATCACGTTGATGTGGATATTGATCAAATAACAAAGGTAATAAATTTGGTTTGATGAACCCAGTACCAAAAGCTAGACAGATGATAGAAATAACAGTAGGAGCTAAAGCATGGCCTCCTTGGATGACTGATGGAATAGCAGCAATAATTAAGATAATATGGGAGATTGCACCGATCCAAACACCATACCAGATGGTTTTCATTCTACCCAATTTCTTATCTGAGATATAACCACCGTATAATGGAGTCAAATAAGCCAAAAAGGTTAATAACAAAGTAATAGCAGAGGCAGTTTGTAAACCTAAACCCAAGGCACCAGCGTTTTGTTGTGTACCTCTTGGAGGAGCACCAGCACCATTACCACCTGTTGGTAATCTAAGTTGAATGAAATTGTTTAAACGATCTTTAACACCATAATATGAGGCTCTTTCAGCGAATTCGACTAAACAAATCAAATAAGTAGCATAAGGAGCATGACCTAAAACTTTTGGTAATGTGGCATAATCTTCTGCTGTTGGTTCAGGGTATTTTTCATTATACTCTGCTAATTCATCAAATTTATCCAATTTAGCCTCACTGGAGTTTATAGATGACACTTCTTCGTCATTTGAACGAAGTCTGGAAGAGATCTTCTCTTTAATGTTAAAGCCTAGTGTGAATGTTAGTACTTTCGGTTCTTGTCAAGCAGTTGCCAAGTTACTTACCCATTTCTTGTTAGTGTCAAAAGCTTCTTGGCTAACTAAGACTTGAACAAATGGGTTTGGCATGTTTTTAGGGAATTCTCATAAGCTTTTATACCAAGCAGGATACAATAGTGGCTCCGAATTCCTACTCGATTTTATTTCACCATCATCTCAATAGATAAGAAATATCAGACATCTTTTCTTTTTTTGCAGGCTTTCAAAATCAAAACTGCTGATTGTTCATCAAAGTGTAAAACCGTCGAACTCATGGCAACTGGAGACTCGGGAGCCTGGACAACAGATAAGCAGATTCTGCATTCGCTAGTTGAGGATGAAGCAGTTACATGGAAATAATATTTTAATCGTCTGTGAACTGTGGACGTTTCTTGATGGCTTGTTGATTGATTTTTTTTTCACAGAAATTTGAGAAAAGATTTACGCTAACGATTAGATGAAAGATGCAGAACCCTTTTTTTACACTAATCTACGTGATAGCTCATAATGCTTTGAAGGCTATAAGGTTAGTACTTGGATCTGGGGAAGTATAGTCTCTCACCTCCAATAAAAAGCTGTTGATTGGTCAAGGAACATTTTGCATGGACTGTATGTGCTTGAGACAACTCAATTCTCCGTACGAGATAGCTCAAAGTTGACTGTTAAAAATCAGTTTTTTATCTTGTGATGCCATTCAATTTGTTGCAGTGTACAACTAACCCTTGATTATGCGTATATTGTTATAAAATATTTGCATCACGGCATCTTGAAATGCTCAAGATATCTAGCATGTCGATTGACTTTATCTTCTTGCTTCCACCCAGCACCCAGCTCACAATACTTGGATCGTGTTGTGTGCTTGCAACTTAAAGGCTACAACTGTAACGCAAAAACTCCTCAAGGAAAGAACCAGTGCAGGATGTATCTCTTGTGGATAATCAGTGGTTGCCCACTAGTTACACTATTTTTCCATCCCTTTGACACAATCGAGAGTTGAAACATACCTGATCTTGGAGAGAATTCATAGATCAATCCTTCGAACAGTTGACCATGAGGACCCTCTAGTTGTCAAATCCATTTTGAGGCACAGAGAGGTATTCTTTGCTCTGTGAAATTCCAAGCTTCAACGGCTTTCTAGGGTAAGCTCACTAGCTGGTAGAACACCCCCCTCTCCTTGTGCCACCGTGCAGTGAGTGGTACAGTGTGAACAATACAACTTAGCAACAGTAACAAAACCTTTCACCTATCTTGTGTGGCACTTGTATATTATTTTCTCGGTGCTGAAGCCTGAAGGATTTAATTTTGATTCCTGAATGATAAAGAATTTAAACGGCTCTTTTCGTGATAGATGCGTTTTTCACCTTGACGGGCAAATCAGCCCGTGTACCACAGGTACTCGAATTTATTAGGCGCAAAACTGAAAAGCTCATGGACTTGAAATATCATAGGCTTGAGTCCTGACTCTTCGACAATACGGAGAATAATCGATCCTTTGCCTCAACTTTCAAGCATTATTTTATCAAGGATTCAAAGGTTCGGTTATCGAGCCTTTTGAATTGAGTGTACAGTACCGGGATGTAAACTGATAGGATTTAGAAAGAACGTCTTTCAACTGTTGAATACATCAACAGATCTAAGCTCAAATTAATTAAAGAATACGAGGTACAGAGAAAGATCATATGGCTTTTGTCTCACTAGGGGTAACCTACATCAATTAGTTTTAGAAGAACATTTCAACATAAAGTGTACACATTGCACAATCCTGTAAAAACCAGCCGGAAAGCGAAATTGAGTCTTGAGACACCGAGATCCCGAACATATAGACTTGAGGACAACTTTTCAACCGCAGATACATCAACACTAGCCTTGAAGGAAACTTCTACGATAAAAAGTATACAAACTATTTAACTTGAAGAGCAACAGGTTTGTATATTCATCCAATATAGGTGTGTTTATCAGTTGTGATGGTGTTGAATGATTGTAAGCGGAACACATCCTGTCAAAAAAAGGCGCGTGTCGCGTACCTGAAAAGTTCAAGAATCAAGATCATGATGAGCATTAGATCAGAGCAGTTGGATTAGCAATCGCACGTTATTACTGATCAGCCAGTGTCTCTGTGGCATCTCGTTATCTTTGAAGTTTTAATATTCGAACTGCAGTCATGCACTAAAGTTATGCTGCGCGTTTTAACATTTGAAGATACCAGTTTATCCTCGTAACATGACTACACCTTTTCATCTTTCTGAAACTAACAACTATTCATTTTTTTAACTACATACTAAGCCAGCTAAGGCCCAACTAATCTACTTCTTTGAAGCCAAAGCACCTTCAATTGCATCAACTGCAATTTTTTCCTCTTTAATTGAGGTTTGTTGACTAACTACTCTTGCAACAACCAAATCTTTTTCATCTCTAGCATTGATATATTCAACATATTCCTCTTTCAACTTTCTTTCCTTTTCTAATCTTTCGGCTTCCATAACTTTATGTAAATCACGGTATAACCACAAGAACCAGAATGCAAAGACAAACGCAGCAGCACCAATAGCAACGAATGGCCAAATCAAATAAGGATCAATTAATGCACCTGTGGCAGCACTTGAAATAGCGGCAGATAAGGATTGCATAAATAAGAAAAGAGCCATAACCAAACCTTTCATATTCTCAGGAGCTCTGGTGTAAGCAATTTCATAAGCAGCAGTGTTAGCAAAACATTCAGAAGAAGCACCTAAAATGTACAAAACAGTTTCAACCCAAACAGAAATTGGGGAAACTCTTGTTCCAATTTCACATTCTGTAGCATGGTAACCACATGGTGAAGTTTCATAAATTCTCCATTGAATAATAGCACCAATAACTTGAGAAATAGCAGCTAATATGAAACCAAAGAAAATTCTGTGAACGGGTCTGAAATCAATTTTGAACTTTCTCAAAAGTGGATAAACACCATAATCTAAGATAGGAATCAAGATAATGATAGTCAATGGATTGAAATTATCAATCAAATCATTTGGAACACCATTTGTAGTCATGGAATTGGCTTGGGAGTTTTGGATACCACCGATACCACCATTACTGATGTTGTAAACAACGAAGAACAAAAAGATTTTACAAGCATCAATGGTAACTTTGACATCTTGAACAAATTGGTCAGTCCATGAGATCTTCTTTTTACCCTTTTTGTTAACAGCTTCAGTTGATTCAACTTCACCTCTGGCAATGATGTTTGATGGTTTAGCATGTTCCCAGTAAGTGTTGTTTTTGATTCTTGCAACCCAACCACCTTTCAAAGTATATCTAATAACTTTAAAAGCTTCCTCCACAATAGAAATACCATTTGGCTTTTCTTTTTTCAATCTTGGAGACAATAATAACAAAACAGGGACCATAATGAAGTAAACAATACCTGGAATCAAATAAGCTAGCCAGAACCCAATCAATTTTGCACAATAAGCAGTTGCTAAAGACATAAAAGCCCCAATATTAATAGCCCAATAGAACACCATTGTCATTCTTTCTAAAGTTGGTTCTTTCGCAACAATGATTCTTTCACCATCTTCTTTTGTAACAACAACATCACGTTTGTGAGGATATTGATCGTACAATAAAGGTAACAAGTTTGGCTTGATAAGACCAGTACCAATAGCCAAAGTCAAAATGGAAATCATGGTTGGAGCTAAAGCAGCACCGCCTGAAATAACTGAAGGAATAGCAGCAATAATTAAGATAATATGAGAAATGGCACCAATCCATAAACCATACCAGATGGTTTTCATTCTACCCCATTTCTTATCAGAAATATAACCACCATACAACGGGGTTAAGTAAGCTAAAAAGGTCAATAATAAAGTAACGGCACTTGCAGTTCTCAATCCAAGACCTAAAGCACCAGCATTTTGTTGGTCACCTTTTGGTGGAGCACCAGCACCATTACCACCAGCTGGTAATTTCAATTGGACAAAATTATTCAAACGATTCTTGACACCATAATAAGAAGCTCTTTCAGCAAATTCAACAAGACAGATTAAATACGTAGCGTAAGGGGCATGACCTAAAGTTCTTCTTAAAGTTGAATAATCTTCTGTTGTTGGTTCAGGGTATTGCTCATTATATTCTGTTAATTCATCAAATTTATCTGCAATGTTTTCATCAGAAGTAGAGATATTCTCAATATCATGATCACTTTTGACAGTGATTTTCTCCTTGACAAAGTCTTTAATACCCATGGTTTATGTTATGGAAGTCCCACACAAGGTAAATTGTGGTTACTATGAATTTAAGAGATTTAATGATCTTTTTATATGGAATATTCTCATCTCAACTGATAAAGCAAATTGGAAGATCTCATCAACAAAAAAGAAAAGAACAGGATACGAGTAGCTTGCAACCAAGAAAAGCAGCATTTATCACATAATTGATGACCCAGATTTCGAGATAACGAGGAACTTCACAACACTGGTGTACTGATGATTGAATCAATACATAACTCTCTCCTCAATGTTCATACAGTAAGAATTTTGAAGCCATACGACAACTTTAACTTTGCTTGACCGATCTCGAAATAAAAGCAGCATATCTCTTTTGACAAGACTTTTTCATCCAAAATAACACTGAAATAAACCAAAGCAATCCGCATTAAAACCGTTCTTGAGCTCCACTTGATCAACAGCCCGACGGCCCATCAACAATACACATCAAGCCCACCCTATCGTAATCCTATTGCTTCGCATTCAACCAAACCTCACCATTTCAATTTTGACACATAACTTCCTCCAGCTTACTTTCCTTTTGATCTGCAGCCAATTCAAAGTACCTGATGTTGAAGATTTTTCCTCTGAACATTTTCGCCCTCAATCTCATTCGCGATAAAAAAAACACCAAGAAAATTTCTGACCCAAGCTAATTTGAAATACCCAAGAACCATGATAAACGTACGGCATTTTACCTAGAAGCTAGTGTAGTAATGGCTGATTAATAGATGTTGCATCACTGGCTGGTTCAGATAAAGGTTGTAAGCGCTCATGCTTTGGCTTTGTAACCTTTTCAAAAACAGTTGAGTCAAAAGAGTTCCCCCAGTCTTTGCTCGGTATTTCAAAAAGGAAGGACCCCTGTACAAGATAAGGATCAACATATTGAAAAACATACTACAAATCAAACAGAGATTCAAATATTGGCTCAAAACTTAATAGAGACCTCATGATTTTGATTTTTAAATCATGATTCAGCTGAAATAGATCAGATTTCCTTGTTTGAGTACCTATGTTTACCAGCTATTTGACACAATTTCAATTCGGCTTTCCAAAAATTAACGAGCACCAATATGCGGAAAGAAAATATGGTACCATATTGATGAAAGAGAGCAAAGCAACATCAAAAATTCAACAGATTACCATAAGTTATCTTATCTCTTGACCTATTTTGCTTTGTTTCGTGAGTGTTTGTTGTACAGTGTACAGTTATTCCTTGTGTATTTATTGATCAAGCTAATATGAATTATGGAATTATCTTCAGCCTAGAATCACTGGACTGGATGGTCTTGACTTTGGATCTTTTCTAGGGTCCAAGTTGTTCACCTAGGCCATAGGGTCTGCATTGTATAGAGTATGGCTTTCAAACGTTGCTTAAAAGATTAGCAGATTATTGTTGTGAATTTCTATTGTCTTGGTGGGTTGGAGAAAGTTGAAACTACAGAATCATGGTCTGATGAGTTTTCAATATTGATCTCGTGAAGGTGCGCTTATGAAATCTTTTTCAACTTCTGTGACCTTTAAATCAATAATGAACTTCAGCATTAGATCTCAATTTAGAAGCATAATTAGGATCAGTTCTTGTGATAAAGATTCCTTATCTTCAACTCCTCATCATCTCAAGAGTCTAAAACCCATCATATTAAACAATTACCTCAGCCATCTGCTGTAGTTGACTGACCAATTTACGATAAATAAGCAACGAACAAAGGCTTTCAAGTTTTAACGTACACATGTATTTTCAAACTTATTCTCCGACTAATGTTTTCGACCAATGTAAAACTTACATTCGACAGTTGAAAGCCACAGAAAAAAAAACATCGACGAATTAGACGATTCCTTATTCGGCATACCTCTTACACAAATTACAAGTTCTAGTTCTTAAATTTTTTTATATAGATCATGATAGATGAAAAATTGACCAAGTAAAGCTTCGGAGACAACGGACCGGCGACGACGTCGTCGTTCCGACACATTTTAAATATAATCAGCTAGTAACTCCAATTGTAAATGAAAAAAAGCCAATAAATATACCATTCTATAATATTGATTCCACTTATACTCCCACGGATTTAAAATACTCAAAATTTCCAATTTCTTTGAATTCTTCGAAAATTTTAAATTTTTATTGACCTTGTTTTTCTTAATTTATCTTCCAAATTCTTTAAAACTCTTGGTTCTGAAAAAAAAAATCCCAAAACACGTTTAAACAAAATAAAAACTATACCATTAAAATTTTAGAGCTCCAAAGATTTCATAAAATATTTTAAAAAATTTCCAATCTAAACGCTTCCAATGTTACAATCAATTATTTTCAGGCGGTAATAACCGAATTTTAAATTTCCTAGTTTGCAACAGGCATGAAAAACTATAACAGTTGGTTTCGTGGTCTAGTTGGTTATGGCATCTGCTTAACACGCAGAACGTCCCCAGTTCGATCCTGGGCGAAATCAATTTTTTTGCATTTTTTCGGGGGAATCCCAGCTTTTTGGATGTAGATAGAGGTATTATATTAATATTGAAGGTATTTGTGTGAAGTTATATTGGTGTTTTTTTGTGGTAGTTGAAGTGTAAAAAGAGTGTTCATTTTAAAAAAAATTCATTTTTCGATCAACAAAAAAAAAAAAAAAGACGCGAATCCGCCAAATGGTAGACTTGATCAGGATTCAGTAGAGGAAACTTTAGATTCAAACTGAATTCTTTTCGTTGAATTGAAGATATGCTGATTGATATACTATAAATCTACAAATAAGTTTCAAGACATTAAAAGTTTGGCATTAGACATTAAGTTTATACAATAAACCAAAAGAACAAAAAAGGGTATTTTTTTTAAGACCTGCTTAAAAAACAAAAAGGATTAAATGATGATGATGATGATGATCTCACATATTATAAGTTGTAAATGCTCTTGATAATTTTTTCTTTTGAGGTGGTAAATATTCATTATTATTGATGATTGGTTTTGATAATGGGAATTTAAAACCAAAATTCATAATTTCTGGTGGTTTTTTATTATCAGTAGTATCTTGAATTAATTCATTACTTTCTGATTCATTTTCCTTTTCAGATTCATCAGTGACTAAATCTAATGAAGAGCGTGAAAAATCCAAAAATTGTGATTTTAAACTTGGTCTTCTTGCAAAATTAATTGAAGTCATTGTTCTTCTATGTGGTAATTTTGGATGAGATGATGATGGAATAGTTGTTATTGAGGAAGAAGTTTGGAAACTTAAACTTCCATAAGAACTTGCCCTTTTCAAGTCTCTTCTAAATCTTGTTAATTCCTTTTCACAAGCATTTTTATGATTATTATCATTCATTTCAACATATTTTTGAGGATAACATCTATGACTTTGTAAATCGAAAAAAGATTTATAACCACCTTCCAAGACCAAAATATTTGGGAAATCCAAATGAGGATAATTATCTTGGTTTTTGTTACGATCACAAGTTCTTAAATGACTAGCCATTAAAGGACCTCTATAAGAACTAAATTCACAATGGAAAACAATCAATGAATTTTTTTTATTTTGATCACTTGCAAGGAAATTATTTGTTGGTTTAACATCATTCAGGAATTTTTCCTCCAATTCTTGTTGAGATGAAACATTAACAGCACCATTAATATGACCACCTTGATATTCATATTCAAATCTACAATCCACCACCACAACATCTTCAAAAAATTCTTTATAATGACCATCAAGAATTTTGCATAAAGTTTCCACTTTAATTCTTGGGATTAAATCATTTTTAACATTAAAAGTTTCAATTTTAGATTGTTCCAATACTGAATTTGATAAGACTGAACCATCAAAATCTTCATTATTTAAATTTGATTGAATTGGTGATTTTGTTGTCATCAGATTTCCAAACATATTTGTAGTATCTGTGATTTCCTTTTTAGAGTAAAACATTGAATGGGTACGACGAACTTTTGATCTTATTGGTCTTTTCTGTAATGGAGAACCAATTTCTCTTTTATTTAATCCAATAGTTGGTCTTTCATTCTCATCATCATTATCTAGATCTAGGTTCACACTTCTTTCAGCAATTGGAGAAGGAACACATAAGAAATCTAGAGATTGAGTGTTACCAGTGGCAGCAGGTTCATATAAATCATTAGTCATTGTAAGATCATTAAAGTCATCAGTGTCATCATTATTAAAATTAGATTTTGGGTAATCAATGTTGGAAACACTATAAGAATGAAGTAGTGTTGAACTACCCGCTATGCAAGTTTTAGATCTTCTAAAAGATTTTTTCTTGATAATTGAAGGTGTTGAGTTTGATGAGATTGTATCAACGCTTGAGACTGATGATATGGAGTTGATTGAAGAGATTGATAAGTTTGAAGTTGTTCTTGAAGAGTTTGTTGAGTCGCCATTGTGTAATCTTGGTCTTGATTTTGGATCCTTCTTGGTTAAAGTTGGTGATGTGTAATCATCCATTTCTGGATCTATTTCAAAACTGAATTGGTTTAAAGAAGATTTATCATTGAAGAACAGAGATCTCTTTGGTGTTGGGATCATCTTGTGTGATCTAGATATGTTAGTATATATGCTAATTTTTTCTGATTTGTCACAAAAAAAAAAGGATTGTGTAAACTTACTCTTGAATATGAAAGTTTTCACTTAAATCAGCAGCTAAAGTTGAAGTTGGAGAATCGAATTTGGAATCATGTTGTAAATCAAATAAAGTGTTTAGGTTCTTTGTGGCTAAAGGTTTTGGCTTTGGACCAGAGTTCAATCTCGAGCTTTTCTTTTTGAACAAGTTTTTGGATAATGATGGGGAATCTGGTGAATTGTTGTTACCACCAAAATATGATTCAATGTTTTTCAATAAGGAATGGTTGGTATTAGGTGAGTCTATATCCATCTTGTCCAATTTGTATTAAGAAAGAAGAATATGAGTTGAGTTATAAGAAAGAATGAAAAATTTTGATCTTAATTTTTGGAACTGTTTCTCTCTTTTTTTTTTTGCTATACTGCCCTGAACTATTAAAGATGCACCAGTAGTATGATCAGTTGTTGGCGTAACTAAGGGTAGTTTTAATCTCTCCACGGTAACGAGTTCTAAACCTTGAATAGATCAACGAATGGATGTAAAATTGAGGGAACGAACGAATGAACGTAGGTAAGTGTAATGATATTAAGTGAGTGGAGGTTTGCAAAAACCAATGATTTGGGAAAAGTATCTATTTTTAAAGGATCTCAAAAAAAGTGGTGATGATTTAAAAACTGACACGGTCAAAGCTCACCAAAATTGCTACCATACACAACTGTTTCATCTATGGGTTTTTAGGTTTTTTTGTGTGGTTTGGGAAAAGGTTTTGTTTCGTGTCTATAGTTGCCTCAAGTTTGGGAAAAATGTAAATTACATGATGCTGCATATCAAGAGCACGGAAAAGGTTTAGACACTACCGGATTAGGAAATGTGTTGTGTTTTGGTGTTTCCCCTTTGGGCACTGGGAGCGATGCGAGTGAACGTTTCAGGAAACAGAATTGATCCATTTTGAAACAGATCAAGCAGATCTTGCAGATGAAGTTTCCATAGGGGGAACAAGATTTGTATCAATTGATGAAGAGAATGAAAGAAGATGAAGAATTGATGGTTAATTCTGTGTATTAGTTATTGATTTGTGGCTAATGAAATCATTAGGTACCTCTATTAGTCGTTTCCCGCTTTTTCTTGTGTTATTTTTAATAAAGTGCACGTCTCGCGCGTCTTTTCGTAGTGGCTTTGATGTTTGATCTGGTTTTTAAAGGAAATTTGTAAACATCGAAGGTTTTTAGTTTGCGATTAGATCAACATGAACAATCGAATGAATTTGTACGATCAACTTGTACGTACTGATCTAAACTTATATCATGATCAAAGTCTCCTCATGATAAATCCATGATCCATGATCCATAAACAATTACAACATCATCATCATTTGATCTCAATTCTACTTTATTCTCCTTGAATCATTCACCAAAACTCCTCTTGTTTACAGTGAAATGTTTCAACTTTGAGGTACAAAAGTTTTGAGACACTTGATGAAACTTCAAATCAAAGATGATTATGAATCTGATTGATCATCATCATCATCAAGAGAAGGATTCTGAGCGTCATTTACACTTGTAACAATTCTTCATCATAAGGATTTAATTTTGTGATTTGAATTTTGGGAAGCCATCAAAGACCGAATTGACGTTACATAAAGACAGGTACCCAAAACTAAAGTACCTGTAAACAAACACAAGTGGATATTATTTGGTTCATAGAAGGACCTAATCAATTTAACCCTGTTTGAGTAAATTGAAAGTATCCAAAACAAACGGTTATGGAAAGTTCAACACCTCTAGGCTCTGACGGTTGACCTACACCTTTCCATGAAGGAACATAGTCACGACTCACGAACAACTTGACGTAAACACATCCTGGTTGAAGACTTTAGATAAAAGCATAACGGTCAAATTTGGAGTGGTTTTAGTTTGCATATTTGTTTATCCAACTACATAATATGCATCACCACATAGAGTTTTGTTTTTGAAGAACCCTTGAATTTTTGCATCAAAGCTTAAAAGAACCTTACGAAGTGAGTTTTGAGGTTTTGAGGTCTTCAGGCTTGAACTATGCTTATCCTACTTGAGTTCTAAAAGGTTAACACCTAAACATTAAAGTAATGTTTTTTTTCAACTTTCTCATCAAAACAATCACGAACTTCGTAGTAAAGCATCAATCCACCATTTTCCCTCTTCTTTTCCCACTCATGTACTAGTTTCACCATGGGCATCAAATTCCATCAACCTCATCACCAATACGTTTCACCATGTTCAGAATTGGAAAGTTGTTTCCTTTTTGGGTGGTTTGTTTATGTGTTTTTTTTTTTCGATATGCAGGTGATGTCGGTGAAGTTTTTCATGTAAACAAACATGAAAAAGAAAAAGAAATACGAATGGAAAGATCAAAACAGAGAAGAACTAGAAGAAAGAGAGAGAGTGTGAATTTCAGATGGTTTTTAATTTATGGTGATGATGAAACACGGTTAAATGATTGCTGTTTACTGTCTACGTTTATTGTTTATTGGTCCAACGGTTGTTTACATTTTGAAGAGTTGAAAAAATTACAAACCTGTTGATGCCAATATCAAAACGGTTCATATCTAAGATAAAGGCAGAGACCGAATAAACCAAAGATGGTTCCATAATTTGCAAACATTGATCATCACAACGAGTGCATGGCTTTACAAAACTACATAATCTCTCTTTTTCAATGCTTAAAATTTCAATTTAATCAACTCCTAACTAAAACTAACACGCTAGTGTACCCTTCTATAACCCAATAAAAAACAATAATAATCTAAATGAAAACCTCTTCTAAATGAATGAACCACCCCCTTCCTTTTTCTTCTTCTCCTTCACACCCCTAAATAATCATTAACACTCCTCATCTGTAATGAACTACCCACTCTCTTTGGCCCGATTCTAAAACTTAGGGTATCCTCCACATCATTATACAACCCATCATCATCACTCGAATCATCACCAGTGGAGTCACTATCACTACTACTACTATCCACACTTTGGAAAAAAGTTGAATCATCTAGGTAATTCGGGACAGGTTTTTTAGATCTTAGTAACGAGTTTAAATTTAGTGAATTTGTTGAAGATGCAATTTGACTAGATGATGATCTTAACGGTGGTCTTTTCAGTAATGAAGATGGTGGTGAGTTTGAAGTTGATGATGGGATTGAGAACGATGTTGTGGGTATGGTTGTTGTGTTTATTAATGATGTTGGTTGTGTTATTGAGTGTTGTTCTAGTGTTATTGATGGGATGGGTTGTTGTTGCTGTGCTGGTAATGAGACTGTGGATGCTAATGGTGGTGATGATGACTGTTTAGATATTGATGATTTCCTGGTAAAGATTGATTTAAATTTTGATAAAGTTGTTGAGGATGATGATTTTGTAGCAAATGTTGATAGGTTTTCATCTCTTGTGAATAAATAATATTCATTAAATTTTTTGAATTGTAAATTTATATCATGATCGAAATTCCCCAATGTGAATGGATGGTTTTTCAAATCTTGTAACGATATTCTTTTTTGAGGATTTTTTTGCAACATTTTAATCAATAAATCATTTAATAAACCAACTTGTTCATCTCCATCTCCATCACTTGGTATAACAACTTCATTATTTATAATCTCATTAAATAATTCATATTCATTATTCCCATTAAACGGTAAAACTTGATAATATAAACAATAAATCGTAACCCCTAAAGACCAAATATCCAACTTCCCATCAAATTTATTATACCCATTTCCATTCTCAACACCATTACATAGTTCTGGAGGTGTGAATGCAGGTGTACCGAAATTATTTATGTTTGAATTTCTAAATTTATCAATACTTATCCCAAAATCTGAAATTTTCACAAAATTATCACTATTCATTAATAAGTTTGATGGTTTAATATCACGATGTATTATACCGACCCCATTTAGGTATTCTAACCCAAGTACAACGTCTCTAAGGATTAACCTTATTGAATCTATTGAATAATTGAAAGTTGCACCAAATTTCAAATCACCTTTGGAGCAATATTCCAATATAAGGAAGATTTTATTAAATTTCAAATCATTCAAAATCTCATGGAGTTTTAAAATTTTTGGATGATTTATAATTAATTTCATTATATTAATCTCATTATTAATCTTTGTTAATTGATTTTGAGGATCTTTATTCAATATAGAAATTTTAGAAACTTTTGAAATCTCCTTTATGGCATAATACCCACCAGTGTCCACGTTTAAACCTAGGTAGACTTTCCCATTATGACCATTACCTAGTTTGGAAATTAATTTATATTGATTAAGGAATTTTTCACCAGTATCTATATCTTTTGTTAAATTTACCTGAGTTGTAGTTGGGATATGAGAGTTATCATAAGTCATATTTGGATGTGATTAATGATGATGATGATGATATAAGATGACTATGGCTCACTGGCCACTTAAAAGACAACTGTGCTCTATTGGTTTGGAAATGTATTTGAGATGTTAAAGGTCTTGTGAAAGACGGTACGTGTTTTTTCTTTTCCTTTTTTTTTTCTGGTTTTTTTTTGAAAAGAAACAAGAATTTGACAAGGTTTAGATTGAGAAACAATAGGAATATCTTGAATTATGATGGTTTTATTGGTGTTTAGTATGAAATAGGTTATTCTGATGGCTTTATAGTGTGTATATTCGGAATCAGGGCCCTCACTTTGCCTAGTTTTAATTTCATCTCGTTGCCTATATATCCTGAATGTACTACACTGGTATTTAATACTCAAATCAAAATGTATTCATATAAAAGGACAAAAAAAGAACAAAGAACAATAACAAATATAATAATAATAAATAAATATAAAATGTAGAGGGGCCATAATCATTTCAAACCAGTGAATGATATTGGATCCATAAAGAGACATCAGATCATTGACAAAAAAAAGATAATTCATTTCAATAGAATGAATGGGGAGATAAACCAACGTAAAAACCAATAAAAAACCAATAGGAAAGACTCTTTTTCATTGAAAAAAAACCATCACTCACACCTCCTAAACCCAGAATTTAAAACATACCCATCCTCAATGTTTATTATGAGTCCTCAAATGTTGAGCCAAATTATCAGATCTACTAAACTTCTTTTCACAAAACTTGCAAGGGAATGGACGAACATTTGAATGGACCGATCTTATGTGTCTTTTCAAATGTTCAGATCTTCTAAAAGCCTTTGGGCAACTTTCACATTTGAATGGTTTTTCCTCTTCTTCAGATTCTTCAATTGGTGGGGTTATTGAGGATGATGAAGATGAAGGGGTAGGTTGTTGTTGTGGATGATGTGGATGTGGATGTGATGATGATGTTGGTTGTGGATCTAGTGAAAGGAAAGAAGTTGAAGAGACTAGTGAGTCTGATTTTCTTCTTTTCGTTAATGAAGTTTTTTGGAATTTTGGGATTGTGGAGGAGATGGAATTTGATTTTGATGTTTTATTTTTGGAAGAATTGTTGTTGTTGTTGTTGTTTTGAGAGATCCATGTTGCTATTGCATCTTTGAATTCATCATTCATTGACCAGTTATTTTGTTTAAAGTTTGTTGAAGGTGTTGAAGAAGTTGATGAATGAGTTGAAGAGGATAAAGGGTCAGATTCAGAAGAGATTGAGTTTGAATCATCAAATAGCAAGGCATGGTCGTTTGAAGAAGTGATTGAAGAAGTTGAAGAGTTTATCTTGGGATTCAGTTGTTTTGGGTTTATTGTGTAGATTTGTGATGAAGTGGTGGTGTTATTACTGTTGAGGGTTGTTGATTGATTGAATTTGTAGTTGAATAGATGAAGGTTATCATTGGATAGAGCTTCTAGTTTGTCTATATCTTGGTTGTTCTCTTTCTGAAGCAGTAGGTCATAAATGTTTTGGTCATATTGATGAAGAGGGTTATAATGGTTCAAAGTGTCCTCTTGGGTATTGTTATCAGCTGAAGCTGTTGTGGATGATTGTTGGTCGATGAGAGAGTTGATGATGTTGTCAGAGTGGATTATGGACATTGTCAATGGTCCATTAGCTGTGTGTTGGCTTGTTGTGGTTGTAGTGGTTGTGGATGTACTTGTTGAGATTTGAAATGTGGATGATTTGATCAAATGTGGGTGTGCCAATGTTCGAGACGGGTTATGAGAATGTGGGAAGGTATATACTGATAATGGATTGTAATGGAATTGATTGTGATAGAATTGATGATAGTATAGATTCTGATAGTAGTAGTATTATAATTGAGTAATAGTATAGACTTTAGTAGTTAATACTCTACTATTATTACACCATCTTCTCTTGTATTAATAGCCTTGATATCTACATGGGGTGCCTCGGATCATCACACCATTGGCTGCCTTGGATTAGTCAGGGAGTAGGTAATTAATAGAGAATAGAATTATAACAACTATACTATAACTATTATAATACTACTATTCTATACTCTATTCCACTAAGCTATTCCTCTTTTCCTCTCTTCTCATTGGCCAGTTCCCTATACTGATTACGTAGCAAGAGAGAACACTTACGTAATCATTCCCAAAACGGAAACACTCTTCTTTCCCAAAACGGAAGTGTCATTGAAACGAGTATTACGTAAGTGCTTATGTCACACCCAAAGTGAATTTCATCCTTCAATTCAATTCAACTAGCAACAATTCCTCAACTTCAACAACTCTACTCAATCAAAGTTCGATATAGAATAGTATTCAATACAGTGCTAATTTCTACAATGTCACTGGCTAATTCCCAAATATCAAACAAGTCCAAACACTCCTCGGTCTACCAAACTAACGGCAAACCTCTATCCCCTGAAGCCCTATACAAGGCCAAACTCAAGTATGGAATCTATAATAACCCAACAACTCAATCAATTGGTGTTCCATCCTCATCTGCCGCTTCTGATACTGCCGCTTTATTAGCAAACTCAACTGACCTATCTATTGAACCTTACAAGAGACAATTGGCTGCTGATGCTCAAACCGCCGCTTTATTTGCTAGAAAGGATACAGCTCCTCAAAAATGGTCAAAAGATTATATTGATCATGATGCTGCAAGTGCAGCTATAAGTGCTAAATCTTTGAAAACTCAAATCATCAAAAAGCCATCTGATAATAGTTCAAATGCTGCTGCTGCTTCTGTCTTGTCAAAAGATTCAAAATCTTTAGCTTCTTCCAATTTAGCCTCTTTATATGAATTTGATGCTGTTAGAAATGGGACTAAAAATTCTCATGCTTCCTTAAACATTGAAAAATTATCAAAAGCTTCAAAAGAACGTGCAGATACTTTAATCAATTCAAGAATAAACCCAACAAGAGATTCTTCAAGATTAGGTCTTGCATCTAAAGAGACAAATAATGATCATTTAGAAAAATTTGCAGCTGTTGGAGCATTAGCTTCACAAAATTTTAAACCTCCACAAGATCCAAATCTTGAAGCTAAGGCAATTTATAAAAATTCTTTAGTTGATCCAAAAGTTTTAGCCAAGGCAAGATTAAATGCTGATCGTACTTTAACTGGGATTGATAAACATCTTGGTGAACAAGATTTATTCTTAAATCCTGAATTTAATAAAATCGCCATTCAAATTGCTCAATCCCATTCAACTAAAAGAATTGCATCCTCTGATAAGATTAACTTAGGTGGTGGGTTATTTATGACCCAGGAAGAATTGGATTCAATTGCTTCCAAGATTGTTAATCCTGTTCTTGAAGATATTTCAGCAAAGGCTAAAAAGCAACGTGAAAAGGATTTGGAAATTCAAAAAAAGAAGGAGGAACAAATCAAATTACATCGTCAAGTTAAATTACAACAACAAGCTAAAAAATTGGAAGAGAAGAGATTAAAAGAAGAGGCTAAATTAAATAGAAGAAAAGAAATGGAACAAGAAAAGGAAAAACAAAAACAAGCTAAATTAGAATTGGAAAAGGCTAAAAAGGAAGAATTATCAAAACATCAAGATATTTTAACTGCAAAGCAAAAAGAAGAAGAACGCTTGAAAAAAGAATTATTGGCTAAAAAACAAGCAGAAGAAGAGAGAATTCAAGATGAATCAACAAAAGCTGAAAAGCAAAGATCTAAAGAATTACAAGATGCTAAAGAGGAACGTGATTTGAAATTAGCCCCAATTTTGGATCAATTGAAAATTGAAACTGATAAATTGGCTGTTTTGAATGAAGAAAAACAAGCAATTCAAGATATCACAGATTCTCAAGTTAAAAATACTGAAAATGCTAGAAATTTATTAATTGCATCACAAACTGAATTAACTAATGCTGAAAATCAATTAGAATTAATTAAACAAGATATTGCTAAATCTAATGATGAATCTGAAACTTTAATTAAAGAATCTGAATTGAAAAAACAAGAGGCTGAAGTTGCTTTGAAAAAATCAAATGAAATCGAAGCTGAAGCTTTATTAAAACAAGCTGAAATTGATAAAGAAAAGGCAATTGTGGAAAATGAACGTTTAAAATTAGAATTAGAATTGGAAAATTATAAAATTGAAATCTTAGAACAAGAGAAAAAAATTGCTGAAATTTTACCACCAACTAAAAAGGAGGAAGTTAAATCCAAAGATGTTAAACCGGAAACAGCCACTAAAGGGGCAACAGCCACTGAATCATCACCAAAGGAAACTTCTGAATTACCAACAACTATAGTTACAGGGACTGGAACTGTTGACATTTCCAAAAATTTCCAATCTCAAGACCCTTCAACAAAGACAATAGTTGATGCAAGTGGTGCAATCACCCCAGCTTCAAAACAACATCAACATGTGAAGTCATTAGTTGATGAAGTTGTACCAAAAGATTCCCAAAAGGACGTTAAAGATGAAGATGATCATGAGTTGAAGAAGACTTTTACTGGGTTTTCTCAAGGTAGTGGTGTGGAGAAGGAGAATTTGGAATCAACTCCTGAAGATGTTGTTGTTGATGATGCTGATTTGAGTAAAGAGGATAAACACAAGAGTTTTTTCAAGGAGGAGTTTTAAATTGATTATTGAGTGATTGATTAAGTGTGTTTTTTATATATGAGCTGATTATTGTGTGTTTTTTTGCTGTATTTTTTTTATAATTATTCATTATGTGTGTATTATTTGACATTGAAAAGAAAATTTGATATTTTTGATAACTTGTAAGAGAATCAGCTTGTCCATCTACTAGTTAGGTTTAACATTATTATTAGTATTAATTAAAAAACATAGTATATACAACGACCTTATGATCTATTTTTGAAGAATTTAGCAGGTTCATCAAAGAAGAATGCAATTTTTTCAATAAAATTCTTTGGAGCTTCAACTTCAGCATTCAATTTTGTTTGTTCAGCAGTTTTACATTCAATTGCATTTTGATTATCACCTAAATAGAAATTTTTTTGAAATAATGAAGTTAAAAATGGAACAATAGTTAAGATCAACGCAGGTAAAAATAAATAATATGCAGTATCACTATAAGCTTTTATAGCACCTTGTCTAATTTCCGAATCATAAGGATATTGACGAATTGAAGTAATACTTGCGAAAAAATTTTGAATATCTGAATCACTAACAGAATCTGGTAAATTTTTTCTTAAATTACCTGGCATTTTACCAGTCCAAATAGCACCTGCAATAGCAGACCCAATAGCATGACCAATTGAACTCCATTGTGATAAAAGTGCAATAACTAGGGCAGTATCCTGATGAGGCACCGAGGCTTGAGATGCAACTTGAGAACCAACAACTGAACAAGCACCACCAATACCAATCAAGATCTGGGTCCAAGCTAATGCTGCAGTCGAGGCATGTTTACCTCTAGCCCATAGTGTAATACCCATGGAGACAACTTGGATTGATAACCCGAAAACTTGAATATATTTACAACGATGTGTAACTCTTTGCACAATACCGACAATGACACCAAAGAAACAAAGACCCATGGTTAAAGTATTGTTAAAATAGGTCCATTCTTGATTTGTCCAGTTTTTAATGACCCAAACATAAGATGAGAAATATAATAATCTAACCATACCACCACATTGATAAAAGAAATCAATTGAAACTGCAGTCATAAAAGTTCTATTTAACAAGACACGTTTAGGCATTGATGGATAAGGAGCAAACCAAAATTCATAAACTGTATAAATGATTAATAACAAGGCACCAACAACAAGCATTGCAATTAAGGAAGGATTCTTCCATTGATTTGCAGCATTTTCATATAGTGAAAATGGTAATAATAATAAAGACCAACCAAACCCCATCAAGATTAACCCAAATAAATCAACTTCCAAAGTTTGTTGCCACAAGAATACACACCATTCATTAAGGGACATGCTTGATAATTTATGTTCTTTTGGGATTTCTAATTTAACAACTTCTGCCACACGGTTTTCTTCAGCCAATTTAAACGCTTTACGATCTAGCCACAACATTGTCACAATAGCTGGTGTAATAGCCACGGGCATAATGATGGCAAACATACCATACCCCCATCTCCAATTACCTTTCCCCAAGATGGCATCGACGATTAACCCGGCAAACCAAGTTGTGATTAAATATGGACTTGACAAAATACCCAATAATAAACCTCTATATTTCAATGGAGTTAAATCAGCCGCGATGATTTGATTCAATAGTTGAATACTTGAACCACCAATGGCAACAAACACTTCACCGATAACATATGCAGAGATTGTGGAACTTGAAGCGACAATGATATACCCCATAACGTAAAGGGCTAAAACTAGGATATAAGTGATTGGTCTTGAAGTGATATCTGCAAATTTGGCAATGATTGGCTTACAAACAGATGACATGATTGAGGTTGCAATGTTTAGAGTGGACAACATTGAATGATGTTTGAAAGATGAAGTTGCATAGGGACCATAGTTGTAAGTTGTTGAGGAGTCTAATGAATAGACCCAAGCACAGATTAATAATGAAACACTAAGGAGGATTCTGAATAGGTTTCCCTTTTTGGAAGTGTCCATTAGGACTTTGATGTTTTCGATTCTTTGGACACCTCTGGAATGATACACTTTATGTTCAGACGATGAGTCTTCGTAATCATCATCATAATTTGTTGGTCTTTTTTTCAATATCATCTTCTTGATAATATTGTTTTGAGACTTCTTCATTATTCGAACTTGAATGGATTGAAGAATTTGTTTGAACTGGTTGTTTCTCAGACATTTTTGGAATGGTTTTCAAGGGATAGAGACCTTTCTGCGCAAAATGATGATGAATCTTGTGGATTTATATACATTTTCCATGAATCACCCAGATTATCTAGATTATCAAGGATCATAAACTTTCTTTTTACTCATTCTCTTAAATTTCCTCTCGTACAACTCCATGCAACTAATAACGATTCTGGTCCGTTGATCTGCGGATACACACAACAAACTGTTATAACATCCCAGGTCGTTGCTTCATTTCCAATGTTCTGAATCGATTGTGATTGGGCATCGTTTTGGTGAAACTTTACAGCTCTTGATGTGGTTTTTTTTTCTTTTTTGTCCATGAAAAGGCGGCGCACGTTATTTATCCGTTCTAGGGCCAATTCAATCTGGTCAAGAACTGGGAATAAAGAGATATGGCCATTGTAGATAGATATAGGGGCCTATTATTACAAAGAATAACTCTTTTCTATCTCGTTTCTCCCTTGTTTCTACCCCCTTTTTGAGTTATCTGAACCATCTTTTTTATCTCAAGGATCTTTTGCAACTGTACACAACGCAGCACAATCAAGTGCCCTTTGCGAGCTTAAGAACTTCAAATTTACCAAGAAATCTAAGCTTAAACACAATAGCCAATGGGAAGACGGTACTTACTCTTTTGCAGCCCTTGGGAAATTGGGATTCTATTTTGTCAATTGCGCGTGGTTGGTCAAGGGTTCTCCAAACAGGCGTATATCTCCATGGCCGATGGGCTTAGAGGTGAGCGTATTACAATGGCTATTAACTACAACATCAAATGCTCATGATGATGCTAATACCATAATAGACTACTACTGAGCTAATTACCCATCTCTTCATCACCATCTGCTGCCCTTTTCCCTTCCCTTCCCACTACTGTTAATTTAGATTGGCGGTTGCCTGAAGTTGTACAACGTATGAATCGAATAAGCCCTGGTGCTGCTTAAAGGCTCAGGCAATACTTCCATTCTCATCACCTCAAAAGGTAGTTACTACTACTGAATACTGCAACACCCCAGCTTTGACCATCTCTTAACTACATAAGCGTTTTCGGCGCATTAATTTTCAGAGTCTAAAAGTGGACATGTTCTGATGTTGTTGTACTATAACATTCACAAGATCAATTACAGATACTCATGACTACTCTGAATTCTACTGATCTAATACCAAACTCCCATGTTCCCCATGATGTAATTTAATAAGTCATGTTCAATTTATGCAGGGCGGCTAATTAATCACTAGTGACACAAACGCAACATTCACTATAAAAGTACAAGAAGAATTCCTTGAATCGTTTTATGTCAACGATCTTTCTCACAACATAAGCAGAACTGGTTTGCTTTAGATCTCTATGAATATCTCTAATAATGAAAATGTTTCTTGTAATTTGTTCTGCCTCTTTTCTTTGAAGGCTGAGTGTGCGTGCATATTCAATATTTGTAAGTTATATTAAAACAACCATTAATCACACACTTTTGATCAGCATTTGAACATAGACAGCTAACACCATGCTCTATTAACAGGACTGATAAATATTGTTTTGCACACATTATTTTTGATTCTTTTGAATTCGTGTTAGCTTAATTTGTTTGATGGCTTTTTATTCATTTTATCCATGAGGACGTTCTTATGGACTTTTTTGATTAGATCATATTTAACATATATATTCAATCATTGATATTGTCTATTCAGTATATCAAAGAATAATAATGATTTAATATACAAGATGTTGATACTTGGAATGATTATCTGAAATATGATATCATCAAAAGTGTCTTCTTATTAGTTTGACTAGATGTTTACAATTTGAATTAATTGTAGTCACTTTTCAACCTTATAGTCCTGGTAGACTAAACAATATGATCATCAAAGTAATATTAAAGGATAGAAAGCAACATGATAACTACAATTCCAAGTAAATTCAATGCTATCTCATAACATTAACCATAATATCCCTACTACTGCAACTTAATTAACACCCAAGTGTAACGTTAAAATCGACTGGTTACCAAAACCATACAAGGTACAAAATTGTCTTTTCTTAGCAATATATTGAATCAACACCTGAAAAATAAGCAGCTTCTCTATTAGCATGTGAGTAACAGTGCCTCTGATAACTTTTCCTAAAAAAGATTTCAAGACACCTCTAACTATTAAAGCAGAACTACCTTCAGGACCTCATCTTTCAACACAACCAACAGGCACAGACTCAGACGTACCAACCCATAATTAATAGATCAAGTCCTTGATCATTTCAAGGTATGGTCATATCCCATTCAATCGATTTGTCTGACCTACCAAGACAATGTTTAATAACAAAGATTTTTTGACGGGTATCCAATTCTTCATCTTTTGCAATAATATTAACCAATGCACTTTCTTTTTCAATTGTCATTAACAATTTATTCAATTCCAATTCAGTTGGTGAAAGTCTTTTAGGTATTTTTTTCAAAAAAGTTAAATATTTCTCATAATTCTCTCTTATATGTTTTTTATTCTTTTCAAATCTTGCTGTAGCTTTTTTGGAAAGTTTATGTTTACCCTTGAATATCTTTCTTTCTTCCAAATTGTAATTATGTTTTGCCCTTGCTTTTCTATTTTTCCATAAATAAACAGAAGGTTCATTAACAAATTCCTCCAAAAGAACCATATAACTTATATCTCGTGTAAAATATTCAACAAGATTGTGTTTTCGATTTTCATATTCAGCACGACCAACTATATCAATTATATCATCCAACATATTACGACCACACTTCTGTAATTCTTTCTCATAATTTAGGAAACGGAAAGCATATTTGTTTTTTTTTGATCTTTCAAAAAATTCTCTAGGAAATATATCATAAACATCCTTGTCCAATATAAAATGGTTATGAAATTCGGAATATTGGAAAACATCATAACATTTATCCCTGAGAATTTGATAATAAAGCAAATATTGACCACATAGATACCTCAACTGTTTAACCAAATCTCCAATTTTTAAAAAATCATGAAAATCAGGGAATGAATCCCACATCCTACTTTGAATAATCTCCCACCCTAATGCATTAAATTCATTATAATTTCCAATTATATAGTGTTGATACTCAACAACCAGTTCAGCAAATTCACCAACCATAGCAAGGCTCCATTTTAATGACTCCATCCCATACACATCATAATCAGGAGTCGGTGTGGTGTTTGTCACTGTTGTATTTGCTCCATTGGGATTGATTGGTGCTAATGGAGTTCTGGTCCCAGACGGCTTATTATTAGAAGTTGGTTTCGTTTGTAAGTTGTATTCACCTGTATCAATTCCTATATTCTCCGTGTTGCAAGACACCAGGGGGTTTGATGATGTGTTGTATCCTATGAGTTTGATGTAAACAAAGTTGTTTATATTTTCTTGAATCAAATATCGTGATTGATATGCCATGTTTACACGGGTCAATAAGAGATCTCGTTCGCGAAACTTTACTTTAGCCAGTATTTCTTTGTGTGTTGTAACTTGAATTAATGCTAAAAATTAAATAGAATATACCTAAAAGAGTATAATATGAATGACTAGATAGAGTCATGACTTCAAAGCAGCTATGGTTTTGGAGTTTCACCGCACCAACTCATCATAAAAAAGATCTCCATTCAACGTTTGTATTTCCCACAAAATTCTTGAATAAGTATTATCTTTTGAGAAGAACTGAGTCTTGATTCTTGGACTAAAAACAATACCAATGGATGTTTCTTGTCTATACATTTCAATTTCTCCATCTCAGTGTCATTTAATGCAGGTCTCTTGGATATTGTTTTAATGAAAGCTGAAAACTTGATAAAATTTTCACCAGGATTCTTCCATGATTCTATCTCATCTCGACTTATGCGTTGCAGCAGTAAAGATGTGTGCAGAGCACTTGGTTGTGGTTCTTCCAGATACCTTTTCAGCATACCTAAAGCTTGGAATTTCCGTTTTAACCATTCTCTAGCTTCATTTGTTGCATCTTGACCATTATAAGCACGTGGAAGATTTGTAAAAGTTTCCAACAAACGCATAAACCTGACATCACCTTGGAAATATAAAGCAAAAGTTTGAAATTTAGCACCACCACCTAATTTTTCGTAAGCTTTCCCCCAACTATGAAGTTTTCTTTGATATAATGCAAATGCAGCTTGAACCCAAGTTTGATTAGCTGGACGATGAAAACTGGAAAGATTTGTTATGATGAAGTGGGTTTTCTCTTCTGACCAAACGATATTTCTCATATTATTCATTGGTTTAAAATATAATAAATTTTGAATACATAAATATTCCAATTGTCTTTGTAAATCACTATTTTGCAAAAAATCATGATGATTGGGGTATAATTCCCACATTTTAGTCTGAATGATTTCTAAACCTAATGAATTCAATTCATTAAATTTCCCAATTCTATGTTGTTCATTTTCTAAAACCAATTCAACGAATTTGTTAACCATTTGAAAAGTCCATTTTAAATCTTCTAGCCCAGATATTATGTTCTGTTGATTTACTGGGGTGGGTTTTGTAGTACTATTGATGATGGGATTCAGAAGCGCCTCATTGGATATTGCACTAGATTTTGGGTTGGTTGATGGTTTGGTAATTTTGTAATTGGAGGAATTGATGGAGCTTTGTGATTTTATTGATAGAGCGCTAGATGACATGATGAGAGTAGTGGGTCTTGAGCTTTATGACTGAATGGGAATATGGGGCCAATTATCAATGAGTTGATGAGTAATTTGCTGTTGATAATTCTTGATCAGTAAAAGGTGAGTACGCCTATAAATTTTTAACGCGCGTTGCTGCCATATTTACACGGGTCAATATAAAATCGACTTGATTCGCGAATTGGTTCTACAGAAAAATTCTCAATCATAAACTTCGTTAAAATAAATCATCAAAAAGTAAGTAAATAAAAACAAGGAGAACTGAAAAACCACTAGATACTATATATCTATGCATCATGACAATCTATGGCATGGCAGTATATTCTTTCAATTTTGTTTTGAACAAATAATCATTATACAAACCATATTTCTTAATAAATAACCCTTGAGGATGTTCAGGATGAACTTCACATAATTCATCATTTTTCAAATCTTTTGCAAATTGATTTAAAAATTCCAACCAAGAATCACAAATAACTATTCTACTCTCCATAAAATCTTTACCCCAAAGGATAACTTGACCTTTTTTACCATTTGGACCTGGTTTTAAATCAACACCAATTGAATTACCACAATCATCATAAGCTAATGCAATCCAATAACATGATAATTGGGTTGGTCTGATTGAACCTTCTGGATAAGTTGGAACTTTGAAAACATATTCCTCGTTACCACTCAATTTTTTCAAATTTTCATATTCACGTTTAATACCTTCTAAATTCAACATTTTTAAACCGAAGAAAACAGCCAATTCTTGATGTTGTCTTTCTAATTCCTTGACAGTGTCGTCGTCTTCATCATCCTCGTCATCATCGTCTTCTTCATCGTCATCATCGTCACCACCATCTCTAACATGTTCATGGATCTCAAAATCACAAGCCTGATTCTCACCATTAACTAATTGTAAATAAGCAACAACATCTTTTGGTAAATTTAAACCACATTGTTTTTCAAAAGTTTCAATTTCATTCAATGATAAACCTTCATGAAAGATATTTTGCAATGAAGGGAATTTTGAATGAATAGTTTGTTTAATTGTGTTGATGGCTTGCTCAACTTCAGTAAAAGTGTTCATCTTGAAAAGATTTAAATAGATTGTATATAGTTTGGAGTACTATGAAGAAGAGAAAGAAGAATTGAATTAAGAAATTTGAACGATAAAATCACACCTATTTAAATGAATTGAATTTTACTCCTCAAACTAGTGTGTTTATTATTATTTCTCCGAATATAATGATCTGGGGTGAATTAGTTTTGTCTGCATAAGTTGCCAATTGCTCAAAAAACACGTTACTTATTTGAATACGGAATAACTTGGGATTGGGAGTACTTTGGAAATCAGAAGGAGAAGGTGTTGATTTGAATGGATAGTAGCTAATAAAAGTAGCCTTGAGTGTATTGAGTTAGAATTAGCTCTATCGTACTTGATTGTATGGCAATCGTTCAATCATGTCAATGATCAATTGGAGGGACAACAGCTCATCAAAACCCCAACAATTGACACATAAAAACGAGATCATTCAGGAATTGACTTGTATGAAACTGGTGATTACCCCTATTACTGTGAGTCATTTTAGAAGGAACAGAGTGGATAGAATAGGCTGATGATTAACTGGCTACTAGTGGGTTGCTTCTGCTAAACTCTTGCCCCAGATTTAATCCTAGGCAGAAACAGCCCATGAATTTAGGCACACGCCATTGAGTCAAGATTAGGAAGAGAGAAACTGATATATAATTCTATACTAGCTATACAACAACCCATACATATATATATTACCTTCACATACACTCTCATACTAAATTTACCTATAATTCACTTTAGTCACGTGTCTTTACACGTGATCCACGTTCAGCCACACACACCCCAACACCAGTGACTCCTGACTCTAGTCCCTGACTCCGTCCACCGCTTCCCCAGAGTCTCACTCGTTCAGAACAAGAACTTTTAACCGACGCTGGTGATCTGAGCTAATTAACAGAACGGAATAGCCTACTTCTGGAGAACCGGTTGCAGGAGAAATGGATTGTCTACAAGTCGCACTCCGTTGCGAAGGTAGACTAGTCCCTACTTCTTACTGCTTTGGGTAGCACTACTCGCACTAGAATGGGACTATGGAGCACCGGCAGACCCTCTTCTCCACAATCTTTAGCCATTCTTAGACCCCTGGTCTAGTCCCCTTTACATTTGATCCGAATCCAGTTAATCATCATCATCATCATCACTTCTGTATAATCGCTAATGAGATAGGTTGTATAAATATATAAGCATGTGAATTCTTTCAATTCTTTATCTCCTGGATTTGTATACTACTAGTACTAATCCACCACAATGCCTAAATCCAAAAGAACAAGAACAGGTTGTCTCTGTTGTAGAAGACGTCATAAAAAATGTGATGAATTGAAACCAAGTTGTAAATTTTGTATTTCAAAAGGTTTAAAATGTGAATGGCCTATAAAAGGTTCTATATTTGTTAATTATCAATCAAATACAACAACAAATACAAATAACTCTAGTTTTGATTCGGATCAATCCCAATCAAGTGATTCAAGAAAATCATCAATCGATGAGAATCTATACAAATTATCAAATAATGTTAACACTAATAATTCATTACCTCCTATAAAGCATTATCATATGGTTATACCCAGAGAGCATCAGTACACTTCAACAATTTTCACATCACCACAAACGTCACCAACTTTTAAAGAAATGACTTTCAATTCAATAAATAGTGAAGAGAAAAACCCAAATAGTATAGTTCCAATGAATTTCAACACTTCTAAAAGATTAAGTGTGGATTCTTTATTGAATTGAATGAATGTTAATGAGTTTTATGATACCTCTCTACATGTAGACAATAACTTGAAATCAATGTATTACAATTATATCTCAACCATTCTTTGCACCCAAATGTTCAGTATCAGCAGGTGGATCAAATTGTGGTTGTGGCAAGAAGTAATCATCTTTATGAGTCAATTTGTCTAAATCTTGTTTACTCAATTCTTTAACATCAAAAGCACCCAAGATTTCCTCACCTTTAGCAATTGGATCCAAAGTTTTAGTTAATGGTAATAACCCCATTTGTAAACTCCATTTAACCAATATTTGCACAGGTGTTGCATTATATTTCTTAGCAATCTCAACCAATTCTTCATCATCAAATTTCAAACCTCTAGTTAATGGAGAATATGCTTCAACCAACATCCCATGATCCTGTGAAAATTTAATCAATTCCTCACGATACAACCATGGATTAATACTAATCTGATGAACTTGTGGTTTAACCTCCAATACTTCACTTTCATACAATTCTTTCAAATGTGGTAATCCATAGTTAGAAACACCAATAGCCTTCACTTTACCGGCTTTATAATACTCTTGTAGCGCCATCCATGTTGATAAACGACCTCTTTTATCACTCAGCGGATCATGAATGAGTACTAAATCAATATATCCCAACTCTTTAGCACTACTCAAACTTAAATCCAACGACTTCTTGGTGATTTCATACCCATGGTTTGGTGTATCAATCTTGGAAGTGTAGAAAATTTCCTCCCTGGAGACATTTGGGTTCTCTTGCAAGAACTGGACAATACCTTGGACAACTTGAGCTTCGTTACCATATCTTTGAGCACAATCTATATGACGAAATCCAGTTTTCAAGGCGTGGTATGTACAGGATTGGGCAGATTCTGGTGGGATTTGATATGTACCGTATCCAATCACTGGGATTTGTTTGTTGTTTGATAATTTGTATTGTGAGTTTTTAGTTAAAGTCATGGTGATTGATGATGATGGAAGAATGAATTGAGTAGAGATGTGAAGATTGATTCCACTCTTTATATATAGATTATACCATCATTTGATACTTGCTGTTAGCAATTGTAAACCAACATATCTAGAAACTTCTTTGTTAGACGTTGCATGGTTTATTGTACTGTTTGTTTTTTTTGTTACGTTTATTGCTCGAAATTTTTCACTTTTTTGCTATAAAAGTTAGTTTGGACATAATTACGAAAGACAAGATGCCTATAGATTAATTTGCTATCACCAACAGAGATCCAATAAAAGTTTACACGACAATATAAGTCTAACCATGGTTCATTATATTCATCTTTAAGCTAGGATCAGGTAAACATTTATACCATTCGATTACTCATAGGAAAAGTGTTTAACCGTACAAGATCATAACCATTAAACATATTTCATTAAAGTATACAAATATTGATCATAATTCAATCAACAGAAGCTATTGGCAATCCATTCTCATTAAATTCAAACTCACCTTCAACATTCTCTTTCAAAAATTTTTTAGATTTGGCAATTCTACACTCTCTAGCTTCACCTTCAGTAACAATAGTGAAGTTTTGTTCCAAATACCAATCATTAGCATTCATATCATATTTCTTCGCCAATTTCTCACCTAATGGAACCAATTCAAATAACAATGGAGTTTTTACACCGAAAACAGCATCAGAATTCTCAAAACGATCACCTTTATGATATAAAGCCGTAATCAACTTGTCATAACCTGGCTTCTCAATGATGAAATGGATATGGGCAGGTCTATAAGGATGTCTCTTGATCACTTGCAACAATTGACCCACAGGACCATCATGAGGAATAGGATAAGGTGTAGGCTTGATGCATTTTATAACAAACTCGCCCTGGGCATTCGTGTGCACGATCCCACGACAGTCTGGACCGTCTCTGTCTGGGTACTGGGTATCATAGAGCCCATTCTCATCACATTCCCAAAGATCTATAGATGCTCCCTCTATGGGCTCACCTTGTAAATCAGTCAACTTCCCAGTGATTAATAGAGGTTCACCTTTCCCTTCAGAACAGATGGAGTCTCCCTGTTGGTGCTCTTCAGCGTCATGGGTATGGAATGGGCCCAGCAGGGTTCCAATGGTGGCACCTTCAGGCTTTGGATGTGAGATCCCATCAACTAGCACAGATAGCCCCAGGACATCACTTAGCAGGATGAACTCCTGTCTGATCTCTGTACAGGTTTGACCTACCGGTGTTAGGAAATCTATACCAACGTCCCATTCCTCAGTGGTGAGTCTTGTCCCTCTGGCAAAATCATGTAAGTGGTCCACTAGTTTGGATAAGATGAATTTCAATCGAGGATTCGGGGTTTTCGAGTTGACGATTTTGGTGTTTTCAGTTATTGTTTCATCGCTCATGAAGCCGATTTCAGGCACGTCAAAGTTGAAATCGTTGATGTTGACAGAGGGCATATTGGATGGATGATGGAGAGTATCATAAGACTATATTCTATTGTATTATATCTGGCACTTTATATACCGTATAAGCTATGTCCTGGTTATACCATTATCCATCCTCACTTTGTGGGGACAGTGCTCGGATAAGGCTTTAACAGGTAGAGATCAAGAAATGGTGAGATTATGGTGAGATTTAGATTTAATAGATTTAATGCTTTTTCTATTACTTTCTATACTTCACCGCCCAATACACACCACCGCTCAGCAGCACACTGACACCTGTCACTGGGAACACGAAGTAAGGATACCCATTGTCACTGAGCACTGGCGGTGGCACAAATGGAAACACTGCTAAAAACACATTGGCCATCAAGAAAACAAAGCTAACAGCCCAATACGAATGCCATCTATGCTCTTCATCTTTACAACCCCATCCTTCCTTTACCCGATTATATTGTAGATAAAACAACCCCAGAGTAACCAAAATATTGATCCATGTCCCTGGATATGAATATAAATTGACAACAAATTGATAAACATCTCCATTAGGTGGTAATATCAACACCAACACTGTGACTAACCAATGTAAAAACATCGAATTTGGCAAATGCGATAACCATTTAGAATATGGTAATAGTGATTCTTTAGCCAATTCTTGATTAATCCTTGAATGTGAAAATGAAACTGCAAATACATTACCTAGATTTGATAAGGAAATCATAATTGGTAATACCCTAGATGTAATAGATTCTCCAAATATCTTGTTAAAGAAAACTCCTGCAATTAACACACCTGAACTTTTAAACTCCTCTTTAGGAATAACCAAGTAATATGATAATATAACTAAGAAATATAACCCTGTTGTTAATAAAACTGATAATGGTGCTGAAATCTTTAATGTCTTGTGTGGATTTTTAATCTCTGATAATACATAATTTGCATTCTCCCATCCTTTAAATGAATAAATAACTTGTAATAAACCCACAGATAAATTATATGAATTACCTGAAAATCCATCATAATTTAACCAAATGTTTGAAAAATTATCATTTTGATCAATATCAATCAATCCAACAAACACAAGAAACCCCAAAGATATAATCAATGCCAATATAAACACTTTAATAAACCCCAATATAGTGAAAATCCTAGTACTCAACCCTGAATGAAAAACATGTAAATAAATTGCAAACGTTATAACACCAACTCCAATAACCCTTGAAATCCAATCATCCTCACCATCCCTCTTCCCAGTCATAGCAAACAATACATATTTCCCAAAAGCATATGAATTCCCAGAACTAAACCCCAACAATACAATCTGTGCAGCATAAACACAATCAATCAATTTCCTAGGCCTCGTGAAAACCCGTTGTAAATAATTTTTCTCACCTCCATTAAACGGTAATTCTAACCCAAATTCTAAATATACACTAAGTCCACAAAATGTAACAATCCCTCCAATGAGCCATAGGATTAAACTCGTCCCTATATTACCACAAAGATAAAAAATTAATGCTGGTGTGCTGAAAATTCCCGTACCAATCATTTTGTTAATTATGAGAGACATGCATGCAAATACGCCTAGATGAGGTTCATGGTGGTGGTTGAGGTTGGGGAGTAGTCTTGATTGTTCTGAGGCCATGATTGATCAATAAAAGAGCATTAATATTAACAAATACTAAATTCTATGCTTTTAATGGTTTGAAATAGTTGAATTTAATGTTTTTGACTCATTTTTGAATTCACGTGACATTTCGCGAAGTTGATTTTTTTGCCTTTTAAAAATTGGAGATTGAGAATTTGACTTCTCCAGGTTTTTAAAAGAGAGTAATCAGGGTATTATGACTACGATAATGAATGGGAATGCACATCAAGAGAATTTAGAAGATAGTATAGCTTCGTTATTATCATCTTCGTTAATACAGGAACCTAAAGATGATTCCGTAATCATAAATTCTAATTATAAAAAAGCTGCTAAATTATTCATCAATAAGAAATTTCAACAATCTTTTGAAATTGTTCAAAATCAATTGATCCCACAAAGTGTGGTGTTTTATAATTCAGGTGTTATTAATGAAGATTTATTTAATAATTTGTGGTTATTATATTTCAATTTGATTGATATTTTCATAAATAAGTCTTTTACATTGTTATCAAAATTTGATAAAGATCAATTATTAAAATCTTTCAAATCTGATGAATTTTTCAATGGGTTTTATGAATTAAATAAACTAGTACATCCAAAATTAATTGTATTGTTGGTTTTAATCAAATTAAATAATGATGATACCGATCTAATTGCATTAAGAAATCAAATGGATATATATTTGGTTAATATATCATCTGAACTAAATCATGTTCAAAACCAGGATAGATTTGATTCATTTCAAGAACTATTAGAGATTTATCATGTTTATTTATTACCAAAATTGAATGAATTCGAAGAGAGTGAGTTCCTTATAAAATCAAACCATTTGATAGTAAATCAAAATGAAATGTTGGAAAATTTACATAAAGTTGAAAAAGAGATGAAGGATAAAGAACTACAAAAACAGAAATTAGCAGCCAAGAGAGCTCAGGAGGCACAAAGAAGAAAAGAACAACAGTTGAAAGAAGAACAAGAATTGAAAAGGGTTCAAAATTTGGAAAAGGTGAAGAATAAAATTATTGAAACTAATTCAATAAACCATAATAGTAAAATAGTGAAGAAGTCACAAGGAAATGATCTTTCAATATATAACATATTGAGAGATAAACTATTGGAAAGATTTAATGCTTCAAATTCTTCAATAATTGTCTTGATAATTTCATTAATTTCAATAATTGCATTTACAAAGAATCATAAACTTTTATTAAACAATAGGATTAAGCAGTTTTTGCTAAGATTTTGGACAAAGTTGAGTAATACTCTTAAAATGGCATTTCAAGTTACATATATGTGAATATAATAGTTTAATTCAATCAAATTATCTATGTAGTTTATAGTTTTACCCTGAAGTGCCTTTCCTAAATGGAAAATTTCCTAATTGGGGTGTTTTCACACATTTTGATGATGATGATCAACTGGCAACGAAAATTCATAGGAAATTTCTGGATTTTAAAGCCAACGAGTTGAAATTGAGTAGGATAAATCGATTATTAAGTGATTTAAAATAAGAGCATCCTTTACCAAATCAATCTCGTTATTAAAAAGCCATTAACTCATTTTCTTATTCATTTAACCAATTTTCAAAGCTTCAAAGTTGAATTTTCGTTGATTTTAAGAGAAAATTAAAAAAAAGGATCAAGAGAAAAAAACAACAAATTGAAAACAACGTCAACAACAACATCAACATCAACAAACCAAACACAAACACAAACACAGAATATAAACACAATGTCAGAGTCATCAGACGACTTATACCCATTGGCCCTCTTGATGGATGAACTAAAACATGACGATGTGGCCAATCGTGTTGTTGCTATGCAGAAATTGGATACAATTTCATTAGCGTTAGGTCCTGAAAGAACCAGAGATGAATTGATTCCCTTCTTGAGAGAAGTTGCCCATGAAGATGAAGATGAAGTATATGCTGCATTAGCTGAACAATTGGGTCATTTCGTTCCTTTAGTTGGTGGTGCTGAATATGCTCCAATCTTGTTGCCAGTATTGGAAGAATTGGCCTCCACTGATGAACCTATAGTTACTGAAAAAGCTGTTAAATCTTTAAACACTATAGCATCTCAATTGACTGAAGATCAGTTGAAAAATGAAATTTACCCTTTAATTGAATCATTAACTGATGCTTCATGGTTTTCTAAAAAAGTTGCAGCTACTGGATTATTTGAAAGTATTATTACAAGAGTTGATGATGAATCAAGAAATAAATTGTTGACAATTTATGCAAAATTAACCCAGGATGAATCTCCTTTAGTTAGAAGACCTGCTGCGTCTCATTTACCAAAAATTATTGATTTATTAAGTGAACATGAAAATTTATCAAATGAATCTGATTGGGAATTAATTAGTTCAATGTTTCAATCATTAACTAATGATCATCAAGATTCTGTTAAATTATTATCAGTTGATGCTCTAATATCAATTGCTTCATTTTTCCATAAAAGAGGTGATAATTCTCATAATCAAGAATTATTGAAAAGTTCTTTAAAATTGATTCAAGATAATAGTTGGAGAGTTCGTTATATGGCTGCTGATAGATTTGAAAAAATTGCAATCAATTTCGAAGATAATCAATCAGATATTGATGAATTAATAGATCCTTTCTTAAAATTATTAAGTGATAATGAAGGCGAAGTTAGAAAAGCAATTGCCAAACAATTACCAGGTTTTGGGAAATTGATTCCAAAAAATGTATTATTAAATAAAATCATTCCTCAAGTTGAAGAATTAAGTAATGATCCTTCAGAAATTGTTAGATCTTCATTAGCTAGTGAAATTACAGGATTAACCCCATTATTAGATAAAGATGTTGTTATTAAAGATTTATTACCAATTTTCCTAACAATGTTAAAAGATGATTATCCAGAAGTTAAATTAAATATCATTTCAAAATTGAAAATCGTTAATGATGTTATTGGTATAGATTTATTGGCTCAATCTTTATTACCTGCAATTTCAGAATTGGCTAAAGATAAACAATGGAGAGTTAGATTGGCAATCATTGAATATATCCCATTATTAGCTGAACAATTGGGCGTTTCCTTTTTCGATGAAGAATTGGGTGATTTAGTTTTATCTTGGTTATGGGATAGTGTTTATTCAATTAGAGAAGCTGCTGTTAATAATTTAGAACAATTGGCCAAAATCTTCGGTTCAAAATGGGCTGATGATGAAATCATTTCAAGAATTTTGAAAAGTGATTCAAATTCATTAAATAATTTTGTTTATCGTATTACTTCATTATTTACATTAACAAGATTGATCCCTGTTGTTGATTCAGAAATTACAGTTAATGAAATCTTGCCTTTTATTGATGGATTAGTGCAAGATCATGTTCCAAATATTAGATTTAATGTGGCTAAAAGTTATTTAGTCACTGCTAAAGCTCTGTTGAATATAAATGATGAGGATAATGAAGAATTAAAAGATGCTTCATCTACTCAAAAGGGAATTCCTTCACAGGAGGCTATTTCATATATTAAAGAGAAAATTTTGCCAAATGTTGAAACATTAAAGAATGATGATGATACAGATGTCAAATATTTTGCAACCCAATCTTATAATGGCATTAATTCTATATTAGAGGCTCAAAGTTGATTTTTAAACAAATTCATACAATTACATTCCATTTTACACATCTGCCCTCCATACACTACCACAATCCCATTGTACACATCGTCTGTCTTCTTTCTTTGTTTCCTTTTGTATTTTGTCATCACCATTTGTAATTCACAGGTTGAATTCTAGTATTAAAATTTATCGTAGCCATTTCTTTTGATCTTATCGCGAAATTTCAATGTCGATCTCGCGATTTCTTCGAGGATGAAAAACTGGACAACAAGACACAATTCATCAACAAATCAACAAGAATCAAATCATACCATCATGTCAGGTCTAATCAAGGGAAGATTCCGTACAGATATCAAGTACAAGGCCATTATAGACAAGGCCATCAGCGGTGATAGAGTCGTCACTCACATCTATTTCGACGATGGGGAAGATTTGGAATTATCTACATTGATTGCAGGTTATAGAGCTCCAAGATCAAGTGATCCTAAAAATAACACTCCAGCTGAACCTTTTGGGGATGAAGCAAAGAAATACATTGAGACAAGGCTAGTCAATCAAAAAGTCTTTGTTCAATTCATTGGTACAAGCTCCACTGATGTCCCAATTGTCAAGATTTATCATCCAGCAGGTAATATTAGTGAAAAAATCCTTGAAGCTGGGTTAGCAGAAATTGCTGATTGGCAATCAGGTTTTATCAATGCTCCTGGTATGGTTCTCTTGAGAGATGCTGAGAAGCGTGCTAAATCATCAGGTAAAGGTTTATGGAAATCTTTAGTTAAACCAACTCCAACTGTATCAAAAACAGGTTCAACTTTTAAAGTTGGTGTTTCAATTGAAGGTACAATTGCTCGTATAATTTCTCCAGATGCTTATGCCATTGATTTACAAAATGGTTCTCAACAAATAGTGTATCTTTCATCAATTAGAGCTCCAAGATCAACTGATCCAACTGCTCCTTTCTTACCACAAGCTAAAGAATTTGTTCGTAAATATGTTGGTAAAAAAGTCCAAATCTTGACAGATGCTTTTAGAAATGAAAATCCATTAGTTACAATAACTTTACCAAATGGTAAAAATCTAGCTGAAACAGTCGTATTGAATGGTTATGCAACTGTTATTAGACATCGTCGTGGTGATGATGATAGATCAAGTGCTTGGGATTCATTAATTGAAGCTGAATCAATCTCTCAAAAAGAGAAAAAAGGTATTCATTCTTCTAAAATTCCAGAACCTGAAAAATTCATTGAAGCTTCAGAAAATTCTCAAAGAGCTAAAATTCATCTAAGAACTTTACAAAATCAATTGAAAATTAATGGTATTGTGGAATTTGTTATAAGTCCAAATCGTATTCGTGTTTTATTACCACGTGAAAATATCCGTCTTGTCTTGGTGTTTGCTGGGTTATTATCTTTACAAAAGGAAAATCCAATCAGTCAAAAAGTTATTGATTATTCAAATAAACATATCTTGCAAAGAGATGTTGTCGTTGAAGTCTTTGACGTTGATAAAGTTGGTGGTTTCATTGGTAATCTATACATCAAAGGTCAAAATCATCCATATCAAATTGAATTGTTAAAACAAGGTTTTGCAGAAATTCATGATGGTTCAGTTTCTAAAACAAAATATGAAGATCAATTTTATGATGCTGAAGAAGAAGCTCAAGATAAAAGATTAGGTATATGGATTAATTGGGATCCTGAAGAAGAAGAACGTAAAATTCAACAAGAGGAGGAAAAAAGAAGAGCAAAATATGAAGAAAAAATTGCTAAAAATAAAAAACCAAATGCATTTGATGATGAAGAAGATGATATTTCTCATTTACCTGAAGCTGTTAGAAAATTGGTCATTAAACACTAAAAAATGGGTACTCAATTTAATCTATAGCCACTGATTATAAAACTAGGAAATTAACAAGTTACTTTTCGTAGCTACAACTCAACTATGCACAAATTAATCTTTGATAACTTGAAATCAGTCAATCTATATACAGTAATTTTTTTCTTTTCATTATATTATCTCTAATTTTTTTTATTTGACTTCTTTTTGCTTTTGGTTCCATTAGAGTTTGGTTCACCCAAAAATTTCAGAATATCATCAATATTTTCAAAATTCTTTGTACCAGCAGCTTTGGTAGTACCTTTACCGTTAATTTTTGCCTTTGCTTGGTTGTCTTTGGCTAAAGCCTTTAATTTTTGTTTTTCATGTCTTTGATTTTCAGTTTGAATTAACTTATATCTAGTCAGTTGAGAAACCAAATTTCTAGATTGTTTAGTCAAGTAATGTTTTTCACTAGCAGTATTTCTCAAGATTTTATGAGCAGTAGCTGCTTCTTTCAAAGCATCATCAAATCTTTCTTCTTGAGCCAAAACAAAAGCATGACGGAATTTCAAGAAACCGGTGGCATATGATTCTTCACCATGAATACCAACACTCAGATCAATTAATTTCTCCAAAATCTTTCGTGATTCATGAATTAAACCAGCACTTTGTAAGTAAAGAGTTGAGTTGGCAATAATAGTAGCAATTGAAACATGTTTAGAGTCAAAAATTGTAGCCCAAATTTGTGTCAACAATCCATAAACTTTCAAAGAGTTAACGATACTGCCACTTTCAACTTCCAAATAAGCCAAATTCAAAAGAGCAATCAAAGTGTCATGTGAATCTAAACCACAAGTTCTTTCATTAACTGCAACAGCTCTACGAGCCATTAACGTAGCTTCACGTTTCAATCCAAGTTCTTGATAAAGTTGAGACAAAGTTGCATAAACCCTACCAACTTCTGGGTGAACTTGGCCATAAACTTGTTCATAAACTGAAAGTGACTCAGCAATCAAAGCCAAACCTTCTTCCTTTTTGGATTCATCAGTACTTTGAAGGATTTGACGACCAGCTTCAAAGATTTGTTCAGCAGCAGTGGAACGATTGACAGAGTTCTTGATCAATGGGGCGAATGAAACATCTTCTGGATCGAAAACATTTGATTTTCCAACTGGAGAAGGAGATGCTAATTTTGATTTCTTGCTCTTTTTATCTTTAATAGATAATTTTTGAGCTTCTTCATATGATTCTTTGTTGAAGTAATATTCACGTTGTTGCCATTGAATACCAAATTTCAAAGCGATTTCTCTTTGTAATTGTAATGGAGTAGTGTATTTAACGTTCCAACCAGAAGGTAAATCATATCTATACCAAACTTTAACATTTTTGACAATCAACTCTTTAACAGATTCTGGAGTGAGCTTGGTGAATGATAATTCTCTCTCAGAGTATAATTCTGGGTTTTCAACAACAGCTTTTGGAGAATCGTTGAAGTTTTCACCGAGCAAACAGTTATGGAAATGTGAAACTAATGATGGGATCAAAGAAACTGGCAAAGTTAATGAATAATCTCTCAAAATATGTTTAGCGGCACGTGCAATCAATTCTTGGATGATGATAGCATACAAACCTTTGAATTGAACTGATTTTGTGACTGGTTTAGCATCAATATCATCATCAACGTCTTCCTCGTCCTCTTTTTGTAATTTCTCCAAGTCATCAGCAGCTGGTTCTTCACCCTTTTTCAATGCTTCAGCTCTAGCTTGGATCAATTCTTGAATTTTCTTTTCTTTAGCTTGGGCTTTCTCATCAAATGCCTTGTTGACTTTCTTATTTTCTTCAAGTAATTCTTGTTCTTCCTTTTCACTAGATGTAATTCTAGATTCAACTTGTTGGGCAAGGTAACCTAAATATCTGAGATTGATACCAAGTTTATGCAATGTACTTGATAAATGAGAACCATCAGCTGGAATAATATTTATAATTGAATCATATTGTTCCAAAAATTTTGGGATCAAGTCTGATTTGATAAATTTAGATAAGGCACGGACATTGGCATCAGTTTCTGGACCATTTGGAGTGAATAAAAGTTTATCATCATCAATAGTGACAGATGGTGCTTCTTCACCTTCCTTTAATGGTGTACTTAAATCAATACCTTTCTTTTCAGCTTCTTCTTTTATCATGTTTTTAGCTTCATGAGCCCACCATTCTTGAACAGCTTCTAATCTTGTAACAACTTGACCATGAGGATAAGAGTTTTCCTTTTCAAGGTTGAAATGTTCATCTTTAAATTCAACATCTAATGGTGTTGTACTGAATAAATCAATGACATATTTACGTCTGTCAGTACCAATCATACCTTTGATTTCAGAATTAGTAACAACTTCACCGTTTTCCAATTTGGCCTTTTTATAGTGAAGAGCTTTTCTGATTGGTTCCATGTCTTTAACAAAATCAGGGTTTGATTTAATAGTATTGGTGGCATCATCATAACCATAATCAACTTGAGTTAAAGCATCACCATCCACTAATTCAATTTCACCAGTTTCTTCATTTTTGACTTCCTTTGGCTCTGCTGAAGTGAATAGACCTGGAACTGGTGATTGACAAACAACTCTTTTACCTGCATAGTCAACAATTGTTGTCAACAGAGTATAAATACCTTTTGGATCAACAGTGTTCCAGTATTTGATAGCGTTCAAATCTTGATTATAAGCAGCTCTAGCAGCGTGATCACCACCTTTTGGCTCAAAGAACCCTGAAGCATCAACACCGAAAGAATAAAAGATACCATTATGTAGATAAATTTGATCCGATGGGTCTGCAGTTGGCTCTATCGGTTGGATAGCACCGTTCAAGACATCCAAAGCACCTCTAACAGCGTTTTCAGAGAATTCAAAGGCAGTTTTAGTTAACAAACGTTCACGGATGATACGATCTGACAAGTTCTGGTTTGAAAGGTCTCTTATGGATTGATATTCGTCATTGAAATCTCTTTGAGTCTTATCTTGAAATTGGGTTTTACCAAAATCTGGAATTGGATTTGAAGCTTTGGTGACCCATGGGTTTGATAAGAAAGCAGTTTGAGGTCTCAAGAAAGTGATTGGATCAATTTTACCCAATTTTTCATTGTTAGATTTGATTTGATTTGTGAAATTTTTAGAAGTTTTAGCAATCAATTCATACAAAGTAGAGGAATGATTTGAGTTTTCACGTGCTGATGGGTCAAATTTGTTACTCGAGGATTTGTTGATATAAAAACCTGCAGTGGATCCAGTGATATGTAAAGTTTCACCTTCTAAAGTTTGTAAAATAATATAAGCTAAATGACCTTTTGGGATGAAATTAAATGGCACTGGGTTCCATGAGCTTAAATATAGACCACGGACAGCTGGTTGAGCCAATGGAGCTGATGAATGATAATTGGTTGGTAATTTACCAAAAAATGAACCAACAACTTGAGAAATTTCAGCAGCTTCTTCAGGTGAAGGATCCGGCAAAGATTTGGATTCTTCACCTTCTTTCTTTGGTTCTTCTTCTTTGATCTTTGTTAAGTTCAAATCGTTAATCTTAGAAACACCAGAGTTTAAACCAAAAGTTTCTGGTTGAGTTAAACCAACGATATCTCTAATCTTGTTGATATGATCAAGAATAGATTTACCATCATAAGCCTTTGGTTTCAGTTCAAATTGCAAGCTTTTTTGTTCAACATTTGATAATAAATCAGCTAATAAAATGGTTGGTTGCAAAACTTGGGATTGGTATAAAAGATAGTAGTTGGTGATGTGATGAACTTCTGGAATGACATCAATGGTTTGAAAGACCTCATTGACAGAATCAGTTTTGAAAAAAGTCAATTCTAAAGGCTTGGTATCCTTAATGGCAATTTTTACTGACAATGTGTCTTGAAAGGAGGTTGTTAGTACTCAAACTTGTGAATATGGGTTCATCGGACACAAAGATGGTCAAGAAGTCTGGAGAAACCGCTGTGATTTGTGACTCTTGACACTCTAAGAACCATATGAGCGCTTCAGTAATTGCTGTAACTCACCAAGTGTTGCACTAGTTGTTTCTTCAGCCATTTTAACCCTAGTTGAAATACTGCGACCACCTTTTCAAAGTTGAATGGCTTTTTGAATTGGAAAATGTTGAAACTGGTTCTTGACGATTTTGTTTGGATGATTTTTTTCACCGATGACTGCCAAAGAAAAAACAGAGCACCGAAAGCGGAAAGAAAGAGGCATGTGACTTACCTCGGCTTAGGATAAATATTGACACAGTAAAAGCTTTAAGCTAGCATATTTTCATATAAAAAAAGGGAATCAGAGCTAACAATACTCGTAGTATTTGAATAGTATATTTTATATCCTTCCACGGTATCTTCAAAGACGATTAATCAGCTTTTGCCAATGGTCGGAATGTGATCCATGGCCCTCGCAGAACGAATTCGCGGAGGTCGATTAGATGGACTTTAGTCGGATCCCTTTGAAAACTGGATCAAGAACTTGAAAGAAGCCAGACTTGAGTCGACTTCTTGTTCTAAGGTATAGATGTGATGATTATACCTGAAATTAAGCATTACTTGCTACCAAAAAGTGCTTGTATAACAATAATTGCTTGGTCTTTTGACCCATAATTGATCAGATCTTCATGAAATACTTGATATTTATTAAGATTTTCTATCCTCTTTTACGTCTAAATTTACCAAGTAGGTAACTATTAATGATAGACTCTAAGTTACAAAATGGTTAGTGTAGCAGATTGGATGATCTTTAAACTCAAATTTAATATCCCCAAAGCTAAAGGGTCGATACAGAATCTAAGTAATTAATCAATTCCTGAGTATGTGTCTATCTAACCAGATGGACCTTCTAATAAACTATTCACATATTCACATCCATTATCACATGGAATCAAGAAACCAAAAAACCATTCAAATCATAAATGCATCAATTATAGAACACCATTTTGCCAAAGTAACCATCATAACTATTATAAGCCTAAACTTCTGCGGACATCACGTTTAACTAATCTTTCAAACTCCTTACGGTCATCTCTCCATAGTTTGCATGCATCGATGTTCGCACCACTCTCAACGTTTGGCTCACTCAGCATACTAACAACACTCAACAAGATCTTTTCAACATTCTGTACAGGGGACCATCTTTCTTCAGCTCTTTCGTATTGATGAGGATCGTCACCTGGAGGATGTAAGATAGATATGCAAACTTCACCATTAGCATAGATATTTGGATGGAGAATGGCTGGTGTGAAAACTAATTTTGGAGGTGATAATGGATAATCAGATGGAAATGTAAGTCTAGCTGGAAAAACTCCATTCTCATAAGGAGTATCTCTTGGACCTTCTAGCAAACAATCCCATACAAACAGGTTACTTTGATCTGTTAGTTTTAATTCCCATGGTACTAATAAATCCGAATCCGTTGAAAAACACTCACTCTTCGCTGACTGGGCCAGCAATAATACCTTCTGGCGAATCCTTGGTTAGCTGTTGATATTCTTTCAACAGACGACGTTGTGCAGTATTGACTCTTGGTGGCATTCAGACTGTAATATGACAATGACGTTGGTAATTTACTCTCTCTAGCTGCAAAATCTAAACAGCGAACCGGTCAAAATTCTAGCGAATGGAAGAATATTCTCAACAAACCCAGTCGTTTCCAATTCTCGTTGATATGTGAAATCATCAATTTTTGGCCAAAAAATCAACATTTTTTTCGGTTTCGCGCACGACGCGTCTGTCATTTTCAACGCGTGACACTAAACGTGGATCAAGAAAAAATTAGCGTGTGAGCATTGAGTGAATTTTACCACTTTCACTCTGACAGGTTGTTGTTGTACATGTCAAGAATTGTACTCTTGTTCGGCTTTTCAGAACGATTTACAATGAATAGGCGATCTTTTTTTGTCTAAAAATTGCAACATTAGATGAATTAACAGCTGTAAGCACAATGGGGAGACTTGTTATTGATGTCATTGAGAACCACATCAGAGTTCTTTTCAATATATTGTCTGTGTTTTATAGAACAGTCGACTTTTTGTGTTGTTTTTCCCAAAGCTCTTATTATTAGATTTGCTATTATAAATATCACAATCTCCTTTTTTTAAATCTACTTTCATTTCAAATATAGAAAGAACTAGACTGATTTCGATGAGATAAATTTACTAAAGACTACAAGTGATTTGTTGAATTTCTGTTATCTGCATCAACTATGATTTTACTTGATCACGAACGTTTAGGTTGTGAGCAATGTATAAGAGGTCACAGGGCAGCGGATTGTCAGCATTTGGCAAAATACTTGATATCAATCAAGGGAAGAGGACGTCCGGCTGCCAAAGATGAAAGTATTAGGTTCAGAGTTAGTCCACATCCTCGTGTCATTAAAACAACTTGGGAAGCTATTGAAAGCAAAAATGGAAGAGGGAAAAGTGGTACAAGAAAATTTTGCTATCATTTAGACCCTGGTACCCCTGTTGAACTTTACAAGGTCAAACTTGGTAAAGGTTTCAAAGTTATTGGGCCAGTTACAGATTTTACTTATCACTCAAGTTTCCGTGTCAAATCAAATGCTGATGGTACAACTGAAAATGTTGGATCAAGCTCAAGTCAAATGTCTCAAGCAAGAGTTCCTCAGTTACCATATTTGCAACCTACTGCTACATCATCTACTGTTCCTTCATTTCCTGCTCACTTGGCCACCCAATATAATGGATTTCATCGTCCAATTCCTGTTAAACAAGAATCAATCTCACCACCAACTGTTCCAAACCCTCAAGCTGCTGCTGCTAGTCAAGCTGTTGCTCTTTCTCCAAGTGATCCAAATTACCTTGTTCCTCCAACACCAGCACCAAGCCCTGTCAATGGTATGATTTCTAGAGAGAGCTCTAGAGTTATGGATGAGATGTTTGAAATTGATTCAAGACCATCAGTGTCCTCTATGTCATCAAATTCAACATCGCATTCTGACTTGGTCCTCAATTCACTTCAACAGCATCATCAAGCCCAACAACAACTGCAGCAACCATTGACAACAGAAGAATTGAACATCCTTCAGCTGAATGGTCTCTTCGATCATGAAGCTGCATTCAAAGCATTCCAAGCTGATAATTCAATTCAATGTGATCAGCCAATACACTTTCAGCAACAGGAACAACCACAATACGAACCACAAGCTACATCTTCTGCTAATTCTTCTTTAACATTTCAATTAGATGCTAGTACATCTGTTGAGCCTTTGAATGGTGAACAAACAATTGAGAATGAAACATCCAATAATGGGCTTCTTAACAGTGAATATTTTTTCCAACATTTTGTTGCTGATTCAAATGAACCACAATGGCCTTCAAATTTTGTGCGTGGCTCAAATGATGGATACTCAAAATTCTGAGTCAATGAGCTTTTGCTTACATATTTTTTTATCATCGTTTTTATCATTTTAGAGTCCCGTATGTTTAGAGATACCACAGTTTTTTTTTAACATTGCAACTGACCTTTTTTTTCATGAACCACTATTATCATTCAATAATTACTAATACCTGTTTTTGTTATACCCCATTTTTGTTCCTTTATATATACTTCAATTCTAACTAATAACCACCAGGACATATCCATGCTTGAAACCTTTATATATAATACCATACAGCAGCTTATCGTCATCTTAATGACGTGTACTACCTCTTGTTCATGCACCTGAATACATTGCTGTACCATGTCTGGGAATTTAAAACAAAACATCCATTCATCTAAACAACAAAAATAGATCAAATCTTAAAACCACGAATAAAAGAGTCTTCACAACCACCAAATACATAATCGTTAAACACTAAAATACCTGTTTTTAATGAATTTTTCAACGTAACCTTATCTTCTTTAGTTAAGTTTGAGTGGTCTGTGAAAAATAACTTATAAATGTTGTAATCCTTAAAGATCTCAGACTTTGAATTTTTTGTCTCATAAACTTTTATATCACCATCTGTTAAAAATATCACAATAAGTTTAGGACTAATTTGAACTTTAGCAATTTCCACTTCATACTTTTGTTGGAATGTGACTGATTTTGAGGTTGAGTTGTATAAAATAACTTCATTTTTATTTAGCTCAAAGCACCATAGTTTTTCCTCAACGGTGAAGTTTGTAATTGTCTTACCAGTTAGATTTATACTCAAAATTGGAGTCATCTTCTTCTTGGTTTCAAGATTTATGACTTCAACAACACCATCCTGCTTAACTGTTATTAATTCATGTTCATTCTTTGTATCAAATGCAACAAAATCACATTTTTCAGTTCTGTCCTTAACTTTTTCATACTTTATGTGTGGGGAATAAGTTAGATTAGAAATGGTCAAGGAACCATCATTTGCAACATGTGCAATATGTGAATTATTGGCATCCACTGATTTGACTGAATTGATATTGTACTTGACAGATGGCGGTTGTGTTGAATTTTTATCAAAAAATCTCACAGTATTTCCTGAAACAGTAACAAAATGATCCTTATCAATCCATTTAACGAATTCAATGAGTTCTGAATCAGCACGATAAGATTTTAATGATTCTAAAGCCCCCTTTGAGTTTAAAATATCTTGTATAGACCAATATTTAATAACACCACCTTCTGAAGCTGCTAAGAGCTCTTTACCATTGGAAGCAAATGATGTGATTGTGGCAAAATGCGGTAGCAAGAATTTCTCAATACCCTTGTGATTGTTCTGTGGTTGCTGCTGCTGTGAAGGTTCTTTTTCTTCTTCGGTTTCACCAGTAACAGTTTCAGCATCAGATTCATCAACATCATGAGTTTCTGGTTTGAATTCTGGAGCTGGGTCAGGTTTAGGCTTTTCAAAGGTTGTGATGGTTTCCTTTTTCTGTATTGGCGAGCTATTGGTTATTTTTACCGCTTCTTTGGGTTGTGCCACTTGGTTTGAGTTTAAAGAAGATTCAGCAGTGGATTCATCTTGTTGTGATAAGCCTGGATAAGTTGAGTAATACGCTCTATCAGAATCTAGTTGAAGTTTGGACAGATCAACAGGTGTAGCATTCAACAAAACACCAATCTCTTTAATTTGGCTCTGTAGTTTTTCCCTTGCATGAGCTAATGGATTGACATCAACCTCCTTGAATTTTATCTTTGATACCTCAGCTTTGTTGACTTTGGTATTTTTTGAGTTGTTCACATGACCCAGCTCAGCTTTCAACCTAGAAACTTCTTCATGAAGGCTCTTATTTTCACCTTCTAGTTTTGTAATGTTTGACTTCAATTCACCTTTTTCTAGTTCCCACTGAACACGATCCCTTTCATTCTTTGTTGTTTCCTTTTGTAGATAATGCATTATCCCTGGAAGGGAGTATTCCAAGTGAGAGACATTCTGGGGATGAGCAGCTGACATGGCAGTTTGGAAAGATGTTTCTGGATATCTAGCTTATGCTGAAGCACCAATTGACCACTTTCCTAGGTGACAATTGTGTTTTGCCTTTGTTCAAGATAGATTTTTCGATGATTTGGCCTTCAAATTTGGTTTGTTTATGGATCAAAAATCTAGAGCTTGATCAGGACACTAATAGCAGATTATGTAAAATACAGAAACAGGATAATTAAGGCTTTAATCAATCAAAGGAGAATGGGTAAATTTACTATTCTTCAAAGGCTCTGGCGACCATTCTTTTGCACGTTCTTCATTACTGTTGTAGGCTCTGCCACCAACTTATGTCGTCCAACTTTCCAACGGCTTTTGGACCCTACGTCAATTGACAATACACTCCGATTGAAACAAATAAAATTATGATGTATTATCCTCAATCTTTCAATACAAATAGACTTTTTTAAACAATGATTGACCGTATGGATCTATTTCGAACGAAATAAACCATGCTCTAGGAAATTCTTCAACGGGAGAACAATCTAATCGCCCCCAATAGTTTATTGGAGCGCTTATTCTTGTTTAACACCACCGTTACCAGCTTTTTCAGCTTGTTCGATAGAGTGTTTATCAGTTTTAACTGAATCTTGACCACCGAAACCACCGAACATTGAGGCAGCTTTGAATGGTCTTTTCAAGTCACCACTAGCTGGTTTACCGAAAAGATGAATTTGGACAATATTTGATTCAAAAGCACTTTTAACTGGTGAAATGGATTGCATAACTAATGGGTTGGTATATTTCATGTATAAATGCATGAAACCCATCATGGCCAAATTAGTGTAAACACCTTTAATAGCAGCTTGAACTTGTTTTAAATCATAATCTTTAACAGTGGTGACTTCTAATTTTTCTTCAGTTTCACCAGCCATAGCATTTGGAGGAGTGACAAATTTCAAAGTGGTTAAGTCATTCTTTTTGATGATGATACTCTTGACATAAAAGTAGACACCCAAGGTAACAATGGTTGCAGTAGCGAAAGCGACTCTGACGTAGAAGACAACGGTTGGATCTTCAAAGTTCAATTTTCTTGAGACTTGCATCATGACAAGCATGAGAGCTAAATTTGAGACAGCTGGATTCATCTTGGTCTTTAAAATGTGTTGTATAGGGACTTTTCAATGGGTAAAAGTTGATGTAACGTTTACCTTTTTCCATACAAATCGTTTTTTTTCAGAGGCGGTCGACGTTTTTTTTTCTTCTCCCAAGATAAAGGCAAATATTATGTAATCGATATGCTCATAGTGAACAATGGAAATCTATAGAAGATTGAAAGACAAGTGAGTTGTATTAAGAAAAAGATTAATTGATTTGGGATTGAGTGTCTTTGGATCTGTTGAAATGTCGAAATTTTTATGTGATGAGGTTTTTACGAGTTGTTTATGACGTTGTCGGAAAAATAATGTTTGATCACATGGAAACGAGAATATGAATACAGACATAACAATCCATTTATTCCTATAAAGTATTCACCAAGGATTTAAAGTGTTTTCATCATCACCACCCCAATCACGATGTGCTAAAGAGCTTGGGACTTGAAGATTTTGAAACAACTCATCAGGTTGAGATCCAAATTTGTCATTACCATTACTATCATTTTTACCATCATAATTATCACCAATGTCACCATCTTCCTCTTCATCATCTTGATCAGATTCACCATTCTCGATATTATTTTCTTGATCTTTTTGTTTAGCCTTTTGTTCATGAATTTCATCTATGGAATCAATAATCTCATACGGTAGAAATGGTTGGAATTGAATGGCTCTTTCTTTATTCACACCACCCAACCCAGCGCCGTATTCTGTAACAAGTTCAGGGATGGTTGGTAGTGCAACTGGGAAATTTTGATTTGGATTCAAATATAGGTAATCAGATCCCTGGTATGAAACTTTTGGTAATTGCTGAGGTTCATTTTTGACTTTTGCTTGGACTTTTTGACGAAGCGTTTTGTGAAACTTTTCTTCATCAACCTCATATCTATATTTGTCAATAGTTTTCAGTAATTGGACAGAGTTCAAATGTTGTAAATTATCCAATATACTTGCTAAACTTTCTTCGTCTTTTAAAATTGTAAAGGTTTGTAACCACTGAAGTAGTTCAAAAAATATTTCAAAATGAACTTTCAGTATTGAAAATAATGATGAATGATAAAATGCTAGATCTTGTGGATTTTGTAATTCACCTTTATAAATAGCAGTGTGGTTCAAAATGAAAGCATGATCTTCAGTTAAATTCTCTTCTATCAACGTATATGGAAATGCTTTCAATAAATACTCATCAATATCTGGAAATTCTGGACGCTTATTATTTGATCTTGCCCAATCTTCAATAACCGAAACATTCAACCTGATTTGGACAGCTTTAGTCCTTGTCAAATATTTTTTTTGGGAAAGAACTCTGTTGAATAAAGTACAAGACATCCAATAAAACACTGAGGATAACGTTTGTTGGGTGATCAAAGGATGGACGTTATGTAAATTCAAGACATAAAGCAACGCACCTAGAGTTTGTGTAATCTTTATTGGGGATGGTTTCAATTGTTCTTTGACTGAAGGTGGGTAAAGCATTTGGTAAATTTCATCATATGTTGACTTTGGTTGATGCTTCTTTTTGAAAAAATTCCAGTCATTTTTGTATAACGTGCTCGTAATATCTGGAATGTTTGTGAAATTCAATAAACAATCATCTATCAAATCATTCAATCTGAATTTAATAGAATTTGTAAGTTCAATAATCAAAGACTGCAAGGTAACAATTAAATCTTGTAATACTTTTGGATATCTTTTGAAAAATCCATCATCACGACATAAATAAAAGTACAAAAAATTCAAAACTGATAACCAATAACTTTGCAAAACAATATCACCTTGACTTTGAACAGTTGTCACCCCTGACTTTGATAAAGTATTTGATCGAATTCTAGTAAATGCCAAATTCAGAAAATTTTCAACCAATATGTCACTCTTCTTTGAATGGTCAGCATATCTGACACATTGATAGATAACAGCAGCTGGGTATGTGGTCTTGTGGGCATATTTTTTCTCCAATTCAAAGATCAACTCAAGAATAGAAGGGATATCAAAATCTGAAAACATGATGTATTGGTTTTTCAATAACTTGTTAAAATTAAACTCATCTTCAAACAATGCGCTTGGAGCGACAAACGCATTTGAATCCTGATAAAGATTAGTGTCATCATTAACATTTAGTCCAGCAGTTTGTAATCTAATGTTATCCAATAATTCATCATCTTTCTCAGGGTTACTTAGTGAAGAAGATTTGTAAAAATCACCTTCATCTCCATCTTCCTTTTGTCTATTCTCTAATAATCCATGTTGTTCGAAAAAATCATGCATCTCGGATCCAGGTTTTAATAAATCATAAACAGTTAGGCCATTTCTACCTTCAACTTCCAAATCAGCACCATGATTTAACAATTCAACGACGATTCCTTTATTTTGCAAATAGACCGCCCACATAAGTGGTGTATAACCAAACAATGAATCGGGTTTGTTCAATATCTCTGTTGATTTGGATAACAATATTTCAGTTGTCTCCTCATTATTAAACACGATAGCATATGTTAACGGGTAAAGCCCACTGTTGTCTTCTTGGTTTAGAGCATCTAATGTAGCAGGATCTTTGAGCAGTTCTAAAAGTTTCTCATTGTCACCTTCAGAAGCTGCTACACAAATGTTGATCAATGGATTGGAATCGTCTGTTGATTGTAACAATTTCAAAGCCTTCTTAGCAGCTTCCAACTGGGTTAGTTTCAGGTCAGCGCCTGTCAATGCTGTGGGGATTGCCTTCAGTGCACCCCATGGGTCGATTTCCATTTTTCAATTCAACTTATAGTGATTCTTCAAGCACTGATTTTGCTGAATTGGAGGTGGTTTGTACTGTTCAGTGTTTAGTCCAGCGAATTGGTTCACTTGCCAAACAGAGAATGCCAATGCCCTTCGCGAATACATTTTGTGAAAAACACATTTCCGCGAACTATTTACCCGAGAACTGTACCCTACATATTTAACAATTAACAAGGTTCTAATTATTTCTTGGAGTATACAGACCTCAATCTATGAAGTATCGATCTTCCTCTTTGATTTGTACCACTTTGGTTTTGAAGAATCGATTTTTGAGGTTGACGACTAAAATCATTATAGCTATCTTCATAATGTTCAGGAGATTCATCTTCCTTACCTTTTGACTTCTTTGTTTCTAATTTAAAATCTGGAGAAGGAGCAAATCTTACCGAATGAATTTTCTCAGCCTCAGTCATATTTCCAACGCTTTTGCTTCTATTCATAAATGACAAACGACGATGATTTTTTGTTTTGAGGAAACTTGGACCACTTCTTTCGTGGGTTGGGATAGGAGTCTTAACATACTCAGATAATGGTTTTGGTGGGTTTAACTTCTCCGATAGATAACTACCTAAAGTGTCATCTGTACCCAAAGAAAACTCAGAATCTCTGGTTATTGGTAACTCATAATAAGGCTGATTGCTCTTTATCGCCAAATTCACTTCAATAATCTTCTTTGCATCTGCAGTTTCTGTTGACATGATTTCTTTTAGTCTTTGGGAAACCTCAAGGCTCTTTTCACGAGCATACTCAGCAGCAAAACCTTCTAGCGAAACCCCAGAATCCATTGAGAGATCCTTTGAGACCGATCTGTTCTTAAACTCACTTTTTTTCCTAAAGATTGAGTTTCTCCATGTCAACTTTCCCTCGCTCGTTTCATCAGATATTGCAGTACTTGGAGGTACTCTAGTTTCCTTGGTGTGATCTGTAGGGGCAGATTCTTTGGACCTAGATGTAAAGATTTTCTTTATAGTCTTTTTTCTGTGAAGTGGGCTCTTTGAAGCATAATCCAAAAATCTATTATTTGGTTTCCAATTGTTTGAAGCTGTGCTATGTTTTGGTTCATCAATGCTTTCTTCTCTGTTCTTTTCATCATTATTTTCTTCCTCTGAAACTGGTTGTGAACTTTTCTCAGTTTTGCCAACTGCAGATACAATTGTTTCAACAAAATGTTTTTGTCCAGTAATTGGTAGTCTCTTTGTTCCAATTCCATTCTCTTCAAATAATTTCGCAGTCAACGTACCAGGTGGCGACATGGCCTCATTTAGAACACCAGCTCTTGTAATCTCATCTCCATTTTTGTCTGTGTATGATGTATTTTGATTAAATTTTGGAGAAGTGACACGGGTGTTTACTTTAGAAAAATTTCCAGAAGCAGATGTAATTCTTGCAGATAACTTGTTCAAAAAGCCTGTAATTTTCTCCGTACTCAAAGGTCTATTACTCTCAGCACTTTGTAATGGATTACCAGAGCTTGGCTCGTGGTCCAACGGTGGTGACTTTGCAGTTGGAGGATTTCGTTTTTTGATGCTTAATGGTGATAAAGTGAATGCTTTTTTATAACTTTTTGGCTTAGACGTACTTCCTTCAATTAATGAAGGGCTTTCAGAATATTGGTCAATATCAGGCATTATAACACCCATTCCTTCAAGCTCCTGAGTCAAATCTTCATCAATTTCGAATGCTGAATTCAATGATTTGATCCAATCTTCTTTATTTTTCAATCCGGCATAATCTTTTGGCTCTTCTGGGATTGGAGTAGTTGGAAAATTTCTTCCAAGATCATTTGCCAATATATTTAGCAATGATGTACCAGTGTATACGGAACTATCACCACGAAAAGCTGTGCTTGTGTCCAAGAATTTTGCCGAAAGAACTTCGCTTATTGGTATGTTTTCTTCTTCAAAATTTGGGTGTTGACTATGAACCGCAAGTCTATCATCTTCATCAAATACCACTGCCACATCCGATTTGAGATTAAAAGATGACTGGATAGGATTTTCTAGCATTTCGTTGTTCTTAGCTTTTGTTGGACTCGAAGGAGGTGGTTTGGGACAAGGCGATAATGGTAAAAAAGAGCTGTTCAAGACATCAGAACCGTCACTGATATCACTATTCCCACGACTGATGGGTTTGTCTTCAGTGTTTCCTGAAAAGATGATCCTTGGATTCTCATCACTGAGTGGAACAATGATCTCAACTCTCCTATTTTGCTGAACTCCTAGTTCACTCTGAACCTCCTGAAAGCTTTTATAAAAACTTGAATTCATCATCTGTGGATTGATGATACCAGAGTCTCTGAATATTGGTGAAGATCTTGCACTACCAACGGCTGAAATAACGTCCAATGCATCTATTTTTAGTTTTGGAGTTGAGGTTTGAGGCTTAATATTATCTTGATTTGGTTCTTCTAATGGGGAATTTGACTTTGAATAAGCAACAGTTCTTCTTGTAGGTATGCTTTTTAGTTGATTTAGAGATCCCATATCCTCATTCCAATCATGCATCAATGCTCCACGTGAAACTGAATTAAGTTCCTCTTCTAGTACTGAGTCTTGCCCCAAAAGGCTTCCATCACGATGTAGTATGCTCTCACCTATGGAGGAATTAGAGTTCATGTTTGTGGAAAATGAAATCTTGAAAGAATCAGGAAATACTTGATCACCTATTGAACCATCAATATGATATCTTTGGGAATTATTCTGGTCTATCTGTGACGCCAGAACTTCTTGAAACTGGCTATCGGCTGGTTGCTCGTTACTTTCTGGCTCAAATTCAGGTTCAGATTCATCATATTGAACAATATCAAGCCTTAAAGGCGCTTCCTCTTGCAAAGACCACTCAAACAACTCAGAGACAGATGGAGATACCGATTGGTCATCATCATTTTCACCATCATCATTTGTAGGATTTCCCAGGCCGTTATTTAAAGGTAATGTTGTCGTTGGTAACAAAATCTGAGGTTTTTTCAAATCCACATTACTGCCATCAAAATGCAAAGCGGTATATAGCTCAGTGCCATCTAATGTTGAATCATCACCATCTTTGGAAATATCACCATTTTCGGATACTTTTGCAAAATGAACAACTTCTAAATCATTTCCACCTTCTGTCAAGTCACCGTCTTCAACGAGTTCTTCGTTGTTTACCGAAAGTAGTTGGGGATCAATACATCCTGCTCCATCGTCAACAATCTCATCAATGTTACTCTGTAACAATGTCTTTTCAACCTTGATCTCACTGATCAAATCCATAATAATGTCATCATTACTCAATGGTCTCTTCTCTTCGGACATTCCCAAACAATTATTTTAGAGCTGAAGCGCTACCCATCCAGAATCACTAAACGAGCACTAGCAATTTTCCAGTAATTATAAACATCTTTTGGCCCAGTCAACTTTAAAAAAATACTTGGTTACACAAAAACTTTTATTATGAGTTTTTGCTTGAGAAACAAAAAAAACGTAAACAAACAATTTTCGCGAAAGCTCAATTTCGTTATCTTCTTTCCGGTGATCATCCTCGGATCAACAAAATTTCTTTTGTGCTGGCACCTAAAAAAATGGTTACAGCGAAATAAGTTAACGGCTTAACCGTGAATCATTAATAGACTCAGATAGTACAATACGCTCTGGTCAACTGCAAGGTAATCCCTGTCATCGTTATACTGTTATAGGCTATAAATTACCAAGCTGGTTTTCATTCCAAGTTCAGCGCAATCAATCGTTCAAAAAGGGAGCTTGCCATCAAGAAGCAACAATCTATATCTATACAATGAAATTATCAACAATACTCGCCATAACGAGTATATCAGCATTAGAATGCTTGTCATTTGAATTGAAAGGATCACTCAGTAAGAGAGCTTTTGATTATGGAACCTCAGATATAACAAATTATTTCAAAAATGATGATGATTCAAGTTCAAATAATGGGAAAGCTGTGGAATCACCGGTTCCTGAAGAACCAAAATTGAACCCATGTTCTGCAATTCATCCTTTAACAAATGGGTTTTTTGATCTCAGTGAATTAAGCTCCATTAATAAAGAGAATACAGTTGCCTTCAGTGCAAAAGGTTATGATTATAATAAAAATTTCACATTAAGCATATGTTCATCACCATTAAAACCAAATATTGATGTTAATAATAATTATAATGGTCATTTTGCCAAATATCATATAAACTCAAGTGAAGTTGGTGGGTTTTATACAGATGAAGCCGGCGATAAATTCAGTATTGGGAATTTCAACTCTACGCCAGTTTTTAGAGGTAAGAAATTAACATTGACATATAACAATGGTAGTTATTGTCCAAATGGAATTGATAAAAAATCAACAGTGCTATCATTCATCTGTGATAAAGAAATTTTAGCAAAAGCTAGTGTTTCATTTGTTGGTGTTTTACATGACTGTGATTATTTCTTCGAAGTGAGAACTGTTCATGCATGTCCTACAGCTCAAAAAGCTGATAATTTAGCATTGATCTGGATCTTTTTGTTTATGTGAGTACCACTTTCTCTCAAGATATTTGTTCTGTTACTAACTTTTGCTCTAGATTTTTGGCTGCCTTAATGGTTTATTGCAGCGGTGGATTTTTATACAAGAGAATTGTTTTAAACCGTCGTGGATGGAGACAAATACCCAATTATGGGCTAGGATCTAAAGTTTCATCAGCCCTTTCTGGAGGAGTAAGTACCTGATCATTTTTTATTCTTCAAATTAATATAAAATATTAATGCATTTTTTTATCAAAAGGATTGAAAATTAATATGTTTTTCTAGTGGAGAAGAAATTCATCAAGGGGAGCGATTAGTTTGAACTCAAGTGACAGGTTTGGCTTTATTGAAGACCAGAACAATCTGCTGGATTCACTTGATGTTGAGAGCGATTGAATCGCAATTGGCCAACATAACATGAGGGTTCATTGGCTGATGTTAACTGCTGTTTAGATCAAAGATAGAAAATCAGTTCAGTATATATCTATTGGCGTTTAATTGCAATTAATGTAGTAACAGACTACTTATTAATTCCGTGATAACTTCTAAATAATTATAGGTAAGGCGATATGCCGGCTAAATGAAATGACTTGATGCCTTTTTTAACACGTATAGGAACAAACCAGCTAAATGAAACAACCTACAACCTAGAGATCTTAGAAATTCATAATGATTCATTCACTGTATTATATCCTTGTCATGTTGTTGATGTCTTGAAATCTACTAACATTTCTCTTCGCTAATAGGGCATTCATGACTAAATCAGATCACGTGCCTCCATTTTTTCGCAAAGCCCTAATCTGTCTTCGCTGTCCACTTCCCGAAGGAATACAGGGTAATCCCTCTGGTGATTACTGCAATATTATATAAGGATGGTCAAGCAGGGCAACTGTCACCCGCTTTTGTCACCTGAAGAAATTTCCAATCAATTTTGGCGGTGGAAAAATTTTCTTGTGAACACATCGCAAATTACTGATAAAAATTTTTTTCAAATCTTTTTCTTCCTTCTTCTTCTTCTGTTTTAAGAAATTATCACTGTAATTAAGCAAAATGGTATGTGAATATGGATATAATAAGGGATTAGAAAGAGGTGCTTTGCAAAGAAGATGCTGTTGACATTGATCTTGATCATCAGCAATTGATTGCTATTCAATTGAACTTATAAAAGACAACAAAAAACAAACCTCACTTTAAATACCTATGACTACAAAAGAAAATAACTTGAATTGAAATTGAAATAATCAAACTTCTCAATCAATCAACTTATTTTTTGGTAGCTTTGACAGCAGCTTTGGTGACTTTACCAGCTTTGTCTGATTTTTCAACAGCTTTGATAACACCGACAGCAACAGTTTGTCTCATATCTCTGACAGCGAAACGACCTAATGGTGGGTAGTCAGTGAAAGCTTCAACTGATAATGGTTTTGATGGAACAAATTTAACAATAGCAGCATCACCTGATTTGATGAATTTTGGAGCTTCTTCTAATTTCTTACCAGTACGTCTGTCAATTTTTTCAATTAAAGTGTCAAATTTACAAGCAATGTGAGCAGTGTGACAATCTAAAACTGGAGAGTAACCAGCAGAGATTTGACCTGGATGGTTTAAGACAATAACTTGAGCATTGAATGATTCAGCAGCTTTTGGTGGATCGTTTTTAGAGTCACCACAGACGTTACCACGACGGATTTCTTTAACAGAAACATTCTTAACGTTGAAACCAACATTGTCACCTGGTAAACCTTCAGTCAATTGTTCATGATGCATTTCAACAGATTTGACTTCAGTGGTAACACCAGCTGGGGCAAATGTAACAACCATACCTGGTTTGATAACACCGGTTTCAACTCTACCGACTGGCACAGTACCAATACCACCAATCTTGTAAACATCTTGTAATGGTAAACGTAATGGTTTATCAGTTGGTCTTGATGGTGGATCAATAGCATCAATGGCTTCTAATAAAGTTTTACCTTTAGCTTCACCAGCTTTGGTTTCTTTTTTCCAACCTTTGTACCATGGACAGTTAGTTGATGGTTCAATCATGTTATCACCATTCCAACCTGAGATTGGAACGAATGGAACAGTTTTTGGGTTGTAACCAACTTTCTTGATAAAGTTTGAGGTTTCCTTGACAATTTCTTCGAAACGAGATTCATCCCATTTAACGGAATCCATCTTGTTGATAGCAACAATCAATTGTTTAACACCTAAGGTGTAAGCTAATAAAGCGTGTTCTCTGGTTTGACCATCTTTTGAGATACCAGCTTCGAATTCACCAATACCACCGGCAATAATTAAGATAGCACAATCAGCTTGGGAAGTACCAGTAATCATATTTTTGATGAAATCTCTGTGACCTGGAGCATCAATAACGGTAACATGGTATTTTGGAGTTTCGAATTTCCATAAAGCAATATCAATAGTGATACCTCTTTCACGTTCAGCTTTTAACTTATCTAAGACCCAAGCGTATTTGAAAGAACCTTTACCTAATTCAGCAGCTTCTTTTTCGAATTTTTCGATGGTACGTTTGTCAATACCACCACACTTGTAAATTAAATGACCAGTGGTGGTTGATTTACCAGAATCGACGTGACCAATAACGACAACGTTAACGTGAGATTTTTCTTTACCCTAATGATAGATGTTAGTAAGACTGTGCTTTGAATATATGGATCAAAAAAGTTGGTTAAATTCGAAAGAAAGCCGCCAACCATCAACCAGATCAAACAAGCAAAGAATAAATGAATTTCATGAATAAAAATGGTTATTGTAGTGTAAAGTTGTTGTAAAATGAGTAACTCATAAATTTTCTTATCTATCTATATCTGCGGGTAAATTTTAAGATTTTCGCGGGTTGTTTTTCAACAAAAATGGAATAATTTAAATCAGAGTGAAAGCCAACCACAAAATATTGAAAACAAAAGAACCTGATCAGATCGTTTGGGTTATTTAATTCAGTTTATTGCTATTAGAAAATCATAAAATCATAATTCTGCCTCAGTGGACATTAAACTAGAATCAGCTTTGTCTATCACTTTCCAAAGAAATAAACAGCAAAGAAATTCTTTAAAATTGGCTGCTCTTTTCATTCCGATTAACATAGATAAATCAAAAACAGAAGTATAATGTCATCAAAGAAGAAGACCCTTTTGAAAGTTATCATTTTAGGTGATTCAGGTGTTGGTAAAACATCTTTAATGCAACAATTTGTCAATGGTAAATTTTCCCATCAATACAAGGCCACCATTGGTGCAGATTTCCTAACAAAAGAGTTAACAATAGATGATAAGTCAGTCACAATGCAATTATGGGATACTGCTGGTCAAGAACGTTTCCAATCATTAGGTGTTGCTTTCTACAGGGGTGCTGATTGTTGTGTATTAGTTTATGATGTTACAAATCAGAAATCTTTTGAAAATATATCATTATGGAAAGATGAATTTTTAATTCAAGCTAATGTTAAAAACCCTGAAAATTTCCCATTTGTTATAATTGGTAATAAAGTTGATGTTGATGATTCTAAGAAAGTGATAAGCACTAAAAAAGCACAACAATTTGCTAATAACTTGGGTAATTTACCATTATTCCAAACAAGTGCTAAAGAAGCTGTTAATATTGACCAAGCATTTGATGTTATCGCTAGAAATGCATTACAACAAGAAGAAAACGATGAGTTCAATGATGAATTCAATGATGCTATCAATATTCAACTAGATAGTGAAAATAATAGTTGTGCATGTTGAAGTTCATTGTTGTTGTTGTTGCTGCTTTTTCTTTGGTTTTCAATTCTTTTTTTTTATAAAAACTCTCTACTTTACAACGATAGGTGTTTGATTATAGCAAGTTAATAGTTTTTTATGTCATGATTTCCACTCAGAAGTTGTTGTAGTTGTTGCAGGTGAAGTTTCAGTTGACGTGCCAGTTCACGTGTTTCGCGAATCCACCCAAAGCTCCTATAAAAAAGTTTTGAAAAAAGTCGAATTTTAAGCTGGTTTGCCATACAAAAAACCCACAACAAACCTCAATTTAGCTGTTTAGCTTCTATTACAAAAGTCCTTGATTTAGGTCATTGTTATTGAGTGGTACAGATCTACAAATCGATAGCAACTGAATACCCAAGTTTATCTTGTGAGAAATAGATCCAAGTTGTGCTTTGTTCAGAAACCTGCTGCTTCTTTTTCCACGGCTCGAGACAACCATTATAAGAAAAGAAAACAACAACAAATTGCATCCCACAAACCTGTCATTTGAATTTTAATATTCAGTAACCATTCATTCACAGTCTTTTTATCCTCCTTCACTACTAGTTCCAACCATTTCACTCCCTTTTTTTTTGCATGACCAAACAATGATCTCAAAACTATTATCACAACTATATGAAACAATAATCAATTAGAACAGAACCAAAGAAATCAAATACACACACCAAATAACACACAATACAACACATAAGAGAAAAGAAAAAAACTTACAAAATGGGTGAAAGCAAAATAAAAACACTTCCAGCTAATTTTGTACATTGTCCAAGAGATGATCTAATAATACTAATTGCTAGAATGCTTAATTCATTAATATCCATCAATGACAAGTTCAGTGATGATTCAAATCTGTCGTCAGCAAACCTAACAAGATTCCATTCAAGAACACCACCAGGCATTTCAGTTTATAGTTATCTTGCAAGATTGGCACGTTATTCATCGTTAGAAAATGCTGTTTTATTAACAGCTGTTTATTACATTGATCTACTATCCACGGTCTATACATCATTTACTTTAAATTCATTAACGGTGCATAGATTCTTATTAACTGCTACAACTGTGGGTTCCAAAGGGTTATGTGATTCATTTTGTACAAATAGTCATTATGCTAAAGTTGGAGGTATCCAAGCTAATGAACTGGATATATTAGAGAGAGAATTTTTAGCAAAAGTGAATTATAGAATACTTCCAAGGGATTTTAATATTGAGAACTGTGCAAATGATACTAATGTTGTTCGTGCATCTGAAAGAAAGAAATCTATAGATCAATTAGAGGATGGGATAAGGGTTGATCAAACATCACAACAGCAGGATCAGTTGAATAAAGCCAATAATAAAGAAAACTTTGATGATAAGAATGCCGGTTATAATGTACTGGATTTGTATTATAGGAAAATGATTGCCCTTGTGGGGAAAGAGGTTGGAGTTGATGATAAACAATTACCAGAAACTTTTGAATATAGAATCAAAATCAGTGATACAAAAAGCACAGATACTGGAGAAGAAGAAGATGATGATGATGAAGAAGTTGAACAATATGAAACCAAAAACTTGATAAAGACAGATCCGGACACACTACCAGATGAAATTTATTACAAGATGATTTCTAATTTGATGAATGCCTATAGGGAGCATATTTGGAGCATTAGAAGGAAGCAGCATCCTGGAGTTAAACAATGTAAAGAAAGTACTGGTAATGAATCACAAAAGGATAAAAACAGTAATAATAACAGCATAATACCTAAATCCCCAATGAAAAGACCAATTGACCATGATCCACTGGCTGTGCCCAAGGGGAAAAGGAGTAGCACAACTAACAGTTGATGGATATGTATATGAATATTACAACACAGAATTTTGCATTAGAATTTGGAACTTGTAGTTGTACTTATTACTTATTATAATGACTCAGCTTCGTTATCTAAATTACCTAATCACGGTAATCGAAGGCAGGCACCGGAGCACTACGAGTTTGACACTAATTATAAAACCGAGCTTTGGACACATAAAATGTGGCTAATGCAAGTTGAAAACGATATCTATGGCCTTCTGGGGGTCCTTTACATCCTACATATTGCCTTGACATTCAATTGATGATTTGTTATTGGAATCCCTGATCAAATGACTAATACTTCGAGACTCGAGATTTCACAAAACTTGAGCTGATGAAAAATTTTTTTGTGCTTGGGACAACTGGGCGAATTTTTGGTGAAGAGTCTGGAGAAATCGACTTCAGGAACAGCTGCATTTGACACCAAACACAAGGGATAATCACGAAATAAACCATCTATATATAAAATTCATATCCACATCTATCATATTCTCGGGTTTCATTTAATTCTGAGCATTTTTACACTTCCAAAATCACCATTTAATCCATTTCTCAAAATAGTCCTGCCACGCTTCTCCGTGTCATTAGCGACGTTGAGAGCGTTGGCGATGGTCTTTTTTTTTAATTCTCGCTTTTTACTCATCATCGCATCTCGACTTTTCAAAGAAACGTTTCAAATAACAAAACTATATAAGTTGGTGTATTCCATAAAGAAAGATATTAGATACATCTGTTCTCCACAAACAAGAAACACGTTCACATATACAAACAAGATGTCAGAAGTTGTAAGTATCTTGAATATTAATGAGCAATATGTCCTTTGAATGAGAATAGAATAGACACATGGTTTAAAATCATTTGATCAAGCTGTTAAGTCCTTTTCTTCTCATTAATGAGCACTTGCTCTGAAAAAAAAACTTTTCATATAATAATGTGATGTCCAGTTCAACTAACTAGAATGATACAGCCAGTTAAACCATCAATCACTCCAGCTCCAGAAGAAATGGAAGATTTAAATATTGTCGGTTACGACCCATTAATGTCACCAGCTCTTTTACAATCTGATGTCCCAGCCTCAAAATTCTCTTTACAAACTGCTGTCAAAGGTAGAAAAGAAGCTGCCAAAATTATACAACAACAAGATGACCGTTTATTAGTTATCGTTGGTCCTTGTTCTATTCACGATGCTGATGCCGCTTTAGATTATGCTCAAAGATTAAAGAAATTATCTGAAGAATTGAAGGATGAATTAGTTATCATCATGAGAGCTTATTTGGAAAAACCAAGAACCACTGTTGGTTGGAAAGGTTTGATTAATGATCCAGAATTAGATTCTTCATTCAATATAAATAAAGGTTTGAAAATTTCAAGAAAATTATTCTGTGATTTAACTAATCAAGGTATACCAATTGCTTCAGAAATGTTGGATACCATTTCTCCTCAATTTTTAACTGATTTAATCTCATTTGGTGCCATTGGTGCTAGAACTACTGAATCTCAACTTCATAGAGAATTGGCTTCAGGTTTATCATTCCCAATTGGTTTCAAAAACGGTACTGATGGTACTTTAGATGTTGCACTTGATGCTGTTCAAGCTGCTGCTGCTCCACATCATTTCATGGGTGTTACCAAACATGGTATTGCTGCCATCACTACTACAAGAGGTAATGAAAATTGTTTTGTTATCTTGAGAGGTGGTAAAAAAGGTACCAACTATGATGAACAATCAGTCCAAGAAGCTAAAGCCAAATTACCAGAAAAGGGTGTCTTGATGGTTGATTGTTCCCATGGTAATTCTAATAAAGATTACAGAAACCAACCAAAAGTTAGTTCAGAAGTTGCTAGACAAGTTTCTAAAGGTGAAGATAAATTGATTGGTGTTATGATTGAATCACATATCAACGAAGGTAAACAATCCATTCCAAAAGAAGGTAAAAAAGGCTTGAAATACGGTGTCAGTGTTACTGATGGTTGTGTAGGCTGGGAAACTACTGTTGATATGTTGAAAGAATTGGCAGACTCTGTCAAGGCTAGAAGAGCTTTAAAAAACTAAGAAATTTTTAAAAAAAAACACATCAAAATGAAGGGGAGTTTTAAAAAAGATTAAAATATAGAATTTTATATACATTGAGTCTATATAATCAACTTATTTTTGTAGTGTTTTCAGCTTTATTGTTGACAAAATTTTGTGTACTCATATTTTTTTTTTTTCGCGAACTCTGACTCAGTGAAAAATGGCCCATCAGTATAAAGATCTCCAGCATTTCAAACTTCAAAGTATTAGAGTTGAAGAACTTTTCCTCATTAAAAAATGCCTGAAATAGTTCATATCATTGACGTGGAAAGTGGGAACTTACGTTCCTTACAAAATGCCGTTGAATACCTAGGCTACGAAACAAAACTAATCAAAGATGCATCAGATCCAGAATTATCAAAAGCTACAAAATTATTCTTACCAGGTGTTGGAAGTTATGGTCATTTCGTAAGACAATTGAATGCAAAAGGTTTCGTCAAACCTGTCAAGGAATACATTGCTCAAGGGAAACCAATAATGGGTATTTGTATTGGATTACAAGCTCTATTTGATGGTTCTGAAGAAAGTCCTGATGATATTGGTTTAAACTATATCAATTTTAAACTATCAAAATTCGACCCAACTAATAAATCTGTCCCAGAGATTGGTTGGAATTCCGTGTCTGCTGTTGGTGATAACATGCTTTATGATATCAATCCAAACAATCGTTATTATTTCGTTCATTCATATGCTGCCATACTAAATGAAAAATTGAAAAAAGATCTATCATCAAATGGTTGGGAAATTGCAATAACCAAATATGGCGATGAAGAATTTGTTGCAGCTGTCGCTAAAGACAACATTTTCGCCACTCAGTTCCATCCTGAAAAATCTGGTTTAGCAGGTCTAAAAGTTATCAGAGCATTTTTGGAACAAAAGAAACATTCAACTTTACCAGAAATTACAGTGCCTAATGATTATTCAAACAATGGTTTAACAAGAAGAGTCATCGCATGTCTCGATGTTAGAACTAATGATAATGGAGATCTTGTCGTCACAAAAGGTGACCAATATGATGTTCGTGAAAAAGATGCACAAGGTGGTGATGTTAGAAATCTAGGTAAACCTGTTGAACTAGCTGAAAAATACTATAAACAAGGTGCAGATGAAGTTACATTCTTAAACATCACCTCTTTCAGAAACTCACCAATAGCTGATCAACCAATGTTGGAAGTTTTGAAATTAGCTGCAAAGACGATTTTCGTTCCATTAACAGTTGGTGGTGGTATTAAAGATGTTGTTGATCCAGATGGAACAAAAGTTCCAGCATTACAAGTCGCTGGATTATATTTCAGATCAGGTGCTGATAAAGTATCAATAGGTACAGATGCTGTTATTGCTGCAAAGAAATACTATGCAAATGGGGGCAAGGGTGATGGTACTTCGCCAATAGAAACGATTTCAAAAGCTTATGGTGTCCAAGCAGTTGTGATATCTGTTGATCCTAAAAGACAATATGTTAAATCACAAGCAGATACACAAAACACCACTTTTAAGACTAAATTTCCTGGTCCAAATGGTGAAGAATATGTTTGGTATCCAACAACTATTAAAGGTGGTCGTGAAACTACTGATTTGGGCGCATATGAATTGGTCCAAGCTTGTGAAGCATTAGGTGCTGGTGAAATTCTACTGAACTGTATTGATAAAGATGGTTCAAACTCAGGTTTTGACTTAGAATTGATTGATCATATTAAATCTGCTGTTTCAATTCCTGTTATTGCTTCAAGTGGAGCTGGTAAACCTGAACATTTCTCTGAAGTTTTCACAAAGACAAAAACTGATGCTGCTTTAGGTGCAGGTATGTTCCATAGAGACGAATTTACTGTTAAACAAGTTAAAGTTCACTTGAGAGAATCTGGTTTACAAGCTAGATTAGATGAAGAAACACTATAAACTAATTAATTAATAGAGGTCATAATATTATCACATTTTTTTATTATACACTTAATTTCTTTCTTTCTTTTTCATCAAACAAACAAACTTTTTTTCTTAGTTTTTAATCTATTCAGCATCTTCTAATTTATCTTCTCTTTTATCAGCTTCTTCTTCTGATAATTTAACACCACCAGTGACTGAGAATTGACCACCTGCACCAGCCAATAGAATATCATGATTTTGAGTTGCTGTGTTTTTAATTCTTGTTGGAGTTTCAACATCTTCACCAGCTGGGCCTAAACCAATAGCATAAGTTTCACCAAAACCCCAAGAATAAACAACGCCATCTTCAGAAATAGCTAAAGAATGATGAGAACCAACTGCAACAGTTCTGAATTTTGGAACACCAACTAATTTAGTTGGAACTGGAACTGATCTAGCATTACCATGAAGATCTCTAAATGTTGATTCTGGTAAATCTTTTTTAGCGATACCAACTTCAAACATATCAATTCTACCAAATGCATAAACGGAACCATCTTCTGATAAAGCTAATGAATGATGCTCACCAGCTGCAATTGAAACAATTTTTTTATCTGTTAAACCTTCAACTTCAGTTGGTGTAGCAATGACTGAACCGTCTTCTAAATCAGATGAGACACCACATTGACCATATTGATTCAAACCCCATGTTAGCACTTTACCATCTTTTGTTATAGCGAAACAATGGAATTCACCAGATGCAATGTAAATAACATCAGCAAGACCGAATTCTCTTGGTTCTAAAGTTCTTAATCTATTACGTTCCATAATTTTTCTACCCAATTGAAATTGTTGACCATTACCCCAAGCTAATACAACACCTTTGACATCTAAACCCAAGATGTGATCTTTACCTGATGCTAATTGAACAATATCTTTGAATTCATCAATTTTGAGAGGTGTTGACTGTTTTAATATATCGTGTTTGAAACCTAGTATACCTTCATTACATCTGAAAGTACCCCAAGCATAAACGTCACCATTTTCAAATAAAACAGCTGATAAATTATCAGTGGCTGCTAATTGAACGATTTTTAAATCTTTTGGTAAACCTTCAACTAAGCCAGGTGTTGATTCAGCTTCGTTTAAATCAGCATCATCGTCATCATCACTGTCAGCTTGATCCATATCTTTTAAGACTTCTTTGACTTTTGAAGTGTCTCTACCCAACACTGAACTATCATTACTACCCCATGACCAAACTTGATTCTTATGATCAAGAGCAAGTGTATGCATACCACCAACGGCAAAATCAACAATCCCTTTATCTTGTAAATAAGGATTCAATCTTGGTCTCTTAACTTCTTTGGTTTTAGCATCTGGACCTAAACCTAATTCACACATAGATCCACTACCAAAGACGAAGATATCTAGTTTTGTAGTTTTTTGTTTTGGGATCTCATTGATTTTTGGTAAGTTTTTGAAAGAGTTGAAAGATCTACCAGTATGTTTGACTCTTTTGGTAGCTCTTCCATTCTCTTGGTCCAATGAACGTTTTCTGTCTAGTTTAGCCATTTTTTTATAACAATGATTGAATAAAAGAGAGCTTCAATTCCTTGCGAAATAAAGAGAAATGAATTTGAAATCAATTAATGTTTTTGTTTATTAAAAAAAATCCTCGAAGATCGGGATCTGGTAGTGCCACTCTAAAAAATTATGTAATTTTGCCGCCGCCATCGAATGGCAGAAATGGTACGCACCATATTATATCACGTGATTGAATCTTCAAATCAATCATCATTATTCTAAAATTGTACACTCTAAACCATAGAAAGTAAAGGACTTTGCTGATGGACCTTATGCTCTGAACTTCATGATTATAGTTATGGAATTGGGACATATCCACGATAGGAACATCAAACGAATAAGCTCTTTCAGCCCCAAAACCTGGAAAAGAACCGCAAAAAAAAGGTAAAGGATTAAATAGTTTGATAGATGTTCACCATATATAAGATACATCTTCTCACCAAAGACTTCAGCAGCTGATTTATAGGTCAGGCCAAATGGGAACTCTTGGAAAATTGAGCTTGGGTGTAATAAATAATCAAATGGATGGCTTAAAAACATTTTGAAAAAGAAGAACACAGGAACTCTATACCAGAAAGCAATACAAGTTTCAAAGAAGAGCTTAAACCAGACTTTGAGAATTGAATATAATTGATGCTCATCATTCTTCAACTCCAGCTTTTCAAGTTGTGGATCTGAATGTTTTTGTGTATGGTCAACTACCATAGGTTCAATAAGCTGTTCCACTGCAGGTAAAGTGATGAAATGGTCTTGAAATCTAACCTTTTTGGGCACCATATTAGGATAATCCTTTTTAGATACATTTTTATCTGGGTCTGATGTCTTTTCAGCACGGTTTGTTGATTTCAATGCTTTACCGCTATGACCTTTCAAAGACTTTGATTGCAGAGGATCCAGAACAACTTTTGTCAGTAAAGCCTTGGAGAAATATAACAGCTTTTTGTGTTCTTTTTCCAGTCTCCTATGTAGTCTTTTTAATACCTTTCTGGCTCTTTTGGAAAGTGTCTTTAAAGGCTTAAAGGTCTCTTTACTCTGCTTATCAACTGGCTTCAGCTTCAGTTCTAATAAACCTTCTGCTGTCAGCTTGGCCTTCCGCTTGCTTCTATTGAAACGACTTTTCAGACGCTGTATCCAGATCATTCAAGGCTGGCTCATTTGCTTCAGGAATGTGAGTTGAATAAGGTGCTGAAGCCAGTTTCTATTCCTCTTATACAAGTAGAGCTGTTAAGTGCAGATGCCGTGTCAATAAAATCGCCTTTGTTACCCTTACCGATGAGGTTCTGAAAAAAAAATTTTATCAAAATGCATAATAAGCTAGAATCTAGATCATTTTGACACCAAAAAGACTGGATCAAGGATATCTTAAAAGGCATTCGAAAATGGGAAAAGCTGCTCCTTCAAGACAAAAACCACGTCATGACCCGTTGTATAAGGAATTAACCACCCAAGGGGGTAACTTGAGAACAAAAGCTAGAGGTGCTAAAAAAGTTGAAAGAGATGAAGAAGCTGCTGAGGATTATATTGATAGTACAAGTTCAAGAAAGATTTTGCAATTAGCCAAAGAACAACAAGATGAAGTTGAAAAGGAAGAAAATAGAGAGTTAAAAGCTCAAAACAATTTCTCCTTTGGATCAAGATATATAGAGCAAGATGATGAAGAAGAAGAGGAAGATGAAGAAAATTATGAAAACATCTCTGACTTTGGTTCAGATGTCGAATATGATGAATTTGAAGTCGAAGAAGAAGTTGACGAAAGAGATGCTGCGTTATTTGAAATGTTTTTGAATAAACAAGGTAGAAGTGCAGAAACTCAAGCTTTTAACTTGGGTGATAAAATTATGGCCACTCTTAAAGCCAAAGAACAAGAACATGAAGAAGAAGAACAAGAAAAAACCATTGAAAGACCAAAAGATGCTGTTTTGTTACCACCAAAAGTCATCGCTGCATATACACAAGTTGGACAAATTCTATCGACTTGGACACATGGTAAATTGCCAAAATTATTCAAAGTTATTCCATCATTGAACAACTGGCAAGATGTGTTGTATGTTACAAATCCACCAGAATGGACACCTCATGTTGTTTATGAAGCTACTAAATTATTTGTTTCTAATTTACAATCCAAACAAGCTGAAAGATTTGTTGAAGATGTCTTATTAGAGAGATTTAGATCAGATATTAAAGAAAGTGAAACACATTCATTAAATTACCATATTTACAGAGCTTTGAAAAAATCATTATATAAACCAGGTGCCTTCTTCAAAGGGTTTTTATTCCCATTGGTTGAAACTGGTTGTAGTGTTAGGGAAGCTACTATTGCTGGTTCTGTCTTGTCAAAAGTTTCAATTCCACCATTACATTCATCAGTGGCTTTGAATTATTTATTAAACATGGATTTCTCACCACCAACAACTGTTTTCATTAGAATATTGATAGAGAAAAAATATGCCTTACCTTATCAAATCATTGATAACTGTGTTTTTTACTTTATGAAATTTAGACTAATAACAGATACTTCAATGATGGATGAAGCTGAAGAAAGAGATGCTAAGAAGCAACCACTATTACCTGTTGTGTGGCATAAAGCCTTTTTAGCGTTTGCTCAAAGATATAAAAATGATATAACAGATGATCAAAGAGATTTCTTATTGGAAACTGTTCGTCAAAGAAATCATAAAGATATCAGTCCTGAAATTAGAAGGGAGCTATTGGCTGGTACTGCTCGTCAAGATCCATCTGCTGAAAAGGAAGAAGTTATGACTGATGTCTTTTAATTGGGATGGGCTGGTTTTTTTAATACTTGTATAATAAAATTCTGCATATATGGGGTATAACTTACTATACAGATGTAGTAAACACTATCATTAATTAACTATATACATTATATAACACGTCATTATCATAATACAACAAAACATCAACATGACTCATAACTTATGCGTACAAAAAGAGTAGAAAAAATATACTCTTCGCCTTGTAAATCATAAAGGGGGATCTGTCTATAACCTTGATTCAAATTGTTTAACTTGCAACAATAAACAGCAAACGGTGTATCACCTGTCTTTACTAACAATCTTATGAAATTCAATTCATTGCGATCTTTGATTTTGGCCTCAAATCTGGTATTCCATATTGGATTGAACCCATTAGATGTGATTGATTTTGTGGGATAGCAGCCACTTGATGATGTCACTTCTGCTTCCGTATCCAAATCTGTAATTTTCAAGCTACTCACCAACGTTGGATCAATCAGCTCAAAAACAACATATGGATTCAAGCTTTCATCACTTCTCAACTCAGTAGGTCTTGGTAATAATTGACCAGACAATACATCAATGGAAAAATTGATGAAATTATCACCAGGTCTCAAAAGTTTGAATTTTAGATTTTGATTAGTGTTTCGAAATCTTGTAGGTTTCAAAACGTATCCGCTCTTTGCACCAAAGTTGAACATGGCTTCATTCAATTGTTGTCCTAAGTCATAAGTTTGCCAGTTTGTAGCAACCATTTGAGCTCCAAGATCCCAAAACTTGATTGGATTGAAATTAGTAGAATTATATCTCATACCTGATGGATACACTCTCATTAAATATTTTCTATTGTGTTTTTGAATCAAATATTTCTTATCATCATCTTTTGCCATAGAATTGATTGTATTTTCATTGAAGGAAAAAATATGGTTCATCGTTTTCGATTCAGGTAAGGAAAAATTTGTAAATTTTAATCCCAAGGCATAAACCCCCAATGCACTTAGCTCTGGAATCACCTTGTAATGCTTTTTCTTCTTCTTCTTTGCTGGTTTTTGTTTCTTCTCTAATTCTTCACCACTTATATCTTCATAAGCTGAACTAGATGTGACAGAACTACTAGTAGATGCACTTTCAGAATTGTCATCAATCATTGACCTTTTAACTTTCACCAACACTCTATGTTTCAATTCCATTGGACTTGGTAGAAAAAACGTATTTGTCATTAGAGGTTCTGTCACCAACATTTCACCAAAGGTTGAACGTAATAATTCTAATATCTTCAACTGATAATCAGCCTTACAATGGACTTCTAATGATAAAAACAACGGAAAGGGGGTGATTATGAATGCATACTTCTTTATAGTCTCCAATACATCAGCCAATGCAATTGATGAAGTAAATGTATGACCGTGAGACACTATTGGACCTTTATCGCCATCCCAAATATCGATCTCAATGGAACGACAACCACGTTGAAGCGCTTTGGTGTATCCTTCGATCGAAGATGATCCACCAACTTGACGTCCTAGTAAATATGTGTTGTGAGAGGATGAGATATAATATTCATTCAATGGTCTTGTGAAGTCTTCTGAAATTTGTTTTGTTGGTGACAGATACGATGAAGTAAGGTAGTTTGTGAAATCATCAATCTTCAAATAATCACTGTCATGCGAAAGCTTCTGGAAAAGTCTTTTGATAAATTGTTCAGAATCATCTTGCAATTGTGTACGCTTGACAAAATTTAAGAATTGGTTTGATGTCATTACTTCTTTGTTTTTTGTAATTTTGTTGAAAATCTCTAAAACTTCAGGTCTCAATTTCAATTTCTTTACGAATTTTTGAAATTCTTCAAAATTGAGAGCACCTTTCTTATCAATATCATGTTCATGGAATAAATTGTAAAGATGGCTTTCATCACAGTTGATATGTAACCTCTTTGTTAACTTGACAACATCTTCAAATGATAGCAAATGTTTCTCATTCTTATCTTTAGAGACATAATTTTTCCAATGAATATTTGCAAAATTTTCACCAGGTATTGATAAATGTCTCATCAATTCTCTTCTTCTGGAAACTAATTTTGTCAATGTTGAAACAAACAATTCTAAATCTTTAGCGCTTGGTGCAAGAACATGTAAAGCTTTCAACTTATTTGTGGTGTGATCAGTATAAATCACAGTGGCCCATCTATCAGTAAACTCCTTTGAAACTTTATACTCTTCTCTGTAATTTCTAGCATCTTCACCAATTCTGATCTGTTTGATGTTGTCAAGACTCATTCTTGCGGTGGTTTTATTCTTATTCCAAACAACAGTGGCATGATCCAAGTCAATTGTGAATACTCTTTGAACTTTCTTCTTGTGTGTGATTTTCAATAATGGTAATCCTGTAATGAAAACTTCAGGAATCTTGGGGCTTTCTAAAACAATTTCATTTGTATTATCAGCAGTTTCAAGAATCAGCTCATCCAAGTTAAGATCTTCATCACTGCTGTTAAAATTAGGAAAATTCGAAGGAGATTTCACAATGTCATCAAAATTTTTAGTCAATGGGCCATCTGTTGGTTCTGATTTGGGGTCTGAATACAGTCCCAATTTTATGTTTGTTTTTTTAATAAATGATTTAATGACACCATCACTTGATGAGCTTGTACCTGCAACTTTGGAATTAAGAACTTTCTTCACTGGTTGTAAAACTGGTGATAATGAGGCAGATAACTTGTTCGTTAGTGGAACAATATCAATTGGAACTTCTTGTGACACGGAATTACTCCGTAGCATAGAGTAATGGTTTGCTAATGAGCTAGAGCTTGATCTCTCTAATTGATTACTGAACACGCTTTCGTCTGAGCCGGTCTTGACATCAAGAGTTGAAGTGGGAGGTGTCGTTGTTTTGGCCTGCGACATTGAGTTGTGAATATTTAGAGGTGTATCTTCTTCTTCTGCTTTCGCTGATTGGATTTTAGTTGAGACACCTTCTTCAAACACTTTACCATTTGAAATCTCTACCGCCTAATGATTCACCTTTATGAGCTTTTTCCTGAGTTTATGAGATCAAATCAGGTTTGCCATTCACAGAAAAAAATGTGTCTTTAAATTTTTTTGAAATTTGTATGGAGCTCGTTGACACGTTTCAGAATGGCAGCCAGACCTATTTTCAGTTTTGAGCTTCACACTTTGCATCTACAAAACAACAATCAACAACGTCAACAACACACACCAGAAAGCTATACTAATATCTAATGTCAACACCAGGGTCACCAGTGATACCCCAGGGCGGATTTGCTCACCACACAAGAACACCATCCACAACTTCATCCTTAAGTGAGCACCAAATATCTTACAAAAAGCCGGTAAAGATCAAGAATGAATTGAATGAAAAGAGAAGAAAGGCATTGAAAGAATACTACAAGTTGAAGAAGCAAGAAAAAGAATTGAAAGAGTCACAGGGCCCTAAAGAAAGAAAAGATAGTGTACATGATATTGATTCTGATGGTGAAGTTACAGAAGGACACCCTGTAAAAGAGATTGATTTCTTGAACTCTGATTTCAAGGATCTTGTGAAGGATACAAATACTTTAACATCAAGTATAAACTTGATAAATTCATCTATAAAGAACATCATTTACAACAACTATTATGAGTTGATCAAATTGAATGAATTTTTAAAAGATTTGAATGAATTGGATTTATCTAAATTGATCATACAAGATGAAGATAATAAGACAAACAAAAAGGATGCATTGAATTTACTAAACGACACCATGGATAATGCTAGTGTAAAATCTATAAAACTGGATGGAGGTGATGGGTTTACAAAGTTAAAATCATTAATGAGTGAGATTGAAGAACTAGATAAAAAGGAGATCAAGAGTAACACAGAGTTATCCAACAATAAAGTTGCTGAAAACATAACGTCATACTTGAAGATAGAGAAAAAAGAAGATATCAGTGAAGCAAAGGACGAAATTAAATCAAATATGGAGAAATTGATAGCACAAGTTAAAGGGCAAGAAGACAAAGAAACGCTACTTCGTCAATTGGAAGAGATACAGAAAAAATTATAATTGGATTCTTATTAATATACATTAGTTCTCTAATCTCTTTTCAAGTCAAAGTATTCTGTTCTAACACCATCTTTTGTCACAATCAATATTTCTAAACCATCACCAACATGGATATGTCTTTCTGTAGCAGAACTGAAAGCATCTCTCACCAATTGAATGACTTCTTCTAGTTTCAAGTACTTCAACTCCTTCTTCTTTGTACCATGTGAGTCTGGTTCATATTGATTTTTGAAATTAACTTGGTTATCCAAGAAAGGCATAATTAAACTTGCAGCTGCACCACCTGCTCTACACTGTTCTCTTTCATATGAACCAACAGGGTCAAAAGAATAAACAGCACCTTTACCTTCTTCATCTAAACCAGCAACAATTGTGTGGACATAGTATGGAAAGAATCTTTTACCATATAACATGTGTTGTATAAATCTAGCAGCAGAACTTAGAGAGAATTTCTTATTGTTGTTGAAATGATACCATTTGATATGATTTTTGAATCTACTCACCAATGCATTCCCATCAGCAGAAAATCCATTGGCAGATATCACAATACTATCACCTGCATCAAACACTTTTGGTTCATAACGAGAATTAATGGAATAACCTACTGTATGTCTTGTATCACCAGCTAAAACTGCGAAATCTTCACCAGCGATCCCCAAAATAGTACCACCATTGTCTGAGTATGGGTTGAATCTGTGTTCAATTGGGGTAGCATGGGCCTCCGTAGAGTAGCCTGAGTTCACTGTCATTGCGCTCATTTTGACTAGTTGATTTTGTAGATTGGTTCTGATGATGTTGACTACTGGTTATTGCCACTAGCTGATTCTTCAACTGGCTTCAAATCGATCCCAGAACTGTTCGCGAATTGATTTTGTAGAACGAGTTCGCGGTGTAGCGAACGGAGGGTCACTTTCGCGAATAATTTATACTTATATTTACAAAGTGCAACAACACCTGTATACTGCGCAGAGATCATATCATTGTATCAGCTAAGAATATATTGGACACCACTGAAGCTAGGGACTGGATAATGGTGTGTGATGCTGCTTCAATAGCTGCTTGTGGCTGACTGGAGAAATGGTTTGCTGCTAAATTGCTGATACTTGGTTGCGTTGGTGATTAGTGTGTGTTGTTGTTTTTGTACCACCATCCTTTTTGTGAAATAGGAATTGAGAAAACTACATAAATGTGCTGTTTTTACCGATGGATTCGTCAATTTGTTTATTTCAACCTCTTCAAAGACTAGAAGGAAATTAGCTAAAATCCCCCCATCATCTCATCTTATTTGCCATTTGCAACTATGATCAAGCCCATCAACAAAGATGTCTGATTCACATTACCAAACAGCTCATCATGTTCAAACTCATTCACCCAACTTCAATCATTCTCAACTTCAAAATACCAACAATATTAAAGACAATAGTATCAGTAATCATCATCACCAACAACCTGAAGAAAACATTTCATATTCACCAAAGATCAGAGATGTTGCTAATTTAAACAACAACACCATCACCTTTTTAGCCAAGCCAAATTCAAATGCTTCGGATTCATCAAATCTGATCAAAATAGGTAAATGTTTCGTTACTGATGCTGGTGCTAGAAAGGTTCTAACTAAATCAATTGATTCTGATGTTGAAAAGCTAGCAAGATCCAACGTTCAAACTTTACAAACATTACCAACTCCATTTTTGTTTTTGTTTTTGTTATTCAGTACATATGGTTCACCAACATCAATGCCAGATTTTAGATCAAATAAAATTTATCACGGCCTATTTTGTTATTGGTTCCATAGAATTTTAATTGGTGATAATCTGTTTCCTTTAAAGATAGGTTTTGGTTTAGACCACTGGTACATTGTCTTTATCAGACCTTTCTGTTACTACTGGGAATCATTCCCGGTAGTATAGAACCTTGCTGTTTTTAACATATTGGCTTTGGAATTTAAAATTTTAATAGCAAGTTTTTGAATGGTTGTATTATGTTTGCAAAGCTTGATGTTCCATCGGTATTTTTGTTCCACCTATTGACCTTTGACAACAATGATGCTTTATCCGGCCAGGAAAAGATATCAATTAGCGATCATTGCAAACCAGATAGGATGAGAAATTTTTCAATATAAATTTTGTCCGCAAGTGCTGTATTCTAGTAGTCTATTCCTTCTCTTTATATAGTAATTTTGAATCCAATGTTTTTTCTGTCGAGATGATTTTACACCATCTCATCACGAGTTGATTTTCTATTCTGCGCAACGAGACTACTTAAAATATTTCACTGAAGTAACTCTTGAGGATAATACTTGTACGGGACTAACTTCAACTCGAAGTACTCTCTGGCCGTTGGACCCATGAGATAAAACTTTCAAGTCTCTATTGGTTCCACGAGTAACAATTCCTGTGCTGTATCTGCTACGTAACATGAGCAGCTTCAAGGAAAAAATGAAAGTATTGAAATGATTTCGGCAAAACATAATATCTTTTTGGATTTAACTGACAAGATTATATCTGAGATTCCATGGCCATCTTGATAGGTTTTGTTGGTTTAAGCGTCAAATATTCACCTATCCACACTTTTCGGCTTTATCAACGAATGCGTCAAAAAATCACTAAAACCACAATTAACACAATCCTTAATCTTCGAGAATGAAAATAAGCTAGGAAAATCTAGAAGAACACTTAAAACCATACCATTGACTCTAGCAGACAATGTCACTTCAATTGCTAGATGAGAAGTCCTCATCAACACCAACAACCCACAAGAAGCAAGTGATTGTTGCTATCTTAACATTCATTTCCTTAGCAATATTATTCAGCTCCAATTCCTACATTGCACCATTATTCACCCCTTCAAGCCCAGTAGAATCAACAATAAGACTGTGTCCATCGGGTAAGACTCTTCGCCCTTCCAGTTTCTATAAAGATAACTCTTCAGTGGAGTATATCATTCATGATCCAGAATTCCGTAAAGAATCAATAAAGAAACTATCAGGAGCTGTCAAAATTCCAACTATCACTTTTGATTATTATCAAGATCCATTTGTTAACCCAGAGCAATGGAATAACTTTACGCATTTCCATTGGTTTTTAGAATCGCAATTCCCATTGGTTTATCAATCCTTGAAAGTGTCAAAGCCAAATATTTACAATTTAGTTTTCGAATGGGAAGGTACAGATTCTTCATTAAAACCTTTATTATTGACTGCTCATCAAGATGTTGTTCCAGTTGAAGAGGAAACTATTTCAAAATGGGAGCATGATCCTTTCGAAGGTTATTCAGATGGTGAAACGTTATGGGGTAGAGGTTCATCGGATTGTAAAACTATGTTGATTGGTGAATTGCAGGCAATTGAAAGATTAATCAAAGATGGGTTTACTCCAAAAAGAACAGTGATTTTGGCTTTTGGCTTTGATGAAGAGATTGGTGGTCAGTTTGGTGCTGCCCATATTGCAAAACAATTGACTGAAACCTATGGTGATGATTCATTATTCGCCTTGGTGGATGAAGGTGGTAGTGCAATATCTTTGTTTGATGATGTTGCAGTGTCGTTGCCCTCAATTGGTGAGAAGGGTGCACTAAGCTTACAAATTACACTAACTACGCCAGGTGGACACTCTTCTGTTCCTCCAGATCATACAAATATTGGTATTGTTGCTCAATTGATTAACGATATAGAAGATACACCATTTGAATCAGTTTTAACACCAATTAATCCAACTTTAAATTTCTTGCAGTGTGTTGCTAAATATACTAATGAGTTTGATGAAGGTTTGAAAAATAACGTCTTCAAAGCTGCTTATGACAAGGCTGCCAATTCAAAAGTTATTGAATACCTTTCAAGTATCAGGGGTTACAAGTACTTTGTCAGAACTACACAAGCTGTTGATATCATTGATGGTGGTGTCAAATCAAATGCATTACCAGAGTACACCAATTTGGTGATTAATCATCGTATCAGTGTTGAATCTTCAATTGAAGAAACTATTGATAAGATTATTGGGAATCTAGAGACAATTGCAAATAAGTTTGATTTGGGTATTTATCACGATCAAGAGGAAATACTTCCAGCAACTAAAAATGGACATTTCAATGTATCAGGCTCAGGTTTATCACCATCACCAGTGTCTCCACTAAATAACACAAGCTGGGACGTCTTCTCTGGCTCTATCAAGCACATTATTGAAGATTACATCTATCCAAACTTGAGTAAACCAGCTGTTGTTGCAGGTAATTTAGGTACTGGTAACACTGATACTAGTAAGTATTGGAATTTGACCGAGAATATCTATAGATATAGATTGAGTACCTTGAATGGTATTTTAGAAGGTGGTACCCATAGTGTTAATGAACACACTACAATTGATAATCATTTGTCGTTGATTGCGTTTACTTATGAGTACATCAAGAACGTTGATGAAGCAAAAGATGAATAATTTGTTGTATAATTTAACAAGAGTATCTAAAGTTTTTGTTTTCAAAATCCGTCAAATCCAAAAATTCACTATTTTCAGGTGCAATGTAGTAGTTTGGATCTTTTTTAAACTTCTTATCTCTTTTTTTGTTTTCGTAAATGTTCACCAACAATAATAAAAACAAATCAACTGTTGCAACAACTAAGCATGCAGCCATAGTAACTCTTGCTGGTTGATACAGAGGTGCATCTTTAGCTCTGAATGTTTGAGGTCCTATCACATTTCCAACACAGTAAGAAACAAGAAACGCAGCACTCACTGTCAATTTCTTTGTATGACCAGCTGCATCTGAAGCGATTGAGGCCAAGATTGTGACAATACCAATAGCAAAAAATGGAATAATATAATAGCCACCTAGTTGAACTTTTGGTGAGTCTGAAAAGGCCAAAAGACACAGACCGATCAAAGTAATTGCACAACAGGAAACACCGATTAGAACTCTCTTCCCACTTCTTGTTGCGATAAACCCAGTTATAATACCCGATGCGATTTGGATAGCACCTTGAGGTAATCCCATTAACAATGCTTTTTCTTTAGAATAGCCTAGAGTTCGATTTAAAAGAATGGATGAGAATGAGCCCAGACCTCCATTTGGGATTTGTGCAGTTAGCCCCCATGCAATATATATCCAAGTTCTAATATCTTTGAATGCTTCAATGGCTTGATACTTTTTGAACTTCTTGGTACCAAATCCCTGTTGATTAGTTTTAATTCTTTGCACCTGATATAATTTTTCCTCCTCTGTTAGAAACCAAGCTTTTGAAGGATTTTCAGGAACATAGAAATAGAATAAAACACCAAATACAACAGTTAATAATCCTGTTACAATAAACAAAACTCTCCATGATTCAATACCTAATGAGTCAGCATGATGTAACAAACCATAGCCAATAGCACCACCTAGGATACTACCGGCACCATTACAGCTAAACCAATAAGCAATTCTAGCAAACTGTTCTTCCTTTTTATACCATTGGGAACTCAAAATAACAAACCCAGGAGTAATACTGGATTCAAAAAGTCCCAGAAACACTCTAGCGGTGATGATTTGTGCACTGTTATGTGCTCCTGCATGGGCACATAAAACAATCCCCCAAATGATTATACAGGCACTCAAGGTTTTAACAAATGGCAAACGTTGTAATGATTGTGATATAGGAAACTCTGCAACTAAATAAGCCAAGTAAAAACCAGTAACTAGCCATGAAAACTCATCTCCCACCAATCCCAAGTCCTTTTGAATACCCATAACACCAGCAAACCCATTAGTAACCTTATCCATAAATTGTAAAGTGTAAATTGACCACATAATAGGTTGGATATAAAAATCAATTTTCCTCAATAGTTTCTTATTGATCTCATCTGTGATCTCTAAGTCTTGAGCCAGTAGGGCAATTTCAAAAGCAGCATCAACTTCGCTTTTTTGAGAGACTGGTAACGATTGGACCTCGATAGTTTCAGTAGCCTTTTCTTTAAATTCAGTCATTTTAGTCAATTTGAAGGGAGGTTATAATAATTCGACCTCTTTTTCCACAAAAAAAGCGGCATCGTGATATATTTATAAATGATTCGTTAAAAGTTCCAAGCTTTAGGGATCAGTGGTATCTCAGCATTAGGGTATGATGATCTGTGATCTGTCATGCAATTTCAGAAGTTGGTTATTGATAAGAAATTTCTGTGATATCTTTGATTTCTAAACGTGTCTGTTCGTAGACACATAGGAGCAGCAGGCAGCAGGTGTCAAGTACGCTGTCATTGAGAGCATTCAAGTCTTGAATTTGGTAAACAACTGTATCCTTGTGTAGCTCTTTTTGACTTGACAAATTCAGCGCTAGTATCTTCACCTTCATTGAACCACGTCGCTGATAACCCAGCCAGTACCGCCCATCTTCACTAAACAAACATCAATCTTCTGATGAAAGCATCTTTTTTGTGGATTGTTATAAACTTATCTTCAAACATGTTCATTTACAACCGGAGATCTGTCCTGATTTGGGGAAAGATAGAGGTTTGAAACTTTGGCGCACCGTATCAGCCCTTGATCTTTTTTCGCGAATGCGTTTGCTGACTCGACTTTACTACAGAAGTTTCAAGAGGAACAATTTTCTAATAAGAGTATCTAAAATTCTTGTTTTCAAAGTCAGTCAAGTCCAAAAACTCACTGTTTTCAGGAGCAGTATAATAATTTGGATCCTCTGCAAATTTCTTATCCCTTTGATTGTTTACAAAAGTGTTGACGACCAACAAAATGAACAAATCCACTGTACAAACAGCTAAACAAGCAGCCATGGTGACTCTTGCCGGTTGATATTGTGGAGCATCCTTGTCTCTAAAAGTTTGAGGTCCAATGACATTACCAACACAGTATGAGACCAAAAATGTAGCACTCACTGTCAATTTCTTTGTGTGTCCTGCGGCATCAGAAGTTATTGAAGCTAAAATAGTAACCATCCCAATTGCATAAAATGGGAAAAGATAATACCCAGCTAATTGGGAATGTGGATGATGAGTAAATGCTAATAAGCAAGAGCCGATAAGTGTAATTATACAGCATCCCACACCCACAATGACTCTTTTCCCAGTTCGAGTTGCAATATATCCAGTAATTATACCTGAAGCAACTTGGATGGCACCTTGAGGTAAACCCATCAATAACGATTTTTCTTTAGAATAACCTAGAGTTTGATTCAAAAGAATGGATCCGAATGATCCAAGACCTCCGTTTGGGATCTGTGCTGTCAATCCCCAAATAATATAGATCCAAGTCCTTACATCTTTAAAAGCTTCAATCACTTGATACTTTTTAAACTTTCTAGTTCCATACCCTTGTTGGTTTTTTCTGATTCTCTGCACTTGATACAATTTCTCTTCATCAGTCAAGAACCAAGCTTTTGAAGGATTCTCAGGGACATAAAAGAAGAAAATAACACCAAACAATATTGTCATTAATCCTGTAACAATGAATAAGACTCTCCAAGGCTCAATACTAAGGGATTTAGCATGATGAGCTAACCCATACGCAATAGCACCACCAATCAAATTCCCTGCCCCATTACAACTAAACCAGTAAGCAATTCTAGCAAACTGTTCCTCTTTTCTATACCATTGAGAACTCAAAATAACAAATCCAGGAGTGACACTTGCTTCAAACACACCTAAAAACACTCTTGCAGTGATGATTTGTGCACTATTATGAGCACCTGCATGGGCACATAACACGATTCCCCAGATGACAATGCATGAGCTTAATGTTTTGATGAATGGTAATCTTTGTAACGCTTGAGAGATTGGGAATTCTGCAATAAGATAAGCTAAATAAAAACCTGTACCTAACCAAGAAAATTCATTCGAATGAAGTTTCAAGTCTCGTTGAATCCCCATGACACCTGCATAATTGTTTGTCACTTTATCCATATATTGTAAGGTGTAGACTGCCCAGATAATTGGTTGGATGAATAAGTCTATTTTTCTTAGTAGAGACTTGTTAATCTCTGGGGTTATTTCAATACCTTGACTTTGAAGAGAGAGATCAAATGCTGCATCAACTGAAGTTTTATGATGATTGATGTGATCTGTTGAGGTGGTGGAGGATACAACATGGAGATTAGATTTTTCAGATTTCAAACCATTGTTTGAAGGTTCAGTTGACATCTTGGTTGTTGATTGACCACTATAGGGTGGGAAAATCTGAGATAAACATGGGTTTGATATGATTTTTATATAATTCACTCACTTCTGGTGTGAGTAACTAGATATTCTTTCTAAAAATGTTATGTATGATGGGTTGGTTAAGCTTTTTAACAATATTTGTGGCTTCAATTAGCACAACTTTTCAAACTTAGAAATTGTACCTTGAATTGAAACATCACAGCGTCGTTCATGCCTTGTGGGATGCCTCGTGTACTAGATTATGAAACATACGACGTGTTCTCGTAAAAATTTGATATTTTAACAACAGAACATTTCTGAGGATTCAGTAGAGTTGGGCATTGTGGCTTTCAAACAGACAGTGCACGTAAAGCAGGAAACATGCTGTAGTGCATTTTTTTGAAGTTATTAGTGGTTAGAGGCACTGGGAAAGACCTTACAAAACCTTTCAGTCTATGAACAGACAAACCTCTCAGCTCACTCGATCATTATAAGATTATGATGTTTGAGATAGTAAAGTTGCTACGTCAATCTGCTTCTTATTGGTGGTAATCAAATGGTTGTCAATTGGTGAGACTCTTTTGGATTTTATGGGACCTCGACCTTTTTCACAAAGCTATACCGCCCATGAGTATTGGGGAGATTAACCAGTCCATGTGACTGGAGGAAGCTGAATGTGCTGAGGACTCATCAAGACCAATATCAAGTAATGGAATACAGACTAGGACGTATCAATGTTGATGAGCCATTACTTGATTCACTAATTATCGTGGTACTTTTTGGTGCAATTACGCTAGATCTACGTGCTATTGACTTTACACTATTACTTCAAAACAACTTATAACTCTTCAAGAGCCAACAACATTCATTGGTGATATGAGATATATATTGGCTTTTCAAGCCAGTGCAATCATTCTCAGTAGATTGACTTTTTGAGCTAACTAATGAAATATTTAAATGATGATGCAAAATAAAATAAAATATCATTGAGCCCCAGGCTTTATGCATGTTTTTCCCAATTTCATTCACTTATATCATAAAACAAAACGTCATTGAAGTATTAAAAAAAATTGCTCCTTATAGTCCGCTTCTAAATATTTGGCGTTAGTAATATAACGACATTAGATTAATTAATGTATGATATTGGCAAAATATTAATACTGACTGACATTAAAAAAGGTTGATGTGGAGATGCTGAATGGTAGCGCTTCTAAAGCTAGTAAAGCTGGTAAAGCTGGTAAAGCTTTTAAAGCTGGTGAAGCTAGTGACGACGTCTAGAGTTAATTTGAACATGAATTATAAAATGTAGATATGTCCTATTTATAATATGTTATTTCGAATGGTTCTGTGTCATGTTTTGATTATCAACAATTAGCCGCCCATCAACGACACAAGTTGACTTTTGTGTAATCATTTCCATTAATATGTTAAGTCACAGTTCGTTTTAAACAAGGGCTAGAGACCATCCCATGAAGCGCTTGGATGAATAACCAGAAGATTGGAGGTTTCATTGTTATCGAAACAAGATGATACTGTGCACTTTGTAATCAGCAGAACTGCCTACCCAGAGGAAATGAATTGGCTAAACTAAGCATTCTTTTCATGACCCTTATACAGCATTTGAATTTGCCAGTGGAAAAAAGCTATATTACCTAATTTAATACAAGCTCAATCTATTCATCAATGTTTTTGAAAAGCGTAATGAGGAACCTCCATCCTGATTCGTGATCCAAAACGAATTCAAAATGACGACTTGATCATGGGTGACTTTTGAATCTTTCTTCTCGAAACTATGAACCCCATCATCGGTATACAATCTCCATAACAATTCAACTTCTCTCGAACATTCCTTCATCTTCATGTAGCATTTCTTAAAACCAAACGTTCAGACGTTGAACCGACATGTAAATAGCGGAAGCAGGCATCCGCAAAATTAAATCTCACATAATCTCTTACATAATAAATCCGATAAAACGGAGAAATGTCCTAATCAGGCCCTACCACCGAGCTTCAAAATCTGTATAACCGAACGGAAAATAAAAAATTTAAACGCGGGTGAAAAATTTCAGTTTGAGGATCTGCAAAGTGAATGACAGGTCAAAATTCAGGATTACAAATTGTATGAAGGTCTCCTATCAGGCACCGAAAGTTCAAAACATGAAATAGCAAAGAGATCAAGATTGTGTAGTGTATTATATTAATAGAAGCTACAATTAGTTGCTTGTTGAATATTTAAGTATTGTGTACTTGTGTATAACTATATCAAAAAACTGGTATTCCTGTATACCCGCAAAAAAAAATCATTAAAAACAAAAAAAACAAAAAAAGTTCTAAATACATGAATTGAAATGGTCGTTAGATGGTCATGAAATCATTAAATCATAAAGTCTCTTGTTGATGTTGTAGATTCTTTGTTGATTAAGCAGCAACAATTGCTGTTGTATTTATATTGAGTTCATGTTGTAATTGTTTTTGGAAAATACCATCTTGGTCTTGATATTTATGATCATGATGTTCTTCATTATGTAGCTCTTCTTCTTCACTTTCACTTTCACTTTCATCTGTAGTTGAATAAGATAACTGAGGTGGTTGATTTGAATATATTATATCCACAATATCAGCTTCTTCAGGTTCACCCTCACTTTCAGATTCACTTTCATTTTCTTCTAAAGTTTGTAATTCTTGTTCAGTTAATTCATCAATTGTTGGTAATTGTCTAAAATTTAGACTTGAATCATTTTCATTATGATATGAGAATCTTATTCTCCATGGATCTTCATCTTTAACATCTGTGATATCTTCTTCTTCATCCTCTTCTTCAGATTCAAATTCATAATCTTCATAGTCTTCATCATCTTCAGAATCACTATCACTATCAGAATCGTAGTTTATAGTGTAATTTATTTCATCATCATCTTCAACGACATCATCATCACTAGAAAATTCATCATCTAATTCATCTTCATCAACAAATGTAACAGTTGTAGTGTGATGTAAGTTGGATGGTGTTGTAGTTTTGTGTAAAATTGATGATGGTTGTTGTTGTTGTTTTGGGAACTTGTGGTTATGAATAGATTCCATCAAGTTATCTAATAAGTTTGCATGGGACACTAGCACTCTTAAATCATGGTCGCCTTTAGCAGCTTCTTTTGTTAATTTGGCTCTTGCCTTACTGGCGAGTAAATAAGTTTCAGCAATGGACATTTTGTTATGGAGTTCAACGTTGTGAATAGTTTGTGTTGATTTGTATTTGACTTGTACTATGGGTTGTTGGTGATTATTAGTTGTTTATATATGCACCAGCAGTGGTAATTAGTAATTGAAGGTATTTGTCATACTTGTGATAAAAAACCATCTGTAATCGATAACAAGGACATGGTGTTTATTTTATATCTTTTCCCATTATAAATCAAACTTGTTGATGATTCACCTCCAGCGCTTATTCATCGGGCGGAATTACAAATGCCAATTTTCAATTTCACGCGGTGCACCATCAAATAATGGAAACCATTACAAATACACACATTTGAGCTATTGCTTCGGAATTTGCACCGTTAGGGAGCCTTTTACTCGTAGAATAGACCTAGCTATTGAAAAGAAACACTTTACTATGAAGGTCTCTCTAGTTTTCCTGAAGTTCCTGACCCCTTTATTGGTGTTCTTGTCCATCACGGTCTCAACGTACCGATGGTTGGTGTCCTCGGCCGAGCTCTTTTCGTTCCAGAGCAAAATAAATTTTAATTTGAAAAGCAAAAAAAAACAAATCCGTTCCGATCATGGTGAAGAAATGAGCAAAGAGCTAAAAAGATGACTGGACGGTACTAGGATTAATCTATACTAATGGCTGGTATATAGTGACTGAATATCGTATCGGATACACTTATTCAGTAGGAACTCAACGTATACAACCATTTTTTGCTCTTCTCTCTTATGCCGGAGATGTATCCTTTCCTGTCCACGGATACAAACAATCTTAGCAAGGAAAGCTCTGTTGAAGATTAATCTAGATCTTGTTGTCAGCAACTCTTCAGTATCAACGTTAGTAGAAGGGCTATACCTTTATGATAGAGGCTTCTCTTTACAGAGCTTTAGGCCCGAAATCCGGTAGAAGTGGTTTCCATCCATCTTGGTTAAGTTTTCATACAAAAGGGTTTTGCGGGTTTGCAGAGCTATACACGCTTACCTTTCAAAATCTCTTAAAACCCACTATAGCCGCGCGTCGACAAGAACGAATATAACGGTTATAAGAACCTACATCAGTAAATAAAACTAATACATTGAAATTGATGGATTCTATAGTTGTAAAACTTATTGGTATAGCCTTGTTCTAAAAAGTTCACATTCATGAAGAACAACCAACTTCATCAAGTTGATACCAATTACGTCCTTCACAACCCCAGCTTACCGATAAAAAGCTGGTTCCACTATCATGCTGGTTCTTAAATTTTTGGGCTTAGATAGACAATACTGACACCATTTATAGATTAATCATGTACATATAATTGTAACTCCATATAAATGAGGGTGAATGCTTCCTGTGCCACACAAATAGTCGATAACGGAGAACAAAAGGTTGGTTAAAATACTTCGTACGATTCATAGACATCAATGAACTGAGTTGAACGCATTGAGCTTTAAGGGGAACTGCTTATTTGAGAACTATCAGAAGGTTTCCATCCATCAGCGTTTAATCCATATTTAGTTGCTTCAGAATTCATAATTGATGAGGTGTAGTTGACCTCATCATTTTAGAAACCGCTATACTTTTTAGTGTTGGCTATACACTTTTATGTTGTAACTTATTTGCTTTCGGGTTTCGGATTGCACACAGTGCGGTTTTTGATATCATTCCTGGTGCACGACTTTTTTGACAGAATTCTAAACGTTTTCGGGTTTAGATTTTCGGGGATGATAGCTTTTTTTGGAAGATTCAAGGGTCTGGGAATAATCATATTCAAGGTTTGACAGGTGCTTAGTTAGGATGTATATCTTACAATTTGAGTGTATTTCATTAGCTGAGCTTAAGGAAAACAAGTTGTATAAATTTTTGGTCTATTCAACAGATGAATTTCAATCGTCTTTCCTGATATTTAACTTCAGCTCATGAACCCTTGGAGTCAATTGTTCTTAACCAAATACAAAGCTTTGAACAGCTCCTATATCGTTAAAGTGTGTAAATTGGACAGTTTTATCAATTAGAACTTTCCGAAAACCTTTTTTTGGCTTTAACTTTGTTCAGAATCGCTTAAATTTGTATATAACTGTTAGGTATCATATTGAAGATTTTAGTCACGTGACTAAATTTCAAATAATGGGTATTTTGCTCTTTTTTTTTGAGGAATCAATATCTGAAATTATTGATGATAGCTAAACTAAAGCCAAATATTCCACTGATGTAAAAAAAGAACTCTTTAACAACCTTTCAAAACTAATAATAATTTTTAAAGCTTTTTTATAGACCTCATTTCTATAAATTTTATTTCAAAATTAAGCTTAACAATTAGCTCAAAAAAAAACAACTTCAAAATTGATTATTTCGTAGTTTTAAAAACGGTAGTAATCAAAATAATAGAAAACAATTTAGTTTATGAAATTATTTAACTATCTTTCCTTATAAAGTTTTAATTATATTCTTACATTTGATTCTTGAAGAAATATGGTGCTCATACCGAAAGTTGACAGGTTGTCACAGAAACTCAGTTTTTTGATCCCGCGGCAACCTGCATCTGAGATTTTCGGAAGTGAGAGATTAGAAATTTGAAGTTGGCTCCTGGAATTTGTTTATTCCAAGATCAAAAACTCTGTACATTACAAACACTTTCAACAACAAAAGCTTATCAGTGATTTTGTTTCTGTTTCCTGATGCTATGGAGATTATAGCAAGAGGGAATTACATTTCAACTGCTAATTAACCAATTATCATAACTTCGTTTATTCATTAAATAGCAATCTCATCAGTTCATTTTGTTTTGATATTTCAAATCCCATTAATCTTCATTTGATGACTTGAAATAATTAATGGCAATAGGTTTTAGCCCATAATAATTAGCCCAATCTTCAACACCATGTCCTTCATATTTAGATCCCCATCTTTCTCTAAATCTCAATTTGTGATTTGGTAATTTCCCAAAAGGTTGTCTAAACAAAATGAAAACATAACGATGAACATCAGTATTCGGTTTTGGTCCAGGCCCAATATACTCCATTAATTGAGACTTTTGGAAACTTGTAATATCAAATGTTGTTATGAATGACTTTTTATCATCTGGATTTTCGATTATTGTGAAATCATCTTCATTAAATTTCAAATTTTGCCAAATTGAATGACATTTTTCGTATGAATACGAGCCACCATCACCAGGGTTTGAATCAAGATCAGTTAAAGTGATTGAATAGTATTCCTTTTTGAACTGTTTTGTGATTGGCGTGAATGATTTAAAAGTGAATTCAATAGGAATTGAAGAAGTTTCTAAAGGTGATAAATAATTACCCAATTCAACCAGTCTATCTTCAGGATATTTGATTTGTAAAGAGCCTAATGGCTTCCAATTTTGAAAATAAAGTGTCAAAACATTATCAGATTCTAGTTGTTCATAGATTGAGTTTGACCAATTTTGATAAGTGGGAATAATTTTGTTGGTGTCAATGGATTCAACAACCATCGACGCAACAAAGAAGGTCATTAAAAGCTTGAAAAACATGATTGGATTGATAACCGCTATGAATGTTATGGTGGTATACTTTGTTATGGGTCAATGAAATTCATTTTGTCTTCAATTCATGTTTTTTTTTTGACTCCAAATTTGATTAGCCGCTGACCGTTGAAGTTGAGTAAAAGAGGAGTCTTCATTAGATGGAAGAACTGGATATTTGCATTGGATTGAACTGAATGTTTTGAAGCAGTAGACTCCAAAGGTGAAACCAAGTTTTGGCTTGATGCTTTTTTTTGGGATTGAAGAATCCAGGTATCGAAGTTGCATCCACAGTTCAGATACACTTGAAACTTGAAACGCGCTTTTTGATGAAATCTTCAGAGTCCAGGTTCCAGGCCTCGAGAAAAATGCTGGAAACCAATCTAAATTAAATGCTTCAATCTGAAACAACTGAATTAAGAAATCAAATACGCGCTTTCATTCACTCCCCATTAACATTTCAACGGAAAAGCGTGTCCATCTTGCTTCAAGTTACATATACTACATCTTTTAAAGGTTCCCCCATATTGAGAGTTGAGAATTGAAACCATTTGAAGCACATCCTAGAGTCAATTGTAAGTCAAAAAATAATCTCAGAATTCATGGCTCGATGTGTTTGATATTATTTGATGCTTGAACGATTTGTTCCACTTTGGGGTGAATATTGCTCAACTGTTGAAGAATATTTTTTGTGGTTAAGAGTGCTGTGAATATAACCTGTCCAGTTTGATCAACTAACTATGAACTGAACAGGTAGACGTGATACGTTTTTACTAAGCTATTGCAGTATCTATTGCAGTATCTCTATTGATGTGTATCTTCAATTGATTTTGATCCGGAACAATAAGCCTAACTTTTGGTAGAAAGCTGAATTAATGCCTGAATTCTTTCATCACCAACAGTGCAATTGGCGGATACTCGCCTATGAAAAGCTTTGAAAAGATCGTCAGGAGATTTTTATTAGCTTGCTGAAGCTTGCACCTTTCAAAGTGTGAAAATTTTTATAGCTGTACGTATGCTCAAAAATTATTGCAGAACCGTTTTTTGGTTTTTATTTTTTGTTTTTTTTTATGCAGATATTTTTAGAGTTTCTGATTCTTGCAGAGAATCTCCAACGTGCAGAATGTTGCATCGGGTGAGCCAAAAAGTGAAACTTGCCTATTTAGGAATAATTGTATGATTTCCTTTTTTTTCTTTTCAAAACCGCGATGCTGGAAAAATCTTGCAACTTCTTGTTCCTCTCTACCCTCGGCCCTCTACTATCTAGGTTTTGATAAATCACATCAACTGGATGAAAACTACTTGAAGCGACATAAACAATGTTAAATAGTTTGAGGTCTCTCTACCTTTTTAAACATAGTAGAGCTGGTGGGCAATCAAAAGCATAATATGAACACCATGACGGAGATTCTGCTCATTAATGATTAATAGTGAAAAATTTTCAACTGTAACTTGTAACTTGTAACTTGTAACTTGCAAGTTGCAACTTCTAAAATATTTATGTGTAACTAAAGTGTTTGTAATCACAGCAGTAACAGGCAACAGGCAACAGCTCCACTGATAACTTCATTTGGTAGCTACCGCTTTATTTAGGAATAAAAATAATACCTAAACAATTACTTGCGTCGACTGCTTCAACGTTAGCACATGAACCTCGTCTAAAATATGAACTTACACGATTTATCTTCCAAGATGAAAACCGCACAAAAGTTCAAGTTTATACAGCACCCTTGAAAACGTCAACATACGACGAAAGGCACACGCGTATATTTAAACAGCACTTATATTTCAACGACGCGTTTATTTAACCTCTACAAAATTAATACAAATTCCAATATGTACAATACAAGAAGAAACGATTACGGTCAAAGTAGTATCTTCTCGGGGTTCAAATACGTGGATGATACAGTCGCGACTCGCTATATAATTTAACAGCCTTGAATTTTCTATATGACTACACGTTTGCGAGTGTTTGAGATAGTGTTTCATAGTCAATCCTTTAACGAGAGACGCCTTTACGTGATATTCAAGCGTAAATTACTGGTTGTAATTTGTGTTTATCTTACGTTAAACAAAGCGCGTTCAACCTGCTCGTCTAACAACTGCTCAGTGAGTGCTGTCTTATGTGTATGCCTTCAATATAAGTTGATTTTTGTTTAACTCGACTTCAAAATTCATGCACTTAAGTCTAACGTTAGATATTTGTTTGAGAGTCATTTCGCTCTTTGAAGGTTCAAGGATGTTGATAAACTACGCACATATTCCCTGGTGCATCACAGAATCGATAAAACAGGTTAAATCCTTCAACTTGAACTTCCTTTGAAAACTTGGTTCCGCTAAAGCCTGTAGCCTGTGACAGCTTTGTTTCAACTCTAACAAGCTATGTTTTTTTAAGTTAAAAGTTACAACGTAATTGCTTGATCAAGATTCGAGAAATTAGAGTTTAGTACCGTGTTCTCTAAATTCTGTATGATCTGTACAGACCTGAGCAGCTTTCATAATCATGAGGTACACTTCAGCTGTTACGTGTACGCCTAACAATTATGATCTAAGCCTACATAGGCTAGATACAGATCTGAAAACATTAATTATTCACATGCTGACGTTATTAACTGGTTAATTATTTAGTTGATGAAACCTGAGTGCAGTTGAAGTGTGGGACTTCCCTATATTTTCTACGCGCGGCAGTCTGATTATCGTGACTTTACATATTATTCAAAGTACGACATATTTGAAGGCGTCGACGCTCAAGATCAGCCTGCTCCAAGCTCATATTAATCTGATCAAAGTATGAGACTGGTAGTTTTTTAGTTTATGAATTACTAATCTTCCTCAATCATTTTATAAAACCATCATGAAACAAGTGAACAAGGGAATCGGAGCGACCGTTAGAAGTACATGTTCCGTTGAAAACTCACTTATTCGTGCGCTTTCCCACTCAATGTTGTAGAAGGAAACTTGCGAAATTATGTGCCTTTATTTTTTCTAGAACCGTTACACCTGTGTTCTTCAAATTCAGTTTTCGCTTCAGATTTCTCTACAACTGACCGTTTTGATTTCTATAGCAACGCTTCTACAGGTTTCGAAGACTGTTCAAATTCATCAACTTTGGGAATTGAGAAGGAGAACAGTCCAATATAGTGAGACAGGCAGTCAGGCAGGCTTATTATAAAAATATCTACTCAGTCAGCTGTACATTCGTAGACACCAGGCCTTTCAAAAACAAGGTACATAGTTAATGATTCAATGGCCATTTGGAGAATGGCATAGGTTGAAACTTTTTGTGGTGAGTTTAGCCCTTCTAGATCATACATCTTTCTCAAAGTCCTAAAAACTAGTTTCTTGCAATTGTTCATTTCTGTGCATTGTTTTTTAGTGTTTACTCCAGGTTTCAAATAAATTTTCAAAGGAGGCTTTTGAGAAAAAATTAGTCGCCTCGCAAGATCCATGCTCGCCTGCGTATCTTGTATGCGTCAAGATGCTGTCTTTACGCTAAATACCTTCTAGAAGGGATCCCGTGGTTAAAAAAAATACGTTCCAAAAAATAAAAATGCGCTTGATCTCAAAGGCAGCGTCACAGATTTTTGCCTTGAACAGAAGCCTTTGATCTCACAACACCTCGTCTAAGCACCTGTAGGCAAAACAAGGCATAACAGGGTGCTGGTTTGTATGGAAATTGTTAAAAAATACATGCAAGATTATCGTTAGTTACGCTTCCAGTTGCGTACACACAAAATTATCAGATTTCTGTTGTTTTGTATGTACAAGGCGCTGTACCTCAGTTACAAGCAGAAACGTAAAGGCAGATCTTATAGCGTACCTCGCTACCTTCGAATAGGATTAACAAAGGTTCAATTTTTCATATAAATGGTGGTGGAAATCCCTTCTTGTTGAAGATGAAGTTGGTGTTGATACTCATCAGTTTACTAGAACAAGTTTAACTTTAACTAAAACAATCATTTGCATATACACATTACACAATGAAATTTTCATCAGTCTTAGCCTTCACATTCTCATTAGGTGTTACCTTAGCAGCTGGTCCAATCAACATTTATGTTACCAAATACAACACCATTGAAGTTGTTGAAACTGCCACCACCACTGTTACTCAAGTTGTTCAAGAAACACATTACGTTTAAAGAATTCCTCACAACTATTAGAATTTGGTATACAAATGAACAAGCTGGAATTTGAATCACCAATAATTGATTGCCTTCAACATTTGGTTAGATATTGGATTGCCGCCACATAGATCGATTGATCTAAAGAATCATCAAAGAGAATCATCAATTTTATTAGCATCGGTTTCAAGCCACACACAACATGATACACATGAATTACTTTTAATGAACAATTAATGAATTTGCATAACTATAGAGAGCATAGAATGAATTATAGAATGATAGAGATTTTAATGAATTGCATATATTTAACGAAAAATTAATGATTACAGCATAATTTTGATATTTGAAAACAAATTGTAGACGTTCACTTCAGGCTTTCGAGTTTTTCTTTACACATATTTGTCGAAGGACTGAAGCTTTTTATGAGTAACTTATTACTCATGGTAATATAATTTATTGATACTCCTCGCGTACATATCATATAGGTTCGAAAGACATTCACCCAGACAATCGCATTAGAATTCCTGAATCAAGATTGATCATAGTTTCCCACTCAGAATCACAGACGCGAATATGATTCAGCTAGCGATTTGTTATACCAGATTTTACTTTATTTGAAAATATCATAGTCTTAACCGGAGAAACTTGGTGCAAAGCAGTGTAGAATTAAAGTACGCCTACACTAGCTAGTGCCAGCTCAAACTTCAACATTAATTAGAACAACTCGCCATGAGCAAAAACAGGAATTTCTAAAAACCCTAGTCGAGCAAAAAATTTCCCTGGTTCCAGCGTACCATTGATGATAAATGTAACGTGAAATATGATAGTTTATACTGTAGACTGTACCCTACGTCTAGTTGATCTCGTCATAAATCATGAGTTTTATCTTCCTCGGTTTTAATCCGGATATTTTGTTACATGTTAGATCTGCGGAGGTGGTAGGGCCAGTTCCGCTGGTAGATTTCAAATATGCAGGGAAGTTTTCAAGCTTGTACAACTGGGAGCTTTAGTTGTTCCGAGACCCGACGACTGCTACAGAATCCAGATGTCAGAGAGTGTTGCAATTATTTTGTTTTGAAGTTGAAACAAAGTTTTAACAGTAAACAACACTACCAGAGGTGACTATGTAATCCGTCACGCATTATTTTGAAATTCAGAAACGAAAGAAGGTGTGTAGAATGCTGTGAAATATGAAATACTGATCTAGGCGCGTGTAGGTCGTGTGTATGTGTACTCTATGTAGTCTGCAAATTGCAAATTGCAATCACTGTTGAATCTTGATCCAGATTTCATTCCAGAGTGCTGTCATAAGTCACTGTGCCAATAGAAGATCCATACAGTGCGCCAATCGTTTTCGCGAATGTGTTTTGTAAGTGACGCGAATTCTGGTATTTTTGGATATTTCGTTTGTTGGTGGATTGACAGATCTACTTTTAGTGCGATAACAACAATCAAAAAGAATCATAGCAGCAACAGAGGTGTCAAAATAGACTACTGCATTATCTTGAAGACTACCGCTCTCACCAGGATCACACTACGTTCCACTCTGCTTGGCCTTTGTTATAGAGCGCTCCAGGTAATTCACCGCCTCCACAAACAAGGAACAGCTTTGATACTCTTGAATTGAACGGTTTGATGAACCAATCATTTATTTAATTGCATCAGGCTTTGACATGAACAAAACCATGACAATGTTCAATAATAATCAAGAGGGTCCAAACAACACAAATCCTTCTGGTTTTACTAAGCTGAGGTTAAGATTGGAAAAGGGGAATGGTCCTACGTTGATTAACAGAAGGTCCTCTTCAAATCTAGATGAAAGCACCAGCAGACCAAGCTTCTTCACAAAACCATCAATAATGAGCTTGCATAGAAGGCAAAAGTCTGTTGATGAGGTCATATATGATACACAGCACCTCCAATTGTCAAAGTCAAGATCAAGATCAACAAGCCCCAAAAAATTCTCAACTTTTGCTTTCAATGACAAGAGTAACAACATCAATGATACTCCAGAAATGCAAAGTGTATCAAATTTCAGTTCTCCAACAAAATCCATATTATCATCCGACTGTTCAAATTCTGAATCACCCATTTTGGACCCAGAATGCCCCCAAGTTTCAATTCCAAGGATCAATATAACAGAACCTGTTGATTCAATTCAAAAGCCAGGATATAGAACTATTGGACCTAAAGAATCAACTTCAAAATTTGGAAGGTTCAAAAAGAAGACCATCTCAATGTTTTTTGACCAAGGAAATTCCTTATCATTGACCCCATTAACCCCATTAACCCCCATCCAACCTGCATCTGAAGGACAAAACTCATTAGAACGTCCCAAGCTGTCCAAATCGCATTCTGAAAATGGTGGTGACAAAAGCAATACTAATTCAAGTGTCGATCCAAATGATTTATTATCTGGTCCAAATGCAATCAAAATTCAACAAGACTTGACGAGGAAAAGGTCTAAAACAATGGGTTCCGTCGAGAATGATCTATATCATAAAAGAAACGGATCTATTGTGAAAACTATTGGAAGTATGATGATGCTGAAACCTAAAAGCTCAAACTTAGAATCCGGGAGTGCATCAGTGAGTCAGGTATCATTAGATTCTGAACCCCAAACCACGTCAAGACCTCAGACACCACCTAAAGTCTGTGATGATGATACTCCAGAACAATATGTGAATAAGCTAGTGAATGAGGGTTTCAATTTTGAGATAACCTCTATTTTATCATTATCAGATTCAGATTTTTTGAAAGATTGTCTTACCCATTACATTTGTGGAAAGTTTGACTTCCATGACGTTCCGTTAGATATTGCACTAAGACAGCTTTTAATGTATTGTGAGCTACCAAAAGAAGCTCAACAGATTGATAGAGTGTTGAATAGTTTCAGTCTCAGATACTATCAGTGCAACCTTGAACTTTGGGATAATTCTGACCAGATTTATTTTCTAGCATTTTCATTTGTTATGCTACACACTGACTATTATAATATTAACAATAAGAAAAAAATGACCAAAGAAGAATTTGTTAAAAATACCAAAATTGATAGTGATGAAACGATATCAAACTCATTTTTAACCAAAGAAATTTTAGAGTATTTTTATGATAACATTATTTATACAAAATTTGTTAAAAACCACCAACTTTATCATTCACCTTCACCTCAACCACTATATTCATTACCAAAAAGAATCTTTTCATCCACATCATCTACAAATTTGGAAGGCATGAACCATCACCCCTCAACCCCAAATCTAAGATCACAATCATTCTCTTCAACTACTTCACAAATTTTTAGTTCAGCTCCAGTTATAGATCCTTACCAAATTATCTTGAATGATCAATTGGATTCATTGAAATTAGATTTGAGCTCAATACATTTTGAGAATCCATTTTCTGATAGTTTTAGATCTTTTTTCAAGGAAATTTTATTAGCTGAAGTTCGGGAGAGAATGCTGTTGAACAAAGGACTTTTCATTCGCTATAATAAGGATTGTAACTGGCTTTCATCCAAAATTGAGATCCAATTTAAAAACGCTGATGAAATTGAGTACGGGAAAAGAGTACTCTTAAAGGTTATCAAAGTTGCTGAAATTTTTAGAGAGGAAACCATTGTTAATTCCAAGTTTTTCACAATAGGCTCAACAAGTCGTGTCATATGGAAGAAATACTATGGGTTTTTAACAACATGTGGGTTCTTTCTTTTTGATACGTTGAATTTTTTGTCGGTGGCTGATAGAGAAAGAATTTATAAGAATGATTTTGGTGATGAACCTTTTGTTGTTGATATATTGCTGGACTTTATACTCAAATCGTGTTTAAAATATTCTCTTAATGGGCTATTTGCTTGTCATTCTCCCAAGGAACAAGAACATGATACTTCATTCCATATTTTCAGCACAAATAAAAAGGAGGCCTTTTGCACAAGCACAGAAGAAGAACTCTCATCTTGGATAAGCTCAATCAATTATATTGCTGCCTTGGACTCGTGCTTCATTGATACTGTTCCTGAGAATAACCATGAAGTTGCACCCCTAAGAAGTATTTCAATGGAGGAAAAGATTACAAAGTTGGAAAAGAACAAAGCGGCATCAATTATCAAGATTAACTACTTTTTGAAAATTATACAACATATCCAAACATTGACTCCATTTTCTCATAGAACAAGAGACAGCTTGATTGCTCACTACAAATCAATAGGTATAAAGATAGATTGGTTATGGTATGAAATTGAGAGAAATATTGTTTATACAAACATTTTACGCCATGAACTGGTTATTACAAATGATAGATTTTCAACAAAAACAAATGACGAAGAATCTTTCTTGGAAGGGTCTTTTATTAATGATGATTTTTATCAAAATTCTAAAAAAGAAGAAGTTAATTTCAAGAGAACAGCACTGAGGCTGATTAGTACTTCAAATGAACTGGATGAGGTTGATGGTGAAGAAGGAGACTTTGTTGATGCATCTGATTGATTTTTTATATATATTTATACAACCTTTTTATAAAGGCGTTTATGATTTGAACCAAAAAAAAAGAATACATGGGGTTTTAAAAGTTTTAATTGCATCCTGACGGCTGTAGTGTTGACCAACTGTTACTGCACAGGCAGAAAAAGACTGTACCATTTGACTAAGCCTTACCTTGAATTATGAGCATCCTTTCAGGCCTTCGACTGATACCTTTCTTTGAAGGTTGTACAACTCTTCAAGACGGTATTTGTTTTTGTTTCTTCTTCTCATAAAAGATATCCATCCTACTTGAACCAACATTGAGAATCTTTGGACAACCATCTCTACTCTTCTCCAAAACAACACATTCATAACAATAATAGGCATCACTAACACCATTACCACCACAAACAACACATTTGGAACCATTTTTACCAAATGCACATTCTTCACAAATTCGAACTTTTGCGGTTGGTCTAACAAACGAATCACAAATTGGACAACGACCATCACATTTGTTACAGACTTTCCCCAAATGGGTACCTGGCTGCTTCAAGCACATCACTAAATCAAGCTGATGACGAGACATTATGACTGTTGTTTTCCTTTAGAAGAATAAGACTGATTTGAAATCATGCTCTTGATGGTTATTTTAATTTTCAACCCAAAAGTAGTGGCCAAAATCAATGTGTCACATGATCTGGTTAACACAACATTTTCTGCACAAAGTAAATTTTGACGTCAAAATTCATTTTTATCTTTTTCCTTACTTCTGTTATTTTCAAAAAGTGTTTTTGTCTTATTGTTCAGTTATTGGTGTGTTTTTACTTTTATTAATTAAATTATGTGTGATATGGAGAGTTGTACGATCTGCTTGGATCAGCTCTTCCCATCTTTCAGCCCTGATATTATAACGAGATTACAACCCTGCGGCCATTATTATCATAGTGATTGTATCACATTATGGACTGATAAATCAAATAGTTGTCCTACATGTCGCCGTGATTTCGAATTTGTGGAAACCATAAATAGCAGTGGGAAAGTCTTGACAACAAAAAGAGCTCAAAAGAAGGTGATTGAACATATTGAAGAGTTTTTTGAAGGTAATGATGAGATAATAATGGATTATAATGAGGAAGATGATTTAGAAAGAAGGATCAATAATATGATTGCAAGATCCAATATTTGTATTTTATGTGATTCAAGACATGGTAATGTTACCCCATGTAATACTTGTTCTTCAACATTCCATTTATCGTGCTTGGGGGCAACCAATTTATCAAGATGGTTTTGTCCAATGTGTGATGCTGAACAAGTTAATTTTGAGCGTCCAATAAGTGTCTTCAGAAGGTCAAGAAATAGTGCTATTACAAATAGGGTCTATAATTCATTTAGAAGCTCGTTAATAACTAATCCTGTCACAGTTGAAGTGAAGGAGAATCCTGAACCAATGACAGTGGAGGAACAACAGTCGTGGGAAATTTTTGAACGGGCTAAAAATGACCAAGAGAATAAAGAACCAACTACAACTGCTTCATCAAGTGATAATATTAGCACGAGTAGCAGCCCTACTGTAAGGAAATTCAAACAGCCCTCAAGAAGAGGAATAAGGAGAGGTGCAAAATCAGCTTTAAAATCATCCAGTGCCATCCCAACATCAGTTCCTTCTTCTTATTCATCAAAGCCGTTGGTTAAGACTATTGTGGATCAAATGAGAGAAACTAGAACTACTGAAAGATTACAATTTCCAAATATCCCAGTCCCTAAATCAGAAACACCTCTACCATTATCACCATCACACTCATTTTCATCATCACCTGGATCTTCTCCACAACCAACTATTTCTTCGTTATCAACAACTCCAGAGAACGAAACAATACCCATAGCATCAAATAAATCCAACTGGAAAATGGTAATACCCAACAATACTTCAAAGTCAGCACAAAAATCAACATCACAAGAGATTAGACCAAGAAAAAGTTGAACTGGGGACAGAGGTGTTCCAGAAGGTTAGGCGGGAGACGGAGGTGTTCTTAGTGCGTGCGTGGACCGATGTGAGCCTAGCGCTAGACAGAGTTCTTTTATACTAGCATAGTTCAAACAGAATGCCCTAATAAATTTTATGAGATTTAATGACTACGATGTAAATTAAAGTAGCTTAGACTTGTATTGATTGTAGCTATCATCAAAAGATGTCCCCCAGGCATGAAACACATTCTATTACGGTCATTTAAAAAATAGATGAGTGATTAATTGGGTGGTGGCTGTTTGGTCTGGGACCAGGGCAGAGGCTAAGATGGACCCAGTGGACAAGGGGTTGCTCCCTTCTGGGCCCAAATCAGACACTACAAAACGTAGCATCCGTTGAGAAACTGCTCTGAGATCCGTTGATTTTAGTGGGAATTGCAGAAGGAAACTTTTCACTTTGCAAAGTTTTTTTTTATAGAGCTAGACAGGGCCACGTAACCGTTTCCGTTTGCAGAGGGCATCGAAAGAGCTTTGAAGAGAGCCATCAATAAAACTATAACAACTTGAACTTATTTGCGTTTATTGCTTCTACAGAGCCATGTTGAAAAGGGGAATAGAGTCTGACAGAAATCAGGACTGCACAGTGTATGTCGGTAACCTGGACGAACAAGTCAATGAAGGATTGCTTTACGAATTGTTTCTACAGATTGCACCAATCAAAAACATACATCTACCAAAAGATCGTATTCTAAGGACACATCAAGGTTATGGATTCGTGGAGTTCAAAAATGTCAAAGATGTTGAATATGCTGAAAAGGTTATGAGTGGTACAAAGCTGTTTGGGAAGAATATCAAAGTGAATAAAGTTGGTAATAATGCTGCAAATAATGATAATCTTGATATTGGTTCAACATTATTTATTAAAAATTTGGATGAATTAGTTGATGAAAATCTATTGTTCACAATTTTCAAACAGTTTGGTAATTTTTTCAAAAATCCAACAATTGTTAGAGATGATCAAGGTAATTCAAAGAAACATGGATTCATCTATTATAAAAATTTCAAGGATTCTGATAATGCCCTATCCAAGATGAATAATCAATTCATATTAAACAAAAGAGTGCAAATAGACTATGCGCACAAAAAGAAGAATGGTAAGTTGGTTAAACACGGTGATGAGACAGAAAGATTACTATTGACTGAAGCTGAAAAGAACAACTACAACATATGATCTCTTGAGGTAGTCTAAATATTTGTATAAAATCTATCATCAATGTCCATTAATGGTAACATATACTATTTTGGTTGAAGAGTCCACAATCAGTTTCAAAGGGCTGCACAAGTGATGTTGAAAGCACTACAATTAATGAAAGAGTTAATCATATATTGTATGAATTCCATTTTTATTTGAACAATTGGCTAATTATCATGTTGCACAGCAACTAATGGAGTTAAATACATGAATCTATCTTCTACGACCAGGTCTTGTAGGTCTATTGAATTTTGGCTTAGATGTTGTTGAATCATCAGCGGTTTCAGTTTCTTCATTATCAAATTCTGATAATTCAAGCTCAATAGCATCACCCACTTCCAAAGCTTTTGTAATTGGAAATGATTCTTTGAAATGATTGATGACACCTTGTTTATTTGAAGCATAGATCATACGCTCTTTAACTTTTGAGCCTGAAGGACATGTATATATGAAGTAAATTTTATTGTTCAATTTCACTATACTGAATTGTGGAGATTCTGAAGAAATTTTAGTTAATAAATCTTTTGCATCTGAAATTTTTGTTGTATTTGATAAAAAAATTTCTTCCTTAGGGATATCAATGACCAAAGCATATAATTCATTATTTTCAGGATTTAATTGGGTGTTAGAATTGAACTTGAATGAAAAATCGTTTTTATGATCAACTAGCTGTTTCTTTGTCGAAGTATTAACAATAGTCTGGAATTCTAAATCTTTGATGTCTTGTAACTCTTTTTCTTTTGTAGATAATGAATTTGATGTTGTGTCATCTTTCACGGAATGTTTCCAATTATCATATTCAACTTCATCAACAGAGTTCCAAAACAACAAATTGGTGAAAAATTCAGAACCAAGTGATCTAATCAATGTGTTTTTGGAAGACGCATACAACATTTTATCTTTAACAGCAGCATAATCGGGCACAAAAGATATAAATGTGTATAGCTTTTCATTATAATCATGTTTAACAATGATGTATTTTGGATCTGAATCAGTGACTAAGGATTTTAGCTCTTCAAAATCATCCTTTAAAGAAGATGAACCTTCAATAATATCTGAAATGTTGACTTTTTCATCACGGATAGTGGCTAGAAGAATTGAATGATTTTCATCCACGTATTCTTTGAAAGAATTGATTAGTTCTTCACTAGCAGAAATTCCTGATTGAGCAGACATTGTGCTTTTTACGACTGCGCAGCTACCTTAAAAAAGTTGTACAACCTTTCTCAAGAACCCCTTTACACATCAACTTGCCAGATGTTGGAATCTAAAAAAAAAATGGCAGATTTACGGGCAAAAATTCTCGAAAAAAATAAATGCGCAAGCCCGGAGTCGAACCGGGGGCTCAAAGATGGCAACTTTGAATTTTACCGCTAAACCACTTGCGCTTTTCGATGTTGTGGTTTTGGCGTCAAAAAAACTGACGGACTGTATGTGATCACGTGACCTAAACTGATTATATGAATAATCCAATGAAAAATAATGCAAAATCTTTGAAAATTCAATAAAGCTGTTCTAAGAAGTCCACAAAATAACCTCAATATAATTGTAATTGTATTTTCGCTCTTGTTCTTTCAGTTGACACGCTTTTGTCGCCTTCCGTTTTGGGCTGTTTTCAAATTTCCAGACGCGCTTCATTTTTTTTAAGCGAAAGGGCCATCAAAACAAAGAAGTTTCAAGATCACGAAGACCAGAGGGCAAAAAAAAACACATCATAGACTAAAAAAATTATTAAAGAGATCTAGTGGATATAGGAGGTTGAGCTGCTAAGATTGCTGGTTATACATTTGTATTATAGAGAAGAGAATCAGAGATCCCATCAGATCTACACATTCCAAAACATCAACATTCCCTTCGTTTCAATACCATAAAATTTCAGTTTACTGTGGGTTTTGTTTACATTCTGAAAGAGCGCTGTGGAAACTCATCTTAATGGACTATCGTTATTAAATAAAAGCTCAATTCCAAGCTGAAACAATAAAAGAACTAATATTCAAGGGATCAGAAGAATTGCAAGACCAGATATCGAAAGGAACAAAATATGACTGATATCTTGGACTACAAAATAGATTCCTTGGACATCAAAGTATTTGATACTACAGAAGATGATCTATCACAACAACAACAACAACAACAACATGAGTTAAGTAGGTCCACGGGTCATTATGTGGATATAATTACACTGATAAATATGTTGACTTCACCCTCAGAGATTGATTACCAAATAATATCAGATTTCTTCTTAACTTATAGATCATTTATTTCACAATATTCATTACTAAAGATACTGTTCATGAAACTCCAGTGGAGTCTGACACAGATAGACGATAATGCTCATGAACATAAACAAAACATTGGAAAGCTGTCATTGATAAGAACATTCGTTGTTATAAGGCATTGGCTATTGAATTATTTTGCTGATGATTTCATACCGTTTATTGATTCACGTCAATTATTCATTTCTGTGATAAATTCCATAAAGCATGATGATTTGTTTGTGCAAAGAATAGTAACAACGTTGAAAAAACATTGGACCTATTGTTGCAATAAATCGTGGGATGAAGATGTAAACCCTCAAGATTATTCCACATTTGAATTGAAAGTTGGGCCTCAACAAACTTCAAGAAAGTCTAAAAGATTATCAACATTTGCACTAAATCAACAAAGAGATCCAGTCACAAGAAATAGTATAATACTATCAACTTTTGAGAAAAATGCTTTTCATAAATTACCAATTCCAATACCCAACAAGCCTGAGAAACCAGAACCTAGAGGATTCTTGAACCCAAAGAATTCAAACCTTAGAATGAGTAAAGCTATTATAACATCAGGGAAAGCAAATGATTTATACATTCCATTATCATTACCTCCATCAACTTCAACAATAAGAGGTGGTGCCGAGTTCCCTAAAGACTCAAAACCAACAAAATTCATCCCTCCAACACCTGTGAAGAAGATGGACGTTCAAGTTCAGTTACCAACAACTTCCAAACCACAACCCAAGGGACTAAGGCCACTAATAGAGAACTGGCTAAAGACATTCCATCTACATAATACAAAAGCCAAACCAAAAGATAATGAACATGTTGAGAAATTTATGAGAAGTGTTGTCTCTGAGGCTAAACCTGATGACGAAACGTTATTGAAGTTAACTGTTGATAAGTTTGATATTTTGAGTGCTAGAACAATTGATGAGTTGGAATATCTGGTGAAATTTCATTATGAACTACTAAACAAACATGGGTCCAAAATGGGGTCTGCCAATAATTCATTCAGTTTTACAATTGATGATCCTTCAAAAGACAATTTAGGAACTTCAAACATTGATAATATGAACATTTGTGAATGCATTTCAAATATAAATAAGAGTGTGCTATCATTCCAGCATAAATTGACAGATAATGATGATAACAAATCTTATATTTCCTATGATTCTGCAATGTCGAAGGAAAAATCAACCAAGAGTTTTAATGCTGATACTCTAATGAAGAAGAAAAACAAGGTGGAGAATTTAAGAGAGTTTAATTTTGAAAATGATGGTACTGATGAAACTCTGAATAGACCTGTTTCTGTTATTTCTCAGAGCACTATACCAATGGATCCTTCAGACGCTGATATAAGTCCTAAACAAAGTGTTTGTGTTGCACCAAATGAAAATGAAAAGAACAAGGAGATGGTTACACCTGTTGGGACGACAGAGGAAACTTCTGAAGTTGAAAAAGCTGAAAGTGCAGAAGTTGAAATTGCTGATGACTTTATTGAAACAGCTGAAGTTGCTGATGATGAGGATAAAGGGAACAAACCCCCGGTTGAACAGTCAGAATACCCAGAGCAACAAAGTCCAGAAGTTGAAGCTGATAAACCATCATCAATCAAAGCAGAAGATGTATCATTTGAAAGACCAGTTTCATCAACCACTTTAAATTCAGATTCTGATTACGATGAAATTGAATCATTTGTATCAACATATGAAGAGATTGAAGACGTCAAAGATGTGGAGATAACTGAACCAAATGCAAGTGAACAAAACGAACCAACCACACCACCTTCAAATGATTGTATGATGTCTTCAACTCCACATGTCTCACCTATCAAATCAATCAATGAAAATAATTGTGAAACTTCCACCCCAACAAAGCATAAGTCTGTGATATTTGCATCTTCGGATAAATTAGATTTGAATAGGGTCCCAACATTTATCAAAGTTGAAGATGAGGAAGAATCAAATGAAAAACATCATTCATATTTATCCAAGCGTTCAAATAAGTCATATGTTTCTTATGATTCCACAAAATCTAAACAACATGTTTCTGACATGTCAACAAATTCAATTTTCAGTGATGCTAAAAGAAATCAATTAGTTATGGTTCATGAAGAACATAGTGTCAATGAAGGTGATAAATTAGTGCTGAGGGCTGATTTGGATAGAGCAAAGCAAAAACTAATACAACAAGATCAAGATTATGAGTCAAGTATTAAATTGGTTGAATCTAGTGACTTTGCAATTCCCTATCCAGGTGTCGATGGTGATGCAATTGCTGAATTAGCTGCTATCTCTGATGATTCTTTTCAAAGTGATCCTATTAATGCTGCATTGTTGAAATTAGAAGGTACTTATACTATCAATAAAGGCTCAAACAGATCAATTGATTCCAAGGAATTACAAAGACAAGTTGATGATCTGGATATTAAGAGCGCCAGAAATTCGGTTTTCGTTGATCAAAGAAGAAAAACCAAATTATTTTCATTAACACCCGTTAAACAGAAACCAATTTCTATTCAATCAAGTTCCAAAATATTGTTAGAGTTGTTGATAAATCATAAGATAACAAATGAAGTTTTATCAATTGGTAATAATGCTAATCATATTTCATTCATTTTGAATTTTGATTCCAAAACATTAGCACAACAGTTTACATTGGTTGAAAAAGATTGTTTATTAGAGATTGATTGGAAAGAATTGATAGAATTGAAATGGAACTTCAATAATATTGTCTCCATTAATAGTTGGTTGGAATTGTTGATTCAAAATGAAACAATCAAAGGGATTGATCTATGTATCTCAAGATTTAACCTCACAGTTAATTGGATCATTTCAGAAATTTTGTTAACCAAGGATATCACATTAAGAAAATTAACCATACAAAGATTCATTCATATTGCACAAAATTGTATGATGTTACAAAATTATTCAACATTGATGGAGATATTGTTAGCTTTAGGATCTGATAAAATTTTGAAATTGAAAAATACTTGGAGAATAATTGAACCTGGTGATATTTTGATTTATAAGAATCTTGAAAAAATCTCATCACCTTTCAAGAATTTTGCAAATTTGAGAAATGAATTGAATAATTTGAAACCATCAAAAGGTTGTGTTCCATTCCTAGGTTTACATTTATCAGATTTGATTTTCAATAAGGAAAAAAATTCAACAAAAAATGATTTGATCAATTTCAACAAGTTTAGAACAGATTCCAAGATTGTTAAATCATTAATTCAGTGTATCCAATGGAGTACTTTATATAGACTGGATTCAGCGGATGAAGTTTTGAGTAAATGTCTTTACATTAAGGCACTAGATGAAGAGGAGATGAATGAATGTTTGAAAGATATTGAAGGGACAGTTTGAAAATTTTAATAACAATACAACATATAATTTAATGAAACATATAATCAGTTTATGACAAATACCGTCTGTAACCTAAATTCGACACGACTCACGAGACACAAGACATCGCGCGCTTGAATAAATTTAGTTAACCTTTGAGAAGTTAATGTAAAGATTTGGCTGGTTAAATGATTTATACTCTAGAAAAATTCTTTATTTTGCTTCACTAGCATTCTAAACGCTCGTAGTCACGTATCGAACACTCATGAGCCTCGATAAACCGTGTATACCCATTAATGAAGTGAACTGAAGTATTCTAACCGAGTTGAATTAACCTGTATAGAACAACCCAATTCATCGCTTCAGTTGATCAGCAGACTTCAAGTTGTTCATATTGAATTACGATCAAAGCTTTAAAGGCTAGGATGTGCTCTCGTATAAAAAAGTCACAACTCACAACTCACAACTCACAATCCCTATACACTAGAGTATTTTAGCACAAAATCAACAATTTTAGTCCCAAGCTCTCTGATCTCTGATCTTTTGTTGATGTTTGCTCAAATCTGGAGTTGTTCAGCTTGCGATCCAGACCAAAAGATGCCAAATCAAGAGATCCAAGCTACCTGATTCAGAATTTCATAGCTGAATTTTAAACTTCAAAGTTAGGTTTCACTAGAGTTGAAACTTTTTTGGTTGCAGCAAACACGAAATTTTAAAAGAGCTTTGCAAAGAAAATTATTGAAATGGACTTGAACACTTGAACAAGATCCGTGGACTGAAGTGAGTTGAAGCTGGCCATATAGACGTCATTAACCGATTGACTGTAGCTTCCAAAAGAAGAGCATCGGATTCCCCAAAACAGTTCAGGGTAGTGACGATTGAAAGAGACGTTGATATCAAAAGCAGAGCGTAACTACTCGAAGCACACAACAAGTCCAAGGGAAATACAAACAACTAGCTTCTGTATTTTAAACTCTGGGTCATCATTTATCATCGTGGCGTCTTCCTCTGATTCCTGAAGTGTTCAATGGCGCACAAATAGATTGCTCACATGCGCACTGCGTCATAGACAGCCTATAGGAAGTAGAATTTTCACTCTATTTCTCACAAGCCTGTTTAAGGTTACGCAGGGCCCTACACAACAGTTGTTGATGACAAAGCGACACCTCCAAGCCAACAACTCTTTGTTACAAAATCCCGTGCACGTTTCAGTAGGAAGTCGATCAATCACCAAAACTCGTAGTGGAGATGGATATCAAAGTCACCAAGTTGAGGTGGGAATTTGGAATTCATCATACAAAGAGTGCTGCCGTCTGTAAATGAAATACATAGATTTTCTTCTGGAGATACATGGAGATACCACTCAGATACCGCGAGATCTTACACTGCCAACCACCAGCACCTGATCAGAAATCAATCGTAAAGGTACAACTCTATAGCCAAATGCCTTTGCTCATAATATCTTCTCTTGTTAAGCCATTTCTACCCCTTTGTTCTGAAGCTTTCCTATCATTTTGGGTTGGGGCCTTCTCTTCGGACGCAGATCTCTTCAAACTTTAGATTGCAAAGGCAGCATATCTGTGCATGACACCTTCCTCATTGGGAAACGTCACAATTGTCATGGATGTAAAATCATCAAGAAGCCATACACAACAAGCTGAAAAAGCCAAAAGGACAAGAGAATCAACAAAGTTTGGAATGGAAATTCTAAGAATAGACTGCTCCTTTTTGGTCAGCTCCATCTCATATTCTCTCGAATATATAAACCCATCAAAATACCTCCATTGTGTCTCATGCTCTGAATCCTTTTCCTCTATAACATCCTGAATAACTCCATTAAAGACATTGAAATGGTTTCCGCTCGCTTATTAGTCACCACTTTGTTGTCAGCTGCTTTGACCAGCGCTCAATACTTCAACTCATCCTCCTCAATCTCATCCTTTTCATCTTCATCCTTGAGTTCTGAAGTCTCATCATCATCTTCTGCTGGTAACTCATCATCAATTGTTCCATCCTCATCATCATCTGAATTACCACCATCCTCATCATCTTCCACCCCAGAAGAAACTCCATTCATCACTGGTTCATTCGTTGATGGTGTCTTACAATGGGAAATCTTCGTTCCAGGTTCTTTAGGTCCATGGACTCAAGTTTCCATCGCTGTTTCTGGTCAAGATTACACTGTTGAATCTGTTGACGTTTTGGTTGATGGTGAAGCTACTCAAGCTGACGTTGCTACTGATGGTCCAAGTATTTCTGCTTCATCTGGTGAACAAGCTCCAATCGGTTCTTACTTGTCATTCTTATACAGAGCTTCAAGAAACTCCAATGCTAGACAATTCACCACTGATGCTATCTTAACCATTACTACTCCAGATGCTGTGAAATTAGTCAGAAGAGCTGTTATCACTTATGAATTCTCATCAACAATCACTGTTCCTGATGATGCTTCAAGTCTTTCATCATCATCTGTCACCTCTGGTACTACTGTTCCAACTTCATCTGGCTCAACTTCTGAAGAAGTCACCACCACCATCTGGGGTACTTCAGTTGTCACCACCACTAAAGAAGGTACTGTCACTTCATACACCACTTACTGTCCAATTGCTACTGAAACTTGTGTCTTATCCACCGTTACTGTTAGTGTTGAATCTTGTCCAGGTGTTACTAAATGTCATGTTGGTACTACTACTGCTCCAGGTGGTGGTGAACACACCTTCACCTACACTGAAAGTGTTGTCACTATCACTAAAGGTCCAGGTCATGGTCCAGGTGGTGAAGAAACCACTAAAGTTCCAGGTGCTCCAGTTACTACCATCACTTTAGGTGGTGAAAGTGGTAAACCAACTACTGGTGGTGCTGTTAAAACTTCAACCAACGAAGAAGGTTCAACTGTTGTCGTTGTTTACGAAACCTCTAAAGTTCACGGTGGTGAAGGTTCAACCGGTGCTCCAACTGGTGCTCCAACTGGTGGTTCAACTACCCCAGCTATCTCAACTTTTGAAGCTGCTGGTCACAAATTAGCTTCAGGCTTAGGTTTATTATTACCAGCTTTTGTCTTCTTATTCTAAGTACTTTGATATAATGAGTACTTATGGGTTAGTCGTTTATTTTTGACTCGTGTCTTTTTATTTCTATTAGGATCACATTGAATACATTTCATTCTTGAATCATGTTGGGGTCCAATTGGGGGTTCTTTGTGGGCCTTCTTTATTTTTTGTTCTTTATTAAAAACATTTTCAATTGCATGTTGACTATGTGTGTTATTATTTATTTATTCCCTTGGGGGCTTATTCTTCTTTCACAAAACGTGTGCTGGTGTTTTAGATACACCAATATCAATATTCTTTAATTCTTTTTTGGTAATGACTTAGATTAGTTATTACTCAATACCTCTCTATTTTGGATTTTTAGGACTAGTATAATACTTTAATGAATTCTACGATTACCCTTAATGACATTAGTAGTACTGCAAAAGTGCTATTGCAGTTTTTGATTGTAACTTGTACAGTACAGCTTGGAAGTATTAGATATTTAGACGTACTAGAGTTCTGCATCACGGATAAATAACCTTTAGATCGAATACATTTGTACCTGAAGGACCTCATTTTGAATCAAGCAGCTACAACAGCTCCTGATTCTTGAACACCATCATTCTGGTGACCGAGCTCAAAGTTATATGATTATGATTGAGCTCGTTAGACTCATGATAGGCGACTTTTGGGCAGCTTGTTAAAAACTGTGAAATGCTTTACGAATTTTGTTAGAATTATAATGTATACAAAATAGTTGAGTTACCGAAATAGGAAATTACCAAATTAGGAGATTACCAAATTAGGACACTTTCACTTTTACCATCAGGCTAACAAAGTCAATTCATTGGTTCAATCGTCGAGAGTGCAAAGTTTTCACAATATTCTTACCGAGTATTTAAAGGTCCTTAATTCACGATAATTTTGGATTCTGCTATTTTAATAAAACATCCCATTTTTCATCTTTTCCAACAAGACCTGTACTTTTATCTACTTCATCTTACATTTATTAGTGGTGTCATTATCAATTTCGCTGACTAAAGAATTATATTATTGATAAATTTCGATTTTCCACACAAAGCAAACGCAGATTTCGTACTTTTTTGGAAGATCTTCGCTTTTTTCGCTACATGATCCCGAAGGGGAATCGCGTAAAACGTTGCAACTGCCATTTTGGGAGCGAGATATCTTTATAAAGTTGAAATTTGAAACTTCTGTTGATCTGAGAATTCAATTTGAATTGAACTGTAGTTGAGCAAACCTTCTGGAGCCTCATTTCATAGGAAAGTTTATTGAAAGCTTGATCTTCTACGAGAATACCACTTCTGTTCAGCCACACAGTACTGTTGAACTGCATTTGAATTCTTTCAACGCATAGAAAAATCAACAACCAGTTTCCATTTATAAGATCCAACACCATGTGCAACTCTAATTGGATACCAATTAGAAGCAGATATTTTTATTAACAAAGTTGTACAGATCTCAGTAGTGGTGCTGTACGACTGGCTTTTGCACCAACCACAGCGAACTAGGACCGGCAAGCTGGTATATGGTTTTCTACACGGATATTCAACACTTGACCTAATTTTAAACATTTTGTTCGACATACACAACAAACAAAAGGAATTAATCAATTGCTCGGGGAAGTTGATTGATAAACAGTATTAAATTTAGAACCATATGTAAATTCAAGATCCCGATGACATAAGCGTTTGGATTTTTGTGTGGAGTGCTTATATAATACAACGTTTATTTTGCCGGTACACCTTACAAATCTTTGATCTTTTCAAATGTCAACAAACAATTAGCCTCGAACATCGAAGCCTTTGAGAATGCTTTTAACTGTGAAGAACAAATTTAGAACATTCCACGATGTCGATCGAATTTCATCATCCAGGTACCAATTTTGATTTCAGAAAACATATATAAAGAGCCTTCGAAATTCATATTTTTGATCAATTTGACATTCTTCAATATATCATCAATCAATTTTAATTAACAACTCTCATATTCACTATGCAATTCAAAAACTTATTGTTATCAGTCACTGCTCTTGCTTCAATCGTTGCTGCTGCTCCAATTGCTGCTGCTGAAGGATCAGACAGTGCTAACTCACCAGTTGGTTTTGTCGCTACTTCTGGTAGCGATCCAACATTCTATTTGCAATTCAAAGAAGGTACAATCTCGGGTCCTGCAAAAGTTGATGTTGAAGGTGAAGTCTATTCAACTGTCAATAATAAATTGACTATCAAGAATTTTTCAGCTAGTAAAGTTTCAGGTGATGAAATTTCAAAGACTCATAGCACTACTGCATTTTCAGGTAAATGGCACGTTGACAATAATGATGATACTTTTTCATTCTTAGTTTCAACTGCAAACAGTGGCTCCAGTACTTCAGGTTCAAAAACTGTTTTCAAAGGCTCTTATACTTTGGATTCAGATGGTGAACAACACAACTTTACCGTTCCTGTTAATGCCAACTAAGCGTCGGCACTTTATGAACACATTTTCATTTACTATTGATTTTTATACTACCAGCTGGCAGACTAGTTCACATTCACTCTCTTTAAAGTTTTATACACAGGTTCTCATTTAACCAACTACAGTAGTACAAATACCGAGAATACGACTTTACAAAATGAGATGCTCGAGCTGGCGAGGAATTGATCTTCCAATAACAAGAAGCTTATCACCCGAAGCTTGAACCAAGCTAGCGAGGCGCTCATACGTTAACGACAAATATCTGCAAAACTTTCAGCATAAGATCTGAGACGTATAACAAATTACATGAACACTAGTACTCATCTTAGACAGCTGTTTGTTTTTTTACAAAAAACGTACCTCTATAATTTCTCAACTTACATGTAGCAAAATGATTTTGCCAATAGGGTTTAAAATGCCTATAAATGAAATTGATCCCAAAAATATAGTTGTTCGTTCACCAGCAGCTTACTGTATCAACATAAAGTTGGCTTTGCGAATCTGGAAATAAAGTTTTGTGTCAAACCCAACATAGCTGCAGATGATTTGGCAGTACTTAATTATGAGCTTCGATTCACCAAGAAGAAAGAAATGCATTAAGCTCATATTATTCACAATTACACAGATCCATGGATGCTTCAAAGTTCATGATCTTAATGCTATAAAATCACCAACAGAAGCAAGTTGTATATCTTCCCCTGCAGAGTACATATCGTCATGTGAGAGGTGAACATTAGCAGCTCTGATTTCCAGCTTCCAACTGGTGCTGAAGTGACACTTTCTGGCGCTTAAAAAAAGGGACCTAGTGGAGTTCAGAAGCTGCTGTGTCTGATCAGTTTATTGGTTCAAGATCAACCGCTAAAACTCAGCCCAGATCGAATACTTGAAGGTTACCTAATCGCTTTATCTCTTCCACAAGCACCTCATTTGATCATAGATCGCTGGATAAAACGTGTATATTTAGTTCTCCAACGCTTATCATAAAGAGAATGTTCTAAACTTGGGGTCCAAGCTTCTAGAAGCACATCCATGGAACACTTGGATAAGATCTGCATTTGTTGTTGCTTAGAGTCTGTAAAAATGAAACGTCTGTTCAGTTGCACCCATACCCTCAATTCTTAGCGGATCAGCATATTTACCAACACATCGACTTGAAAAAGGCCATACCCTTGTGTTTATACTTTGAGTTTATATTAAAGAATCTTAAGGGGTTGAATATAGCTGAAAATAACACACAACACCAAAAGATCATTATGACGCAAAATTGCAGAACCATCATAAATGATTTATATAGTACAATGTTTGACTGTGGAGTAATATAGATAAAGTAACTGTATTTTTGTTAATCGGCTAGTCATATAATGGGACCAAAACATACCAAAAACAAGTCTATATTTAGTTAAAGATCATATTGACATGAGAAATTAACTATTTGCACGCACCGTATATAAACTCTACAAATTTTCCTTATTAGCCAGCTTTGAACTGAGTAAGCTCATCAATTGTTTTCTACCATTATCAATCAATAACTATTTCGATGCTTAAATCATTTGTTTTTTTTGCAGCAGTTTTAGCACCATCCATCTTTGCTTTGCCTGAGCCACAGACCTCAGTTGTCAGAGACGGTCAATATGCCAATTATACCTTGAGTTATGGCACTGATAAAATTATTAGCTCAAAAGCAATCTTTGATAGTCGTGGAAAATGGAAAGAAGATTCAAATGTTGAGCTCTATGATATCAAGTATACTGATTCATTCTCTGACACTGATATCAGTTTTGATGGTTCCAGTTTCACCGCTAATTGGAAAATTGAAGACACTAATCAACTAGTCTCAATCTATTTCCTTGCAAAGACAACTGATGGTTCTGATTTTGCTCAAGATGTTGAGCTTTCAATCACTGGAAAATATAAAGAGTGCGATGAGTGTGATGCTTATATCGCGTTACCTCGTTCTATCAAGTCATGAATCTCAAGGTTCTTCTGAGGTGTGGTACGTCATTATTCTCCTGAATAGTTAGTATTTGATTTTTTTATATCTTTTATATATCATAATGAACAAATGATCATTTACTTTCATTGGTAGAAATAAATATAAAGCTTCTACTGATGGGTTAATTGGTTTGTGTTGAAACTTGAAATTCAATATGCCTTTTTTTTTTTACAAAAATATACCTGTATTTTCTAATTACTTACTAAGCAATATGCCAATTAGTCAAGGTTTGTAGTAGTCGCGAATTTAGCCTGGTGCTCAATTCAACTTCAGAGAAGTTACTTTATGGATCTTCTTATTTCTTCCCTTTTTAATCATTAGTCCTTTTTGCCCATAATCAATAATCAATGAGCTCAGAGACACACTTAGCTACTAAATTAGAATGAACAAAGACGGCTTAAGGTTGTGCATAAGTGGTATCACTACGCTCTTTCAGTTATGCCGGATCGTCTGGTAAAAGTGAAAAGTTTCATGTCGTAAGGACTCGTAACTCTCCAAGAAAATTAACATGTTGTGAACGTGGCTGATGAATCATGATAGACAGTTAAAAACTGCCTATTAACTAATCGCTTCCTTCACTGGAAGATATGCAGTCCCAACTCTCACTTTTTGAGGCAATTCATTTGTATTCAGTACTGCTACTAAATTTAGTATTTTGGATGGTAAACACAGATCAATCAAGAATGCATGAGAACCAGTCTCTACACAATCTGACCGAAACAGCTGGAAATTCAATAGAAAAGATCACATATATTGAATGGCACAAAAAACTATATAAACAGCTCAATATTTCGTCTTGATCCATGATGTTATTTGCATGATGTTATTAAAAAACATTAAAAAACTATCCACCAATTTCACACAATGTTTTGCAAACAAGTTCAATTCGCCATTTTTACTGCTTTATTTTATGTTATGGCTGTTGCTGTTCACCCAGAATCTTCAGTCAAGTTACACGGATCATTCGCTGAATATTCATTATCATTTCCAGGAGATTTTCTTAACTCAACCACTGATACATTTTTATTCCGTGGTTACTTCCAAGGTGATCGTACTGGTTTTGAATTTTCAACTGTCAAAGCTTCTGGTGGACCAAAACAAAAATCTCTTGAAATCCCTAAAGATTCTGATTTTGCTACTTTTGCTGGTGCATACGAATTTGAAGAACCTCAAACTGATCCATTCAATGTCACTGTGTTTGTCCGCGATATCTTTGGTTCTGCCTTCCCAACTGGTGCTAAATTGAGACTATATGGTGCTTTCCAAGAAGGTACCAATCCAATTCAAGATTCATTTGCGCTGACTGTTACCTCCTAGTTGATTGACTTGAAACTATCTAGCTTTCCAACAGATTATCTTTTGAATAAACGATACTGTTTTTAATTTCATCTTTCAGTACTGTAGTAGCCAGGTTTCTTCCAAGGGAATCTCAACTGGTAAATCACAATAAATTCTCGAGCCTCGAAAGCTAAATTTGATGCCACTGAAGTAGAGAATATCATTTCGTTATTGTTCGAGAAACATTCGTTGTTGTGGCTGACCAATTATAGTTATTATTACTTAATCGCCAGAATCTTTTCTAAAATAGACGATCTGCATCAAATCTATTTTAGTTCTTCTTTGATCTGATCAGAAAAAGGTTCTAAAGATGGGGTCCAATCTTCTAGAAGCACAGCCATTTTGAAGATACACAACAACAAAAAATAGATCAACGTTTTTATAAATAAAACACCATGACGTTTTGAGGTGTACATTAAAGAATGAATTGTTAATATAAGAAGGCATACATCATAGCGCTAATGATCTTACAAAGTTGGCGGATATGTAATTGTAAAATGTGTCTAATTTTAGTTCTTGTTATTTGCACTCATGAATATGTAGTTGTCGATTGCTAGGTGATACTGGTGGTTAAACAGCTATAGGTTACCTACGCTATAATCTTTAATGTGCTGCTCATTAATCTAGCTTGATAACCCAGCTACAGCTGTGATATTTTTGTGTCAAAATTCAGGTACCAAGCTCTCACGATTGAGTACCCAGAAGTTGGCAAGACTCAATCAGAATATGCCAACAGCAACACTTCTAAAGGTAAGAGTTTAAGCCTTTTCCCCTAACTCAATCCCATAAACAAATCATTATATAAGCCTCGTACTGATTCAAGCAGATCAACGTCGTCGTTGGGCTACGAGAGATCGATCGAAAATCTCAAATTCCACGAGATCGATATTTCCACCAAAGATGATCAGCGATTGCAAAACAATTGTAACAATGTTAACTAATTATAGAAATTATCCCATTTTGATCCATTCATATGAGCTAGCAATGGATCATGGGCCATGTGTGATTAGATCGAAAAGTATATAAACACTGGAATACTCCTTCAGATCAGTTCGATAATTCAAGCAACAGTATCATCAACAACTGAAGCAACTACAAACTACACAATGTTCAAACAATATATCTTCATCCTCTTTGCGGCATTCGCACATTTGATTTTAGCAGCTTCACCAAACACCTCGGGCACCATCAATGGTGACACTGCAAACTACACAATAAGTTATGATCCAGGTGCCATTGAAGACTCTGCAACATTTTCATTCCGTGGTAGATTATACACCAATTCAGATGTTGAGTTTTCAGATGTCAAATTCACTAGTTCCTTGACTAAAGACTTTGTTGATATCGGTGGAACTGGTGTTACTGGTACTTGGAAAGTTTCACAACCTGAAGATTTAGTTGGTATCTATATTTTCGCAAAGACTAGTGATGGTTCAGATTTCCCTGAAGGTGTTGATTTTTCAGTCATTGGTGGTTACGTTTTGGATAACGGGACCCAAAGCACTTTTTCACAATCTATCACTGCTTGAACGGATAATTGATTCATAGTATTTAAGATGTTGAATACTACGTATATTTGTACTGGATTATTGTGCATCTCATGTAGCTTTTCGTATCGAAGTACCAAGGCGACCCTGGTACCTTGAACAAAATTGTCACAATTTATGCGAACTCTTTAGCGGACATACATGGGAAACGTTGAGAGAAACAACTTAAGCGAATTATCCCTGTAAAAGAACTTATATTGGCCTTGGACAGACAAGCAAGTATATAAGTTATGTATATCCCCTGGATCAATCAAGATCTTGATTTTGCCTTCATATAATCTTGAATCAGCAATCACGTATAAGCAAATTTCGCGCAATAATGAACCTCCATTTCTTCAACTTCTTTCTATTCTTCACTACATTAACAAGAATGTCATTAGCTACTCCCACAGTAGAAGCTCAGGTGTCGCTCAGTGGTGCTGAAACTGCCAAATACATTTTCAGTTACACACCAGAAGAACCAGGGACTTTGGTTGTTACTGGTGAAGTTGCTTTAGATTCAGCCGCAATCAATATTGAACAAATAGCGGCTTCACCAAATTTGAAGGAAGTCTACGTTAATTATGGAGGCTCCCAACTGAAAGGGACTTGGAAGTACCAAGATCCTTCCAAAAAACCAGCCAGAATAGTGATTTCAGGCTCTCAATCTGGGGAAGTTTCAAATACTTCAATACTTTTTGAAGGATCTTACACTTTTGCCAATGGGACTTTGGTCGAATTTTCAAAAGAGGCAAGTTCATAATTCAAACGTATATATTTATTCATATTATTAGACAATGTTCTTTTGAGTTGTAGAGTCATATTCAAAGTTTGCACTTTCAGAATGTAGAAATTCGTTATCAAATTGTTGAATCAATTTAAGGTATAGGTCCTTTAAATCATCATCATCCTCAATGATATTTATGTGGTTTGCTAATAACGGAATTTCTTTGGAATGTTTTGGATTAACTTTCTTCTGGAGTCTATCTTTACCTAAAGATTCTTTATATATTTTTTCATCCAATTCATCTTGTTTTTTCTTAATGAATTGTGCAATTGTTTCAGTCTCTTCAACATTGAGATCTAAAGATGCAAAATATTTGGTCAATTTATCTGCTGAGTCTTGGGTATTCAAATATAGGATCAGAATATAATTATATTCAAAATTGAATAATATGATTGCGTTTTGTAATTGTTGCTTTGTAGTTTTAACTTGAACCAATTCCTCTCTCAACAAAGCTGTAAATGGAAAGTTCTTCAAAAGCTCTTTAGATTTAGCATTAGGATTCAATAATAGTTTGTCTGATCTTTGTGAACTACCTTCATCATGTGTATCTTGATCAGGATACTTCTCCAATATTTGAAATTTTGCAAAATAGAGATGGTCTTCTTTGAAAGCTGGGAATAACTTGATACCGTAATCGTTCAAGTTGAACAATTGGAAGCCTAGCACTTGATAAGACATGATGAATTCTGATTGATTGAAGTTTAAGTTAAATCACATCAATAAGACGTAAACAGGTTTTTGGCCATTCTCTAAAAAAAGACTTAGATTGGCAGAAAACGTGTCACTATCCCGCCAAAAAAACGGCCAGGGCACAAACCATTTATTTTAGAAGGATACTACGTAACGCCAAATATATGTAACAAATGTGTATTGAAACCACTGAACAATCGATTATCATGGCCTTAAGATGATATATGAATAAATCTCCTGGTAATATATATGAATAGAATATACTTTTATGAGAATAATTACAACTCCAGTGCCCTTAGCTCAATATAGTGTGGCTCTTACCAGAAGAGATGTGCGCAAACCAGCAGCATTTTTTTTTTTTTTTTCTTTTCTAAAAAAATTTTTCTAAAGAAAGAAATTTTGTATGGAAACAATTGATTTAATCAAGTTCATAAACTACTTGATTCAAGCGTTAAATTGAGTAAGGAATAGTTAAAGATGTCTGATGAAGTGAGTAATAAGCAAGATACCTACTTGAAGAGTTTTATCTAACCCCATATCAGATTATTTGGCAAGTGATCAATCAACAATTTTGTTCATTCAAGTTGAAAACTACAAAAGATCAAAATTTCTGTAGAAATGAATATAATGTCAGTGGGTTATGTTCAAGACAATCATGCCCATTAGCTAATGCCAGATATGCTACTGTTAAAAACATTGATGGGAAGTTATATCTATACATGAAGACTGCCGAAAGAGCTCATACTCCAGCTAAATTATGGGAAAGAATTAAACTATCCAAAAATTATACAAAAGCTTTAGAACAAGTTGACAATCATTTGTTATATTGGAATAAGTTCTTAATCCATAAATGTAAACAAAGATTGACCAGATTAACACAAGTTGCTATAACGGAACGTCGTTTAGCTTTAAGAGATGAAGAAAGACATTATGTTGGTGTTAAACATAAAGTTAAAAGAAGAGAGGAAAATAGAGAAAGAAAAGCTTTGGCTGCAGCAAAGATTGAAAAAGCTATTGAAAAAGAGTTATTAGACAGATTAAAGAGTGGTGCTTATGGTGATAAACCATTGAATGTCGATGAAAAGATATGGAAGAAAGTTCTTGGTCATGTTGAAGATGAAGAAGGTGTTGAACAAGAAGATGAAGAAGATTATGATAGTGAGTTGGAAGAAGAAGAAGATGATAGTGATGTTGGTGAAATCGAATATGTTGAAGATGACGGCGATGAAGAATTGGTTGATGTTGAAGATTTAGAAAGATGGTTAGACGGTAGTGATAGTGAAGCTCATGATGAATCTGAAGATTCTGATTCAGATGATTCCAGTGATGAAGAAGCTGAAAAGAAACGTAAGAAGAGACAACAAGCTAAAGAAGAGAAATCTAAGAGAAGACGTGCCAGAGTTGAAGTTGAATATGAGGAGGAACCAGCTCAAGCCAATGCTTTATCTACTCATTCATAATCATACAACACAGCACAAGTATTTTCATAAACATTGCATTAATTGGTTTATTTGTATCATAATTTCCTGTATATTAGAAATTTTTCATTTTCATTTGATTTAGAACAGACATGTAGAATTTAAGAAGAACTTGAATTAAAACTAGGTAACACCAACAGTAGATTCCAAAATGAGACTCCTCAACTTAAAATTAACCAAATTTTCTTTACTAAATTGTAGAATTCTTTAGTTTTAGGCTGAGCTTATACCATTTTTTCGTTACGGCCAGTCGCGATTTTTTTTTTTTGGAACCAAAACCAAAACAAAAAAATGAACACTTGGTTCAAACAATCAACATCAATAAGCAGATTCAATTATTCAAACCAAACTGATTTGTGAACCCATTGAACGTGTACATATAACCATTACTCCAAAGTCACTCAAAGATGTCACTTCTACCGTCAGATGACCCCTTTGGAGACGGGAACCGTCAACAGAAGAACAAGAGGAAAAACCAACAACAACAAAACAATAATACGCTATTTGACATTGATCTATTATCAAACTCTCCTCCTGCACAAAGAACTCAAGCATTCAATGACAGATTTGAAGGCGACTTATTAGGTGATTCCACGAATAACGATAGTGCATATTCACATATACAAGATGATCAATTCAATAATTTGAGGAACGGAATAGTTCCCCAAGAAACAATGAATTTGGATGACCCATTCAATGATAAATACATCGAACAGGATCTTGATGATAGTAATGACCCTTTCAGAGACCCAGGCTCTTCTTCCAATAATAGACCTACTGGTTTATTTTCCAATGTTAGACAGAAATTAGGGCTGGGAAATGAATATCAAGATGTTGGAATCCCATTAACAGACTATCCAAGCCATGATGATCCTTTTAGAGACCCAACTTCAACACAAAGAGACGATAGACCTCCTCCAGACAGAGACTTGAATGAGGATGAAAGAAACATGTTTGATATTCGTCGTCTTTATGACAAGATACGTGGCCGTAAACGTTCAATAAATGTTGATAAAGGCCCAAGAATAATTCATTTGAATGATAAAACTTCAAATGCTGCATTCGGTTATGGTGATAACCATGTCTCCACAACAAAATATAATTTTGCAACTTTCTTGCCAAAATTTTTGTTTCAAGAATTCTCCAAATATGCAAATTTATTCTTTTTATTCACTTCAGTTATTCAACAAGTCCCCAATGTTTCACCAACTAATAGATACACTACAATTGGTACATTGATGGTGGTCTTATTAGTCTCTGCATTGAAAGAAATACTGGAAGATTTGAAAAGAGCCAATTCTGATAAAGAACTAAATTCATCAAAAGTTGAAGTCCTATCTCCAGATCACGGTGAATTCATCACTAAGAAATGGATTAATGTTGCTGTAGGTGACATTGTTAGTGTGAAATCTGAGGAAGCTATTCCAGCTGATTTAATATTGTTAACATCTTCAGAACCTGAAGGTTTATGTTACATTGAGACTGCTAATTTAGATGGTGAAACCAATTTGAAAATTAAACAAGCTAGAGAGGAAACATGTCATTTAGTCTCTCCAACAGATCTGATAGCTATGAGAGGTAAAATTTTGTCAGAACAACCAAACTCAAGTCTTTATACCTATGAAGGTAATTTGAACCTATACAACAAAGAATATCCATTATCTCCAGAGCAAATGATTTTAAGAGGTGCTACTTTAAGAAATACAGCTTGGATTCATGGTATTGTTGTCTTTACTGGTCATGAAACAAAATTAATGCGTAATGCAACTGCTACTCCAATCAAGAGAACAGCTGTGGAGAGAATTATTAATTTACAAATTGTTGCATTATTTGGTATGTTGATTGTGTTGGCATTGATTTCATCAATTGGTAATGTCATTCAAATTACTGCTGATGCTAAACATTTGAAATATTTATATTTGGAAGGTCATAGTAAAGCTGGATTGTTTTTCAAAGATTTGTTGACTTATTGGATTTTATTTTCTAATTTGGTTCCTATTTCGTTATTCGTTACAGTGGAAGTTATCAAATATTATCAAGCATATATGATTGCATCTGATCTAGACATGTATCATGCTGAAACTGATACACCAACAGTTGTGAGAACTTCAAGTTTGGTTGAAGAACTGGGTCAAATTGAATATATTTTCAGTGATAAGACCGGTACTTTGACTAGAAACATTATGGAATTCAAATCTTGTTCAATTGCAGGTCATTGTTATATTGATGATATACCCGAAGATAAACATGCTAAAATAATAGATGGTGTCGAAATTGGATTCCATGACTTTAAAAAATTACAAGACAATTTAGCAACAGGTGAAGATGCTATGATCATTGATGAATTCTTACTTCTTTTAGCCGCATGTCATACTGTTATTCCTGAAGTTCAAAGTGATGGATCAATTAAATATCAAGCAGCTTCACCAGATGAAGGTGCTTTAGTCCAAGGTGGTGCTGATTTGGGTTATAAGTTTACTGTTCGTAAGCCAAAATCAGTTGGTATCGAGATTCACGGTCAATATCAAGAATATGAACTATTGCATGTTTGTGAATTCAACTCCACAAGAAAGAGAATGTCTGCCATCTTCAGATTTCCAGATGGTTCCATCAAGTTATTCTGTAAAGGTGCCGATACTGTCATCTTGGAAAGATTGGGTGAAGATAATCCTTATGTGAGCGCTACAACACGTCAATTGGAAGATTATGCTGCTGAGGGTTTGAGAACCTTATGTATTGCTTCAAGAACTGTTCCAAATGATGAATACGAATCTTGGGTTAAGACCTATGAAGCTGCAGCTACTGATTTAAATGATAGAGCTCAAAAGTTGGATGATGCTGCTGAATTAATTGAAAAAGACTTATTCTTGTTAGGTGCTACTGCTATTGAAGATAAATTACAAGACGGTGTCCCAGATACTATCCATACTTTACAAGATGCAGGGATCAAAATTTGGGTGTTGACTGGTGATCGTCAGGAAACTGCCATCAATATTGGTATGAGTTGTAAATTATTGAGTGAAGATATGAACTTGTTGATTGTGAATGAAGATAGCGTGGAAGCAACAAGGGAGAATTTGATTTCAAAGTTGAGAGCTATTAGAGAATACAAAATATCTCAAAATGAAATAGATACGCTAGCTTTGGTTATTGATGGTAAATCTTTGAGTTATGCACTTGATGAATGTGACGACCTATTATTGGAATTAGGATGCCTGTGTAAAGCTGTCATTTGTTGCAGAGTTTCACCTTTGCAAAAGGCACTTGTTGTGAAGATGGTTAAAAAGAAAAAGAAAGCTTTATTATTAGCAATTGGTGATGGTGCCAATGATGTTAGTATGATCCAAGCTGCTCATGTTGGTGTTGGTATCAGTGGTATGGAAGGTATGCAAGCTGCAAGAAGTGCCGATTTTGCTATTGGACAATTCAAATATTTGAGAAAATTGTTGTTGGTTCATGGTGCTTGGAGTTATCAAAGAATCAGTCAAGCAATTCTATATTCTTTCTATAAAAATATTGCACTTTACATGACCCAGTTTTGGTTTGTCTTTTTGAATTGTTTTTCAGGTCAATCAATTATGGAGTCATGGACTTTGACATTTTACAATGTTTTCTTCACTGTGTTGCCACCTTTCGTTATTGGTGTCTTTGATCAATTTGTTTCCGCAAGACTATTAGATCAATACCCACAATTATATCAACTAGGTCAAAAAGGTACTTTTTTCAACGTTACAATCTTTTGGGGTTGGGTTGGTAATGGATTTTTCCATTCCGCAGTTATCTTTGTTGGTAGTATTTTGTTTTATAGATTTGACAATGCCTTACATGGAGGTCAAACAGCTGATCATTGGACTTGGGGTACCGCAATTTATACAGCCTCTGTCTTGACAGTTTTAGGAAAGGCTGCATTGATAACAAACTCATGGACGAAATTCACACTAATTGCCATTCCAGGGTCGTTTGCATTTTGGTTAGTCTTTTTCCCAGTTTATTCAACAGTTGCCCCATTGGTTAATGTTTCTAAAGAATATGTTGGTGTCTTAGCACATTTGTATACAAGTGCAACATTCTGGGCTATGGTTTTTGTCTTGCCTGTTTTATGTCTGTTGAGAGATTTCGCTTGGAAGTATTACAAGAGAATGTATTACCCAGAAAGTTATCATTATGTTCAAGAAATTCAAAAATACAATACTGCCAATTATAGACCAAGAATTGAGCAGTTCCAGAAAGCTATTAGAAAAGTTAGACAAGTTTCAAGAATGAGAAAACAAAGAGGTTTTGCTTTCTCTCAAGACGAGGGTGGTCAAGAAAAATTAATCAGAATGTACGATACTACAAGAGCCAGAGGTCAATATGGTGAGATGAGAGATGCAGAACTAAGTTGAGCGTTAATATTATTTACTTTAATGAACAATTAATTAATGTGTACACTTATTAAAAGGTAACGTTTTTAACGTCAATATTTTGATGAATGAATGGTCTGGAACCACCACCACCCAAGTAGTCACCAACAACTTGTCCATGTCCCCTTATTTGATATTGATAAATGACTAAACCTTCAAGACCAACTGGTCCTCTAGCATGAATTTTGTTAGTTGAGATACCAACTTCAGTACCAAAACCATATCTGAAACCATCAGCAAATCTAGTTGATGCATTCCAGTAAACACCAGCGGAATCAATAGCTTTCAAGAATTTTTCAGCTGTTTCTTTGTTTTCTGTTATGATTGATTCAGTATGTTTTGAAGAATGTGTGTTAATGTGGGTAATGGCATCTTCCACTGAATCAGCAAATTTGACTGCAATATCTAGTGCCAAAAATTCTTTATCAAAATCACCATCAACAGCTGGAACAGTCTTAACATTTGGTAAAGAAGCTTTAACCTCTTCGGTGGTGTGCAAAGTTACGCCACCTTTAACCAAACGATTTACTATTTCTGCAACTTTATCTTTCAAATCTTTGTGTATGAGTAAAGTTTCCACAGCATTACAACCTGCTGGGTAGTTGGTTTTAGCATCAAAAACGATTTTAGAGGCCATTTCTAAATCAGCAGCTTTGTCAACAAAGATTGAACAGATACCATCGGCATGACCTAAAACTGGAATCTTGGTGTTACTCTTAATGTTGCGTACCAACTCATTTGAACCTCTTGGGATAACAAGATCAATGTATTTGTCTTGGTCCAATAAAGCAGCAACATCTTCTCTAGAGGCGATTAATTGGATAGCATCTTTTGGAACTGCAGTCTTAGCTAACGCTTCATTAACAACGTTGGCCATAGCAGTAAAAGTGTGTAACGATTCTTTACCACCTTTCAAGATAGCTGTGTTACCAGATTTGATAGCCAAAGCTGTGATATTTGCAATGACTTCTGGTCTTGATTCAAAAATGATCAACAGCACACCAACTGGGGCAGTTAATCTGTATAAGTCTAAACCATCATCCAGCTTAGTAGCTAAAGTGATTTTACCAACTGGGTCTTCTAAAGCTGCAACATCCAACACACCCTGTAACATCACATCAAATTTGTCACCTTTGCTCAAATCAAGACGTTTGATCAATGAGGATGACAAGTTTTGGGCTTGGGCAGCTTCCATATCTTTAACATTGGCTTCTAAAATTGTTGATTTGGAATCTTTCAAAGCATCATGAACAGTTTGCAGAGCAGAACTTCTTTCCTCGTTTGATAAAGTCTTCAGTATGGTGGAAGCACTACGTGCTTGCTTAGCAATAGTTTCAGCCATTGTTGAGATGATCTATAGCCGGTTTGTAGTTTATTGAAAGGCTCAGGTTTGTAAATTTAAATCATCATCGTCTACGATTTTTCAAAGACTCATAAAACTTATGTAATCACAGCGTAATCAATATAACCTTTTGAACTCTATTTACCGATAATTTCCAACAATATTACCTTGAAATGGGAATGATAGATTTCCTCTATGATACTCCCAGCCATCATTTCCCTTTTTTATGTGTTTTTGTCTCATTAAGCGTTCATTGAGGTCTATTTCACCTTTCACCATCTCTTTCAGTACATTCAGCGCACTCCCATAGAATACAAGATCTAATCAAAAAAATGAACAAATGCATTATTATATAGTCATCAAATTATGTTCCACAGATTTATCTTCCTCTTCCTTTCTACTTCTCAGTATTCTTCTTCATTTTCATGGAAAAACATCCCAAACACAATGATTGAGGTGTAAACAATAAGACCACCAGTCATACTCATCACCGTAGCTGGCAGAACAACTAGTCTCACATGGTATAGCACAATTGGTAACGCCAGTCCACTGAGTACTAATGTTCCTGTAAGAAATTTGGCAAAATCATTCGTGGCACTAGGTTGAACATGTTAGTATGCTTGAAGGTGTGAGCAAAAGTTAACAACTTACCTTGAAGAATCGCTCATGAAATCATCAAACTCTGTGCGACTGAATATGGCATTAGGTATTGGAGCAGCAAGGAAAATACCCACTTTTGAGATGCGTTAGTAATTATGATTTTAATTGCCTGTTTCCTGTGGTTATACTTACCAACATATAAGGGGTACCAGTTATTCCATAGGGCACAACTCAAGATGATCAATAGGAAACCAGCGGCAAGGAACCCAGCGAGGAATATTATCTTTGTAAGAGGAGCAACTTGCATTATGGATTATGGGTTCAGAAATATTGTGGAGGTTGTTTAATTGTAGGCTGTTTTGTTTCTACGTAGATGTCGGCTTTCAACTTTTCGCCAGAGTCTGGAAACTATTCGTTACGGGCAGTTGCAACATAAACTTGAGCTACAAAATGATTTTAATATGTCACAAAAACATTTGATATTTTGACCTATATACAAATCCTTGGAATCCTCTTTATTCAAGGCATCAAGAAAACAATGTTCTACCCACTTTATTCATGAACCCTATGTACAAATCATTAATGGACGTCACATTATCCCCTGGAAAATACTCAAACAAAAAGTCCCAACTCATTAGGGAACGTTAACAACAAAAAAGATAATGAAGAGATAAAAAAACTCATGAAATGAAAATCAGAATTATAAAGCAAAAAAATGATAATAAAAACTTAAATCAGTTTATCTATTCTTTTTTGTCTTCTGGTTTAGATTCACCTTCACCTTGGTTTTTGTATAAATCTTCAAAGACCTTCATGGATGATTGTCTTAATTCATCAGTCTTGGTCTTTAATTCTTCAGCATCAACTTCTTCACCAGCTTGAGTTCTAGCAATCAATTCTCTTAAAGTGGTGATTTGTTTTTGAACTTCATCAGCTTTAGCTTGGTCAACTTTACCTTCAAATTCTTTTAAGGATTTTTCGGTATCAGTAACGGCTTGATCAGCTCTGTTGGCATTTTCAACAGCTTCTCTCTTAGCTTTATCTTGTTCAGCGAATTTTTCAGCATCGTTAACCATCTTTTCGATTTCAGAGTCAGATAAACCTGATGAACCAGCAACAGTGATAGAAGCATCCTTGTTGGAAGCTTTATCTCTGGCTGAAACGTTGATGATACCATCGGCATCAATATCGAAGGAGACTTCGATTTGTGGAACACCCTTTGGTGCTGGTGGAATACCAGATAAGGTAAAGTTACCAATCAATTTGTTGTCACGGACCAATTCACGTTCACCTTGGAAGACTCTGATTTCAACAGAAGTTTGACCTTCAGCAGCAGTGGAGAAGATTTGTGATTTCTTGGTTGGGATAGTTGTGTTTCTTGGAATCAATCTAGTGAAAACACCACCTAAGGTTTCAATACCTAATGATAATGGAGTAACATCTAATAATAAGACATCGGTAACTTCACCGGCCAAGACAGCACCTTGGATAGCAGCACCAATAGCAACAGCTTCATCTGGGTTAACAGCTTTAGATGGTTCTTTGTTGAACAATGATTTAACAGTTTCAACAACCTTTGGCATACGTGTCATACCACCAACTAAGATAACTTCACCAACATCTGAAGTGGTCAAGTTAGCATCTTTCAAAGCTTTTTTAACTGGGTCAACAGTTCTCTTGATTAAGCTATCAACTAAACCTTCAAATTGAGATCTTGAGATTTTCAAGTTGATATGTTTTGGACCTGAAGCATCAGCAGTAATGAAAGGTAAGTTAACTTCAGTAGAAACGGTTGAAGATAATTCAATTTTAGCTTTTTCTGAAGCTTCTCTGATTCTTTGAATAGCCATACGGTCATTACCTAAATCAATACCGTTTTCTTTCTTGAATTGTTCAACAATGTGACGAACTAAAACAATATCGAAATCTTCACCACCTAAATGAGTATCACCATTGGTAGATTTAACTTCGAAAACACCGTTATCAATATCCAAGATGGAGATATCGAAAGTACCACCACCTAAATCGAAAACAGCAACAACTTTGGTTTCAGCTTTTTCTAAACCGTAAGCTAAAGCAGCAGCAGTTGGTTCGTTAACAACACGTAAAACGTTTAAACCAACAATTTGACCAGCATCTTTGGTGGCTTGTCTTTGAGAATCGTTGAAGTAAGCTGGAACGGTAACGACAGCGTTTTTGATTGATTTACCTAAGTAAGCTTCAGCAGTTTCTTTCATTTTGTTTAAAACAAAACCACCAATTTGAGCTGGTGAGTAACTTTGACCTCTAGCTTCTAACCAAGCATCACCATTACTGTGTTTAACGATTTTGTATGGAACTTGTTTGATATCTCTTTGGACTTCGACATCTTCGAAACGACGACCAATTAAACGTTTGGTGGCGAACAAAGTGTTTTCTGGGTTGACAACAGCTTGACGTTTGGCTGGGATACCAACTAAACGTTCACCTTCTTTGGTGAAAGCAACAACAGATGGAGTGGTTCTAGCACCTTCAGCATTTTCAATGATTTTTGGAACTTTACCTTCCATCAAGGCGACAGCAGAGTTAGTGGTACCTAAATCAATACCAATAACTTGACCTTGGACTTTACCATTTGAGTTGAAACGGGATAAAGTTGGTAAGCGACGAGTGGTCTATCTAATGTTAGTATATTCCTCAGTTACAAAGCATTTCCATTGATGTTGGTTGTTGAATTCGATGTTGATGATGAAACTTTTCACTCTCCAGACAAGAGCAAATGGGTCATCGTCATCAGCATCTCAAGAAAGGCCGTCATCTCTGGATTCAATCATCACTCACGTTACGCAAAGAGTTACGCATAAAACTGTTGGCAAGCATCTTGGGGATGTGTTTCTATAGTCTGCTCTTCCTTAGTATTTCAATTACCTTGAAATTGGAGTTGAGAAGGGTATATATAGTGCTGGCAAATGTGGGAGTAGAATTGTTTCGAAGGTTTTTTTTTTCGACATGGTGAAAAAAAACGGGATTTTACCCGGAACTCGATCTGCTGCCATCGGAGTCAGGGTAAAGGAGATCATATCCGAGATGCATGGTCACATGATATATCACGCGCATGGTCGGAATACACGAAATATTTTCAGATAGAGAAACGCGTATGAGTACAACTTCTTCTTTCCAAAACTTTTGAGTTTGTCACTGTTATGGCATCAAAGACTATACCTGAGGTTGATTTGTCATTGTTAATTACTCACAAGATTGAAATATTGAAAGAGCTCAAACATGCACTAATAAATTATGGGTTTTTTTATCTGAAAAATTATGATGATCTCTTGGATCAAAACATCATTGAACTATTGTTTGAACAATCAGCAAAAGTTTTTCAACTACCTGAAGAAGAGAAGCAAAAGTTCAGTCTAGATCACTCCAAACATTTTGTGGGCTATGATACAACCTCCAATGAGTATGATCTTGAAGCTGCAGAAGAGATGAGTTTGTGCTCAACCAATGATATCCTAAACACCAACTCATATACATACAACAATGTTCTAGGCCCAAACCAGTACCCGTCTCAATTGAAGGTCCCTCTATTCAAACGGTCCACTGATCAGTTCTTTGAAGCTTTTAGTGGCTTTGCTTGTATTGTCACGGATCTTATACTCCAGTCATTGTCAATTGATAACAAAGAATTTTCAAAGTATTTTGACTCAAGTAACAAAAGTTCAGTCCACTCAGAGCTCAAAATAAGGCACCAGCTACCACCGAAGTCAAAAGCTAAGTCATCAAGCCAACTGATCGAGTCGTATAAAGAATATCAATTTCTTAAATTTTTGTTTCATCAAACACCATTACAAGCCCAGGATCTATATGATACTTGGATTGATATTCCACCTAAACCAAACACTATTGTTGTTAGTTCTGGTCAGCTGTTGGAATTCCTGACCAATGGTGTTTGCATCTCAAATAATTTTAAAGTTCTTTCTACTTCATCAGAGTCTACAATTGTGTCGTTTTCACCATTCCTCAACCTTGACTCAAAATTGAAACCACTCCATATATCAGAAGATTTGCTCTATGAAAGAGATCGCAGAGAAAAGCTTCACAGCAATTCAAACATCAAATCTGACCTCAAAGATGGTGACATTACTGGTGAGAAAATTTTTTATAGCAAAATAAGGAATCATAGGAAAGCTGCTCAGCATTGGTATCCAGAAATCTTAAGAAAACAGGATATCCAAGACCAATACGCAAAGTTAAGATTGAAGAAAGAATCGACAGACTTGGAAAAAACGGTTAAAAGATTGAACAAAATATTCTATGCTTTAGATAAATCTGTTCCATTGGTGATAAGAAATAGAACTTCAAATGCTAATATAAACGAGGTTTATCCAAAAATCAAAAGTTTTACAGGGTTTAGCGTCACTGATGATGACTTGTTGAAAATTTTGTACCTATACAGAGATGCAGTTCCTTTAATACTAAATGATTACAATGAATTGATGATTGATACTGATAAGGCTAAGGATGCATTCAATTATAAATCACTTCTTAAAAGAGCCGAAGCTTTTTCTTCACTATCATCCAATTGGCTTCAAGAGAACAAGCATCAAGATGATGTGCCAACTTTGTCCAGAAATGATATAGAGAAACCGGACGAAGGACCAATAAGGAAAAGATCAAAGATTGAGGTTCTCAAGAATTCCAAGGAGAAATATGTAATCAAACAAAAATCAGAAAATGTTGAAACTGCAAAATCTGGAATGTCACTTTTAGAAAGGATAAGAATGAAGGAACGTGAGAAAATGGAAAACTATAAAACACCTGAAGAAAAATATGAAAACTTTTTGGATGGGAAATTGAAAGCAGCATTGGAGATTTTGTTTACCCTGAGACCAGATACCTCATATACATTGGAAAAGTTGAGTGAATTATTTCAAAATAGTTTTACCAAAAGTCCTGTTAGCGAACAGGAAGCAAAAGATATTGCTGTCCACCTAACTCAAAAGTTTCCAGATATTTTCAAATCAGCGGAAACAAAAGATACAACCATTTTGAAATGGAATGAACTAGATAGAGGAGAGTTGCTTGCTAGACTACAATGAAAACTATTTTATCAATAATGTACATTAATTGTATTGTAACAAAACCTGTTACTTTTTCAAAAGAGACGCGTTCTCTTTATGTAATGACCGTAAAACATTCTCTAATCACTTTATAATCGTTCAATCACGTTGAGCAATATCGGCTGCTTTTGAATCCATGAAAAAGTATTTCAAAACGACTTCAATAACCCATGCAACAACCAAGTCCAAAACAATTGTGGTTGTCAATTTTGTCTTGAATTCAGCTTCCATTGGAACAAATTTCATAGCTTCATTCAATTCTGGAATGAATTCTGTGGAACCGGCTAAAGCTAAACCAGCAACACCTAATAGACCATAATACATACCCTTGTTATCCTTGATACTTTCTCTGAATGGTAAACCTTGGTAATTGACTGCAAAAGTTGAAACTTGTTGAGCCAATTGAATCAAGAAAATACCAGTGTTCAATAATGATGGGGCAAATTCTTTTTCAAGATCAGGTTTTGGTTCCCTTGGCTCTAATTTATAAATTTCAGCAGTAATGTAAACTAAGGTGGCAATATGAACAGCAAATTGACCTAAGATAGAACCCATGATGTAAATATTGAAAATACCTGGTTGTGGTCTTTCCTTTGATAATTTTTCAACTGGTCTACCTCTAGAAATACTCAAGAAACAAACAGAAATCAATAAACCGGAAACAGTAGCTTGACCATCACCAAATTTAACACCGGCAAGATAAATAACAGATAAAGAATAAGCACTAATCAAACAATTCAATGCTAAAATTTTATACATTTGAATTGTGGACACAAGTGCACAACGACCTTGACGAATGATGTTGGTAACAGTTGAGACATTGGCTAATTTAGAAGTGAATGGGGCAGCAACTGAAGCATCACCTAATTTTAAGGTAGGAGCTTCACTGTCTTCTTCCAATTGATTCAATGAGCCTAATAATTTATCAGCCAACTCAGATTGGGCTTGATTTGGAGCTTTACCTTGAGCAACAGTGGTACTAACAACAGCACTTTTTTGAGCCAATTCTCTCATTTCATCAGTAACAGTGATACCTTGTTTTTCAATAGCTTTCAAATAGTTTGGATTACCTGGACCTGGTGGATACAAATGAGCAATTGGTAATGGGACTGGTGGATGTGGTTTACCCCATCTTTCCATGATATCACATTGCTTGGTATAAACTTTTTGTAAAGAGTCAATTTTTCTAGCTTCGGCCATTTTCTTCATACCTTCTTCAGTACCGTTCAACAAAGCAACACCAACGTGAGCTTGTTTCAAAGCACCAACATCATTTGTACCATCACCACACATTAAAGTATTGTAACCCAAATGTTTTAAAGTGGTTAAAATAAATTCCTTTTGAGATGGTGAAACACGTGAATAAACCCAAGTATGTCTAATCAAAGAGTGTAATTGAGGATGGTTCAACAATTTAGCTAGAGCATAACCGGTAATAGCAATATCATGAGTCTTGAAAGTAGATTCGTCAATTTTATCAGAACTTGAGAATGGAATGATTTTAGATTCATCAACACTTCTCCAAACTAATTCATGATCACCATGGTGTTCTTCTGGAGCATCCAAGATCAAAACTTCTCTTTCAACAATTTTAACTTCCTTAGCAACATGAACAGCAGTAAGAGGGTTATCACCAGTAATCATGATTGAACGATGACTTGATTCATTCAACATTTCAATAGTTTCAATGGCATCTTCTTTCAAAGGACAATGGAAAACAATAAACCCACCAAAAATTAAACCAGTTTCAACAGCATCACGATCTAGTTTTGTAACTTTAGCTGGAGAAATGTTATCCTCCATGTATTTGTAAGCTAAAGCCAAAACACGGGAACCTGAACGAGTAAATGATTTGTAAATTTCTTCATAGTTTTCTGGGACTTTGGTTAATCTTTCACGAATGGTTTCTGGAGCACCTTTAGTGGAGACAAGAGTTTTTTGACCGACAGTAGAGATTGAGGAAGAACGTTTCAAAGCAGAAGAGAATTGGAAACGACGTAGAATTTTAATTTTTTCAGTCTTTGATTTGGAAGTTTCTCTGAAAACAATATCCTTTTCACCAATTTTCCAACCAACAGCTTCCAAAGTGGCTTTTTCCATTGGATCACCAACAATTTCACCATCATCCAATTTGACTAAAGCATGAGCAGAACCTAAAACATGGTTTGTGATATCTGGAACTTCACTTGGTTTTGATAAATGACGAATAGAATCACCAAAACCAGCTAAACCTTCAAAGACTAAATCTTCACCAGTAAGAGTACCAGTTTTATCAAAACAACAAACATCAATTCTACCCGCTAATGGGATACGGAATGGTTCAGTACAGTAAATGTAAAATTTACTCAAAGATGCCAAAGAGGTGTTCACAGCCATAGTTAATTCCATTGGTAATTCAGGAGGAACAACTGATGTAACAATCAAAATACAATCCAAGATCAATTTGTTTTGAATACGACCCATCTTTGTACCTTCAACCCAGACATACCACGAAGCGGCAACGGCAAAGATCAACAAGAATAAGATAAAGAACAAAGATTCGTAGTTACCGACAGAGATTCTTTCAGCAGAAAAGATCATGACACGGACCAATGAACCTTGAGAAGTCTCAAAACCAGTTTTGCAAACAATAGCTAAAGCACCATTATCTGGAGCTAATTGAACAATTGGATCGGTTGGAGCAGTAACTTGCAAGGCTTTAGTACCACCATGTAAGACAGAATTCTTATCTAATCCATCCAATTGCAAATTTTCATGAGCAGGACGTAATTTGATAGATTCTTTCAATAAAGGAGTAGATTCACCAGAAAGCATAGCTTCATTAACAATAGCTGAACCATCAGTCAAAATCAAATCACATGGAATAGCAGAATCATCACCAGTTCTTGTAATTGAAACCAAGTCACCTGGTAATAAATCAACAGTTGAGATTTCAGTCCATTTATTGTCTCTGTAGACATAAATGTTGAAAGGTTTAACACCCATTGTTCTAAATTCACCCATTGTAGTACGACGTTGGAAAACTGTAGTACATTCAAAACTGACCAACATGAACAAAGTGAATAAAGAGTAATACCAAAATTCATCTAATAACCAAAGACCGACACAGAAAACTTGGAAAACAAAGAATGGAGCAGTGGCATGTTCTTTGAACAATTCCCAGAAAGTTGGAATAGGAATATCAAAAGTGTTTTTACCGTATAAACGTTCCAATTTAGAAATGTCACCAGAGATACCTTTTGATTGTTGAAATTCGGATAATTTTGGTTCTTGATCAACAACAAATCTTGGAGGAGTGAAAGAAGCATCTTCATGATGATAGATGAAGCGTCTTTTTTGGAACACAAAGGAAGTTTGGATTTCATCTGGATACTTATCACGGCTGATTTCAGCGATTGCACCAAGACCATTGTTTGGTGCCGCAACGATCAAAATATGAGAAGCTTCATCCAAACTTTTAACTTTTGAGTAATTGAACAATGCATCGATATTGATGTTCCAGTTTGGCATCAAGAGTAACAGCATTTGCAAAGAGATGATAGCACCCAAGTAGACAAAAGTCCATTCGGACCCTTTAATGTACTCATCATAATTGTTGAAATAGATATGGAAGAACCAAGGATATAAAACGAGGAAAGGGAAGACGTAAGGACGCTGTGTCAAGACCTTAGGTCTTAGCAGCTGCGAGGACTTCACCGCCTTATTGTCAACCAAATTGTCAGCCATTTTGATTGATTGGTTGGAGTTGAGAATATGTCTCGAGTGTTATCGTGGCAACTTTTTCTCTTGAATTTTTCATCTTGACGAGAAACTGATTTCGCGGCAGCCAAACTAGTCGCGATTTCGAGCTGTTAAAATGTCACTACAACGAACATTTAACCGAACTATAGAGCAAATTGTTATTAAAAGAGAGAACTAAGTAATGAAAGAAAATATGGGTATGATGATGATCTATGAGTGATGATTTATAATGCAGTACTTGGTCCAGGGTAGCTAGCAGCTTCATCTTTTAAAGTCTCTTGCTGCTTGACTAAGTGCAGTCTTTCCATGGTTTTCCACTTCTCCTTGTCATATTCACCAATCACTTCTGATGGGAAAACACTCTTGTGTGAGTTTTCTGACCAATTTGATTCTGGTGTTGTATTCGATTTTTCAGCTAGAATATTATCAAAATGTTTATTCTTGGTTGGAGTTGTGGTCACTACTGAAGCACGACGTTTTTTACTTGGTGAGCTTTGAAGTTCATGAACATAGGAAAGATTTGGAAGTTCTTCTTCGGTATCTTTGAAGACGATACTTGATAATGATAGGTTTTTGATTCTCAGTTTCTTGGGTGAGTTTATTATGGATTTTCTTCTTGGTGATGATGGCATTGAGACGCTAAAGTTTTTGAAACTGACAGATGTTGATGAATCTTTTCTATTGTGATGGCTCTTGAAAATTGATTTGTGAGGTGAATGACTTTTACTTTTTGTTAAAGTAGTTGGTGTGGTGACCCTTTCTAGCTGTAAAGTTGATTTTGATTGATCAATCACATCTCTAATAAATTCATTTGACCCTTTTTCATGTGCATCTTGAACAAATTTCAATGCTTCCTCTGTGGATTTATTTGAAACCTCTGAACCATTATTTGAAATAACATCTTCTTCGTCTTCACTCAAAGAGAATCTGTCTTCACCCTCTTCTTCAGCAGAACTAAATTCACCAAAATGTGCGGACTTCATCAACCTCTTGGATGGTTCAATAGGTGCTCTCAATTGATTAAACTGAAAATTTTCATAACTATTTTCATAATCAGTTGGTGTAATGGTTGTCATTCCATTGTTTAGTTCAAAAGGAGGATTTGTGAAAATATTACTGAATGTTGCAGCCCGAGGTATAGATTCTGGAATGTTTTCTTTGAGTGTTCCATGGGTCAAATTCGATTGACTTTGTGATGTTTTGATCATTAAAGAAGGTTGAGGCTTAGAAGATTGTTGCTGTTGCTCTTGTTTTGTTTGTGGTTTTAAATGTGGAGGTAATAATGCACTGGGTATTCTCCTCAATGCATCTCTTTCCAAAATCAAATTCTTTGCTGTAAGTGCACTCTTGAAGTTTGTATCTATAGGAGTTGTTGTTGTTTCTATAGTTGGTTGGTGAGATTGTGCAATTGAAATGTTGGTTGATGAGCTTGATTGGTTGATCATTGAAAGTTTCTTTATGGAATGTGATGGAATACTCAGTTTGTTTGATTTGTTCACATCATTTGATGAATTTAAACTAACTTTAGAACTAAAGCGAGATTTGGTTGATTGGAAAATTGAAGATTGTTGTTCACTATTTTGGTTGTTTTTACTGTGGATACTTTGATGGTTCACAACACTTTCTTGGTTTCCTGAAGTTTTTCTACTTTCCACTAATGTTGCTGCTGATGCTTTCAAAGTGACAACTTTTTCCTTCAGGCTGTCAATATCGTGTTTTTCCTGCTCAGTTATGAACAAATGGCTAAAATCTTGAATTGAATGCAAATGGGTACTTAATGACAGTCCATGGAGCAATTGGGAAGAAACAATTAATGATAATAATGAAGTTAGCAGCTTAGGATTCATGTTTCCAACTATGTTTGATGAGATGAGGTTATTAATCAATGCGAGACCAGCTCCCAATGAAAGTGCAGTTGATAAACCTCCTAAAGTAAACAACCCCCATAATGCTGTTTTAGAATTGAACAATAACAAAGGTAATGATAGCACTGATAATAATTCACCAGTAATTAAGGAAATTATACTTGATCGACTTAAATCATGGGTTTTTTGTTTCAGTATCAATATTGATATAACGGCAGTTGCTATGGATAAAAACACTGCTAAACAATGAACCAAACTTGAAGAACGACCTATTGGTCGCTGGTGCATTGTATAAGCTTTGAGGATTGAGAAATTATGGTGGGGGACAAAGTTGATAGATTGATGTAGTTCCTTTGAAATTAAAGTTGTTGCTCTTTGGAAATTTTGTTATGATTTGAAATTGAGAGCGATTGTAAACAAATATGAATGCTAATCAAAACAAAGGTGAAAAAAAGTTTTAAAGGAATGACTTCAGTTAGTTTGTGTAATGACTATTGGTTTGAATGGCCTCTGTATAGCTTGTAGTACTGCTCTTGCCAATGTACGCTCTTTTCAAGCTTTTTCAGAAGTTTTGTTTTTGTTTTTTTTGGTTCCTGTTCCAAGGCCTGTTGATCAAATCCAAAATATTTTGATGTTTGTTTATGTTTGTCCCAAAGGGGATTTCCGGTGACCTCGGAACTCTAAAATCTGCCAGATTCTAAATGTCCCAAGAACACCAACAATTCAACATCTTAACAATAGAATGCTGTCAATCTCATCGCTTTGGAAACTCTCTCAGGGCAAAGATACTTCGGGAACGATTAAAGCTACTTTCCATATTCGTCTCCTCGAAGACTCCAATTCAGTATCTAACCCCAACTAATTCAAATGACAACCCACAACGGTGAGCACGGTGGCTCTCAGATCAATTTGAAATCTTTCTTTGGCAGAATACGGCCTTCCTCAAGATCCAGAAGTTCAAGTTCATCACGCCATGAAGATAAGAAATCATCACCATCAATTTCAAGAGCCAGTTCATTCACCACGTTAGGAAATTCCTTATCAAAATATGGGAAAAAAGTTGATGTTTTAGGATCCGGGATCTCATCAAAAGTTGAATTATATTACAAGAAGCAAGAGGATGAATATTATGCTGTAAAGGTTTTCAGAGGGAAAGAAAGTTATGAAACAAAAGATGAATATAAAAGCAGGTGCTTTATGGAATACGATATTGCAAAAGAATTGAATCATCCGAATATTGCAAAGACATATAACTTCATTTCTGGGGTATCAACTAATGAGTTGGTACTAGAGTATGCTCCATATCCACTACTCAGGGTTATTCAATCAGCAAGACCATATGAAGAAGAATTGTTTTGCTTTTTCAGACAGGTATGTGAAGGAATAAACTATCTTCACCGTAAAGGTATAGCTCATAGGGATTTGAAGTTGGAGAATATGCAGCTAGATGAGCATGGGACCGTTAAGCTTATAGATTTCGGAACAGCTTTTTATTATGGAACTAAAGAGAAGAAGCCAGCTTGTGGAGTTGTTGGTACAGAAGCATTAGTGTCCCCGGAAGCAATGTCGCACTTGGAGTATGACGGTGAGGCTAGTGATATATGGGCACTTGGTATCGTTCTATACAGTATGTTAAATTTGGATTTCCCATGGAAGGCAGCTAGAGAATCAGACCCAGATTTCAAGGCTTTCAAACAAGATCGAACATTCCTTGAAGATAAGTTCCCTACTGAAGTTTGGGAGTCTGTTGTTTCCAAAGTGCTTCAGGTTGAGCCGTCAAATCGGATCACAGTGGAAGAAATCATAGAGCAGCTAGATAAGAGTGTTGACTCGGCCTGTCCTCATAGTAAATGCCCACCCAAAAGACACTCAAGAACGCTGAAAGTGTGTCAAAACAGGTTCAAGTTCCATCACAGTCAAGGTTGAAGTTCGTTGACTCCGAGCAGGTCTCTGGGGTCGAATTTCTGACTCTGATAAAGTCACGTGAATGAGTTTATTTTTTTTTTTTTTTTTTTGGTGTGTAGAAAAAATAACCAGCGACATCACAAAGGTATAAAGACTGAAAGATTTGGGCCTTTTCCTTGATTCCTACATCGTTGTAGCTCACAGCCAATCAATTAATCAAAATGCTTCGTCTTCAGCTACGCTCAATTGCCAGAACACCATTAGCTGGTCGTTTAGCTGTATGTGTCAATCTTCAAGGATGCCATCAAGTACTTAATAACTAACATTTTTTGCTTAGAGAAACTATGCTGTTTCTACAAAATCACAAGAGGTGAGTGCTTTTTTAAAAAATTACAAGATCCAGTATCAATACTAACATATTCATAGCTAATCTCTAAAAATGTTCAAGAAATTGATCCAGAAATGGCTGATATTTTAAAATCTGAACGTTTACGTCAAAAATCATCAATTACTTTGATTCCATCAGAAAACTTTACATCAAAAGCTGTTATGGATTTATTAGGTTCAGAAATGCAAAACAAATATTCAGAAGGTTATCCAGGTGAACGTTATTACGGTGGTAATGAATTTATTGATAAAGCTGAAAGTTTATGTCAAAAAAGAGCCTTGGAAGCTTTCCATTTAGATCCTTCATTATGGGGTGTTAATGTTCAACCATTATCAGGTGCACCAGCTAACTTGTATGCTTATTCAGCTGTTTTGAATGTTGGTGACAGATTGATGGGTCTTGATTTACCACATGGTGGTCATTTGTCTCATGGTTACCAAACCGCTTCAACTAAAATTTCGTTCATCTCTAAATATTTTCAAACCATGCCATATAGATTGGATGAATCTACTGGATTAATTGATTATGATGCTTTAGAAAAATCAGCTGAATTATTCAGACCAAAAATCATTGTTGCTGGTGCTTCTGCTTATTCAAGAATCATTGATTATGAAAGAATTAGAAAGATTGCAGACAAAGTTGGTGCTTATGTGTTGTCAGATATGGCTCACATTTCAGGTTTAGTTTCAGCAGGTGTTACACCATCTCCATTCCCATACTCTGATATCGTTACCACTACTACTCATAAATCCTTAAGAGGTCCAAGAGGTGCAATGATTTTCTTCAGAAAAGGTTTGAGAAAAACTACAAAAAAAGGTAAAGAAATTTTCTATGATTTGGAAAAAAAAATCAACTTCTCAGTCTTCCCAGCTCATCAAGGTGGTCCACATAACCATACCATTTCAGCTTTAGCAGTTGCCTTAAAACAAGCTCAATCACCAGAATACAAAACTTATCAAGAAAACGTTGTCAGCAATGCCAAACATTTTGCAGATGTTTTACAATCAAAAGGTTTCAACTTGGTTTCAAACGGTACTGATACTCATTTAATCTTGATTGATTTACGTAGTAAAAAAATTGACGGTGCAAGATTAGAAGCTGTTTTGGAAAGAATCAACATTGCTGCTAACAAGAACACAATCCCAGGTGATAAGTCTGCTTTGTTTCCATCTGGATTAAGAGTTGGTACCCCAGCTATGACTACTCGTGGTTTTGAACAAAAAGAATTTGACCAAGTTGCTGATTATATTGATAGAGCTGTTAAAGTTGCACTCGAGCTAAAAAATAATGCTAAAGGTGATGATGCTAGAGCTTTGTTAGCTGACTTCAAAAGATTAGCGGATGAATCTGATGATGTTAAAGCTTTAGGTAAAGAAGTTGCTGAGTGGGTTTCTCAATACCCAGTTCCAGGTGAGTTATAAGCTTAAACTAATTGATATTATAATTTACAACATAGTTTAAAATGATATGCACATCTATAACGTAGACTAAACACAAATGACAAGACTTCATAATTCATTAATTATTTTTTTTAACACACTTTCTTCAGGAGCTAAGATGCTGAAATTTGCAACCTTTTTCGTCACACTTTCCATTTATTAATTCAATAGGACACAATTGATCATTATCATTAGCCTCTGTTCTATTCTGTGTCTTTTTTCTGAGCCCAAGAGAATGATATGGGGTGAAGTGGTCAGCTTGAGCCTAGGTGGTAGTGTTAGTATGTTCAAAAAGAACGGAAATTATACTCATGATGGGAAAAACAAGAAAAAAAAACAGAAATCAAATGTGGATGAGCTTAGTGAAAGTTCAAATCAACACAATACCATTCCTCTTTTTTTTTCCTTTTGAAAAAAACAATCAAAGTATGCTAATTACCTTTGGAATCTTATGAATAGTGTCAGCATAAACTAAATCATTCTTGTTATTATCCTGTATGTTATTTGTTTCAGTCTGTCTTTCTTGTTTTTGTTGGTCCTTTACTTCTCTTTCTTTTTGGGCCAACTCCTCAACTTTACGTTGTTTCTTCAATTTCATCTGCTGGATGAGTTTCTCTTTCAATTCCACTCTTCTCTTTTCGGACTCATTAATTTTGTCTTCCTCATTTTCGTAGTCCTCTAACTCAATCAATTTATTGGCAAGTTTACTCTTCAATGAAAGAAAAGTGTGAGATTCATGCTCTTTATCGGCAAGAGTCTCCTTGATTTCATTGGATTCATTCTCTAAATTTTCAACTTGTTTTTTCAACCAAGATAGTTGATTCTCTTTCTCTTGTAATTTTGATTTTAGCTCTGGGATAGACGTATTAACTTCATAAAATTTATTTTCTTTTGATTTTATTTGATCACTCAACTCTTTGATTTCTGACTTTATTTCTTTCTTATTCTTCTTAACTATATCCAGTTCAACGTTTGATAATTTTCTTTTTTTATTATTCTGTTCATCAATCTTTTTAGACAAGTTTACTAACTCTTCCTCGGAAGAAGATTTAGAAATTGACAGTATCTCATGGGACTCCTCAGAAAAAACAGTTTCTTGTTTCACTGTATCATCATCCGTTTCATCAGATATCACATCATTCTTATCTTGGTCATCCTCTTCATGTTCAGATTCAGATTCAGACTCTTCTTCCTCGGAGCTTTCTTCCAAGTCAATAACAAGATTCTTTAACCATTCAGGTTTTTCATTGGAAACAACTCTATAAACTTTATTATTGAACATTGGCCTCTGGAACCCATTAACTGGAGTGGCAGAATTTGATCTAGCATTATCTATAGGGGTGGCAGACTTGTAAATAGGGGCAGGTGGTGGATCAATGACTTTAGGCACAGGAAACTTCCACTCAGTATAACATTGGACTAAAAAATCTCTATGGACACCAGATTGTTGCACAATCTTCTCAAAAGAGAAGCCTAGGGCTCTCAAATCCAGAATAGCATCATATAGGTCAGATTTTAGCTTGCTGTGTTCCGTCACTGTGGAAGCGCGCTTAGCACCATCATCTTCTTCATCAATCTTCACCACTGGAGGCGCTATTGTAGCTGGGGAATGGGATCTTGAATTTGCTGCCGACCTTCTCTTCATAGAGGCTAGAACTGCCTGTCTTTTTTGTTCAAGTTCAGAGTCAATGGGTCTAGCTGTGGATAGGGTATCATGAGTTGTCATTCTTCAATAGGAAAAAAAGCAGGTAGAGCTTATAAAATAGAAATGAGAAAAATTGAAAAGTAAAGTAAAGTAGAGCAGAGTGACAATGCAGAAGTAAAGGGGAAACAAATCTAGTCTTTTGGTTCTAGAAAGAAGCTATCTTTGAAAACTTCTCCTGTTGTTGAGCACAAAACAAAACAAAAAAAAAGATTTCAGATTTCTCAAGAAAATGCAAAACGTGTTCGCGACACTTCGCGAATTCTTGAGTTCAGCTGTTAACGCTGGCCTATATAGTGACACGTAAATCAACAAACCAAAACAAACTTCAGCTCAAACAAAACTTCAATTGAGATCGAAGAGAGTATGTCGAACCTGAGCATCTCGAGCAGGGACCCCAGCCACTCCCGCAGTCAGTCAGTCGCTCCTTCTATCGGCTCCAACACAGGCATAGCTCCTTCTGGGGGTGGAACATCGTCTCCTAAAAAGAAGAAAGATTCTTCACATTCACGCCATCATTCCATCCAAAAACCAATTGTTATTTTACCTTAGTGAGTATCTCTAGGTGCTATTGTGATCATAAGTACTAACACCTTCCCAAGTGTCTCAGAACACTCATTTGGTGGTTCTATTGGAGCTAGAACAGCAAATTTACCAAATTTTAAGGAATTAGGTCCTCCAGATCTCGTTCATATTTCAAAATACAACAAACAATCACAAAAAGAAGAAGGTCAATATCATTACATTACAGGGCTAGATGTATCCTCAGCTGTTGCACCTGTTGCTTATCTGACTACATTGAACTTGAATTCTACTTCATCTTCGTCAAAACATCCAAATATTTATACTTATTGTTCCTATAATGCATTTAGCAGATCCGATGTTAGAATAAGAACAGAGTTTCCTAGCTCCGCCCCAGGCGCATTTCAATTGCAACTGATACCAAGTGATAGAAGCAATAAGATATTGAATGAAGTTACTGAAGAAATTTGGGACGAATTATTTGTTAGTGCAGTTGTTAGATCTGTGCTTATAAACTTGGACTTTGAAAGAAAAGTTCCTTCCTTAATTGAAAAGCCATTGACAAAATCAGTACAACATTCCAAAAATATAATCACAAGATTGATAAAATTCATTGAAAGGGGGCCATTATTAGGTTGTAATTCACTGATCCAAAGACCATCAATTGTTCAAAATTATTTGATTGATGCACTTTTGAAAATTGTCGAGTTGACAAGTTTGTATGAATTTACTATTGATCAACTACAATCATTAACTAGAAAGGATGTGACATTATTGATTGTTAAAATTTTGTTTCTCGCTGATAGAGAAGTTGATGCAATCAAATTATTATATGAAGCATTGAAAAAGAATCCAAGGGATGCATTATTGCTCAATGAACAAGTGAAATTTCTGATTTCAAAAGAGAAATTTGAATTAGCTTTGAATCCTGCTTTAGCTGCGGTGAATGCCAATCCTGTTGATTTTGAAGCTTGGTATAATTTGACAAAGCTTCACATCTTGAATGATAACATCCCACTGGCTTTGGTTGCATTGAATTCCGCACCAATGTATGGAATTAGACCAAAAGATTTGATTTATATTGATCCAAAAGACCCAATCACTGTGCCTTATCCAACTGAAGGTAAGATTAAGCAAGTTTGGGATAATGTATCACAAGTTTATGGACCAGGTTGTGATAATTCCATCAAATTTTCACCACGTTTTGAAGTTGAGGCATGTGATCCTGCTTTGATTAGAACAAACTCGCAACAAATGAGAGGTACATATAGGGCAGCTTATGAGTTATTGATATTGATTATCAATCAAATTGGATGGGATAAGTTGCTGAAGTCCAGATCTAAAGTCTTTATCATGGATGATGAATATAAAACATTATCTAATGTTAGCTTAGCAGCTGATAAAGACTCATCTGATGATATCAAAAAGAAGAGATTGTGTGAGAGATGGTTGGATAATCTGTTTTTGGTATTATATGAAGATTTGAGAGTGGTTTTAATTGTGGAGAGTGAACTGCAAAATGAAAAACAATTAAAACACAGTGGGCTAGAATGGCAATTAATTGGTTTAGCTTCCTATAGAACTCACCATTTCAAAAATGCTGTTGCAGCACTAAGAACCCAGTTAAGTGCTAAGTTTGATATTATTGCTGCTTATAAATTGTTGGAACTTTGGGAACTAAATTACACTACAAAAGAGTTTAAAATCTGGAATAAGACCAACAAGTATGGAGATTTTGAAATAACATTAGATCAAATTTTGGATGTTCTGGTGAAATGTATCAGTTATAATATCAGATTCTTCAATGAATTTGAGCTACCTATCTTGTTGTTCTTGAAGAAGTTTTTGAATAAGTATGATGTTGATTTTATCAAAAACAAGATCCAAGTTTTGTTTGAAAATGACAACAAGGACTACAAAAATTCTGGTGTGATTCCACCGTTTGACTCCCTAGTGGCAGATATCCAAACCTTGTCCCCAGACTGTTTCTAGGAAACAACCATCACCAAAATCACAATGAGCTTAAAAGTCCATCCAATTGTAGCTGCCATCTCGTTACTGGCGTGTGTCGCATAACACTTTTCGCGAACCAAGAATTTCGTCTCGCTTTTTTTCGTCGTCGAAGAAAAAAAAAACGACCAAATGCCCTTTACAGCAAATGAAAGTGAGCTCAACAACAAGAGGCAAACCACAACACTCCCCTGAAAAGCAGTTAGTCTCTATCCACCGCTTCAATAGGCCAAACATCAAACCCATTGCTGAGTTCTGGTGCCTCCACGAAGCTATTCCGAGTCCGTCTATTTGCCCGTTGCTGCTGTCCCTGGCGTTCAGATTGTTAATAATCAGTTGGTTGGAAGACTTTTTTTTTCTTCTCTAAGGGAAATCCCATATCAACAACAACTTGAAATACAACTTCATTACCACTTGCTTCCCAATTGAACTTACAAGGAGTTGGGGAAAAGACCATAGATATCTTGATAAACTCATACTCAAGCATACGCTCCCTTTTTGCTCTAGGCCCTACTTGAGTTGTTTTAAAAGGCCCACAGTTGTCCACAACATCAATTGAGTGTTTTATATATTTGTGGGTGATTACATTCGAAACAAATTAATATCAAAAAGGAATCATCCATCATTCAAATCAGAGGAAGAAATCTGTATCATTTATTTCCAAAAATAAAACCAGTTTTCTGATTTGAACCTTTGCATTATTTATCATTCCTGATTTTGCGGTCTATATATTGAATGTCAAAATCTAGATAAAAAAAACCACACATTAACATATAAAAGACATTATATTATTCATAGGGTCTTGATTTCTTTGCATACATACATATTATCATTTAACAACATCATACAAGCAACATGTCGGGTTCATTTTGGAGATTTGGAAATGGTTATAATGAAGTGTCCACTATAAACAACTTGTTGGATAACGGATTTGTTGAAAGAACACCAAAGTCCCAGAGGAGAGACTCTACTACATCATCAAATGATTCAACTGACCCTGATAATTCTTCATTGGGGAAATTTGAAGATTACACTGGGAATGAAGAGGAAAGTTTTGCTCCAAATTTAGAAATTTTAGGAGACCTTTTGGATGAACAAGAAATTTTGGAAGAGTTGGCCTCATCAAACATTAAATTGATTGAATACTTGAGACAAAGAGAAGTTCTTGAGAAATTGATTGAATATATAATAACTGAAGAAGATGATCTTGTTGATGATTCTCAAAAAAATGAGAAAAATGATGACGATAGCAACAATAATAATAATGACAATAATGATAATGAAGAAGATGAATCAAAAAGTGAATCTAGTGATTATAAAAGAAGAAAGTCTTTAAATTCGAATTCAGACTCAGATTCAGATGATGTTCAAAATTATGATCAACCAGAAACTATTCAAGAAATACATTCAAGAAGAGCACAGGTTGCTGCTGAAATATTGAGTGCGGATGCTTGGTCCTTGACAGATTCTTTTATGGATAATCATGATTTATTATCAAAACTTTGGAGTGTTTTAGATAAACCTTGCCCCTTATCAATGGTGCTGTCAACTTATTTCATGAAAATTAATGAGCATTTACTAGATATGAAGATTGATGAAATGTTGAATTTCTTATTGCATCAAAACAACCTTGTTGATAGATTTTTGAAACATATTGATAATCCTCCTTTAATGGATTTCTTATTAAAAGTTATTAGCACAGATAAACAAGATATTCCAACTGGTATTATTGATTTATTGAAAAGTCAAAATTTGGTTTCAAAATTGATTTCATTCTTAGACCCAAAAGTTAATGCCTCTGTACAATCAGCAGCAGGTGATTTCATTAAGGCATTTGTCACAATAAGTGCTAATTCAAACACTGATAATTCCACTATAGGCCCAAATGAATTGACAAGAGAATTGGTTTCAGAAAAAATAATGAACCAACTGTGTGAATTGATGTTGAAAGGCGGTACAAGTTTAGCTAATGGTGTTGGTATAATTATTGAAATCATCAGAAAAAACAATTCAGATTATGATTTTGTCCCTGTTTTATTCATCACTATTGAATCACATCCTCCAACTTCAAGAGATCCAATATATTTAGGTCATTTGATCAAAGTTTTTTCTAAAAATATTCCAAAGTTTGCATCTTTATTAAAAGACACAAAATTGCCTCCTATGGATACACCTTTTGGTTCAATTGAGCCTTTAGGTTTTGAAAGATTCAAGATTTGTGAATTGATTGCAGAATTATTGCATTGTTCAAACATGGGTTTATTGAATGATGAAAAGGGTGAAGAAATAGTTAGAGAAAGAGATATAGAAAGAGAACGTGTCATTGCATTAGAGAAGCAACAAGATGATGAAGAAGGAGAGGAAGGAGAAGGTGCGCAAAATGAAGCTGGAGACGAAGATTCTGATCATGAAGCATCAAAAGTCATTAAAAGATTGAGCATATCGTCCACTGAGCAAGATAATGAAGAGGATAAAACCACAGAGAAGGAAGAAGTCAAAGAGAAGGATGTTACTACTGATGATGATAAAGATTCAACACCAACTGAAAATAAACCAAGTCTGGAAATCCAATCGGAACCTGATTCAGATGCTGATACAACTTTGGAGATCCAATATGATGAACATGAAACACAAATACGTAAAAATCCAGTTGTTGGTGATCAATTAAAGATTGCATTAGCTGATAATCAAGTCATATTGGTCATACTGAATATGTTTTTCTGTTTCCCATGGAATAACTTTTTGCATAATGTTGTTTTCGATATTGTTCAACAAATATTGAATGGATCAATGGATATTGGTTACAACAAATATTTAGCCATTGATTTATTTGGTCGTGGTGAAATTAATAAATTGATTATTGAAGGTCAACAAAAATGTGAAGATTATGAACAGACAAACGGCCTAAGATTGGGTTATATGGGACATTTAACTCTGATTGCTGAAGAAGTTGTTAAATTCACTGCCCTGTATCCTCCAAATACAATTCATCAAATTGTCTATGATGCTGTTTCAACTCCTGAATGGACTGTGTATGTTACTGAAACTTTAGTTGATACTAGAGAAAAATATAATGCTCTTTTGGGTGGAAGTGTTGAAGATGAAGGTGGTGATGAAACTACAGAGGATAATATTACTCCAGGCGAAGTTGACGATGATTATAATACTACTGGAAATAATCGCTCACTCGACTCACATGAAGAAGATGATGAAGAGGGTGATAACAACAGAGGTAATAATGAATCAGATGATGTTGAAGGAGATCAATTTTCTCGTTACATGTCTCAACAGTTAACCAATGACTTGCCTGATAAATTTGGATCATCTGATGAAGATGAAGAAGATGATGACTTGGTTGGTTGGAACAATCAACAGTATAGTCCTCATCAAATGCCAGTTGATGACGATGATGACTATGTTGACCCTAATGATGATGGACAGTCATACACCAAAAAAGATCATCCACTATATTCCAAAATGTTGTCACCAAGAGATGAAAGACCGCAATTCGTTGATGATGAAGAAGATGATGATGAATTGTCTGGCGATGAAGGTGATGAAAACGATGAAGAGAAAGAAGAAGGTTATGGCCTTACAAGAAGTAAAAGTCAAGGCGAATTAAACTGGGATGATGATGAACAAGATAGGCTTATAAATGTTGCCAGTTATATCAAGAATAATCAATGATGAAAAAAATGTTTGCTTTGTTAAATGGGAAATATAATGACTTATGCCTGCTACCGTTTCTTATAAAATTTCAAAAGACTCATATTCTGTTTTGTTTTTTTCCTTGATTTTGAGAAAATGAATGTTGTGTTGATTTCTCAGCCTGTTTGTTTTCACTATTGTTTTCACATGTTTGTTTTCCGTCTCTTTCTATTGGTCTATTTTAATTTTAGTTTTGGTTAATTATTCGGTTAAGAATCTTATATACTAATGATCATTCACTATACCATCCACAGTTTCTATATCTACAATTCAACAAGATTAATTTTATAAGATTTTAAAACCAGCTGGAAATAGCTAGGAGTAGTCTGTACTTGATTTGTATCGAAAGATTTATCAAGCTGTGTCTCATTAATTCACTTTATTTTTTCGCGATTTTTTCAGCATTTATACTTTGATGGCCAAAAAACTAAAACATCAACAAGATCAATTCTCTCCAAACTTCCAACCATCGAGCGTAACAATGTCTACCGAAAAGAAGTCACAGAGTGCCAACTTGAAACAAAAGAGATCTCAAGGATGGCTAGTCCTTTATAACCAGGCTTCAGCCTCATTATGGTCTATTGTTTTATTCAACACCGTTTTCCTTTCAATTTTGGTTGGTCAACCAGATCTATTCAAGACAACCAACAGAATCACTACAATCATTCAAACTTTAGCTTTAGTTGAAGTCTACAACTCAGCTGTTGGTATAGTTAGATCGCCAGTGTTGACCACAGTTTCCCAAGTTGCTTCAAGACTGTTAGTTGTCTACGGTATTTTCCAAGTCTTGCCAAATTCTCCAGCAAATAGCCATTGGGCCTATATCACCTTGTCATTATCATGGTCTATCACTGAAATAATCAGATATCTTTACTATGCTCAAAATATTTCTAGTAATGGGCAGCCAGCCAAAATATTGACCATTTTGAGATACAACTTATTCTTTGTCTTATATCCAAGTGGTGTTGCTAGTGAAATTGGTATGATTGTTTTATCTTTAGGTGAGGCTGAAAAAGTTGTTGGTGCTTGGTATAAATGGTTTTTAATTGTTATCATTGGTGTCTATGCTCCAGGTTTCTATACTCTTTTCACACATATGTTGAAACAAAGAAAGAAGGCTTTGAAAGCTTTGAAGGAAGCTGATCATCCTAAAAAGGCAGACTAATTGATGAATTACATCAGTATTTCCAACTTATGTATATAAATATGTCATAAAGCTCCAGTTTGTAGATAATTGTCTATAAATCATTCTATGACCCAAAACAGATACTTTCCTAATTGGGAAGATTCTGTAATTTTTCTTCGCGAACTTGATTTTTCCATACTTGAAAAAAAAAATGTTGATGAAAACTTCACCGAATTAGCTTCTCTTAGATAAAAAGCTAGTTCACACTGAGAGCTCTTGCACATATTGAAAATGAGTTTTTTATTCAGAAGTCTCACCAGGTTATCACTTAGACAAACTATAAGACCTACAGCGGTTGCACCAACTTTTGCACGCACCTTCACCACAAAACCAATTGCATTCAACCAACAACCAACAACAACCACCACACCTACAAGTGCTCCAGAAGCTGAACAAAAACAAAAACAATTACCAGACCTATCGCCTCTAAAGCTTTCGAATGAATTATATGCTGTTGTTCGCGTTCATGGTAACCCATTCCTAGTTACAGAAGGTGACATTATGAATTTGCCATACCATTTGAAAACTGCAGATGTTGGTGATGTTTTACATTTCACAGACGTTACCACCATTGGTACTCGTAACTTCACATATGCTAATGAACCAGTGGATCCAAGATTAGTCAGTATAAAAGCTGTTGTTATAGAGAAGACCAAGAACCCAATGACTATCAAAGAAGTTACAAAGAGAAGAAACAGAAGAGTTCGTCATGCTATTTCAAAGCGTCATAAAACACGTTTAAGAGTCACCGAAATCAAGCTTAATTAGAAGGAGAATTTGTCAGTTTCTATGAAATTGGAGAAGTGAACTGTATATACTATGTAAATATAATTTGATGCTTTATAAAATACAAAATCTTGGGAGATAATAGCTTCTTAGAACTGTGGCTGGAATACTTCGAGATTATCTTTGTCTAAATACTTCTTTTTCACTCTCAATTCACTTAATTTCAATCTTTAATCAGCCTTCATAATGGGCTAAGCATTTGAAAATTCGCGGAAAAACTGTACTTCTCATTTTGATCAGAGCGTAACATAAACAAACAAGAATTAGTATTCAATAACAGAAGTGAAAGCTGATCAGATCTCCTTCCATGAACCTTTTGAGATGCAGAAGAAGAAATCGAATAAAGGAGGGAATAATGACGAGATTCCAGACTTTCTCATCGATTCAGTTCCTTACCTCAACAATGCAAAACAGTTGTCTCAAATAAACAAGGACTCTATCAATCCATATCTTCCAGCAGAGAAAGCTAGAAAACTATCCTCATCTAGTATAAGGTCTGTTGAATCAGAAAAAAATACCTCAGCACCATCATCTAAAGCGGATAAATCAACTTATAGTGAAGGTGATGCATCTAAATTTAGTTTTGAAGCTGCTTCTGGAGGACCAAGCCCAATAGCTCCAAATGGCCATAGAATCGTTTCCACTACTTCAGAACCTGCTTATAATAATAGCAGCCCAAATGTTAGCAACTATTCATTTCATACAGCTCAGTCTGGAAGCTTCATGTCCCCAAACAACTCAAGATTTATGGAAGTTACACCTTCTCAAATTCCGCTACCGATCTCATCATCAAGCTCAACCTCACCAAAGATTCCTCTTACTATTCAAACATCTACACCTAATGAAAAAACAGCAGAGCTTTATGATACCACTGGTGATAGTTCCAACAACCAATTCAGCTTCTTCAATACTAGCCCCGCTTATCACCCAGATAGTCCATCTGCTAATATCAAAAATACCACAGCAAAAAGAGTTTCAGTGGCTCCAAGAGATTCACCACATAGCAGGAATTCATCAATATCATGGGCTGTCAACAATCCTGACGAATGGACTATTGAAAGGGTCGTATATTGGTTAGAGTTGAATCAATTCAACGAATCATGGACTACTGTATTCAAAAAGCATGGCTTATATGGGCAAAAATTCTTGTCATTGACCAACTACCAGAACTTGAAGAATTTCAAACTAGAATTAGCTACCTCCAATGATTCAACACAGTCGAGATTCATTCATCTGCTGAGAAAAACTTTGGATAAGCCAACATCACCAACAACTATAAGTGCATTTTCACCATTACCAACCGTTTCACCAAATTCTTCCTTTGATAGTCTAGAATCTAATCCAGCCAACTCTGAAGATTTAAATTTCAGATCTCGTCAAAGATCTGGTATTGATCCTTTGGTGCCCACTATTTCAGCACCAACATTTCATCATAATGAAGAAAAATCAAGCCCAGTTTTACCCCCATCAACAAACCAGCAGCCACCAAGTGTTCCTCAACAAAGACTCCCCAAGGTTCACCCTAAGAGAAGACCCGTCTCAACAATTGAAAGTTCATCAAAAAACATGTGGTCAAATTCACCTGTCTCTCCAGCTGTCCCTCATGGATTCTTTAGAAGACATCAAAAATCAAGTTCCTCGGAATCTTCATTATTCACTTCGATTTTTCCATCAAGCTCTTCAAACAATACCCAACAGACTGATGATAAAAGATCTAATGGGGCGTCAAGGTCTGACAACAATGAGTCTAAAGGACTATTGAGTAAATTCAGAAAGAGAACTGATAGGTCGAAAAGCAGGGAGCCTGCTCAGAGGGATACATCATCGCCTGTTAGTCCTGTATCTTTGAATGCCTTGGATAACAACAAAAGAGCAGGCAAGAAACTGGACTTTAAATTTGAAGAGAGAAATAAATCTGTAAAAACTTTGAGTGATGATTTGGTGAAGCCATTCATTATAGAGAGAAAATATTTACCAGTTCCACAACAGAATAACTCGGATAAATATATTTTGGTCACTAAGGATAACCAAAGTTTTGTTCCTGTTAATGTTGGATCATGTGTTGACTTGGACTCGTTCAAATCAACATTGATAAAATCAATTTTTCCCAACTCCAATGATGCAACAATTCACTTGACAGATTTTGGATGTTCAATTGGAGAGGCTTTGAATGATGCTACTCTGGAGAGCTTACGAAGCTCGTCATTTTCCAATTGTTCAGCCAAGGTTTTGATCACCCCAACAGATACAATATCATCTATTGCAAGCTCTTCTGTTGCCAGTTTATCAGACACACAATCATTTGAAACAAAAGGAGATGATAAATTATACCCAAATACACCACAGCATTTTTACGATAATGCCGTTTCCAGATCACAAGATGTTGATTATCTGAATTTCAAAACATATTCTGCTCCACCGGCCTCTATCGCTTCAACTCCATCAATATCATCAACGGCTCCGCAAACAGCTCCACCAAAACCTATCTCACCGCCTATTGTGATCAGTTCACCACCACCAGCAAGGAATAATACCGAAATCAGAAGAAGTTCCTTTAGAGTTATCAGGCCTCAAGAAAGACCAGAAATCAATTTTGATAAAAGAAGAGAATCGCCTTTTGCTCGTGCGTCAAATTTTGTTGCTAAAAGAAGTGCTCCACCACCTCCATTAGGAAGACAAGTGTCAAGATTGAATTCTGATAAACCATTATTGACACCAGTTAAAGAGTCTGTCAGTAATGAGGGCACCTATATCGCTTCTTACACGCCAGGATCAAGTAATACTCTGATCCCAGAGCCTTACAAGGGCAGTTCAGGAAGTGTTTCACCGGTTTCGAGAAAAGGATTTGATCTTAATGACAGAAGTAGCAGCTCAACAAGTGTCACTGAGAGTCGTAACAATGCAATTAAAAGATCACTTACAAGAAAAGTCTCAATAAACTCAAAGAATGCTGCTGATAAATTCCAAGAAAATGTTATCTCGTTTGATGATGCACCAGCTCTCGATGATGAAACGAGTGATGATGATTCAGATGATGATTTTTGGGCTAAAGCTCCCTCTGACTTGAAAGAAAATGAAGAAAAATCTGCTCAAGAAATATCAAAGATGGTGGTTAGACCTGCTCCAGAAGTTTTGTATGACAATCTTGAGAAATTCTTCCCAAACGCAAATTTAGACCAGCCTGTTGTTGATATAACTCCACCGGCTTCGCCTATGAATGATAAACAAGTAAAGAAGGATCCATCTAGAATTCAAAAGACTGTCATCAGCAGCACATCAGATGAAGAAGGGTTCGGGAAATTGTCAAAACCTCATAGGGTCAAAACTATTCGTGCTGTTGCTCGTGAAGCTAGTGAGGCGAGAAAAAGGGAATCTATAAGAAGAACCATCAACCAAAACACCAACCTGGTTAGAAGACAAAGTACAAAGATGTGGGGTAAGAAAGTTGTTGAAGTGAAGCCTAATCAAACACAATATTTAAGTAAGTTGAGAAGTCAGAAGGGTGAAATTAAACAATTTTCTTGGATTCGTGGTGAACTTATTGGTAAAGGGACTTTTGGGAATGTTTATTTGGCGTTGAATGTTACAACTGGTGAAATGATTGCAGTGAAGCAAGTTTTAGCACCTGAAAGAGTGAGTGAAAACGCTAAAGTTCCTGAGGTTATTGAGGCTTTAAGATCAGAAGTTGAAACGTTAAAGGACCTGGATCATTTAAACATTGTTCAATACTTGGGATTTGAAAAAACAGAAAAAGAATACAATTTGTTTCTTGAATATGTTGCCGGTGGTTCGGTTGCATCATGTTTGAGGCTATATGGTAAATTTGAAGAACCATTGATCAGATTTTTGACACTTCAGGTCCTTAAAGGTTTATCATATTTGCATACAAAGGGGATTTTACATCGTGATATGAAAGCCGATAATATTTTGCTGGATCTTGATGGGGTTTGTAAGATTTCAGATTTTGGTATTTCTAAGAAATCAAATGATATTTATGCTAATGATGCAGCTATGTCAATGCAAGGTACAATCTTTTGGATGGCACCTGAAGTTGTTGACAGTAGGGAAGGTTACAGTGCTAAGGTTGACATTTGGTCTTTAGGGTGTGTTGTCCTGGAAATGTTTGCTGGTCGTCGTCCTTGGTCAAATTTGGAAGCAATAACTGCGATGTTTAAAATTGGTAAGGCAAAAGCAGCACCTCCTATTCCAGAGGATATTCTACCTTCAGTGTCTATGGAGGGTCGAAACTTTTTGGATAGTTGCTTTGCAATTGATGCAAGCAAAAGACCTACAGCACAAGAATTGTGCAATGATCGCTTCTGTGAAGTTGAGCCTAATTTTTCGTTTTCTTCTACAAGATTGGCACAATTGATTAAGACTAATGAGAAGAAGATAACTGTGTAAAGAGAAAGTTCGACCATTAGATGAGGTTTTACAATACTTGAGATTTGTAGAGCATCGAAATGTGGGTCTTGACTCTTGACTAGTAATTTTTTGCTTCTATCATGAATATAAAGGCTTCGCGATGTGTTTGGAAAAAAAAAACGGAGAAAGTCATCAAAACAATAAGTTTGAACTTGAAAACGTTTACATTCATCAAAAAGTGATTGTTTTTGGGTTACAAAAGCTTCTGATCTCTAATAGGCTTGTGATGGATTTGCATTAATGCTTGTGGTTGCTGACTGCTGACTGTTGACGCGTAATTGTTTATTGTCAACGATTGACGTGATGTTATGAAGTCTTTTAGTTGATGTACGTTTGCTTCGTGAAGATGGTTTTGTGTTTTGTGGTGCATTGTTGGTTCTATGACACAAAAGCTAAAATAGTTGTGTTTGTGATTAGTGACGCTGTGGTGTTTTTGTGGTTAAACGGTTGAAGTGTACCGTTTTTGTGGTTGCCTATAGGAATTTACTTTGTTTTGCGTTTGTGGTCATGTACACAAAGATGAATTACTTAGGAGAATAATTCAATTACTATGGTGTTTGTGGTTTGTGTTTTTGTGTTTTGTGGTTGCTTTGGATTTTGTGTCAACTGTTGTCGAAAAGGTTAAAAGAAGGTCGAGTCCCAATTCCCTTCAATTCTTTTACCACTCACTTTTAGTTCACTGTTGGTTTTTTCATTCATTTCCATTCATCATTTATTTCCAGGTAGACAGCTCATGTTCTCAAGACCCTTGATATTTTTATGGTTGCACAATTCACTTTGATGGTTAGAAAGAATTTATTTTTTTGTCATTTGATTCTAGTGTCCTTTGCGATACGTTATCCTTGTTGATGAGTTACTATTATGAAGGTTAGTGGTGGGCTTGATTGATAGGAAGTACATTGATTCACTACCCCATTGAAAGATTTGAGAGCTTGTTCTTTTGAGTTGAGTATTTGGGTTTCATTGTTACCTTGAACTTATATCAACAACTTTGGGAGGATTCTTGATGAAATAATTATAACTTTTCGCTCCAAATAACCTAGGATGACTTTTATGTTTACTTGATTCTGATGGTTTTGAAGAACTTTTCCCCCCAGCCTCTTTGTTTTTCTATAAAATCAATGATGATTGTTCTCATATGTTGTTATTCTTGAATTCGTGTTTCAAAATATCATTCCCCAATGGTGTTCTTTTGTTTCGTTGACATCTACCCCAGGCCATCATTCATTGTTCATTGTTCATTGTTCATTGTTCATTGTTCATTTCCAATTTTTGTTTTTTGGTATTATCATTTACTTTTTTCTTTTACTTGATGATCAATCATTGTGATGTTCAATTACTAACTCTTTTCCAAGGATATTCATCCATCATTCATTGTTCATTCCCGATTCTTGCTTTTTGGTATTATCACTTACTTGTTTTTTTCTTTTTCATGATCAATCATTGTGATGTTCAGTCACTAACTTTTCTTCAAAGATTTTTTTTCATCATTCATTGTTCATTTTCAGCTCTTGCTTTTTGGTATTATCACTTACCTGTTCTTTTCTTTTTTATGATCAATCATTGTTATGTTCAATTACTAACTTTTATTCACAGCCATTCATGTTTGTCTTGTCATTTCATTTTGAGGTTTTACTGCTGACTTTCTTCCGTTGTTGTTGTTGTTGTTGTTGTAGGGGTATCACGGTCCACTAGTGTGACCATATTAGATTAATACAAACAATATGATTTAACGTCGAAAAAAGAGCTACAGATGTTAGAAAACAGGATGTACAATAGAGAAAACATATACAAAAAGAATAAAAAGGATATATAAAAAAGAATAAGAACGTGATTAATATCAACTACATGCCATAAACCTTTATGACAATTAGATGAAAAAATAGGTGAAAATGACTGAGATCAATCAATCAGTAAGTTTCAATTGTCACAAAAGCTCCAATCTAATACCAACTATCAATGAAAGATCCAGCCATAAAAAACACCTTCGTTATTATCCCCAAACGACAATCTAATAACAACCGAATCATCTTCCACATCAGACAGGGCCCTTGCCTTTCAGTTTCATCATCAATTGAAATCATCAATATCATTTGTTTGAATGGAATAACAACTAGAGATCAACTGATCTATTAGTATTAGGTTTCAAGTTCTTTTGCTTTTGTCTTTTTTTTTTTTTTTTTTTTTTTGGTTTCATTGTAAACTTCTTATGACTTTTGACTAGTATCAAAGAAAACATTATTCTACCAATAAATTGGCATCTTGACTGACTCAATACTATTCCCGCACTACACAGGAAAATGAAGCAAGCAATGAATTCTAATCAACATCATCATCAAAAGCTGAACAATTCCGAAATCATAACTTCATCAATTCTCACAAGTTTCCAGGAATCATAAGTACATCTAAATGTAGTCCTCCCAATTGACCTTCAACATCTATTCACTCATTGAAACCTTTAAAATGAAAACATGTAGCAAGAACCTCCATTATGTTCCCCTATTTCAAAATAATTCAAAAAGAATACAAATCACCATGAAGAACTGAACCTAATAAACCCGGATAAAAAAGTAAAAAGGAAATGAAAAACCCAATGATAAATGATAATCCCCCAGTACCCATACTCAATACAAATCCCTCAGATCCCACAATGAAAAATAAAATGCACCAGATCCCACAACAAAAAATAAAATGCCCCAGACCCCACAACAAAACTTGAATAAATCAAGAAATGACAAACAACATGGAAAAGGAAAATCAATGAACAGTAAACAGGTGTAACACAACACCAACAATAACAGGTATTAACTATATTCATTAATAAATAGCTGTCAAATAACGACACCGACTGGATAGTAATTAAACGCTAAATTATATAATTAGCTTATAAATATATAATAATTAAATGAACATCGGCACTTCAGCAGCTATATTATTTTAAAATTATTCCGCGCAGTAATATTAATATAATATATTTATAAGACTAGTACTGCAGCTGAGTCCCCAGTGATTTTGTACATTATTTTATAACATTTTATATAAATTAGTACACAATATGATCACTAGAACATTCTTAATATTTGTTTTTATTCTGATTTATCCCTTTAATTATTATATTAAATCAGTCATAGATCACTGAGTCCCCAGTGAATATTTTGTACATTATTTTAGCATTTAATTATAAATACACATCAGATACATTAAAAATTAACATTAAAAAAAAAAATCTAGTCTGCAGTCAGCACTAGCTAGTTGCAGTAGCAGTACGTATATAATTGTAACAAATATATTTGTAAATATATTATAACTTTAATAAATTATCAGCAGCTAGTGATCAGATTGTGTCATCCGAAAAGGGAAAAAGTTCAGATCTGAGTTGAAAAATATTTGTATGATAATCATGATCTATCGTTTCATAGTGATAGCAGCCCCATTAAAAGATTTTTGAAGATGAATTCTTATAAAAGCACACCCAGGCGATCATCTAAAAAATTCACCTAGCTTTAAATATGATCATGATCATATTATAAAGAAGTTGTATCTACTTGCGCTTATCAAAAAATACATAGTCGCGATGCTAACTGAAATCCACCTTTATTTGATGCTGCTTTTTATAATCAAGTTGATGCTCTATTGCTGTTAAAGAGACAATAAATAATGTCCTAGGTCAAACTCATATAACGCTTGCAATCTCAACTGATTATCAATTAATTTGTAAAGTATCAGCTGCTTGCTATTATTAGTGTTTGCTCGCGGGATTAACATTAATGTTCAAGCGTTTCCTTGGAATTAAAAAAACCAGCAGCTCACTGAGAGCTTCTATTAATATTAGACTTATCATGGTACATATCAAGATCAATATACGACGTTCAAGATTTGGAATCACCCTTGTAAAATACTCAAATTGTTTTTTCTGAGGTGCATACATTTTTTCGAAACATATTCTTAATCGGCCGAACTAAAACGGCAGTTTTAGGGCCAAAACTTGAGCTACAAAACTCAAAATAAAAGCAAACAAGCCTTAGGAACAAAATAAGAGTATTTAGCTATAAAAATGCAGCAAAAAAAATGGCAAAAATATAATGAAGGATGCGAGGTTCGAACTCGCGCGGACAAACGTCCAGTAGATCTTAAGTCTACCGCCTTAGACCACTCGGCCAACCCTCCTGAAAGACAAGTTGTTGAGGCTGCTGTATGGGCACGAAAATATAAAATTACGTAAGTAATTAGTCAGAACCATATAATTTTCTACTTCACTTCTATTGATTTGAGAATCATAAAGCTTACAATTGCCGTATTCTCATTGTTTATTTAACGGTGGTTGGTTCTTCGCAATAAGGGTATTTATGACTTGAGATTTTGGCTGAACGAATCACTTGAGGTTGTATTGGTTGAAGCTCGTTATAACATTGATGGTGAATCGAGCGTTGAGAATTCAGGAATCAGAATCATATACTAGCTATCAGCATTAATACTTTACTACCTTATGACGGTAGTACCCAATACCTAGTAGTCTCTTGATGAATTCCAATGACACCCAATGAGAATAAAGGTTGTTGAGGTTGGCTCAGCTTTGGGTGATTGGATCCTTGTCATGTTACAGAACATGCTCATGTATCGTTGGGTCAAGATGATATGGTTGGACTATATTTGGGTCTTGGTAGCTAATTACCTCTGCGAGCAACAGATTACGAACTATCCGCACAATTGGACTGAACCTTGAAGCCTCAAATTTCTGATCTTTATGCTTTGAAGTTTAACTCTAAGTCAATTGTTTGTTCATGATTCATCAAGTGGACAGGCTCAATGGGCAATTGCCAATGGGCATGACCAAATAACCTGGTTTGATTTATTGCTAGTTGAGATCATATGTATCATTTTGGTTCCTTGTACTTTTTTTATTTGAACTATTTTGGACCAGGGTGACAGTTTGTACTTCTTGACAATACCTCAACAGTTTTGAAAAGTTGTCTGCAGGCTAATTATTATCAAAAGTTAACAGGAAATGAATCAAAGGTGAATGTCAATACTTTTGAACTTTTGACCAGCACTTGAAATTTCAAGGTAAAAGAACTTAAGTATCATACAGGGTGGTATCAGAAAGGTGAAGATACCAGAGAGAGAGAGAGCTTAACATAGGAGGCACCATGCGATCTTTGCTGAAGAAATGGAGATTTTCACCAGTTTAGTGCGCCAATACTCAACCAAGATTTCAGTTAAGACAGGAGTCTTAAAGTGATACACCGTGTTTACATATTTTCCACTTCCTTGGAATGGTGATCAATGAACTCTTGGCCACAACAAAGTAGTCTAATGCTCAGAAATGGTTCGATGATGATGGCGCGTCCATCAAATACTAACTATTAATCACCACTTGAATTAGCAGAAGTTAACAGAAGGACTGAAAACTTTTTTTCGTTTTTGATCAAGAGCCCTATGACCAATCTTTTGAGGAATCTAATTTTGCCTTTTATCAAGTTGAATCAAGCATACCATTATGTCCAGCATCTTCAGGTCTTCAATTATTCAGTTACCCAAGGATGACTACTTCCCATTTGATATTTCATGATGACATTCTACTTTAAAGTGCCGTCTATACAAAGATCTTCTCTGTATAACCCACAATTTTGCTTTCAAGTTTTCAACCTCCACAAATGAAAAGTTCTTCCGGGGTGCATAGGCTAGCTCGTGGCCCAAAGGAAACGCTTAAAATAACCGGCGTGTAAGAGTGAATTTGAGGACCTACAAATGAATTTCATACTGGTTGTGTCATGGAGCATATTGGGCTCATGGTAATTGGTTACAGGCGGTTGTTTAATACAGTAAAATATACGGGTTGTTCAGCTTACGAAGTTGTTTGGAGTAAAATACTACCATGAGTTTCCAAGTAGAATTTCAAGTAGTCTACAAAGCTAGCCTATTCTAGTCATGATCTTGTTAAAGTTGACAGGTATCTAACGACTTCAGTCTTGTGTGATCTTGTGTTCTTGATCTGGGTCATTTGTGTAGCTATTGATGCTCTCCACCTGGAGTAAAACTGGAGTGCTTGAGGTTAACAATACTTTTGTGATGCAACTTGGTGTAAGTGATGTGCTAAAGTTAAGCAGCAACCTCAAAGGATGAAACCGTGCAACATGTAGCCTGTAGCACATACAAATTTTACTGGCCTGGTTGTTGATCAATGTTCGGAAGTTGAAGCACATTTCTAGACTCAAGGAGATGGGTCCTTGATATACACTTTGCCCGCAACATATCAACCACACGACCATAGAATACAAGCACGACTGGGATACTATCAAGATGAATTAAAGAATCTATTCATTAACAGCACCATCTATTTTTCCGCTACTCTCATTTTAAACCGTCTCAGCCATCAGATTCTTGCCATTGCAAAATAGCCTGTTTCTATAGCCTAAAGCGCCTGTCTCGTCCTCCGTAGAGGGGCAGGAATGTGTCACCTACCGGGATGTCCGATTGCATAACCATAGAAAAAACATGAATTTATAACTTGTTGTTTTTCGTTTCAACATATGGTCCATCAAGAATAGGACAAGGATAAGGTTATAAGCAAGATAGTGGAGGCCCACTAGGTTGCAAAAGCACGGTTCGTTATTCTCATAATTTGTAGCGTTTTTGTGGGATAGATTTGCCCTCAAGTTTCCAATTTTGTATGTTGCACATGGAGATACGTCTGGAGAATACGCTGTGATGTAATTGGGGTTTAGTGTGGACGAGTACACAACTACTTGTGTTTTGAAGTCACGGACTGTGTTGATATAGTTCTACGATGGCCTGATATAGCACTGTAGGTGGTCACTGGTATTGACAAGTCTTGTCTTTACAAGGTTTTAGCTTCTGGGGTAGGTTGAAAAATGGAAAATTGTATGATAATTACCAGTGTATGTATGTTTTCATGGGGGACCCAATTAGGTTCTGGCTTTGGAATTCGCGCGTCTGCAAATCGTCCACCGGTTAATCTGATTCATAATCATCAACTTTGTGAACAAATCAACAGAATCAGTGAGCATATCCAAGAAATTAAAAGGATCGGATACCTTTAACCATGAGAAAAAGAACTCGTTTCGCCACCAATCTCTACACGAGTAACAAGGTTGTAAAGTTCTCATACTCTCGTTCCAGTAATCCCCTTTAGGCTTAAGCTTTGCCAACTTTATCTTTTTCCGCCTGGAAAAACTTTTTCCTCAAAAGTGACCAGCTGCCCCCGTTTCTTTTTCCGCTGTGGCCCAACCGTCGAAAGTTTTTCCGGTGCCATGATACAAAATAAAACCCATCTCATATCCTGTTTTCTCAACGACGACAACTTGAGAGTAGATATCCCCTAAAACAAGATTACAATCCCACACAAGAAGATGGCTAAGAAGGATTCTTCATCTCCTCCAGCTACAAGTGCTGCTTCGACTACTCCACCTGCTTCAACTGATCCAACAAGACCTTATGTTTGCACAGTTTGTTCAAAAGCGTTCCATAGATTGGAACATCAAACAAGACATATGAGAATTCATACTGGTGAAAAACCTTTCCAATGTAATTTCTGTTCAAAGAAATTCAGCAGAAGTGATGAATTAACAAGACATACAAGAATCCATTCAAATACAAGATTAAAGAAAAATGGTAAAAGTTCATCATCATATGAGAACCTAAATCAACCTATAACTTATTATGTTCAACCTCCAACTCATCAGCAGCAACAACAACAACATATGCCACCTCCACCACCACAAAGTACTCAAATCCCACCACAAGGCGCTATTCCAGTTCAACAACCTGGTGCTCCAACTCCACAATTTTATATTCAACAAGTTCCAATACCTATACAACAAATCCCAATTCAACATCCAAATCCTACACAACACTTGCCACAACAAATATATCAACCACAACCACAAGTTGCCATTCCACCACCTCAACAACAGCAACAACCACAACAACAACCTTCATTATTCCAATCTAAACAAATCTTTTTACCAAATATTCAATCACCACCAAAGATTTTAAAATCTGCATCATCATCCTCATTCCAAACATCATCATTATTTTCATCCAATAACAATTCTTCAACGAATTTATCAGCTCTTTCATCAAAATCAAACTCTTCAACTTCATTATATTCATTAGGTAATAACAATGGTAATCCATTAAATGCATTATCAACATTGAAAAGAATGACACCAATTTCCAACAATTTTACACCAAAGGCCCTACATACAACTTCAGAAGAATCAATGGAACCAGCTAGGAAGAAGTCTAGACCAAATTCACCAACGATGTTTCATCTTAATGAAACTCCATTGAGTACTCCATTACAAAGTCCAAAATTGAATGCTGTTGAAAATGGTAATAATGGTGTTAGTTTACCAAGTTTGAAAAGTTTGGATTTACCTAGCTTTAATGAAAAAGGTTTATAATGAATAGTTTTATGATTAGAGATGATTATTTGTGTGTTTTTTATGATGGTTTGAGTTCAGTATGGTTTAAATTGAAGGTTATGTTATAAGGTTATATTTACAAAACAGATATTGGTTATATATTTGTGTTTACATCAATGTTATGATTATCATGGGTTTACAAATATGTAGTGGTTTGAATTCTGGCTGAATCTTTGTAACACTGTTCTTAATATTTGGTAAAGCTTGTAAGTTGTAACTTGTGAACCCTCCACCTGCTAAACTCCACTCTGCCTAGCTCAGCCAGCCAACGGCCAACGGCCTGCCCCAGGCCCCATGCCGCCCCAGCCTACGCTTGATATATTCCCCAGTGCAGTGTGCACTGGAGTTGAACAGCGGAAGCGGCCTGGGGGAAAAAGCAGTACTCCACAAAGGGAACCGAAACAAAATTGCCCCAGGCTCCAGCCCACAAGTTACAACGCAGAAAGGGCCTGAACTTGAAGTGATACAAGAGATTTTGGGTAGAGAAAAGGGCAGTCAGAGCGAAACCTGGATAAAAGATGATACGATTTTAGATAGCTTAAAATCAAACAGGTTCCTGGGTTCTGAATCCTGATGAAATCTTTGAAAACGAAGAACAAATATGGAAGGGGGATAACCTTCGTAAAGATTGAAGATGTTTGGAACATTGACAATAAAAGAGGAGCAGTTTTATTGTTCGGATGACATTAACCTACCCCTATTCCAATCGTACTACTTTAACTTTACCATCAAGTCTTTTCATCATGGTCCACGATCACGATACCACGTATAAAATTTCGTTCGTTATGGTGTCTGATAACAAGGCCCTGTAAGAGCATATTCATTTTATTCGGTTTAGCTATAGAGTTCGCACTGGGCACAACAGCGTGCTCACATGATAGAACCTCAGGGCTACAAAGAGAAAACAACAACAGAATTTAAGTGAGAAAGGAGATAAGCTGTGTTGGTGTTTGTTCTTTTCCATGAAATCACATAGTAATTTGGTGGTACTTTTTGAACTCTTCAAGTCTTGACCAAATCTTTGCTGTACAGTCCAGGCGTACGCCTAGCTCCACACAAGCCCTGTAATTAGTACCAAGCTGACTGGTCCATGGCCCATTTTCCAAACCCAAACTACATAACATCAAACTTCAAACTATCTCAACAGAGCTATGTCTTGGGTGTGTAAGTGGTGTATAAGAAGCATATGTATAGTCCATCACCGTTAATTGAGGATCTACTTCCTTTTGGATCAGTGCTGAATTGTTGCACAAAGTTCAAACACTGGTTCCTTCGATTGCTACACCTACTTTTTTTCTGTACGTTATGTTTCATGCAATATGCATCACCGTTATTAACTTTAGGTATGTTATGTAGTTTGTTGAACTTCAATGTTTACATTTGGATTGAACTTGACCAAAAATGAAGAGTAAATTTTGAATTTTGTAGATTTCAAAGAAAACATGAACTTTTCATCAAGTGAGAAGTTGGTGAAGATTGGATATAGTTGAATGTAGTTTTGGAAAAGTTTTAAGTGCCATGAAGATAGTTTGGCGTTTCTGCCATTTCTTGACGTGTCATTTAATACACGCAGATACAGTTGCATTCTTCAAGTTTTAATGGTCAAGATTGAAGATAGAAGAATGATATAGTTCATTTAAACTTAATCGTATCATATTAAAGAAACGAGTAGCCATTTGAAATTAGCTCGCTATCACAGACAATGAAAGTAATCCGATTGAAAGTCGATTTAAGAAAATTGTTCGAACTAGGTCCCAATATGTGAAGGCTGCAAATGGTTTGTGAAGACCATTATAACAGCTATACTAGTAGAATCGGGACTAGTTGATAGAAAACGATAAAGTCCATCAAGGACGCCTTTCTCATCATTGAAATGGGCTATATAACTGATGGAGTAGCCGCCCAATGCTCATGATTTCATTGAAATTAATTGAAATCAACAACTTGAGACTTAACAATTATTTCAGTCGTCAACTACATCACTTCAGATTTGATAAAACACAGCTCTATAATTCAGATAATTATATATAATTTAGTATACATGATAGTAAAAAAATTTGGATCGACAATATTAAAAAAAATGGATGAACAAGCAATGCATACTTTCTTTTCTCGCAATTTCCCAAAAAATCTTTTAACCTTCCAAAGAAAAAGACACAAATAATCACATTTGTTTAATAAACAAAGCAAAAAAACAACAATATGAAAGTATAATAATACAGAATTTATGCAAAATAACGATAGGATGTTTTTTTCCCTTTTTTTTTCCTTAGTTTCTTCGACATCAACTTCTAATAGTAAAATATATGTAAAAAAAAAGAACATCACAACACAGTTAAAAATCAAATAAAAACAGCAGCAATTCACAACAGCACAGTACAACACATCATATCATTATTTCTCTATATCTATTTTTGTTCATCATTTGAACCAGCTTGGCCATATTGTGGTAAATAACCATATCCATAATTTTGTTGATATTGGTACATTGGTACATTTCCATTTTGTTGAGCTTGAGCAGGTTGTTGTTGGATTTGTGGACCTGTTGAAACACCAGTAGTTGCGTATTGATATGGATAATAATTTGGATACTGGGTGTTATAATAATTTTGTTGTTGTTGTTGTGGTGGAACACTTGAAGTTGGTGCGTTTGAATTACCAGTTGATGTATTAGTTGCATTACCGATAACATTTGATTTATTGTCTTGTGGTAATGATGCATTTGATAAAGAAGTTGGTGTTAAATATGGTGAAAGTTTCTGTGCTGGTTGTTGTTGACCTTGGGATTGAGATTGAGCTTGAGATTGTTGTTGTTGTTGAGTTGGTGTTTGTGATTGAGTTTGTGGTACTGATTGTGCTGAATATGCTGATTGTAATTGGGGTTGTTGTTGCTGATAATTTGTGCCTGGAACTGATTGTGGAACAGGAGGATATTGCCATTGAGGATTAGCGTTTGGTTGAGTAGTTGAACCTTGTTGAATAACTTGTTTAATATCTCTGACAAACAATGGGTATAACAAATCGACAATACCTTCTCTTTGAGCCATAGCCAGAGCACGATCAAAAGGAATCCAAACACCTTTTAGATGCATTGAACCAATTTTAACAACATCTCTAATTTTTTCACTTTTCAATATCCCATCTCTACGACCTCTAGTCATATGAGCCACATTTAGTAATTTGGTACCATTGATCATATTATTATCAGCTCTTCTCACAACTGAGACACCATTAGCATCAACTTGATAACATAATGTTTTTTCATCTTCCCACATAGTTGTTGTTACTCTTGGTCTTGAGCCAACAGGTTGAATTTGACCTACAGTGGAAGTTGGCTGGGTAGAATAAGTTTGAGGTGGAATTGAAGCCATTGTTTGTTGAGGAATTGGAGTTGCACTTGAAGTAGCTGATGTTGTGGTAGCAGGAGCAGTTGGAGCAGTAGTTGGAGCAGTAGAAGTGGAAGCGGTTTGAGCACTAGTAGCATTAGACTGTTGATTCGATTGGGAAGGGGTGGAATTAATTGAAGGCTGGGAATTGTAGTATTGTTGGGATTGTTGATGAGGAGGAGCATAGTTTTGAACATAACTATATCTTTGATAGTTATAATCTGGATAAGCTTGATTGTATTGAGCATTTCCAGCAGTAGCACCACCAGCAGTTGCAGCGTTAATAGGAGTTGATCCGAGAGCAGATTGGTAGTAAGAAGGGTATGAACTTTGGAATTGGGAGTTGTACATAGGTTGTTGTTGCTGTTGCTGCTGTTGTTGATAGTAATAAGAATATTGTTGCTGCTGTTGTTGTTGTTGTTGAGCATATCTGTACTGATCCTCCTGTTGTTGACCAGGATGTTGCAAGCCCTGGTTGTTTTGATTTGAAACAGGAACGGTGTTTTGGGCATGAGCGCCTTGTAGACCAGCGTTAGCAGTAGATGATGAACCTGTTAAAGGGCTGTTGTTTGCGTTGTTCGCGTTAGCGTTGTTGTTGTTATTGGATGGTTGGTCCTGTTTCACAGCTGTTGATGCTGCTGAAGCAGTTTGGGCAGGTTGGCCGTTAACAGGGTTGTTGTTGTTGTTGTTGGAAGGAGAAGGAGCTGTTGCAGAGGCATTGTCGAGCTGTTTTGCTGGAGGAAGGGCTGACATGGCTGATGGGACTAGTGAGTGTAACGGGTATTGAGTAGGATGTATTGGTGATGATGTTGATGATGTTTATGTTTATGTGAATCTCTTTTTATGTGACTGCAAGTACAAATTTTAACTGGGAAGCACCCACTCGCTAACAAAAAAAATATGGGCCTGAGCGGTTGTTGGGAGATCAGCCAATTGGAGCGGAGCAGAGGGTAACACCTGTAGGATTAGGTAATATTAGGGGTAAGTATTACTAATCAATTCATTGATTATGTAAACCGCGTTTTTTCTGTAACAGAGGGTAACATCAACACAAAAATTCGCGAAATACATAGAAACGCGTCTCAAGTCTAATCAATTGTACTTTATCATATTCCAATTCTTTACATCAACAACGAGACAAACAAGATAAACGGTAGCTCAAAATGTTCAGAAGCTCAAAGAGAAGAACTGCTGGTAGAAGAAACTTTGAGTCTGCTCAAATCAACCCATCTAGTGAGGACTCATACATCAATAACACGCTATTCTCTGCAAAGCTATCATTTTATCAGTTACCTCCAGTTGGTGAAATTACTTTAGATCAGTTTGAAACTTGGGCCATAGACCGTATCAAAATCTTGAACGAGATAGAATCTGCAACTGTTAGAAATAAAACTTATAAAGACATAGAATCAACTGTTTTACCATTGTTGAATCAATATTTACCATTGACAAGTTCAAATGATGCAGAGAAATTGAAATTAAACAAACAAAAGGACTATTACTCCCATTTCATTCTTAGATTATGCTTTGCTCGTACCAAAGAACTCAGAGATAAGTTTATCAAAAACGAAACTATCTTATTCAAAATCAGATTCAATCAATTATCAACTAGAGATCAACAAGTTTTCATCAAATCTCTAAATTTACCATGGGATTTCATTACACCAGAGGAGAAACAAATTCATTCAGATAATTTATTCAAGGCAATTGCTCCATCTTTACAGTTCCAGCTTCAATTAACTGATGATAATTCCAAGAGAAGCTTCTTTGAAAATGAAAATTTCATTAAATTACCATTTGAAAACGTTTCAGATTTAGTCTCTCACCGTTCCATCTTTTTACACAAAGGTTATGCATACATCCCCCAATTTCAACAATTACAACTATTATTAAATGAATATCAATCTCATTTAAGTACCCAATTATTAAGTGCGGCTCACGCGTTCCCTTCATTGGATGAGGATGATAGAATCTTGCCAATATTGACTCATTTATCAACAAACTCAAATGTTTCATACACCCCAGATTACGAATCTGCAAATTCTTCAGATATTAACGCCAAATCCATCTACACCAAAAAGATCAATTCAAATTTCCCATTATGTGCATCTCAATTGATGAATGGTTTAAATCAAACCCATCATTTGAAATACATTGCAAGACAACAATTCACATTGTTTTTGAAAGGTATTGGTCTTTCATTAGATCAAGCTTTAGAATACTGGCAAAATGAATTCACAAGATCGATTTCATTGGATAAATTCCAAAAAGAATATGCTTATAATATAAGGCATACTTATGGTAAAGAAGGTGCAAGAATCAATTATAAACCTTGGGATTGTAAAACTATTTTATCCAAACCAAGACCTGCAAAGGGCGAATTTCATGGTTGTCCATATAGAGATTTGAATCCTGAGAATTTATCAAGAAATTTACAAAATATGGGATTGAGTGAAAAAGATGTTATGGATGTTGTGGAGATCAGCTCAAAAGGTGAATATACTGGTGCTTGTACTAAAGTTTTGGAATTGAAGAGTGGGATTAATGAAGTTGTCGTTCATCCAAATTTGTACTTTGATAGAATGAGACAAAGTCAAGTTAAGGAAGAAGAAGTGAAATGAGAAGTTAACCATGAATTGTATACTATAAATTATTATGACTGTTATTATTGTCTTCAGTAGGATTCTGAGCATCTTCTAGTCTGGCCCTATGTCGCTCCATCTTCTTCGCGAATTGTTTAGTAGCTCTTTCAAAGTTACCAATTAACTACACAACCACTCAACATTTCAAAGTCATGTTTCTCTTTTACTAGGGTTGTATTCTGAAATTGATCTCCATTGTTCTGATGATTTTCAAAACCGCTACATGGGCCTAATGGTTGTTCGTTTTTCTTGCGCCTGCAGGTTGTCAACCTGTAACACAAAAACAAATTGTGAAGGTTTCTTGCCATTCAACGGCTCAGCGTGGTACAGTATACTTTAAAGAAGCTATTCAAGTATTTAAAATGTTATCCAGACTCTCTTGTCCAACAATTCTAGATCAAAAAACTTGCTAGTATACTCTAGTTTCAAAGAGAAAACCACTTTTCAGCATAATGATTATTCTCAACAATCGTCTTTACTCTTGTGAACCATGCATTTTAAGAAATGAAGGTCAAAGTTGTGAACATTTTCAAGATGTCCTGGTTTCAGTGAACAAAGCAAATTGTATTGCCAAATCTCAAAGGGGATTCCAAGGTTTATCTCAAATTGTTACTGGTACTTATAGGCTTATTATTCCTCAAACTTCAACTATTTTAAAGACAATTGAACTGTCAAAGCACTCAGATGAGGAGATCTTATTTAACAGATTATTAGATGTTGATATATCAAAACCTGTCGGTAAATTTGTCTTCATATTGGATAAGTTTACAAAAGTTACGCTCAACTCTGAAAAGAGGTATTTGGATCAACAATATGCTTTACCATTTGGATTATCAAATACTCCATTTAGTCATCATGAACTTCAGGCACCTAATAATGCAAATACTGCAAGACCATCAAGTTCTGATAGCTTTAGAAGATACACTGCTGTTGAATTGGCTGAACCTGTCATTATTAGACCGTTATCTCGCGTCGGTGTTAGATATCCATTACCATCGGCTGTTAAACAAGATGAAGAAACCAATAAAGAAAATTCGAGTGGACAGAGTGCAAGCTCTTCAAATAATATCGTTAATGACAATCAGACATCTCCTCATGTTGCCAATAAAGAGGTATCATTAAGTAAAGACCTTGCAGATTTGGCCAGCAGTGAAAATTTGAAAAAGTCAAAGGTCTCACAACTTGAACAGTTCTTGGATGAAACACAAGAGTTCCTTTATACTTTTTGCAATGACCATAAAAACGAACAAAAAGAATAGTGTATGAGAAGATTTCCTGGAGTCAAGAGAATGTGATATTAACGTGTTGAATTTTGTCGCTGTAGGGCATCTGCCAGACATTCGCGTGCCAATAACGTATTTGAGGTAAACAAAAAAACTCAGAGATCTTTGTAAACCACAAAAACAACAGGGCAAGAATATACTTTATAATCAAGACTCTATCGATTTTTATCAAAATGTCCTCATATTATAATGCTCAACCGCACATCATTGTTTGGCTAATTGCCGTTGCTAATCATTTTGCTTATTGCATCTTTGTTTACAGCTGAACAGAAAATATAGAAGGTCTAGTCAAATCAAAGAGTTAACATCTCATATTGTACATTATTTGGTGACTAGAGATCTTTATCAGGAACAATTTGGATTGAAATTTTAATTGAATATAAAGCTCCCCTGGGGCTTTCAATCACTTTACCAATTATCTGGTACTTATAATCATTAATGCCATAATGATATTTGGAAGGAGATTAAAGTACGCATGTGAGACATGTATCAAAGGTCATAGGGCGCGTGATTGTTTACATTTTGAAAGGATTAATGAAGGTAGTGTTTTCTTGATCAAGGATAGAGGGAGACCTGCAAAGGATATGACAGCAGCATCACTCAGACAAAAATATAGACTTCTTCAAGCAGGTGCACATCCAACTTTAAATGAAGTTTGCCCTTTCTCAGGAAACTTCAGATTTGGGTGTAAAGGAAGATGTTGCCCGAGAAAGGATGTTAAAGCTGTTTTTATTGATGATCAATCAAGTGTGCTTGTTTCTGTTTTTGATGATATTGAGTATAGTGATGACTGGTACTTTGAAGATACTATTCCAGAATCCGCTGTTGATGGAAAGGCTGATTTTTATGCTAATAATGGTCATAATGAGGATACAAAACTGGATAAGGTGACAAAGCCAAAACGTGCTCCAAAATTCAAAGATAAATCAACAACTAATGAGCCAAATGCTGAGCCAAATGCTGAGCCAGTTAACCATCAGAACAATTCATCTCAATTTGGTGGTGTGGGACCAATTCATCAACAAGATTCCAATGTGATTTCCCAAGAAGAGGTTATTGGAGGTGTTTCAAGTGATGTTACCAATGCTGCTATTAACACTGTTGCTAATGAATATGAGGATCATGACAACGGCAGTGAAGATTATGAAAACAGTGCTGGTCTTATTGAAGATCCAGCTACCCTTCAAGAGCTCTATGGAGATTTTGGGCTCCAAGCAAGACATTTTTCTGGAAATTTCCAATTCACTCAAAGAAATGCTCCAGTCGAAGTAACTCAACAAGAGCAAGGCTATTTTAGTCATTTGAACACTCAAGCATCTGAATTCTCACAAAGCCAGGGAAATTTGTTTCCTTCAACTGAAACGACTGTTAAGAATGAAGTTCAAGATGATAGACACAATCACAAACTTCAAAAACTAGTGTCTTCATCCACAGAAATTACTGAATCATCACAATCGATTGCCTTTGGATCAAATGGGTCTCATTATCCATCAAATTTGCAAGAATCGAACTCCTATTCAACCAATACACTACCAAGTTCAGAATTGACACAAGAAGAAATTGACGAAACTGGATACTGGCTTCATGATTTTATTAATGAAGATGAAATTGTTGAGGTAGCTTCTGAAGATTCTGAAGAAAGTGTTGAAGAAGTTTCTGGAGAGATCGCTGAAGTTTCCGAAGAGGGTGTCAAAGAAGTTCCTCCAGAGATTCCTCAGCCTGTCCAGCAACTTGATACTTTCAGTATTGCCAGTCCAAGTTTTACTGAAGCTGACTTACCATTTGGATTCTCCAGTATTTTTAGTGCAAATGGTGTTGATCCACCAGATTCAGGAATCAACATTTCAAATGTTTTTAGTCCAGATGGATCTGAAAGTAGTGGTTTCTCATCTGGGAATCCATTTTATTGATTTTAGAAGCTTCACCAGCTTGTTTTATTGGATGTATTCCTCATGATTGCATGATTTGGCTTTTGATTAATTGTTATTGCTCATAACTATTGTTTTTTTATTATAATTTTTTATTACTGTGATATTATTTAATGATTGTGACTTTTTTTATTACCCTTTGTTTTGTTCTACCCTAATATATACCCTTGAAGCTGTATTCAAAACAAGTAATAGTAGACCTTCAAATATACTATGGCGTCGCTTCTATTATTAAGGATACATTGTGGGTACTAGTACTGTGGAAAAAACTGCTTTATTAATGGACATCTATTGAGGTGATGCATAGTTTCATAAACACAACACCCAACATTATTATACAATAGAACAGAAACAGAAAACACACACAAAACCAGAGGTAAGCAAATTCAAAAGCAAATGTTACACTATAATACAACCTTTCTTACCAGTTGAATCTTTTGTACCATCATTGTAAGCGTCTGCAACTTCTTGTTGGTTATGAGGGCCAGGCGTTGTATCTTCGCCTTCTGCACCATAAACAGGAACTTGCTGACCATGAGGAATTGGATATGTTTCACGATCATTAGTTAGTGGGTATTGTTGTAGTTCTTCATCAGTGAAGTCCCTATTTGTTTCACGATAACCTGCAGGTTCACCGCCATTGGCAGCAAATTGAGCATTATTGTGGCGTTCTAATGATGTTGATGAGCTTGTTTGATGGACTAAAGTGTCTTGACCTTCATGAGATGTAAATTGTCCGTTATTATCAGTGTTGAAGTTTGCATATTTTTCATAAGGATGTTGTCCATAGTTTTTGTTGTACATGTAGTAGTCATATTTATCCCAATCTCTAATATATGGAGCATTCTTATGGCGTCTCTTTGCTGCTGGAAATAGATCCCATGCAAAAATCAAAAAGATGACAATGTACCAAAATGCTAAAGTCCATTCAAAACAGGAACTGACACTTCTATTACTAACAGCACCAAAGCAAATTGCAAATATGATGGCGGCAACAACAAAGAAAACCTTCAAATAGAATGAAATGGTAAACTTGTTCCAATATTTATGATGAACGTGAATGTTTCTATAGTGCAAGCCCATCATGCAATATTGAGCACATAAACAAATGATTGAAAGACAAATAAATGCTAAGAAAACACCAAGCATAGCATGATGAACATTGTCATAATTCTTTATACTGAAAATTGCAACAAACAAAATCCCTAAAGAACCAATAATACCCAAGATGCAAGCAGCAAATAATAAATTTCTTTCATCTTTCTTAAACCAATATTGTAATCTACCAGTCTTTCTCAAAAAATACTCCACAAGTAAAGTGATTGTGTAGAATAAACCTTGCCAACCTGCACAACTTATAAATAACGGACGTAGGTTAGTTGCCCCAATATAAGATATATAAACAGGATATTGATAACCGCTATTGAACGGATAGAGTGGGTGCCCTTGAGCGGCCCAACAGATTAACATTGTGATAAGCATACCTAACCAAGGTATGAAACCAATTATTGGAACCATGAACCAATAGTTCTTCAAATGGAAGAATTTTGTGAAAACATTAACCATTTTGGAATTTCTCTATGTTTATGATGACTTGACTTTTAATTGAATTGGAAACAACAGGTTGTTATTTATATAATGATGAGAGAATGACAAGGCTGAACTATGTTTGTGAAGTGATGAAGGTGAAGATGTAGATTTTTTTGGCTATGTCCTTGACAGTTGGAAAGTACGGGAAACCACTGGTTTTTAATTAACCGTTGACTTCAATACCAGAGATGAGGAAAGTGAAGTTTTCTTTGACTCTTGAGGATTTCCAGAGTTTATATCTTTTGTATCAAGTATGACGTTTTCACAAAACTTTTCAGTTCATGGAACTAATGTACCGAAGTGCAGTTTGATGTTTCGATTGCTTCAAACTAATTTCAGATGGCAGCAATTTAACAAGCGAAATGAGTTCATGGCTCCAGGGCTTTGAGGCGCAGATTGTACTACTTTATGGGCTTATGAACAAAATTTACACTACAAACCGTATGGAAATATGAACATTCACCATTCTAACGAATTCTACACACACCCTTCATCTCTCAAACTTCACCATTACAAGCTCTTCAAAAGCCGTTAAAATATTTTTCAAATTGTGTCTTGTGCCAAAAAAAAAACATTGAAACCCGTATAGGGTAATATCCGAGCCATCAAGTCATGTGACTGGAAGTTTACCCTCGTAATAGCATTTTCCGCGAATTGTTTTTTTGTTTTGATTTTGACGAATTTTTGGTGTATACGCGTCTTCTACAAAACAACTTCAGAAAGAGTGCTAGAAGTCAAGAATGTCGCACAAGTACTCCAACACTGGGAACAGAAGAAAGTCGGTGTTCACTCCCAACATCAACAACACAAATCTCAATGAAGCCTCAGCTCAAACAATAGAATTGGAAAGATTAGAACAAGAGATAACATTAACGTTACAGACAATTGACAAATCATTCGCCAAATCACACAAGATCATAAATGATAGATTGATACCTATAGTGAAGAAATACCATAATAGTTCCAAAAAGATATGGCAAGGTGTGAGCTTTTGGAAGAACTTTCTTGAAACAAGTGCAAATGTCGAGTTAAGAGGTTATGAAGAAGCTGTTCAAAATCAAGATTACACCGAAGATGATCAAATACCCGAATCTCAAGAACAGGGGTCACAAGAAACACAAACTGGTGATACTGTACAGTTGAACGAACATTTGAGTCCAGTTAAAACTGCAGGTGACACAGGTAATGTGATAATGGAGAGCACAAACCATACAATTCAACAAGAGTTTCAAAAAAGATACACTGATCATTTCCACGATGATACAAATCCAAATGACCAAGACACAACATCAGCTGCTTTCAAAAGCTCCACTCCTAATAAGTTGAAAAATAATCCAATAATGCCACAAGTCAGATCTCAGAATAATTTAGGTTTTGATACAACAGATAGTATATTACCACCAATACCCGTCAGTGCCAATTTATCAAACACAAACGGAACAGATGTTAATCAAACTACACCAACCTTACAACGTTCAAACACAGATATTCAACAACCAAGAAACTATATTTTGCATAATAATCTGGATACAAATTACAAATTGGAAGTTTCCCCTAGAAAGAAGCACCCACATCAACCTGCTGTTAATTCAATGACACCCAAGAAACCACCTCAAAAGAAACGTAAATCCATATATGCACAAAAATATGATTCATCACCTTTTGAGATTGAGGCACCAAAATTGCAATCAGATGTTCAATTTAGTCCAGTTAGACCAAATGGACAAACAACACCATTACGCAAACAACAAACACAAGCTTCCCAGCAACAACAGGATGAAAATCAAACCCAAAGATTCCCACACACACCACGATATGGAGCTGGGGGTAATTTGTTGAGAACGCCAGGTCAAGTGTCACGTACAGCTAATCGTTATAGTAACCATGGGTTCCAACAAGATGAAGATCAACAAATTAACCAAACAAACCTTCAGCTGGATGATTCTGAGCAGACACCAAACATTTCACCACCTGTTACATTAAATTTTGCTACTGTTAACAATAATAACAATACCACTACACAAAACTTGAGGAGAACTCCTGCAAGAGAAGCGGCTCAAAACATTGTTAAGGACATTTTAAATAACGTCAGTGGTGTCAATGATTCTGGATTGAGTGGATTTGAGGAGTTCAATGGGAATAAAATACGACAATTTGATGATACAGATAATCAAGACTCTTTATTTAATGAAAAAACAGAGAAACCATTACAGCAGCAGCAGCAACAACCCACAGAGAGTGAAGTGTTGGGAGGTCAAGAGTTTGATGACTTTTTGGATAACAAATATCGCGAAACGAACAAGAACGCAGAAACTGATTGGAGTGATGATGATTAAAAAAATACACACATATTGTCTGTCATTTCTCACGGGTATTGTAGATTTTTTTTCAATTTCGCGAATTAATAAGGCAAAAAAAAAATCTCGAGAAATTGCAATCAATTTGTTTTTCCTTGACACATAAAGATAAATAGAGGACAATCAGTTTGTTTCTATATAATTTTGGAGTCTTGAGTGGATTTGGATATAAATATAACATGGGTAATGCAATGAGTTCAAGTTTCGCCCCAGAATGTACAGCTGCCAAAAAGGAATATGATGATTGTTTCAACAATTGGTATACTGAAAGTGAGTACAACTAACTGAATACCACTGTTGAAGTATTGAACTGACCTGTTTCACAAAGAGTTTTTGAAAGGAAAGAGTCTTTACAATGAATGTGAAGACCTTTGGTATGATTATAAGAATTGCGTTGATGTGAGTTTTCAAAATTATTAAAAAATTCATGTTGAAAATTGATTACTAACTAGCTTTTAAGTTGGCGTTAGCAAAAAAAGGTGTATTACCTATGCTAGAAGAAGCAAGAGAGGAAGCTCCATTTGAGAAAGGTGGTGTTTTACAAGACGTTAAAGATGAGAAAAAGTGAAGAGGAAGTAAGTGTTGTATATAGGGGTGGTTTCCAACAATAGTTGTAAATATTACTTTATGGGGTTTTAGATTTATTTGCATGATTTTATGAAATATCAAGAAAAAGAAGTGTTGTAAGCTAGACTAATCTACACTTGCAGTGTGTTAATTTGGGATTGAATATCGTGCTGGGCATCAGGAGTTCTTCTCAATGAGCATTGAATATTTTAATCAAACACCGAATAGATACGAGCTTACTGACACTGAAAACTATGTTAGGATATTAACCAGCTGTTGTTGGCTTCTTTCACGTCACCAAGAAAGTCTTAAACCATGCTTTCTTGAGCACCCTGATTCCTTTCTTTGAACAGACTTGAGGCAGAATTTTTTTCAATTCCATTGAGAAATCTTTAATCCAAAGCTGGAAAATACAATCTACCTCTCCGTTCATCTCTGCTTACTCCTCTGAGGCTCATTCACCTTCAAACATTAGAAGTACCTCACAAAACTCCATTGGCTTTTAAAATGGTTTCTGCCAAATTTAGCTGTTGATTATGTAAGTTTCGGGTGGTAACCGACACGCCCGGATAGAAACGAAAACAACAACAAACAAAAACAAGCTAAAATTTACAACCAAAGACCAAATAACTCAGTCCGTTGATTGAATAAAAGTCCCAATATGAGCAACGGTAATTACCCAAATCAAGACCAGGGAAGGGGAATTCAATTACCACCTTTTGCTCCTTTGATCATGGACAGAAATTCACTTTATTCGACATCATCGTCACCAATTGAAACTCAACAACAGCATCCACAACCATCTTCTTCATCAGCAAACAAGCACAAGCCAAAAGCTTCAATACACGGTGGCTCTAATACTCGTCTAAGAGTGAAGAAAGCTTGTGATCGTTGTAAGAGACAAAAGACAAAATGTGATGGAGAACAACCATGTCTAACATGTTCAAGACATGGACATAAATGTGAATATACAAGTGTCGTACCGATTACTACAATAGTGGACAAAAATAAGGAAAACAAACACAATTTGAAAGTTCATGGAGGGAATGATGAAGAAGGTTATGTGCAATACTTGGAAAACAGAATACGTGAATTGGAAAGTCAAGTCCAAGATACAAACAACTTAACAAAAGATGAAATATTTGACAAGAACTTCTATACTTTCTCCAGAGATAAGTATCGTGTAATGAGAAGGTATCAAAACATTTTACCCCATGAGCTGGGAAGTGTTGTTTATGAAAGCTTAGATGAGAAAGAACGTAAAGGGTTGATTGTCCCTAGAATTCAGTTTTATGGTTGGAATATGAATGGTGGTCATTATTTGAAACAACGAAAATTGCCGAGTTTTGTGAAGTTGATTGATTTGGTTAATGATTTAGAGCTAGGGAATTGGCTGGTGGATTTCTTTATGGAGAAGATAAATCCACTCTTTGGAATACTACATGAAAGTGTCTTTAGGGATCAATATGAAAACTATTTGAGAAACATGGAGGATGGTGATTCAAACCAATCTACAACTAGACTCTTCACTTCAATCTTATATCTTGTCTTTGCCATTTCGCTAAGATATTCAGAGAATCATCCAGATCTGCCATTAAATATCAAAACCAAAGTTTATCCATCATTAGAAGAGAAATTATTTGATGATGCATATGAGGTAGTTACGAAACTGAGTTTTGAATGGCAATCTTTTGAATTGGTTCAATCATGGATTCTTATTACATTATACTTAAGAACTTGTCATAGACAAATATCTTCATATACTTCATTAGGGATAGCGATAAGGATGTGCAAAGGTATGGGGATGAATTTGAATAGAATACCAGCTGTTTTCCACAAGAAAGTATATGAGCATGTCAAGATTAAACGTATTTTTTGGGTTGCTTATGTCTGGGATAGAATATTTGGGTTCCAAAGTGGTAAACATTATGAGTTACATGATGACATCATAAACATGGAAATACCTTCGTTAGATGATGATACATCTGATGGATGGTTGACGAAGCCTTCATTGGCAATGATCCACTTAGCCAAGATCTGTGGTGATATTCAACAATTGAATCTAAAGGGGAAATTAACAGATGATAAAATTGAGGAAATTGATCAATTTTTGAAAAATTGGAAAAAATGGGTTGATGAATCAATTAGCCCAAAAGAATATGACACCTTATTGATTGATCAAATCTACTTAACTTATCATGATATTATGTTAAATTTACACAATAAAGTGCTGTTCAAATTATTAGATAAAGATATTCAAATTAATAGTACAACACAAATCCAAATTTTGTTATTCCATTCAAATGAGATTTTAGAAGTTTTTGAAAAAATTAAATCGCAACAATGCCTATTGGTTCCTTGGTGGCTGAATTTAGTTTTGTTGTTTAATACCTCATTGATTGACATCATGTTGATTAATTCGGGGCTTTATTTGATTCAATCGTATTCAAATTTATCTAAAACCATAGAAATCTTGAGTTCATTGAAAGATAAAGTTGGGATGGCAAAAGAATGCTTATGGGCCTTGAAAATGTTGAATCACATGGTTATTACAAGATTTCAGAAAAGCATTTCATGTTTACAAGATATTGGTATCGATCATGGATCTGAAAATGTAAACAAGATCAAATTCTTACAATTTGGGAAAGTCAATGATGAGAACAAAGAGAATAGTAAAAAAAGAAAGATCCAAAATGACGCTGTAAGCGGTATCAATAATGATGAGTTCCCGGGTCTTTATGATGACAGTGATAATTCAAGCAATTTCAGCACAGATGATTTGTTGAATAACTTGAAATGGTTTGATCAGTGGGTTAGTGAGTTCAATAATTAGTATAAATGTAAGATTCCGTTTATAAATCAACTATTTGTTTCAAAGACACAAACTGGGTTTCGGAATATTTAAAGGCTGGCCACCATCTATCTACCAAAAGGGATCTTTGAAGAAAAAATCAAGATGCATTCTAAAGACTATTTTGGCAGATCTTCATGGGACTTTATGAAAGATCTGTTTTTACTCAAAAAATGCAGAATAAACAATTTTCTATACAAATTTTGAAACATCAAACATACTTATTAAACACCAAATCAACAAGATAACAACTTCTAGCTTATTAATACATTTACTTTTTGAGCAGCTATTACCAGCTGAGTACATCTGTAGAGCTATTCGATTCTCTAGCATTCGTTTGACCATCCTCGCCATACTCTCTCTCTTTGTGTTACTGAACAAAAATTTCTGGTCTAAGAGCAAAATCCACTTTGAAGTCACCCAGGAAACCAACACATACTTATGCCAGCACCCATTGTGTATGCATTTCGAAAAAAGACACAAAGACAACATTTTGAAAAAAAAACACAAAAATACAAACATACTAAAAGCTTGGGTAACGATTGTGAAGGGATACTCTGGTGACATATGTTACTCGGCTCAGTGATTATGAGCCGGTATTAAATTCTAGATCTCAGCAAGGTTTTTTTTGGTTTAGTTTTGGACTCACTGATGATAAAGTTATACTCAAGTTTCAGATAAGGGGATTGTGCCATCTTTGATAAGTTGTACTGATGCTGATGTGGATTATGAGACTCCTATAACAAAGTTTGTTGTTTTACTCCTCTTCATTCTGCGTTATTCATATAAAACTGAAGTTGAAGTGTGATGGATTTGATGTTTGGTATCTTGAACTTTTGATGGATCTGGAGTTTTTGGAGGTGATGAAGACATTCTTATCATACAGCAGGATTTGAGGCCCCATCAACACGACTTGATTTCATCTTTTCAAGTTGGTCAAATCAAGTATTATGATAGTTGTGTTTGGGATAAGTATATCAAAGACCTTCTGTTTGGATATGTTTCTGCAACATACATTATGGTTTAACTCGATGATGGAAGATTTCATTTTGATTTGAAGAAATGGTATTGATGATAGTTTGTTTGGATAGCACTACCTGGGTTTTCTCAGATCTAACATTCACATTTGATTTCCGTTTGGATCTGACTTTGATTTCTTAGCACTACCCACCATCAAAAGATTATGATGTATCGTTGGATGAAATGTGAAAGTTCAAATGGAGTTTATTTCTATTCTATGGGATGCTGAGATACTACTAACATTTAGGGGGAAGCTTCGATCATTTCAAACTGGCCAAATCGACAGCACACAGCACCATGACAGCACACAAATGATGATATATCATCACAAGATCATTAGGGGGGCAAATTGGATACAGGGTGGGTGCAACCAGATGAAACTGTGTTGTCGAATCTAAAGATTATTGTTTTGACCTGATCGCCCATTACAGATCTTGGAAATTCGCGGAAAATTTGGGACATCCGAACACCACCCTAAAACCTGACCCCCCATTTTTTCTATCCCTAACGATACTTTGGAAGGGGAAGAACCTTTTGGTAAGGCTCCGACCTCTGTACCGTTTGTATTTGGCTAGAAAATCCAAAAAATTCATTTTTAACGCCCCTCTAACGGCCTGCCCGTGGCCGTTTTTTGGAATATGTTGCCCCTACCAGTTTCTTAACTATGGTGAAACCTATTTTGATCTATAACTTTTTAATGAATGGGTTATATGCTTAGCTTTGTATTTGAGAAGATAGAGAAACGTTAAAGGTATATACACATCCAGAAATGGAACCCCGAATCCTTTCGAGGGTGTATATATCTTGTTTTTACTGTTTTTGAAACCCAAAATGTATTAATATTGAATGAAATAGAGAGGTTATTGAGACAGAAAGGTATTGGAAGGATGGAGAAAATTTCAAATACATTTTGGTGATAAGCATGAGGGTATAACATTAATAGTTGTTGAATTATATCCAATACCAATATATCAATGACATTACGATACTTCAAATAATCATCCAATCCACCCAAAAACTATTAGAAAAGTTGTAACCATACAACCAGACTCTAATGTACTTAAAAGTTGATCAATATCGTTTAAACTGATTGAACAGTAACAATTCTCCATAATCAGCTTAATAAAACCATTAAATACTCCAACAACAGGTGATCCTATCATCACCAATATAGCTTGACCATATGCAGTAGCACACTCTCCATCTTTTCCAATTGAAACCAACTCAAAATCTCAAAAACTCAACGTTTTATTCCAATTTTCAATTCTCACCATATTAAGCAGAATTTGGTCACGTGAAAATGTGGCCGTAACACCAAAAATCCACTATACAAATCTCCAAATAAACAACCTTCAATAAAACCACCATAATCAATGATATGTACCCATATTAACGCTGGAAGTATCACAAAATCTTTCTCTGTAAGTTCCTGAAAAGCTTTTGGTTATAGCGAAGAAACTCACTTGTATCTAAAATGACGTTGAAGTGCAATATAGATCTACCGCTCAAAACCATCAGCCTCCAATTCAAAATCTTTTTCCAGCGAGCCCTCTTTGAAGCCAATAAAGAAGAGAGTTTATCTCTAAAAACAGCTTAAGGAATTAATTTATTTCTCCACCAGTGAATTGATGCAGCTTTTGATCTATTTTGTAGAGCATGAAGTTACTGATAATGCATTTGGTTTGGTGTTTAATGTGATCCTGTTTGGCACTGGTAGTGATAAGATTTCCATCTCTGACCTCAACCTGCTTGCTAATGTAATTAAGCAAATTCTAGAGCAAAAAGAATGAATATGAATCTTCATCAGATAATATCGATTGTATGGTGTTTGTTCTTTGACATTTGGTGTTGGATCTCATTCGATTATGGCGCTGGATCTCAGTTGATGACATTACAGCAGCACCAGTCTTAAAGCCTTATTATTCACAGCTTCTTTGAAATTTGTACTATGAAAATGTTTTGTTATCAAGTAGAAAATCTCGAATTTTTATTTACTTTTGAAATAACTGCTTACCTTCCTAATACGGAAGTATGCCGTTTTCAGCTGTTCTGATGATTTTTCTCAGAGTCAAAAAAAAAACAGCACAAAAAAAAGCATCAAAAGACCATTAAAAAACAATCAGACAATAATTTGGCTAGGGAAAACCAGAGGACACAACCAGAACAACGTTGACTGAGCAGCTGCCATCCAGGTAATCCAGAGAAGAACCCAGTTTGCAAAGAACAAACTCCAGTCACAAGGCCATTACCCAGCGCTGAAATCACGTGAACCTTGCTGAAATCGTTCCATAGTATTCCCCCAGGCTCTCCCGTTATCATCCCATAAATATCAACAAGCTCATCGTTACAACAACATCCATTGCTATCTAGGGCCATACTACTATCATAATGTCCTGTAACATAAGCTGGGACTCATTTGAAAAGGGATCTTTTTTATCTTGGTCAAAGGAACTATTATATGATGCTTTAAATTCCGGAAAGCGCCCTCACATTCTTTCATCTGAAATCAAAATTAAAGAGTTGACATTTGGTAAACAATCTCCAAGTTTTGAAGTTCTTGAGGTTGGTGATTTGGCTAATGATAGATTCAGAGGTATATTCAAATTGAAGTATGATGGTGATGCTAATATAACGTTGAATACAAGTATTCAAGCAAATTTGCTAAATATTTATGAGAAAAGCACACAAGAATTTCAAGGTCAATTTGCATTACCAAATTTCAAACTAGCTTCTCAACCGTTTTCATTACCTTTAAATGTTAATTTGTCTAATATCAAATTAAGTGGTATCATTGTTGTTGTGTTTTCAAAATCTAAAGGGTTAACATTAGTTTTCAAAAATGATCCACTAGAAAATATTAAAGTTAGTTCAACTTTTGATACTGTTCCTGTCATAGAGAAATTTTTACAAAAACAAATTGAAAACCAAATTAGAGATTTATTTAGGGATATCTTACCAAGTGTTCTTCACAAAGTTTCTCAAAAATGGACTACAAATAACATAATAAGCCAATTGCATTCAAAGATAAATGAGCAGAATAATGAAGGCTTATTAAACAAAGAAAGGGTTTCAATATTTGAAGTAAATCCATCGGAACCAGAATTATCACCTGCAAATATGTTGAAGTTATCCACTTTAACTACATCAAGACAATCATTTAGATTATCAATACCTCCATTGCATGATGTTATTGAACGTCCAAGTCTGTACAAATTTGAATTGAAATCATCATTAGGTAAAAATTTGGAACTTGGAACTAAAAAAATACCAATTGAGATTTTCTCAAAGAATCATGATGATTTCCAAATTAAAAATACATTGAATACAATTTCTAGAATCCAATCCAAATATTATTCGAATGAGAAAAATAACCATAAATTGAAAAGAAGAAGTATCAAGATGAATTCAAAGAAGACTAAGAACCCAACTCCTCCAAGATCAGTCTCCATGAATACTGAAGCTACGTTAGTCAATGATGATCAAGAAGATGAAATACAGTTGAAGGAACAACCAATAATAATTGATTCCAAAAAGAATTATGATATCAAGAACAATTACCATTTGGATTCTGCACCTCTATTGACTCCATCTCCAATCAATTTAACAAATCCATTGTTGAATAGACCTCCGTTGACTCCAATCCATACTCATCACCATTCCTCTGCTGATATTTTCCATTATCGTTCACATTCTCCAAGAAAATCACAATCTTATTTATTAAACGTTGGTATTGGAATCAATAATTATGGATTTTTGGAAGCCCCTCCTCCATATCATTAAAACCAAGGGAAATTGTTTTATGTTTATTTACTATGTTTGATGAAATTATGAATCTATGGCTGTTTTTTTATGCTTTTTGTCTTTGCTTTATTTGTTCGTATGTGTGTTTTTGAAGGTTATTTTTAGGATTGTTTGATACACTTTCGTTTATGTCCTAGGTTATATTTATTCTTTGCCTGTATCCCATTATATATAACAAATGTTATCATGTAAATAGATGGGTTTTATATTCTTTTCAATTGATAAAGCGTTGTAGTTTCTGCCATTCTATACTGGCTGATTATATAATTTTGTATTATAAGATGACTAATTTTTAATACTAGATCTAAACAGTATGGGGTAAAGAGGTAATAGCCAGGCAGAGTTTGGAAATCGGTACAACTTTGTTCCTGTTACAATCATAGAAAAGCATTATATATTCAATACTGATCAGTATCTCCACCCAAAGATCACTTTATACCACATTAGTCATCGTCCTGAACAACATTGTACCCTGGCTCTTACATAAGACGCTCCAATTCTCGGACGTTTTCTCTGCACTTTTAATTGATGGTGAAAATTTGACACAACATCACTAAACCCTTCTTCCACCACACACTTTGAGTCGTATTATCATAGAAACACAATGTCCAGTAAAGATAATCAGGATGTGGAGCTCACAGACTTTCTTCTGGGTGATGACTCTGTTTCTCAATCCCTTCAATCAGAGAAAGAATCTAACGTTAAAAAGACAATAACTTTCAAAGATCAACCATTGTTCATCAATTCAAAAGATTGGAGAGATTCATTCATGCTAAAGGCACAAATCCTAACATGCTTCTTCTGTATGATCACCGTTGGATTGAATGATCAAACAGTTGGAAGTTTGATTCCTACATTGACCAAGCAATATAGCGTTAATCAAACTTCGATATCAACTGTCTTTGCATTACAATTCTTGGGATATGCAACAAGTGCTCTCAGTAATGAAATCCTTCACTCAAATCTTGGTCGTTGTGGTGTGATGACTTTGGCCAATTGCTTTCTATTGATAACTTATGTCGTGAATGCTTTCAAACCACCAATATTCATATTCATTGCTGTGTATTATTTCACAGGGTTAGGTGTTGGGTTGTTGGATAGTTGTATGAATGTCTGGTTAAGCTCTTTGGTGGATCATAATGAACTAATGGGATTATTACATGGGTTTTATGGTATAGGAAGTGTGATCTCGCCTCCTTTGATTAGTCACATCTTGAAATGGTTTAATGATGATTTTAAGATCTTTTACATCTTTTTAGCTATATTGGCTATAACTGGTGGACTATTGAGCCAATTTTTTTTCAAAAGTGAAAGCAAGTTGAAATATGAATATGAAAGAGCTTGTGCTCATGATGATGAAGAAGGTGGACAGGAGGTGACTTTAAAAACTGTGTTGCGCAATAGAACAGTCATGTCGTTTTCCGCTTATCTTTTCCTTTATATTGGAGCTGAAGTTTCAATAGGGTCTTGGTTATTAAGTTACTTGATGAAAGTTAAAGGCCTTGATCAAATCAGTGCAAGTTATATTGTTTCATGGTTTTGGATTGGGTTGACAGTGGGTCGTATCCTGTTGGGATTTGTCACAAAGTTTTTCAAAAATGAATATAGAGCAAACTTGACATATTCTGCTTTATCATTGTTTGTCTATCTGATTTATACTGTCTTTACACTATCAACTACAAATAAGACTGCTCATTTCAAATTATTGACAAATTTGATTATGTTCATTGATGGAATTTTTATTGGTCCATTATTTCCAACATCCAGTGTCACATTGATGAAAATCCTACCTCCAAATCTACATGTTAGTGCAGTGGGTATCATGAGTAGTCTTGGAGGTTCAGGTGCTGCTATCCTACCATTTTTAGTTGGCTCCATCACACATGTCACCAAATTGGATTACTTGCCTCTATTCATCACAGCAATGTTGACGGGATATGTGGTCATTTGGGTGCTAATGCCTAAGCTTTGCAAAGTAGACTATAGCTTTTAATCAATTTGCTATATAGATTTTTCCTTAATACAATTATTTATTCAGTGGCCGTTAAAACCCGTTCATATCTTATCTCTATATTCGCGAAAACCCTTTCCCCATAGATAAAACCCAGTAGAATCTTTGATCCAACCATATCATGAAATTTGGTCTCCCAATTTGATGAAGAAATACTGTCAGCTTGCTCCTTGAATATTACACTTACCACAATCACTTTAACTGTCAGTTACTTCCAAAGGTGCTGAAGACCAGGGATAATTTCATTTCCCCCAAAAAATGGCCTCCATCAAGAAGAACGCCAAAGTTGTTTACCCAGGACTAGAAGCAAGCTCATTGATCACTGAACGTACACTTAGTTATGGATCAATCGATGAGCTGAGTCCACTGGAGCTAGAACGGTTATTAGCAACCACACAAGAAATCACTTACAAATCTCAAACGATTCATATCCATTCCAAAAATTGGCGGCACTCAACTTATCTGAAATGTCAAGTTTTAGCATGTTTCCTCAATATGTTTTTAATGGGGATGGATGGTCAAACTATAGGTTCTTTGATCCCTACACTCTCTGAATATTATCAACAACATGATTTTAATATCTCATTTGTGTTCATATTACAATTTTTGGGGTATACTTCAAGTGCGTTATTCATGGATAAGATTCATAGAAGGATAGGAAGACGCGGTGTGCTAAGTTTGGGAAGTTTTTTAGTCTGTCTTACGTCTGGCATCAATGCTACTAAACCTCCGTTTATAGTGTTCGTTGGGGCTTATCTGTGCTCAGGAGTGGGTGGTGGGTTGATGGATGGGTGTATGAATGTTTTCATTAGCTCTTTAGTGGACCACAATGAATTGATGGGTATTTTACATGGTTCTTTTGGGATAGGTGGTATTGTGGTTCCTATAATGATCAGTTACTTACTCAAATGGTTTGATGGAGACTTTAAGGTCCATTATTTGACCATGTGTGGGTTGAATTTGTTCTCTTGTGTATTTTCATTGATGTCTTTCAAAAATGAAACTAGTGTCAAGTATGAATATGAAGTCAGTTTAGAAGCCAATGATGAGTGTCATGAAGAAACAAGCTTGAGTGTGATTTTGAAGAATAAAACAGTTTTGATCTTTTCATTGTTTCTGTTTTTATATACTGGATCAGAGACTTCAATTTCTTCATGGTTGGTTAGTTATTTGATCAAGGTTAAGCATTTAAATCAACTTAGCTCAAGCTATGCAATCTCTTGGTTCTGGATAGGTATCACTGTTGGTAGAGTAACATTGGGATTCATGACATCAAGGCTTTTTCTGAATGAATATAGAGCCAATGTTTTCTATACAGCGATGGCATTGATGGTTTATTCAAGTTATACCACATTCACTTTGATGATAACAAGTTATCAAATTTCAGCGTTTAGTGAGTTAACAGATACCTTGATGTTTGTTGAAGGATTATTCATGGGTCCTCTTTTCCCAACTTCAACAGTTGCATTGATGAAACTATTACCTGTTAATCTTAGAGTTGGTTCAATGGGTGTCGTTGCCACGCTGAGCGGTTCAGGATCTGCTCTTTTCCCTTTTTTCATAGGAACAATCACCCATTTGACAAAGTTGGATTATTTGCCTATTTATATTTGCTTCTTGACTGCAGGTTATTTGGTTATTTGGTTATCAATCCCAAAATCATGTTCGTTTAGCTAGATTTAATTATATTTACTGTCAGATTAGAGCTATTTTGACTTGAGTGGTATAAAGGCTCATATAATTATTACAATATTTAGATATTTTAAAGTATTTAATGGTGTTTTCATGATATTTGGCTACAGAAGCAAGTGATTGTAGCATGATAGATTGTTATACATGACGTCGGACAGTCTACAATGATTGATAAAGCAACATCTACATGAATAGTTAGTGGTCAAAAAATATATTTATTGTATTTCAACTGCTGGTTATGAAAGTTTATTGTTTCAAAACTTTACAATTAAACCAGGTTCAATCACACTTTGTCAGTTAACAAATAAAAGTCACAATAATGGCGACAAGAGCTAATAACTTTACGACTAATAACATCAGTTCCTCGGAAATCTAATGGTGTAAACCGCATAATCATTCTCAAGACTTCAATATATCGCAAATTTTTTGAACTAAACAGAAAGCTGATCAGTACAAAACTTAGCAGCCCACCAATAGTGAACGCAGCAGATGGTTCATACATATATTTGCAACTCACCAAGGTGGAAACAAACTTAGAAGACGCTTTTTGGAAAGCGTCGATTAAAAATAAATGGATTGAAAACGGCTCAGTAATATAAGACGTGGGTATCTCGATATTGGACGAGTGGTCTGTAGACGCGTAGGCACAGCCACGAATTCACATCGATCTGTAAACAAAAGGAAACCCAATCAGAGATATTGCTATCGATCGATGAATAATATTCAGAACTTAGGAGTTACAGGGTACATTTATGTTAAAAAAAATTAATACTCTTCGAATCATCACCAGTATTTGATAAGCAAGATGACATAATACTCTTCCACTCAACATGGAAATACATTACAGCATTATTTCAAGAAGATGGAGAAAATTATGTGGTCGAAGTATTGGCAATTGTCATTTCATGGTCATTATTAACGTTGGAACGGCAAATACATTAGTGTCATTGACAGCTAATTAACCAGTATTCGTTTGAGTATGGTGATAATAATTACACAACCTGATTGATTAAAGCTCACAATGAATTACAATCCTATAAATTGATGTTCCATACTCATTAGATCATGCTCTCTAATAACCCTTCAATAACTTGGCTGCTTATATACATGGCTTTCTCATGGTGCACACAAGCAAATCATCATTAATACCCTCAACAACTATAACAGGTGTTTTACTATGGGCCCATGGGATTAATTGACCATTTATAAACACAATCAGATCAGTCCCTTGATTCAAGATGATTACTCCATATAAAGTAACATCTCAATCAGCATGAACTCAAAACCCAACAACACGCCTGAACTATCACCGCTCCATCCCACTCCAGAAGGTTCAACCCATGAAGAAAACGAAACACCACCCATAGTCTTAATCATCAAAGACTGGAGAGAATCCACATTCTTGAAACTCCAAATCATAACATGTTTCCTGATAATGTTCTTTATCGGTATGACTTCACAAACCATAGGTTCCCTGATCCCATTAATCACTCTATATTACAAGATATCCGCATCCACAATCTCTTTAATATTCATATCACAACTATGTGGTAGCTTGATCAGTGCATTGGTCATTGAACTGGTGCATAAAGTGGTTGGAAGACTTGGAGTTTTAATCTTGGGGAATTTGTGTATCATAATGATGAGCTTGATTAATGTTTTCAAGCCTCCAATATGGTTATTTGTGATGAGCTATGGCGTTGCAGGGTTGGGGATGGGGCTTTTGGGTGGCTGTATGAATGTCTTTATTAGTTCTTTGAAAAGTCATAATGAATTGATGGGTATCCTACATGGGTGTTTTGGTATTGGTGGGATTGTGTTGCCTGTGATTATTAATAAGGTTCTTGAATGGAGTTTTAATGATTTTGGTATACATTATTTGATTATGAGTTGGGTTGGGTTGTTGGTTTGCTGTTGTGTCTTGGGAAGCTTTTGGAAAGAGGATGGATTGAAGTATGAATATGAGATATCTGTGCTTAGGGATCATGAAGCATTTCAAGATAACAGTTTGAAGAACATTTTGGAAAATAAGGTTGTTTGTTGGTTTGCATTGTACTTGTTTTTTTGTACAGGATCTGAATCATCAGTTGGATCTTGGTTAGTGAATTATTTGGATAATGCAAAGCAATTTGAGCAATCTAGTGCAAATTTCATCATGACATTTTTTTGGATTGGTATAACTATGGGAAGGATAATTTTAGGATTCATAACTTCAAATTTGTTCCAAAATGAATACAGGGCAAATTTGGTTTACACCACCATGTCATTATTGATTATTTTGATCTTTACTACAATCAATTTAATTACAACAATGAATCAAACATTAACAATGTTAATGATATTTATTGAAGGGTTATTCATTGGACCTTTATTCCCAACAATGAGTGTTACCTTGATGAAATTATTACCAATTGAAAACCAAGTAAACGCAATGGGAGTTGTAAGTAGCCTTGGTGGGACTGGGTTCACAATTGGACCTTTTTTAATTGGGATGATGGTTCAATTAACTGGATTGGAACTATTTCCTATTCATGTTAGTACTCTATTATTGGGGAGCTTTATAGCTTGGTTAATCATTCCAAGGATTTGTGATTTGAAGTTTTAACATACTTTTTTTTTACCTTATTCATATGTTGTAGTTTGATCTTTGAACTTCAAATTCTTCTGGTGTAAAGTTTTTCTGTGTGAATGCATGAATTGCTGCAATTTCTTCTTTGAGTTTTGTGTTGACTAACCTGCTTCTCATCAATTTATTTTTACCTTGGAATTCAGTGGATACTATTATAACAGCAAAAGCTTGACCACAACCACCTTTACAAAGAGTTAGTCAGCCATAATTCATCAACTTGAATGGTCACTTACCAGACATGTCTTCAACAAAGACTTCTGTAGGATTGAGTCTTTCAAATATAGTTTGTTTCAATAAGTCAGCATTCATTATGATTCACAACGGTTAACCTGTTTAAACTGATGTTGGCTGTCTGTAGTTTATAGTCAACTTCAACATGATCTTTTCGATAAAAGAAACCAATTAAAAAAAAGTTAAAATTCGCGAAAGAAAATTGTGTCCCCTTTTACAATTCACTTGAAGTTGGAGGTGGTGCAGTTGACATGGCAGGTGATGTTGCAACTTCTTTTCTTTTGAGTAAATGGCTGCCAGACTTCTAGAAGGTTTCAACTTTCAAGGGTGCGTTTCTGATAAGGCATTGAATGCTGATTTGATCAAGATCATGTAGCTTAAATAATAATTCAATTAGTTATTAGTCACTCGACAAAGCATATTGTAGGTTGTGGAGAGATTAAGGGTACAATTATTAATATTAGGTACACCTGCTGATAAGCTCATGGCTGTTTTCGAATTAAAGCAGCCTGCTAGATTAGCTCGCCTAGACTAATGATCATCGATTCTCTTCTATCGGTTAATTAATTTGATCTGTAATTTATTATTCTTTTTGCCCATTGATAAGGCGAATCGGGGGCATAATTCTCCAAGAAAAAGAATGGCATTAAGCAGCCATTCCACAATCAGGTCGTCTAAGACATATCGCCCAAGCTATTGTATTCTCTGCACATTTAAACCCTCTACTTTCTTTTATCTCTACAGCCTATCTCTCTGGCTTGATCACGGACAAGTCCACGAAAAAGTGAAAATTTTTTATGAAATTGGTGTCAAAACGTCAAACTCCGTGCAACAAACTACAACAATAAAGCCAACGTATCGATAAACAATACAATGTCGTTGAAAAGAGCAGTCAATGCCATCCAGAAACTGTATCCATTGAGATACGCCGATTCTACCTGGGATAACACTGGGTTATTAGTGGATTCATCAAGCAGCACCATAGCAACTTCATCATCAAACACTTCAATCTTGTTAACAATTGATTTAACCAAGGCAGTTGTCGAGGAGGCAATTAATCAAAAAGTGCAATTAATCATAGCATACCATCCATTCATCTTCCGTGGTATCAAGAAGATTGAACCTTTTGCTAATCCTCAACATGATTCTTTGATTAAATTGATCTCGAATGGGATCAGTGTCTACAGTCCCCATACTGCAATCGATGCAGCTAGAGGAGGTGTCAATGATTGGTTGATCGAAGGTGTCACTTCTATTGACAACGTTGAGTCAAAAGAAATCATTGAGCCTAATTCTGAAGACCCGCAAAACGTTGGAATGGGTAGATACATCACTTTATCCAACCCTATTGAATTGAAAGATATTGTTGCAAGTGTTAAGCATCATTTGGGATTACAACATTTACAATTGGCAACTAATGACATTAACGCACCAATAAAGACAGTGGCCATCTGTGCTGGTTCTGGAGGAGGTGTCTTTAACCAACTGAAAGGTAAACCAGTTGATTTGTACTTGACTGGAGAGCTAAGTCACCATGAAGTTCTATCGCTTAAGGAGTCAGGCTCCAGTGTCATTGCAGCCCATCACTCCAACACAGAACGAGGCTACTTGAAAATAGTCCAACAACAACTGCAAAAAGAACTCGCTGACACAAAAATCATCGTCTCTACAAAAGACTCTGATCCATACAAAACAGTATAAAAAAACTATCCATTTTAATTTCTCTATGAATTTTTCACTTGTAGGAAATGGCCGAAGCCATTCGCGATAAGCTCTGATAAGAAATTTGATTTGATCGATGCCTTGACCAGTATAAAAGACAGAGAAATTCACTTCGAAGAGCTTCACAGGGATCTTCTACCATCATCATCTAGTTTGATTGTTGTTCATTGTCTAGCTCAACCACAATGAGTGCCATCAAATCCTCTGTCAACAGAATAATCAAAAAAGTCACAACTAAACATGGATTGCTAGGTGATTATGACTACAAATATCTATTCACTCCAAAGATCCCATTTGTTAAGAAACAATCACAAATCCAACCCTTTTTTGGTTTGAATTCTGATATGCCTTTATTATTAGGGTTCTTATTAGGTTTACAACACTCTTTATCAATGCTTGCCGGTGTGGTTGCACCTCCTCTAATCATTGCTTCCTCTGCCCATTTATCAGGTGAAGCTTCTCAATACCTTGTTTCAGTTTCATTGATTGTTTCAGGTATTTTATCATTGATCCAGATCACAAGATTCCATATCTACAAGACTAAATATTATATCGGTACCGGGCTAGTTTCAGTCGTGGGTACTTCATTCGCTACAATCACTATTGTGCAAAAGGCCATTCCAATGATGTATGCAAATGGTGAATGTCCAGTTGATGCAGATGGGAACTTCTTACCATGTCCAGATGGATATGGTGCAATCTTGGGTACTGGTTGTGTGTGTGCCCTTTTGGAAATCTTCTTATCTTTTATGCCTCCAAAAATCTTGCAAAAATTGTTCCCACCAATGGTTACAGGTCCTGTTGTCTTGTTGATTGGTGTTCATTTGATCTCTTCAGGGTTTTCTGATTGGTTGGGTGGTTCTGGTTGTAGTTCTGGTAAGACTATGTGTCCTTCAAACACTGCACCACATCCATTACCTTGGGGGTCTGCACAATTTATTGGGTTAGGGTTCTTGGTTTTCGTTGTTATTATAATTTGTGAAAAATGGGGGGCTCCAATCATGAAATCTTGTGCAGTTATTGTTGGGTTATTAGTTGGTTGTATTGTTGCTGCTGCTTGTAATTATTTTGATCGTTCAGGTATTGATCAATCACCAGCTGTGACATTTATCTGGGTTCACACTTTTAAATTATCTGTTTATGGTCCCGCAGTGTTGCCAATGCTTGCCACTTATATCGTCTTGATGATGGAAGCTATTGGTGATATCACTGCAACTTGTGATGTTTCAAGATTAGAAGTTGAAGGTGAAGTTTATGATTCAAGAATCCAAGGTGGTATTTTAGCTGATGGGTTTAATGGATTATTATCATGTCTTTGTACAATGACCCCAATGTCTACTTTTGCTCAAAATAATGGTGTCATTTCAATTACTAAATGTGCTAATAGAATGGCTGGTTATTGGTGTTGTTTCTTTTTAATCGTTATGGGTATCTTTGCTAAATTTGCTGCTGCTTTAGTAAGTATTCCAAAAGCTGTCTTGGGTGGCATGACTACTTTCTTATTCACTTCAGTGGCAGTTTCTGGTCTAAGTATCATCTCAACAGTCCCATTCACAAGAAGAAATAGATTTATCTTGACAGCTTCATTAGTTTTAGGATTAGGTAGTACAATGGTTGATGGTTGGTTTGATAAAGTTTTCACTTATGATGGTGATAATAGATCATTAAAAGGGTTCTTCAATGCCATTGTGTTGGTCTTGGAAACAGGTTTTGCCGTCACTGGGTTTGTTGGTGTTTTCCTAAACTTGTTTATTGGTGAAGAAGAAGAAGAAGACACTGCACCAATGTATTTGGAAGGTGATGAAGTTCATGAATTGGATAATCAAAGTGCTGAATTGGAAGGTTCAAGTGCCTCCATGAGTAAAGAACAAGTTATGAACCAAACCAAGTCATGATTTAAGTCCTTTTTCAATTGTTTTTTTGCATTTTTTACAACTCTTATTATATATTCAACTTAGAAACTAGAAATCAGTATACATTCGTTAATTAGAAGTTTTCATCACATGAAATGATTTGTAAAACCAATTCGCGAAACAGTTTTAATTAAAAAAACAGAGCTGGAATCAAACTTCACCATTGAATCAACGGAATAATCAATTCATCGAGATGAAGGATCGTTTATTAATAGTAGGGCCACCAAAATCTGGTAAATTTACACTAGTGAAATCAGTATTCGGCTCATTACCGCAAAATATACCCAAAGATGTACCACATCAGGGAATAATCCATAGAATAGAACTATCAACAAAATATTTCAAAACGGCATTAGATCTATGGATTGATGAGACTAATGATCTTGCAGAATGGTGTAAGGAGTTTGGAAGCTTGGAGGCAAAAGAGGCGAGAGAAGTCATCAATGGGATCATATTCACTTTTAAATTTGATGATGGTGTGCGGAAAATTGAAGAGATGGTTGAACATATGACTGGATTGATTGAGAAGTTCCAAGAGGATGGTGGAGATTATCAATGGGATGGGTTTGTTATAGGGGCTGGGTTTGGTGAACATGTTGATGACGATTTGAAATTGCAGATTGAGGATTTGTTTATAATGAATGGGATTGAATTGGTTTGGTTTGAAGAAGTTGGAAAGAATGAATTTGGTGAAGTTTTAGGGAAAGATAGAATACGACAAGTTGTTGAGTGTCATGACTGGGAAATTTCAGATTTCAAAGATGATCCTGTTTTAGCTACAGAGGAGATTGATGAAAAAGCAGAGATGGTTGGTTTATTGAATGGAAATGATATTGATCTAGATCAGATACTAACTAAATTGAATATTGCCAAGGATGAGATATCTAAACTGGCAAATGATGATGATAAACATAAATATGCAAAAGATGTGATTGATAGTTTAGGAATATAAGAATTAATCTTCTTTACCTGTTTCAATTTTGAAAATTTTGAAAATTAATCTCTTGTAAAGATAAAATTTAGTTGGAATGTAACCTAATAAAACAACTTGTGTGAATAATTTCAAATTCTTATCATCTTCACTGAAATATTTCAAACTTAGGAAAATTGTAATAAATTCCACACTACTAGCAATTGGGAATATAATCAATTGTAAATTTTCAAACAATGATCTCAATTTTTTTGGCACTCTTCCAATGTTTTTCAATTTCCAAAACCAATAAATATAACCAATGAATCCATAAACACCCCAGCAGAAAATCAATAAAGAATAACAACTATGGTTCAATATCTTTTCATCTCTATTCAAGATGCCCCAAACTATAAATAGCTTTATCCAATTTTGCAATATGATCAAAGGTAATTGAATAGGCAAAAGCTTGAACAAACTTAGCACCACCTCACCAACACAAATCCCAGTCATGACTTTATTGAAGAAATCACCAATCCCACCAGCTAAAAACTTTCTACCAACCAAGGGTAATAATATGAATAATCTTGCTAATATAGCCCCATACATAAACATCGCAACGATGTTGTATGATTTCAACGCCTTGTACAACGCTGGCGATTCTCTTAAGTTGACTCTTTGAGGCATGATTGATCTTAATCCCTTCTATTTCATGAATCCTTTTCCAGAGTCTTTTGGCTAGAAAAGTGTGAAATAAATTTTTGTTGACGTTTTTTTTACGTGTCAAATAAATTCGCGACCTGCACGAGAAAAAACCTTCGAAAATTTTTGTAAACAACTCATCAACGAAATCATCAACATCAACAAAAACTGAGAGGAAAATGAAGTTGTTGCAATTGGTGCTGTTGACGGTGTTCAGCATAACTGCTTTGGCGTGGTCTGTCGAGGATCAGGAAATATTGAAAGTGAACCATGAACTACAGCAGGATTATCCAGGTTCAAGTTTTTATGAATTCATGAAGTTGGATAAAGGTTCGAAATCCTCGTTAAAAGAGATTAATAAACAGTTTAGGAAACTTAGTGTGAAGTTCCATCCTGATAAGGTTAAAGGTAAACAGAATAAGAAATTAGCACAAAGAAATTTCGAAAGATTAAGTTTGATTGCAAATATTTTGAAAAGTTCAACAAAAGATCGTTATGATTTTTTCCTAACGAATGGATTCCCAAAATACAAAAATAATAGATTTTTATATGATAGGTTCAGACCTGGTTTGATCTTTGTTGTTGTCTTCCTATTCTTGCTGATTGGTGTTGCACATTTTATAATTTTGAAAATTTCAGCTTCACAAGATCGTAAAAGAGTTTTAAACTTAATTGAACAAATAAAATCATTTGCAAATAGACAATCAAGTGGTGGTGTATTGACTGAACAAAGAAAAGTTAAAATAGATGGTATTGATAAATCCTTTTTGGTGAGAATTGATGGTGTTTTCCTTATTGATGAAGAAGATGAAAATAACTTACAAAGAGTCTCTGCAGATGATATTAAAGAACCAAGATTAAAAGATTCAATACTGGTTAGATTACCTGTTTTCCTTTGGAATGTTTCATTTGGTAGATTAAGTGATTCTTTGGCTATTGATTTAACTGATAAAGAGGAGATTAAAATTGAGGAGAATAATTTCGAATCTAGTAAGAAAAAGGTGAAGAAACCAAAAGGTGAAAAATTGGTGTTACCAAATGGGAAAGTTGTATATGGGAAATCTAAAAAGAATTAGAAAATTAATTGTGATTTAGATGTTAATGAATGATTTTGTAAAGCTCAGGTTGTAAGTCTTTAATCACTCTCAAAAGCTTTAGGCTGTAAAGAGCTCTTTTAGATCTGGCTGAACTGCAATTGACACAGTATTCTATGGGTGATATAGAGTACTGGTTTAATTCAAAAAATCCCTTCCACTTTTATTCATTGGGTACGTAATATTTAAGGTACATATTATCCAATCATATCAATGAAAATACGTTTCATTCAATCACAGTACTTAATTCACGATATACACCTAGTGCTATTTAATCAATTAGAAATTCTACAGCTCTTGTATGTAAAAAGACAAATATGTATTGACTTCATTTGACACTTGTTAACATTTAAAACGAGATAATCATAATGATTCAATAACCAATTAATGAACTCCCTCTATTGAACACCCTTCACGCCAGCCGAATACCATCAGTATAAGCTTGAGATCAGGGGTATTGGAGTGACGAAATAGCCCGCGGTATGTCAAAAAGAGCAATAATAAAATTAACATAGATTGACATTGATAAAATCTTTTCATTTCAACTCAATGATCAAGCAGATTAAGCCATAATACTAGTCATGAGTTATGAACCATCTTGTCGACCAGATAAATATCCCGGTTGATGTCATTCCAGATTGTCTATGACAAATGGTTTAAAATAATGCCCACCATCAAGTACTGTTTTGATTTTCAATTGGATGGTGAATTATGTAATCCATTACAAATCATCTCAACTGAACTTCACTGTTACAATTTGTTGGTCAATAAATCTATTGACTCAAAATGGAGCTCATATTCTCAAGAATTCAACATGATAGAAGAGATTCAAATCCTCAATATATTACAGTTTTGGTTTACCACTCAAATCTTTGAGACTATTTCAAAGTTATAGGTATGAGATGTTTGCATTTGCTTCTCAATATAGAGCCTCAAGGCTTTAATGATCTCAAGAGATTGATATTAGGGCTACTATAGCTTAATATGTCCTCTCTCCATTCATTGTCTATAAAATGATTGTACTTGGTCCTTTTGTTTATCAAGACGATCAAGATATATAACAAAATGAAATTCAACTTCATTTATTTCATTCCTGTGCTTTTAGCCATCGTCAATTTAGGTGGTTCGGTGCCTATTGTTCCCTTCCCAAGCATTACCGTTGGTGGTGATATCATCAAATATACAGAAGCTCTCGTGGCTGCTTTTGTTTCATTAGCTAAAAGTAAATTACCAGCTGCTAAAATCTTGGGATTATTGCCTACATTAAGTCTTGATTTTAATTTAAAAGTTGTTGAACCATTTGCAAAAGATTTACCAAACTATAATACTGAGTTCCCAGTAAAAGGTCTTGATGAAGAGAAAGTCAAATGGCTAGTTGAGGCTGATAATAGAACAAAAGAGGACCCTGTCTTGCTTTACTCTCATTTTGGTGCTTACATTTTGGGAGTTTTACCTGTCTCTCCATATCTTTGGACTAGATTATATCAAGCTTTGGAGAATGACAGATTATCAATCTTGTTGTTGGATTATACAACTACTGCAAATGGTGCGAAGTATCCAACTCAATTGAAGGAAATTGCCTCAACTTATAACCAACTTGCCAAAACCTCAGACAATATTATCGTTGGTGGTGATTCAGCAGGCGCTCACTTGAGTTTAAGTTTGATTAGACACAGTGAACTTCCAATTTCTGGAGTCCCGGATGTTGATGGTGAGTCCCTCACTGGTGGTATTTTCATTTCACCATGGCTTAATATCTATCCAGATGATACAACTGGATCCCATGAGTACAACAATGGGAAAGATTTCATGATTTCGAAGTTCCTTAGAGAAGCTGGTTTGGAATTTGTTTCATCGAAAGATTTACTCACTGCTCCAGAAACTAACTTTTATAATGATACAGAAGCTGATTGGGAAAATATTCTTCCAAAGAATGTTTTCAGTAGTTATGGTGAACGTGAGATTTTGTTGACTGATGATGTTTCCTGGTATAAATTGGCCGGATTATCTGGTGATCAAGTTTTTGAAGATCCAAATGCTATTCATGATGCAATCATTTTCACTCCTGAAAAGAGTGATGTCTTTCCAAAGATTGTTGAGTTTTTTAAGAGAAATTATTAGTTTTAGTTAGACGATGTTTTTATCTATTGATTTTGTGTTATAGTAGGACGTTCCTTTCAAGAATTAATTGTTTGTTGTAGTTACATGAACATCCATATCAATTATTTCAAACTAGCTTCATCGAATGCCCTTATTTTGGCACCGTCATATAGTCGAATTAGGAAAGCATGATTCTACATCTACATAATATTAAGCTCTGAAGAATTCTTGAAAGTATATATCACCAAACATTTAAGTAATTCTACAATTCTCTTTGTGTGTTGGAAATGGAAAACAATAAATTCATTAGATCCTAGTTATCTCAAAAACTAGAGTATCAAAATGATTTAATTGAGTTGTCTATTAAACATGAGTGGTTATCCTATGACTAAAATGTTGAGCTCACATCTACACTCAGGGTGCATATAATATAATATTATACAAACACATGGTGTTGATTTGGATAAATCATTCTTGTCACAGTTGCTCATATACGAGGCTTTCAAAACAAAAACATATCACAACATCACAAGTAATATGGTTGAGACTATAAAAACAAACTTTCAATATAACTATAACTATCACTGAAAGTCAATATGAGAGCCACATTAAATCATCAGAATGAAAATAAGACAGAAAATTAAAATTAAAATCAAATATATTTGGTTAATGAAAACATGTTAAAAATCATCAAAATAAAATAATCGACAAAATTAAAACTGTTGCGCGCTTTGTATTATGTAATACAAATCTAATCTTTGAAAGCAGCTCTATACTTCAAAGAGTTAATTATAATCTTACTGTGTGTTATCAGAGCTTGTTCAGCTTTCTAAAGCTTCCAAAGAGGGGTGATTCTTGATTAATATTAATTGATTGAATATTACTAGGCCCTGGATCAGTGATGATCTGGATAATTTATGATCATGGGCTGGTATAATTTCCATTCCAGTTATAGAGTTTGCTTTCATGGACATGAGCTTATGAACATCAAACATTCATCATATTATTACTTAGTTGACTAGATAATGTTACTATCAGCTCATAAGGAAGTATTATTGTTCAGATGATGAGCTGTAGAGCGATAAACTACAAATTGGAAACAATATCGTTCAGTGGGAAAGATGAAATATCATGGGCATTAAATCCTTTGAAGTTCATTGTAACTCTGTTGTGACTTGAAGCCCATAACATTAATATAAAATCGACTGACACCTGATCAATTGACTAAGCACACCAGGTACTAGACCCCATCGAATCAAAGGAGCAGCAATATTCAAATTAGCATTAAAAGATCGAAAACACTTGAATGCAGAACCAATCAAAGTTATTATAATCCAAATATAACCTTACATCAAAATTGAATCTCAATGATATTAGCAATATAATGAAAAAACAATATTAATTAACAATATCACACGGCCAAATGAATAACACTAATATTATAAGTTGATGCTAATGCTAACTTGCAGTAGAATGATATTGAGATGATCACTAAATGTATCCAATATTAATTGGCCATTAGCCGCCTTGTGACTATTAATTCTACAAACACAAAAACGATTGGAGCGGTTAATGTTCAGATGTCAGCTAGTAATGGCGCTAAATAGTTATAGTCATGGTAACAACTACTATGCAATCGTGGTATGATCTTGGTTATGAAGTGTATTCAGTCATTAGAGACCTACAAGTAGTAATCCATAATCAATTAATAAATGGGCATCATATTCAATCAGTATTATCTATACTCTAGTTGTAGAACCAGAATACGTAAATTAATGGAAAGTCATGACAACCCTTCAAGATCAGGAAGACCTGATCTGTTCTCTATACATTCTGGTTATATCACATAGAATATTTTCCATTGATTAAACCAAACTATAGATGCATCTAGAAGATCAAATACAATTTGACGGCCTCCCAAACACTAGATGGGTTAGTATTGAGTATAAGAATGCTTCTTGGGATTCTATTCCACTTACTTCACTATCAGAGTTTGCAATAACAGATCATCCTAGAGTAGCTTATAGCTTCTATTTCAAAGAAATGATAAGAAATGAAGTCAGTTTTCGCTCATTATTTTCCTAATAGTAAAGTTCTGATTTGTCCCTGGTGTCAGTAAAACAACAAGTGAAACAAAAGAATTTACACCAAAGATCAAGACAATCCCATCCCAACACCAGATCTTTCTTTCGAGAATACAATATGCTCAGCTACTTAAGTCAGAAGTACTCCAATTAATACCTATCAATCTCTTCAAGTGTACCATCGAGAGTACCCCAAGTGACAATGGATGACAGTACTACTGCTCTCCAGGTTTAAAGATATGGTGTCATATTAAAGTATCAATCATTTGAGTTATTCAATCAGACATAGCAATTGGGGCTAAGGTACCTTTCTTGTCCAGAAACTAGTCAGCCTAATTATGAACTGTTAATAGTGAATCAAGCCATGAGAAGCTGATTTGATCAAACCAAACTCAGGAATTTAAGCGCCCAGTGCCAGAACATCCCAACACCAGCTGTTTCCGCGAACCGCAGATCTGTTTTGATTGTCGATCGATGGGCTAAACCCTAGATCCAACGAATCTCGATCAACGACGTGGTGATTGGGTTAGAACGAAGGGATGATGTGTGGAAGAGAGTAAAAATAGGTGACCATTGATCATGGTGTGTAAGAGAAAACTATTCTCTTTTCCCAAAGGTTCACAGTGCTTGAAATGAATAGCTGGATGTACAATGGGGTTTTGACTGGTCCTTATTTATTTCAATAAGATAATATGGCATGGTCACCTCAAAAACTGCCTGCACTACATGCTTTATCAACAAGTTATATTGGTGGCATACACATAATAACAAGGATCAAGGTATCAATCATGGGTACTCCTACAAGAAGTTAACCATTTCTCATACAAGTTGCAAAAATTTTAACCAAATTGATCTACAATTCAAATGAAAGCTCTCCTCTCAATCTTCAACACTTGAAATTTGGTTCCCAGATGCATATAAAAACCCCATGAGAAGAAAATATTTCGAATCATCGTTGACCATGTATCATACTTCCAATCCACCTCAAAGATGAAGATCACTTTAATACCAATCTTTTTAAGCATCATCCATGTCACTCTATCAGCACCTGCTTTAACTTTCCCAACTCCCAAGATTGGTGAAGATATAGTGAAATACACCGAGGCTTTCCTATCAATCTTTATCACACTATTGGATAATAACTTCCCAGTTGTGCAAATTGGTAATTTGGTTCCTGACCTAAGTCTTGATTTCAACATGAAGGTTGTTGAACCATTTGCCAAAGATTTACCAAACTATAACACAGAGTTCCCAGTGGAAGGTCTTGACCAAGGTAAAGTCAAATGGTTAGTGGAAGCTGAAAATAGAACTAAAGACGACCCCGTGATTATTTATTCCCATGGTGGTGGTTACGTCTTTGGAGTTTTCCCATTTTTCCCCTTCTTGTTTACAAGAATTTATCAAGAAACTGGGAATAATCGTCTTTCAATATTGATGTTGGATTATAAGCTATCCCTTGAGGAGAAATATCCATATCAATTGGGAGAACTAGCCTTGGTCTATAATAAAATCGCTGAATCCTCAAATAATATCATCTTGGCTGGTGATTCTGCCGGTGTTCATCTAAGTTTAAACTTATTGAGACATAGTAAGTTCCCAGTCTCTGGTGTCAATCAAGTTTCTGCAGGAAACATCACTGGTGGGTTATTCTTCTCACCATGGGTAAACATGTACGTTGATGATACCACGGGGTCACATGAGTACAATATGGGTAAAGATATTTTAACTCCAAAGATTATTAGAGAAGGTGGTAAACAATTTGTGCCAAGTTCAAATCTGCTAACTTCAAATGTCGTCAATTTTTATAACGATACAGAGGCTAATTGGAAGGAATTGGTACCAAAGAATGTTTTAGCCACTTATGGTGGTCATGAAATTATGGAAACTGATGATAAAAGTTGGTTTGAATTGGCTGGCTTGTCTGGTGACCAAATTTTTGAAGATAAAGGTGCCATCCATGATGCTGTGATCTTTACACCAGACCTAAGTGCTGTTGTTCCAAAAGCTGTGGAGTTTTTGAAAACAAACTACTGAAACAATTAGTTAAAAACCTTATATATCATAGATTTCACTCTTCAGAACTTTTCAACTTCTTCTTCTCTCTTTTCAGTTTTTGAGATTCAATTTTTTTCTTTATAGAATCAACTGGATTGATATTAATAACACGGAATATGTAGTATAAAACACACATTGCACAAATATTAAAAATAATATAAACCCACATAAACCCAAAATTTCTCCAAACATAACTATAACTAACACTAACACTTTTCAAATAATCATCACCAACACTATATTTACAATAAGCACAATTAGAAGTACCATTACCATTCAACAAATAACCATGTTCCCTCTCAACATATGCACCTGCAAACTCTTGACATGTCATACCTGAAGGTGGTTCAAAATAACTATATTCATCTTTAGCACAAATAACAGGTTTATCATGTAAGACTAATGCCATTAAAGTTTGAATCACATAAGTTAATGGTGAAACTTTCCACATAAAGTGCCAAAACCCTGGCATTAATGACATCGGTTGTGTAACACCACAAAATGAAATCATAAATGCAAGAAACAACCCAGTGATAACATTTGATGAGGCTAAATCTGGTGACATGTAAACAATAAATAACCCCAATGAAATATAATAAAATTGATAAATTATGGAATAGTTTAAATACCAAACAGCTGATCTGCTTGCTTCATTATCAATCCTTAATGGGAAATACAAACAGCAGAAAAACATAGCACCAGAAACTAAATGATATGGAATCTCATTAACAAACTGTGCAATCAACAAAGTTGACCAATGGAAAGTATTCGATTTGGATTCTCTAACTTCGAATAATTCTCTTGATGCAACAGCTCTTTCTTGGATTTGATTTGTTGCTGGTGCAGATATAATAATGGCTAAAAAAACTGCAAACATACCATTTTGCATACCAATAATTGTATCATTCAAACTCCAAAATGTAAAACCAACAAATAATCCACCGATAATCAAAAGAAAAAACTTGGATCCAATATATTGAGGATCTCTATAAAATTGTGTACCATTTCTTTTCACAACATAATAAAGTTGATCCCAATATGGTAAGGCATAAGTCTTGTGTAATTCACTTTTCTCAGCCCCATCATTCTCTGGAAGATCCCTACCTTCTTGCATCAATGCTTGAATTTCCTTAGTTGTTTTTTCAAATTCTTTAGATTTACACCATTTATCATACCAATCCTCTTCAACTTGTGCAGTGGCACCAGCACCAATTGATTCCAAGATATATTCAGCTGGATTTTCATTATTTTCACAAGGTCTTGCCCCATTTCTTTCAAAATAATCTAATAACACCCTAGAATTATGACCAATATCACCAAAATATACAGTCTTTCCACCTTTTTCAAGTAACAATAGCCTATCAAATGCTTCAAATAATGTAGCTGAAGGTTGATGAATGGTACACAAGATTGATTGACCAGCTTGTGCTAGTCTTCTTAACAAGTGGACAATAGCCCAAGCACTTTGAGAATCTAAACCAGAAGTTGGCTCATCTAAAAACAACAATAATGATGGTTTAGCAACTAATTCAACACCAATGGATAACTTCTTACGCTGTTCAACATTTAATCCACTACCTAAAGTACCAATAATAGCTTCAGAATACGTCTCCATACGCAAGATTTTGATGATTTTTTCAACATATTCTAATTTTTCAGAATCCGGAACAGATTTTGGACGACGTAAACGAGCTGCAAATTGTAAAGATTCTCTCACAGTCATTTCAGCAATATGTAAATCTTGTTGTTGGACATAGCCAGTGGATCTTTTGAAAGAAGTATCTAATGGTTTACCATCCACTAATATTGATCCTGTGACTGTACCAATATCATTACGTTGTGCCAAAGTGTTCAACAATGTAGTCTTACCAGCACCAGATTCACCCATTAAGGCAGTTAAAGTGCCTGGTTTGACATAACCTTGAACATTATCCAATAACTTTCTTGTGCTACCTTTATATGGAATCACGTAATCAACATTCTTCCAGGCGAATATAGATTTTGAACCTAATCCTTCAAAAACATCCAATTCATCTGATGAATTACTTGATTTCAAATCATTATCTTGTGAATTTGTTACACCGGTTTCAATATCTGAATTTTTAGATCCATGTTGCATAAGAATCTTATCTGATGATTTCCCACCACGTTTGAAATATAGGTGATCTCCACCACCTTTGACTGGTCTTTTAAATTCTGTTGAAATAGCATTAATGGCCAAAAACACAACAAAGAATGCAATAACTATACCGAAATTTCTCCATAGATTGGAATACTTGAAATTGAATTGTATCTCAAGATATCTATCACCAGAAACCCAGCTCTGACCAGTTTCAGATCCTGTGAATGCACAAACTTGATTGGCACTATCAACGTTTTCATAACCATCACCGCTAGGGACTAAAGTACCACCACAATCCATCTTACGACCATGGAATTCATCAGCCAACATGTTTTCAAACCCATATCTGATTGGATTGATATAGGAAATCCATTTAAACCAAGGATGCATAGATTTCAATTGGATCACATAACACGAATACAAAGAAATGGCCAACATTAACACACCTGCAACAGCATTGGCACCTGCAACATTTTGAGACAGTGCAGCAACCATTTGAAATAAAGCTGTAATAGTCTCAGAAGATAACACCATGAATAAGAAAGTCAAGAAGAATTTCCCTGCATCACGAGTCAAATTTGATAAAAAATAAGTTATAAGGTATAATATGGTGATTGATAAAAATTTAAAAGGAAATTTTGTCATTGTAGCTGCAATAGTCTCAGCAGATGGATGATAAAAAGAGTATGATTTCTGTTTAAGCAATATTGGACGTTCAGTAAATTGGCCTGAAATCTCAGCTAACCCCATCAATGAAAAATATAAAATCAAGAAATACAATGTCCCTGATCTTGAAAAAGAACCTTTGGTGGATGATGGAGTATTATAGTATAATGACCCACAAATCAAAGCCTGGATAGTTGCAGCAACTGTTTGGGTAATGGTATAAGCCTTATCACCATAAATACGTTGAAACCCTCTTTTTGTCAATAATCTCAATTGTTGGAAGTAGTTGATGGTGTAGCGGTAATGAGCTCTTGGTTTTTCTTGTGATAGTGATTTATCATAGATTTCTCTGGTTTTAGCAGCATCAGTCTTTTGTTCATAATCATTGATCTGATTAATCATTTTCTTATATTCAGGTGAATTGTGCCAATACCTTTCAAAATCATCAGCACTTTCTGGAACTTTCTTTTCAAATCCTGGCTTTGGGTATCTTCCCAATGGATCAGTAATTGCAGTTAAAAATTCAGCAGTTGCTTGACGAGGTGGGCATTGAAACCCCATACGCTCAAAATAGTCTTTAGCTTGATCAGCTGGACCAAAGTAAACTTGACGACCATCATATAGAATAGTAACCTTATCAAAAGTTTCATAAATGTTTTCACCAGCTTGGTAAATAGTAATGAATGCAACTGATTTGGAAAGATTTGTTGAAGTTCTAATAGCTTGAGCATATTCTAAGGCAGTTGAAGCATCTAACCCTCTTGTAGCGTTATCCCAACAATAAACAGTAGCTTTTGTAGCTAAAGCTTCGGCAATTGAAACCCTTTTACGTTCACCACCAGATACACCTCTAACAAACTCATTACCAACTTTAGTGTTGTAGGTATGTCTTAACCCAAAAACAGTTGCCAACAAGTCCCTAACAGCAGTAACATATTGCTCTCTAGAAGCATCGTTTATTCTAGTATGGGGAGTCTTGCATGCTATGGCAAATCTGAAAGTTTCATCAACAGTCAAGTGGGGATAATGGATATCTAATTCACCATTGTATATAACGTCACTCTTATATTTCTTCATCATCTCATGTTGTGAGATATGGTCATAATGAACTTCACCATCAACACCAATGAACTGATCATGTTCACCTGCAATTGTTCTTAAAAGGGTGGAACAACCAGCACCTGGTCTACCTAAAACTAAGCACATTTCACCAGGCTCAACGACACCATTGACATTTCTGATCAGTTTCCTTGTTTTCCTATGTCTTAAAGCTTTCAATTTTTGAAACATAGTTATTGGAAATAAGGCCAAATCTCCAACAGTTGGTGCAAAACTTGAAGCAGCATCAACACCTATTGTAGTAACGTCTTTTAAAACAACACCAGTTGACCTTAAATGGATACCTTGTTCATCTGCAGACTTAAAAAATGCACCTAAAACTCTTTTCAGATCAAAATCATTTGGATCAATTTCAAAAGGGCCGTCCTTTGCAGTTCTTCTGGATAACTGCTTAGATAATGTTTCCAATTTATGAAGTACACCACCTTCCTCTTGACTATGAGAATCTGTCACAATCCGAGCAATCTCTTCGTAATCATTACCAGTAACTTCATCACCATTGCCATATTCACGGGTAGATCCCCTATCGGAACTATCCGAGCTTTGTCTTTCAAAAGAGCTGGATCTGTTTCTAATCACTGACATAAATGATTTCCCTTAGGGTCCTCAACAATAAGCAAAACTTCAATAAGAAATTATCAAGCGCGAACTGTGTTCAAACAAGCAGCTAATAGTAGTGAATAGCACTAACATATTCTATCAGCATCTTCAATTCTCTAGGGATCTTGTTCTTTATATAAAATATCGCCATTATTAAGTCCTTCGCTGGATTAAAACTCAAAAAAATTCAAAAATCATCCAACCCAAACTGCCAGTAAATACGTGCCACTAACCCACCGGTCGCGAAAAGAATTATTCGCGAATAGTGGGATTGGAATAGGTTCAAGTTTTAAACAATGATGAATAAGGATTACTATGGAGAAGTACACTTTAATAAGCCAAAAAGATGTGAATTCTGAATTCTAGTTATTAATTATTAAAACAGTTCTTTCTTAAATGTCGGTTGGTGATTAAATAGATTGTCTTCGGAAAATAAGCCCTGTTTTAGTTGAGATTCCGCTTCCGAGAACCGTATATTCTTTAGGCGAGTATGCATTCCTTTGAGATGAAGCTGGGGCTTATCGGTTGTTTACTGATAAATTTGTGGTTGAAAAATGAAAGCTTTGAAAATTTTTGGAATTGGTCCTTCTCGGTGATTCTCCTGCACTTTAATCATTATAATCTGATATGGCTTTTCAGGCTCCGGTTTTTGTGTTATACGAACATTATTAGTACAACAACTTACAAATCTAATTCTCGTGACACTGACTACCAAGAGTATCTACAATACATTTCTTGAAATAACACTTCAATTAAGAACTAATTAACTAAATGACAACGAAAATCTAAATTAAATTATGTACAAATAAATGCATGTTCACTTTGAACAGTTTCTATCTTTTCTTAATCATTTCTATTGATTATTGTGACGCATAATCTTATGCTTCTGAAACATTTTGACCCTTCTTCTCTTCTCTTTTTCTTTTGGAAGCTTCCAGTTTTTCCTTAATAAAACCAAGTGGACTGATGTTAGCAACACGGAAAATGTAGTAGACAGCACACATGGTGAAGATGTTGAAGATAATATAAACCCACATGAAACCAAAGTTTCTCCATCTGTTTCCAAAACTAACACTAACCGTCTTTAGATAATCATCACCAACACTATATTGACAATAAGCACAGTTTGAGGTTGCACTTGGATTTTGCAAATACCCACTAACATGATTAACAAATGGACCAGCAAAATCTTGACAAGTCATTCCTGAAGGTGGTTCAAAATAATTATATTCATCTTTTCCACATCTGATCTTTCTTTCATGTAAAATGAGGGACAACAAGGTTTGAATCACATAAGTTAATGGTGAGACTTTCCACATAAAAGTCCAGAATCCAGGCATTAGTGACATTGGTTGAACAACACCACAGAATGAAATCATCATAGTCAAGAACAAACCAGTAATGACGGTTGATGATGCTAAATCTGGTGACATGTAAACAATGAATAAACCTAATGAAATATAATAAAATTGATAAATGATAGAATAATTCAAATACCAAACAGCAGCTCTACTAGCAGTATTATTAATCTTCAATGGGAAATATAAACAACAAAAGAAGATAGCACCTGAAAGTAGATGATATGGAATTTCATTCAAGAATTGAGCAATCAACAAAGTTGACCAATGGAAAGTATTTGATTTGGATTCTCTAACTTCGAATAATTCTCTTGATGCAACAGCTCTTTCTTGAATTTGATTGATAGCTGGAGCAGAGATGATAATAGCCATGAACACAACAAACATACCGTTTTGCATACCAATTATAGTTTCTTTCAAACTCCAAAATGTAAATCCGACAAATAAACCACCAGTAATCATAAGTGAGAATTTAGCACCAATATATTGAGGATCTCTATAGAATTGAATACCAGTACGTCTTGTAACATAATATAACTGATCCAAATATGGTAAGGCAAAAGTGCTTTGTAATTCTTTATTAGAAGCTTGATCTTGATCACCCAATTTTTCATTAGTTTCCCTCATTAAAATTTCAATTTCTCTAGTTGTATCCAAATATTCTTGAGAATTTGCCCATTTTTCATACCAATCTTCATGAACACTAGCAGTAGCACCTGCACCAATAGATTCCAAGATATATTCAGCTGGATTTTCATGTTTTTCACATTTTCTTGCCCCATTTCTTTCGAAATAATCCAACAAAATTCTTGAATTTTCACCAATGTTACCAAAATAAACTGTTTGACCACCTTTCTTCAACAATAATAATCTATCAAAAGCTTCAAATAATGTAGCAGAAGGTTGATGAATGGTACACAAGATTGATTGACCAGCTTGAGCCAATTGTCTTAATAAATGAACAATAGCCCAAGCACTTTGAGAATCTAAACCAGAGGTAGGTTCATCCAAAAACAATAATAATGACGGTTTAGCAACTAATTCAACACCAATGGATAATTTTTTACGTTGTTCAACATTTAATCCACTACCCAAAGTACCAACAATAGCTTCAGAATATGCCTCCATTTGTAAAATTTTGATAATTTTCTCAACATAATCCAATTTTTCAGAATCTGAAACAGATTTTGGACGACGCAAACGAGCTGCAAATTGTAAAGATTCTCTAACAGTCATTTCAGCAATGTGTAAATCTTGTTGTTGGACATAACCAGTGGATCTTTTGAAAGATGTATCTAAAGGTTTACCATTAACCAACATTGAACCAGTAATTGTACCCATATCAATACGTTGAGCCAAAGTGTTCAACAATGTAGTCTTACCAGCACCAGATTCACCCATTAAGGCAGTTAAAGTTCCTGGTTTAACATAACCTTGAACATTATCCAACAATTTTCTTGAACCACCTTTATATGGAATCACGTAATCAACATTTTGCCATGCGAATACTGATTTTGAACCTAATCCTTCGAAAACATCATTATCAGTTGAGGAACTACCAGATTTTAAATCATGATCTTGAATTGGACGATCGCTTGTACCGGCCTCGATATCAGCAGCTTGAGCATCACTTGATAATAAAACTTCATCTGATGGTTTCCCACCACGTTTGAAATATAAATGGTCACCACCACCTTTGACAGGTCTTTTAAATTCGGTACAAATAGCATTAACACCAAGGAAGAAGATGAAGAACCCAATCAAGATACCAAAATTTCTCCAAATATGTGTATATTTGAAATTGAATTGAACTTTCAAATAACTATCACCAGAGACCCAACTTTGACCAGGCACTGAACCAACAAACGCACAAACTTGATTTGCACTATCAACATTTTCATAACCTGGACCACTAGGGACTAAAGAACCACCACAATCCATCTTACGCCCATGAAACTCATCAGCCAACATGTTTTCAAACCCATATCTGATTGGATTAATGTATGAGATCCATTTGAACCAAGGATGCATAGATTTCAACTGGATCATATAACAAGAGTATAACGAGATGGCCAACATTAAAATACCAGCAACTGCATTAGCACCTGCAACATTTTGAGATAGCGCAGCAACCATTTGAAACATTGCAGTGATTGTTTCAGATGAAACGACAAGGAATAGATAAGTTAGGAAGAATTTCCCAGCATCACGAGTTAGATTGGACAAGAAATAAGTAATGAGGTAAAAAGCAGTGACTGATAATAACTTGAATGGGAATTTTGTCAAAGTTGCTGAGATGGTTTCTGCTGAAGGATGATAAAATGAATAAGATTTTTGCTTTAATAGGATTGGACGATCAGCAAATTGGCCAGAAACTTCTGCAAGACCCATTAATGAAAAATATAAAATCATGAAATATAAAGAACCTGATCTTGAGAAAGAACCTCTTGTTGTAGCTGGTGTTCCGTAATACAATGAACCGGCAATTAAAGCTTGGATGACAGCTGCAATTAATTGGGTGATTGTATAGGCTTTATCACCATAAATACGATCAAACCCTCTTTGTGTTAATAATTTCAATTGGGTTAGATAACTAATTGTATAACGATAATGAGATTTTGGCTTTTCTTGAGCTAATGATTTATCATAAGTTTCTCTTGTTTGGGAAGCATCAGTTTGAGATTCATATTCATTGATTTCATTTAATAATTTTTCATATTCTGGAGATTTATGCCAATACGCTTCAAATTCATCAGCAGTTTGTGGAACTTTATGTTCAAACCCATCTTTAGGAAATCTACCCAATGGATCAGTAATTGCAGTCAAGAATTCAGCAGTGGCTTGACGTGGTGGACAATGGAACCCCATTCTTTCGAAATAATCTTTAGCATCTTCAACTGGACCGAAATAAACTTGACGACCATCATATAGAATGGTAACTTTATCAAAAGTTTCATAAATGTTTTCACCAGCTTGATAGATTGTAATGAATGCAACGGATTTAGAAAGATTGGTTGAGGTTCTAATAGCTTGAGCATATTCCAAGGCAGTTGATGCATCTAACCCTCTTGTAGCGTTATCCCAACAATAAACAGTAGCTTTTGTAGCCAAAGCTTCGGCGATTGAAACCCTTTTACGTTCACCACCAGATACACCTCTAACAAAATCATTACCAACTTTAGTATTATAGGTATGTCTTAAACCAAAAATTGTGGCTAATAAATCTCTATTAGCAGTAATGTATTGTTCTCTTGAGGCATTGTTAACTCTTGTATGTGGAGTTTTACAAGCAATTGCAAATCTGAGAGTCTTGTCCACGGTTAAATGAGGGAAATGAATATCCAATTCACCGTTATAAACAACATCACTTTTATATTTCTTCATCATTTCCTTTTGAGGGATATGATCATAATGAATATCACCATTGACACTAACAAATTGATCATGTTCACCTGCAATTGTTCTTAAAAGGGTTGAACAACCAGCACCTGGTCTACCTAAAACCAAACACATCTCACCAGGTTTCACAACACCGGTTATATTTCTCACGATACTTCTAGTTTTAGCGTTTTTCTTTTCTTTAATTTGTCTAAAGATTGAGACTGGACCCATTGCTAAATCACCAACAGTTGGTGCATAACTTGCAGTGGCATCAATACCGGTAGTAGTGACATCTTTAAAGACAACACCAGTGGATCTAAGATGGATACCTTGTTCATCTGCAGATTTCAAAAAAGTTTGCAAGATTCTTTGGAAATCAAAATCATTTGGGTCAATCTCATAAGGACCTTGTCTTGCGGTTCTTCTTGATAGAGTTTTGGACAAAGTTTCTAGCTTGTGCAAGACACCACCATCATGTTCATTCTGAGAGTTTGTGACGATTCTTGCAATTTCCTCGTAATCAGAAGCAGCGTCTTGGAATTGAGTTGAGCTTCTTTCCACTTGTTGCAAGTTCTGCTGGGACGCAGTTGGGTGGAAGCCCTCGACCTGGTCAGCAGTGATACTAGCACCAGACATGTTAGCAATGGACCTTTAGTGGCTTGTTGTACGTTTAATCTGAGAAAGTGGATTCTACAAACATGAGGAATTTGCCTCTGGTTTTAAGTATTTTATTCCATTGACATCAGCTACGAATTTGTTTACTTTTTCTCGCAGCAAAGAAAAAAAAAATCAGCACCACAGTTAAAAAAAATTTAAACCCGAACCCACCTGCCGCCGCTTGACGGGCCAATACACCGCTTAAAACAGAGTGAAAAGAACAATTGTTAGCATAGTGCTACTCTGCTAACAGACTACCACTCAGTAAGTCCTTCCCCTTGAAAACACTCCAGCACAGCAGCGAAAAGGCGCAAGTTGTGTTGAATTCTAAGCTTCGGGGATGAACCTAATGCTCCGGCCTCGATTGCCCCATTGGGTACTTGAGCCCGGAAAGAGGTGACCAGCGCAAAATACATAAGTCAGTTTAATTAATTTATAAGGGAAAGATTAGTAACAAAGACTGTCTCGAATCTGATCTACATCATAGGGCTTAGGCTTATTAGTAAGACGGCTTGTAGGTTATCAATGGTTCAGGGATTTGCACATGTTTGATTAATTCTATAAACCATCGAACGGCTGAATAAAATTTCACCTCACATCAGGTGGGACAAACTTCAATTAACGAACTCTGAATTGAGATTATGGGTACTAATGTTCCAATTGTTATCCGTTAATAGTTATCCATACACTCCCTAGTCAATAACTTCACTGTTTATCCAATTCATTTACGCTGCACTGAAATCCAGGTATTGAGATTTTTAGCTGTAATTCGCGAATTGCTTATAGTACTTTAATTGATGTTCCTTGATTCCATACAAATCTTATATGATTCTTTGAGTCATTTTCTCAAATCATAGTGCCATGACACAGCAACATTCTCATACCAATGCTTGTAATAAATTCTAAATTTAGACTAGACGTCGATATTCAAATTATTACGCGGTAACGTCGTACCAGCTTTGCAGCACTCAACAATATATTAAATTTAAATGATTAAATTTTGTTATGATATTTATAAGGAAGCCTGGATTCCAGTTGCATATAATCGAGCTCTGAATCCTACTGCAATCCATATTGCAGTAATTCGGGCGTATTTTAATTAATATATTGCAATAATATTCCTGATCATGAATATCCAAGTTCATCAAATTTCAATATTATTATACAATAATATTATAATAATTAACAAATTTGGTCAGGCAGTTAGTATTTTATCATTATTTACCATCATCACGGGTTCAAACCTGAACCCTGATTTTAGGGTGAGTTTTAGTGGGTATTCCTCAACAAGAGGCGAGTCCCACACTGTTCCGTGGTGGAGAATAGGTTTCTCAGTTGGCTGAGAAGGATATTATTATAAGGAAGCCTGAATTCCAACATGATAGCGAGAAGCCAGCTACATTAATCCAAGCGGTTCGTGCGTAATTGCATTCCTCAATATCCAAGTTCATCAAATACACCAACTATAAATTAAAAAAAAAATATATATTTAAATTGAAAAATGGGCTAGCTCATGATGACGTACGTTTTAACCCTTATTATATATTATTATATAAGATTTATTTCATCAGATAATAACACTTTATTATACCCAGCTAGCTACTAATGAGTATATAAGGCTTCCATAATACTTTCTGAGTCGAGGAGATTAATATGTGGCTGTCATTGACAATGTGTCAATAACCCTGCATAATGAAGCAATTTTTTCCTTTGAAAAGTTATATAGATAGTAGCTGTAAGCTGTAACTCATATTAATTTCTGAAATAAAGGTGGCTTGATTTTGTAACAAGATTAAAACTTTGAGAAACACCAAAACTCATTGGCTCGAGACTTGTGAGCGTTCTTGAATACACATTGGTGCAATTAACGTTAATACCACCACCTAACCATACCTGTATCCTCAATCAGAGCAAATTACAGTAAATATATCATGTCAAAATATACCATATCTTTAGCTTGCCAGCCTTATAAAGATGTATTGGAAGCATTTAGCCTCCAAGTTCCAAGCCTAAGCTCAAGTGATCTTCCTATCAAGGTTTTCGCGAATCTAACTCAAATCTTAACTCAACATCCCAACTTCACCAAATCGTAAACCCTTTTACCTGAATGAAGATGAAAGGCACATGGAATCATCATTGATTTGAATGAAAGTCAGTGTCAATTATCACTCACCACAAAATTATTTCCAATTGACAAGAGACCAAAGAGTGTACCCTTTTCATTATCATGCCTCGCTTCGAAATACACTTTAATGCACCGTTCAACGGTTTTTTTTAGTGAGCGAATCAGAACGCGTTTCACGCTATCGATGAGCTTACAACGTTGGCCTGTAATATCAAGAAACAGGATCAAGAAATGCCTTGGGCCTTGGTAACTGTCAAGGCTTTAACGATCCACTGTGTAGAATATTCATGCCTCAAGACAGTTAAAATAACCACAGCTTATATCCCAGGTCACGTGAATATTACAAATCGATAATTAGAAACCAGTTAAATCACCAGTTTGAAGCGCAGACGACTGGTTGAAAAAGAATGGCACAGTTCTATTAACTCTTACTTCCATCCTTAAACAATACACAGACAACCAAGGAATACCAAACACTCCATACGACAATTGTGGTTTAGCAAATTGGCTGCTTTTGATATCCACAATCGCTGCCAAAAGCCAAAGCAATTTTTTTTTTCATTCTTTAGTCAGCATTTTGGAAAAAGTCAAATTTAATTGTTTAGACGTTGATAAGAACCTTGACGAACGCCAGGTGACAGATACTGTTGGAAAGGTTGTTATTTAGGCCATTAGAGGACTCAGCTGTGTATCTTGCCCATTTTCCCACGCTCCTTCGCCAGCTTCACCAGGTAATTTGCTAGGTTTATCTCTTCCTTTTTCCAGTGCTGGGTACAAAACACAATTTATCAACAACATCAACATCACTAGTTAACGTTCTCCTCTACAAGATCAAATGGGTCTTTTGTCTTTAGGTACACCTCTTCCATGGGAGGAATCACGCCAATATTCTGAACACATCCGTAAGAATGGGTTGGCTCAGTTGATTAATATGTTCAATGCTGCTTATAACCGATCTGATGATAAATATCTTTGGGGTGATGAAGTTGAATACATACTGGTCCAATTCAATGAAAAATTGAAAACTGCAAAGATCAACATAGATAAGGATTATATCTTGGAAGATTTGAACAAATCTGGTGAAATGTTTGAATTGGCTAAGTTAAATAATGCCAATTTCCATCCAGAATATGGTAGATTTATGATTGAAGCAACTCCATTGAAACCATATGACGGTGATTCCATAGATGATTATCTATATGTTGAAAAAAACATGAATATGAGAAGAGTCGTTGCGGAAAGGGCCTTGAATGATTCAAATATCAAACCTCTAACAATAACTTCATATCCTTTAATGGGTGTTGGAAATTTCACCGAACCAAAATCTGAACCAAATGGTAATGCTTCAAGATCTCTATTCTTACCTGATGAAATTATTAATAGACATGTTAGGTTCCCAACATTAACTGCAAACATTAGAAAGAGAAGAGGTGAGAAGGTTGCTATCAATATCCCAATGTTTCAAGATAAATTAACTTCGAAAAATGATGAATCAATCCCTTTAAATAGAGGTTTGTTCCCAGAAGATGAAGAACCATCATTAGGTGCTGCCAAGCCGGGTCATATTTATTTAGATTCAATGGGTTTTGGTATGGGTTGTTCCTGTTTACAAGTTACTGTACAAGCTCCAAATATCAACAAGGCTAGATACTTGTATGATTCCTGGGCAAATTTAGCTCCTATTTTCCTAAGTTTAACTGCAGCAGCTCCTATTTTCAAAGGTTATTTAGCTGATCAAGATGTCAGATGGAATGTCATCTCTGGTGCTGTTGATGATAGAACTCCTATTGAAAGAGGTGTTGAACCATTAAGAAAAGGTCATGAATATGGTAACATTAGAGAAGATCATAAGGATCATGTCCAAAGAATACCAAAATCAAGATATGACTCAATAGATTCTTATCTAGGTGATTTACAAACTTCAAATGAACAAAATCAAGAACCAAGTTATAGATTTTTCAAAGAATCATTGAATGATATATCACCTCCAATCAATGAACTTGTTTTGAAGTTATTACTAAATGATCCAAACAAACATTTTGATAAACCTTTAGCATCACATTTTGCTCATTTATACATCAGAGACCCATTAGTCATTTTCAATGAACGTATCAATCAGAATAATGAACAAGATACTGATCATTTCGAAAACATCCAATCAACAAATTGGCAAACATTAAGATTCAAACCACCTACTCAAGCAGCTACACCTGATAATAAATCAATACCTGGTTGGAGAGTGGAATTTAGATCAATGGAGATCCAAATTACAGATTTTGAAAATGCTGCATTTTCAACTTTTATTGCATTAATTGGTCAAGCTTTCATTCATCATCCTGATGTTTTGAATTTTTATATCCCAATATCTAAAATCGAGGAAAATATGAAATTGGCTCATAAAAGAGATTCAGTCTTGAATGATAAATTTTTCTTTAAGAAGAATGTACTTGATGACGGTTATGAATTTGGTGAATTCACCATGGATGAAATAATAAATGGTGGTGAAAATTTCATTGGATTGATTGCTATTGTTAAAACCCATCTAAAGAATAATTTCAATATTGAGTTGACTAAAGATGATCCAGAGCATTCAAGATTATATTATTACTTGTTATTAATAAGTAAAAGAGCATCAGGTGAAATTCCAACAACTGCAAATTTCATAAGATCATTTGTTACAAAGCATAAAGAATATAAACAGGATTCTAAAATCAATGATATCATCAATTATGGATTATTGGAAAAAATTAATAGAATTTCAAACTATCAAAATGAAAATAATGAATTGGTTGAATTCTTTGGTGAAGAACTTTCAACTTATTTGATTGAAAACAAACTTGTCAAAGAGCAATACTAGATCGTCATGATTTCCAAAAACATACTATAATATCATATATCATATTCTTCACGACTTACGATAATTACGATATTGTTGATTTGGTTTTTTATTTTATTGTTGTGTTTCAGGGTTAATGTCTTATAACAGTCCTTTTTTTGTTTGATTAAAATAGATACACGTTGATTTGAAATATAGAGTATAATAATGCATATTTTTTTTTACTAGTTAGAGATATTAATGTAAACTACAATGGTTAAAAGTACCCTTTCTTTTTCTGAAACTCATGAAATCCGTTGAGGACATTAATTATTTAATAATTTCTAATAAACAAGACCATAACTATATATACCTTTATGTTAATACCCAAAAATAATTAAAATTATCATACAACAATAAAAAAATAACAAATTTTGAAAGCAGGTCATTAAACGAAAATTCCAATAAAAGGGTGAAACCAAAATGGAAGTTTTTGAAACCATCCATTCTATGGATGTGAATGCAAAAACATCTAATTGATAAAAACTCTATTGAAATCCATATGATAATAATAACGATAATAATATAAAAAAAAAGAGTGGAAATGCAGTTGATGCAAATCCTATATGATTAATAATAAATGAGATTATGGCTTAAAACCGAATTGAAGTGGAAATAACCGTTTTGATAGTTTTTGTTAACTTAGTAACGGTAATGATCAGCTTTGAATGGACCTTCAGCTGGAATACCTAAGTATTCTGATTGTTTGGTGGTCAAAGTGGTTAATTTAACACCTAAATGTTTCAAATGGAATCTGGCAACAGCTTCATCTAAAACTTTTGGTAAAACGGCAACGGTACCTTTTTCAAATGGACCTGATTTACCAAATTCAACATGTTTTGATCTGAAAGCTTCATCATTAGCTTTGAATAAAGCAATTTGAGCTAAAACTTGGTTAGAGAATGAACAAGACATAACGAATGATGAATGACCAGTAGCACAACCCAAGTTAACTAATCTACCTTCAGCTAATAAGATGATGTGACGACCGTTTTTCAATAAGTAACGATCAACTTGTGGTTTAATGTTAACAACATCAACAGCGTTAGCTTTTAACCAAGCAACATCAATTTCAATATCAAAATGACCAATGTTTGAAACAATAGCATCTTCTGGCATTTGTTCGAAATGGGTTTGAGTGATAATATCTCTACAACCGGTAGTAGTAACGAAAACTTGACCGATTGAAGCAACTTCATCTAATGGAGCAACTTGGTAACCTTCAACAGCAGCTTGTAAAGCATTGATTGGATCAATTTCTGAAACAATAACTCTAGCACCCATACCTCTTAAAGCCATGGCACAACCTTTACCGACATCACCAAAACCGGCAACAACAGCAACTTTACCAGCCAACATGACATCAGTGGCACGTTTAATACCATCAATCAAAGATTCTCTACAACCGTACAAGTTGTCGAATTTTGATTTGGTAACTGAATCGTTAACGTTGATAGCTGGAACCTTTAAGGTAGCATCTCTAACCATATGGTATAAATGATGAACACCAGTGGTGGTTTCTTCAGATAAACCGAAACAGTCTTCCAACATTTCAGGGTATTTTTCATGGACTAATGAGGTTAAATCACCACCATCATCCAAGATTAAGTTCAATTTCTTACCATCTTTGAAAGAGAACAATTGTTGTTCAATACACCACAAGTATTCTTCTTCAGTTTCACCTTTCCAAGCGAAAACTGGAACACCAGCAGCAGCAATGGCAGCAGCAGCATGATCTTGGGTTGAGAAAATGTTACATGATGACCAGGTAACTTCAGCACCTAAAGCAACTAAAGTTTCAATCAAAACAGCAGTTTGGATGGTCATGTGTAAACAACCAGCGATTCTAGCACCTTTTAATGGTTGTTCAGCACCGTATTGTCTTCTGATTTCCATCAAACCTGGCATTTCATTTTCAGAAAGTTCGATTTCTTTTCTACCGAAGGCGGCTAAGGAGATATCAGCGACTTTGTAGTTAACAGCTGGAGCAGACATTGTGGATAGTTGAGTTCTGGGGGGTTCAATTGACTGGAGTTGTCGTTGATGAAGTTTTGATAAATGTGTTCAAATTGAGATCCCAAAAATTTTCTTTAAACGAGGAAAAAAAAATTAAACGTTTCGCATGTGAAAACACGGGCAGTCGCCCTACCGCTGACGTAACTATTACACCAATATTACGTAATATTTTTAGATTAATGAGTTATACTGATTGGTTTTATATTAAAGCTCATTTGATGTTTTTCTATGGCTTGCTGGATTGAATCCACAATTGAGATTTCTCGAATTTGCAAATTTGCTAGCATCATATCATAGAAAGGGTGTACACAATCAGAATTTCAAACACAGGATAGTTTATATATAAAGTATACATTAAGAATAAAACACAGTATACTGAGCTTTCTAAAGCTATTGTACTAATAATAAGGGGGGAAAACAAAAGGAATGTTGATTGTGGGTATCTCTCTTATCGTTATGCTTGAGCAGCAGTGTCCTCATATCCATCAACAGATTCACCATTCTCCATTCTGCTGTTCAAATATTCTTGTGCAGTGGCATTCTTTGTAACTAATTCAATGATTCTTCTAACTTTTGGCAAGTTCAACCAAGCTGGAACATAAGCTTCGACTCTTGAGAATGGTCTTAAATCAGTCTTTCTAAATGGATCTTCAAAATTACCATCTTTAGTAACTGGTTCGAAGAAGTCATCAGAACTTGCACCTTGACTCTTGACTCTTTCAGCAACAGCACTTAAGACAGTTTCGTCTAATGGAGTTTCATAATCAGCAACAGCATATTGAGATAATAATTTTTGAATTTGAACAGGTTTTAAAGCATAACAAATTTCAAAAATAATTTCTATATCTTCAACAGATGCTTTTCTCAATTGTAACAATTTGGCAGCTTGTAATAAATGAATTAAATAATTTGAAGCATCTGGAATTTCATGACTCTTACACCATTCTTCAATTCTGGTAACATTATAGTTCAATTGTAAACCACGTTTCCATGACAAATAGTTACGTTTCATAATCAAGTCATTGAAACAAACAGCATCAATATATCTTAGCAATTCAATGATAACCTCATTCATAACCTCTGGTTCAATGTAGTAAGTTCTCATAGCCCAATAGACATTGTTGAAGAAGGACAGAATATCATCCATTTTATATTGGTTGTTTTGTGAAAACATCTTGGAAAACAATGGAGCAGAATCAGTAGTCATGAAGCCTGGTAATGATTGTGACAAAACAACAGCTGAGATAACCTTCTTTTCTAATTCTTTTTCCATCTTTCTCATCCACATGTTATAAATATTAAATGATAATGAATCAAAATCTTCTTTAACAACAGCAACCAATTTCAAATATTCTTGATATTCTTCTTCTCCCATCTCACTCGATATGGTTTCGTTCTCCACTATAGTCATTTCGGCGTATGAGACAAAAGAATATAATTCATGAGTATTGGACAACCAGAAGGCACCATGAGGAATGATATCATCATCTTTCAAATTGGAGACGATGGTCTGGATGACTGATAAAACTTCACCCAGGAACTCTTCAGATTCTTTGGTTAAACCTAATCTCCACATATCACTCAATATTATAATAATGATTCTAGCTGGGAATAAAACTTCCTTCTTAGTTAATTCAGCCATAACACCAGACATTGGAATTTTCAAATGTTTTAATAAACCTTGAACAATTTCTGTATGTAATGTCTTTGAATCTTGTAATAAGGCATATAATTCATTAGTGATAGCTGATAATGAACTTAGTGTAGATTCAGCATCATCTTCTTGATTGGTGATCGGTATAACTGAAACTGGTTTTGGACTAAAGGTATGGCTATCATCATCACCATGAGCAGAAGATTGTTGACTATAACGTCTCGATCTCTTTGGTGTTGTATTATTGTTAGCCATTGATCTTGATGATGGAGCATGACGACCTGAGGCGACTTGTTTTGTCAAAATATCCAATTCGTTCTTCAAACTTGATATTTGTTTTTTCAAATCATCTTCAGCAGTTTCATGTCTAGACAATTCTTGTTTAGCTTGAGTCAATTGGTCAAGAGTGTCTTTAACTTCATTCTTCAATTGAGTTTGTAAAGCTGTCAATTCTTTGATCTTTTCGGTAGCTTGTTCCAATTCAGTCTTTGATTTATTTAATTCAGAATTCAAATTATCAATTTCTTTACAATGAGAATCAGCTTGATCAGTAAATTTTTGTTGATGGGATAAATCTCTTGCTTTCAAATCTTCATGAGTCTTGTGTGAATCTTCTAGTGATTTCTTAAGAGCCTCAAGTTCAGCTGTAAGTGATTTATTTTCTTTAACTTTAGTGGTCAATGACGTGGTCAATTCAATAACTTTGTTTTCCAATTTATAACTTGCTTCTTTCAACTTGTTGACAGATTTAGCTTCAACTTTCAATTGTTTTAATTGAGCTTGAGCCAATCTACTTCTATAGGCAGATTGAGTGAAAACAGCAGCTCTTCTCAATTTTCGATACTGTGATTTTTCTCTATGAGATTTGATAGTTCTTTGTATAGTAATGACATGTCTCTCCTTTTGACTAGCAACGAATTGAGTTCTTGATTGTCTTGCACGAATTAAACCTTGTAATGCAACAATAGACGAAGAAACTTGAACAAATCTTTTACGGGCAATGAAACCTCTAATTAAAGTTTGAATATTTGTGGCAGCATTGCTTTCAATTTCTCTTTGAATTTTACCCCTAGTGTTATAAGCAACCAATAACGATTGTAATTTGATGATTGATTCTTTGGCTTCCAAAAATTGGCGACGATAATAAATTTTTCTAATATTCTTTTGAATCAAGGTAGCTGAATTGTGTAATTTATCAGATCTCAATTTTTCCAAATGAGCCAACATACCAGCTTTGAAGAAGATTTTGGTTAAACCCAATTGATATTTTTCTTTCTTATCAACAGTTTTCTTCAAAATTGAATCACAAATATTACGAACAGTATCATTATCAGCTGTACCGGACAATATAGTTTCATATTCACTTGAGTTCAGTAAAACATGATATCTGTTACCAAATTCTTCATATGTCCATCTTGATGGGAAACCAGCACATGAAATTTTAATAGTTTCCAAGACACCACATGCTCTTAATTGTGACAAAACCATTAAAGGATCAAATTTCCAAGCAGCCTTTTCTTCATTTGGTTTAATACAACGGATATAATGAACATTTGTTGAGTTGATAGTGCTCATCAATTCAATCAAAGAGTTTTTGAACATTGAACCTAATGTTGGTTTTCTATTTATTGTTCTAGCAGGACCTGGTTTCTTTGGAGCAGCTTCTTCTTTTTCTTTAGATGCGGCTTCAGCGACCTTGTCCAGGTTATCTAAGATTTCTGTCAACAATTCATTCTTTGAAGCTTTCAAAACTTCTAAATGACCATCTGAAACGGTATCTCTATTCTTTTCAATAAAACCTTCAACATCATAAGGAACATCAAGAGCATAATGGGAAACAATGAATTTAGTTTGACCAAATCTTGGTTTCTTGAAAACTTTATTCGTTGGTGGTTTATCTAAAGTTTGGTATAGCTTAGTGACCCAACTTTCATCATTACCAGCAGGTAGTCTTGATTCTTCATCTAACAAAGACAATATACCAAGTTTCTTTTCAATCAAGTCGATACAAGGTTGATTATCACTAAATTCAATAAATGACCATTCGATCTTTTCATTAACATATTCTTCTTGTTCTAATTTGAAGACATGTTGATTGAACTCTTGTTGTAATTTTTCATTAGCATAATTGATACAAAATTGTTCAAATGAATTCTTTTCAAAATGTTCAAACCCATAAATATCTAAAACACCAATAAAAGTTTTAATATCTTCAACAACTTCTGGGTTACAAAGATCATGATTGATATAAGAAACTAACCAGTCAAATAATGCAGAATAAATATATTTGGCAACGGAATCTCTTGAGACTAAAGCTTGTGAATGGTTTAAATCAGAAACAATTTTTTCAGATCTTGTGATGATTTGCTTCTTGGTGATCCATTTGGCAAAGTTGTAAGGGTCAATACCTAACAATTCAGAAGCTTTTACCAAGTTTGGTTCATCTGATGATAAAGAAGCATTGTTTCTAGTAGCCTTGATTTCAATATTACCAATGTGTAATAACGCTGCTAAAATTTTGAAAATGGAGAATTGTGTATCTTTACCAATACCAATTAACGACAGAGCGTCTGTTGTGGTTTTATATTCTTCAACTTCATCGACACCTTCAATACGGTAGTCACCGCCTTGATTCAAATAGTTGTAATCGTCAATAGATGTCAATTTCAATTGTTCTTTTTCATCAGCTGATAAACCTTCCAATATTTGATAAAAGATATGGTAATTACGCTCAGTCTTTGGTTGAAAAACTAGTCTTGAACGTTCCAATAGATAAGTTCTTATTCTTGCACCAATAATAGCTGTATCACCATTGAATAAAATTTCCAAATATTTACCAAAACGTGAAGAGTTATCATTTCTAGTGGTTTTAGCATTACCAAAAGCTTCCATGATTGGATTTGTAGCTAGAATCTGTTGTTCAACTTCTGACATTTCAACGTTATTACTATTTGCACCAAGAACTGTTGAATCACTATTTGTAATTTCCTCCACAGTAGCAAAGTATCTCATAATATATTTGGCAGAAACTGTTTTACCAGCACCAGATTCACCACTAACCACAATGGTTTGATTCTGATGATCTTGTTTCATACATCTATAAGCATCTTCAGCGATGGCGAATAAATGTGGATCTTGTTCACCTCTTCTTTTACCAGAATAAGCTTGAATGATATCTGAAGAATAAAATTGATCAACTCTTTGGAAAGGATTTGTGGCAATCAAAACAATACCTGAATAGGTATAAATGTTCAACTGCGAGTATCTTACTTTGATGGCATGTAAGACAGCAGGTTCATTTAGATAGGATAAAGATGTTAAATCTTCAGTTGCTTCTAAAATTGGAGGATTTCTCAACAGAGGCAATTTTTCATTAGATTCATCCAAAGAATCAACCTCAACGTCAATGACATCCTTGTTGGAGTCTATAGTCAATTGGAGCTGGTGCTTACTGCTCAAGTTTGTATGTTTCGTGACCTCAGCACCGACCCAACCTTCTGTATCACTTTGAACCCAGCATCGGCTATATATAAATAGTTAGTATTGGCTCTTTTACGCACAGATTCAGATCAATCTCAATGGCCCCTATCACTTCCAAGGCGGTGATGATGGCTGCCCATTCAGACGATCCCATAGAGAGAGATACGTACGTCCCAACTTCGTAGGTGGACGCCATGCTGCTGTTGCTGAGATTGTGGACTGGTTGTTGATGATGTTGATGTTGATGTTGTGGTCCAGTTGTTCACTTTTTTTTGTTGACGCGTTTGAATTCGAATCAGAAAAACCAAAAAAAAACAAAAAAAAAACAAGAATGTGTTGCGCACACCGATTCTACCTGTCACTTGGGATAATTTGGGAGACTGAACTTGGGACTGCTGATTGGCTGGATTGGTTATTTTGTTAGTGAATGGATATCTTTTTGAGTGTATCTTTTGTCTTTGCAATGTTGCTGATGTTCTTTTGTAGTTTTTGGTGCTGTGGAGTCTGGACCCAGACGTTGAAATTCCTTTTCCTGGTTTCATCTTGCGAGCTCATAACCGGAGAACAACAACCTCAAAAAATGTGATACAAACTACAAAAAAACTTGGTAATAACAAAAGATTAAAAATACTATACAAGAAGGCGTAGAATAAAAGCAATTGTCCAGTCTAGTTAGATAAATGTCAACCACTACTCAGGTTCTGGGGTATCTTCAGGGATTGGAGTTTCATCCTCTTCTACAGAATCTGGTTGATGCTCAACAATGTCCTCCTCAGGTTCATTCTCTTCAGAATCAGGTTGATGTTCAACGATTTCTTCATCAGATGGTTCGGATTCAGGCTCGGCTTCGTCAACAATAGGTTGTTGGATACCACCAACTGGTTCAACTGGCTCTGGTGGAGTAACTTTATCAGTTTCTGCAGCTTCATTAACAGCCTCAACCAAATCTTCTTCCTCGTTTAAAGGTGTCTCCACATCTTCAGGTTGAGCATAGGATCTAACAGGAGCATCAACAATTGCAGTTTGAGTGGTTGCTTTTGATTCTTGGGATAACTGAACAACTACTCTTTCAGGGGTATCAACTTTGGTTTCATGAGATTCTTCGGTCTCTTGAGATAACTGAACAAAAGATTTGACTGGTTCATCAACCTTAGTTTCTTGAGAAACAGCTTCATGGGACAATTCAACAAAATATTTAACTGGTGTATCAACTTTGACTTCTTCAGTCTCTTTTGGATCAGTGACAATTCCATCATCACCAATTGTTGCAGTTTTGGTTTTGAGGTAAGTCATTGTAATTTCTTCACCTGCTTCAATGGCAGCTTCTTCAGCTCTTTCTCTAGCCTCACGAGCTTGGAAAGCCAGATTAGCTTTGGCTCTTAGAATGGCAAATCCATTACCGGAATCCTGTTCCAAAGTTTTCATTGTGAATGCAACTTCGCTAATCAGTTTATTAATCAATTCAAAATCTGGTTTCTTTGCAATCAGTTCTTCTCTTTTTTTGATCAAATAGTTTTTAGCCTTGACGTATTCTCTCCAATCTGAGAAATTTTCATCATCATCTTGTAAACCTTCTTGATCAATTTTTTTAAAAGTATTTGAAAAAGTTGAATACATCATTTTTTTACTAAATTCATTGATTGAAACTTCAGCAAACTCTTCAAAAATATCCACAATCAATTTTCTTTCAATTTCTAAATTGTCTTCAATATCAGCAACATGTTTTTTCAACTCAACATTGATTTGATCAGCTAAATATTTTAATGATTCACTTTTTTCAGCTAATAATTCACGGAATTCTTGTCTTGAAATCTTGTGATCAATGAGTTTCCCAGACATATCAAGTTCAGCCTCTTCATCATTTTCAAGAATCACAGTAGTAGAATTGATATCATAAATGACCCTATTGATATAAGCATAATCCATATTTGAAGTTTGACTTAAATTTGATAATAATTTAGAGATATGAGGTTTAGCTTCGCCAAGTTGTTCCAGCTCTAATTCCCTTATTGATTTGTCAAAATTCTTGAAAATATTTTCAACAGTAACATCAATAAAATTTCTCCATGCTGTAATTTCATCAGCTAAAGATAATGTCAATTCAGCATTTTCCTCCTGTGCAGCCTTTGTCTCTAAAGAATCTTCAGTGGATTCAGAAAAAGATCCATATGATGAGACGGTTGCAGTCTCAGCAAAAGTTTCGGTTTCAGTTTCAGTTTGAGAAGGTTCATCACTTATGATTGCTTCTTTAGCTTCAGTGGATGCTTCTTCTTCAGGTGTTATTTCAAGAGTTGGAACTTCAGTTTCTTCTTCAAAATCAGTTGGACTATCAGAAGTGGCTGCTGTGGAGTCACTTTCTTGATTTGACGAATCTGAATTACCATATTTGATGATTTGTTCATAGGCTGAAGAATAACATTTATGAGACAATGAAATAATTTGTTCAACCCTGAATAGATTGTAATACTTGATAGCTTGACTGATAATAAAATCGACATGTTCTTTCAAATATTTGTCATAACTTGGTTTAATCAATGGTAAGACTTTGGAGTGATAAAATGGGGCAACATGTTTGGCATAAATTTCAAAAACATGCAATTTAATCAACTTGAAATGCTTAGCAGCTTGAACCCTAGCGATTGCAATAGACTTCATAGACTTGGATTGAGTGCTTTTTGAAAAAGGAATAGCTTTGTTATTATAAAAATCAATCACAAGAGGCTTTGTCAATTTATAATGTTCACAAGCTTTTGCTCTCAACAAGGTAGTTTGTTCAATAAGCTTGCTAAACCCAATCAGAGTATACCTCACTGCAAGGGTATTGAAGAACTTTGCTTTTTCCTCAACCAATTGATAATATTTGACCAATTGAGGTTTATAAACAATGATCTTGTCAAAAACTGGCGAGTTCACCACTTTATCAACGACATTATCAACATGTTTGGATAAATAGACCTTATATTTACCAGCAGCGACACCGGTAGCCTTGGAATATGAAGGACTAATGTATTTGGTGTTGACGTTAGTGAGGAAAGGTTCCAATTGAGATTGAGCTGGTATCACGTAGTCATTATAGTATTTATGGCTCTTGATATGGGTGAAGGAAGAATCAACTTGTGAGCGCACCGCTTGGATCTCTGGTGCTGAAAAGTCAACTGTGAGGAACACGAGGTAGGAGAGGATCCCCAGAAGCAGCACTTTCTTCACGAAGGAGCCCATTGGAAAGCAATTGTTTGGTGGGTATTAAGTCTGAGCTGTCTTTTGTTGATGGTTGATGGCACTTTTTCACGAAAAGATTCAAAGAATTGAGCACAACCAGATGCCCAAAAAAAGAGACTTGGAAATACACGGAATAATTGTATTGAAAAGGGTAAATTAAAGTGAATATATACAATAGAAATATCCCAATAGCCATAATGAAAGCCTTTTCAACAGCAAATAGCCTCCCTGAACCACCCGATTCCACCACCACTCAAAGAGCCACCACAGGGTAACACTTCGCGAAATTCGATTCTGGCTTTTTGCGAAGGTTTTTGGATTTGAACATCAACAACGTCAAAAACACTCACTCAAAGAGCCAAACAGCAGCAGGGTCAACCGTCACCAATTGGAGCACACACAGGCCTAGGAAGGATCACCAACAGAACCTCTGACTGAGCAAGGGACTACACCCTCAACACACACCATGTCTTTCTGGCCCTTTGGACAGAACGCCAACTCGGCTTCTCACTTGAACAGACTGTTGGACGAATACTACTACGAGAGGTCAAATGCTTCACAACAACAGTCCAGCACCAACGCACAACCATCCGAAGTAGATCCTTCATTTGCTTCAGCTTCAACTACACACAATGCTGCCACTTCAAGCAACAACCAGGATACTTCAGCCATAGCGGGATCAAGTTCAAATGTGACCCCAGGTTTGGATCAAGAGAAGGAGAATATTAAAATTGATAAAGAATTCGTTTATGATTTATTGGATGACCCAAGTTTCTTGAATGAGTTGAGTAGGCAAAATAACAAGCTGATAGATTTCATATGCTTTGGTTATATTGATAAAGAAGATGATGAAGATGAAGGTGGTGATGAAAGTGGTGTTGATCAGGATAATGATGTCGATATGAATGATGATGACAATGACAATACAAAACAGCAAAAGCAACAAACACAATCAACACAAGGAAAATCTATCTTGGAAGTTCTTCTTGATCTTGTCGTTGACTCAGAACAATGGTTTGAAGAGAATGAGCAACAACTTTACCAAGCTTCCGAAAACCAGTTGGATGAAGATGAAACAACAGCCAATGACATAACAACAACATTCAATAGAATACATACTGCATCTGAAGTTTTGTCTTGCAAAATTTGGCTGATATCTGAAAACTTGGTGGAGGAACCTCAACTACTGAACAAGTTGTGGTGGTTTTTAAAAAATGATTTCAAAAGTTCATCTCCTTCAATTCAATTCTTCATCAAGATCAATGAACAATTGTTGGAATCAAGACCAGATCAAATGTTGAATTTCATAAGGTCTTTACAGGATTTAGTTGATTTGTTTTTGAAACATGTAAACATCACCATGATTATGGATTTTCTTTTGAGGATAATTACAACTGACAAGGCAGATAACCCAACTGGTATAATAGAGCTGTTATCTGAACAAAAATTGATACCAAAGTTGCTTAACCTACTCTATCCAGATCATGACAGTTCAATTCAATCTTCTTGTGGTGATTTCCTTAAGGCTTTAATTGCAATTAGTGCAAACACTTCAATTGATGAAAATACCATTGGCCCAAACCTTTTAACTAAAGAACTTGTTAGTGATACGTGTATTGATAAAATTATTGAGATCATGTTGCTAAAAGGTAATGGCTTGGCTACTGTTGTTGGTGTCATTATTGAAATTATTAGAAAAAACAATTCAGATTATGATTCAGTCAATTTGTTATATACAACTACTGAATCTAATCCTCCTAATAAAAGGGATCCAATATATTTGGGTAACATGTTGAAAAAATTTGCTCAAAAATTGGGGTCTTTCAATGATATATTGACTGATAAGGAATTAACTTCCAAAAGAATTGAAACTCAAATCAATCAAGAAATTGAACCATTAGGTTTTGAAAGATTTAAAATTTGTGAATTAGTTGCAGAATTATTACATTGTTCCAATATAGCATTATTGAATAATCATCTTACTGAAAAAATCATTGAAGAACGTGAAAACTTCTTGGAACAACAAGAATTCAATTTGAAGAATGCCCTAAGTGAAGACTTGATCAACAGTAATAATACCAAACATTCAGCATCTCCATCCCCAGGTGCAAACTCCTACAATGGGAGTACTTTTTCAAATTTAAATATTGGTGGGACTTCAGAACCATCTGTTGCTTTGAGTTCCAAGCATATAACTATATCACCACATTCAACTCCTTCAATTGATCCAATGACTTCTATCACTGAAGCCGACGAAGATGTTAAAAGTCAAGAAGATGGATCAAGTGGTTCTCATCATCATCAATTGCCTCAACTTCATATCCCAGTTGTGACAAAGAAGGAGCAATTGCGTTCAAACCCAACTGTTGGTGATGTTTTCAAAATTGCATTAATTGATTCAAATGTTTTGACTACAATAATTGACATGTTTGTTAAGTTCCCTTGGAATAATTTCTGGCATAATGTTGTCTTTGATATTGTTCAACAAATTTTCAACGGAAGATTGGATATTTCTTATAATCCATATCTGATTTTGGAATTGTTTGATAAATGTGATATTACAAACCTGATCATTAATGCATATAAATTATGTATTGATACAGAAAGAGAAACAAATGTCAGATTAGGTTATATGGGTCATTTGATATTGATTGCTGAAGAAGTTGTTAAATTTTCCTCAACTTTCCAAAATTCAAAATTCAATGATACTGAAGCTGACGAATTAATCTATACCAAATTAATTGATGAGAATTGGATTAGCTATGTGACTAATGTTTTAACCGAGACAAGAGAAATGTATAATTGTGTTTTGGGAGGAATCAAAGCTAATGAATTTTCTGAAGGTGATTATATCAATCATAATACTATTGTCCTGGGGAATTCAGAGGAGGAGATTTTGAATCAACAAACAGAAGATGGTGGTCCTCCTGATGAAATGTTTTATGATTCAAAAGAGACAGAAGAAGAGGAAGAAGAAGAAGAAGAAGACAAAGAAATGGCTTAGAAGAAGAAGAGGAAAAAATAATAATAAAAAAAAGAGAGAACAGCAAAAGAACATGGTTTTCATTTACGAATTATTTATGAGTTTACGACGCTTACTGATTACATGTGCATCATTCAAACTAAACCAGCTTTTTTTACATATAGATAGTGTATGTTATTCATCATTAATTTTTTATATACACATCAAGACTGTTTATTCAAATCGCTGGATTGTTTAAACATCATTTACATTATTGAATTTTGAAGTTTTCTGTGTAAACAGCTATAACAGGACAATTGTACGACATTTCAGTTTCGCGAATTGGTTTTCTGCTTTATCGTGTGCCAGATCAGATAAAAAACCACTGATAACGAATCTTTCAATTTACACCCTTATAGTTGGAACTGGCTTGAAAGCTTTGCTATTGAATATTGGAATGGAGTGCCACTTGCTAGTGCTAGTTCATGGGTGAGTGAATTGCTGTATTGGATAACCGAATATCACCTAACAATCAAACAGATTATGGGGAAATAAGAAGCATTTCGACTACATCAACCAAGAGATTGATAATCTCGATCTCTCTGAAAAGAGTGACGAGAAACTCGTTGTTTATAGGACACATGGTAATGAAGGTGAGTATGGAGTAGCAAGGTATCTGTTATCTAGTGAGCTAATACCAAATAGGATACAAAACAATTGATGGCATTGATGTTTGTGGTCTTCGGGTTGCTCATGAAATCATGGATCAAATAAAGACATTGAATAAAGAGGGCCACCATGTTACAAAATTTTCTATAGTTGGATATTCTCTTGGTGGATTGATATCGAGGTATGCTATTGGGATCTTATATCATCAAAATTATTTCCAGTCCATAAAGCCTGTTAATTTTATCACTTTTTGCACACCTCATGTTGGAGTATTAACACCTGGTTCTAATATTAGTGTCAAAATTTTCAATAATTTAGTTCCTAATTTATTATCACTCTCTGGGAAACAAATGTTTTTAAAAGACTCATCAGGTTTAAATCAAAATCCCTTGTTGTCGTTAATGGCCTCTCCAACATCTGTGTTCTACAAGGCTTTAGAATCGTTCAAATATAGAAGCTTGTATGCAAATGCAATAAATGATAAGAGAACGTCATGGTGGACGGCTGGTATTTCCATCGTGGATCCTTTCATAAACATTGATGAAAACTCAAGCTTGAATGATTTGAATTACAACTTCATCAAAAGTTATGAGCCTATTATTTTGGACTCTTTGGCAAATATCGTCATATCCAATAGAAAGATTAGTATCATGGGTGATGATGAGAAAGAAGAAGTTGATGAAGTTGTTCTTGTTTCTAATTTTTGGGAAAGAAAATGGAGGTGGGTAGTTGTTGCATTTAATCTGTTGTTTTTTGCTCCATTATGGGTTCTTTGGTTCATACTATCAGGAATAATGGAATCTTTTAAATCTCATAGGCGTATTAATACAACATTGCGTGAGAATTCAGGTTTTTTCGCATCATTGACCGAATTCATAAGCGATGAGCCTATTAACCTGATTGATAGTGATGAAGATGAAGAAGATGATGAATATGATTTCACTACACCTGCAGAATCCATTCGTTCTGTTGATTTTGATCACAACAACTTTGAGAAATCCTTACATGATCAGGCTGATACTTTAATGGAAAGTTTGTGGGATGCAATGACATCTAAAGATGAACTGGAGTCTGCTAAATATGCCAAATATGATATTAAACATCATACACCGGTAACAATCGAGGAAGATGATGGGGATTATGGAAGAATTGAAGATGAAGGATTCAAGGCAACTATTAGTGAATTGTCGTTTTTTGAAAAAGATTCAGAGTATTACAAATCAGAAGTATTATCACCATTCATTCTAAATTTGACAAATGAACAATTAGAAATAATCAAAAACTTGAACAACTTAACATGGAACAAATTCCCATTATTGATCAGACACACAAAAAGCACCCATTCAGCAGCTATTGTACGTGATTATAAGGATGCCACATTATATGAAGGGAAAGTGGTGATTAAGCATTGGCTAGATAATGTATTCCAACTTGATTAAGACTTTGCTATACAACTACTGCCACCATGTAGATTCACTTCCCGAATAGGCAGTCTACGAACCCTCCTCCACCGGGAATGGGCGCCCGCAGTACTTGATTGCAGATGACCGTTGCGACAAAAGGGAAAAAACGATCAAAAGCTCAACAACCAACGAACCGAAGCATCTCGGAACAAAGTGAACAAGATGGCTAGATAAATAAATATAGATGAAATCCACAGAATTGTAACCTCCAAAACATTTCCCATAAACCATCACCAGATAATTATGGGCTTTAACGTTCTCAAAAACGCTCTAGATACACGTTCTGTGCTCCTGAACCCTGCATTACCAATCTCTCCTCCAAATCTTATCAAACAAACAGATCATATTGGATTGGATATAGGTGGAAGTTTAACCAAAATTGTATATACAATTGACAATAGAGTGTTTTTAGAAAAGTTTGCTACTGAGAGTATTCAAGAGATTTTCAAATTCTTGGAACAGTTGGTGGAATTTAATGAGTTAAAATTTCAATATGTTGTAACTACAGGTGGTGGATCTTATAAATTTTATGAGAATTTGAACAAGATTTTCACAGAGAAACACAAGATTGAAATAATAAAGAAAGATGAAATGGAATGTTTGATCCATGGATTAAATTTTTTGATTAATGATATACCTAATGAAGTATTTATAATGGATCATCAGACTGAAAAGATCAATTATATTGAGCAATGCAAAGTTTCATATCCTTACTTATTGGTAAATATAGGTTCAGGGGTTTCAATGATTAAAGTTGATGGTCCTGATGGGAATTTCCAAAGAATTGGCGGTAGTTCACTTGGAGGTGGTACTTTATGGGGGTTGTTGTCCTTATTAACAGATTGTGAAGATTATGATTCAATGTTGAAACTATCCGAATCAGGAGCAAATAAAAATGTTGATATGCTTGTTGGTGATATCTATGGTGAGACTGGTTATAATAAGATTGGTTTGAAAAGTTCCACCATAGCTTCATCATTTGGTAAAGTTTTCAATAAAGTTAAAAGAAACAAGAAGGAGAAAAAACCAAATGGAGCAGATATAAATCAGGCAGATATCATCAAGAGTCTTGTCTATTCAATAAGTAATAATATTGGGCAAATCAGTTATCTACAAGCTAATATTCATGGTGTGGAGAGTATATTTTTTGGGGGGTCATATATCAATAGACATCATTTCATAATCAAAACATTAAGCTATGCTATAAATTTTTGGTCAAAGGGTGAAATGCAGGCACATTTTTTGAAACATGATGGATATATTGGAGCTATTGGTTCATTTTTAATGAGTCCGGAAGATGTTAATGATTATGATATAAATGAGTTGGAGCAGCAGACAAGAGATATGTTTGACATTAAGGCGGAAGCGGAGTACAATGAGTGAAGTTCAGGAGCTATTGTTATTACTACTACTATTTCTATGCTATTTATTGCCAATTACACATGATTTAGAGGTTTATGTTTATATGTAGTCGGAATGTAAACCATTTCACGTGATAAATCACATGACTGAATTACCGAGGGCTGATTCTTTCTGGTGAAAATCAACAGTTTTCAAACCAAAAGAACTCAAATTCGTGGCCAATTTCATCAAAATTTCATTAGAATTCAAAGTAAAGCTTTGTTAAATAAGAATATTTAGATAGATCTATTTATCCTTATTCTATCCATACTATTTTTAGCCTAAATTTCCTATATAAAACCTCCATTTTCGGTGCATTTTGTAGATTTCCAAGCGCGTTGAATTGAGATTTTTTTTCGAAGGTCCCAAAAGTTGCAAAGTGACGAAGCGCAAGTTGGAACTGAAACCGACAAATAAAAGGCTCTGGGCTGGCAGGGTTGGGATACGCTGGAACCTGAGAACAAACAAAACACCAACGACAACAGCTGCACAACAACGAGCTTTTCATCACAACCATCTTATCCAGGCCATACCTTCAAGCTCTTGATCCTACATCCTTTACTTACATAGCTCAAAGAGCCCATATCACAGCTATCCACAACCAACCCAGAGAGAAATTTTCAACCGGTGCTGAAGGATACTCAAAACAACACAAACATCAGCCAGTTGCCACCAACCTCTCACCAATCAATCATGGCTGACCAGGACATCTCACTGAGATCTAGTGGGTCGATACCGCTTGAAGAGCCATCGCCCAACCCTACAGCTACCACAACCGCCAATGGCGATGCCCACAATCAGGTATGTTGAATGATACCCCTTTGCAACACTTCTCATGATTTACTAACTATCTTTGACAACAGAGACCAGCAATGGCCATATCCTCCATACTATCGTCCCCTCCAACTGCTGCTGCTGGTGAGAAAGATCAAGATGGTGATGTCGACGTTGATCTTGATCTAGCTAAACCCGTTGACGTGGACCAAGAGAATCATCATCAGATACTGAACCATCAACAAGAGGAACAAGAAGATGATAGTCAAAATGAAATCATTCTACCTGAAAACTTTATTGAAGAGTTGAAAAACTCCAATCAAACGAAGTATCTTGATGAAAAAAATTCATATTTGAATCGTCTCAAGGCAAAATTAGCTCACATCACTACATTAGATTTGTTATCACTAAAAGCTAATAACTGGGATTATCTAAATAATGAAGAACTAGAATTCCTTGACAAGTCATCTAATGAAAGATTGGAACTAAGAAGAATGTTCAAACAACTGTCACAATTGGAATTCGTCAAGAAAGAATCCAAAAAGAGAAAAAATGCATCTTCCAATTCATCAACAACCGCTGCTACTGCTTCATCATCCTCTGCTAATGCTAAAACTTCCAAAGATCAACCAGTGTCAGCTACAATTGCATCTAATGGACAATCTTCAATTGCATCCAAAAAGAAAGGTAAAGGTAAGGGTAGAAAACCATCTATTTCTCAACCAGAACCACCAGCAGAAGACAAACGTCGCACCAAAAAGAGAAAAAACTCTGAATCTAATGCTTCAATTGATGAAAACAAACCAATATCATTGAAATTAAAATTTTCAAAACCTCCAAATGGGTTAGTTGCAATTGCTCCTGCTCCATCAGATGAACCAATAGAGGAAAAAATCGGTGGTAAAAGGAAAAGAGTTGCAAAGACCAATGCTGAAAAACAAATTGAAGCAACTTCAATTGCGAATGATGATAAATTGAAAAAAGATGTTGTAAAGAAACAACCACCATTAACTCCTGTACACTCTGACAAACCAAAAATGAATGTTAAAGAAATGAGAGCTATCAAGAGACAATATGATAATACTTATTTCACCATTTGGAAAGATTTATCAAGAAAAGATGCTCCAAAAGTTCATAGATTGATTCAACAAGCTACACAAACTAAGTTGATTAATTTGAGAAAAACTTCAATCTTATGTGCAAGAGAAGCTAAAAAATGGCAGGTTCGTACAAATAAATCCCAAAAGGATTTACAGGCAAAAGCTAGAAGAGGTATGAGAGAAATGTTCAACTTCTGGAAGCGTAATGAAAGAGAAGAACGTGAATTGAGAAAGAAGGCCGAGAAAGAAGCCTTGGATAAAGCCAAGAAGGAGGAAGAAGAAAGAGAAAGTAGAAGACAAGCAAGAAAATTGAATTTCTTGATTACACAGACTGAATTGTATTCACATTTCATTGGAAGAAAGATCAAAACTGATGAAATTGAAGGAACAATGGCTGCTGGTAATAACCAATCAAATCCTCATCATGATGTGGAAGTTCCAACTGATGCTAAAAGAACAGAAATCAGCGCATTAGATTTTGATTCTGATAATGAAGAAGAAATCAAGAAAGCTGCTGCTGCTAACGCTCAATCCGCTTTAATGGATGCAAAAGAAAGAGCTGAACAATTCAATGGTAATAAAAATGATTTGAAAGAAGTCAACATTGATGATGATGATTTGAACTTCCAAAATCCAACTTCATTAGGTGATATTACAATTGAACAACCTAAATTATTAAGTTGTACATTAAAGGAATATCAAGTTAAAGGTTTGAATTGGTTGGCTAATTTATATGATCAAGGTATCAATGGTATTTTAGCTGATGAAATGGGGCTAGGTAAAACTGTTCAATCAATTTCAGTATTGGCTTATCTTGCAGAAACTCATAATATCTGGGGTCCTTTCCTTGTTGTTTCACCTGCTTCCACTTTACATAATTGGCAACAAGAAATTGCAAAGTTTGTTCCAGATTTCAAAGTTTTGCCATATTGGGGGAATGCTAAAGACCGTAAAATCTTGAGAAAGTTTTGGGATAGAAAACAAGTTACATATACAAAAGATTCACCTTTCCATGTTTTGGTTACTTCTTATCAATTAGTTGTTGCTGATATCCAATATTTCCAAAGAATAAAATGGCAATATATGATTTTGGATGAAGCTCAAGCCATTAAATCATCTCAATCTTCAAGATGGAAATCGTTATTAGGTTTACAATGCCGTAATAGATTATTATTGACTGGTACTCCAATTCAAAATTCAATGCAAGAATTGTGGGCTCTATTACATTTTATTATGCCTTCGCTTTTTGATAATCATGAAGAATTTAGTGAATGGTTCTCCAAAGATATTGAAAGTCATGCTCAATCAAACACTCAATTGAACGAACAACAATTGCGTCGTTTACATGTTATTTTGAAACCTTTTATGTTGCGTCGTATCAAGAAAAACGTTCAATCTGAATTGGGTGATAAAATTGAAATTGATGTTTATTGTAATTTGACAAATAGACAACAAAAACTATACAAAATGTTGAGATCTCAAATCTCTTTGATGGATTTAATTGAAAAGGCAACTTCAGGGTCTGATGATTCAAATCAATCATTGATTAATTTGGTTATGCAATTTAGAAAAGTCTGTAACCATCCTGATTTGTTTGAAAGAGATGATGTTAAAAGTGCATTTTCATTCTCCAAATTTGCTGAAACTGGTTCATTTTTGAGAGAATCAAATCAATTGGAAGTAGCATATTCCACAAAGAACCAACTTGAATATAATTTGGCTAAGTTGATTTATCAAGATTTGTTATTACCAAATGAAAATAACCAAGTTGATGTTCGTGATCATGTTTTGAATCATTTGATGAATATTTGGAACTCTGATTATATTAATGAAAATGGCAAAGAAGATGCTGCATTTAGTTGGTTGAAATTTGTTGATCTAACCCCATCAAAAGCTTCAAAAGTGGCTAGAAAAAATATCATCGAATCAGCTATTGATATGAAAAAATATGTTGATGAAGATGATATCAATCAATCCATACAGGATAAAAAATTCTTATTAGTCAATGATGTTTCCAAATTGGATTGTTCAGAATTACGTGAAGTTCAACAAACCGTTTATGATGACATGTATTTGAATGTTCAAGATGTTGCTGTTCACCCTGCTGCATCTGCTCCACCAATTGAGCTAGTCTGTAATGATAGATCGTTTGTTCATAACAAGGACCAAGAATTGTTTAATCCAAAGATTAGAAAAGCTCTATCTCCATTGTCATTAGATGAACAATTACACCTGATGCAAAATAAAGTTCCATTATCACAATTTCCAAAAGCTGAAATGTTACCACCTGTATTAAATAATAAATCAGGTTTTTCATCTATTAAAATGCCATCAATGAATAGATTTATTACTGATTCTGCTAAATTGGCTAAATTAGATGAATTGTTGGTTGATTTGAAAAAGAATGATCATAGGGTATTGATTTATTTCCAAATGACCAAAATGATGGACTTAATGGAAGAATATTTGACTTATAGACAGTACAAATATATCAGATTGGATGGGTCTTCGAAATTGGATGACCGTCGTGATTTAGTTAATGATTGGCAAACAAGACCTGAGATCTTTGTGTTTTTATTATCAACAAGAGCTGGTGGATTAGGTATTAACTTAACAGCTGCCGATACTGTTGTCTTTTATGATTCTGATTGGAATCCAACAATTGATTCACAAGCTATGGATAGAGCTCATAGATTAGGTCAGACTCGTCAAGTTACTGTTTATAGATTATTGGTTCGTGGTACCATTGAAGAAAGAATGAGAGATCGTGCTAAGCAAAAGGAACATGTTCAACAAGTTGTCATGGAAGGTAAAGCTACTGAACAACAACCTGTTGGATTTCAAAAACCTTCAAGAGAAGTTGCATTCTGGTTATTGGATGATGATGAAGCTGCTGATGCCGTTCTAAAAGGTAAACAATTAGAAGAGGAAAAGAAGGCTAAAAAGAAACAGTCAAGAATTCAAGAATTGAATAATAAGAAATCCAAAAAGATAAATTTGGAAGATATGTATCATGAGGGTGAGGGTAATTTTGATGATGGTACAAACACGAATAACACACCATCAAGAGTTCCAACCCCAATAGCTAGATGATTTTTGGATTGAATTTATGAAAAAAAAAGAATAGAGGATATGTCATGAATGGTTTTTTTGTTGTTTTGTATTTGTTTGAGGACAGTTGCTGTATTGTTTTATTTTAATGTTTTGATGCTTATAATACTATCTTGTATCTACATGAGCGATGTATCGTAGTTTAAATGTCATTCTTCATTTCAATGGAACAATTGTCTGCACACTTTCTATAAACTTTTCATAAAACAGTTGAACGACCTCATTTTCAATAGCTTCATTATCTGAAATTGATTTCTTTTTATCTATCAAAACTTTTGCAAATTTATAACTTGGTGAAATTGAATTGTAGCTATCATCCGTTAATGACTCTTGTTTCAAACAATTTAAAAGGAAATCTTTAATAACACTGGACTCAACATAATTAGTAGCTAACAAGAACGTTGACAGTTCAAGAATTGTTTGGGATGGTTTTGAATTCAGATTTTGCGCTTCAAATATTTGATCCAAAAAATAATCCAACATTGTTTCTTCACCTAAAACCTCTAATAAAGTCGAAAACAACTGGAAGTCATAATTAGGAACGATGGTGGTTTGACTCCAATTCAACAGGGTATTAAATTGGGTGTGGAATAATGATAATGGCGAAGCTTGAACGTCTGTTTTCTTGTTGATGTCATACAAAATTGATCTGAAATATTTCATAAAAGTTGGACTTGTATCAAATTCAAAGAAGTATGTTGGTTTTTTGAGGCCGACTGATTGTCTTAAACTTGATAACAGTATTGGATCAACAGAAGTTTGTGGATTTTTATTGATTTCAGATAATAGATGGAACAAGTTTGGACCATAGATGGATAAAACAAATTTATGGATATGAACAGACTCACCGCTCAAATCTAATGGATTAATCAAAGTCTTGATTAAATTGATTAATAAATCAACATCATTTCGTTTCCAAAGGAAAGTTTCACTCCATGATAATATACCAACTATTGTACTTAACAGAAACGGCTGCAAAAAATACTCTAACCCTCCTTTAACAGTGTCTTCATCAATCAAGCCTTGTTTACAAGCAATAAAAGCCTGTTGGAATATCACAGGGAACAATTGGAAGCATTCTTGAACTGTTGACAGACGCATTAAATCATCAGAAATACCACCAGAATCAAACAATGCAGTGATCCAGCCATTCAGCAAATCTGATTGGTGTGTATTTGAAGAGTCAAATTGACTCAGTGATCCTAATTTTGTTAAATATTTGATGCAAAATGAAGGTTCATTTGGGTTATCCTTTATTTGCAATAAACTTTCAAAGGAAATTTTATAGTCTTTAACAATTAATAAAAACAACATCAAGACACAACCAAATGCAGAATAAACATCTTGGAAGTTCATGTCATCATTAGAAACTTGCCATTTATCCAAAAAACTCAACAACGGTTTCAAGAAGGCTGAAGGTGAAAGATGGAATAAAATAGCATGCAAAGCACTTGGAGATAACCCTAATGCTAATGCTAATCTGTACAGATGAGAAACATCATTATTTTTGATAAACTCATTGATTGTTTCCAATATTAAGTTTGACAATTCAACTTGCTTTGTACCTTCCATCTCTTCAACTAAACTGAAAAATTCTAATAACCCTGAATCTTCTAAAGGTATAAATTCCGGATTTATATCTATCAAAGTTGCATGTAATGTAGTTGATATATCAATAGGTTGACCATTTTGTAAAACATCATCAGATGTGGGTAGATTTCTATTTTCAGCTTGAGCATCTTCTTTTAGAATTGCAGCAAATGCACTTTGTGGTAATAATTTCAAGGCGATACAACTTCTTAAGAAATCGTGTCTAATATCAGTATTTGTTGATGGAAATGATGAGAAAATGTCATCATCATTTGGATCTGAACCACCACTTGAGTTTAATTTGATTGTTTTGGAAATTTTTGGATCAATTAAATTTAAGGCATTGCTTAATGAAGACTCAACATTCTTCAAGTTGAGTTCTTTGATCAACAATGGTAACCTTTTTGTTAAAAATAATTTCCAATTTTTGATAACCAAGTCTGAAGCGTCTCTTGATTGTAATGCAATTGTGATACATTCAAATGATAAACTAATGAGTTCATTTAAGACATTTTGATTCGTCTTCACTTTAACAAATTGTTCAAAAGAAGATAATAGTTTGGAGCTGTTTGATGACCAGTTTTGTATTATTAAATTGAGCCATATGAATTTTGGTAATTTATTTGTTTTCAAAAATGAAGAATGAACTGCATGTTGTAATGACGATGAAGGTAATGAAACTGATTGTCTTATGTTGACTATTGAGGATCTTTTGAGACTTTTGATCATATTAGCTTCCAAAAATTCAGCTAGAGGTGCATTTTTCTGTTTAACTTCATTCAATACACTGGCCAATAGATCATTTTGTTCTTGTGTTAATGGAGGCACTTCAAATGGTATGATTTCAAAAAACACATTGAGGAAATAACTTAGAGATTCCAGTAGCTCATAACTTTGAGGCTGTTTTTCTAGTAGAGTCTTCACATATGAAGTTATTGAGGTGATAAGGTCATTGACCTCGAATGAATTGAATGGAAATGAAGTTTTGAATCTTTCATCTCTGAATGTGTTTGTCAAAGAGTTAAGTAACAAGTATTGATTAGCTTCAATGGCATTTGGCAAATTGTCCAATAATGAGCAAAGCTTCAAGTTGGTGGATTGGTCCTCAGTAGCCACAGCCGTCAAATAAGAGGCCAACAATGGATCGAATTCATCTTGAGCTGATAAAAGTGACACTAGATCTGATATTGTGACCTCATTCTTGTGGTTTAATTGCTTGAACAACGAGTTGAAAACATGTGCACTGACTCTTCTCTTGAGACACAGCACTACCAACTGCTTCAAATCAACATCACCAGCACTCATAACTTGGAATTCTGTTTGCAATGCCCTAAAGAAACTACAACTTTTTGTTGATTTGAATTCGACTTCACCAAATCAAAAAAAATAAAAAAAACACATTCGCGAAAATTAATATCCGACCACCAACACGTGACTCAACAGCCAAAACGCCAAAACGAATTCCGACTGTCGACAAAAAATTTGGAAAAAAGCAGCTCGAAAAAAAAAAGCTCATAGACGTTGAAGATTTTGTTTATTTTAAGTCTGTTTATGATTCAAGGAGTGTATTATTCCTAGTCTTTGACGTGTTCTTACTTCCCTGCACCTTCTTTTGAGAACCGACACCACTGTCCTTTCGTTTTTTGTCCAACTCTTTGTTTTTTCCAGGTGGTACTCATTCTTCAAGCTCGCTCATTGTCGGTATTATTGTTTATTCAAAATGTCTTTCTTTGGTAATGATTTAGCTGCTCCACAATCTCAACAGCTAAATGTTGTTCCTGAAGCTGCTCCTTTGCCATCACAAGTTCCTGAATCTTCAAATGAATTGAACCAACAAGCAAGTCTCTCCGAGGAATCATCATCATCATCAAAACGTCAAATTGAAAGTCATCCATTCGTTAACCAATTTAGTGAAGTTGAGAAGGCCATTTCCAACTTTACAAAGCATCAACCTTTCAACCATCATTACGCTCCAAATGTCCATCCAAACAGAGGTCACAATAACCATTATAACAATAATAGATATAATAACAACAACAATAACAATAACAACAATGGTCGTTTCCATCATCACAACCAACAACAACAATTACCAATTGTTCAACGCCAACAACAACAAGCTCCACAGCAACAAATTCCAAATCAACAACAACAATTTTTCAATGGTAACAATAATGCTGGTTTACAAAATCGTTTCCAAAAATTACCATCAAGTGCTTCACAACCTCAACAACAACAACAACCATTGATGCAACAACAATATCAATTACAACAACAACAATTGCAACAGTTGCAACAACAACAGCAACAAATCCAATTGCAACAACAGCAATTACAACAGCAACAACAAATTCAACAAACCGTTGTTCAACCACAACAACAACAACAATTTTTAAACAATGATTTAAAATTTGATATTTTCCAACAACCTCAAGATCTTTCATTACCATTAAGAAAGACAGCATCACCAACTTTCAACGGTGTACCAATGAGACCGAATTCTGTTAATTCATTTGCCCCATTAGAACAAATCAACACGGGGTCTTCATTTGGGTTGGGTGGTTCAGATTTAATTTCAACACCGGTTTCAAATCCAATTATTAACGGTGGGAATGTGGATAAGAATATATCATTGGATGATTCAACTACTAATGCGTATCTTGGTGATCTTTGGGGGAATTCCAAAAATTTGAGAAGTTCAACTTCTGTTTGGGCTTGATTTGTGTGTGTTTTTTTTTGTACAATCATAAGGTTATATTTTTTTTAAAATTGATTTAAAGGGGTGAGGTTCAGTGCATATATGTATTTAAAGAGCTATTTTTGGGAGAAGTTTTTTGGCTTTTGTTTTCTGTGTTGATATTCCAGAGGAAAAGGTGGGAAAAGAGAAATGTTTTATGATATTGATGCATTTTTTTAAGAGTTGTGTGTTTTTTTTTTTGATTTTTTTGATACTTCTTCAACATGAGTATCTATGTGTGCATCATTTATGTTTTTTTTTCTATATTATGTTTGACTATTTGGTTAGAAAGTTTAAAGTGTGGTGGTTTTTCGTTTCAAGAAAACATTTTTTAATGTGTCGTTTTGATACTGATTTATATGAAAATATTGGTGATATTTATTGTGTATATAACTATGGCATTTTTTTGACTCAGGGGGGTGAGGTTTAAAGAGAGAAATCATTGATTAGTGGCATATCTAATTTCAATGTATTTTGTTTTAATAAAAGTAATTTTGTTTTTTACAACTACATGTAGCGTATTACATGATCACTATAAATTAACGAAAGTTATTCAATATTCAAGCATCAAATTTTTGACTTTGTGGGATTTCAACAGGGTTTGGTTCAGTGTAACCATTGTCATTTGATTCATCCTTCTTAGCAGCTTGTTGCCATGCTGGGATTGAACTGCTTGTATTACCATTTGTTTGGTTGGATTTTGCTTGCTGTTGCCATGCTGGAATAGAAGCATTTTGTGTAGATGGTGAAGAACTGAGAGAAGAAGCATTAGATTTATTAGCTTGTTGCCATGCAGGAATTGATGAGGATTGTTGTTGTTGTTGTTGCCATGCTGGAATCTTTGGAGCATTATTAGAAACTTCTTTTCCACTAGTTTCTGGAGAAGTTGGAGTTGATGAACCATTTGACAAGTTTGCCTTTTTCAAAATTTCACTTGCAGATGGGATTGAGGAAACAGATGGGATTGGTGATTTTGATTTATTATTTGATAATTCAGTTGTTAAATTATTTCTGCTTTTGATTAATTGTTGTAATGACTTCAATTCGGTTTGTAAAGTGTTGATTTCTAATGAGATTGTGTTTTGTTGTTTATCAATTGATCTATCTAATGAATTCTTCAAATTTTCAATTTCAGATTTTAAATATTTAACATCACTTTCAATTTTTTCATTTTTGGTTTCAGTTAGATTGATTATATCTGCAACTTCATCAATAGTTTTACTAATTTCTTTAGCTTTTGTTTCTTCATTTTCTTTTAATTCTTTATTAGTATTTGAAATTTCTTTTAAAGTTGCCTCTATTCTTAGAAATTCTTCTTCAATAGCAGCTTTATCTTGATCAAGTTTTGACTTGGAAGCAGGCAAGATATTTGGGATTACATATCTTTTTGTAATCTCATATAGAGCATAACCAACACCCACAGTAGCAGTGGCCATGATAAAGTAATCTTTCCAATCTCTTTCAGGAACAGGAGGTGGACGAGCCGTATAGTATTGAGGCTGAGAAGGAGCAGCAGTAGCAACAGACTGACCAGCAGCAGTAGGGGTAGCAGCACCTTGGGATGAACTTGTCACGTCTTGAGCAGCACTTTCTTCACCATTTGATCTTTTCAAAGCTTCTTGGATTTCCTCTTCAGAGAGGCTTTTGCTCTTCAAGAACTCAATCTTCTTGTCCAAGGCAGCTGAGCTGACCTGGGGGTCCCTCAAGAAGGAGACAGCGTTCTGCACCAAGTCTTCACGGATGGCCATTCTTTCTTTTGCTAGTTGTTTTATTCTCGTTGTTGTTGTTGGAACTTCTCCATGTTTTTTTCATTCGTTGAAATGACTGATAAAGGTGGTTAAGGGCACTGGCTATGGTATATGGAATTTACCGAAGCCTTTTCAACTTTGAGTATCCTATATTTGGTTAGAAAGAGTATAGAGAATGTCTTTCCAACGAGATACAATAGACTCATTCAATTCTCTGCTCAAAAAGAACAAAACACTCGTTTTCTACGTCGAAATAGACCAATTATGGGATGATGACTACCAAGTGGGTATTAAATCAGAAAACATTAAACCAACAACTAACCTGAATTTATCAGTTTGAAATAGCCCTTAGACTATTACCATTCGATCAACAAACCAAGATAATACAGAAAAAATTCCCCAAAGATGCTAAAACAGCACTGGCGAACCAATTACTACAACGATTCATCTCATGTTTATGTCTCGGTATAACTGATGGTTCAAAGCTTGAATTTAAACAAAATCAATATGGGAAACCTTATCTTGTTGGTTCAAGTTTCAGTTATAGTATGAGTAATCAGCAGGGGTATACTTCAATGGTTATATCTTATCAAAGTGAAGAAGTTGGGATAGATTTGGCCAGTATTTCAGATATTGAAAAATTTGGAAACGGCTATTTAACACATTTTAAAGATATTTTCCATCCAGATGAATATGATTTCTTAGAAAGTGTACACGATGCTAAAGAGTTGGAATGTTTATTCACAGAGTATTGGGCATTGAAAGAGAGTTATACAAAGAAGTTGGGAATCGGATTGAATGGTGAATTGGGTGCTTATAATTTCCAAAACGTTGCCAAATTGAGCAAACCAACCATAAACTCAATTGATTCCAGTTCATTTGACTCCAGCTCAATTGATTCCAGTTCATTTGACTCCAGCTCAATTGATTCCAATTCATTTGATTTAAAACCCAATTCTCACTGGAGTGACTCCACCAAACTATTCATCAATAATACCCATATCCAACCTCTGGACATCCATTTAACAATGCTCAACAACGACATTGTTCTCAGTGTTTGTGGAGACCAGATACCCAACACACCTTCACTAATAAAAATCCCATTATCGTTAATAACAAAATTCTTTTCTTGATTAAAATCTTTGTAATTTCAATTGTAATTGCGACTATTCCCGTCCGAATTGTTTTTTGTAAAAAGCGAATAAAAACCTCGAGAATTGAATTAATAAACTAAACCACCAGCAATCACCACAAGTACATGTCAGAAAACAAAACCTCGTCTCATCTCATAGGAGGCTTTGCCGGAGGATTGACCTCGTCTGTGATTCTCCAGCCATTCGATCTTTTGAAAACACGTCTCCAACAATCCCAGGGCTCCAGTCTAAGATCCACAATAAAGAATCTGAATAGCTATTCCCAACTATGGAGAGGTACATTACCTTCAGCTCTGAGAACATCTATAGGGAGTTCGTTATACCTTGCATCACTAAATGTCTTTAGAACAGCCATTGCACAAAGGAAAATCACCACGACTAAATCCACAATAATATCAAGCTCAACATTACCAAGATTATCAATGGCTGAAAATTTAATATCTGGTGGATTAACAAGAGGATTTGTTGGGTTTTTAACTATGCCAGTCACTGTTATAAAAGTCAGATATGAATCCACAATGTATAACTATGATTCGCTTTGGGGTGCCATGAAATCAATTTATAAGAAAGAAGGTACAAGAGGATTCTTCAATGGATTTGCAGCAACAGCTGCAAGAGATGCTCCATATGCTGGATTATACGTTTTATTATATGAACAATCCAAAGTTTCAATACCCATCTTCTTCCAAATCACCAAGGCATCAGATTCAAATGTTAATTTGTTCAATTTTAAAAGATCTGCTTTGATTAATTCAATGTCTGCATTTTTAGCTGCAAGTTTAGCAACTACAATAACTGCACCTTTTGATACTATAAAAACAAGAATGCAATTGGAACCTACGAAATTCAATGGCTTTTTCAAAAGTTTTGGTGTGATAATTAAAAGTGAAGGTTTTATTAGGTTGTTTGATGGATTGTCTCTTAGATTAACTAGAAAGGCATTCAGTGCTGGTATTGCATGGGGGATTTATGAAGAATTGATTAAAGTGATTAGTTCGAAATTGTCCTAACCCTAGATTTATTCTGTATATATTATTTGTTCATGACCTATATAATGATTTTAAGAAATTTGTAGCTGTTTGAGTTATTGATAATGTTGGATCTATTGGATTTAATGATTTTTTAGTTTTGGTATCAATTATTGTTAATGCAGCTAATCCTAGAAAGCTATGATATGGATCAGGATCATCAGTATCAGTTTTAGCAAACCCACCAATTATCAAGTTTTGGGTCTTGGTTAATAAATATGATTCATTCAATTCACCATTAATGAAAAATTCTTTATTGAATAAACTTAAAGCACCAGCACACCAATAGGAATAACAAGTATCACCAAACTTATTCTCACGACCATTATGAGCACCTTTATCCACTTGATCTAAAAATTCATAATTGATTAAATCATCATTATATTTGTTAAAATCCAACTGTCTATGAGCTAACCAATCCAATGTTTTATCCCATTCATCAATCTTCAACTTCCCAATCAATTTCAACGAAGCCAATCCGCAAAAGCCATAACCAGCATGAGATTCACCAATCCCAATCCCTCCATCGAAGACAACCTGATTCTTGATATACTTCTCTATCAAATCTATAGCTATATCATTCTCACCACCTTCATATTTCAACATACTCCTTATACAACAAGCCATATAAGTCTGTCTTAGATCACCATCACCAAACGGCTGTTCATTAATATCCACAATAGATTTAAACCCACCATCTCCAGTCTGACATTTCTTCAAATATTTCATCATTTCCTCTTTATCCAATCTCTCACTATAATCCTCCTCCAACATCAACAATATACACAACGCACAATAAGTATTGGCCACGGTGGGTGGGTCATATCTAGTGCTCTTGGGTAGAGCATGTGTCATGGAGCCTCTGAACCCTTCACCACTTGGTAAATAATGTGAATATATGAAATTTATATAATTCTGACGTTCAATTGATGAGAATTTGTAGTTTAGTAGAGATAATCCACCTATGCAACAGTATACAATCATTAGTTTATTTGAGTCCTCCTTTTGTAGACGGGAGGGAAGGATGTCTAGACATCGTTTAAAGTATTTGATATGTTTCTCTATGGGGAATTCAGCCATTCTTTGATCTTGATGTTGATGATGTTGTTTTGGGTAGAGTTTGATGGTCGCGAATTAGAAGATTTTTTTTTGATATTTTGCACTTCTGTTTGGCCAACTACAGAAACTTCAAAAGTATCAAAATGATAGAGTATAGAGTAGAATTAAAAGAGATAAACAAAGTGACCATTGACCTTGAGCGAAGAAAAGAAAAGCACAATTATATTTTTCATTCAAGAGTCAAAGTTGAGACAAGATCCAACTGTCTTGAAGAATGACCAACATAGATCTTATGCTCACCTCTTAAAACAATCCATGATTGTGTCTTTGTATCCCAAACTGATAAATCTTTTCTGGTTAACTCAAAGGAAACAGTCTCTGAATAACCCTTATCTAAAAACACTTTTTCAAAACCACGTAATTGAACTGGAGGTGTTGGGAATTCTTCATTATCAGGATATTTAACGTATAATTGAGGTGCAAACCCACCAAAATAAGGACCTTCATTGGTAACTTTAGCAGTAACAACATAGCCAATATCCCATAAATGAGGATTACCACCTAATCCACCACCAGCTAATGATACTGGTCCATCTAATTGTTTAGTTGAGTAACCTTCTGGATAATCATAGGAGCTATTAGGTTTGATTGAAGAAGCATCATCAATATATGGATATGTAACTTTGGCAAGTTTATCAAAACCTTCTGGGAAAACATACTCATTTGGATCCATACTTGATTGTGTATATTGATAAACCTCAGAATATTCAACTCCTGCAGGTTGTGCATTTTCAGTAAATGGTTCAATAATCTCAACACCAATATCACTTAATGAAAAATTGGAATAAGATAATCCATAACCAAATTCATATCTGACTGGCTTATCATATTTATCAAAATATCTATAATCAACAAAAATTGATTCGTTATATCTATCAACAGGATTCTGTACTTCAACCTTATTGATAATTGGAATATAATCTTCAACATTCTTAGCAAATGTAAATGGTAATTTACCAGAAGGATTTTCATCACCAAATAACACTTTAGCTAAAGCAGTACCGAAATCTTGACCCAAATATGAACTATAAATAACAGCTGTAACATTTTCATTTTCAATGAAAGGTTCTAAATCCACTTGTTGACCACTAGTTATAATAACAATAGTATTATTGTTGATACTAGAGATGTTTTGAATTAATGGAACAGCATTATGCCATAATGTTAAATTGTTTAAATCACCATAATTCCCATCAACTTGATCAATCTCTTCACCAACAACTGAATTAGCAACCACTATAGCAACATCTGCAAACGAAGCAGAATCCATAGCATCTTTTTGATCCCAAGATTCACCAATAAACTCATATGAAATCTTCGCCTCTTGAGCACGAGTACCAATACCACCAGCTGGAGTGATAAAATATGTATAAGTACCAGCTGCAGAACCATATCCTGTACCTGTTGCACCTGTACCACAACCATATAAAGCACATGAAGTACCTTTAGAATCATCACCTGCAGCCTGACCCAATATTGAAATACGTTTTGTATTCTCTTTTGTTAATGGTAATGCATTTTTTTCATTTTTCAACAACACTATACCTTCCACAGCTGATTTCAAAGAAACAGCTCTATTGAAATCAGAACGAACATCAACATGTTTATTCAATGTGATTATATCACCTTTTTTTTGAACAAAATATTCATGACCTTGAGTTAAAAATGTTTGAGCATTATAATTTGGTCCATCTGGATTATCAACACCTGCATAAATTAAACCTGACAAAATTCTTGTAACCATATCATCTAATCTTTCTTGTGGTAAAGTACCATTCAATACTGCAGTTGTCAAATTACCACCAAAATATTTAGTTTCACCAGGCATATTCATATCTAACCCAGCATTGGCAGCATCAAGGCCAGCGTATAATGCACGCCAATCACTCATTACAAAACCTTGGAATCCCAATTCTTCCTTTAACAAGTAATTCAACAAGTATGAATTTTGACAAGTGTGAGAACTGTTGAGTTTATTATATGAACACATGACAGAAGAAACTCCAGCTCTCACCGCTTCAGCAAATGGCCATAAATAAATTTCATGAATAGCTCTATCGTCAATATCTGAAGATAATGAAGAAGTTGTATTAAACATTTCTGGATCTATAATTTTCCCCATTTCTAATTTTGAAGTTCTTGCAAATCTAAAATGTTCTTGCTCTTGTGCAATTAAATGCTTTGCCACACTCACAACACCCTGAGATTGAATACCAATAGTTTCCAAATACGCAAAAGCACCTTCTAAATAAGGATCAGGACCATGACCTTCCCAACCACGACCACCAGCAGCTTTGACACCCATTGGACCATATACTGCACCAAGCATAATGTCTGCACCTTTCCCTTTGAATTCAGAGGCAATAGCCACAGCACGATCATAAACTAATTCTTTATTGAAAGAAGTAGCAGCAGCCATACCACAGGGGAAAACATCAGTTAGGTCAGCACCACGGACTGACAATGGACCATCTTGAATACAAATTGATGAAATGTTTAAACGTGGAACAGAACCTGTATTACCAGAACATGGACCATTAAGAGCACCTATCCCCGTTGTTAGATTGACTTTTTCAGTTATTGTCATTTGATCAACTAATGATCTTGCACGATGGTATGCAGCTTGCCATTTCCCATCGTGAAGACGGCCACCTTGCGGTGATGGATAGAATGATGGACTATGATTGTATGGATCATCAGCGGAAGCTTCTGGGGCTGAAGTGTTGACTGTTATAGCTTGTGATAAAGCTAATAGTGAAGCTATACCAGATAATGGAATCAACATTGTTGTTGGATAAGGAATTTCTTTGAAATGACATAATGATGCTATATCCTTGGATATTTATAGTGTTTTATAAAGGGTCTCTATACCCCCCAGTGGAGTAAGCTTCCAGAGGTTTATAAGATCTGATATTAGGATTTAGATCCAACCTTCATTTTTTCGTATAAGCGATATTTGAAGATCATGATTAAACAGCAGTGGACCATGGTGTCGACTTTCCCATTTGAGGTGCATGTAGATAACGAAAAACACTACCATAAATGACATAATAGGTGCAGCTTTCCCATAATGAACCATTAATTCAAAAAGAGCATTCCTGTATAGTTTTGTCAGTAATTTTTCGAGATTTTTATCGCCTTTTTGACCCTCCGTTTGCGGAAATAGTCGGTTTTTTGGCCTTGAAATAAGAGAAACCAGAAAATGAATGTCTTCTAATTAACTGATTGTAGAATCATGGTTGTGAAGAATCAAGACCCAGAGTGTTTCCTTTGAGGATATCATGGGCTCGCATTATTCAAGTTTCAGCAAATGCAGAGAGATCGACACCCAGATTGGGACAACGTAGTGACTAGTTTCAAGAGCTATCTGTACGTGAAGAATGGGAGTTGGGTGTTGTTGGTATTGTTCACAACTTCACAGGATGATATTTCCAGCGAAAGGACTCTGACTATCAACTTCGCTGGTACTAACTACGCGTATAATTCCCTTGCAGTACAATATTCCTGTAAAATGAAATCCCGTTGATATAACGTAGATCTTGATTCTGCACTCAGATAATGATAACGATGCGTTGAAAGCGGTCTGGTTTCCTTATTTGTGAATCGTTACCAGCCAGAGCAGGTGAGATCCAGTTTCCGGCACTTTAGAAGCATGTAACTTCATCAAAACTATTCAATTGGAGCTGATTAATTAAACCTGGAAGGGCCTTCTTCTAGTGCTTTGAATTAATTCACCAAGATCCAGCTCGAGTCTAGGAATTCACACTGGATGGTGATATGTCTATTCTAATCGGCACTGTTTCATTTAGTCTTCCCATGCCAATACAAACTAGAATTTTACAATGATACTGCTCTAGTACCAGCTAGCTCGAGCTCCATATGAAATGTGTTTCACCCTTGATGATTATATCAGCTGACGCGATGGAAGAGTACATACTACATGATCATTCGACGCGTTCTAAACGAGTTTTTCCAACGATTGTAGAATACTTTTACTTCTTTATTCATGTTGTTGCTTCTCTGTTTTAAATTCTATAGGTGTGATTTTTGAGAAAGTACAAAGATGGCTTTCATATCGCTGTTTTTCAGTGTTGCTTCTTATGAATAATGACACTAGCTAGACTGTATTTTCTGTGCCCTGATTTCTACGAATACTTGCTGACACACAAAATGCTTGATTTGTTGAGGATTACTACTGCGGGCCACTTTATGGCATCCATGTGTCATACAGTTACTAGCTTAGAAGAGATGAGATATTGATAAAAGTTGTTTACAAAGTACTTTTTAATTCTCATTGACTTTTCTAAATGAACAATATTAACTTTTGACTATGTTGTAGAGTGAATATTAGCTGACTTACGTTATTTACTTTTCAATTAATTACAGAATTATCATAGGTACTACAGTGCTTCATGTCTAGTTCCTCTCCATTTGTTCACCATCGAGTTGCACTTTCACTTTAATTTAGCCTAATTTATCTACTACTTGATCGCGAAATATTCCAATGTCGAAAAAATGGAAAAGGCTTTCAATTTTCCATTATCTTAATGATTTGAGGTCCAGCATTTCGAACAGCATAGTGTACCATTCTTTATCAGACGTATATTCCAGCCCTTTTGTTAATAGTTCGCATCATAGCTTGCTAGAATAGGGATGCTCAAAGCTTTGCATCTTTTTTTCATTCCACTTTTACACAGACTGATCTTAATTAGGAGTCAATAATGATTCTTAATAAAGTGAAGTTGGATGTACTGGTAGAGAAGCAATTTTGAGTCATATGTCCTCGCCCATTACAGTATGCGCATCGTTCATTACAATCTCGTTAATTGGTTTAAGACTGTTGATTGTCCTATTTTTGGTGGTATCTTTATTCATGAGAAGTAACTCTACAAGTTGATTTCTCTCACTCTAGAACCATCATGAATAAAGGTCATTTCAATTTACATGAATACCATGATAATTCATAGAGGTGGATTACAATTCACTTCTTGATTCTCTTTGGTTTTCCTGAATGAATATTTTCCAATTACAAGATCAAAAATTATATGTAGTGGGATCTCGAGTTAATATTATTATTTACCTTCACTCTGTCTGTCTCATTAAACTTCAACTCTTTTATACCCATCACTGCCCTAGTCAATCAAGTCAGACTGTCTTTGATTTAGCCTAAATGAAAGCCCCTGTTGTTTCTCGACGAATCGCGAGTTTTTTTTGGGCTTTGAGTCTTGGACGTCGACTATTCTTAAAGTGAGTGTATTTTTTTCATCTTTCAGGTACATTTCTGTAAATGGAAAACTCTTTTAGTGTTGCAGAATTTTTTGCTCTTGGATTTCGAATGGATTAGCAAATCAGACCGACCTACTTCATAACTATACCAACTATGTTCTATTGATTTGATAAAATTTGCAATATAATAATTTCTCAGTCATGCATTGATTTCTTTTAGTTCATCTTGAGTTATGCTAGCTTGTATCGGCTCATCAAATCAAAGTCGACTTGATTTAATAATATTGACTTCATTATATTTCTCAATAATATCAGACGTATGATCAATTATATATGACTGATATTACAAATATATGGTGATTATAAGGTTTATTAAACATTTTTTCATAGAGGTTTGATGAAAAAGACTTCTTGAATTCATGGCTAAAAACTAATGAACAATATCTTTTATTTCAATACATTGTAGTATAACATTCTCGCCAACGATATCTTCCTCATTACACTTGAGATTAACATCACAGAGTTTGAACTTTTTGATTCTCTTGATTAACTTGCAAAACGCATTCGCGAACCTACCGAATGGAAAAAGTTTGATTTGAAAATCAACAAACAGCCTTTCATCTTCGAAACCATTTATTTAGTACGTTGATCAGACTACTGTTTTATTAGAAGATGTTAGATCTCTAAATCAATATTCAAACACCAGGTCAAGATCTATTTCGTGACTTTTGGCAGCTCGAAAACACTGTGATCAGACGTTATCAGTTACTTTGGAAGGTGTAAACATTTTGATTCTTTCAATCCTATGCCAATTCACAGATGCTAGCTAGGCTGTTGATTTATTCTTGTTGATTTTTTTCTTCAATATTGATGATTAATTAACTGTGCTTTTGATGTATGGAATGGACTTGAAGCTTCTTGGGAGGTTGATAACATTACTTCCTGGATTCATGGATTATTCCATTATACACATTTTCATTTTGAATAAAGATTAATATCAATTTGCAGTAGAATTACGTCTTGATCATCCACAGTTATATGACATTAACTGCAAATTAAGTTGGCACAACGTTATTTTTTGTATTAAAACACTGACATCACGTTGGGAAATTGGAAACCACCTTGCCCTTCATGCCTCAAATTTGTAATTACCAATATTGAAAGACTTGAGCCTGTATGGGTTGCAAGCTAGACGGGCAATCAATGAGGCACATACAGCTGTAGAAGTTACCAGTAAGAGTTGATAATACTGTATTAACTCATTCTGATCAATATTCCTATCGTTTTAATGCACATTTGTATACATTTGGCGTTATTGGTTGATTCTCTATTTCCCCTACAAAACAGCATCACAATAAATGGATTGTGTCCTGCTCGGTTAGCTTTGTAGCTTTTGGCGCAAATACCAGATTCCGAATAAATACCTATAATTGGTATCAAGTAAACGTATAATAAATTGAGTATAAAGTAAAAGGATAAGCAAAAGAAAAAGTAATGTTATGATCATCTTGATTTAGCCTAAATAAAGGCCCTTTTTCGCGAAACTTGTCTGGCTTGAGTGTGAAAAAAATTGGTTTTAGAAATGTATGTGTCTGGACTCTGTTACATATTAAACGGTAAGCATCTGTTCCATGGTGTTTTTCACAGTTTATGTTTTGAAAGAATATTAGCGGGTAGTTGATGTGTTCTCTAACCCTAAAATGCAGCTGAAAGCATCTTTTTACTGGGGTATCTCATGCTATTCGTCATGGAGAGCATTCAATTGACTGTTCCCAGTACAGAATAGCGTCGATTCAATTCAAAAACCTGGGTTCCCATAGAGATTGTTTACAATTCATCTCTTGGAACTCGTGTAATACACATTTTCCCTACACCAGATTACAGATTGAGCCATGTAGTGCAAAGCTAAATGTGTGGCATTGAATACCGTGGGTTCATGTTAGCACAACTGCTGTGACGCGGTTTGATACTTGTGCTTTTGCTCGACTGTTGAAAAATAAACTAAAACCCATTGGCAATGTTTTTAGTTTCAGCATTTAAAACACATTATCCTTTGAATCAATATAAAAAAGTCCTGAAAACAGAATTGTTTTTAAGTTGAAACATAGCGATACATCTGCGCCCGTGTCTACGAGTAGACCTCTTTGCAGTACGTCAATTTTTATTTTGACAGAGTTTCAGTTGGGCAAGTATGGAACATTAAAACAATCATTGGCATGAACATCTCGTGAATGTTGAAGCCATGATTGAATGCAAAGTTGAAATAATTTAATTTTGCTCTCCACTGGAACTCTCATATCTGTTTGAAAATGTATCGTTTCATAGAGGTTGTTTTACAATTCACCCCTTGGACTTAACATTATTTGAATATACAATTACTTTTCATCCAAAGATTAAAATGTAGTTGTTCCTACTAACTTTGAACCCACTGGCTTGATTAAATAAATAATATTGTGTGTTGGAAATAGAAACAAAGCATATATAACAAAAACTTTTTAAAAAAAAGGTGGTTATGAAAGAACTGAAGAATACAATAGAGTTATCATAGTGTCATTAAAAAAAAAAGCTAGCTTAACTGATTAAGCAAAAACAAGTTTATAACTTGCAATTTCAAAAGCTCTCAATTTGATTGGAATTTCAGAAATACTTGAACCATCATTTTTTGTGAATTCCAAAGTTTCCAATTCATCTTCTAACAGATTAACTTTTGAAACAGATGATAATTTACCATTAGTGGTTATAACACCTTTTGATTTACCACCTAAACTTTCATAAACTCTAACAATAATTGATTTAGCACCAGCTGGTGAAGTCTTTGATGATGGATTTTTAACTGGCAACTCACCAGTGGAAATATCTTCATCATCTTCAGCTCTTTTAATATTACTTAAAACCAAATTATCATCACCTTGAATACCAACCAAATTTAAAAAGTCACTCTTACCCTTTGGAATCAAATATGGTGAAAACACATCAAAGTTAAAATTATGAGCAACTTCAACAGTTTTAGAGTTCAATAAACCTTTATGAGGATAAATTGCATATTTAAAATGATGTTTACCAATATCAGCATTTGCATCTGGTTCTTTTGGTGATCTTAATAACGATAATCTCATCAAATTACCATGTGTTGAGAACCCATATTTAGAATCATTAATAATGGAAACACCATATGAATAATCTGAATAATCTGCAAATTTATGATGACAAACTTCAAATTTAGCAACATCCCATGATGTATTATAATGAGTTGGTCTTTTCGTGATACCAAATTGGGTTTCATAACTTGCAAAATCTGAATGAACATCAACTGGGAATTCCACTTTAAGGAATTTACGTGATTCATTCCAATCAACTTTTGAATCAAATTCCACAATTGAAGCCTCATCTAATGATTGTAACCCATCTAATGAAATAATAGTTTGGATTGAACTAGTTTCACTGATTTTCTGTTTAACTAATAATGAAGCTTTTAATGGACCCGTTTCATTAATTGAAACTTTACCTGGTGAAACATAATGATATTTATCTAATGAAAAAACCTCAGTGTCCCATGCTTGCCAACTTAGTGGAGTATCTTCAAAAACAACCAATTGGTTTGCACCTTTATGATTTTTACCTGTGGATAAATCTAAAACTTCACGATCTTCCACTAAATCATATAAACTAGTGATGACACCACCATTAACTGTAACTTTTAATTTATCATTACTCAAGATAAAATCACCATTTGAGCCTTCTTTAGCAACTGCTGGATGTTTACTTTTTGGGGTTGTTGATGATGATGATACTGAATTCTCTTCAACATAAACATAATCATGTTTAACACTTTCTTGAACCAAGACATTTGAATTTGATGAAATGTTGAAATTTTTAGGAATTTTAACAACACCTGTTCTATCCCATTGTAAAGTATTTGCAATTTGGAAAGCACCATCAATAGCTTTTTCATCATCTGTTAAAATTCTTAATGCTTCATAAGTTAATTTTTCAGCTTTTTTAATTGCATTTTTCAACATTGGTCTAACATCATCACGATAAACCATTTCAATACATGAACCTGGTAAAACATCATGAAATTGACATAATAAAACATCTTCCCAAATTGCTTGTAATTCCTTTTGAGGATATTTATACTCTTTTGGTTTTAAGATAGATGCAATTGTAGCAAAATATTCCAAATCATGTAATCTAATTTCAGATCTTCTCATAAATTTCTTAACTAAAGCCTGAGTGGTATAAGTACCTCTATGGAATTCAAAATATAATTCACCAATCCAACTAACCAATTTCTTACCATCATCAGTTCTCTCCAAGACTTTATCATAAAAATCATCAACAGAATTACCCATATGCACTGTAGGTAATAATCCAACAGTGTTTGAAATACCTCTACAACGACGTAACTTATCAAGCATTTCAGGTAATGGACCACCACCACCATCACCTTTACCAAACACTAATAACCCAGTTTGATCATAAGTTAGGTTTTTATGTTGAGAAATTGAACGTTTAACATCACCAAAATTTGCATCTGCAGTGTAAGTGTTTGCAGGAGGCATATGAGTAATAACTTGAGACCCATCTAGTGCAACCCAGTTGAAAGTTGTATTTGGAAAGTTGTTTATATTATTCCATGATAATTTCTGAGTTAGAAATCTATCAAGACCGGCAAGGCGACATAATTGAGGGATTTGTGAAGAATAACCAAAAGTATCAGGTAACCAAAAAGTTTTAGATCTTGCCCCAAAATTTGATTCGAAAAATCGTTGACCAAATAAAAATTGACGAACCAAGGATTCACCATTTGGTATATTTGTATCATTTTCAACCCAAGAACCACCAATTGGGATGAATTGATTTTGAGAAACTGCGTCTTGTAATCTTTTGAAAGTTCTTGGATGATCTTGTTTCAACCATTTGTATTGTTGTGCTTGTGATGCAACAAATTGATATTCAGGGTATCTATCCAATAAATTTAGCTGGGTTGTCCAAGATCTAACGATTTTTCTTCTGGTTTCACCAAATGGCCATAACCAAGCAGTATCAATATGACAATGACCAATTGCATACACATCAATCTTGTTTTGAGAACCATTAGTGTCATGGAAAACTTTTTCATTATCAGCATTTGGTCCAATAAATTTTGCTGCAATTTTTCTACATTTTTTAATGGATTCAACATCATTTGGATCAAAAGCATCAATAATTTCCAGGGCAATCTGTCTTGCTCTATATTTTTGCCATGATTCAGCATTAAATTCTCGAGCAGCATCTGTGATTTCCCAATAATCAATTTTTAAAGCTCTAGCTTCTAAATTTGGTAATAATAAATCAGCAGTATTCAAGACAAAATAACGATTTTCATCAGGTGGACTAATACTGGAAGGGGTACCTAAACCAAACATCCCATTACAACTCATTTCCAAATAAAATAAATGATCTTCACCATCAGTCCATTCTTTTGGTAAAATGAAATCATTACGTTCACCACCAGTAAAAGCTTGTAAAGGATCACCTTTTGGGGTATATAATAAACCTTCATTACCACAATCCCATTGGAACCAAATTTGTTCAGCACCAATCCATTTCTTGGGAACTTTAATATGAAATTTAAACCAAAAAGTCTTCCAACTTGGACCATAAACATCACCTTTCTTAGCAGGTTTGAAATCAGCTTTACCAATGACGTCTTGGAATAAAGGTCTTTCTAAACCGGCAACTTCATGGACTTGAAATTCAATATATCCTTTGTTTAAATTGTTTTCATCTCTTGTATGATCAATCTTGTCAATATCATAAAATTTTGGTAAATTTAAATCCTTGTATTGGCCCTCGTCAACAAATTGACGCAATTTATCTTCATAGATACCATCAATCTGCTTCGGAACAGGGTCATTGTTGATCAATTGGTAGCCAGAGCTGCTAAGAGCACTTGGATTACCAGCCAAACTGTTTAGACACATGGTGGTGATACTAATTACAATAGATACTAAAAAATGTAGAAAAGATGGTTTTATCCCCTATCTAAAAAAAGCTGGTTATGGGGTCGCAATCGAGAAAAAGGTGTCTGGTTGGTGCCACAGTGTAACTACAAATGAACAATTAAATTACAACAATTTCACTATTTCTGTATTTAAATCCAATAAATCAGTCTATTGGGTCTTGACTTCTTTGTCCTCTTCGACAGTGGCAACTTCGTCGTGTTTTTTAAGAGAATCTGCGTGGAATCCTGGTAATTTGACACTAAAGTATGGGGTTAGAACATGTGAATCAGGTCAATTGAATAAATACATACGCAAAACCTTTGATTAAGGTGTATTCATGAGTGATTTCACCTCCTAGTTTACTTAAACCTTCTTTGAATCTGAATTGAACATTGTTAGCCCTGCGATGGAAACAGCAACATCGGCACTAATACTCACTTTGCAGCACTGGCATTTTCTTTTAAAGTAACCTATAAGGTGTTAGTATTCAGTTCTGTAATGATTGAGTCTTGTTTAATCTTCTCTGCCTTTGTAGCTCTGTCTTGACTAAATCTATTCAATGTTGTTCATTTTGCCCCCTAGATCAGTCTTATCAGCTAACAAAAGACAGAGCAACGATAAAAAAGTGCACTCTTCTGGAATACTCACGATGAATGATTTCTTATCTTGGTCTGACATTCTGGATAGGGATCTTGTGGATAATAGGTAGCAATTGCGTAGAGAATTCCTGGTGAACAAAACGGCTGATGGTGTGGTTAAAGGAAAGAAAGGAAGAAATGAGCATTTGGTGGTTTGATAAAGCGCCATTCGCGAACAGGCCAGTGCTGAGTAACCATCGTCAACGTCAATATTGAACATTATCGAATTTGGTGATATTGAAGAGAATCACTATAAAGAACACGAGAATAAACGATGTCTGGAGGTTGGAACACTATCGAGTCTGATGCTGTGAGTGTGGTTTATGGTAATAATATTCTAGTTATACTAACTTTTCAAAGGGTGTCTTCACTGAACTGGTTGACAAGTTACAAGTCAAGGACATTGCCTTCGAGGAACTATACTCGTTTGATCCAGAGACTTTACAAGCCATAGCGTATGTGATGTGTATGAATTTATAGCTAACAATTACTAACCCTCTACCAGCCCACTTTATGGTGTCATTTTCTTATTCAAATATGGTGAAGTTGATCAAACATCAGCCCCATTAGATGGCGAATATGATGAATCAAATGAGTCAATTTTCTTTGCAAGACAAAGAATCCAAAATGCATGTGCCACTCAAGCGGTATTAAATATCTTGCTAAACAGAAATGATATAGATCTCGGTCCAGAATTATCAAACTTTAAAGAATTTGTTGGTTCTTTTGATTCGGATCTAAAAGGTGAAACTATTTCAAATTCAGATTTAATTAGAACTATACATAATTCATTTTCAAGTCCCAATTCATTTGTTGATGAATCTCAACAATCTTATAAACCTGATGATGATGATGAGCTATTCCATTTCATTGGATATGTTAGAATTGATGGGAATTTATATGAATTGGATGGTTTGAAAAAAGCTCCAATTAATCATGGTCCTTGTGCTAATGATGATGAATTTATAATGAAATTACCTCAAGTTTTACAAAATAGAATCATGCATTATAAAGAAGGTGAATTAAGATTTTCATTGTTAGGTATAGTTAAAGATAGAAGAAAAGTATTGAGTGAAATTGGTGATGAAGATGGATTATCTAGAGAAATTGCCAAACGTGAATCATGGTCAAAAGAAAATGAATTAAGAAGACAAGATTTAATGGGGTTAGTTTATCAAGTTGTTAAATCAATTTCATCAAAACAATCTGATCAAGAATGGAATGAAACTTTAAATAAAGCAAGAACAAAAGGTGTTTCAAGAATTTTGGCAAAACAATTGAAAAAATAATAAAATTCACTGTTCACCAATTCTAATACGTAATTTCATTTATTTTATTCATAATCACCAAAACTAAATAATCCACCTCTATTTGAATGTCTTGAAAAATAATCAAAATCAACACTAACAGCATTAGCTAACAATATAGCTCTTTGATCTAAAGTTAATGGTCCTGAAACTTCTGGATATAATTCACCCATTCCTGCAAATGATTGAGGATCCATTCTAACTATATAAACACCAGTATCTGTAAATAATTCTCTACCTAAACCAACCCAATTTCTATCAACAGCACCAATAACACGACCATTTTCATCTCTAACTGGGAAATCAAATGCTAAAAACCCGGAATCAATAGCACCAAATTGATCATATTCATTATTTGAATGAGCTTTAAATAAATTATATCTTCTTCTCCATAAATGCCAACTTTGTACACTTTCCCCAATTATACCATCATCTTCAATTTCAAAACCTGGTAATATGGCTTTAATATGAGAATTTATGAATGAAAATGGTCTTTTAATTGTTAATACAGGATTACCAAAATTATCGAAAACATCAACAATAAAAGGACGATGTAATCTTGTAATTTGTCTCATAATCATTTTCCCAATACCAAAATCTCGTTCAGACATGTATCCAATCTTGTTACCTAATGCATCCATTATAACGTATTGATTTGCTTGTTCAAAACCTAAAAAACATTCATCATTTCAATTTGACGTTCAATTACAATAGTGGGTTCTGTTAAAATTTTGGATATCCCGTCAGTCTCTCTTAACAATCCTCCTGGGTTAGGTACTGTCCCTGAATATGAATCAAAGCTATATCTGTTCACATCAGGTTCAGTGCCTATATCTTCAACAGTTTGTTGTTCAGGGAAACGACCTCCTCTATATCCTGAAGATCTTGAAGAACGAGGTAATGGTGAATAAAATCTTGGTTTGATGAGGTTTGTTAAGGATGGTCTTGGGAATGGTCTCCGTATTGATTGTCTAAGAATATTCATATTGGGTAAATTAATTCATGTAATAAACTGATAAAATTGGTTTAATTTAATTTGCCTTTGGGATGATGATGTTTTTTGAAAGTATTTAAAAAAATCTTAATTGGTGGGAAAACTTCAATTTCTAAAAATTCGGGGGAAGTTCTTCGCAATCTATGAAATATTGATAAAAGAATGTAATATCTCAATAATGAATTATTAGTTATTAATCCTCAATTGGACTTGTTCTTATGGCTTTTTTTCTAAGTTCAAATATTGTTTTATTGGTAATCTGTCAATAAATAGCGGGTCTGTAATGAGTGTGACATTCGTGAATATTGTTGATTTAATGGAGCAGAAATATAGTATTTTGACATAAAACTAAAGTATTAGTTTCCTTCATTTGAATTAAAAGTTTCCATAAATCATTGACCTACTCACACTGGAAATACATGACTTAAAGTCAATTTCATTAAAGGTCGTAATTCTAGTTATCACGTGAAAACTTTACCCCCGTAATTCCCATTTTTTTCAATCTGAAAAATCTCGAAACTCTTCATCAAAAAAAAAACGTTCAAACAAGTTTTGAATATTGGAAATACTGGAGAAGTTGAGGTTCAAAAAAGAGTCATGATGCTACGTAATAATAGACCAGTCCAATCATGGGCCAAAAGAATGATACACACAGCCCCAAGGCTCAAATTACAAGACCAATACACTACACAAGGTATACCTGGATTACTTTCACCAAATGGGTTTAAATTAGCATGGATAGATCAACAAAATTATCTAACTACAAAATTAACATTATTAACAAATGGTACAAGTGATGAAACTCGTTATCCTTTCCATATTGCTATAAATTCAGCAAGGGACCAGACAAAACAACCAATTTTCAATGTTGCTTCACAATGTCATAATAATCATTTTTTTTTCGAACAATTAACATCACCTTTAACAAATACAACTTCACCATCAAGGGATTTGGAAAGTCGTATAATTGATAGGTTTGGATCTTTAGATGGGTTGAAGAAACAATTTATTGAAGAGAGTGAAAAAATTATTGGACAAGGTTGGGTTTTCTTGGTGGAGACTGAATCTAAAAGTTTAGAAATTTTAATTGTTAATAATAGTGGTACTCCATATAATTTCAGTGGTAATTTAAGTTTGGATTTGAATGGACCTATTAATTCAGATGAATTTGAAGCTTGGGAAGCTATTAAAGAACATACTTTGAATAAGACAACTGATTGGACCATCCCATTATTAGGTGTTAGTTTATGGGATCATGCTTATGTACTTGATTATGGTGTTGGACAAAGAGCAAAATATGTTGGGGATGCCCTGGATGCTATTAATTGGGAGGTTGTTAATAAGAGAGTATATGTGTGATTACTAGACTTGTATATATCATTATCATCATGTTTTTATCTATATATCTCACCACAGTAGAGTACAATTTCTCGAAGTTGTTCATCATCTGCCCAATTTAATCCATTCTCCACGATGAAAGCTTGAATTTGTTCTGCTAAATTGTATGATTTTTCTTTAGCTTCTGCTAAATTTTTCTCAAGTCTGTTAGGTTAGTATTGTATATGGTATAAATATTGTTGTGTACTCACATTGCCTTTTGTTTTGGATCTTGTGGTGTATTATCATTACGTTTTGTCTCTATTAATAATGATGTTAATTGTTTACTAGTTTCAAATTTTGAGAGGTTTTCATTTGTTAATTTAATCAGTTTTTCAGTGTTTTTGTTGATTTTGAATTGAAGTTTGATTATTTTATCTGTTAATTCGTCTCTTTTCTCAATCTTTGATACAATTCCACTGTGTTTTTCGTTAGTACAATGTAATTCTTCTTATTTGATCAACAACTCACGCTTCTTTTGTGGTTAAACCTTCAACTTGATGAACTGATCGAAGAACTGGTAATGTCATTGTAGAGCTATTAACACTATTAGTAAATTCCTCAACAAGACAGCACTTGTATAACTCACGATTCAATAACTAATCTTCTTATTTGTTGGATCTGTTTTAAATATTTTAACAGCTCTTCATCTTTTAGTTCACCATCTTGTATCAAGTGAGCTAATCTCCCACTTTTCATGAGTTCATCCTTAACACTATCATACATTCCCTTTTGTGATTGTTCGATAACCATCAATCTATCCAAATTATCAACCAGGTCACGATAAACCTGTGTATGTTTTATCTCTGTTGATATATCGTCATTGTTTATGGTTTGTATTTCTTTAATAGCTGGATCATCTGTGATCTCTAGCACGCCTGATTCTTTTAATAGCTTCAGCACACTATTTTTCAACTCTTTTGACATTATTTCTCTTTCCTGTTTGTTTGTTTACCTTTTCAAATGTGTTTTTTTCGTGGATCAAAAAGAATTAAATCAAATTAAAAGCCATAACCAATAACCAATAACCAATAACCAAAGCAATGCCCAACTACACCTTCCCCCAGATCTACAACTTCCCTCCGTTCTTCACACGCCAGCCCAACGAGCAGACGTGGCACGCGCAACGGAGCAGCTGGATCCAGTTGATCCTGGGCTACTCCAGGGCCAACCGAGTATGGATCCTCAACAACAAGGGCCAGGTGCTCTCACAGGGCAACGTTGACGAAGTGGATGACAGTGGGCAATTGGCACTGGAAGACGAGGGTGCCACCATTACCAAGGAATCGTTGTTTGCCAATGACAGGATCCAGCGCAGTCTGAGCATCGAGACCGTTGATGAGATATTCAGCGAGATGGTGAAGAGTGAGGATGCCTTCTACAACGACAACCACTCGAGTGTGTTTGTCAACTTCTACAGGCCCGAGGACTGGGCTGCGATGGTGCTGGAATGGGTGAGTATGGTTTAATTAACTATCAAGGCTCTTTACTAACTCTCCAGGTGGAATCCACAGGCCAAAGCGGTGGTGTCTTGACGATGTATGAAATCGCCAATGGGGAGCTCAGTGCCAGCCAGGAGTTCCATGGAATACACCCAGTCATACTCGAGAAGGCCCTGAATGTGCTGGTCAAGAGATCAAGGGCCCAGTTGCTCAAGGACCAGGACAATAGAATCGCTGGTGTTAAAATCGTATAAGGAAATAGACGGCTCCCATACAAATGCTATGCGTAATGCCCTTTGAAGTCACGTGACTGTGAAGAAAAAAAATTTTTTTTTTTTCTTTTCACTTTTTAAAAAAAATTTTGTAAACCGTTTGAAAACTCATCTTTTCATAAAACCTTTTTCGATTCTTCCCGACGAGTTTATTGTTTGACTCTAAGGCTACCTATTATTATTATACTATTATTACTGACAAAATGAAATACGTCGTTGTCTCTGGTGGTGAGTAGATTGTTTTTTAGAGGTTTGCAAATTGTGTCAAATCTCACTTTACGCGTTACATGTAAACTAATCCAAATAGGTGTCATCTCTGGTATTGGTAAAGGTGTGTTGGCATCTTCTACTGGGTTACTATTGAAGACTCTTGGTTTAAGAGTCACCTCTATCAAGATTGATCCTTATATGAATATCGATGCCGGTACAATGTCCCCATTGGAACACGGTGAAGTTTTCGTTTTAAATGATGGTGGTGAAGCTGATTTAGATCTTGGTAATTATGAAAGATATTTAAACATCACTTTAACAAGAGATCATAACATCACCACTGGGAAAGTTTATCAACAAGTTATTGAAAAAGAGAGAAGAGGTGATTATTTAGGTAAGACTGTTCAAGTTGTTCCTCATTTAACAAATGCTATTCAAGATTGGATTGAAAGAGTTGCTAAAATCCCTGTTGATGAATCTGGGTTAGAACCTGATATCTGTATCATTGAATTGGGTGGTACTGTTGGTGATATTGAAAGTGCTCCTTTTGTTGAAGCTTTAAGACAATTTCAATTTAGAGTTGGTCATGAAAATTTTGCCTTGATTCATGTTTCTTTAGTCCCAGTGATTCATGGTGAACAGAAAACTAAACCAACACAAGCAGCTATTAAAGATCTTAGATCTTTAGGTTTAACACCAGATGTTATTGCATGTCGTTGTTCAATGGAATTGGAAAGACCAACTATTGAAAAAATTTCAATGTTTTGTCATGTTGGACCAAATCAAGTTTTAGCAGTTCATGATGTTAATTCAACTTATCACGTTCCATTGTTATTAATGGAACAAAAAATGACCAATTTCCTGACTCAACGTTTAAATTTAACTTCTTTAAACATTTCAAAAGATTCAATTGCTAAAGGTGAAGATTTATTAAATAGATGGAGAGCATTAACTACTTCATATGATCGTTCATTTGAAACTGTCAAGATTGCATTAGTTGGTAAATACACTCATTTAAAAGATTCATACATTTCAGTTATTAAATCATTAGAGCATTCATCAATGAGAGTTTCTAAAAGATTAGAAATTGTTTGGGTCGAGGCTTCAGATTTAGAACCAGAATCTAATGATAGTGATAAAGTTAAATTCCACAAGGCATGGCATTCATTATGCTGTGCCGATGGTATTTTAGTTCCGGGTGGGTTTGGTTCACGTGGTACAGAAGGTATGATGAGTGCAGCTAAATGGGCAAGAGAAAACAATATTCCATTTTTAGGTGTTTGTTTAGGTTTCCAAGTTGCCACTATTGAATTTGTTCGTAATGTTGTTGGGATTGAACATTCAAATTCTCAAGAATTTGTTCCTGAATTAACAGAAGATGAAGCTGCGGTTGTTTATATGCCAGAAATTGATAAGAATAAATTGGGTGGTACAATGAGATTAGGTTTACGTGGTACAAATTTCCAAACTAAAGATTCTATCTTGAGAAAATTATATGGAGATCAAGATGAAATTTTTGAAAGACATCGTCATAGATATGAAATTAATCCAAAATTAATTGAAAAAATTGAATCAAAAGGTTTAAAATTTGTTGGTAAAGATGAAAGTGGTGAAAGAATGGAAATTTTCGAATTGGAAAATCATCCATATTATGTTGCAGCTCAATATCATCCAGAATATTTATCAAAAGTTTTAGATCCATCAAAACCATTTTTAGGTTTAGTTGCAGCTTCTGCAGGAGTTTTAGATAAAGTTTTGAATGGTGAAATTAAACCAATTGGTAAAGGTGATTTTTAGATGAGCTTGGTTTTTTTTTTTTGTATAATAGAGTTCTTATATATTATTACTGTCTTAATAGCATTTGCATAATTTTTCGAGTTTTTTTTATCAATTGTAGAGGCAACCTTCTCCTAGTTTAACTACACTTTTTGAAACCATAGACATATTATTCAAAACTAATCAATAGTTGTTCCTAAATACTTATGATTGGAAACCAATAACACCACAAGCTGGTCTACCACCGGCATTACCAGTCTTTAATGAGTCAGCATGGCCACCTTTACCTAAATCATCGGTACCGGCATGGACAACAACGGTTCTACCCAAGATTGAAGTTGGACCAAACAATTTAACCAATTTATCAGTGATTGAACCTTTAGCTAACCCGTTTGAATCAGTTTTAATGTTACCTAAGTCACCAACATGACGAGTTTCATCAGATGGAGCACCATGAGTCTTTGAGAAAGGGTTGAAATGAGGACCGGCAGAGGTACAACCATTGGTGTTGTCACCAAACTCGTGGATATGGAACCCTCTTTCAGCATTGGCGTCATTACCAGAGATTTCATAGGAGATTGTAGTTGGATCAGATTCAGAAGCTTGTTCAAAGGTGACGGTACCAGAGACACCGGCGTCACCACGTAAGACTGCGACTGTTTAGGTGTTAGTATAAGGGTCAATTGGGTTCAATTGAGGTGATACTCACCAGCTTTAACCATTTTGACTAGTTTTTGATTGTTTGATTGGATTGTAGTTGTCCAAGGAGAAGAAGAGCAAGGGTGCTTATAAATGATTATGTTGCAACTGTGGCCGTGTTACCCTTTCGTGGAGCATTGTGCTGTGATTGGCTGAGGATGGTGATATAGATTTAGTAGGTGGATTAGTTGAGTTAGTTGAATTAGTTTAGAAGTCATGGTGTATTGTGATAGTAATAGATGATAGATTATTGTAATAGATTATAGATTATATTATAGACTAAATAATTACTACGATCACCTCCCTTTTATACCTCTGTAACCTCCAAAGTGAATATTTGCTCGTGTAACCTTCACAGTGGCTGAATTTGCTCGTGGCAGGGTATTATAATTACAATAGATCATAATAGAATAGAATTAATGTAATATACTCAATAATCAATGTCTGGATACAACCTCTTTATCGACTTGACCAACTTCACCAGCTCTTCAGGCTCAGTCTCAACGTCTGGATACACTTGATGCTATAATCATAGTCAGTATAATTCTTAATTACCCATTTAATACTCACTCTCGTCAAGTAATCAAACAACTCCTTCTTGCTCCAACGTGACACATCCTTGGAGTCTCTTTCAATCTCTTCAACACTCTTGTCTCTTTTAACCCTCTTCTTCTTATCGTTAATCCTCTTTGTAGTGCTATTGGACTCAAACAAAGTGAATGCTGTGGCTGCCACGATCAGCCCCGTGAAGGACCACAGCAGCACTTTGTGAGGTTTCGCCAGGATTCTGTCCAGTTTAGTCATGTTGACCTAGTTAAAAGTTAAACAACTTATAATTAATCCATCTCATTAAACTAAATCCATTTCCTCGCCTCTCAGTGGCTCAATCACTTCTGCCACACTTTCCTGATCTTTTAGATAAAATTTTTCAAAATTGAGAAAATCAAGAAAATCACCCCAAGAAATTCAATTATACTCATTGTTCACAACCATTCAAATAAATCCCATCACAATGCTAAATATATTCAAATACTGTTTATTCCTCCTCCTGATAAACTCCTCTTTTGCCTATAAAACTTTCAAAGACGTAATAGTGGCTGATGATTCAAATTTTGAAGACCTAATCCATGAAAAGGGAAAATACACATTTATAAATTTCTATTCAAAACAATGTATTCATTGTCAAAAATTAGCTCCAAATTTTCAAATTTTAACTCAATTATTCAACAACACCAAGATCCAAATTGCTCAATTAGAAGGTCGTGAAAATAAAAGAATTAGGAAAAAAGAATCAATCGCAGGTTTCCCCACATTAAGATTATACGCTTTTGATGGTACTCATCTTGGTTCTTATAATGGTGATCGTTCAATTGAAGATATGGCTGATTTTGTAAATTCTCATACTGGTGTCGTACCAAATTGGCCTGATTTGAAAGTTTTGCAAATTTCATCAAAATTAGAATTGGATGAAATTGTTACAATGGAAGATAATGTTGTATTAGCATTCATTGCACCTTGGCTAGAAAATTGGGTCGGTAAATATTCATTTATTGAAAGATTAGCTTCAAAATTATCAAATGTTAGATTCATAAAAGTTGATGCAACAAGTGAAGAAGCTACTGAATTGACAAGTTTATATAAAATTGATAAATTCCCAACTATTTTACATTTTAATTCTCATGATTCTTTAACAAATTTTAGAATACTAGAGATTAATAAAGATATTGATATTATTGATGGACCAACTATTGAAGAATTTTTAAATAATCAAATTGGTCAAGCTTATGATTCAATTGAAAATTTGGAAATTGTTAAAGGTGAGGATGCTGAACAACAAGATGTTCAATTGAAAAGGGGTTTTAATTTCGATGTCCAGAAGAAAACTACTCCAGAGCAAGAAGAGGAGGCTTATAAAAGATTAAGAGAATTGTGAATTAATGAAATAAATATGAATAAATAATTAATACTTATGCCAAACAGTACGTAATATCTTAGTCATTTGACATTCGCGAATTCGATTTTAAAACTTTGGCCATTTTTTTCGTTGTGTTGTCAACAACAGCAACACCTAACATTAAAACAGATTGAAATCGATTGAAATCAATTGAATCGTCATGTTAAACATCTTTAGAGCTGCTGGTGATCTGTCCCATTTGATCAGTATCTTCATACTGATCAACTCCATCCAAAAATCAAGATCAATTGCTGGTATTTCATTAAGAACTCAAATATTATATTCAGTGGTGTTTATCACTAGATACATCGATTTAACATTCAGATATGTTTCACTTTACAACACATTAATGAAAATGTTCTTTATTGGAAGCTCAATTTACATTGTTTATCTAATGCTTTTCAAGTTTAAAAATTCAGAAACTCAAAAAATTGATAATTTTAAAATTGAATATTTAATTGGTGGATCATTTTTATTATCTTTAATCTTCAACTATGGATTCCAATTCACTGAAATACTTTGGTCGTTTAGTTTATGGCTAGAAAGTGTGGCCATCTTGCCACAATTATTCATGTTGCAAAGAACTGGTGAAGCTCAAACTTTAACAACTCATTATATCTTTGCCCTTGGGATTTATCGTGCTTTATACATTCCAAACTGGTTCTATAGATGGTTTGCAGAGGGCCGTTTCGATGCATTGGCTGTTTTCACTGGGATTATCCAAACATTGATCTATTCAGACTTCTTTTACATTTATTATAATAGAGTGTTGAAAGGTTTGAAATTCGAATTACCACAATAGAAGCATGAATCACATACAATACAATACAAAGAAAAAGCACATGGGCATATACAATTCCATTCTGTAGTTATTCTTTCCTATTCAGCCTTATTTGTTGGCTGTTGGTTATCCAGGAACGTCAAACAAAACCGTTTCAAGCCAGCCAATGGGCCATTTTGCTCCAGAAAAGAACATACACATATAATATCGATGCTCTAGTCTCTAATAAACCCACTATTTCTCACTTTAAACCACTTTAAACCACCTTAATCCACTAATCTCTGTTTCCATCCCCTGTCATTCTCACGGCCAGTTTTCCCGAATTGAACAAAATCCAGACACCTGCCAAAAACTATCCCCCGTCTTCATTTCATCAACCAAAACACTCTTCAAATCCAACCGCCAACCAGAAAGACCGACCATAAAGCGTTAGAAGGGAAGATTAGAATAGACAGGATCAAAATAGAAAGCAACAACCTGCTGAAATATCAAATTCAAAGTGAAATAACCCCTGAGCTGCTGAAATTACAGCCATGAACAACTTGTTCCCAGTGGAAAAGAGCCTGGACATCACTCCAGAGACTCGTCCTTTAACTCAGACTGGCTCCATTCAAGTCTATCTCCAACTAGCTGAACCAAATCTATTCGTACAAGGGTTTGAACCACATGAATATCAAGAAAGGCCTCCAACAATATTAAGAGGTTCTTTAGTACTCAGAGTTTTAAAATCTTCCAAAATAAGAAACATTACTCTAACGTTTAAAGGGATCTCCAAAACTGAATGGCCTGAAGGTATCCCTCCCAAAAGACAAGATTATGTTGAGGAAAATGACCTGCTCAATCATACTTGGCCTTTCTATAACCATGCAAATGATCATAATCAAAGTGGTGCTGATATAGTGAAAAATTCAAGTGATTCAAACTTATCAATAGGAAACCTTTCAGATGATATGAGTTCTTTAAACCTAGATTCTGCCTCAATAATGAGTTCAACAAATGCATTCAACATTATCAAAAGAGCAACATCACCATCTCCTGGAAGACATAGATCAAATTCTTTATTAGCTTCATTAAAAGCCACGGCAACAAACAATTCAAATGATAGTAATAATATAAATAACACTACCACTGATCCTTCTCAACATTTTGTTTTCCATCCTGGTGATTATATTTATAATTTTGAACATGCAATCCCAGCATCCACTCCAGAATCAATAGATGCAACTTTTGGTTCAGTTTCATACAGTTTAAACGTCATGATTGAAAGAATAGGTGCTTTTAAGTCAAATATTGCAACAACTTTACCGGTAAGGATCATTAGAGCCCAATCTGAAGAATCAGTCGAGGATTCAGAACCAATTGCTATAAGTAGAGATTGGGAAGATCAATTACATTATGATATTGTCATTGCTACAAAGGCAATCATTTTGAATGCTTATATACCAGTGGCTTTTAAATTGGTACCTTTGGATAAGATTAAATTGCATAGAATAAGAATTTACCTAACTGAAAATTTGGAATATTATTGTCGGAATAAAAAAGTTCATAGAATGGAACCTGTTAAAAAATATTTATTACTGGAACATAAGGCTCCACCTCCACCTGATTTACCTCCTGATGCTGATGCAAAAGCCAAGAAAATGGGCAATTTATTAACTTCTGATGGTTATGATGTTACTGCTAAAGAATTTGAATTTCAAGTTTATGTTCCTCAAAAATTAAATAATCGTCAAAATTTACATCCAAATACTTCTTATGCAAATATAAAAGCTCATCATTGGATCAAAATTTGTCTAAGATTATCAAGATTGATTGATGGGAAACCAAAACATTATGAAATTAGTATTGATTCTCCAATTCATGTTTTACATCCTTTATGTTCTCATGCAAACACGTTATTACCTGCTTATGGTGTTCCACCTCCTTCAAATCAACTACATGATTCAAATGTTTATTTCCCCAAAGAGATTTTAAATTCACCACCATTATCTCCAGAAGTTGAACCTATTGATAATACTTATCATAGTATCTATAATGCTTTAAACGGTGGTGTAAGATCTTCAAGATCAAGATCAGCTTCAACTTTAGGAAACCGTTCATTACCAAATTTTGAATCAACATTATCTGCAAATGTTTATAAACCTGAGAATTTAGATATTGAATTAACTTCTCCTCAAGCTCAACCTGTTTCTCCAAGTTTTTCCCCATCAACAAGACCAATTCATTTGATTAGAAGACCAAGTTTTGAACCACCTCCATTCGATGCAGATATTAGTCCTCCACCAATGAGAGATTTATTACAAGAAGGTGTCCAAGGTTTAGATGCTGCAGTTATGGATAATGCTCCAAAAGATCCTCCAACTTATAACGATTTCTTAAAAGAAGAGGCTAAATCTCCAGGTCCACATTCAAGAATTATTCATGAAAGAATTAATGAACAAGTTAATCAAGAAGCTTTTAAGAGTCATTTACCACCAAACCAAGCACCAACTTTAACTTTTACAAATTCAACACCTTCACCTCCATTGGTCCCAACTGATGAACGTACTCCAAGACAATTGAAAAAATCAGATGCTAAAAAAATTGATGATGAGGAGGAAGAAGAAGGTGAAGGTGATATTGCGGGTAGTTTTAGATTTAGAGGTTCATCTCCAAATATGCCAGCTTCAGTGGCTAGAGCTACAAGTCCAGATGCTTTGAAAATAAGATCAAGTGCAAGATCTGGTAGATCATCAACTGGAACTTCTCCAAGAACTTCATTAGATGTCAATAGTACTGGTTCTTTCAGCAATAATAGTAATTCAACATTATCATGCAATAACAACTCACAACAAAATGATATTGATACTGTGATTAGACAAAGTGAATCAACATCATCTGAATTGATTAATGATGAAGTTGCACAATTTCATCCACAACAAGAGATTGTTCCACCAATGGATGAAGAACAACAGAATCAATTATCTAATAACAGTGGGAGAAATTTATCAAAAAGTTCATTATCATCAATGTCTCCAACTTCATTACGCTCATTACAAATTGATTCTGAAGCTGAAATTGTGGATATGGAACCATTATTACATTCAACTACAACAAATACATCATTCAATCCACCAACTTCATCATCATACCAGGATCCTTCTCAAATTAGAAGACCATCAACTTATAGAGCACCATCTATTTATGATCAACTTCAATCAAGAGAATCCTTGGGTCTTGTTAATGAATCTTCTTCAGTTGATATCACTGCACTTTATTCTACAAATAAAAGTAATATTTGGCATCCATTAAATGATGAAACTACTCCAATTAGATCATATACACCAACTGCTGTTGATACACGTAAAGTTTTGAATAATTTCAAAAATAATTTACATCAACCACCTCCTGTTTTCAAAAGAAATATGTCATTTGGTGTGCAAAGTACAAATCCAATTCTGGCTACATTGGATGATGATGAAGATGAAGATAGTCATGGTGGTTCTACAACTGAAGAGAGTTCGCCAACAGTTTCACAAAATAATAATAATGTGGTTAGTTCTGAGGAATCTTCATTGGAAAACAACAATTCAAGTTCAACTATCACTAGTGGTAATGTTAATGAAGACGTTTTAAATAAGCATATCAATCAAGAGCAGCATTTTTTAGAGAACCATGATGAACGAGTCAAGTGATCTTTGTTTTTGATTCTGTTCATCATATATTTTTTTTTCAATTCTTTTTTTCTTCTTCTTTTCATGCTTTACGGTTTCGTTCAAAGCGAAATTTTATTTATTTCTTCACTTTTTTTATTCAGTTATTATTTTTATGGTTAAGTTAATTTTTTATTGTTCTGCAAGTCTTCCAAGGTTTTTTAGGTTATTTAAATACAAAATAAATAGATCAATCAAGAGATCTGGTTTTTAAACTAAACAGAAGGTTTTGTAGTCTACAAATTGGGTAAACATTTCATTTCAATTTCATTATTTTGCAAGAGAATCCAATATTCTATCAAATTCTCTTTTATCATATTTAATATATTTATCAGTATGTTTAGTAAAATCACCTGAAACATGTTTATCATGGAACCTATGATAAAGTGGACTTATAAATGATATTTCTTTTGATAAAAATTTTTTTAGGGAAGGATCAGTTATATTATAACTTTTATAACTTTTAACCAATTCATCAAATTCACTATTGAAATTTCTAAATTTTTCCTTTATGGCATCTCTATCTTTTGAACTTAATTTCCCAACAACATTAACGTCTAATAAATAAGAGGCAACTTGTTTCCAACCTGTCAAGAAATAATTTAATGATCTTTTCTTCAATTTTTCTAATCTTGCAAACCCAACTGAATCCAAAATGTTTTTCAACTCAGATCTTGAAATGATTTGTTCCACTAATGTTATATTAGTTATCAAGAAATAACCAAGTGTTTGTTTTTTTTTCAAGAGTTGTTGAGCTTTCAATTCTAAACAAATTATTAAAGCATCAATAACATCTGAGAAAAAAGATGACAATAATTGTTTTGGATCACCATCTTCAATTACTGTTGTTTGACTTATACTTGAGAAAGTTGATAACCATTGAGGTTTTGGTTGTGGGATCCAACTACCAGCCTTCATATTATTCATAACATTTAGAGCACCATCTTTATATTCAGAAAATTTTCTAGCTTTTGACATAACTTCCACAGTAATTTCTGAAATACCATTATCTTGAGGTAATTGAATTAAAGAATTGACTCTTGTTTCAGTGAATTTCAACAAATCTTTAAATAATGAACGAGCTGTGGAACGACATGATTCTAAACTTGATTGTAATGAAGGATAAGTTTCTTTTGATTTTGATCTTAACATTGACAATATCTTTGTTAAATTATCAATCAATTCAAATACTAACAACCCATCATTTGTTAATGAGTTTTGAATTGCATCTAATATAGAGTTGATTATTTTAGAGTAATTTTCCACTGAATAATGAATGATTTGTTGATAATTGATCAATAATCTTTCTTTATCATTTTTGAAAATATCTTCACATAGGGCATATTCATTTGACAAAAACCCTAAATAAGCTTCTGTATAGTTACCAATTCCATTACTACCTTTTTCATAAGGGACTTTGTCATTTCTTTTTTTATGCTTTGTGAAAGGTTCCAAGAATGCTAAACTATCAACAACTAATTTTGATCTTGATTCAACAAATAAATTATCAATTGATTTTTTCTGTTCATTTTCATAAAAGAAATTCAATATTAAATTAACATCTCTCAATTTCACATTACTTAGATATGGGAAAGGTTTTCTTTGATTCATAAAGATTTGTGGATCAAATGGTTGAGAATCTGGTAATATTAAATCTTTGAAAAAAGATTTCAATTTGAATTCACTATCCAGTATGGTTTTACTCAAATTTTCTGAAATACCTCTATATTCACCATTCCCATTATCAGATAATCTTTCCAATATATCTTCAGATTTATGAATAGTTGTGATATAAGCCTTAACATTATCGATTCTTTCACTTAATCTTGATTCATAAATGGAGGCCTCACTAGCAATCCCTTGGACATTTGAAACAGCTAATAAACTTTCATCAATATTTCTTTTAAACACAGATAGTCTTTTATTCTTATCCACAATTGGAGATAGTAAGTTTTCTGATTTGGAAGTACTTTGAGAAATCTTGGTTAAAGACTGGCTGATTTGGTTGATTAGAGAGCGTGTCTTTATGAGGCTTTCCTGGAGCACGACAGCATCAGCCTCGTCAATATCCACTGACAATTGAGAAAACGACATTGTCTTTGTTTACAAAAAAAGATCAAACTTCAACTAAATCAAACACGTCAAATCGAAAATGTCATAACGAAATCTCAAAATTCGCGGAAAGGAAATTCATCCCAACACCACGAGCCATAATACAATACAGAATTTAATTATACAAAACTAATTCAAACATTTAATTAATAGATAGCTAAAATAGGTGGATCAGATTACAAGTGTCTGTGTTCTTCAATGTACTTGTCAGCAGCTTTTTTCACGGCCAAATTTGGGTACAAGTCAGATTCTCTCAATGGGGCTCTAGTGAATGGATCAGCTGGACTAGTTTTCAAATGTTCCACGATCCAAGAACGTTCATAAGTGAATCCTGAAGGAGTGACGACTGGGTCGTTGAAGATGTTGAAGCCAATTGGATCCAAGATGTATTCTGGGGCTTCTTCTTTAGCTGGAGGAGCTCTATCCTTAGCTAAGCTAGCTTCAAAAGTGTGACGTAAATCGTCTAAATCTCTAATGTATTGATCTTTTAAAGATTTGTACTCGATTTGGAAATCAATGTCATCTTCATAAAAAGGTTTATAGTTGAATCTTGATCTTAAATAATTGATTTTACTCCAATAGAATTCTTGTAATAATCTGTATAATTTTTCATAAAGAGGATTTGTTCTTGAAATTCGTTCATTGAATTCCTTTTTGGCAATTTCCTTTCTAGTTTCCAAGATTTGTTCAGAGATTTGTTGAGCAGATTTATTTGAAGTTTCAAGAGCTAATTGATAAGCTTTGTTTAGTTTTTTCAATGCCAATTCTGGATTATCAAGTTTTGTCAGGGCAATACCTAAATAAAAGAATGCTTTTGAATTATCAGGAGTTAATTCAAGGGCCTTTTCAGCATCTTTTGCTGGATAAGTGTTAGTGAGATAATGAAAAAGTGATTAATGTTGATACACGTACCGATTAGATCGTATTGTTGTTCAGCCTTGCTTGACTTGAGACGGGCAAGGGCTCTCTGGAGGGTGTTAGTTGATTGTTATCAGAAGTTGAATATGGAACATACGTTTGTAAAGTAGTTGGCCTTTGTGGAATCGTGTTGGATTCTGTTTGTGTTAGGCAGTTCTTTATGGGTCAATTAACGGAGGGCACATACGCAGAAGAGTATAGCTTTTTGAGGGAGTTAGTATGGGTTCTGTTTCATAGTATAATACTATTACACCTACTTTGATGGCTTCATCATAGTCTTCACTGGCAAAGGCCCTGTTCCCTTTCTAAAGCAGCTGTTAGTACATTGATCTCTTAAGCATCTTCCACCAACACACGCACGGTCTTGAACTTCTCGGCAGTCTTGTTGCTGCTGGACATTCTTTTGGCTTACTTCAACTCAACTCAATCCAATTCAAACCATTTCAACCTCATTTTGAAGCCCTTGAAAGATCCAATTTCCAAAGGCCAAACGCTGCCTAACCATCGCCAGATTATAAAAAAAATTTTCACCTTTGCAAAAACTCCTTCTCTTCTTTCCAATTGAAATCATGGGCTCTTTACACATTTCATTCTCCAGCCAACGTGAATCTGTCTCTTTCTAACCTGTTACAGAGCTGCCTGGGTCTTCCAGGCTGGTTTCTGCTGGGTTTCAAAAGGACTAGCTCATGGGCAATTGGGGACCGTGAACAAGCTCAAGTGGCCCAGAGCTAAGTACGTGCCGTTTTCGCTAACCGCAACTGGATCCTACATGTTGTCGTTTGATAGTAGACTGGCACACATTCCATAATCTTTATATAACCTTTTATTCATGTTTATTCTGTTTTAAAATGCCCTTTTCTGTGTAGATTTTTGATGATTTTTCACTTTTCGAGAAAAAAAATACAACTTGAACTTGAACTTGAACATCATCAACTGAATCAACTTCATCATCTGAAATCATGTCCAAAGAAACGATCCTCAACAACCTAAACACAAGCATCCGTCTCGAGGTGCTTCCCAACGAGGCCAAAGAGGACCCAGTCGCTTTTGTAAACACATTGATCTACAACAAACATGATAAAGTGAGTACAAAACACCAAGAGCAACAACAACAACAACAACAACAACTAACTTATAAAGAACTCTGACATACTAAGGAGTGAAATATTAACAAGTTTCGCCACAAATAACCAAGAATTGAAAACATCCCTATCCCAATACTCTGATCTAATAACAAGAACACAATTCACAAATGATACCATACTTCAAGAAACTAAACAATCTTCAGATCGTTCCAAAACAAGAAGATTATCTGTAGATTTTGATGGCAAAGATGATGACGCTGATGAGGACCTTAATGAATTGCCTAATAATGATGAAGATGAAGATGCAAACGTTTCACAATTGAGGAAAAGATTATTACAAGGTGGTCGTTCTCAAGATGATCATCATCAAGGTCAGAAAACTACATTTGATGAAAAATTACATATGGAAGAATTAAGACAAGAAGATATCCTTAAAGATATGTTTCAATTCGTCAGAAGCATTAAAGAAGGTGCTGATGCATTCAATGCTAAATTAAGTCAAGATCAAAATGTTTTAAAAGCTGCAGAAGCTGGGTTAGATGTTACAAGTCAAAAATTATCGAAAACAAGAAATGATTTATCTAAAACTATAGCCGCTTTAGGTTTATTCGATGCTTTAAAACTATTGGGATTGGTTTTATTATTATTCTTTCTATCTTTAATTTTGATTAAAATATTCCCAAAATGGTGAATCCTATTTAAACAATTGGTCCTTCTTTATATAATTCATCAATTGTAGTTTGGAATTTCTTTTTAGCATTTGGTCTTTTCAATTTTAATGTTGGAGTAATTGTATCATCTTCTGTATTGAATGGCTCAATCGCAAGATGAATATTTTTCAATTTTTCAAAACTGTATAATCCTGTATGTTCAATATTGTTATTTAGTTCTTTCAAAACAAATTTACGAACTTCTAAATCATTTAATTTTGCCAAAAGTTGTTCATGTGTAGAGATTTTGGAACCTAGACTTGATGAGTTTTTAATCAATTTCAACAACATTGGTTCTTCAATACCAATAATACCAATCAAATAACTTTGGAAACTATCACCATAAACAAATATTTGATTAATAAATGAATTATTACCTGAATAAAAATTTTCAATTTTTTCACTTGCAATATATTCACCTTGAGCTAATTTGAAGAAATTTTTAACTCGATCAATAATTGCAATTGAACCAAATTCATCAACTTGTGCAATATCACCTGTACTAAACCAACCTTCAGAATCAACTGAATCTGAAGTAGCTTCTGGGTTCTTATAATAAGTATTGAAAACTTGTGTACCTCTAAGAATTAATTCACCACTTCTGTTTGAATCAAATGTATAATTCATTTCTGGCAAGTTACGTAACTTGAATTCAGATGTAACACCAATTGAACCACATCTTGAAGTATCTTTATTAAACTTAGTAGTTATTGCAATACCACCAAAAGTTTCAGAAGATCCATAACCTTGATAAAAACCTGAATTTAAAACTTTACGTAAATAATAAATTGATTCTCCAGCTAATGGTGAACCTCCACTAATTAAAAAATCAAGATTACCAAATCCAACTTGCTGTTTGATCTTATTTATAATAAGAGAATCTAAAATTTTAACCAAGAATTCATCATCATTATGATTCAATTTATAATTAACTGCAAATCTAAGAATTGCACCTTTGAAACCTGGAGTTGATTTGATCTTCTCTTTGATACCACTTTCAATTCTACTATATAATCTTGGAACAGCACTAATATGACTTGGTTTTAAAATCTTAATATCATCTAAAAATGTTTTCGGGTTTTCAGGATTTGATGGGAATGCAATTGCAGCACCTTTTCCTAATTCATAAATGATTTTAGAACGTTCATAAACATGAGCTAAAGGTAATAACACTAATGAGACTGGATTTTTAGGGAATGTAACATGGATGAACAAAAATGAACCAGATGCCATAACATGTGAATGTTTCAATTCAACACCTTTTGGAATACCAGTGGTTCCTGATGTGAATGAAATGGTATATAAAGTATCAGGGGTTGGAACTCTATGAGGCTTTAAATTTTCTTTACCAATTGCTAACAATTTTTTGAAATCTAAAATCTTGTAACCTTTAGATTCAGCATCTTTAATCAATATGGCATCTTCAGTTGGATCTAACTCTTCAATTGTGATTAAAATTTTCAAAAATTTTGAATCAACATTTAATATTTTTTCAAGTTTATTTTTGGAAAGAACAATGATTGGAGTTTCTGTTAAGTTTAAAATATATTTAATAGCTGTAGTTCCTAGAGTGTCATATAATGGAGTATTTGGAATAGAATAAGCATGAGTCCCCAAGTCACTAACGATCCATTCTGGTTTATTAGCAGAAAATAAAGTTAAAATGAAATTATTAATATCAGCATTTGGAGCATATTCAGAAACAAGATGTAAGAACCCAGAACCAGCATAATCTCTTTTCTCAGCTAATTGTTGATAAGTTTCAAAATGAAATTCAGAAGAAAATTGTCCAGTTTTGGAATCTTTCACTCTATAACCAATGGATTTATTTTGGGAATGTATTTTCAAATTTTCTTGGAATAAATGATAGAAAGTTTTGTATTTTGGATGCAAATAACCAACTAGTTCACCATCTTTAACATAAGAGTTTTTGAAAACAGGAGAATATTGATCAGTTTGTGAGCCTGGGACAGGTGTTGAAGTTTTGGTTTTTGAAAAGTCCAAAGGCAAGAGAGGATAGATCTCTTCTAGATTTGTGATCTTGTCAGCGTTTGGCAGAGGAAGAGCAGTCATCTTCTTTGTGCTTATCTTTTTCTTCTTTTCTGTTAATTTGATGGAAATGTTTATTAAATTAAATTTGAAGAATTTAAACTTTTGTTTTGGTTATTACGTAATCAGAGAATCTATAGTTTGTGCCTCGGCTAAACCGAAACGGGGAGAAATGAGATTTGCAAAACGCATTCGCGGAACGTCAAATCGATTTTAACTGAAAACAAAAACATCAAAACGTTACAAAAAGGCTTTAATTTGAGCATCAGAAAATGGATGTCTCCCAGTTCAACGAGTCCCAGAAGGTATGTTTGTACATGTGTGATTTTCTAGCTGTTTTCTAACAACTGCGATAGACTGTGTACGTCCTCAGAAAACCATCCAAGAGACAAAAGATAATAGAGTCCTCTCAAGCTGTTTCTGAAGGTGCTGCAGTCTCTATAAATGATCCCAAAGTTCCATTCCTAAGGCTTCTATACGGCGAGGAACCAATAGAAAATGTTAAGCTACGATACCACTTGTACCAGAATTCAATACAAGCACAAGACACAATTGCAAAGAAAATCTTGGATGAAACCAGTGATCAAATATTGACAAACATTAGCAACATCATAAATCTACCCATCAACAATGAACAACTAGACTCTGTGTTGCTTCTCTCATCCTCAAGCTTTACAAGCAGCTCAAGTTTTATATCACAATTGACTAGCCACTTATTGAATGGTGATCACAACAACCATAGAGTTGTAAGGTTGAGCTCAAAAGAATGTAACACAATCAAAGTGACTTTGAAAAAAATTGTTAGTTCCATCTTATATGATACATTAGCTGACGGTGACAATTTCATCGATAATGACAGTGATGAAGAAGAGAATAATGTTTCTGATGAAAGTGAAGAAGAAGAAGATGATGATGATGATATACTATTGCAACATAAAAGATTACCTTTTGATCTAGATTCAATAGTGGAATGGTGTCAACAAATCTATTCCAAAAAGAATGAAAGTATCGACACTACTTCAACAAGGATTGTTTTGCTTTTTGAGGATACCGACTCTTTCAATATAGGGTTATTGAATCATTTGATTAAACTAATCCATCGTTTCACAAATAGAATCCCATTCAGATTGATCTTCAACATTGGTACAAATGTGGAGAATTTTTCAAAGAAACTAGATAATGAATTACATTTCCTTTTGAAGTTTCATCAATTTAAAATTGAACAAACTGGACTTATCCTAAACAAAATCGTTTCAGATATTATTTTACAAGGTGATTTTCTGATTGGGAATGAATCAATATATTTCCTATTAAACAGATTTCAAAATTCAACGAGAGATGTTAATGAATTTTTAAAATGTTTGAAGTTCCTCAAGATGAGTTTTTTTTTCAACCAACCTTTTGCAATTATTGGTGAAATATTACAAAGACAAAATGGTGAAATCTTGTTGAATGATTCATATTATGCAGCTATTAAAAACACAGAATCTTTCCGTGATTATATAAATCAATCAATCAACTCTGACCAATACGACCCAGATGAGATTTTGGCATTGATTAATCAAGACAATAAAGATAATGATTTGATTTCAAAGTTAGTTATCAAAGCAACAAATGACTATATTAAAAATTTGTCAAACTTCAAAACTGTCTTCAAAATTATAACAAATGTTTTGTTAAAACATGTATCAATTTCAAAACAGACTTATCTTGAAATATTGGCCAAATTAACAAATAAAGATGAACTTGTTAGAAACCAGCTCCTTAATGAAATCCTTACATCTTTGAAAAAACTGGAGATAGATGCATTAGAGGATTTATTACATAACATCAATGAGGAAGCAGCAAATAATGATTTATTACAATCTTTGAACTCAAAAGTTAAAGCTGTTTCGATTGATTTAACAGCACTAAAAGAAACTTTAAATGATCCTGAGTCTTCCAAAATTCAATTCAAAATTGATTATAGAAAATTATTGGAATCTTTAATATCAACAATTGATTTTTTTTTGAAAAAATCATTTAAAAATCCATTTGAATTATTGTTCAATGAAGTTTTCCAGTTAAATGATTTGGATATTTTAAAATCAACAATCATCCCACAAACTAGAACAATAATTGAAGATTCTTTAACTGATCCTGAATTATATATCAATATGAATAATAAGTCACAAACACAAGATCCATTAGAACGTTTAAACATCATTTTAAATCCAATCATTTGTGAGTTATTTCAAATTTATCGTGAAACAAGTTTAAATTTAAATATCTATGATTTTTATCAAGTTTTCAAAAATTCATTAAGAAGTGAAGAAATTATGAAATTATTTATGGAAATATTAGATAATACTGATTTATTAGAAAAATATTTAAATGATGCTGATAGATTCAAATTCATTTATATTTTTTTCAATGATGCTGATATTTCAAATGAAATGAAATTTGATAAATTAATGTTGGTTTTCTTTCTACAAAAATGTGGTGAACTAATAGATTGTGGATTTTTAAAACAAATCAAAAGAAAAGGTGACTCTCTAGAGAAATGTATCTGGAGAGGACTATAAAAGTTTAAAAAGGTATAGAAATGGAAAACATAAATAAATAATGATCAATTTATCTGGCTGAAATTTTTTTTTATTGTAAAAAATTTGAAATCTAGATCAAGAATGATAATAATGGGGAAGCTAAAACCAATGGTAAATAGTTATTCAAATTGTTAGCACCACCTGTGTATGTTGAGACTTGAGCAACTGATGATGATGATTCTTGAACACTCGAAACAACAGTGGTTGATGATGAAGCTTTTGATGAGGATCCTTCAGCAGATGATGAAACTGGAGCTGCAGATGATGATTGAGAAGTTGAAGCTTTTGAAGATGGTGCAGCTTCAGAGGATGATGAAACTGGTGCTTCAGATGATGAAGATGGAACTGGGGCAGCTGATGATGAAGATTCTGGAGCAGCAGAAGAACTTGGGGCAGCAGAAGATTGAGAAGTTGATGGAGCTGCAGATGAAGCAGCTTCACCGTGTTCTTGAGTATAAGCAACTTCTAATTTGGATTCCAATCTTGAAGAGTACCATGGTAATTGAGTAACAAGTGGTTTGATCTTATCAACTGGGAAATCAGTTAAAATTGAAGTGTATGAATCATCAGTATAAGTTGCAACTTTAGCATAATAATCGATTAATTCAGGTGGGATTGGAATTGTACCACCAACTAAACCAATATATTCATCCATGTTATTTTGGACATCATTCATCAAGACAGTAGCGACATCGACGTTGTTAGCAAGAGCAGCTGCAATAACTGAAAGTAAAGCGATTGAAAATTTCATAATTGTTGATAAAATATAAGTGAATGAACTTGATGTGTAGTTAACTTGGTTATAAAAGGACACAAACTTCACAACAAGAGAAACAGGAATATCACTAGCTTATATACTTTTGAGTCTCAGTATCGTGAGCACCTGTATTATGTAGTCCATAGCTACATTTCTTCGTACATTAGTTCAGCTCACTTCTGTTTGTAAACTGAAAACACACCTTCTCGTAAAAAAAGGTTTAAGCATACAATTCTCATTTCTGGCTCATTGAGGTCTGTTTTGGGCCATCATAACGAGATAACCAAGACTCTTTTGAAAGGCTATTTCTTCCACTTGAGGCCACCCACCGAACAATAGAACCTCATCTCACAATTCATAATCCAAATCTCTGTCTCGAAGCTTGCCCATTGGAGTGCCTTTTGGGAATCCTCGAGCAAATTCGCGAAATCCTCGAGATCTAAGAGATCTTGGACGGGGACACAAAACGGCCGTCGTATAAAAAAAATTTCAGCCAACAAATCAAATGAAAAGTTGCAAATAAATGGTTTGACACCAAAGCAACAGACTCTGGCATCGGTCGACTTCTGCTCAGCAGCTGCCCATATTCCAAATCCCATACACTCACCGTATACTCAACAACAGATAAATACCCGTGCTTAACTCCTCAAACGTTACGTTCATCAGCCATCACTTTCCCCTGATTTGTGCCAACTTCTCATCAACTACACATCCATTAACTATAATTTCGTTTAATGACACAATCTTTTGACCCTCTCTCATTCTTTTCTGCTCAAGAATTCAAAAACGACAACGATGGTGAGGCTCATATGACGAACTCCCTAGGTAACGGTTTAGGCATTCAACTCCAATCAGTCAATTTCATCATAGCTGAAAACAATAACAATATTGGTGATGTGGCCGTTGGTTCAGATCCAGGTTCAACAGTAGATGGCCAACCGGACTCAAACGACAAGAAAGACATTGAAAACTCTTCATTTGAACAATCTGATGCTATTCATGTGTTAGACTTACCACCTTTGTCAAATTCATTGCCTATTCCAGTCTTGACCACAATACTCAAATTCTTACAACCTGAAGAAGAACTAAACTTTGGATCAGTAGAACCAACTTCTAGAAACCAAACAGAAACTCGTGATGAAACTTTGAATTCAAAAGGGGTCTCCATAAACGAATATCAATACGCACAAGAATGGTTAGTGAACAATGGATTTATTAAATTAGCCAACAACTTATGTTACATTCAATTCTCCCAAAGCTTTTTCCAATATCTCAACAAGATCCTGGCTTCAAGATTTGCATCCGATGATACTATTTTGAAATTAACAAGTTTAAGAATATCAGAGAATTGTGGAAGAACTGCTAAACCAAATTTTCAAAGAAAAATCATTTTGAAAAATTTTGAAACTCCAATTGTATTATTTGAACCTGCACTAACTTCTGATAATTTGGGTTTAAAGACTTGGGGGTCTTCTTTGATATTGAGTGAACTGATCGTAGAAAACCATCAATCTTTGATTTTGGAACCAGTTTTGGAGTTGGGTGCTGGTACTGGGTTATGTGGGTTAACTGTAGATCTATTGGGTTATAAAGATGTTATAATGACTGATTTACCTGAAATTTTACCAAATTTGATGAAAAATAAAGATTTAAACCATTGTGATGCCCAATGTGAGGTTTTAGATTGGACTGACCCTAAAAGTTTCATTGACACAAAGGGAGAATTAACGTTCAACACAATAGTTATTGCAGACCCAATTTATTCTTCAGACCATCCAAATTATGTGGTGAATATGATGCACAAGTTCTTATCTAAAACACATGATGCCAGAATCCTTTTACAAATACCCATTAGAAAGACGTTTGAGAATGAAAGAGCTAAATTGTGGTCATTGTTAGAAGAAAATAATTTTCAAATAGTTGATGAGAAAATCATTGACGGTTATGATGATTTTGGTGCACAAAAGTTCATTTACAAGGAAATACGGTGGAGAATATAACCGTATCAATGAATTTGACGAATGATGATCAACGTATTACAACAACAATAGGTTCTTTTTTAGACTTTCACATAGAATTTAATTACTTACATGTTTTTTCTGCAGCAGGTCTTTTTTGTGTACTGAATCGCCTTAATGGTCCGAGTCTGACCATAGTCATCGGGTATTGAAATAATCACTTTGGAGGTTATGGGAATTAATAAAAAACATGCACACCAATCCATTTAAAAAGCACCCTTATAGTTATCACTAACTAATAACATGAATATTCACTACTTGGTGTATATAATCTCACCAATATGTCCAGATTCACCGTAAATAATTTAGCTCAAGATTTTCAGAGCCAAGAAAAAAAAAATCTTGAACAATGGTTAACATTACAGAATGGGATCCTGATCAAGTTACTTTGACTGATGATAGTGTCGACGATGCTTGGAAAACTTGTGTGCTTCAAGGTGTCTATTATGGAGACAATGAGTACAATGGGAGCTTAGGTGCTAGAATATCATCCATTTTTGTCATTTTATTCGTCTCAACAGCATTCACCATTTTCCCCTTGTTAGCAAGAACATTTAAACGTTTGAAAATGCCCTTATACGTTTATCTTTTTGCTCGATACTTTGGTGCTGGTGTCATTGTGGCAACTGCTTTTATCCATTTATTGGATCCAGCTTATTCTGAAATTGGAGGCCAATCATGCGTTGGTTCGACAGGTAATTGGGCAATATATTCTTGGTGTCCAGCCATTATTTTATTGAGTATTGTGGTGATTTTTTTGGTTGATGTTGCATCAGATGCTTATGTTGAAAGAAAATACGGTATTGGTAATAACAGTGGTCATGGCGGTAATAATGAAATCATGAAAGCTGTTGTTCGTGGTGGTGGAGGTAATGAAAATGGGCATGTCCATGATCATAATGAAGATGGTGAAAATGCTCCTAGTCCTCAAGACCTTGAAAATAAAAAGGATTTGAAGTCTGATGTCGGCTCTTTAAGTGATACTTCAACTCTTGGAAGCGAGAAAGAATTTAGAAGTCAAATTTCAGCATTTTTAGTGTTGGAATTTGGTATCATTTTCCATTCTGTTATGATTGGATTGAATCTTGGATCAGTAGGAGATGAATTTAAGACCTTATACATTGTGTTGGTTTTCCATCAGTCATTTGAAGGTCTGGGTATTGGTGCTAGATTATCAGCTATTCCTTGGCCAAGTCATATATCTTACGTTTGGGCTTATCTACTCTGTATTGCATACGGTTTAGTTACACCAATAGCAGTTGCAATTGGTCTTGGAGTTAGAACAACTTATATCTCAAGTTCTTATAATGCAAACATTGTGTCGGGTGTCCTTGATGCTATATCTGCTGGTATTTTGATTTACACAGGCCTGGTGGAATTACTGGCCAGAGATTTCATCTTTGAGAAAACTTACAAGAAGGATCTAAAACAGTTGCTATTTATGATCTTCAGTCTGTTATGGGGTGCAGGATTGATGGCATTATTAGGTAAATGGGCTTGAATTCTTTTCTAGATACGTTAATTTTCCCTCACTTTTATATGGTTTTGGTTTTCAAGTGATCTTTACCAAATCTCAATTCTACACATTTTCGTATGACACTACCTTATAACGTATCAACTTATAGCAATATATTTACAGAGTGCTATAGCTGTATAAATTAAGTCTATCCTGTCTATAAGATGCTCCTTTTTCAATTTTGTAAATCTTATCAACTTTGTGTCAACTTTGTGTCAAACCATCTCGGAAATACAAGGAATATGGAGGTTACTCTCGGCAATCGAAATAATTCTACGAGATATTCTATGAATATATTTACATGTTGTTAATGATCTTATTTGTGTATTAAATCGAAGCCATGAGTAATGAACATTTAATTATTGACGTATATATATCTTTATAACAATATTTAAAACTATTAGAATTAAATACATTTTTTTTGTAATTCATTAATGATATTGTATGATCAAATATTGTGACGTATTAAATAAAATATTGCTAAAATAATGTGCAAAACCACTGGAGAATCAGTCTAATATAATTACTGATTTATAGGGAAAGATAAAAAATCAGAATAAATTTAAGCAGGTAAGCTTGAAATTATATGGGCTATTATTATACAATAGTAGATCATACATTCAAATAAATAACCAAAAAATTAAAGAAATGAAAAAAATTTGATACTATTTAAATTTAATCCATATCTACTGCATTGTTAATTAAAGATTTATATAAAATAATATATATACATCCTCCATACTAATGCGTCTGAATGCTAAATTTCACTAAAGAGCTATTCTTGTAGGTCCTTTTTTACAAACTTGGCTTGTATACGTCACCTCTACTCTTGAAGTTACTTATTCAAAAGTATACCGAAAAGTTAAAACCAATAAATTTGTAATTTCGTAGTTAGACTAAACAATAACGACTAGAACTCCAATCAAAATTGATTCGTCAGTTTTAGGTATTATGGCCGTTGTGGTTTTGTGTCGATGAAGATTCGCGAATTATCATTTTGGTCAAATCCAAATCGAATTCAATTTATTTGCTCATGAAAGACTCTTCAACTCTGCTGTTGTTCCAGATCCAACCATACACAGCTGCTTAATTGACTCCAAGAACTGTGGAATTAATAAACTGAGGCTCGGTGGAGAATTAAGGGGCATCGGTATGGGTACACAGAGATCCTATCACACAATTGGGGCTGAAAAGATTGAAAGATTGGATTAAACCTTTCTAGTTACAAATGGACACTGATAGCTTTGCTCTTAACTATCCAAGTTAAAGAGCGTAATTCTAGTAGATGTCAACCCTTAAGAGAGTAGGTCATAGATACACATTATCTGAAGTGAAGTACTACTGTTGTATAAGATATGTAGTATCGTTACAGATCTTGATATAGATGAGAACATAATCCGTGCTTTCATTGGGCAAAAATCAACCTTTGTGAATTTCAAATAGATTGCCAAATTCTTTTAAAAAATGGTTAAAAAAACATTGTGTTTTTGTATTACTAATTTCAACAGTTCAAAATGTATTTAAAGAGGTTACAATTCCTTCAAATTCTATTGCACCATTCACTTCATGAATACTTCTTTTTTAAAGTTACACAATCACAATTTTAACATGTCAAACTTCAAGCTCCCTCAATTACCTTATTCCTATGATGCACTTGAGCCATACATCAGTGCAAAGATCACAGAGATTCATTATACCAAGCACCATCAAACCTATGTTAACAACTTGAATGCAGCTTACGATAAAATTTCAACAGCTATCAAAAATAATGATGTTCAGTCTCAAATTGACTTACAACAATCCATCAGATTCAATGGTGGTGGTCATATCAACCATTCCCTTTTCTGGGAAAATTTAACACCAGCAAATTCAAAAGATTTTCGAGGTGGTGCTGAGTTGAAGAAACAAATTGAAGAGCAATATGGCTCATTCAAAAAATTTGAGGGTAAATTCATTGAATTACTTTTAGGAATTCAAGGTTCAGGATGGGGTTGGTTAGTTAAAGATAACGAAACCGCAAAACTGGTGTTGTTTTCTTCTCCAAACCAAGACCCTGTACCATCAAAATATACTCCTTTGATTGGTATTGATTTCTGGGAACATGCCTATTATATTCAGTATTACAACAATAAAGCAGATTATGCAAAACAAATCTTCAATGTATTGAACTGGGAGGTTGCTGAGAAAAGATGGAAAGGTAACTATGAATTGAAATTATAAAGCTCTATATTGTAATTTCCTTCATTTCTAACGTGAAACCTTTATAAATATTATGCTCTTTATGGAAATCTGCTGTAGATCATATCATATGGTATATTCATCAAAATAAACGTTCTCTGTATCTTCACTTTGAGAAGGAGCAACAAAACTAGCAGCATCAAATATAGAGTAAGTCTCATCCAATCTTTCTTCTTTCAAGTCAACTATACTCTGATATGTAGATTTGTAACAATCTAAATTCACTTTTTCTAGTTTATCATCATAAACTAATACTTGACACAAGGATCTAATATCATTTTCAATTAATTCCTCTGATGTAACTTGACTTTTCATAATAAATGCTAAAATTTCCTCCACCGTTGAGTAATTTTTATAGTTGGCTGAATATAATTGGTTCTCTTTTAGGTTTGAATTATTACTAAAAACATTTGGAAAAGTTTTATTTGTGACGAATCTCCATATAATAGTCAGTAAACTATCAACAAATTCTGAATCCAATTCACCGTCAGTAAACCAAGGACCCCCTGTAACTTCAATAGATGGGGTTAAATGATACAACATGTAGATCTTTCTAGTAGGGAATTTGACAGACTTGACACTTTTAATGAATCTTTGACTTTCTAGAGATTTAAGACTTCTCAGAACAACATGTTGATGGAGATTCGTACGTGCTTTGATTGTTTTCGTCCATATACCTTCTCTTCCTGAAGCTTCAATATATGAGTAAATTATGGATTCATCTGAGTTCATGTTAGCTCTTTTAGCTGCCTCTTGTATCTCGACTGCTTGAAACCTAAGTTCACCATTTTGCTTTACCAGTTTGACAAGACTTTGATTCAAAAGAACTTGAACTATAACCATCAAATCAGCAGCAGTTTCGACACCTGCAATTTGCTTTAGTTCAGGTTCGGTGAACAATGTATTTTCAGGTTTGGAGATCATGGCTTCATGTAGCCTTTTAGCTTCTGCTTCATTATTTGCAGACATTATGGTTATGGATAACGGTAGTAATGAGCTTTGTCTCTCGTATTGATCATGTTTTGAAAGATCTTTGTGCTATGTAATTTTTTTTTCAGAGGGATCAAGATGTTCGGATGTTTTCAAGATGCTCATCGCGAGGTCTAAACGTCTTCGAAAACGCAAAACCACAAAAACACAAGATTGATAAAGAAAAATAGAAACTCCACCATGTCATCCAGAAGACCAAAAGCACAGGTCATACGCAATGAATCGAGTGATGATGACTTAGGCGGGAAGAGTGCTGACAATGTCCAAAAGACAAGTAAGTAACAACGACCTTCTGCAATCTGAATTTTATGAAAACTAATGGTAAAAAAGAACAAAGAAAACCTAAGCTAAAGCTTAGGAACAAAATGAAGGTTTTGAAATATGAAGTAAGTAAGCCTTTTAATTTAGAATTTTCAAGGCTAACCGCTACAGGAGCATGAAGAAGACAACAATCAAGCAGACAGTGATACGGTTGATCAGATCACGTTTCAAGTCAAGAGAAAAGAGAAAAAGTCCAAGTCAGAGCTACCACTATTTGGTCAATTGGATATTGAAGAACCACCCCAGAATATTCACAGTCTAGATGACTTGAAAGTGAAGACGAGAGAGCAACAAGAAGCTTTCAATGATCATGACCAGAAAACAGAGCATAGCAAACCATATATTAGCTCTGTAAAACCCAGTCCCCCAAATATTAATGAGTACGATAATTCACCAACAGACTTGAAGAATAATGTCTCAAATATAAGTGATAATTCCCACGACGATTTCATTCCTCTGGATGTGTCTGATAGTGAAGAAATTACGATGCAAAATGTCAATGTTGACTTGTTGGACGATGGTAGGTTACCTGTAACAGAAAAAGAGGAAATTTTACAGAGGAAACTAGAACAAAAAGAGATGGAGCGTAACTTCTATGATGTGTATGTATTCAATGTTTTTTTTTGCCTTTTTTTTTCGTTTCAAGACTAACATTAGCAATTGAAGTGAATTATCCAGTGATAATGATTTGGAAATGGATGACTGGGAGGCATCCAAGCTAAAAAGTGGAAATATCCTAAAGTCTGATATAAAAAAACCTTTGAATTTACCCAAATTGAACCTTGTTGCAGAGGAGTCACTTGTGAATGAAATAACTCATGTGAAGGACATGATTGACCAGCTTCAAATTAAACTAAAGCAAAACGAGTTAGATTCACAAAATATACAAAATAGAAAAGCTGAAATTTTGAAGAACAAGGAAAATACCACTAAATACCTCCAGAAGTTGGTTTTAGATTTTAAAGAGAATTGAGATACATGTTCTTCACCATAAATGGCTCGAACAATAGTGCGCTTACCATTTTAACGATGATTCATCCCATCCATATTTTCATATTCAAAGCTTTATCAAGACATATAAATACTTCAACCTCACCATTTTTTCAGATTGAAAACTTCATCACTGACCCATCAATTGATATTAAGAATGTTTCCAAAAAGATATTTTTCAACAACCGGGGCAAAGAGCTTGCGTCACTTAGTCTCCATAAGTGACTTGACTACAAAGGAGTTTCAAACATTGGTTACCAAAGCTGAGACCTTCAAACAGCTTTATAAAAACGGTGACAGTAAATCTTTTGTAACCAACAATCAAAAGCTATTAGGTAAAACAGTTGCATTGGTGTTTTCAAAGAGATCAACAAGAACCAGAATTTCATCAGAGGGTGCTGCAGCTTTCTTTGGAGCTCAACCAATGTTTTTGGGGAAAGATGATATCCAATTAGGAGTTAACGAATCTTTTTATGACACAACTAAGGTAATCTCATCAATGGTTTCAGCAGTATTTGCCAGAGTTAATTCGCATTCCGAAATTCAGCAATTAGCAGAACACTCTTCAGTTCCTATTATCAATTCACTTTGTGATACTTATCATCCTCTTCAAGCCATCGCTGACCTTTTAACAATCAAGGAATCTTTCAAAGAAACAAAGGGATTGAAATTAGCTTGGATAGGTGACTCAAATAATGTGATTAATGACTTAGCAATTGCTTCATTGAAGTTTGGCATAAATGTTTCCATTGCTACACCAAATGGAATTGAAATGGATGATAAAATTCTAAAAACAGCACAGAAAGTAAGCAAAGAAACAGGTGCTACTTTCCAAGTTTCACATGACCCTAAATTAGCTGCTCAAAATGCTAACATATTAGTTACTGATACATTTGTTTCTATGGGTCAAGAATCTGAAACAATTGCAAAATTGAAGCAATTTGAAGGGTTTCAAATATCTGAAGCACACACTGAAGTCGCCAACAAAAATTGGAGATTTATGCATTGTTTACCTCGTCATAAAGAAGAAGTCACTGATGATGTTTTCTACTCAAAGAATTCATTAGTTTTCGAAGAAGCTGAAAATAGACTTTATGCTGCCATCGCTGCTTTGGAAGTTTTTGTTGTTAATAACGGTGACTTTTCAAAATAGTTTTAAAGCATTCTAATTTATAAAATATACATGTTACTTTAAAACTTGACTTTTAAGGGCAATTTTTTTAGAACAAACTCATCTTCCCAATGTAATACATTCAAATTGTTATCAAACAACCCTTCTCCCGTTTCAAAACTAGCTTCTTCTGCAAGAGTGTTTGAATATACTGGTTTCACTTCATTAGATACCAAACCCACTGTGATATGAGGATGTTTATTTGCAACACCTAGACCAGAAAGAATTTTGTCCTTATGATAAATTTGTAAAACATTCACCAGTATAGTCACAATCTTCTTATTCCAGATTAACTTCTTCAAAGAAATATCTGCGAAAACCTCAGACTCAAATTTTGATCCTAAACTCTCATACATAGTAAGGTAGTTCGCCCAGACATTTCTATCATGTTCATTGCCTCTTTTTCCTTGATTGACATGCACTAAGGTGATATGGAACTCACCTTGGATTCTATTATTCTCCTTCAAGTAACACCAAGAACTATTTTCTATATTGAGAAATGGGGCCTTTTTTTGAATCAATTCATCAATTCCTGAGATTATTCTCTGTCTTTGTGGAATATCAATGCTAAAGAAAACTGGCTTTCTTTGTTTTTCTTTTGACTTTGTTTTTTCATGATTCTGTGAGTTGGATTGCCTCCCAAATTTTTCTTTGTTCTTCTTAGATTCTTGGCTGGAGTTTTTACTCATAACTTTATTGTAATTAGGTTTGTATTCAAGAGCAGATGTGAAAGCAATTTGTACTTCTTCAACAGAAGGAACTTTTGTAACCAGAATAGGATACTTTTGGTTAAGTTCACTCAAAACTTTTTCAGCATTAGTCAAAGAAGAATTTTGACCACTGGGGTTCAAATCTATAACTTGATGGAATTTTGAGTCGGGTTCTTTCTCAGTTATAACTGGTTGAAATCTCTTAATAAAACCTGACATAATTCCTTTCACTTTCGCAGATTCACTGGAGGCCTTGATAGATTGGTGGTTATCACCTCTTTCAAACACTCTTTGGACAGTAGTGTCCCAAAGCTCTTTATCATTAGAGTCTTCAGGAATGAAGTTCAAGCAAATGAATTGAACGTTTGTATCATGAGGAAAATAGTCATCTCTAAAGGCAGCAAAATCATCAAATATTTGCTGTCTTTCTCTATATTGATGATTATTTCTATCGAGTACCACAACTTTTTTTGTGGATAAAATCTCCAGAGCTTTTTTAACAAAGACAACCTTAGCAGATTTCCCATTTGGGATGTCATCATTTGAGATAATACCCCAAGAGTTTTTAAATAGATTAACAAGTGTTTGAGCTGTTGTTGTTTTACCACAACCAATCGTAGCAACTGGAATGATAACGAATTTGGTTTTTTCATCAATTTTCAAAGCATCCAAAGAATTCAAAACTTCTAGCTCTTCCAGAAGCTCTTGATTCAAAATTTCAGGTCCTGATTTTCCATAATGCTGTAGGAATCTGTTTCTCAAACTTATGATACCAAAACCAGAGATATAATCTTTTGCAACTGTAGGTTCTTCTTCCAACAAAGGGATAACAAAATCCAAATATTTGTTTGTAATGAACTTATGCTTGGTAAACTTGATACTAGATCTTTGTTTATGAGTAATGTACTCTTTTGTAACCTCCCTCCATTGTCTATACATTAAGTAAGGCTCTTCAAACTTGAACTTGAAAAAATAATCACTACTATCTTCTGCCTTCTTGCACCTTATCACAAACCCTTCAATCTCTTTGCCATTGTAAGAACCACTTTTTGAATAATCATCAAGCTTCAATTTGAGGTCACCAATATTTTTTTCAATGAAATAATCGATTTTTTTGAAACCCCAACTATCAGCAAAATTTTCAACTTTTTCAATTGAGTAAGTTTCAAAAATTGGCTTGTTCAAATTAAGACCATGAAGATAAAGACCTGCATCCCTACCTTTGTATTCGATTATATGTTCCTCAAAACCGTCATCACAAAATTCTGCAACCGCTGTTAAATTTAATTCGTAAAGCTTCAGTGCTAAATCTTTTGTTGTTAAATTTAACTGCTTCAATTGTTCTTCCAAAAACAGTTGACCGGCTATAGCATGATTTTTTGTAGTATCTTCCCTGTTTCCTGTAGAGTGTTTGCTGCACACAACAATGGTTCCATCTTCAAGGCCTGAGATTAAAATAATACAGCCATTTTCTTTTGCTGTAACAATATAAGGACCAGTTGTATTCTGTTCTAACCATTCCCACCTCGTCGAATACACTTCGTTGATGTTGAAAAACTTGTCGTAACCTCTGACCGCTATCTTTGGTTCATCAAGGAGTGTAAACAAGCCTCTGGCATTCGATGGTAGCTTTATTTTGTCTTTGGCATAATCCCATTCGTTAAATTTCCAACTGATCAACTTCTGTTCACTATCTAGAATGTCCAAAACCCTTTTGGTGGCCTTTCCTCTTTTCTTAAAAGTTGTTGCTTCCTCTAGCTTCTCTATCAATTCCTGAACACAGTTTGGATCATTTTGTAAACTCATGGCAATTGGGATAAACAATACAATTTAGCGTGTAAATGTTCAGTTTTGTGGACCTTGAAAGAAATCTTTACACAAAAAAAAAACAAGAATCGGTAAAGGAACACACTACACGATATGTTTTGGCAGTCTTCGAACCTGGAAATTAAGCTGAAATGCTGTGATACATCAACTTTTATTGGCTTTGATGCATCAATTACACCTTGAGAACCCTTTATCTATAGCGAATTGAAAAGAATATGAGGCATGGAAGAAATAAAGGCGCTGACAACGTTGGCATGATATTTTGATAAATGATTCTTGATGAAGGATTGATTTTTTTGCACGCTTCATTTGTAAATTGTCACTGTGGCTTCGGTGATACACTTTTAGTTAACAGTGGCATTTTGATCTCAACTTTCAAGTTGAAAAGGCTATATAAGTGAACAGATTACCACATTTCAATGATTTTTATTAAATGTCTCAACATATCACGTACATCTGAAGATGAAAGGATCAAACTTGAGGGTTATCACTAACGTTTTCAGTGGACGTTTGAAGCCAAGGTTTATAAATAGATACTCAACACAGGCCAATAAGAATGTAAACCATTCTAAGCTTAATGGTTTCAACTTGTTAACATCATTCTTATTATTTTCCAGTGGATCTATTGCAACATATGCCTTTTTCAATACCAGAAAGGATAACTCATCGAATTTTTCCACCACCAAGTTGGATTCCTTACAACCAATCAAATATGGTTCACCAGCTGAATTTCAAAAAGCGTTCAAGGAAATAGAAGAGTACCTAGGATCAGAAAATATAACTGTTTCAGAGTCGGAGATTGAAAGTCACTCAGATTCTTATTACCAAACTCACCATCCATCGCCAGACCAACGTCCTAGATTAATCGTTTATCCAAAAAACACAGAAGAGGTGTCCGGCGTTTTGAAAATTGCCCATAAGTATAAAATTCCTATTGTTCCATTCTCTGGCGGTACTTCATTAGAGGGTCAGTTTATAGCCTCTAGAAGTGGTATTACCATTGACTTGAATAGGCTGGACAAAATTTTAAAATTGAACGATAATGACTTGGATGTTATTGTTCAACCATCTGTGTCATGGCAAGATTTGAATGAATATCTGGCACCTTATGGATTACTGTTTGGCCCTGATCCAGGTCCTGGTGCACAGATTGGTGGTATGATTGCAACTTCATGTTCTGGTACAAATGCTGCTAGATATGGAACTATGAAGGATAACGTACTTGGGTTAACTATTGTCTTAGCTGATGGAACTATTGTCAAGACTAAGAAGAGACCTAGAAAATCAAGTGCAGGATACAATCTTACAGGCTTATTTGTTGGTAGCGAGGGAACATTAGGCATTGTAACAGAAGCTACACTGAAACTACACGTCAAGCCTGAGGATGAAACTGTTGCTGTTTTAAACTTTGACACCATTAAGGATGCCACAAACTCAGTGTCAGCAATTGTTAGAAAAGGGATACAAGTTAATGCCGTTGAATTTTTAGACTCCAATATGATGAAATGTATTAATGATGTTGGGTCAACTTCGAAAACTTGGGTTGAGAAACCTACGCTATTGATAAAAATTGGTGGTTCAAAAAGTATTATAAAGGAGCTTGTGAAAACAATCAAAGAAGTTGCAGCTGAAAACAAAAGCACAAATTTTCAATTTGCAAATTCTGAAGAGGAAAAGTCAGAATTATGGTCTGCAAGAAGATTAGCCTTGTGGTCCACAATTGATTGGGGTAGAAAATTAGTTGACCCTAAAGTGAAGGTCTACATCACTGATGTCGCAGTGCCAATTTCCAAGCTTCCAAAGGTTATCACCGAAACTCAAGATGACATTGCTCGGTCAGGTTTCAATTCTACAACCATCGGTCATGTTGGTGATGGTAACTTTCATGCTCTTATTCTTTATAAGGATGAAGAAGCTAAACAGGCAAAGGATCTTGTTGAGAGAATGGTGAACCGTGCTTTAGAGAATGATGGAACTTGTACAGGAGAACATGGTGTCGGTGTTGGAAAGAGAGAGTACTTGATAAAAGAGGTTGGGGATGAGGCTGTTGATACAATGAGACGCTTGAAACTCGCTTTAGACCCTTTAAGACTACTAAACGCAGACAAGATCTTCAAAATTGACCCAGAGGATAAGAATGACCATTGAGAATTTGCACTATATGCTTCTCGAGAATTAGCAGTCAGGACTCTTTGATAGATTATATATAGATACTTGACTTCATTGACAAAAGATAATAGAGAACTATGTAACCGCAACTTTCACTTTATATTGAGGACTTATTCACAAAAGCAGTTAATTATGCATCAGAACATCATTTGACAACTACAGGTTCTTGAATCCGACTTTCTTTTTTCGTTTTTGTGGCAAAGGTTTTGTGGCAAAAAAATAATATAAGCCTTTCAAGTTTCAACTCCTAAATTTGAACTTCTGGTTTCTTCTGGTATTATTGTTTATTTCTCAGCTCCAAGTTGAGTTGCTAATGGAGGTTAATCATTCAGAAATGTTTGGCAACTAGGACAATATAACTTTCTTGATAAAATCTGAAAATGCTACTGATGATCAAGGCTGCTTTAATTATGGATGATGCTTACAGCAGAAGAAGCTAATCGATTAACATGGCAGGATATAATGGCCGATAGAGGATGATATGATTAAGGATTTGATTAGTTTCAGCTCTACACATTCCACTACAGCTGATAATCCAAATTTATACCATTTCACTTCCACAGAAAGAACAATCTTTTCAGATCCCCTTCCTTTCCATTTCAGCTCCCTTGAACGATGAAAACTGTTTAAAGTCATCGTTCAATAATTACAGACCCCATCAACCAGAGATATAATCAGGGTTTATAGAATGGCATTTTCTTGAAACAAACCGGGAAGAAAAAAGATATTGATTTCTATTGTGGACTTCACTCATATTCAACAGGAGGCAAAGAAAAAAGGTTTTTGAAGAGGATTATATATCAGATAACTGGAAAACACTCTATATTTGATCATTATCACAGTCTATGTGCTTCAAAACAGTTTCCAAACAGTAAAAAAAATCACAAAGGAGACCCAATTCCAGAATAAATATCCTTATATGATACCAGAGCAGTCAAAATGACTAGGGAGATCAGAAACTCAGGATTTCAGGCAACAGGCAAAAGAATCATAGTGTATCAATGCGTTCTTCAACAACACTTGAACCTCTAGAAAACTAAATGAGGGATTCGGTATAGAAAATTGAAGACTTAATCAACGCCAAGACGTTAAAAAGCCAAATAGTTGTCAAGCAAGATACAACCTGACCAACTACGAAGAGCGAATCATCTAAGCGAAACAGAAATTTCGATGTTAATTGATTTGGGAACAAATTGAAGACAAATCACTACTGAAAGATACAGAAAGACGGCTTAAAGCTCAATTTAAGAGCGGCAACACTGCGTAACCTCCGGAAACTCTCAAAACTTGTGGAAAATATATGGAAAGCATCCCTAAAACAAAACAAACTCTCATTAATTCATAGTTAAACCATAAACAGAATATCAGAGGTTATAAAAAAATGAAACCGGGCTAAAAATCGCAAAACTGAACGATTAGGGAGACTTTCAACGAATCCTCGTATAGATAGCGGTCATAATTTCAAGTAAACGTTTAAATGAACTATAAATGTAGTTATTTCAGAATAACCAGCAAAGTAGACCCTCCTTTAACTACGAGCCATTTTCTAGTGCAAAGTGCAAAGTGAAAATTGAAAGAAATGGATCCTAGGGCATATCATGGAAGAGATAAATTTTGAATAACTAGAATCAACAATCAATGCTAATATTTCATTCCCAAATGCTCCAGAATATTAACGTGAGAGAAATACACTTGATATTGTGTATAAGTTTGTTCAAATATGGGAAAGTTATGGCGGACACTATAAACCATAAAAAATCACTTCTTCGACACAAATTCAGAACAGCACAGCTTTCCTTACCACTCACTGGTTTCAGTTCTCAAACTTTGAGCCCTATATCTTAAACTGAATGCGAAAAGAACCCAGGCAACATAGAATAAATTGCTACTGCACGGTGTAGCGTCATTTTACATAACAACTGGATACTACCGTATTGTCTCATTGATTTGCTGTGCTCAGTGAATACGCATAACTGTTATCCTTAGCTAGAATACAAAAGTCAGTCGACTGGCAATTGTGCCATCTTCTATCGCTTAAGAAACTCTATGCAACCTCACCAGAGAAACAACAAGGGAAACTGTTGTTGGTGTTACAACCCTGGGAACCCATTGTCACAGATATTACTCTGGGAACCTATTGTCACAGATATAACTCTAGTAACCTATTGTCATAGATATAACTCTGGGAACCCATTGTCAGAGCTATAGCTTAAGCAACAATGTTGTTAGAGCTGTAACTGAAGAAACAGATTGTCACAGGTACAACTCGAGAAACAGATTGCTGAGGATATAACTCAGGGAACCAAATGCTATTTAGCAAGCGCTTGCTTGCAGCGACTAAAGAGAAGACTTGCCTTTCCCCAACGTTCCCCCTTGGAGCTCCTCAGTTTCAAATATTTTCGCTTGTGGCCAGCAAGAATACTCAGTAGGGCTCTTTTTTGATCTATCAAACATTGATTTATTTGTTACTCCATAGGTTCTTCTAGTAATTGGGGTTATTTCCAGCTCGAATGCGCATTAAAAGCTATTAGGTCAACTGCACAACCTCTGTAGTTACTAGTATCGGAAGTATAAGTCGAAATTATGCTATGCATTGCACAAACCTGGTTGTCGCTGCGAGTGAGTATAAACCTCATTGAATACTCCGTTTGTGTTCTATGGGTTCGTATATTGTATCTCTCGTTGCAATCATTTTGCTCATCACTGGAACAACCGGTGTTAGGGGTTATCTGAAGTCAAGGGGAACCACCGAAGTCAGGGGACACGACTGAAGTCAGGGGAAACACTTGCTGTCATGAGTAACAGGACGTTGACCAAGAAACGATTTCGAGAAACTGGTTAATGGATGTTGTTGGAGCTTTTTGATATTTATACGCTCAACTAAAATCCCATGATAGTGAGTTTTTGCACAGGTAGCACTTTAAGTGGAAGGATGGATAGTTCAATCTTTGCTGTAATGTTTCTTAAGCAACAATGCGGTATCACTGGGAACCTAAACTACTGGACACACGTCTCACCGGTAACAATTAAAACCGAGATACCTCAATATTTCTCACAATATGTTGAAGTCGTATAGACACACAGCTTGATAGTACTAGTTTAAGCAGTGATTATAGGAATGGGGTGGTTAATTGTTGGTGGCAATGGAATATCTGCGGAGTGAATAATGATATAGAAGTGTTTATGTGCCATTCAAATGAGACAGTAGTATTCTTGTATTTTGGACGTTTGTAGAGAGTCTTTAGTTGAATGCGGTCGATGATTAACGTACTTGCTGTACTTTGATTTGTTTTGATGTCTCCTGGAATTTAGTTAGTTCTTACTCAAAATGTTGGTTTGTACTGATAGTGTTGCCCCTATATGTTGAGATTTCGGTTTGTGATGCCTGCCGGCTGCTGATGGACTTTCTGTTAGTTATGCTAACATGTGTAGTTTCATATGTGGGTTAGATATGTTTTTCTTTTGTTTCATCAGTTTTAATGAAGAAATTTGAGGTTTTGATGTGAATATAATGAAATTTGTACCAAATCCATTTCTGTTAGGGGTTAATTTGTATCATATGACTTTGTAAATACTTTTGGTTGAGCTTGTGGATACGTGGTGCAGCTTCCTTAGACAAGTCGCATCTTTCTACAAAACGACAGCACTCTGCCACTTAAAATTGAGTTTATATCGATAGAAATCAGTTCTCCTGCGTTAATTTGTATTAGCTGCTTTAAGAATGTGTATTTCTTCATTTGGAAATTGGCGGTAACTATTAGGTTTCTACTGTGTATATTATATTAAGTGGCACCCGAAATTGTTGTTACAGTGGCTTGATGAATGCATAAGTGGTTCTTGTATCATCCACGGTTGCCTTTGTGTCTTATTTTGAGGTTTTTTGTCTAGTCTTGTATATGTGCGCTTTCATTTCAGTTTGATTGGACTGTTTTGTTTCTCTTGAGCTGTGAATTAATTCATTTCTGTGACCTAAATGAAGACGTTGGCTTTTTTCATAATAATTGCAGTTCAAGGTTTTGCGTCTGAAGTGTTCCTGTTGTTTTGTAGCTAATATCAATGATAACAATCTAAATCTGCTTTTTCAAAAGAAGATGGATCTTGAATTTCATTTAGGTTTGAATTTTGATTTGTCATGGATGCTTAGAGTTTTATCTGGATGGCCACAAATGGGTAGAATAACTTCTTGTGAAGTTTGGTTAAATCAACCTTATTATTCTCTGCAGCACCGATCTCTTTGATGTGTTCAATTTAGACAATATTCCACTTGTAATTCCAGCTCTTCCAGTTTCTCTTTTGGTACAGAAGCTCATGCTGTAACTTAATTTATATGTAGGGAATGTCAATAGGGGAAAGAGTTTACGTTATTTTGCAAGAAAGGAAAAGGGAGCTTTTAAAAGTTATGTATGTATTTGCAGGTAGGATTTAATTCCAAATCCAGTATCCACAAAACCAAGGTCACGTGATCTGCGTTATCAATGCATTGTTTGAGCCACAATTCTGTGTTTTTTTTCGTCTGATAATCAATCACGTCTATATAAAGAGCCTAAAGTCACCTTTGGATTCTTTTAAAGCTAAAGCTAGTCAATGTTCAAAGCAGGGATCAAAAATTTAACAAAGATTTGTTCAGCGCGAGAGATGTCAACAAAGTTTCCATCCCACAACCCATACTTCAAAGCTTCAGGAAAAGATGTTTGGTCTCTTGTCAATGAGGCAGCAGCCAAAGCAGCTTCCACATCAACTAGAGAGATTATCAATTTAGGTCAAGGATTTTTCTCATATTCACCACCACAATTTGCTATCAATGCAGCAAAAGATGCATTGGACGTTCCGGCTTACAACCAATATGCTCATACTAAAGGGAAGCCAAATTTGTTGAAAGCATTGGCCACAACTTACTCGAAGCATTACGGAAGAGAATTGTCAACTGATGAAATTTTGGTTACTACAGGTGCAAATGAAGCTATTTTAACAATTCTTACTGGATTTTTGGAAAAAGGCGACGAAGTCATTGTTTTTGAGCCATTTTTTGATCAATACATTTCTAACATTGAGATCCCTGGTGGTAAGGTTGTTTCTGTTCCTCTCCACCCTCCAAAAGAGATTTCAGAGCGTAATGTCAAAGGTGAAGAATGGAAAATAGATTTCAAAGAGCTTGAGAACTCAATTACTGATAAAACAAAAATCATTATTTTAAACACACCTCATAATCCAATAGGTAAAGTTTTCACCAAAGAAGAGTTATTGAAAATTGGTGAATTAGCAGTGAAACACAATATCTTAATCGTTTCTGATGAAGTTTATGAAAACTTATACTATACTCCTGAGTTTACCAGAATCGCAACACTCTCACCTGAAATTGGTAATTTAACATTGACTGTTGGATCTGGTGGTAAATCATTTGCTGCAACAGGATGGAGAATTGGTTGGATTATAGGTCACCCAGAATTGTTGAAATATGCATCGCTTGCCCATACAAGAATCTGTTTTTCAACTCCTGCTCCTTTGCAAGAAGCTACAGCAACCGCATTGAATGAATCTTTAGAAAATGGATATTTTGAAAAGACACGTCAGGACTATATCAAAAAGTATGAAATCTTTACCAAAGTTTGGGATGAATTAGGATTACCATACACAATTGCAGAAGGTGCTTATTATCTGCTTGTTGATTTTTCAAAGGTCAAAATTCCAAAGGATTATAAATATCCAGAGGATTTGAATGGTCGCGCAAAAGATTTTAAAACATCATATTGGCTTATTCAAGAATTAGGGGTCGTTGCCATTCCCCCAACTGAGTTCTATATCAAGGAACATGAACATGTTGCAGAGAACTTACTACGTTTCGCAATTTGTAAAGATGATGAAACCCTTGAAAAAGCCGTTGTCAGATTGAGAGAACTTAAGAAGTATATTTGATAGAGAGTACATATAAAAGTAATATTACATAGATGTTAAATGTTTTGATTTCATGATCTTGCTTTAATAAGTCTATTTAAGATTATTATTTCTTTTTCTTGCTAAAAAACGATGTATTTTTTCCTAATTGTAGTTTTGGTTGTTTTTTCACTGGTTTTGGCCCTTCTGACTCTTTTGAGTATGGATCAAAAGTGCTTGAGCTCCTTTTCTTGACATTTCTTTCATGTCTCTTGGAAGGTTGCATGACTTTTTCTGCATTCTCATAATCAAAAGCTTCCTTTTTAATATCAGAATCTGTTTTCTGCTTCTGTTGTGGTCTCTGTGACTTTTTTTGTTTCAAAACCACAATTTCTTCAGGATTATCAAACATTTTGGAGTCTTCAGTTGATGGAATAATTGAATTTGTTTCTTGAGTAGGAGTAACTTCAGATGCATCTTCTCCTCTTTCATTTTCTGCAATAGTTTCATGCTCGGTACTGACCACCTCTGGATAATAAGAATATGGCAATGCTTGATGTATCAATTTTATTCTATCAGACATCACATCAGCAGGTATCTTCTGTCCTTCTGCAGAGTAAATTGACATGTCTGAATTATTTAGAACGCTAGCTTTGAATAATTTTGAGAATTTTGAAAACAAAGAGTTTGATTTCTGAGTCTTCAACTTATTATTTTGTGTCAAAAAAGCTTTTTCTGAAAGTTCCACTTGATCAAATGATATCTTTCCACTTTCCTCTTTGCTTTCTTCTAGATCATTCATCAAAAGCAAATCTTCCTCTTCAGAATCTTTCAACGCCTTCTTTATGAGTTCAGCAATCTCTTTGCAATTCTTACGCACATAATCTGATATGAAGTTACTGCAAGACAAAACATCAGATGCATCTGTTGGAGCTGAGGCAGCCAATGACACCAAAAGCTGATTTGGCATTATATACCTTGGTGATTCATCATCTTTTCTAGCGTGCTTGTCTCTCCAATCAAACAATGATTTCACTATACCCTCTCTTGAAGGGGAGAGGTTGTATTGGTAAATGAGACTTTTCCATGGCTCAGCTTTCTCAATTGGTGACACAACATTTTGATTATTACCACTTGGTCTATAAGTAGAATACTCAAAACGTCTTCTAGCAACATTTCTCGATTCAAATAAAACAGTTGTCAATTTGTTAGCCTCTATTAACATGTTTTTAAGTTGGTCAAAAATGTTGAGAAGGAAATGAGTGTCTGATCTGGCATAAAGTTTCATTGGTGCTGTTAAGGGACGTATTCTCCAGTCAGCTAACTGATATTTTTTGGATGTTTTAAAACTAGCAAATCTCTCAAGCAAATAAGCCAAACTATGTTTTGGAAATCCTAGTTGTCTAGAAGCATGATATGTATCAAATAAACTAACAACGTATAACCCAAGATCCCTTTGTAACCAAATAATATCCATGAATGCCCCATGGAAAACCTTTGTAACTTGTGGGTCTGCAAAGACAGCATTAAGCACTTGAAGATCTTCACGCAATGCTAAAGTGTCAATTAACCAATCTTGATCTCTGGTGCTAATTTGCATCAAACAAACTAGCCCATAGTAAGACCTATAGTCGTGGTGTTCTAAATCAACAGCAATCTCTTGAACTTTCTGAAGTTCGCTTAGCATCTTTTGTAATTCATCAACTGTATCGACCCAAATTGGTTCGGTTGATTGCCAGTCAGTTGAAGGGATTGGATCTGATTTCTCTAAAATTTTATGATTATACTCTTGTTCTTTGATTTCAGTTTCATACGGTTGTCTGTAATGTGATGGATCATTTTCTTCGGCGGGAGTTAAAGTGAATGTTTCTTCAAACGGGACTATGGCGTGTGGTTTTGATGTTAAAAGAGGTCTAAATGGGTGTTCTTCACTGTTGTCTATTAATGTTTTGAAAAGTAGCTGAGGCTTCTCGGCTCTTTTTGGAACTTGTGTGTTTCTTGTAGAAATATTGTTGTCTTCCAAATATGTGATGCTTTGTTTCGATTCACTTAGCTTTGACCCATTCTTCAACATATCTAATGCAATATCTGATCTCTCGAGGAAAGTATCAAGTAAGTTACTGATACGTGACCATGAACTTTCAATTGAATCACCTGACACCTTTTCGCCATTTTGTTCAGAGCTAGACTCAGCTATCAAATTTATTAACTTGATTAATCTATCGGATGAAGCTTCACTGGATTCTAATATAGTATTATCCAAACTTTTGTAAAAATTTATATCATAAGCAGCTAGTCCAGAAGCAGCTCTGATGGCTGAAACAGCTTTAGGGAATGCTTTTGATAGCGCATCCTCCCCTCCTGACGACATCTCAGATGATAAAAATGATTTTGCCAAATTTGCTTCAATAGTATGTTGCAAGAAAATTTTGGTTTAGAGCTATAGTTACGTACAATTTTCAGAAAAATATACACCGGGTAAATGATGAGGTTGACACGGCCACACTTTTCGCGAGGTAGTACACCCGAGATTTAATCAATTCAACACATTCATTCCAACTAAACATTTGCTCGAACTTCAAAAGTGTATCGAAGACTTCACCTGATTATGTTGAGAATACTTGGAATAAAAACGGTTGCTTGCCGTACCCCAGGAGCACGCTTATTTTCATCGAAGCTTGATTTGGGATCAGCTCCATCTCCACCAAAACTAGATAAAGAAGAACAAGAAGAATTCGAAAGACTACAAAAGATTGCAAACTCACAAGCTGCTATTGAAGAATACAACAACTCAGTGGATCCAGAAGCTGAACATCCTATAAATGCCCCACATTTGAAAAAAAGCGATATTGGTAACTTCTCACCAGAGTACTTCAAGACAATACCTGAGTTTGAAGGTGATGTTAACCCAAAAACGGGTGAGATTGGAGGTCCAAAACAGGATCCATTGAGACATGGAGACTACTCGTTCAACGGAAGAGTAACTGATTTCTAATATATATTTATAGGGTTTAATAGCATAATTGAGGTCTACGGTTTGAAAAGATTTATGTTTTTATAATTTAGTTCATTGTTACTTTATATCAAAAAGCCTAAAGACTGTTTTCTTTAACATGATTTTCAAACTGATTATTGTTCTGCTTCAACTCTTTTGTGGTGTTTTCTAGCAACAATTTCCCTTCCTTTATGATTCTATTCAGCTCATCCCAATCTTGATTATCAGTGATATTATCTGGTGTTGCTGAGGAATGAGCCTTTGTTTGTAACTCTGAGCTTATGTATGAAAGTTGGTGCTTGATTTCACTACTTTGTTTCACACCTCTATTGAAAAATAACGTGAGATCCTTCACTTCTTTAGACCAGGTCTTCTCTTTGGTGCTTAATGGTAGATCGACTGATTTTTGAAGCTTGCTGGAAAGGTCGTTGAATCTTTTGTTTATTCTTTCCTGCCTTTCAGAAACATCCGTACAAAAACTTTTATTTTTAACGATGGATTCCTTCAACGTTTTTGACATCTCATTAGTATCATGCAGTTTTCTCAATTGTCTTTCAAGTTCTTTTTTTTGACTGATCAACCTTGTATTCATTGATAATCCCAATTTGTGAAATTCAACGATATATTTCAACGCTTGTTCTGAAGCATTATTCAATTCTCCTAAGAAGTAGTCATCTGCACTTATAACAGTACCTCTGTTCTCTTGCGGTGTAATCTTGATGCTCGAAATTGGTTTCATTAGGGCCATTATTTCATCATAAGGGCTCTTCAGTAAGGAGTCATAGATGGCATTGGTAGTATCATTCTTTTTGAAATTATACTGTTCCTTTATCTGATAATTTTCTAAACAACCTTGAGTTCTTTTGCTAGTGACTAATATGGTATCTTTAGCGCCATCGCCATCATTTAAATGCAATACACCTTGGATATACTCCTTCGGCTGAAGTTGTAAGACCAGCTCCACTTTTGCTCCTTCTAATTTTGATGTATGGAGAGTTTCAGTAATAGAATCTATGTGAGATTCATAGATAGCTTCGTTCGAAAAGTTTTCCCACTTGGAGAAATCGATTTTGAAAGCATTGCTTCCTGATTGAGCAAAAGCCACAAGTTTACCAGCATCCTTTTTTAAATTTGAAGGGAGGTTTGTTCCAAAATTAATATGTTCAATGGCTGATAATGTTGGAACGGAATCTTCCTCATCAATATTCAGATCATCAATTTGGCCATCTATATTCCACTTCATTGTTAATTCACTGTCTAAGGAAAGAGCAATGACACCATGTTTTGCAAATGATACAATCAACAAGTTGAAAATTCCAAAATTCATACTGGTAATATTGACACCATAATCATCATATAGGGCGTTTGGGAATGGTTGAACGGAAAATGGACCTTGAATAAAAAAATCATTCACTTTTTCATTGGTTAAAACACAAAGTTCAGATGTGCCTCTTATTTCTTTTTTAGATGTTGGAAGTTGATTCCATAGGCCAGTTACAAAACGCAATTGCTGTCCAGCTGAAAGTTTTGTTCTTGCATTTTCTGTATTTGATAATAGAAGGCTTTCATTGAATAGCCCTTCGATCAATTCTCTTGGAACTGCAATTTCCTTAGGCATAAATGGGTAAATAGTGAAAATATCACCATCCTCATTCAAAATGTAAAGGGATAAAGCACTTGACAAATCGCCTTTTGGCCCGAAGCACATTGAGACTGGGTTCTCTATAGAGTTCGCAGCTAATCCGATTTTGTTTTTGTTGAACGAGCTAACCTCATAAATAGATTCAGGCTGGTCTGGAGAAGTTCGAAGATCAAAAGTTCTGATAATGCCATCGGATGAAAGAACCACTATGGTTGAATCATAGCGAGATATACTGTTCCATAATAGCTCCTTAATTTCAGCATTGTTTCCATAAACTCCATTTCCAACAACGAAAGACTTCACCCGTACTGTGTCACCATCTGAGCTGTTGAATTGTGAAGCTGAAACTGAGACAACAACAATTTTTGAAGTACTGAAAGCTGCCAAAAGGGTTCCTGATGAATTCAAAACAAGACCTTCAATATCAAAGTCAATATTACCTGTGTCAAGAACTTTATATTTAGTCTCCTTGGATAAACTGTAATATCTTATAAGAGACCCGTGTGCAAAGAACACTTCATCTCCATTTCTGACAGCTGTTTTAGAGTCACAGATCGTGTGAGCTTTCAGTCCGGCGTCTCCAACCTGCTTGAAAATGCTTGAGTTATCCAGCTTCTCCACCGCAGACATTTCGCAAAAGCAATACCACTAATTGACTCTCCAATGACTTTCAATCGAGACCAACTTTTTTTAGATAGGTTGTTTATATTTTTCTGAACCTTTCTTTGATCTGAAAACATTGTGCTAAGGGCAACAGATCAAGACCGGGTGATAACCTTGTGGTCGCGAACGGTCGCGGGCTCGAAAAATTTCGAATTGTGTAATAGAGAACTGGAAATTGGATTCATCTTTGATCTAAACAAATAAATTCCTGTTCAACCCCGTTTTCATAAACATGCTTTCGTTCAATAGAATACTCGCCAGATCTTCAAGAAGACTCTTTTCAACTTCATTTATAGCAAGAACTGAGGCACAAGCTGCTAAAGAGACAAGTGAGCTCAAAATTAAATCATCATGTCCAGTAGGTACTTTGCTCAACTTAAAGATCAAGAAATCAGGGGCAGAGCCAGTTGCATTAGAAGACCATGAATATCCAGAATGGCTATGGACAGTTTTGGACCCAAAAGCCCAAGAGGAAAAACTCAAGGCAGATCCTGCAAAGTATCAAAAGAAGCTTATGAGACAAAGAAATAGAAAGAATATTAAGCACAATAACTTTATGGCCCAAATGAAATAGATTAAGGGAATGTCGTTAAGTGAAGTCTTGTACATATATATTGAAAATGCATTTTTGAATGTTTTACTAAGTTATAAAGAAAGATTTGAAATTTGTAGTCAAGAGGAATTTTTCTACGAGGAATTTTAAAACTCAAATCTAATGCAAATGACGTCTATTGTTGCCTTTAAAAGAGAACTGTGAAAACAAGACATACCAGCTCTATACAGACATTCATGAAGATGTTCCATACTATAGTATATAGAAGCTTTGGGCTGAATACAGTCCAAATGAAAAGATGATATCTCAACATATAACATGCCAGTAATGTGAACACCCCACTAATGGAATAAAATGACGCATTTACCAGCCATCTCATTTTGATAATCTCATATTTCACAATCTTTAAGTTTTCTTTGTTTTCAAACAAAATAGGAAGTGATGCAAATGACCAATATATAGGACCCGCAAAATTTGAAATGAAAGTGAGTAGACCAACAGCAAATATATTATATCCAGTAATACCATTGTAAGCATTTGATAAGTCAACAGTTGCTAACGAATTAGTTTGACCTGTACTAAAAAAACTGAATTGCTGAAGAACGAGTATAGAAAGTGAGACCAGCCCGACCTTGAACAGTTTGTTTGTCTTGGTTAAACCACCAGTTACAACACCTATTTGATGTTTCACCCCCAAAAATACAAGGAATAATGGAATGTTTTGTAGTGAGGACTGAAAAATTAAAACAAAAGTTATCAAGTTGTGCAAATCAGTGAAGTACCAATAGTCATGATTTTTAAACTTGAGGAAAAATCTCCATCCAAAGACAAACAGCACGGTCACGAAGAAAAGTCTTGCTATATCAACTAAACTTTCCTGTAGATTTGAAGCACCAAGCTTATCAATGGAATAAGCAGCTAGTTGTACTAATTCCTTTGGAATTTTTTCACCATTAGCTAAACTGAAGAGTAACTTGAAAGTGAAAGTTGTGATTGACAGAAGGAAGGAAATAACAAAAGATATCACTGGATGATAATAGGATATACCACCATAGTTTAAATTAAACCCGTAAATGGAAATTGTGAAGAAAACTAGAATCCAATTGATAATGTAATTCTCTTGTAGGAAATTCAATATTGTGTCACCAACAAACTTTTGCCCGCTATTATTCCACCCTCTTATGATCCTTAAAAGGAAAATCAAGGCGAAAAAATTGAAGTTTTTATTGAAACATAAAACTGTTAGGATGAATGTCAGAACCCACCACCAAACTTGATATTCTTCTTCAACAAGACTACTTCCAAACATTGTTGCACCATAAACAATGTTCAGAGTATAAAAAACGACAACCTTGAGGCCAACAGTATTCCAAAAATTGATCAAAATAAGCAGTGATGTTAGAATAACAATACCTAGCCCAATAAAGATTTTCTGTGTATCATAATTTGTTGCAGACCTTGTCAAATCTGATTGAGCTTCTTGAAGTGCTGTAAATGCAGAATCTATGTCTTGAGCAATTAAAGGATTTTCACTTAATCTTTCGAAATTCTTTAGGTTTTCCTTCATCAAATTGAATTGTTGTTCCTTGTTCCATAAAGGAAGAAAATCTCTAATCATTATACCCAAGTTATTTCTGGGTATAGGCAAATGAAGTAAGCCTGAAATTGTCGGGACTAAATCAATCTGTTGGACTCTCTGCAAGAATGTAAAATCATCTCTGTTTGGTGGAGGAACATTGGAGTTGGTTTTTAATTTTTTTAGTTTATCAGATATGAAAACCAAACCAGCTGATGTCTCTCCAGCTGATGAGCCACCATGATTTCCTAAATCATTCATACCGTGATCCCCTAATAAAACAAGCAATGTGTCTTCTTGCAAACTTTTATAAATCCTCTTAACAATTAAATCCATTTCCTGTTGCTTTGGGGGCATGAATATCGATTTTGGTCCACCTTTGTGACCAATATGATCGAGCCCAAGATAGTGCAAAATCAAACAATCCCAATTTTGCTCTTTGAGCTCACTGTCCAGGTGACGTGTCACATTGTTATCGACCTCTGTGAAATCAGACACGAAAAAACTGCTGGTTCCTTCAAATTTGTCAAAAACAGATGGGAACAACTTAATCCAAGTATCATCACCATACATATGTATCCGTTTTCCTGCTTTCTTCAATTGTGTAACCCAACTATCTTGATTAGCTAGTGTTGAGGAAGAATCTTCCTCGACAACATTCAAGATAGCATCCAAAAAGTTTGGAGTTGATCCGGTTGATATACCTTTGAGTCTTGGAAGTGTAACTGTTGGTGGATTTGAATATGCTGTGAAGCCAATTGCGGATCCTTGTTGTAGTAGTTGTTGAACAAAATACATATGTGAGTCCTCAGAGAAAATGAAGTCGCTTCTTAGGGCATCAACAACCATCACCACTATCTTGTTGAATTGAGGATCATATTGACCATTATCAAATTGACCAAATCCCTTTAAAACAACTTTTGAAGGGAAGAAACCCAAACAGAATATTAACAGTCCAGCAATTTGTAGCACGGTGAGCGTCAGTACACTAATCCACCTCATTTCAACTGGTATCTAGCACAATTTGGCCTGTTTATCTGATGTTGTTTGTATACAGCCTTGGACATTCTCGAGAAAATGTGACACGAAATTGAAGATTTCGAGAAGCGCAAATTCGAGGTGCTCGGATTTCAAAAAAATGTATACAAAACTAGTTTAAAAAGACTTTTAGTCAAAGATTGTATTATACAATTATTATACCCACCATAAATAAAATGAAATCATAAACAAAAGGAAATAACAGTAGAGAAAAATGAAATGAAATGAAAAAAAAAAGACCCACTATGTAGAATAACCCAAATCAATTAAAAAAATAAACACAATGCAAATGAAATTAGTTAACCTATTGTAACAATTGGTCTCTGTAATGAGGTTGGTTATTGATGAATTTAGCAGCTCTTCTATCATCTCTGTCTTTATGATGAATTTCATTCTTCCATACTCTTTTCTTTTCTAGTAATTGAGCTCTGTCATGAACAGTAGCCAAATGTCTAGATTCTGCAGCAATAACTGTACCTTGACCTTCAGTGAGAACTGTTTCTGGTTTCAAGTTTTGACGGTAATATCTAGCTAAAGAACGATGACCAATTTTAACACCACTTGGTAAATGGAGTTCAATACCATCATTGTATGAAACTTCTTGTGGTAATTCTTCTTCTTCATCATCTGAACCTTCTTCACCTTCTTCACCTTCAACATCTTCCCATTCATCTTCATTTTCATCACCTTCAACTTGTTTATAATCATCATAAGTTGATGTGAAATCATAAAACTCTGATATTTCCAATTTTTCATCCTCACTTTCATATGGAATCTTACAATGATTTTTAGAAATCATATGAGCTCTGGCAGCTTCTAAAGATCTCCCTTGAAAGCTACAAACAAAGCACATATTACCCAATCCGACTTTTTCAGCCATGTACTTCACAAGACCTTCCTTGTCAACCAAATATTTTTGCTCTGGAATGTAGAAACCGTGTTTCTTGAACATATGGTTTAAACATTCTTCAAAATATGGGAACTTTTTGTTACAAAACAAACAAACTTCTAAAGGAATTTCAACTTTATTTTTCAATTTTTCCTCCATGATCTTTTCAGCTTGTTGTTCTTCTGTTAATTCTTCATCATTTTCTTGCTTGATATCTTCTTGAACTTGTTCAACTTGTTCTTTAATTTCTTCTTGTTGTTCTTTTGATTCTTCAACTTTATCACCAGTATTACTAGAGTTCATGGATTTCAACATATTTTGCTTTGCAATTTCAAGTAATTGTTTCTTCTTCTCCAAAAGAGCTTCTTTTTCTTTCCTTCTTTGATCCTTCTTGGAAACTTTTTTACCCTTTGTCTCATTTGCATTTTCTTCTTCTAAAGATAACTTTTGAACTTTTTCATTAAATAATTCTTCATCAATAGCTGGTAAATTAGCCACTCTTCTTTTCAAGTTATATCTGTGCCAGTCAGACTTCATATGGGATCTTTGATCCTCTGGAGTTCGGAATTGCAAACTGCATGAATTACAAGTATACATCTTTTCTTGATCTTCACCTCTTTATTCTTTTGTTTTAATAGAGCTGATTAATAGAAGGTAAACTTTTACCTTACAAAAATTTTTTTTTTTGCAAAACCTCATCGCCGGTCAGCGAAACATAACCATTGCCGTTTTCGGAAGCACAAATTTGAGCACAAACACATATAAACTACAAATTTAATTGAAAAGGAAAACACTTTTAAAAGATTTATTGTACAGTTGGAAAATTTCAGCTCTAATCCCTTCATCAATTTATTCTTTTCTCAAGTCTATTCAGCATCCACTTCGACAGCTTCATAATTAACAGGATCATGACTATGTCTAATAGAATTTCTTGAATTCAATTCAGCATTTGTTGGTTCTCTAATCTTCAAATTAACTTCGTCATAATCCACTTGTTCAACCAACTCTTTTAATGAATCATGTAATCTATGTCTCTTTAGTTCAGCTTTTGATTGAATTGGGTTATAATAAGCAATATTTTCTTTATGATCAAATCTAAGAGCAATATCTTTAATACCACCTTCAACAGCGATTGCCTTCATATCATAATCATTCTTTTTGAGGTATTTATATCTTGATCCTTCATTTTCATCAATTTCATCATTTGGAACATTTTCACTCAAGTCATCAATTGTTCTCTTCACTGATGTTGAAGATTCTTCATCAGTAACATAGAATGACATCCAATCTGCTTGTTCTAATTCCACTGGTCTGAAGATTGAAGTGTGGAATTCAGTTGAAGTTGTACCACGGTTACTTGTAGAGGCAGAACCCAACATTCTAATAGAACTGAAACTTTGATCCATTCTTGAAGTATCTGGTAATAAAGACCAGACTTTTTTGGCCTTCAAGTTCTTCTTTAGAGGATGTTTCAATAATGTCAAGTTTTTTAATGTTTTTGTTGAATTTGTAAATGTTGATTCGATTGAACGTAATTGAGTAGCTGGTGTGTTATCATCTTGAGAAACTTGTGGAGATCCTAGTCTTGAATTTTGTACGGTAGCATTAGCATTTTGTCTACTTGAACCGATATATTCTGTTCTTCTCAAGAAGGCAACATTTGGTTGTTTACCAACGACTGTATCAACACCAGGATCTCTTAATAAGATACGATCATTTGGATGTAATTTTATATTGTCAGATAATGCATATAATTTTGAATCTTGTTTTGAACGATCAAAAGCATCGGGCACTTGTATAAGATCTATGGATTGGCCTAAATCATCATTTAGTTTGATTAAATTGTTGACATTTTCTTTACGATATAAAGATGATAGTAAACTTGAAGAACCTATTTCTTCATCTTTGGGGATTTTGTAGTTTAGTAAATTTGGTGGTAGAGGTGGTGGTGGTAAGTCATTTTGATACCTTATTCTAGCGATATAGTCCTGACTCTTTGACATGGTTATTCAATTGTATGAATGTACTGATTGAAGTTGTTGTTGTTGTTGTTGTTGTTGATTTTCCAAATCTTTGAAATCATCATTTTCCACCAGCACAACTTTTCAAAAAATGGAAGTCGCGAATTTTACCCGGATATCAACCACTATAGGTAGCTCTTCTGCTCTATCTAATCTTTACTTTCACCTTGTGGTGTTTATTTAATGATTCTAGCTGAAAATCAGGCTTAGTGTTTGTACACAGATCAGATTACCTAAATTCCCGCTTTCATCCTACAAATCATAAGTATTATGCACATTATTATATGGTCATTAATTAATCAATCATGATCTAAAACATCCAACATTTCTTTATAACCAGCTCTTGTTCTTTTTCTTGGTGGTTCTAATTTATCATGAGCTTCATTGCTTTTCTTTGGATCTTCAATTTCTCTATTCAGTAGACGCAATAATTTGACATTAGTTTCTGAATTTCCATAACTAATTTGTGTTGAATCTGGAATTTGATCATTTATATCTTTATCTTGTTGTTGATTGTCAGGGTTTTCCAATTCCAAGCTATTTAATTGAGATTTTGAAGCTCTACCTACTAATCTACCCCAGTTATCTTTTCTTTTGTTTCTTATAGGGGAAGGTAATTTTGGTAATGAAGGTTGTTTTGTTAATTGATCTTTTTTTGGTGAAGTTAATTCTGGTTTATTTGAAGTGTGATTATCTGTAGTGTCAACTAATATTTGTAATGATTTTCTCAAATTTGCAAATTTTGGACAATAAACACACCAATCTCTTTGATTTATATTTGGTATTTTACCTATTTGGAAAATTGTAAATAGATAAGTAATTGTTAATATGGGTATATTTTTTTGTTTAGCAAATTTGATTTTCTTTTTCGTTGAATTTGTATTTGTTCTGTGAATATCATGTTTTTGTGAATTGAATAATGAAGGAAATCTTTGAAATAAATGATGTTGATGATCAAGGTTTAAGAGATCAATGTTTAAAATTAATAAATCTCTATCATTATTTAATGATTCATGAAGATTAAATTGTAATAATGAGATGATTTTCGTTAAATGTAATAATTCAATACCTTGAAACCCAGTGATTGATATATTAAGGTCCAAAGGTGAATTTATCCTTGAATAATAAAAAGGCTTACCCCAATGATCTGATTTAATTGATTTATAGTGAAGACATCTTTCAATAAACCATTCAGTGACTAATAAATCCTTCTTGGATTGTAAAGGAGATGGTAAATTTTCTAAGGGGAAATCTGAAGGTATTATTAAAAAAGATGGGTTTAAATCCTCCACAATTTCACCACTATGAGACTCAATCACTTTTGATAATGTTGATTTTTTCAAACTATCAAATAATTCAATTTGGAAAGTTAAATCTTTGAAAAGGTTTGATGTAACAATTGGAGATATTTTACTCTTTGTAGAGTCAAGTTCTGGTATTTTACTCATTGATTTTGTAATTTCCAATTTGACAGGGTTTGTTACAACTTGTTCTTCTTCATCTTCTTCATCCCATGAAGTTTCAACTTTTTGATGTGGTTTGTTGGATTTAATATTAGCAACTTGCATTATCGAATTCCATATTTTGGAATCTTTTTTCAAAATTGGTTCTTGATCTTCGTGTTCATCCAATACTATTTTTTTCCGTGTTCTTGGTTTCAATAATTCATCCCAAACCAAGCAAGACTTTTCACCAATCTTGGAATAATCTTTGACTAATTCGATATTATAATAATCAAAATCTAATGAAGCTTTCCTTTTCAAAGAATGTATAATCCATAATGGGTGTATGATGGGTATTTGCCATTTCTTTGCCATATCATATCTTTTCCCTGATTTTTCATTGGTTATAACACAAGAACTTGTTGTTGTTAATGAATCTGATACGGCACCACCATTCTCTTTTATGATATTGACTAAATTTTGTTTTGAGAAATCTTCATTTGGATGACTTTTATCATTGACAACTCTTGAAAGACATATAGTAAAATTTTCAAAGATTGGTAATAAATAATTTTCAATTTTCAATAGATTTGGATCTGACTGATCTTCATTATTTAGCCAAATTGAATGAATTTTTATAATGGATTCAGCTTTTATAAACCTGATATCATATCTATTCTTTACACTAAACTTGAATTTTTCGGTATTTCTATCACCAACTATCAGGATGTTAACATCAGACATCAAATTACTTGAATGTATACCACCCATTGCTTTGATTTTATTTGCAATGTCCGACTAAGTGGAAATGTTAGTTATCTAATTCATGGGGAAATTTGACGAAACCTACCCTTATGTCACTTGGGACAGAGGTTGAGCAAAACTTTAGATCAGTAAATGGTTTCGACATATCCACATAATCCTTATTTCTTTGGTTGGTTGTAGTTGTATTATTTGACAGATCAAATGTTACGCGTTTACACGCTAAATTTTTTTGCTTTTCATGAAAACACTAGTTGCCAAAACTTTCCGTGTCAATAGTGGAAAGTTGGTGTCACATGACACAAAACGTGACTAAATTTTAATATAGGAATGTACAAGACGCAGGGTTGTCAAGTTGTCGAGTTGAAACATTTATGAAACAGCTGTTTGTAAGATCATTGAGTTACTACCTGCTAGTTAGTGTATAGTCTATAAAATTCAATTGATTTTTTTTCAGGAACCTGAAACGCATGTGAATATCAATGACATAATTGACTGGAATGACACTCTTTTGAGGTCCCTAAAGCCCATTGGATTGATTTGTATCATAATCTGGTAACTATGTAGTGTATGGGTTTCGCGGGATCTTCAGGGATGAGGATTACACATGGTAAAATTGTATGGTTACGTTGTGAAATTGAATCTATGCTTTTCGTATTAGCAGCCTGTGCAGGATGTCAAAAGCTGGTGACTACAAGAGTGGCTTCTTGTAGAGTTTGTGACAAGATATAAAGTTACTGATTGGATGTTAAATGATGATGGAAGCAGTCTTGGACAGTTGATTTATTAATTAAGAAGAATATTATTTGCGTTTAAGTGAAAGTGTAATTGAGACAAAGGAGGTAACCGGTACGTCAAAGGGACAGGCTGTTTTATGGAAGTACCGATTTGCCATGGGTTTAGAATAGATCGACTATGGTTGATTTAGTGAATAAGCAATCATGCTTGAGTTCAACAGAAGGAATACACTTGTAGTAGATAGCTAATGATTGATTGATTTGTACTTGCCTTGACTCTGATAAGGACTCCATGATCATTAATCAGGCTACGTTAAACTCAATTTAATCTCTCATGGTTATGGAAAAGGGAAGTTTTAGGAATCATTGGAAGCTGTTTTTATGGGGGTGACTACCGCCTGCGTCAGCTTACGTCAGCCACCAGGATTTAAGAACAGGAGTCACGGAGGCATTTTTCAGGACTAGAGAGGGCTACAGAGACGGGATAAAGACGAGGTTAAAGAGAGTATGGAGGTGGATATATACTATAGCTATACACCATTCAATTGACCCAGGTTGTCTCCCATCAATAACGTGTAAATTGTGTGTTTTGGGAGGTGTCTCCCGGCGCAATGGACCACTGGTTGACAGTCGTGGCCGTGGCCAATTCGTGGAGTCACAGAGTCGAAATTGAATCTACAAAAAAAAACATCTTGATCAAAACAACAAAAACAACTTTCAATGCAGCGGCTAACTCTCAATTACTTTGGATGGCGTGTCATTTGCTATAATTATAAATACATCTGGGTTCGCCCTGTCTTCTGATCATAACTATAATCATTACCATTTACCACATCATAACAACCAATGCCTTCAAAAGACACCAACGAACCTACTAAACTCATCAAGACTGCCGGTAACAGCGGTCTAACAAGAACCTCACAGGCTTGTGATCGTTGCAGAATCAAAAAGATCAAGTGTGATGGTAAAATACCCTCCTGTACAAACTGTCTTTCAATAGGTTACAACTGTCAAACTTCTGATAAATTGACAAGAAGAGCATTCCCAAGAGGTTACACTGAAAATCTAGAGAAAAATTTGATCTCTTTACAAAATGAAAACTCAAAATTGATTACAGAATTGGAATTTTTGAAGAAATCGCAATCTACTTCTACAAATACTATTGCTACTAGCTCATCCCCTATTGATATAAGCAGAGCTCCAAGTATAAGTCATGAATCAACCCCTTCCATCATAATACCTGACAACTCTGTCCAAATTAAAGATGAACACAACAATGGTGCTGGTGAAATCCCATCAAATTACAAAACTTTGGCTGAAAATTTCTTTATGTTTGATAATTTCATTGAAAAGGAAAATTATGTCGGTTTAAATTGCTTGAATCTGTTATTCAATAAGATGTTGAAAAACTTTCAATTGAGTCCAATGGAAGAGTTGAAATTTCCAACAATTGATTTCAATAATCTAAATGATTTCATTATTACAAAGTTCTTAATCAAATTCCCATCAAAGACAAATTTAGATCTGTTGATTTCAAACCATTTCGAGAATTTGAATTTAATCCCAATCTTGGATGAAGATTTATTTTTCAAGAATTATAAAGACATTTTCAATTCAATTGACAACAAGACTGAAAATTTGATCCATTTATTAGAAAATAATTCTCATGCTGGTCAAGAGGAAATTATTTTTTTCATTGCGAGATTAGTTTTAATCATCCAATTGAATTGTTCAATTTTCAATCTACATGAAATTCATAAATTGATCACAAGCTTGAACCTATCAATCAACTGTTCAATTTCAAAATTCCAAACAACATTATTAGCTCTTTATTTATTCCATAACAAGAATTGTTACAAAGACACTGTGATCAATTTAACAAACACTTCACATTCAATGGTTTTAAATTTGGGTTTACATTTGAACTATAACAACTTGAAACAAAATTGTTCAGATATCAACTTGACAAAAGAAGAAAGATTTAAATTACATTCCGTTAGATTAAAACTTTATTGGAGTTTTTACATCTTGTCCACTATCTCTTCAATTTCTTTTGGTTTACCTCAAGTTGAATTTTTTGAAAAATTTGAAATTCCTCAATTGACTTCAATTTTAAATTCAAATCAAAACTTGAAGAATTGTATATTATTGATTGATTTATTAAAGAATTTGGAAAATGTTAACTTATTATCTGTGAATCAAGATCTATACATGTTTAAAAAAATTGATGAAGATTTGGTTAATTGGAGAAAAGATTTAAAATTACAAAATTTGTTTCATAAAATCCCAATGGGTTCAATCTTGAGTGATCCAGATTCTGATAAACGTCCAACTAAAAGATTGAAAAAATCTAAAATATTGTCATCTCATGAAGAAAATACCAAGATTCAATTGAATTTGTTTTACATTTATTTTAGAATGATGATTCATTTACAAAATTCTTATGATGATTCAATTCCTTCAAATATTAGTCAATCTGATTATGTTTTGTCAAATCTATCAAGAGAATTTTTAGCTTATATCATTTTGTTGGATTCAAGAAAAGAATTGAATAATTTAAACAATTTTGAATTCCATTTGATCCCAATCAATTTCTTAAAAATGACTTTAATTTCAATGCTGAATTTAACTAAAATTTCAAGAGATCATTTCAACAAAAATGCTGCTTTATTTAATGATTCAAACCACATTTTGATTAGGGTTTTAAAAATTATAAAGAATCGTTATCCTGAAAATTTTATCTTATTTAAACAAATTGTTGATTTCATTAAATCTGAATTCCAATTATTTGATTCTGAATTAGACTCTTCATCCCCATCAATCAACAATCTAGAGATCAATCAAACTATCAACAATTCAACTATTGCTTCCAATGGTCCTCCATCAACTTCTTCTTCTTCATCAGGTATTGATCACAATTCATTGTTTTTCGATATAGATTCATTGAATAGAAATTCTTCAATTGCTTCAACTGAATCAACAATCTCAACAACTTCTGCAGAATCTATATCATTGGATTATAATGATACTGATTCATCAACAATCAATGATCATTTACCTGATATTTCTTCAAACTTGGATTTAATCTTTGATTGGAATTCTACAACAAATCCAAATATTATGAAACCTTTACCAAATCTTCAAGATCCAACAATCATCAATGGTTTTAATGGTTCTTTTGATTTCAAACTACATTAAATATTCTAACACCCCATTTCACTCAACTGTTTTACTAATTGCTTGTTCTATTTATGATTTTCACGTGCTTTTATTTGTTATTTATGTTATTTATGTCCTTTATTTGATTTATTATTGATATTTATCTGTCTTTTATTTATTCTTTTCCTTGTTTATAAGTACAATGAAGAAAAAAACCTTGTTTGGTTTTAGATTGTAGTTTTTAAAATGTCAGCTTTTTGATTTATAGCGTTGTAACAAATGTGTCAAAAGTCCCCCTCACATAAAGATTTTCAACGGTTAAATAAACGCAGAGCAAAAAAAGAAAAGTCTAACCATAATCTTGATATAATTGTACTTTGACTATCAACATCTTTACAGCTTTAAACTAAGCTGTTTTAACTTGTGCATTTCTTGTTACTCCTAGTCTTGTGACTTGTGACTTCTCTTTATCTCTTTGTAATTTTGTGTACTTGGTAAAAATGAAGACTTTCGTACACATTAAATTACTCTACAACGTTCTTTGATCTTTAATAGAACATGAGGAAGTTAAGATAAGCTCAAAGACAAAAGATTAATACTCATGAATTGAGTATAAGTTTGTCCCAGCTCGTAAGTTGCAAAGATACTGATTATTGCAAAATGGCTGGTCCGTGAAAATCCGCGACAGTGAAAAAGCTATATTTTACAAGATTGTACCAGGCGTGAGGATTTTTAAAAATAGACTAAAGTACACTTATTCATATTTACTTTTATTTTCTCAAAAGTTTTTCCAATTTATTTCAAATCTACTGCTTATATCTTTAGTTTACTGTGTATGATTAGAAAGTATTTCAATTTCCTATTCAGGGTTAGTAGGGTGACACCCGGAGAATTGTGTGTCATTGATAAAATCTCTTACATAAGACTCTGACCAGTTTCGCGGATTCCCACCAAATGAACATACTTAAGAGCGCTTATCTCAACATTTGAATTGTAAAGTGGTATTAAAAAATATGTTTTAACAATATTCATATTGTTCAGAATGTATTAAATACTATTTAAAAAAATTAAGTCTCATATAGATATATCCTCAAAAATGGCAGTTTTATGTGCGTTTCTGTGCTATTTTCGCGAAATTTGCGCCCTTTGCCAATCAATCAACTTTTTTCAACCACTTTTGTTGTTCAATTTCTTAAAAGTTTGTTGTACTAAGTAGAGTTGTTTCGTTTTAAAATTTCCGACTACAAGTATACTGTTTGTATAAATTTAGGTACGAAAGAAAGTTAGAATCTTCAATTGACAAAATCGGTTAGAATTTTACTTTTCAATTCTGGGGTACAAATATGTGTCAATGTTAGTCAATTAGGAATCCAAACGGAACCAATGGTTCGATCTCAAAACAAATAACTCAAGAAGCCAGAACAAGTATAGAGATCGGGCATTCCATGATCAGAAAGGTGATTTTATTTAACATGAGGTACATATCAAGGGATATAGTCTATGGATATATAAAGGTAAAGGTACCCAAGAGCAAAAGAGTGGTTAGGTTGTTTATCAAGTATCATTAAAAATGACATCAAGAAAAGTCACAGCATTAGTTACAGGAGCAGCTCAGGGTATTGGTAAGGCAATTGCAATTCAATTAGCAAAAGATGGATATCAGGTTGCAATAACTGATTTACCATTTCAAAAGGCTAAAGCATTAGAAACTGTTAAAGAAATTGAAACAATTGGATCAAAATCATTATTTATACCATGTGATTCATCAAAGAAAAATGAAGTATTTGATGCAGTTGAAGAGACTTATCAAACTTTTGGGTCTTTTAATACAATGGTTAATAATGCAGGAATTGCAACAATTGCACCATTATTAGAGACTACAGAGGAACAAATTAACAAGATTTTGAATGTTAATATTAATGGTGTTGTTTATGGTATTCAAGCAGCTGCTAAAAAATTTGAACAGTTAGGTAATCAGCCCGGTAAAATTATTAATGCTGCTTCTATTGCATCTTATGAAGCTGGTGTTATGTTGGGGCTTTATAGTGCAACTAAATTTGCAGTTAGAGGATTAACACAATCAGCTGCAAAAGAATTGGCGTCAAAGAAAATTACTGTTAATTGTTATTGCCCAGGTATTGTTATGACACCAATGTGGGATGAAATTGATAAAAAATCATGTGAAATTACTGGAGCACCAAGAGGTTCAGTTACTAAAAGGGCACTTGATAAGATTGTTTTAGGAAGATGCTCTGAACCTCAAGATGTTGCTAATTTGGTTAGTTTCTTAGCTAGTGAAAAAGCTGACTATATGACTGGTCAAGCAATTGTTGTTGATGGTGGTTCAATTTATCATTGAATGGAGAAAAAGTATTTAATAAATGATTTATGATTTCAAGGAGATGTAAGTGTTGTATAAGTTGAGCTTCTTTCTACAAAAGATCAAAAAGTAAAGCGAAAACCAGATTCTTGAAGTAATTGAGTTCTTTTTTAAGTGATAATCAATTAGTCAAATCAGTCCTCCTTTGCAAGTGATTGGTGATCAACTTTTGAGTTAAATTTGAGGATCGAGAAAGTATGGGGTACATGACACAAATTTAAGGCCGAACGAAAATCCATCAAAGTTGGAAACATAAGAAAACACCAGAAGCGCACACGAAACAACCAAGCAATCAATCCTTCATGAGATGATTTCTATAATAAATGGATTCCGAAAGAACCAAGAGCCGTGATAGGTTATTTGAAGTCTCAAATTCTTGATTTCAGAGGAGTAAGGGGTGACAATGTTTAACCCATATAGTTGAAAAAGGATACTATTTAACAAGGATGATATTCCTGAAAGTTGAAGCAATTTGATCTATATATTCAATCAATCAATCAATCACAAAAATGACTTTAAACACCCAAAAGAAAACAGCATTAGTTACAGGAGCAGCTCAAGGTATTGGGAAATCCATTGCAATTCAATTAGCTAAAGATGGTTACCAAGTTGCAATTACAGATTTACCATTTCAAAAGGCGAAAGCATTAGAAACAGTTAAAGAGATTGAAAAATTTGGAGCAGAATCACTATTTATTCCATGTGATTCATCTAAGAAACAAGAAATCTTTGATGCGGTTGATGAAACCTATAAAAAATTTGGTGGGTTTGATACCATTGTTAATAATGCTGGTATTGCAACTATAGCACCTATTGTGGAAACGACAGAAGAGGAAATCAATAAAATCTTGAGTATTAATGTTAATGGTGTTGTGTTTGGGATTCAAGCAGCTGCAAAGAAGTTTGAAGAATTGGGAAATCAACCAGGTAAAATCATCAATGCAGCTTCGATTGTTTCATATGAAGCATTTGAAATGTTGGGTATTTATAGTGCGACTAAGTTTGCAGTTCGTGGGTTAACTCAAGTTGCTGCTAAAGAATTGGCTTCAAGAAAGATTACTGTTAATTGTTACTGCCCAGGGATTGTATTAACACCAATGTGGGATCAAATTGATGCTAAAATGGGTGAATATTCAGGCGCAGCTAAAGGAGAGACCGTTAAGAAGTTTATTGACAAGATTGCACTTGGAAGAGGATCTGAACCTCAAGACGTTGCCAACTTGGTTAGTTTCATGGCTAGTGAAAAGGCTGATTATATTACGGGACAAGCTATGGTTGTTGATGGTGGAATAATGTATCATTAACGTATTTAGGAGTTTACTTGAAATAGTAATGTTTGCCGAACCCTTTCTCAACGTATGTAATGGTACTTATTTGAAACTTGGAGCCACCCTATTGGTGAACAACAAGTGTTTACCTAAACCCCATGGGGGTATGAGATTTGAACTCGCTTTACCGTGCTTTTTTGATGCTCGTGTTTTTTTTTCAGGCGAATGATCAAATTGTTGAAAAGTTTTTCGGACGGTAATACATTCTGGGGAAAAAAAAGGTTCAAGGCTGGTGCAAAGTTCACCTAATCAATTGAGACAGAGCTGAGGAGAGAGCTTTGAAAGGGGGTTTAAACAAGGGATATTAGAGAACCTATAACATTGTAGCCAGCAGAAAGTGCACCGAGTCATGACTCCTCAACTCTTCACGTTTGTAGTTGTTGTGCTTTGTGGACGGTGTTATGACTTGTATTTATCCGACGAGCGGCGCGTGTTTCCGGATCGGTACAGCTGGGACCATAAGAAATAGGCTACTCAAGGGTGTGGAAATGGAGAGGGAAAGTGGCTACAGACTCGTACAGAGTGGATATAAAGTGGATAGAAAGTGGTGTTATGGTAGTATTGTCAAGCACTGGTTTCTTCTGGACCGGTCTGAGCTTTGTAGCTTGTTGGTGTTTCAGAGGCCGGCAGAGGTGCGCCCATTTGGGAAAAGCCAGTGAAGAGGATAAAGTCTGGGGTTGGGAATGGATCTAAAAGGAGGAGGACCAAGTGGCAGGAGATACGATAGATGAGATAGATAGAAGGGAGTGTAGCGTAGTGTATAGCAGGTTGAGCAATTGGCTTTAGTCTATATGCTCTATTCTCTGTTCTGTTCTCTATTCTGTTCTCTTATTTTAGTAGTAGTAGCCACCTCTTGACCTGGAAAAACCTGGTTGTTCCTGAGATCTTCCACTCAATTGCAACCACCCCCGAGAACTCGTAATTGCACATTATTCCATCCTGCATGGTCATGAAGTTCCAACTGAAAAAGCGTCTTTTGTGTAAATGCCCCATGTTTCGAGAAAACTATATAAACATCTTTCGATCCTCTAGCACCTTGTTCCGATTCTCTACCCAACAAACAAACAATCATCAATAATCATGTCTGACTTTGATGTTGAAAAAGTCCTAGAGCAATTGACTCTTACTGAGAAAATCGGCCTTACTGCTGGTATCGACTTCTGGCACACTTATCCAGTCGAAAGATTAAACATCCCATCCCTTAGATTCAGTGATGGTCCAAACGGTGTTCGTGGTACAAAATTCTTCAATGGTGTTAAAGGTGCTGTTTTTCCAAATGGTACTGGTTTAGCTGCTACTTTCGATAAAGATCTATTGAGAGAAGCTGGTAATATGATGGCTCTTGAAGGTAAACATAAGGGGGCTCATGTCATCTTGGGTCCAACTACAAACATGCAAAGAGGTCCAAACGGTGGTAGAGGGTTTGAATCATTTTCTGAAGATCCTTATTTAGCTGGTATTGCTTCTGCTGCCATTGTTAATGGTATTCAAGATAAACATATCGCTGCCACTATTAAACATTATACTGGTAATGATTTAGAACATGAACGTAACTCTTCAGACTCAATTATCAGTCCAAGAGCTCTAAGAGAAATCTACTTGGAACCTTTCAGATTAGCTGTTAAATACTCAAACCCATTATGTTTTATGACTGCTTATAACAAAGTTAATGGTGAACATGCTTCTCAATCAAAATTCTTACTTCAAGATGTTTTACGTGGTGAATGGAAATGGGATGGTGCTGTTATGTCCGATTGGTATGGTACTTACTCAACTTCTCAAGCTCTTGAAAATGGGTTAGATATTGAAATGCCAGGTCCTCCAAGAATGAGAACTGAATTGGCAATTTCTCAACAAGTTTCTTCTAAAGAATTACATATCAATCATTTGAATGATAGAGTTAGAGCCGTTTTGAATTTGGTTAAATATGCCAAACAAGGTGATATTCCTGAAAACGCTCCAGAAGATGAGAAAAACAATACTTCAGAAACTGCAGAATTCTTGAGAAAATTAGCTGCTGAATCAATTGTCTTGTTGAAGAATGATAATAACGTTTTACCTTTGAAAAAAGAAGATAAAATTGCGGTCATTGGTCCAAATGCTAAATATGGTGCATTTTCAGGTGGTGGTTCCGCTTCATTAGCTCCATATTATGTTGTTACTCCATATGAAGGTATTGCAAACAAAATCGGATCAAACCCTGCTTATACCGTTGGTGCTTATGCTCATGATACCTTACCAGGTTTATCTGAACAAGCAATTAACCCAAAGACTGGTAAGCCAGGTATTCATATGTCCTTTTATCATGAACCAAGGGGTACTCCAGGTAGAGAATTATTCGATGAACTAGATTTAACAACTTCTTATCATATTATGTTTGATTATGACAACAAAGCTGTTAGAGATTATTTATTCTATGCCGATTTAGAATGTGTCTTTACACCTGAAGAAACTGCTGATTATGATTTTGGTGTAACAGTCTTGGGTACTGCTCAATTATTTGTTGATGACAAATTAGTTGTTGATAACAAAGAAAATCAAAAGAAAGGTCAAGCTTTCTTCAATACTGGTACTGTGGAAGAAGTTGGTTCAGTTAGATTAGAAGCTGGTAAGAAATATAACGTTCGTATTGAATTCGGTTCAGGTAAAACTAGAACTTATACTGAACAAGATGGTGTTGATTTCGTTGGTAATGGTGCTATTGCATTTGGTGTTGCTAAAGCAATTGATCCAGAAGGTGAAATTAAAAAAGCAGTTGAATTGGCTAAATCTGTTGATAAAGCTATTGTTGTTATTGGTTTAAACCGTGAATGGGAATCTGAAGGTTATGATCGTAAAGACTTAACATTACCAGGTTATACTGATAAATTGGTTGAAGCTATCTTAGATGCCAACCCAAATACTGTTATTGTTAATCAATCAGGTACTCCAGTGGAAATGCCATGGATTAAGAAAGCTAAAACTTTGGTTCATGCTTGGTACGGTGGTAATGAATTAGGTAATGCAATTGCTGATGTCTTGTATGGTGATGTTAATCCAAGTGCTAAATTATCATTATCATTCCCAATTAAAATTGAAGATAACCCTGCATTCTTAAACTTCCACACTGAAAGAGGTAGAGTCTTATATGGTGAAGATATCTTCATTGGTTATAGATACTATGAAAAATTACAAAGAAGAGTTGCTTTCCCATTCGGTTATGGTTTATCTTACACAACTTTCAAATTTTCTAAATTATCCAATTCAGTTGATGAATCAAAAGATGAATTGAAAGTTTCAGTTAATGTTCAAAACACTGGTAGCGTCAAAGGTAAAGAAGTTGTTCAAGTTTATATTAGAAAAGTTGATTCTGATGTTATTAGACCAATCAAAGAATTGAAAGGTTTTGAAAAAGTGGAATTAGATGCTGGTTCTAATAAGACTGTTGAATTGAAACTTTCATTAAAAGATTCTGTTTCATTCTTTGATGAATTCCAAGACAAATGGTCTGTTCAAGCTGGTGAATATGAAATTCATGTTGGTGCTTCAAGTGATGATATTGAATTGATCGATAAATTCAATGTTAAAAAATCATTCTTCTGGTCTGGTATCTAAGAAGATTTTTAATACTTGCTCTTTAGTTTTTAACTTGTTTATGTGAAAATAAAAAAGTATATGTGATCTGGAAAAAAGATAGTCCTACACTTTAAATCTATTCTATAAAAGCTTTATTAAAAAGAAATGAATTGTAGAAATGACAAATAGGAAATAAGTCAAGAAACTTTGACAATTAGAAAAGAACAAGAAAAAACCATGCAAAAACACAAATTAAACTTAAGGAGAACACCGAGCAAACAAAACAAAGAGCCTAGAAAGCATTATTATCAATCTTTATGGATATCAAACACCAATTTTTTGACAACTCTTTCAGAATTGAAATCATTTAATGATGATGATCTCTTTATAGGTTTCTCCCTTGGATTCACAAAACTTAGATACTTAACTCTATCTTTTCTAGGTGGTGTAACATATGATGGGATTTCAACATTATTTGAATTATTCCATACCGTATCCAATTGATATAAGTTTGAAACTCTTGGTAATGAAGTATATTGAATATAACCTGGATTCTCTAGAATGTTCCGATCTGATAATGGTGATCTAGCTCTTTTCTTTGATGGTGATGAACACCTACTATTTGAATATTTTGGTTCAATGTTTTCTTTATTTCCCGTATAATCATTTTCATCACTTTGTAATTTTACACTTGATAAATACATTTCTGTGCTATAATCTTTTGGATCTTGATAGATGGTGAATCCTAATGAAGGTTTGGCTTTCGCTAAAAGCTGTTTAGAAGTTGAAGGAGATCTTGATAATGAACTTCTTGGTCTTGATGGTGATAAATTAGGAGTTGTTGTTGATTTTAAGGATTTCTTTGGAGATAGTTTAACATTACCATCTTTTGAAGATAATGCCAGTCTTCTTGGTGACTTTGTAGGAGAAGGTGTTCTAGAAATCATTCTTATGGGGTTGTTGTCAATGAGCAGTGCTACCAGTTGTCTCTAATGGGTTCAAATGGGATTGGAAAGGAGCAAATGTGAGTTTTAAATAAAGATTTAACGCTTGTGCCTTTGCTCACGTGACATTCTTTTTTTCGTGTCTCGATCGTGTTTATTTTTTTTTGGCGCGCGCGTTTGTTTACGTTTAAAAATTTCATCACGAATTTTTTTCTACAAGTTTTTGCTGTTTTGAGGCAAACGTATTTTGCATCTTGTATGCTGTAACTATAGAGATGAAAGGGTTAATTTGTTTATTGGTGGTATGCTGGTGGTGAATAGGCATCGCTTTTGCTCACACGTCTTTTGACAATCTTTAAAGGATTGAAGACTAGTTTGTTCGTTGCTGTACCTGTTTCCTGAATTGCTTCTTCATATGTTGGTGGTGCTGGTTGTTTTAAAGCATTTGGTGATAGTAAACGGATTGGTGCCTTGAAGAAAACATCACTTTTCAGACTCAGGTTCACCACAAAGTCATTGGATTCAACTGATAAAGGAGTGTCATTCTTAATTGGTTCCAAAGACGATATTAACGATGTTGATGATATATTGGATCGTTTGACAAATTCTATTGGCTCCACTTCAAGTACTATCCTGATAAAGTGTGATACTTTCAATCCTTTATAATTTTCAAACTCTGCTTGTCTATTTGTTAAATGTGGATGAATACAGAATGGTAATGCCTTAGGTATTTTCATGGTCCAGTCACCTTCATATGATTTCAACCCGGACTCATCCCTTTCAAGCTTCAAATATTTCAACAAATATTTATTTGTGAATGAAAAAGTTTCATCATCACCAATATAATCACTCCTTTTTTCACATTGCAATCTTTGAACAATATAAAATTTAATTGTTTCAATAAAACACATTTTATTTCCTGAACCTGCACTCAGTTTGAAATTGATTTTAAAATCTTCACCCAAAACCATATATTTTGAAGATATTGCAACTTGATAATTCATATACTCTTTCCAAACACCAGAAGCTTGAATACATTCACCAAACAGTAAAGAACCTTCAATTGGACATCTAAGGATTCTAACAGGTTTACTTGTGCTAATTTCTGTATTGTCTTCAAAAATGATTTTGGCTTCAACACAGTATCTTCTATGACCCAATGAAGTGAATATTGTTTCTGGGAGATCAGGTTCAAGTATGAAATGGAAGGGGAAAGCGTATGTGCTCTTCATCAAATCAAGTGGATCAAATTCAAATTCATGAAAGTCATCAATGATTGTTCTTCTTTCAACCTCTCTTAATGAACGATATGTTGGTGTTTTCATATATACAACGTCAGATGAAAATCCCAAGAACCTGATTTGAATTGTTTTAATAGAATTAACAAGTGATGATTTGACAACGACTTTAAGATTTCCTCTCAATAAACTAACTGGCGCTTCCATTCGTTCATATTCATTGATTCCTCTTAGGTATACCGCCTTATCATTCAATTCCAATTCAGCTTTGACTTTGGCACTTTTACCATAAATACTCTTTATTGAAGACATGATTGATGATTAGTTGCTCTATGAAAGAAATGTGTCAAAAAAAATGCACCACAGAGTCGTTAACAACGATTTAAAGGTATCTTTAAAACATACTGATACCTCAAAAACCTCAATAGTAATACTTGTAAAAAAAAAGAGTATGCTGTCCTCAATATTAAATATCTAAAGCATTAAAAAGTAAGAAAATTATAAAAATATGCATCCTGTATACACTAATTTCTCAACCGCGCGGGTGTGCCCGTAACAAAAAAAATCAAGCTAGCGCCTCTCGGTTTCGATCCGAGGACATCAGGGTTATGAGCCCTGCGCGCTTCCACTGCGCCAAGGCGCTTGATATATTTTTGTATAGGCGGCTGAACAACTAGTATATATTTGCTTGATGCGGACACATCTTATGAAATACTGAAGATATAAAGTAATCAAGTATATAATTCAAGATATATGTCAATATAAACTGCTCTAGAATATTTTGGAAAGTTTTGGAGCAAAATAGGTATAGTTATGGGACTTTGAATCTGTTTCCGAAGACCTTGAGATCTCTTCAATGAAGAACTTTATACCCGTGAAATTAGCTAAAATTTTAAATAGACATGCAGATATTCATGGATAGTTTTATATAAATTGTTGAAATATTGTACGGGCACTGGTGGCGCTCTTTAATTTCTTTCTTTAATGTATATCTAAAGTGTATTTATAAAATGCTAAAATAATCATGTACAAAGTCACTGGAGACTGAGCCTATGACTGATTTATAATAATGATAAAATTAAGGGATATTAAATCACAATATAAAAACAGGCAGTAAGAATATATATCAGAAAATATAGGAATAATACTTAATCTGCAAGCTGTACCATAAATAATCAATATGAGCAGTCAAAATTATTATAAAATTATAGTTTGATTCATCTAATTATTATAAAATTGTATAAATATTAACATCGCTTATAAATATTATTTTAGCATTTTATAAATACACATCAGATACATTAAAAAAAATATGCAAATTAATCAAAAAATCAATATTACTGCATGGTAATATATTAGCATTCAGATAATATAAACATAGTACATAATTGATTTATCATGAGATTTGGGTAGTAGAATTTTTCAATCTTTAAACTAGCTGTCAAAACATTTAGGGCCTGAAAATTCACGAATATCAAACATACAGTACTTTCTGATCGTTAAAAATGCGCTAATCGTCCAAGACAATTATACAACCAATAAACAGAACCACATATACAATTTCTAGGCAAATCACAGAAACTAGTGCCCTCGTCTTTAAACGTTTGTACTAAATTTTGAGCAGTTGTGCATACAGGCTCGGACCGGTGTTCGGATCGTCCCATAGGGCGAAAAAAAAATGCACAGGTGTAAAGTGTCTCCTATTTGGAATAAATTGAGCCACCTGGTACACTTTTCAACGTTTCATAATTAGAATGTATCATTGAAAGTTGTTGAAGCTAAGTTGTTCAATTGAAAGAATTAAAATCGAATACATTCAAAAAGGCAAAAAAAACGTTTAACTCAACTTTATTTTGACACATTTAACGTGACTGGAAATTTTCATCAAACTGTTGAGAAAAACCAAGATTCAGAGTAAAAATGGGTTATATTACCAAGTTATCAGATGAGATTGGGTTTTCCACTTTAGTGACATCTGGTTCAGATGTTTATATCATTACATTTCTTCGAATGTTAAGATTTTATGGTTTTACTGGTATTTCACTTGTTTTAGCACTTTTTTTAAAAGAAGATGGTTATAATGAAAGATATATTGGATTATTAATGAGTTTAATGTTTTTTGGTGATTTAGTTACATCTTTTTTATTATCTCTAGTTGCTGATAAAGTTGGTAGAAAAGCCACCTATGTTTTATCTTCATTAGTGATGGCAATTACTGGTGTTTGCTTTATTTATTTCCATCAAAATTATATTGTGATTTTTTTGGTTTCATTTATTGGTATCATTACACCACATGGAGGTGAAGTTGGACCTTTTAGATCAGTTGAAGAAAGTGTTATTGCTGATTTATGTGCTTATGAGAAGAGATCAGATATTTATGCCTGGGGTTCATTTTTAAGTAATTTAGCATCTGCTTTTGGTTCAGTTACAATTGGGTCATTAATCACATATGCTCAAAAGGAATATGGTTATTCTAAGATTGATTCATATTTGATTATCTTTTGGGTTTATATTGTGATTTCATTATTGATGGCTGTTTTATCATTATTCCTTACCCATAAAGTTGAGCTCAATTATCATCAAATCTCAAATGGTGCAACTTCTACTACAGATGCTCAAGTCAATGTTGCAGCTAGTGGTGAAACAGCACCATTATTAGCGGCATCAGCAGTTGTTCAACCTCAACAAAGAAAATCATTTTGGTCAAAATTTGTTCCAAATTTATCTGGAGAATCAGCTTCAGCAATTGTTATTAAATTAACATTGTTATTTGCTTTAGATGCTTTTGCTTCATCAATCATTTCATTTTCATGGCAATCATATTATATTTCAAGAAAGTTCAATATTAGTACTGAGGATTTAGGTGGTGTTTTCTTTTGTACAATGATTATTACATCAATCACAGCATTGTTGAGTACATCATTTTCCAAGAGATTAGGTCCAGTTGTCACTATGGTTAGTACTCATCTTCCATCATCCATTGCACTTGCGTTGGTTCCTGCACCAAGTTCATTAAAGGTTACTATTGTTATTTTGATCATTAGAGCCATGACACAACAAATGGATGTTGCACCTAAAAAGGTGTTCTTGACCACTGTGATTAAGCCATCACAAAGAACTGCAATCTTGGGATGGGTTAATGTTGTCAAGACACTAGCCCAGTTGGCAGGGCCTAGTATCACTGGTGTGCTGACCAGTTTTGACTTGCAATGGGTGTGTTTTGTCGTTGCAGGTACACTAAAGAGTGTGTATGACCTGGGTATCTGGGCCTCCTTCCTGGAGTACAACAGACACAATGTTCATTGATTAACTTCTATATAATCGATATAATTAGTAACAGCTGACTAAGTATTGTAATATTCGCGAATTAAACCCAATTTGAAACCCGTTGGCTCGAGTGGCTCATGGGCTCGAAGTGCTTTGGACGATAAGAGTGTTATCAGCTGGAGACACACAAATGGTCTCTGTTTAATTTAAATTGTAGCAGTGACTCACTCCAACTTCACTTTAGAACTCAAACCATCCTCAGCTCAAGCTCAAGCTCAAGCCCAATGCTCTGCTCCCATTGGCGAAGAGCGAAACCGGCGAGCATGTGAAGAAAAAAAAGTGAATCATCGAGACTGAAGAAATACATCAACAACATCTAAAACTACCACTTCTACTACTACAAGCTACTCAGATCCATCCACAATGAGAATCAGCCACAAGTTGCAGAGGAGCCATGCCGAGGACGACATCCCAACGTTCTCCTTCGAGTTCTTTGTCCCAAAGACCAGTCAAGGTGTCCAGAACCTATACGACAGAATGGATAGAATGTACAACCTCAACCCTCAATTCATCGATGTCACTTGGAACGCTGGTGGGAGACTATCCAACCTAACCACTGACATCGTCCAAACTGCCCAATCTGTGCTAGGGCTAGAAACTTGTATGCATTTGACTTGTACAAATATGCCAATTGAATTGATTGATAAAGCTCTAAGAGATGCTTACAACTCTGGTTGTCAAAATATTTTAGCTCTTAGAGGTGATCCTCCAGTGGAAGGTGGTGAATGGACCGCAATTGAAGGTGGGTTCACCCATGCTAAAGATCTAGTTAAATACATTAGAGAAAAATATGGTGATCATTTCGATATTGGTGTTGCTGCATACCCTGAAGGTCATCCAGAAGAAACTGATATTGATCTATTAGTTGATTATTTAAAAGAAAAAATCGATGCAGGTGCCGATTTCATAATTACTCAAATGTTTTATGATGCTGAAAATTTCATTGAATGGTGTAAAAAATTAAGAGCTAAAGATATTAACGTTCCAATTATTCCAGGTATCATGCCAATTAGTACATATGCTGCTTTTAAAAGAAGAGCAACTTGGTGTGAAATCAATGTCCCACAAGAATTTGAGGATAAATTATTAGAAGTTAAAGATGATGATCAATTAGTTAGAAAAATTGGTATTGATTTAGTTGCTGAAATGTGTTCAAAATTATTAAATTCAGGCTTTGTTAAACATTTACATTTCTATACAATGAATTTAGAAAAATCTTCAGTTATGGTTTTAGAAAAATTAGGTTTAATCACATCTACAATTGTTGATGATTTACCATTTAGAAAATCTTTAAATCCAACAAGAACAAAAGAAACCGTTAGACCTATTTTTTGGAAAAATAGAAAATATAGTTATGTCACAAGAACTCAAGGTTGGGATGAATTTCCAAATGGTAGATGGGGTGATTCTAATTCTGCAGCTTTTGGTGATGTGGAATTATTTACTTCAGGTTTATTACGTCAATCTCCAAAAAGATCTATTGAATTATGGGGGGAACCTAAAACTATACAAGATGTTGCAAATCTAGTGGTGAAATATTTAGAAGGTCAAGTCAATTCATTACCTTGGTCTGATACTCCAGTTACATCTGAAATTAATTCAATTAAAAATGAATTGATTGAAATAAATAAATCAGGGATCCTTACTGTTAATTCACAACCAAGAGTAAACGGTGCAACATCAAGTGATCCAGCTTTTGGTTGGGGTCCTAAAAATGGGTTTGTTTATCAAAAACAATATCTTGAATTCTTAATGCCAAAATCTAATTTACCAAATTTAATCTCCAAAATTGAAACTTTAAATAAACCTTACAATTCAAATTTAAATCCAAAGGATAATTTCAACTTACTTACATATTTTGCCATTGATTCAACTGATGATTTATCAACAAATGCTAAAGATGATTCTGCAAACGCAGTTACTTGGGGGATTTTCCCAGGTCAAGAAGTTTTACAACCAACTATCGTGGAAAAAGTTTCATTCTTGGCTTGGAAAGATGAAGTTTATAGAATTGCTGAAGAATGGAGTTCTATTTTTGAAGAAGGTGGTGAATCTAAAAACATTATCAAAAGTATTATTAATGATTATGCCTTGGTCAATATCGTGGACAATGATTACGTTGGTAATGATAAGATCTTTGGCTTGCTAAAGGACTTGTAATGATCGGTGCATCATTAATGCTATTTCAATTCATATTTTCACTTTCAATTCATTATGACTTGAAAGTACAATTAAGACATCAACTGTCTAATTAATTTTTTAATGATTTATTTTTTTAATTAATTTATTTCCATCTTTTTATCACATCTTTTATATTATTACAAAAAAAGTTCATGTTATTAACGGGTTTGTGAATTTGCTTTATGATTCAGGTTTTTGCATATAAAATAATAGCCAATATTTGGATCAATTGTTGGTTTTTGATTTTTAGTTTATTACATTAGAAAACTTTGGACTTCAACCGTTCAAGTTTGCTCTACATTTTAAAAGAAGAGGCTTGCTATATATAAGTCACTGAATATATAATCTTGCTTATTGTTTTAATTGAATCGTATTTACGTCCCACAAAGTGGCCATAACCAAAAAGATTTTCAAAATTCGCGAACCGAGAATTCGCGTAACCTCTTCAAAGTTGACACCTAGGTCAAATCGATTTCAATACAACAAGTCCATCAAAAGGCCAGAGAGGTTATTGATGTTGAGGTCAATTCTTGTGACGACGCTGCTCTTTGCAAGCACTGTCCTTGGGCAGATTGATATCCAATTGCAAGCCAATTGGGAGAATCCTCCATTTACACTGAGATTATTGTGAGTATTATACCAATCAAATGAACCAAATAAACGGCACCCTAACGTTAAACACAGAGAAACAATCACTTCAGAGAATGAATCTTATTACTTACAAGCATTATCCAAAATTTCATCCATAAGTCTCGATGAAGAAGATTCAGAGTTACAAGAAGACTTAAACGATGAAGATCTATACAATTCATTATTTGATCTCTTGACTCCAACTGAACGTTCATTATACAACATCCCATTGGCAAACAAATACTATTCACCAAGAATTATTACCCATTATAAATATTATAATGAGACTGTCCTACCAGAGTTTGAATCAAAATTACAAAAAAAATGTGGGGCTGTTCCTAAAACTTGGGTACAATTCAATGACGTGGTTTATTGTAAACCAGATGATGTATTCGCCTTGATGACTGATGGAGGATCTGATGAAAGTGAATCATTATTACCATTTGATAGAATAATTGGGGATTCCGGACCACTTCTAGTATTATATGGTGATGTAAATGATTCTGAGTTCAAGCCATTCATTTCAAACCTTTATGATAGTGCGAAATATGGTAAACTTCGTTTTGTTTGGAGATATGTTCCTCAAAATGTTGATCAAAGAGAGCAATTGGCTGGTTATGGTGTTGATCTAACTTTGAAAAGAACTGATTATATTGTTATTGATGATAGAGATGCTGAAATCAACCAAAAAAATAAATTAAAGCAACAACAAGTTTTAAAAGATCAAGATACACCAAGCTCATTTTTGGATATTTATCAACAGGATATCCCAGCTGTGAGCAAAGAGGCTTTAAAAGATTTGGATTTGAAAATTGCAAGTTTTGCAGTTGCCTCCAAGAATAGTTCAGAAAATTATGAAAATTTGGTAAAAGCTGTTCAAGATCTTCCAAAATATAGCTCATATCTTTCAGAACTTGAAATCAACGAAGATCTTATCGAACAAGCTGAATTTAATGAAAAAATAGGCTTAACTTCAGATTCATCAGCCATTTTCATCAATGGGCTACCAGTTGATGATGCAGATCTTAATGTTTTTGGATTATACAAAACTGTCAAAAGAGAACTCAACTTTGTCAAACAATTGAACGATGTTGGTATTGATTCAAACACTGCAAAAACTGTATTGGGTAAATTTGCACTTTTGTCAATTTCCAAAAATAGAAGAGGTTCAAAGACAAGATATGATATAGAGGCTGGTGAAAATAATCCTGTTATTTTTTTCAACGATATTGAGAATGATCCAATCTATACACATCTATTGGATGATTTGAGCGTATACCTTGAAAGACAACAGTTTGGTCAAATCCCATTATATAGAGGAAATGTTCATGATGTTGTATTTGCTATTAATTTTGGTGATGATGATCAATACAAAATCTTGAAAAGATTATCACAAGCTATTTTACAACGTGGTATCCCACAAAGAATTGGTATTATCCCATTAGTCAATTCAGAAGAGGATGCTATCCATGCTAATAACATTTACTACCTATTGGAAAACGGTGGATTGAAAAAAGTTTTAAAGTATGTGAATAAGATTGGTACCGGGTCACCTAAGAGATTAACTGATGGTGATTTTGTTTCAAAATATGTTGACCCATTCGTTTCAAGCTTTGATGTTCAAAATCCTTCTATCGTTGTTAACGGTGTATTTTTCAACTTGGATGATAATTGGCCATACGCTTTAACAAGACAAGTCACTGAAGATGTTAATTTGATTGCCACATTAGTCTACACTAATACAATTAAGGAATCTGATTCAGTTAAAGAAAAAGCATTTGAAGGTGCTGCTACTTTTAGAAATACCATTGTTGTACCAGAAAATAGAGCTGATATTCAATATAAAGCCATAACTCCACAATTCCAAGAAGCCATGAAAAGTTCTTCGAATTATATTTTTGAATTCTCTAACTCTAAACGTGCCAAACCTGTTCAAACATTAACATTTGGTGGTAACTTGGGATCTAAGATTGGGCTTCAACAATTAGTTGAAATCTTGAAGTTTGCATTTGCTGCAAATTATGATATGAAGATTAGAGTTATCAATAATTCAGACGAAGCTACTTTTATTGGGAAAATTAGACAGGCTTTGAATAGATCTATCGATCATGCTATTGATGTTATCCAAGAGATTATCGAAGAACATGAATTCACTGAAACTGATGAAAATCAAGGAATCAAAGATTTGTTGAAACTAGCTGATATTGAATCCACTAAATTCTTGTTATTAAATGGTCGTTACATTGAATTGAAAGATGAGCTACTCAAAAGTGATGCTCTAGAATATCTATCTAACTATGAATTTGAAATGAGGTTGGAATTAGTTGGTAAAGTTATCAAAAACCACGGAATCCCAGAGCATGGTGAATATCATGATTGGTTCGAGTCATTCTCATCGATTTTAACAAAGACTTTTTACATTGGTACTGACTTATTCACTCCTGCTCCACTTCCAAGATTTGATTTCGGTGCTATAAAGAAGGATTATGCTATTTCATTCGGTGATCAAGGTCAAAGTGATCTTCATGTATTGTTGGTTATTGATCCAGTTGAAGAAATTTCTCAAAAGTTGTTATTTTTAATCCAATCAATTAAAGATCTTTCATTTGTGTCTCTTGATATTTTGATCCAACCTCAAAAAGATCTTGAATCACTTCCAATTAAAAGATTTTTCAGAGGTAACTATAAATCAGGTGTTGAATTTAAAGATGGTAAAGTTTTTGAATCCCCATTTGTTTCATTTGATAAAGCACCTGAAAAGACACTGTTTACGTTGGATTTGGATGTTCCTTCTTCATGGATTGTTGTTCCAAAAGAAAGTATTAGTGATTTAGATAACGTTTTGTTAGACCAATCAGGTCCAGTTACTGGTATTTATGAATTGGAAAATATTGCAGTGGAAGGTAATTCTTTTGATATCAATACTCGTGAACCACCAACTGGGTTATCTGTTCAAATTAAAGGATCAGATACCAATGTTATGACCAACTATGGTTATTTACAATTGAAAGGTAATCCTGGTTTATGGGACTTTGAAATCAAACAAGGGAAATCGAGTGAAATTTATTCATTATTAAGTATTGATGATTTCGAAAGTGAAGAATTGGAAAAACACGACAAGATACAGTTCAGTGTTTTGAATCTTGATGGTGTTAGAATTTTCCCAAGGGTTATGAAGAACCCAGGTAAAGAAAATGAGTCCTTGGTGCTATCTGATAGCTCAATCTCTACACAAGTTGAAAAACAAGAAGAAGAAAATAAACCAGGGTTCCTCCAAAAATTATTCCAAAAGAAAACAAAGAAACAAGCTGATATTAATATCTTCACTATTGCTAGTGGTCACTTATATGAAAGATTCCTAAGTATAATGACTGCATCAGTGATGCGCCACACTAAACATACTGTTAAGTTTTGGTTAATTGAAAATTATATGTCACCAAGTTTCAAGAAATTTTTGCCTCATTTAGCCAAAAAATATGGATTTGAGTATGAATTGATTACTTATAAATGGCCATCCTGGTTGAGAGGACAAAGAGAAAAACAAAGAACAATCTGGGGTTATAAAATTTTATTTTTGGATGTTTTATTCCCACAAGATTTAGATAAAGTTATTTTTGTTGATGCTGATCAAATTGTTCGTACAGATTTGAAAGAACTTGTTGACATGGATCTTGAAGGTGCTCCATATGGGTACACTCCAATGGGTGACTCTAGAGAGGAAATGGAAGGTTTTAGATTCTGGAAACAAGGGTATTGGGCCAAATTTTTAGGTGATGAAATGAAGTATCATATTAGTGCGCTTTATGTTGTTGATTTGAAAAGATTCAGAGAAATTGCAGCTGGTGATATGCTAAGACAACATTATCAAGCCTTATCAAAAGATCCAAACTCATTATCAAATTTGGATCAAGATTTACCAAACAATTTACAAACTAGGTTGAAGATTTTTTCATTGCCGCAAGATTGGTTATGGTGTGAAACATGGTGTGATGATGAGAGTTTGAAAACCGCAAAGACAATTGATCTTTGTAACAATCCATTAACCAAGGAGCCAAAATTAGACAGAGCACGTCGTCAAATACCAGAATGGACAAAATACGACAATGAGATTGCAGCTTTAAGAGATCAAGTTAGAAAATTGGAACATATTTATGAGGAAACCACAGAGTCCTATGATGAAAGTACGTCGACTGGAGTGCCAGAATCTGAAAACACAGTTCACGATGAATTGTGATCTGTCCATTGTCTAGTATATAAAAAAAATAGTATATTTGTGTTTTTGACTGTTTTTGTAGATGACTCAAAATCGAGTCAAGCACAGAAATTTTGATGATGATCTTTTGTTGAAAAAAACCATTTGATAAAAACACCTTCTCTTTGGAAAGCACTTGCAAAAAACGCCATACAAATTCCACAATGTTGCGAGCTTCCAGATGCTCTGTAACGAGAGTGTGCAACCATCAATTGCTGCTAACCCAAGCTAGACGTTATGCCACCAACGGGTCTGAATCGTCTGTTGCGAATGGGGGTTCAAAGAGTAACGAGACTCCAACTAGAGATCCTAATATTCAAGATCCCAACAAGAAAACATCACAAAGCCATGAGAAACTCATAAAGGACATCAAAGACTCTATAGTGAAAGTTCCATCTCCAAAGAAACTAAAAAAATACTTGGATAATTACATTGTTGGTCAAACAACAGGGAAAAAAGTTATGTCTGTTGCTGTTTACAACCATTATTTAAGAATCAATGATAAGGCGAAAAAACTAGCTAAAAGATTAGCAGAGGAAAGACAAAAGGAAGATGATGAATTGTATTCATTTAGTGATAATGTCAAGCCTACTAATAAAGATCCAGAACAGTTAAGCTTCTCATTAGATACTGAAGATCAAGATCTGGAGTTGAGTAAATCCAACATCTTATTATTAGGACCTTCAGGTTCCGGGAAAACTTTGATAGCAAAGACATTAGCTAGGGTGTTAAATGTTCCATTCTCCATTACTGATTGTACACAACTAACACAAGCCGGTTATATTGGTGAAGATGTTGAGTTATGTATTGAAAGATTGTTGATCAATAGTAACTATGATGTGGAGAAGGCTGAGAAAGGTATTGTTGTTCTAGATGAAGTTGATAAATTATCCAAACCTTCAATGGCAAATGGTACCAAGGATGTTGCTGGTGAAGGTGTTCAACAAGCATTATTGAAGTTGATTGAAGGTACTACTGTTCAAGTTCAAGTTAAAAAACCAGTCAACAAGGATAAAGATACTCAAAATAACAATACAGTCGCTAAGAGAAATGAAACATATCATATTGATACCAGTAACATCTTGTTCGTTTTGATGGGTGCATTCATTGGATTAGATGAACATATATCTTCAAGACTAGCCAAATCATCTATTGGTTTCGAAGCAGATATTAGTGATCAAGGAGAAGGTAATAATAAGCATACTTTGAAACAGATTAAATTAGAGGATGGAAGAAAAGTGTCATCATTAGAGTTGATCACCCCGCAAGATTTAACAGCATATGGTATGATTCCTGAGTTAATTGGTAGAGTTCCAATTATTACTGGGTTAGACTCTTTAAGTGAAACTGATCTATTATCTATCTTGACTGAACCAAAGAATGCGTTGCTAAGTCAATATGAATACATTTTCCAACAGTTTGGTGTCAAGTTGAAAATTACTAAACCAGCTCTAAAGAAGATTGCTGATTTGTCATTAAAAGAAGGGACAGGTGCTAGAGGATTAAGAGGGATTATGGAACGCTTACTACTGAATGTGAATTATGATTGTCCAGACTCGGGAATACAATTTGTTTTGATTGATACAAGCACAGTTGATTCCATCAATACTGGGAAAGTTGAAGCTAAATACTACGGTAGAGGAGATATCTTTAGATTTGTTGAAGATGTGTTGAAAGAGGATGAAGAACTAGGGAAACAGCTACAGAGCGAGTACAAGATCACGCCAGTAGAGCAAGAGAATGAGGCAGCCTCTGGATAGGCTAAATCTTTATATAAGTGCCATGATTTATGATTTTAAATTTTAATCTAGCTATACTGATTACGTAACCAACTCCGCGAATCTGCCCTTTTCAGCAAATGCCGACAATCGTTCTTTTTGCGCCGGGACAAAAACAAAGCAAATTACGGAAAATGTATAGACGTCAAGAATTTGAAGGCTTTTTTCCAGAAGACCAGGCACAAGCAAGTGAACGGACACATTTATAAACCTTGAATTTTGGCCACTGGTGTTCTTTGAATTCTATCACCAATTACAACTTCAACAGTGGCTGAAGACAACTCATATTCCTCTATCCAATCCAGAAGCCAGACCGTGCTAATATCCTGCACTTCGGCTTTCTATTCATATTCGAGTTCTTGTTGCAGTCAAGAACATCTACGTCACAAGTTACAACCATTAATAATTATATTCCAACAAAGCTTCAACACTGATGGATAATCCAACTTTGACGAAGCCCTCAATGTTTGGCTTCAAGAAGAAGCCCTCTATTGTTCGTACTGAGAGTGATTCAGACACAACCTCGTTATACTCCCAAGCTTCAACTTTGGGCAAACAAGCTCTGGATCACAACAGAGCATCAATAAGCCATTTTGCCAAAAACCTTACAATGACAAGCACCAAGGATGCTCAAGAAGAAAAAAGTAGAAGATATAGAGAGAAGAAGAGTCAAACAGATGCCATCAAAGAGCAATACAAAAGAGATTCAGTCAAGTGGTTTTCACTAAGGAAATTGAATGACGTTTCAAGGGATAATGACGCATTAACATATGCTCCAGCAAGACTCAGCTCTTTCTTACAATTTTATGATAACTATATCCAACAAGATTCATTTGAAAATATGGGAAATGTTATAAATTTAGTCGATTTTTGGTCAATCAGCGCATTGAAATTCTTATCTGGTGTTGAAAATTTAATTACAAGAAGATTATTAGTTGACTATGCAAACAAAGATTTGAAAGAAAATGATAAATTAAAAGTTTTAAAACTTCATGATGAACATTTCGGCGTTGCCTGGTCCTGGGTATTAGCTATGGATAATTTCAAATGTGATATTTACAACTTAACAACAAGTCCAATCCTATACACGTCATACACAGATTACAGATCAAATATAGGTCCAAAAAATCATCACATTGTCCATGGGAAATCATTATCAGAATTACCATTTTCCAAAAACTCGTTCCCAATGGCTATTGCTTATGAACTATGGTTTGAGCTGAAAGAAGAAGAATGGGTTCCTGTATTATCAGATTTATACAGAACAATCGCACCACAGGGATACCTTCATATGTTTTTGATGGATTATACAATAATCAATTGTAAAAATGAATTATACAATGAAATTTTCCACAAAATACAAAAAGTTATAAGGGAACAAGGTATGGATCCATTCCCATGTAAAAAGATATTGAGCAGAACAAGAGAAGCTGGCTTCACTAATGTTAAATATTCAATGATTTCAATTAAAAAGGGAATTCCTAATAAGATGGGTAATTTAATGGAGTTTATTCAAAGTTTCTTCGAATTGTCCATTTATACAAAATTTGTTCGCAAGTTCTTCTCAGAGGAAGATATACAATTGTTTAAAGAATTGAGATTACAATATAACCAAGATTTGAAAAATGGGAAGTTGCTTGATGACTTTGGTGATACATACTTTATGTTTGTCACTGCAAAGAAAGAATGAAGTGGAATTTTAATGAAATAAGATAATGAATTTGTGTTTTTTTTGTTTGCTTAAATGTAAGGAAGGAAGGAAGGTAAAAAGAAGAGGAAAAAAAGTTTTTGATATATTTATGGTTTTTCGGTTGATTTATATTTTTGTAATTATTTTGAAGTTGCCCTTTTGTTTGTTGATTTATGGTATATTCTAATTATACATTTTGCTTTACACTTATGTATGGTCTGTAATATTAGTACTGTAACTTACTCTAATTGGCATACTCAGCAGTAAATATCAGCACTAACAAGTGTCATCTGCTAAAAACGACAGTGTCGATAACTTCCGCGAAAATAAATTTTTGGCGCTTCATCAACAAAAAAAATTGAATCACTTTTCGAAGCATAACCTGAACAAGTTTTGCATGTCATTTCCCTCCTTCCACAAACCAAAATCTATTTGTCTGAGTGTGTTTAGAACTTACTGCACTGCTACGAGAATAAATTGCACGGGAACCAGGAAAATGTCTACTCAAACACAGCAAGAATGGACTGCTCAAAAAGTGAGTTTCACTGATCTTTCAAGGGCGCTTAGTACATTGTGGTGTATTTTTGCCATCAAGATCCCTGAGACCTTTAACAAAAAGATGTACTAACCCAATTGACAGGTCCGTAATACCTTTTTGGATTACTTTAAAGAACGTGGCCACACCTTCGTTCGTTCATCTTCAGTCATCCCATTTGAAGACCCAACTTTGTTGTTCGCCAACGCTGGTATGAACCAATATAAACCAATCTTTCTGGGTACTGTTGATCCTGCCTCTGATTATTACAACTTGAAAAGAGCAGTGAATTCGCAAAAATGTATCAGAGCTGGTGGTAAACATAACGATTTGGAAGATGTTGGTAGAGATTCTTATCATCATACTTTCTTTGAAATGTTAGGTAACTGGTCATTTGGTGACTATTTCAAAAAAGACGCCATCAAATACTCTTGGGAACTATTAACTAAAGTTTATGGTTTAGATCCAGATAGATTATATGTCACTTATTTTGGTGGTGATGAAGCTAGTGGTCTGGAACCAGATCTTGAAGCTAAACAACTATGGTCCGATGTCGGTGTTGCTGATGATCATATCTTACCAGGTTCAGTTAAAGATAACTTTTGGGAAATGGGTGATCAAGGTCCTTGTGGTCCTTGTTCAGAAGTTCATTATGACAGAATTGGTGGTAGAAATGCTGCTCATTTAGTCAATGAAGATGATCCAAATGTTCTTGAAATCTGGAACAACGTTTTCATGCAATTCAACAGAGAAGCTGACCGTTCATTAAGACCATTACCTTCGAAACATATTGATACCGGGTTAGGTTTTGAAAGATTAGTCTCTATCTTACAAGGTGTTTACTCAAATTACGATACTGATGTTTTTCAACCTCTGTTCAAAAAAATCCAAGAAATTACTGGTGCTCGTGAATACACTGGTAAATTTGGTGATGAAGACAAAGATGGTGTCGATACTGCTTACAGAGTCTTAGCTGACCATGTCCGTACTTTGACTTTTGCCATCGCTGATGGTGGTGTTCCAAACAATGAAGGTAGAGGTTACGTTTTAAGAAGAATCTTGAGAAGAGGTGCTCGTTACGTCCGTAAATACTTCAACTACCCAATTGGTAACTTCTTCTCTCAATTAGCTCCAACTTTAATTGAACAAGTCAAAGATATTTTCCCAGAAATTGCTGAAAATACAGCTAGAACATTTGAAATTTTGGATGAAGAAGAAGCATCATTTTCAAGAACTTTAGATCGTGGTGAAAAATTATTTGAACAATACGCCGGTGCTGCTTCAAAAGGTGATAAAACTTTGAACGGTAAAGATGTTTGGAGATTATATGATACTTATGGTTTCCCAGTTGATTTAACTACTTTAATGGCTGAAGAAGCTGGTTTGAAAATTGACAATGAAGGTTTTGAAAAAGCTAGAATTGCAAGTTATGAGGCTTCAAAAGCTGGTGGTAAATCAAAGGGATCCAACTTGGTCAAATTAGATGTCCATGCTTTAGGTAAATTATCTGAACAATCATTACCAAAGACTGACGATTCATTCAAATTCGGCCTGGAAAATGTTGAAGCTAAAATTTTGGCTATTTATGATGGTAAAGATTTCGTTGATGAAATCACTGATATCACCAAACAATACGGTATCATTTTAGATAAGACCCCATTCTATGCTGAACAAGGTGGTCAAGAATATGATACTGGTAAGATTGTCATTGATGGTTCTTCTGAATTCAACGTTGAAAACACTCAACAATACGCTGGTTATGTCTTCCATACCGGTAGATTAGCTGAAGGTAAGCTGAAAGTTGATGATAGCGTCATTGCTGGTTATGATGAGCTACGCCGTTGGCCAATAAGAAACAACCACACTGGTACACATATTTTGAATTTTGCTTTAAGGGAAGTTTTAGGTGATGAAATTAACCAAAAAGGTTCTTTAGTTGCTTCAGAAAAATTAAGATTTGATTTCTCCCATAAACAAGGGTTGACACTAGATGAAGTTGCCAAAGTGGAAAAAATCTCAAATGCTGAGATTCAAAAAGCTCAATTAGTTTATTCAAAAGAAGTTCCATTGAAAACTGCACAAAGTATTTATGCCGTCAGAGCTGTCTTTGGTGAAACTTACCCAGATCCAGTTAGAGTTGTTTCAATTGGTCATCCTGTTGATGATTTATTAAGCGATCCAGAAAATCCAAAATGGCACGGTATTTCAATTGAATTTTGTGGTGGTACCCATGTTGCTAAAACAAGTGATATCAAAGATTTTGTCATTACTGAAGAATCAGGTATTGCCAAAGGTATTAGACGTATTATCGCTGTTACCGGTAACGAAGCTCATGAAGTTCAAAGAGTCGCTAGTGAATTTGAGCATGAATTAGAACAAGTTGGTAAATTAGAATTCAGTCCAATGAAAGAAAAGAAACTGAAAGAATTAGGTGTCAAATTAGGGCAATTAAACATTTCTATTTTAACCAAGAATGAATTGAAAGCTAAATTCACTAAGCTGGACAAAGCTATCAAGGACGAACTGAAAGCACGTCAAAAAATTGAAAGCAAAAAGACTTTAGATGCGGTTAAAGATCATTTTGCTGCTAATGAAAAATCAAACTTCTTAGTTACCCATGTTGATATTGGATCAAATGCTAAAGCTATCACTGAAGCTATCAACTTTATTAAATCTAAAAACCCAGAAAAATCAATTTACATCTTTACAGGTAACCAAGATAAAGTTGCACATGGTTGTTATGTCTCAAACTCAGCTATTGAAAAAGGTGTCAATGCTACTGATCTGGCTAAACAAGCTTCTCAATTCATTGGTGGTAAAGCTGGTGGTAAAGGTAATGTTGTTCAAGGTATGGGTGATAAAGTTGATGGTGTTGAGGATGCTGTTAAAGAGGTTGAAAAACTATTGAGCGAAAAATTGATCATTTAAGTTGGTCTACAAGATTAATTTAGAATGAGTTTTCATTGTTTTTATTTGTTTTTCATTTCATTAATTGATTTCAAATTTGCATTCTTGCTTTCTAGATTTTTTTTTTTGCCATATATTTAGTCTGATGTATTTTTAAAGTTATATAGCTGTTTATAATGAAGTAAAGAATAATATTTATGTATTGTAGTATGGATCTTTGAAATTATTTAGTCGAAAAGATCTCATGATGAGAATTTATCTACGGATTTGCTCAAGTGTAGTAATTTACTCAAAATGATAATACATAAAAAAGATGGAAGTTTAGCCACTTAAACCTTTATGTAGCCTCACTAGTACTGTTCCAGTTGGCTGCAATGACTGTTGACGAATGTACTGGCTTCCTTCCCTTGGAAGTATTACAAATTGTTGGTGAATATTTAGGATATGATGATCCCAGAAGTTACATCCCATTGACAAAAGTTTCTAAATTATTCAACTATGCTTTTCGTCCATATATATTTAGAGATATTTGGATTTTCGTTGCAGCTGATAACTATTTCCACGATTGTTCGTTATATGATGTCAAGGAAGTATGGTTAGATCAAGCTCCAGTAAAATATCATCAGAGAACTTTAGTAACAAATTTAAACAAGTTTGTTCAATTAATTGATGTTTTAACTGAAAATCCAGAATTTATAAAGATGATTGAGCATTTCCATGTCACTGCATTATGCTTTGACCCAAAGGAACGAACCACTTCATTGGTTGTGACTGACATGATGGAGAAAGCTAAAGAGCAAGAACATGATTCAAATTTGGAATTGGTGTTCAAAAAATCACCATATAAATTCTTTACAAGTAAAGACCATTCTGAATATATCAAATTGGGGATATTTGAAACGTCAATGATTCAGTTCTTCACATCAACTGAAAGAACCTCAAATATCAAAAGTTATACCAATACGCAAAAAAGAGTTGTTGATAGTAGAGAACTTTATGAGGCTATTTGTGGTCCTTCAAATACTTATTTTTTCAACACAGACAAGGGTCTAATGGCTGATACATTGTTTTGTCAAATTGATTTTCATACCGATGGATTAGTGAGTGAAGGTTATGTGAAGGCTCTTGAGAAGACTATAGAGCTCATGTCTTCTCATGAATTTAAAACAACTTCTATGGAGGTTTTGAATTTTGTCAACTGCCTGTCTGCCACCAATCCAAACTTTGGCCATGTTCCACGTACTCGCCAGAATCCTCCTTTAAGAAATTCACAGGTTCTCCATTTGACATTCAACTATTACTTTATCACTCCTAAAATTCAATAGATGAAGAATTTCTTTGTAAAAAATGATTTGAGTGTAGATGCTATAAACCCGTATTCTGTTGGCAGTTTTTTTTATTTTTTTTAGGAACTTTTCAAAGTACGTACGTAAACTTGGGTACCTAAATTATCAAAAAACCGTACAAAGCTCTGGTCAAAATGGTTCGTCTAAAAGCTAGATATATATTATTCGATGTCATATATCCAAATGTCGAGAAAGAGCAATCAAACTATGGTAAAAAGGCTTCGTTAATGCAATTACACAGTACTTCACAAAACATCAACTTGAGACTAATAGCTGAATTAGTTAAGAAAAACATTAAAATATTGTTTGGTGATCAAGGATCTGGAACAGCTGCTAGTTCATTGATTGTTAAATATTTTTCACAAAAGACTTCTACTGGTATTATACGATGTTCAAGAGATTATCACAAGTTGGTGTGTGCTGCACTTACGATGATTACAAAGTTGAATGGTAAAGATGTTATAGTGAGAATTATAAGGATAAGTGGTACTATAAGGAAGAGTGAACAAGCAGCTATAGACAGGAACAAGAAGATTATGAAAGAGTTGAAACTCAAGGATTTCGAAGATACTGATATATCAAAGATTACAGATGATGAAGAAGATGAAGATTAATCATTTTAATATAAAAATAATTCATCTTTTTTGTCTTTTAACCTGTAAACCATACTCTGATTCATCAACTTTAGAGGATTGGAAATTTGAATCATCTTTATGGAATTCAACAGGTCCAGATGGTTTTGAAGTTGATAAAGTGTCAAATCTTTTCTCATTTTGCATATCTTCTAGTTGAGCATCTGGATCATTATCAAGATTGGACTCTGAAACTTTATAAATACTATTGACTGCCTGCTGAACAAATAATGGGTTATCATAAACTTGATCTTCACTATTTGTAACTTGTGTTGATTTTGAGAAAAGTCTTGAATCGAATTGATTTTCTGCAGAATTTGTAGCTTTAGCTAAACCTAATTGAGTTCTTTCGGAAACATCACGATCACCCAAAGATTTAAGCATTGTTTTCATTCTTTGTTCATTACCCATTCTTGACATTCTCAATTCCTTTTCTGCCTTCTTTCTTCTTTCCTCTCTAATCATTGCTCTTTTTCTTGCATCATCATTTTCATATTCCAAATTACTTGATCCACCCATTTTCTCTTCCCTTGCTTTTTGAGCCAATGAACGTAATTTTTCCTCTTTTTCTCTATTTTCCTTTTCTGCTAATTTCTTTCTTAATGCATTCCTTATTTTGATATCTTCTCTTGCCTTTTTATCTGCTTCATCTAAAGCATTTGCCAAGTCAATAAAATTTTTATTAACATCTCCTTCAGTATTATCACGGTTTGGGTCTCTACCATCAACTGCTAATCTCTTGTCTAATGAAATCGTGAACCCATTTGGATTTTTCCAATTTGAAATTGCAGGTGGGATATACCATTGTTTTTGTTCTTCTGCAGTTGCCTTTCTTGTAGGAGCATGTAATACAGGAGCTGGTGGAGATGATGGTCTAGCCATTTGTTTCTTTTGTTTAAATTTCTTTGGAGCCATTGGATCTTCTTGAACATCAACAATCTTGATGATTCTGGACGACGATGGTTTATCATCCAAGATATTTGAAGAAGTGTACCTGACATAGGAAGCCTTTTTTTGATCTTTTGAATTTATGGCACCTTTACCTAGTTTCTCTTGAAGCACCTTATCTAGTGCTTTACGAGTTCTTTCAGTGGTGGCCCTGACTTCTTCCTCAGATGGCATTGCTAAAGAGATATTTCTCTGGCGTTGTCTCAAGGGTATCACGTCATCTAGACTTGATTGTATATCTCTTTGGTCGTTAGCACCATTTCTCAAGATCATTGTATAATCTCTGGAGCTTGATTTTTCTGGGACAGGGGCAGCCAGCACAACCTGTTTTTGTTCCTGTTCTGGAGCTTTGTTGCTTGTAGCATTCTTCACTTGTGGAAGGAATGATCCTATTGAAAACATCTTGAGCTTATTACTGTTATTATTGCTGTTGATGTTTTTGTTTTGGTTCAAGTTCAAAAGATTTCTTATAATTGAAATTTGAATGGAATATTATGTAATGATTACCAAATCACATAGTATTAAAACCAGAATTGTGCTAAACTGCCTTTTTTAAGGGTTTATAAGGGTTTAAATGGTTTGAATAAGAGTTTGATTGTGATTTGGGAACTCTTGTTTCAATATGAGCTTAAAAATGGTGAATTTTAGTTACAATTCAACACACTTTGAACTGATATAGAAACTTGCACCAATTCAGCAGCACCAATATTGATTCATCATCATGAATTATTGGATAACTTGATAAATTGGATGTGATTGATAGTGCTCATATGGGTAAGTTTGTTCCAATTATCAAGGAATGCTGTGATTGCACAAGCTATTTCTTCTTGGTTAAGGAACTGAACGGTGATGACACTCGATCAATAGCTCAAAGGTACTTTGGATGGAAAGCAGTGATGACACATGCCAAACCTTCTGGTCTCATCTGAATACTCTTTGGATTATGGTTCAATAGTGGGATGGCTACAAAGAATGAGTGATCCTTTGGAATTTGTGTTGTTTTATATTAAAATTCCTTTGATGGTTTTGCGATTTGTGGTATAATCTCATCACCAAAGAAACATCGACAACTGCAACACAGGAAACGAAAAATCCTTGAAACAGTCTTTGAATCTGATAACATGATATATGATAATCTAATACAACTAAAATACAAACCAATCCAACTTTAGTTCAATTAAATTTCAAGCCGTTATAGATCTAAAGCCGCACATCAAACATTCAGTTGCCCAGAGGTCTCGAGACATGATGGAAAAGGCTTAAAATGTGTCAAATTAAATGACTTTTGTAGGCTGTAGCTCATGAAGGACAACGTCAGCAGAGATAAACTATAAACCATACTATCATACTCTTCTCTCTCGACCGCAATAACAAATGATCATGATCTAAGCCTTAAAACTGACTCTTTTGAACCCTGGAATTGCTGACATAAGAATGGGCGACATGTATAAAAACATTTCAAATTTGCTACATTTTATTTCAAACTTTGCTGAAGACAGAGTGAAAAGCATTTAATGGTTCTTGATCAGTCTATTCCTTCCCAGTTTCCTCAGAGGTCTCATACATTCGCATCTCCAAATGATTTAATCACAAATGATGAATTTGAAAACCAATCAATGAATAGAGTAATCAGTGCAGCTACTGAACCTGCTCCACAAACAGTTAACAATTCATCCTCGTTAAATGTTGATAAAGATGAACAAGATCCCAAAAAGACACATAGATACGCAAGAGCACAAACTGCTCCTGGTAAAATCACAGACAAGTATAGAATACCCGAACATTTATTAGAGAAAAAACCAACAGTCAAGAAAGAGGCTTCATTTTTCTTCACTGTTGTTAAATATTTTGATACTTTAAAAGATCAAGCTGTTGATAAAACATTTGAAAGAACTGATAGATTTTTCCATTGGTGGTGGAATTTAAAATATATTAAATGGTCAAGTGATAAATATAAAGAATGTGAACAAATCTTCATTTTGGGTTTTTTTTTACAAGTTTTAAGATGTGCTTTAGATACAAGAACTGTTATCTTCTTACCATTTTTCCCAGCTGGGATTGTTTGTTATGAAAGAAAAGAAGATATCCTTGCGGTTGTGTTTTTGTTTTTAGCATTGATGTATTTTGCAAAAGTGTTGAGTAATACCACTGAATATGCAGCTGAACATTTTGGACCTGTTTTAGGTTCTTTATTAAATGCAACTTTTGGTAATTTGGTTGAATTGATCATTTCTGGAACAACTGTCTCAAAAGAAGATGCAACTTTAACAATCACTTCATTAATCGGAAGTGTGATATCAAATAATTTGTTTGTTACTGGTTCATGTTGCTTTTTCGGTGGGTTAGAAGGTAAGCCACTTTATAATAAGAAATCCATCACAAGTCATTTGTTATTTTTCGTTTGTATCACCATTTTATTAACAATGATGTCTGTTGTCAATGATATTGATTATAAAATCAGTGATAAATTCAAAATGGATACTTCACAAATTGGTGCATCTTTAATCTTTGTTAATTATATTGTTTATTTAACAATGAATACCAATGAAGAGTTCAAATATCTCAAAATTAAAAAAGCCAGAGATGAAGAAGAACGTGTTTTAAATCCCTCAAGTGATGATGAAAGTGATGATGATAGTAGCTCTTCAAGTTCAAGTGAATCAATGGAGGAAATTCCATCCAAAATGGTTTGTTTTGGTGCTTTAGCATTATCAATTGCAGGGTTAGGCCCCTGTGCAAATTTCTTTGTTGAGTCATTAAAAGATCTAACTGATGATAAACCAATCTCCAAAGTGTTTATTGGGTTAATCATCCTACCATTAGCCGGATCTTTACCTGAGCATATCTCATCAGTTATAAGTGCACACAAGGGGAAGTTAGATTTAGCCATCAACCTAAGTATTGGTAGTAGTAACCAGGTTCTAGGTCTTGTCTTGCCAATAATTCAATTCATCAGTTCACATTATCCTCAAACCAAGTTTAGTTTATATTTTGAAGATTATGTTGCAGCTTATCTCTTTGGAACAGCATTTATATCATCACTTTGTATCCTGAATGGGCTAGTCTATGGTGTGAATGTCTACCACGGTGTTATTTGCATGTCCACTTTTGTGTTTATCATTTATCTGACATTTGCCAATGATCAATAGTACACGATTTAATTATAGAACGTTGATGTAGAAATTTGACACATTCTTTTCGTCTCGAGGATACATTTGAATTCGCGAAAAGTTTCTAGAGCCAATAAAAATGTTCAAGTTAATAATCACTTTTTAGTTCATTTTAACACTATTCAAAGAGTGATCAGAGTGGTTTAATGATGAGTTTGAGAAGATCCAGTAGAATGAAAGTGTCATCACCAGTGAAGTCCAAGCTCTTCCAGAAAACTACAACTTCGGAGCCACACATTTTAGTGAAGAAAGAAGAAGAAGATAACATTGATCCAGTTAATGAAATACCACCAGAAGTCAAACTAGAAGTAATAGATATTAAGAATGAACAAGAAAAAGAAATACCTGAAGCACCACTCCCAAAGCGTCGAAAGAAAACCACATCACTAAAGATTGAACTCGATCCTAAACCAATCCCCAGTAATTTCCATGAAATTTATAATCATATCAAAACAATGAGATCTAAAATCATTACGCCGGTGGATACGATGGGGTGTGCAAACATCCCCAAGACTATAAGTGGTGAAGATGAACTTACTCAGAAGAACTACAGATTCCAATTATTAGTTTCATTAATGCTGTCATCACAGACTAAAGATGAAGTGAATTTTAAAACTATGCAAAAAATGAAGTCATATTTCCAATCACAAGGGTTTAAAGATGGTATTACAATAGATTCTATGGAACGGATCGAGGAGAGGAAACTGGATGAATTAATTTTCAGTGTAGGGTTTCATACTAGAAAAGCATCATATTTGAAAAAAGCTGCAAAAATTTTAAAAGAGAATTTTGATGGTGATATACCCAACACTTTGGAAGGTTTGGTGAGTCTTCCTGGGGTTGGACCAAAGATGGGGTTTTTAACATTACAAGAAGGTTGGGGATTGAATCTAGGGATTGGTGTTGATACTCATGTTCATCGATTGAGTAAGATGTGGGGGTGGGTTAAGAAAGATGCTAAAGATCCTGAAGTTACTAGATTAGAATTGGAAAGATGGTTACCCAAGGAGTACTGGAGAGAGATAAACCCCTTATTGGTTGGGTTTGGTCAAACTATCTGCCCGCCTAGGGGTCGTCGTTGTGATTTATGTTCCTTAAGTAAAACTAGACTTTGTCCAAATGTTGATCGTCAATTGTTGAAGAAGGTTAAAACATTATCTCCAGAGGAGATTGAAAAGATGAATTCCACAATAAGAGGTGATATAAGTAAGCTTACAGATATAGAAGATTTGGTTTAAGCTTATCATAACATGCCATAAAATAATCTCTAAATATCGTAAACATTAAAAAAAAGGGTCGTCATATCTTTAATTCAAACTCTGCAACTAATGGAATATGATCACTTGGGAATTCTTCATTTGGTAAACCTTTAATCTTGGATAAATATTCTTGATCAACACCACTTAAAAACTTTAACAATTGGAAATCATTATCATTAAACCAAATATAATCAAAAATTCCAAATAAATGTTGTGTAAAACATGTAAATAATTTATCTTGTTGAATAATTTTTTCAAAAACGTTATTTGGAATCTCCACTGGATTTAATATAAATTTTTTAGTCTTTTCAGTTAAATATTTTGAAATATCTGGATCTGAAGTATCAATCTTGTCATTTTTTAAGAAATGATAGACTGAAGAATTTGGTCTTGAATTAAAATCACCACTAAATAAGATTTTGGAACCAGGGTATCTATTTTTAAATTTGTTTAAAGCTTCTAATAACACCATAACTTGTAATAATTTGATATCATTATATTTCCAATAAAGATGAGTATTAGCCACTATTATGATTTGATCAGTATCTAAATGTTTCAATGCCACAATCAATCCAACTTGATTTCTTGCATTGAAGATAGTATTTATTTGAGAATCATTTAATTTCAAATCATATAAATTCTCAAACTCATCTTTAAAATATTTTGATATTTGAAATTTCTTCATATCTAATAATTCAAATTTCTTTGTATTATAAAAAATTGAAACCCCATCAATATGATTTGATTCTTTATCCCAATAAACCGGTTTCGTCTTCTTAATAAAGCAACTATCAAATCCTCTCTGTTGCATCATTGGATTCCAAAACTCATGATACACTGCAGTTTCCATTTCTTGGAAACACATGATATCACTTTGCACCTCTTTGTTATTGATGATATTTGTCAATAGCTTCACTCTATAGTCCCAGCTTCTATATTCAGGATCCACGTAGGAGTCATATACTTGTGGCCACATATAAGATTGGTTTAGCATGTTGAAGCTCATCATTTTGAATTTCTGAGAAGGAGGCACCACTTTTAGAGGTTGTAGGTCTATCCATTTTCTATGTTTCAAAGGGTTAAGGATACTCCGGGGGATGTTTTTGAAGAGAGCAGAGGACTTGTTCATTTAATAAATAAGGGAGGAGGCAATGAATAAATAAATAGAATGAAAATGAGAGTGGGAATGTGCTGGAATAAATAAATGCGTTTGAAGTTGTGAATTGGTTCAAGGATCCTTTTTTTGTTTATGTCCTGCACTTTTTTTTTCTTGGAGATGATCTTAAAAGCGAACGGCTGAAAAAGAGGCCATCGTAAATTGTGACGTTGATGTTTTAAAGGGTAAAAGAATGGATTAAAGAAGGATTAAAAGGTGGTTGATATGAGTTTATAGTATCTTGGAATAATGTCTACTCCAATCTCTTTCCAACAGCGTTGAAACCATCAAATTTGAGCTAAATCTCAATAAACGGCTCTTTGATATGTCGGCCTTTAACTACAGAAAAAAAATTTAATCTTAGTATAAAATTTTAATGTACAAATAAACAAGAAACCAATCAATCATCACGTTTTTCTTGAACTTCTGAATTCAGGCTTGAAATGATGGTGATCCCTTTTATTTTCCTTCTTGGAAGTGTTTCTTAGGTGGAACTCAGCCATTAATGGAATATGATCAGATGGTAAGTGAGCATTTGGGAACCCAACATAATGGCTAGTATAATCTGAATCAATCTTACCCAATAACCCACGCACTGATAATGTGTTTGGTGTATACCAGATATAATCCAAAACATCTGTAAAACTTGGTGTGAAATTTGTAAATGGTAATTCACCAATATTATCATAAGCAGATCTTAAGTTAAAAGAATGTTGGAATCCAACTTCTGTAAATTTACCATAATCTCTACCTTCAACATCTTCATGATCTTTAACAAACCCATTTGCCAGTAATTTATAAACAGCTGAATGTAATTGAGAATTAAAATCACCACAGATAAACATTGGAAAATCTTTAATATTGGAAATATTTCCCTCTTTACAAGCTTTTTTAACAATCAATTCAATCTCTTCCAACAAGACACCAACTTGAACAGTTTTAACATCATTCAGAGCAGGATCCCAATGTAAATGAGTATTTGCCACCAAAATATGTTCACCAGTTTCCAAATGTTTTAAAATTGTAACTAATCCAATATTATCTCTATTTTGTAATCTATTGAAAACATCATCAGATTTTTTATATTTGTTTGAATTTAAAACAATTTGAGTATATTCAATTGATTTCTTCTCCATTAATGAAAATTTATCATATTTATAAAACATTGCACAACCATCAACTTTTTTAGCATCTCTTTCATTCATTCTTCTTGCTCTATATTTAGCATGGAATAACCCTCTATAACCTTGTTCAGTTAATAAAGGTAACCAATAATCTTCAAATGATTGAGTTTCAACCTCTTGTAAACAGATAACATCTGATTTCATTTCAAAAATTTGTTGTTTAATCAATTCTTTTCTATATTCCCAATTCAAAGCCCATGATGGAGTATAACCAAATAATTTGGCAGTTGCATAATGATGACATAAAATATTAAAACTTGAAGCTGTAAAACTTGCCTTTTTCTCTTCTTTAATTTTTTCTTCATCTTCATTATTTTCTTCATCTTCATCTTCTAATTCACCATCTTCTTTTAATGAAATCCATTGTCTCTTTGGAGGTGGTAAAACATTTGGAGCATTATCTCTTAAATGTATTATTAATGATCTTGTACCCTTTTGAGCTAAAATTTTAGCAAAATTTGAATTAAAATTTGGATTCCCCTCTATTCCCAAGAAATGTAATTCAAATAAATTTCCAAATTCATAAGGTAAAGTTGATAAATTATTATCAAAAAGGTATAAATATTTTAAATTGTATAATAACCCCAATTGATAAGGTAATGAAGTTAATTCATTATTTGATAAATCTAAAATTTTCAAATGTTGTAAATTTTTGATTTCAGTTGGAATCTTTGATAATTTATTACCATTCAAATATAATTTTGTCAAAAAATCATATTTAAATAAATTTAAAGATAAATTAGGAATATCTTGACCACTTAAATCTAAAGACCCCCATAATTGTTGAGCATTTGATTTATATTTAATTCTTGGTTCACCTAATTCATCATCGTAATCATCATCATTAGTGTCATCATCATTATTATTGTTGTTATTATTTAAAGCATGAGAAATTTTTCTATTTTGTAATAACCCATTATTATTACTTGTGGATGCAGCATCATTATTAGTTGATGTTGAATCACCCAAGATTTGTTTAGTCAATTCCACAAGACTTTGTTGTTTGGAACTTGGTTCAGGGAATTGTTTTGATCTTCTTGATTGAATAGCTGCATGTCTTGCATAAAAATGAGGTAAATTTGATTTTCTTGAAACTTCAACTAATTGAACTTGATCTTGCCAATAAGATGATGATTGAGAAGTTTGATCCAATTCTATTGATTTGGATGGTGGTAGGTTTAATCCAGGTTGTAATGGTTGGACTGTGTTGTTATTATTATTGTTTGATGATGATGATTGTTGTGGCAATTGTTGTTGAGCCAAATTTAATGCTCTTTGTTGTTGAGGGGTCTGAGCTCTATATTGACCTTGGTACAATGTCTGTGCCAATAGCTGTGAAGGGTTTAATCCACCAGTGGATTGATTGTTCTCATTCAATAATAGGGAAGCAGCGTTATTAGAAGTTGCATTGTTATTATTGTTGTTGTTGTTGTTATTTGCCACAGAATTGGTATTGTTGTTGTTATTGCTGCTGTTGATGTTGTGGAACAAGTCGTTGAATTGCAGCTGAGTAGCCTTCTGTTGTGGCTGTTGGAGGAACTGTGCCTGGTTAGGCTGCAATACCTGAGATTGATAGTTTTGTATGTTCATCTAGAGGATAAGTTGGTCCATAGATGAGGATGTGTTTTGTCTTTTGAACTAAGCAGTGGGCAGTCGTATGGGTGGGTACCTTGTTAGCAGCAATTCCTTTGATTCTGTCTCTTTTGTGACTGTGTGTGCTCTGTTTCTGTTTGGCAAGACTGAATTGTTCTCTGCTGTTGAAGTTGATGCTGATGCTGATGATGTTGGATTGGGATTTTGGAAAAAAACCGGCCGGTGTTACCCTGCGGTGATGGAGAATTAAGAGCTTGAAAGTACGGCGGTTTGTGTATAGAGTGGGAAATAGTGGGAAATAACGTGATATTTGGGATCTAGAGGTATGATTTAGTATGGCTATGTTGTTTTTAGGATTTTATTAGGCACTTGTGTCGATGGTGGTTAGTTGGTTAGTTTGGGGTTGATGTTTTCAGTATGGCATTTCCTCAGAAAAGAAAGTAAACAAAGGAATGAGTCAATTGGACCATTAGCATCATCATCATCATCATTAACATCACCTCCACCTTCACCTCCATCACCTTTACAACCACCTCCATCACTTCCTATAACTACTCATCTGATTACATAACATTATTACCCTCCCCCAGCGCCAACTGCTTACGAAATCTTCGTCTTATCACCAATCAAAAAAAAGCCCATCATCAAACAGCCCATACAAAAACAAATCAACAACTTCAAAGCAAAAGGCCCTAGAAGAATCCAAAGACTGGCGGCTACCATTCAACTTCCAGACCACAGCGCTTCGGCCACACGCTCCCAAGATCATCAGTCCAGCTTCCAAATCGCAAGATACTCATTCCTAAACTCACAAAAAATTCAACCAACACAATCCCAGATCCATCAACATCAGCATTAAATTGAGTCTTGAACTATTAGAATCACAATATAATGCCCTTCCTACCAAAGTTGCATTCAACTTCATCGAGCAACTCGGTGCTGTCCCCTTCATCGTCACATAGAAACACCTCACATCATCATCACCCTTTGAATAACGTCACATCAAATGGTAACAACAATATAGACAAGCATGTTCAGCATCCTTTAGAATTGTCATTAGATTTGGAAAGCCCCCCTGTTATCCTTTATGGTCCTCCTAATGAATCATCTGGCTCTTTGATCTCTGGTCAATTACATATAGAAATACCAAAAGATTCATTTATACACCAATCCCCTGCAAGTGGAACTTCAAGTGTTGGTGGAAACTCATCAACTAGACCTTCTAATAAAAGAACACATTCAGCAAGTGCTCTACATGCAACTTTATCAAGTACATTATCAAATTTGAATCTAAGTCCTTCACATTCAAGAGATGTTTCACCAGTCCATTCAAATAACAATTCCTATACAAATTTAGCTGGGTTGATGAATGTTAAAGATCATGTCTTGGTTAATTCTGTTCAATTGTCATTAGTACAAAAGATAACATATGCAAAGCCTTTCTTACCACCATCAAACACTTTAGCAAATTGTTCAAGTTGTAAAAAAAAATCAACTGAATTGGCAAGATGGGATATTTTAACTCAAGCTCACAATTTACCTATTGGGAAACATTCTTATCCATTTTCTCATTTATTACCTGGGAACTTACCTGCAACTACAACTTTAGGTTCAAGTTCTTTAACTTCAATTAAATATGAAATGGTTGCAATTTGTTCATATAATAATCATTCAAATCATCAATCAATGATCAAGATAACATTACCATTAAACATTTCGAGATCTATACTGAGAGGTCCTGATAGAAATTCTTTAAGAGTTTTCCCTCCAACTGACGTTACTGCCACTGCTGTTTTACCAAATGTTGTTTATCCAAAATCTTCGTTTGCCCTGGAATTAAAATTAGATGGTGTTGCTTCAAATGATAGAAGATGGAGAATGAGAAGAGTTGGTTGGAGAATTGAAGAAAATATAAAGATAAGGGCAAATGCTTGTATAAATCACAAGGCAAAATTAAGAGTTGTTGAAGAACATACACGGAAAAATCAATTGGCTAATAAACCTGCCACTGTTAAAAGAAATCAACAATCTGGTCCAACAACTTCAGTTTCAGTTTCAAATACTCCAAACTTATCACCAAATCTGACACCATCTCAATCAAACGCTAACCTGACAGCTACTGCTACAACTCCTGCAAATGATGCTATTGCACCAACAAATTCAAATGATGATATAGCAAGCATTCATACAACTAATCCAAATCTACATCCAAGTGATCATGCAAATGAAGAAATACGACAACAACAGCAATCTACTCAACAGCAACAACAACAAAAGGCTAAAGATGAATATGCATTGTATTCAGATGAAACTAGAACTGTTGCATCTGGTGATTTAAGAAATGGTTGGAAATCTGATTTCTCTGGAAAGGGTAAAATTGAATTAATTGCAGATATATCATGTTTTAATTTAACAAGTGCTGCTGGACCTCATCTTACCCATGTTTCATCAAAGGAACCTTTAGATACTCAACATCCTCATCATCATGCAAATGTTAGTTGTGATATTGATGATCCAATATTGGGTGTTACAGTTAATCATGTTTTGATTGTAGAGGTTGTTGTTGCTGAAGAATTATTACAAAATTCATCTTCAAATTCATTATCTGCTACAACAAGTCATAAAGATAGTAATAAAGATAAAAATTCAGATGGTACTAAACCTGATCAAAGATTAGCTGAATTATCACCAATGTTTGCAAATCATATAAAGCCAACACAAACTTCAGATTCTTTACACTCTACAAGATCAAATCAATCACATCATCAACAACAAATTGGTGTTCCAACAGGTGCTGCTAGAGTCTTGAGAATGCAATTCAAATTAATAGTTACAGAAAGATCAGGTTTAGGTATAGCTTGGGATGACGAAGTTCCACCAACTTATGAAGATGTTAGTGCATTATCACCACCAACTTATGATCGTACAGTTATTGAAGATGATGTCAATTCACCTGGGAATGATGGTAATAATCCACCACTATATCCATTAAGTTTTGCTCCTGCAGCTCATACACATACACATATTGGTGGAGTTAGCACTCCAGGTGTCATTAATGGGATTGGTAGTACTCCAGGCATAACACCAAGACCAAGTGGACAATATCATAGTATAAATGGTGCATTAGATATGGATGATTTTACACTGGGTTGAATGAAGTAAAGAAGTTGATTTGTATAATAAGACGCTGAATAATTAATTTATAAAACTACAGTAAAGCCTATTTTTTCCACATACATTTCATTTTTTTATTTTTGATTAATTATTGTCTCACTATGTAAGTTCCACTAAAATGGAAATATGTTTTGAGAATGGGAGAAGGGGGGTATTCTTATGCAATTCTCCAAGATGATAACCAGTTCAAGTATTCATATTGACTAGAGCTTCCATCCATACCAAAAGTGATTGGACTGAAGTAGTAGAAAATACCAATAACAAATATATAGAATGACAAATATAATGGTAATCTGATTTTTTTACTCCATCCCAAAGTTCCCAATTCAAGTAAATAACACAAGACAAGCATTGCAAAATACAATGCAGGTAAATAATGATGGACATAAGTGACTCTTGCCATGATAATGAATGGAACAAAATGTAAACCCCAACCAAACATTGGATAAATACCACCAATTAAAAACAAGTTTAATTTTTTAGAATCTTGGAAATCTTTAAATTGTCTTTGATATCTAATCAAATAGTACAAGACTAATAATGCAAAAACAATAACACCAACTGAAGAAGTCCAAGTTGTTGCAGGTGAACCAATCAAGTAATATTTTGGATTTTCATCACCCCAACCACATAATCTAATACCAACGTTCAAAGTTGGCCATTGCCATGCTTGAGAGGCTAAATCATCTTGTTTATCTGGATCTGGAACCAATGCGTTGTTAGTGGCCATCATTGCCAAGTTTAATTGGATAAAATCTTTAAAGAAATTAGTCTTTGGTAATTTGAAATCAGCTGGAGGATCTGGTAAAGTTGGATTATTATGATTTTCAATATTCCACCAAGTTCTTTTATCTCTTTTGAAAGGATTTTTAACACAAGTGACTTCACCTTGTCTAAACCCCCATTGAGGTAAATGATTACCAGTTTGAGATAAATAACAACCTAAAACTTTATGTCTTAATCTAATTGAAGTGGTTAATGGATGAACTCTTAATTTATCCTCTGAACCATATTGATGAGCAATTTCCACAATCCAATCATCTTTTTCATCACCATTTAATAAATCACCATAACCTGCAACTTCATAATCAGATTTAGCAACAGGAGCTGGGATTTCATGAGAATGTAAATTTCTTGTAGTCATTTTATGAGATAATCTAACAATCATACCATCAACAACATATTCAGTTTGATCTCTAGTTTCATTGAAAGGTTCTCTTGAACGTTCTCTATTGAAAATCCATTCATTATTAGCATCTTTATGACCATAAGTGGTGACTTGTTGTTGGTTTGAACCTTCTGGGAAAGTTTGAATATGTGAATGTAATAATCCACCACCTAAGCCTTGGTTTTTAATAGTAACGACAGAGGTACCTAAAGTAACATCTCTTGGACCACCACCAACATCTGAACCAATTAAATTAGCTTGGAATAATGAAGACATATTAGCATCACCAGTACCTGAGCCACTCAATAAATCGAAATGGATCTTGAAGCAAACTAAAAAGATGATGAATGGGATAACAATTAATGAAACAGCTCTTGCACCGAAATGGGCCAAGTATTTAGTTCTTGATAATGAACGATCACCATACATGTTCCATAAATCCACAACGGTATAAATACCAACAAGAGTTGTAACTAATAAACCAACCATTTTAACAGAACATGTACAACCGATAGAGATACCGGTTAATAATAACCATTTCCACCATTTTCTACCAAATGCATTGAATCTTTCATTATGGAATCTAACAAATGTGTAAAAAGTTGTAATTGTGAAAAATAACAACATTGAATCCAACAAGATGAATTTACCTAAAGTGACAAAAGATAATTCAAAGATAACCATTAAAGTGAATAACCAAACAGTTGGTATTGAGAACCCCATTGATTTAGTTGTATAATACGCAAAAGGAACACATAATGCACTAAAACAAGCATTAAAAATTCTCATTTTAACATAATCGATATAATCAGGGTATTCTTGACCAGATGGGAAATCCCAAGAACCGTTGTAGCCAGCGATGTAACCACTCAACCCAACGAGCATTTTACCTAAAGGAGGATGAACATCATGATAAAATTCATGTCTTAGATAATAAGAACCAAATTTACCAAAATGAGCTTCATCCCAAACAACATTATGATTGACACCAATTCTGTACATACGAGTCATGAATCCAAGGATGGTGAAGATCAAAGGAGCCAAGATTGATTCAGCTTTTGCCAAAGAACTGTTTAATTCTTGTTGATCTTTAGCCTTTTGTTTGTTTTGATCATCTTCAATCTCAACGTTATCTTCAAGTAGTTCATCTTTGTTATAGTTTCCCTTGAGACGGTTGGCAATTGTCTTGTCACCGTTGTAGAGGTCTACACCGGAGGAGGACATTGTGATGGTGTGTCAATTGGTGGAGTGAGGGAGGGAGAGTGAGTGTAGAGACTGTGAACAGTTTGGTGATGATGTTGATGTTGCAATTCTGTTAACACGTATTTTTTTTTTCAAAGCGCGTTTTTGGTCCATCTGCTTATGTCAGCGTTACCCGATATTGAGAAGGAGTGGGATTAATTTAGATTGGATTGTTCTGGTATAATTTGGCTATAGAAAGGGTTGGTTTTGAATGAGGTTTATTGTGGATTACGATGAGTTATTGTCTGGTTAATTGTGGTTTTGATCGTGGAGTTTTGAAGTCAATAGCTCCAGCAGAAGGTGTTTTCTACAGAATGTGTCCAAATATTCCAACATGAATCTCAATTATATGGATCAATCTCTTTCAATTGAATCTCATACAGGAGCTCACCTTCATGATTTATATTATAAGTGTATAAATTGGTTAATTCAGAAACTTCATAGCAAACTAATTTGGAATCAAGCCTGCATAGTTGAAGTCCAATTAAAGAGCTAAAATGAAACTATAAAACAAGTGTTTTGATTACACCAACGAAGTCTTACCAAATAATTTATACAGTCTTGCTGGTGTAAAGATAATATTAGGAGCTAAACTCATATACAGAGTCTAGTACTCACGTTTAAACAGGAAGCAAAAAAAATTCAAAAAACTAAAACACTACAAATTTTAAATTCGCGAAACGGTTATCAAGTACAATATTCAATCGATAGATCAATAGATATACTTGTATTATTAAACTATAATATTTATGGATTAAACTAATGTACGGATCAATTATAGCTGCTCGCCAATTGAATCGCAGTATAAAGTTAACCCATCTTGTATTTCCAACTCAAGTTTCCTATGGTTGAAAAAACAGTGTGGTTCACCAATTGGATGAACTGGCTGGAGTACCTTCACTCATCACAAATCCCGAAGAACACTAACCTATCAAAGCGAAGAGCACACGCATTTCACTATAAATCCAGCCGCCACATCAATGCGAGTCGGTCTGGCAAAGAACTAACTTGCTATGAATAATTAACATCCTGGATCCTCTGCTGGAATCATACCCATATCAATTTGTCCACTTCAGAAATTATGTCTCATGACGCATCATACTCAAGACAATCAAGTCATTTATTCGTCAGTCTTTTACCCAAAGACAAATGGATTCGTTAAGATAAGAAATGATTTACTTCAAATTTCTGAATATTCCAAAGTTGTTTGAATTAAAAGTTTTTTTCATTACATTCGATTACATAATCACTTACATAATCACTTTATACACCCGGACACCACGCACCCTCTTCCCGATCCCGAGACGCCCCGAGTCTGGAATACTTAAATTGAAAAGGGCCTCGAGAACTTGTTCAGTTGACTTTGTTGATGGCCTGAATCAACTCTTCACAACGATGCTCTCCGCCAGAAAGTCACTGATCAGACAATTCTCATCTTCTTCAAAGACAATGTCCTCCCAATTCAGAACAGAATCAGACGCCTTTGGTGAATTACAAGTGCCTTCAAACAAATACTGGGGTGCACAAACTCAAAGATCTTTACAGAATTTCAAGATTGGTGGTGAACGTGAAAAATTACCTGAACCTTTGATCAAAGCCTTTGGTGTCTTGAAGAAATCAACTGCCATTGTTAATGAACAATTGGGTACTTTAGATCCAACTCTATCAAAAGCTATCCAACAAGCTGCTGATGAAGTTGCATCAGGTTCTTTAAAAGATCATTTCCCCTTGGTTGTATTCCAAACTGGGTCTGGTACTCAATCAAACATGAATGCAAACGAAGTCATTTCAAATAGAGCAATTGAAATCCTTGGTGGAGAATTAGGTTCTAAAAAGCCTGTTCATCCAAATGATCATGTTAATCAATCTCAATCTTCAAATGATACTTTCCCAACTGTTATGCATATTGCTGCTGTTCAAGAAATTACAAACCATTTATTACCTGAATTAACATTATTAAAAGAATCATTACACAAGAAATCCGTTGAATTTGAAGATATCATCAAGATTGGTAGAACTCATTTACAAGATGCAACTCCATTAACTCTTGGTCAAGAATTTTCCGGTTATGTTCAACAATTAGAAAATGGTATTAAAAGAGTTGAATCTTCATTACCAAACTTGAAATTCTTAGCTCAAGGTGGTACTGCTGTTGGTACTGGTTTAAACACTCGTGTTGGATTCCCAGAAGCTGTTGCTGAACAAGTTTCCAAAATAACTGGTATTGAATTCAAAACTGCACCAAACAAATTTGAAGCTTTAGCTGCTCATGATGCCATTGTGGAAGCATCTGGTGCCTTAAACACTTTAGCAGTCTCATTATACAAGATTGCAAATGATATTAGATACTTGGGTTCAGGTCCTCGTTGTGGTTATGGTGAATTGTCATTACCAGAAAATGAACCAGGTTCTTCAATCATGCCAGGTAAAGTTAATCCAACTCAAAATGAAGCCTTAACTATGGTTGCTGTTCAAGTTTTCGGAAACCATTCTGCAATCACATTTGCAGGTGCATCTGGTCAATTCGAATTGAATGTTTTCAAACCTTTATTGATTCAAAATTTGTTATCTTCAATTAGATTATTAGGTGATGGTGCCAATTCTTTTAGATTACATTGTGTTGATGGTATTGTTGCAAACAAGGCCAAGATTGAGAAAACTTTACACGAGTCTTTAATGTTGGTTACAGCTTTGAATCCAAAGATTGGTTACGATATGGCTTCAAAAGTTGCAAAGAATGCTCATAAAAAGGGTTTGACATTGAAAGAAAGTGCCTTGGAATTGAAGGCATTGACCAGTGAAGAATTCGATGAGTTTGTGAGACCGGAATTGATGATTGGTCCAAAGAAGTGAGATATTCTAGTAAAATGAATATTCCAGTAAATAAGATATTCTAGTAAATAATCAAATATTAAATTATATCAAATATTCTATTAAATTATACCAATTTCCATATTTAATGCCTTGTAAAAAGTTGACCGATCTTTTGTATGGCGTTTTCGCGAACTTGACAATAAAAAAAAAGGGAGAAATTTGATCAAATGAAAACATTTCAATTCATAATCAATTTCTCACGTCCCTTTTTTGTATGAGAACTCTACTCAATTATTGTTGGAAACATTCAATCAGACGTTACTCGACTAGACCGAAAATGACTTCTCAAAGTGACATTGATTTCTCAAAATTATTCGCCAAAATCGATGAATTGAAACCAAATTTCATTCAAAGATTACAAAAAGCTGTGGAAATCCCTTCAGTTTCTGGTGATGAATCTCTAAGACCACAAGTCTTCAAAACTGCTGAGTTCCTTAAGGATGAATTGACCAGACTAGGTGCCCAAGATATCCAATTATCCCCATTGGGTAAACAACCACCACAAGTTGCTAATCCAGACTTAGAATTACCACCAATTGTCCTTTCAAGATTTGGTTCAGATCCTGCTAAAAAGACAATATTGGTGTATGGTCATTATGATGTCCAACCTGCCTCTTTAGAAGATGGGTGGAACACTGATCCTTTCAAATTGGTGGAAAAAAATGATGTCTTGTACGGTAGAGGTTCTTCAGATGATAAAGGTCCTGTTATGGGTTGGTTAAACGTTATTGAGGCTCATAATGCCCTTGGTTTAGAATTACCTGTTAACTTAATCACTTGTTTTGAAGGTATGGAAGAATCCGGTTCTTTAGGTTTAGATGAATTGATTGCACGTGAAGCTAAAGGTTATTTCAAAGGTGTTGACGCTGTCACCATTAGTGATAATTATTGGTTAGGTACTACAAAACCTGTCTTAACTTATGGGTTAAGAGGGGTCAACTATTATCAAATCTCTGTTAATGGACCTTCTGCAGATTTACATTCTGGTTTATTTGGTGGTATTGTCGCTGAACCTTTGAATGATTTAGTTAAATTATTGGCAAACTTGGCTGATCCACAGGGGAAAATCTTGATTAAAGGGATCGATGAACAAGTTGCTCCATTAACTGAACAAGAGGATAAATTATATGATGATATTGAATTTGATGTTCAAGTTCTTAATGATGCAACTGGTTCCAAAACCGCATTATATAATGATAAAAAATCCATTTTACAACATAGATGGAGATACCCATCTTTATCAATCCATGGTATTGAAGGTGCCTTCAGTGAAGCCGGTGCTAAAACTGTGATCCCGGCAAAAGTTAAAGGGAAATTCTCCATTAGAACAGTTCCAAATATTGAATCTGCAAAATTAACTGAATTAGTTATAAAACATGTTGAACAAGATTTCGCTAAATTAAACTCTCCAAATAAAGTTCATGTGGAATTAATCCATGATGGTGATTATTGGTTAAGTGATCCTTTCAATGAAAATTTCACAGCTGCAAGAAAAGCAACAAAGAAAGTTTGGAACATTGATCCAGATTTAACAAGAGAAGGTGGTTCAATCCCAATCACTTTAACTTTTGAAAAAGAATTGAAAACTAGTGTCTTGTTGTTACCTATTGGTAGAGGTGATGATGGTGCTCATTCAACTAATGAAAAATTGGATGTTAGTAACTATATCGAGGGGGTTAAGACTCAATCTGCTTATTTACATTACTATGCTCAAGGTGATAAATAGATCAATAATCTCTAATTTATTTGTATTTAATTTGATTTAATCTAATTGTAGTCTTTGCACTTTTTCGCGAATTGTGCCTATATAAATTTTTCTTCAAATTCTTGAGCCATAATGAAATCAACATAATCTCAATAATCAAGGAAAATGAAACCAACATTCTCTTTATCGAGACAGCTCGTCAGAAGTGTCATAAACCCAGTCAAACACACTCCACTGGACACTCTGAAATCATTACCATTCACTCCAAAATCATTATTATACATCCCAAACACAAGAACAAGTGTTAATGCCCAACAACATGTCAACTCATTACTTTCTGAAAACCCAAACTTACAAATAATAACTGCTGTTTTGGACTCAGTACACCAAGACATCGCTTCAGAGCTATGGTTTGATGATTTCATGAGAATAAGATCTGGTAAAAACTTGGATAATGACGCTAAAAATAAACCTTCATTAACATTAGGTTTTAGTGGTGAAATTCTCAAGATCCCACTAGTTCGTACAACAGGTTTTACAAACTTTGATTACACTTTGAATATGAAACATAATGGTACATATCTCTTAGATGAGTTGGATGTTTGGTTACCTTTAAAAACTGGAGGTATTTCAAGCTGGTCACATTTACATAGAATTTCAGAATCCAGATATAATATAACAAGTCATTTAGATAATGTTATTAAACAGATTGACAATAGACCTGCATCATCAGTGTTAATGAATGAATTGAAACAAAATGGTATCAATGAAAATCAACCACTATATGTACAAATCGGTTCACAATATGCAAGAACTAATTTCTATGAAATTATAGCAGGAGGTGGTGAATACGGTGCTAAAAGTGAAATGCTTGTTTTAGACTGTGACAAAATCCCAGAAGCTTTAGCTTTACAAGTTCAATTTTGTCTACCTGTTCCACAACTAGCTAAACCCTCTGATAATGGTGGAATGATTGTGGATCGAATTCAGGATTCAAAAAGAATAGTGGATCAAGGTGAAGATGTCATCAAGGACAACTTTATAAGGTTTGGAAGTGAGAAAGGATTTCAACTCTCTGGTTACAATCTCCAAGCTCCTAATGATTTTTGTTCTGTTAGATTGTGAATAGAAATTGTGTATAGTTTTTAATGACACGCTTGATATGGCAGATTCAGTTTTTTGTAGAATTGTACGTATTAGATTCAATAGAGTTTCGCCAACTTATTCATAGATTAGAAAAGCTGGAAAATCACGATTTTTTTATTCATTCTACCTTTAAATTTACCTCTCATTTGAGTAGATTGAAATCTGTTATCACCAAATCCTCTGAAGAATTCTCGAATGTATGATGAAAATTGAAAAATTCCCAAATCAAATCGATCCATAACTAAAAAAACATTTCACATAAAACATTATGAAACCCAGTTCAACATGCCTCAAGCATTATTCTAGGTCCATATTCAATCCCAAAAATTATAGACCTCACACTATCTACGAATCGCTCCCATTCACTCCAAAATCTTTATTATGCATCAATACACCAACTCGGATAGATACAGCAAGTAGTCAATTACTTGTCTTGACCAAGAAGTATCCAAATCTACAAATAGTTTCAGTTACTCTAGATATGAAATATGTCCATGCAATTGGTGAAGTATGGTTTGATGAATTGATAGGAATTGAATCAATGTATTTTTCAAATAAACTTTGGCCAGATGATACAAAATTTTCAGCATGGATTCATAATAATAAAATTGATTTGAATTTATCTATAAATTTACATAATTTCAAAGCTAAACTATTTTATAACATGATTGTTAAAAATCCATCAAGTTTAAAATTTTCAAATTATTTATCACATTTAGAAATTTCACTACCTTTTGATGAAAAAACAACAAAATTTCAAATAAAATCTCAATTGAAACCATTAACTCCAAGATTGAAAATAACTTCAGAAATAAAAGATCGTTGTTTTATAAAAAGTTTCAATAATAAAAATGCCTTCCTAATGTTTGAACTTTTACAAAAACAAAATGAAGAACCAGGGAAAGAATACAAATATGTTTTAGAAATTTCATCGTTATCCAAAACTGAAAGATTTGAACTTTTCCCTATCCCATCTACTCGTTCATTATTCATATTAAACAGAAATGTTGATTTCTTGCCAAATGATAAACTATATGCAAGAATTTTACAAAATTGTGTTAATGATGTCAAATTTCCTAAAGTTAATAATGGTTTAGTTATTGATTGTTTTGACATGTCAAACACTGACTTAAGATCTAGTGGTGAAGATGTTGTTGTGGAAAATTCAGTTATAATAGGTTCGGGTAGTGGTGGGTTTCATGTTGATGACGTTGCTTTTGCTTCATTTGGTGATTATGTTAAAGTTGAAAGTGTACAATAGCATCTTGTGAAGTTACTAATATGAGTTCATACATAGGGAATGGCAACACCTCTATATCGGAATGAAACACCATCTTCATATTATTATTATTGAGCTGTTGGTCATGATATAAGATATAATATTTTGAATCCCCCAGTTGTTGATATTGTATCTATAAATTAGCTAGAATACAAGTCGGATAATCTACACTGATGGACCATTTTGAAAAATTTTCCCCAGTGATGCATATTTCAATCCTTGTTGGAGCCTGTATATCTGAAGAAGGCTTGAGGTTTTTGATAAAGACTTGGTATAATTATTCAAAATCTATTAGAGATTTGTTTTCTTTGAAATGATGAAGTCTATTGTGTTGATAAAGCCGATCGTTTGATAACTATGAATGTATCCATTTTTCACACTTATTTGATAATTGTTATTCTATATGCTTGAATGCACATTCCCTTGAACTCTGCATCAAATTATATACTTTCCAGACAATCAATAATTGACAAATAAGTAGAGGCTCTGGGTTTCTCAGTCTGTCAAACCATATCGGGGTTTTTTTTTTTACTCAAAATTTTATAACAAAAAACATCGTAATTAAACCCACAAAAAACACTTCTTTCAGACTACTAATACCCAAATATAATATAAATTTCTCTATAATGTGTTAAACAGTAAAAAAATTGGAAAAAAGACCATCAACAGCCTAAAAAAATTTTTTTTTTTTTTAATGGTAAAGTTACTTTATTCTAAAATCTTATACACTTTTACACTTCAACTTTCAATATAATAATTCCAATATAACACTGTTCCAAATAAATTTCCAATATTAATCAATCGCTCAATTTTATAGCTCTTTCCTTCTTTCTTTCCTTATAGAGCAACCTTCTTAATAAAGTTAAAAAAGTCAAAATAAATAATCCAAAAGTTTCAAAACGGGAGTTTCAATAAATCTTTGTAATACCGTAGGGGTATTGTACCTAATCCCCACCATCTCTCTATTCTAAATCTTTATCCAACTTCAACTTCATCTCAAGCTGTTCTAGCAGTTGATTTTCATAAAAAATGGCAAAAAAATTGATTTCCGATGCGGGGAGTCGAACCCCGGTCTGCTCGGTGAAAGCGAACCGTGCTAGCCGTTACACTACATCGGATTGTAGACAAGCCTTGATCTCTGTTGGAATACCTAGATTTCACAGCCGGTAGGGTAACTTTAAAATTGCGCGCGCCGGCAATTATTTCTATATATTTACTTCCAATTAATGTTATGTATTAAAATTAACTATTAGCTGCTGAGTAGCTTCAATATATTGATATTAACATGCAATCTGCAGTGAACAAATAATAATAAATATTATTTTTTTTTTTTTTTTTTAGTTTGATGACGTATTTGATGAACTTGGATGAGGAATGCAATTACGCACGAACCAGCTTATTAATTATAATTTGATAATATTTTTTTTTTTAGTGTATAATATAATCGCGATGTGTATTTATAAAATGCTAAAATAATGTACAAAATCACTGGGGACTCACTAGTCTATGACTGATTTATAATAAAACTAGGGATAAATCAGAATAAAAACAAGTAAGAATGAACTAAAAAAGCTAAATATTGGAACATTTTGAAATATTTAATTTTCTTATTAATCACTACAGTAGACGTTTAATGTACATATTTGTTAAACTAGCCGGATATTGAGGAATATTAATGTAATTTGTACTCATTAAAACTTCTAAATTATATAATTAGCTGTGAAAGCTGGAGTACGTCTACTAGAGCTATTACAGATGCTTACTACAATATATTTGGTAATTATTATGTAAGTCTAGTACTGATAAACGTCCTCTAGCTAGTACTGCAGATCAGTATTATACGCCTACTAGTTAACAATATAGATCTCGGGCTATAACAATTGTTAAGGCCGTTAAAACTCTCAAAATTAGTAATCATCACCCCCTTTAATTATGATGGTTCGATACAATACAGCAGCATTGTGTAACGTGTCAAGTCGTTAATGCTTACGGATTAGAAATCGTACTCGGAAATTGACTTTTCTAGCGGAGCTAGCGCACAATGCGCCGATGTTTACAAATTGCGATTGATTAGAAACATTTGCAAGAAAGTATAAAAGGATTGGACACTTCTTTGTTTCCAACCCATTCTGAAAGCCTTTTTAGCCGTAGAACAACAAAATAAAAAATAACAACATGTCAGGAAAAGTTTATTTCATCTCTGGTGGTAACCGTGGTATTGGTTTCGAATTCGTTAAACAATTGTCTTCAAATCCAGAAAACACTATCATTGCAAGTGCTAGAGATCCTGCGAAAGCTGCTGAACTTCAAAATTTAGTTGATGCTCAAGAAAACATTAAAGTTGTTAAGTTAGATGTCTCTGATAAGGCTTCAATTGACTCTTTGGATGCCCAGTTAAAAAATGTTGCTAAAGATGGTATTGATGTTTTGATCTCAAATGCTGGTATTGCTCAATCTTTCGAAACTGCCATTAATACTGATCAAGAAACTTATGAAAAACATTATAGAACAAATGTTCTTGGTCCAATCTTTTTAACAAAAGTCGTTTACCCTTATTTGAAATTGAAAGAAACAAGACACTTGGTTTACATTTCAAGTTTAGCCGGTTCAATTGGTGCTCAAATTCCATTCACCACCTCTGCTTATGGTCAATCAAAAGCTGCTTTGAACTACAGTATTAAAGAAATCAGTTTTGAATTAGGTGCCGAGAATTTCATTGCTGTTGCATTACATCCAGGTATGGTTGAAACCGATATGGGTAAAGTTGGTATTGAGTGGTTCTCAAAGAATAGCCCTGAAGTTATGGATGCTTTCAAACAAATTCCAGTTCTTTCACCGGAAGAGAGTGCAAAAGCTCAGTTGGAAAACGTAATCTTGAAGTTAAACAAGGACTTGAATGGTAAGTTTTTGGACTATGAAGGTAATGAACAAATATTTTGAGTGATTTTATATAGATTTATAGTCTAAATAATAAGATTTATTGAACTCTGAACCCATCTCCGTGATTGTATTTGCATAGTGTCCTCCCTTGTGGATTAGAAGAGTGAACTTGGGAAGGGCAGTGGAGCTATTGTTTCAGTTCCACGGATATAGATCCATAGATGTATTTACGGATGTTTTCATAGGTCTGTGCAATGGATTTCTCTTAGTAATCAAGACGTACTCATAGATGCAGGTGTCAGCCCTGTAATACTAATACCCATACCAAGTTTATCAAAGCTGATCAAATATTTTACATGGTTGCAACTTGCAAGTACAGAAATATCATTATTTGATTATTCCATATCACATTTCGGAATTCCACCAGAGTCACGTGCACTTCCATGATCAAATGTAAACAAAAATCCTATGTAAATTTAGTTTGGTGGATTCAATTCAGAACCATGGATCTCGTGGATATGAATGAAACCATATATGGATCTCAAATCTACGGTGAATATTATCTGTGGATTTTCAATAAGAATGCACCCCATCTTTAGAACTAACTGAAAGTAACTTTGCTTCTGATCCAGTATCAAACATGAATGATGATTAATTAGTGGGTTATATGAATATACTGTAAGATGACAGATTAGTAAACAATGGAGTTAGTGGGTTTTAAACCCAAGCATAGTTGATTCTATTGAGGCCACAAAGGTATAACGAATGCGTATAAAAGTCTGGGTATATTCCCCAGTTTTGAATCTTGCGTTATGTTCCTATGTACTATTGAGTTATTTGAAAGCAGCAAAGATTCTAAGCAAAATGTCTGGGAAAGTCTACTTCATCTCTGGTGGTAACCGTGGTATTGGCTTTGAATTTGTTAAACATTTATCGTCAAATCCAGAAAATACTGTTATTGCAAGTGCTAGAGATCCGTCAAATGCTACAGAGCTTCAAGCTTTGGTTAATAACCAAGGAAATGTCAAAGTTGTTGAATTAGATGTCTCTGAAAAGGCTTCAATTGAATCATTGGATTCTCAATTAAAGAAAATAGCTAAAAATGGTATTGATGTTTTGATTTCAAATGCTGGTATTGCTCAATCTTTTGAGACTGCCATTAATACTGATCAAGAAACTTATGAAAAACACTATAGAACAAATGTCCTTGGCCCAATATTCTTGACAAAAGCAGTTTACCCTTACTTAAAATTGAAAGAAACAAGACACTTGATTTATATCTCAAGTATAGCTGGTTCAATTGGTGCTCAAATTCCATTCACCTCCTCAGCTTATGGCCAGTCCAAAGCTGCTTTGAACTATAGTGTTGAAGAGATTAGTTTTGAATTAGGTCCTGAAAATTTCATTGCTGTTGCATTACACCCAGGTATGGTTGAAACCGATATGGGTAAAGTTGGTATTGAGTGGTTCTTAAATAATACCCCAGAAGTTAGTGAAGCTTTCAAGCACGTCCCGATTCTTTCACCAGAAAATAGTACAAAATTACTATTGGAAAACGTAATCTCAAAGTTAAACAAGGACATGAATGGTCAGTTCCTTGACAATGAAGGTAAAGAAGTAGTTTATTGAGTGCTTATACTCTTCAATATATTTATTTTCTCTGAACAGCCAAGTGTAGTTAAAAAAAGACATCCATCATTTTCATAGTAAACTTCCTGATTGAGCTCTATGCTTCCAAATTGCATTTTGATCTGGGTAAGGTGATGAATTTGTCAACAAATTTGATCTAATCTTGGATAAATCTTCTTTACTCAACCCCAAATAATCGATACAATATTTCTCAATACCACCAAATTTTTGATTGAATAATTCAATTGTAGCAATCATACTTTCATATTTTGAGCTAATCAAATTATTGAACATTGCATCTGGTGATAATGAAGAGAATTCTTTGAAATGGTCACTATCTTTGAATTTTTCTTTGAAATCATTTGAAGCTTCGAAAAACTCCTTTTTAATCTGCGCATGATTTGGAATCAATCCAATTGTAGTTAATTCATACTCTTTGGCAATTATGTGATTTTCAACACCTAATAATAACAGAATAATCATAGCCATGACACCTGTTCTATCTTTACCAGCTGTACAATTGAAAATAATTGGGACATTTTCATGATCTCTCAAGAACAACAAGACAGATTTGAATGCATATGAACCATTCTCCAACATGTTTTCATAAACATATTTGAAAGTATACCATGATGTTAACAAATTTTTATATCTAAGTGCAATGGATTGAGGAGAAACATCAGTCTTGGTGAAAACTGGAATGTTATTAACATTTACACCTTTGATCTCTAACCCACCAGCTTTTTTAAACTCACCATACGATCTGAAATCAAAAACACTCTTGATGCCTAATTCATTCAATTGTTTTTTACCAGTCTCTGTAACATTTGAGGTATTTGCGGATCTAAAGATAACGCCTGACTTAACGTAATGCTTATTATCTTTTGTTCTCCAACCACCAATATCTCTAAAATTTGCAATCCCATCAATTTCTCTCCATCTTGGAGATTGATAAACAATATCTGTTGAAGTCTTGAATCTTTCTAAATCATTTGCACTAGATAAGTAATCGATAATTATCTCTGTAGCTTGATAGTTATAATTCACTTTGTTTCTCTTATTCAAAGGATATCCATTTGGATTCAACCTGGATTTATTCTTTTCTGTAACTTCTTGAGATCCGTAAAAATTATGATCAGCAAAGTTGATAAATCTCAAGGTATGTCTAGATCCTAATAGATTGGCAAAATGTGTTGAATCTTCTATTGGAACAATATGATCATGTAACCCATAAACACTCAATACTTGAATCTCATCATTAATATATTTCATCTCTTCTAAATTTTGAGACCCCAGATCTGCAGTCTCTGGAGTTTGAATTACCAAATCTTGGTAGTTACCCAATCTATACTGATTCAAAGTATAACCTTCCGGTGATGCTTGTATTTTCAAACCATCTAATAATAGTTTCCCATTAAATCTACCAGCTGTATTAACTAAATTTTGAACAAATCTATAATTTGGTTCGCCCTTGTCTAATTTTTTTTGCTCTTCAATGGCCCATCTCATCATGGCCACTGAACCTCTAGAATGTGCCACAATTGAATGAGTTGTTAAATTTATACCAATTTCTTCAAATGAAGCACCATTGCTGAAGACATCTAATGAAAGATTTATATCCTCGATATCTTGTGATATCATTCTCCCCATTGATTCATCTTCATTTTGTTGAGAGTCACCACACCCTCTAAAATCCAATCTAAAACTATAAATACCTAATTTTGTAGCCAATTCTTGAGCCAACATGGCCTGATAACAATAGTTCTTATGACCACCTTTCCCATGGAGAATCAATGAAAGCTTGTGGGTCGGAGGTGGACTCTCCATCAATGTAATTGGATCTGAAATCAATTTCTCTTCAGGGATCAAACTATTTGGAGGTGAACATAATATACCAACTAATCCAATATCATCCTTATGCTTTGACGTTGGGACAGAGATTGAGAGCAGTTTTTCATTCGGTTGAAGCTTGTAGTTTGTACAGATCTCAGCTGGGATCTGCTTGACAGTGATATCCTCCATATTAAAGCTCATCTTGGACACCAATTGACCGTTTGAAGAAAGATCAAGAGCATTCCAGAGGAAAAATGATGTTTTTATTGACTTTTCTTTAACCCGTGGCATTCGCTCGTTTACGAAGTGGAGTTTTCTCGGTTCGGAAACATGAATAAGACCGCCTACGTCCGATCGGATAAATAACTTTCATTTATTCAAACCTCATTTAACCACGAATCACAAACAATATCAGCCATCTTTGGTCTTTTACGAATGTCTCTTTGCAAGATTTTCTTAATGAGATCAATGCATCCTTGAGATGTGACAAATGGGATACGTAGCTCACCTTCCATGATCTCATCAACGTTATAAAAGGGATTCTCTTTGTAAATTAATGTGTACAGCAAGATACCCAGAGACCAAACATCTTGAGGTTTACCTTCATAAGGCAACCCATTCAACACCTCTGGAGCTGCATAGTCCAAAGTACCAACGAAAACGTCAAAAGGTCCTGTTTTCACATAAGCTGCTGATCCAAAATCAATCAATTTAATAACTCCATTATTGTCAATAATCAAATTTTCATCCTTAATATCACGATGAACAATACCATTGTTGTGCAAATGATTTATAGCACTAATACATTGCTTTATTATGGATTTGCATTCAAATTCCGTCATGGATTTCTTCAACTCGATCAAATCAAATAAATCAATACCAGGTGTTGGGAACCCATGCTGTGGAGTTTCAATATAATAATAATCATCATCTTCGAAAAAATCAATCAATCTCATTATATTAGGATGTGGATTATTGTTTAAAGTTGACATGATTTGAATTTCAGATGGAATTGTACCTAGCTTTCTATCACGAACCCAAGTATCAACCAAGATACGTTCTTTGATAATCAATTTGATGACAATTCTATAATTTGGATCTTTACGATATTCAGCTAAAACAACTTTACCATAAGCACCTTGACCCATATTTTTCAAAATTTTAAACTCTTTAATTGATTTTTCACGTCTCTTTAAGCCAATCTTCTTTGGATAATATTTTGATATTGATTTATTTTTCTCAATTGTATCATTCTCAATCTTTAATAAACTTGCTTCATTCATGTTCTTGCTCAAGACTTTAAAATTTTCTAAATCAGTCTCATTTAATTGATCATTTGATGAAGTTTGACCAATATCATCATTTGAAAACTGATCATTCTTGATACTAGACAGAGTTGATAAATCTGAAGATGAAGTGACATTAGAAGATCTTAATGAAGATGATCTACTAACTGATTGAATTTCATTCTCGTTCAAGATTGACAATTGTGATGGGATTTCATCTTCATCCTCATCATCTTTGGAACCATCATGTTCAACTTCAACTTCTTCTTCAACAATTTCTTCTTTATTATCAACAATTCTAACACTTCTAACAGATCTTGTCTTTTTCATAGTAGGACGTGCTGTTGAGACTTTACTATCCAACTCATTTTGATAAACTGATCTTGAATGTGTGACCCATAAAATCAATGTATCAACATTTGAACATCTCAACTGTACATCAATCTTGATGGTGGATCCGTCAACATGTTTACCATCAATACCAATTGAGTTCAAAAAATTAGCTTCCAAGTCATTAGTTGTTGAACCATTCCCACTTTTCTCTAAGATTGAATTCATTTGTCTAAAGAAATGTTCAGGTAATACTAATCCTGGAATAATTTTCAAATTCTTGAAATTTTGTAAAATAATAGTCATTATTTTTTGGAAATTTGGAATAATTTTCGTTATTGATTGATGTTTCAATTGTGATTCATGGAACCCAAATAAGTTTTTCGCAATTGATTCATTGAATGATAAAATGTTATAATTTGTTGGATTGTTTGAAATGATGAAAACTCCAGCTATATAAGGTAATGAATGAATTTTCAATTTGACTTTGTTCAAATTATCATCAATGATTTTAGTAAATAATGCACATGGAATATTAAACCCATTTTTTTTCAATGTAAAATATCTTTGAACATTGATTGATTGTGATTGTAAATAAACCTCGGGAATATTTTGATAATTCCCATCATTCTCATCTTCCAATGATGTATATTCTTCAATATTATTGAGTAATTGACTTAATGTATCCAAACTTGATAAGAACGTATTGTTGAAGAAAGAATTCCCACTGATTTTCTTAAAAAATTCAATTTTCAAAGAGTCTAAACAAGCAACCAGATCAATAGAATCACAAGGGACTTGATCAAACATACAAATGATTAAATTTCCCTTCTTCTTAGCCCACATAGAAGCCCAGGTCAACTTGTTCCCAGGTTTCGCTATTGCAATAACTTGTCCAGAAAATATAATCTCTTGATTTCTTTCAATTGAATTCTTCACTAATCTATTCAATACGAAATCTCTTGAATCCGGACTAATCAAATCTAACAAGGTCAATCTTTTAAGAGAATTTCTTGAAACACCAAAAATCAAACAAGCCAGATCATTAGCAGCTTTTAAATTCCATGGATCATTCAATTCACAAGTGAAAACTGCTTGTGGTGAAGTGTTTTTTTGAGACATTGAATGGAAAATTCTATTATCGCCACTAATACCTGGTGCAGATGATTGTTGTTGTTGCTGTTGTTGATTTAATGAGGATAATGCTAATGTTGAAGCACCTTTCTGTAAGGATATTATTGGAGTAGAAACTATGGGTTCATAAAAAGGAGTGGCTAAAGCATGCATCAATTTGATTTTAAGTTGAGATTCTGAATCAGATCTAACCATTGGTTGGGACATTGCTTCATCTGCAACGTTTGATAATGACAAATCGTGTAAATTCATAGCCAATTCCTTTTGAGATTCACCTGATTTCAATGATTTGTCTTCTTTAAGAATATTTATAAGTGATTTCAATCCCAGGTGTGTAGTGTTTATCGTTGTTGAATCTTTTGAAGGAGGCTTTCTTGGTGTTGAAGTGCCTGATGAGTTATTCTGAGTTGTAAACAATGCGGCTAAAGCAGCAGATGAAGCATTTGATTGAATTTTAAACTTTTCATCATCTTCATTTTGTATTTGGCTTATGAAATTCTCTATATCTAGATGCAGAGCTTCTGATATACCGGCACCACCATCAGGGAGCAGGTCAGAATCCTCTTTTTGTAATAGATCTGGATGATCAACAAGAATCTCTAGAGATCTCTTCAATATAGACAATCTAACAGCTAATGAGTTTGGAGAAAGATGTGCATATGAGTAAGCATGTGTAGATTCCTTTGGGAACTTGAGGATTTCATTCAAGTTTAATGATAACTTCGAGATCCCACCAGCATTCATTTGCTTTTTTCTTGAATTTGATCGTATTAGTGTGTTCTTGCTAGGAGATGATGAATTGGAAGTGGCTCTTGGGGATCTTTGGTTTTGAATATTTTGCGATTGTGGTGTTGAAGATGGTGGTGTTTTTGAAGATTTAGGTTGGGAATATTGAGCTTTGTTTTCTTGTTTTGAATTATCGTCATCATCATCATTGAAAAAATAAAATGATTTATGGCTTATACTTGGATTTGGAGGAGATGCAGGTGGACGATGCTGTATAATAATTGGTGGTTCCTCTAGAGTTGTAGGGTTTGCTGGGGGTATAGGTTGTGTTGTATCTGTTGTATCATTGTTACTCTTATCCTTTTGTAGGTTTGTGAGTTTGAGAGTGGCACCTTTCCCGTTAATGGGGCACGCGTAAGGCATAATAGTCTATACTATGAGCGTACTATGATGGTATGAAGTGATCTGGAATGTATAATAGGGTGCTATTGATTGATGAGGATCAAATGGATGTGTTGGAGGAGCAGCCTGTTTAGTTGGATATATGTGGATGAATCTCTTCAGGAGTACGGTACGATTTGGAAAGTGTGATGGAAGTGGCCAGCAGAAGCAGCAGTTGTAGATGTAGTTGCAGTGTGCTCTTCAGTAACTCTTTTCAAGCCTCCAGCACTAGCTCAAGACGGTTGATCTGGATGTTGATGTTGTTGTGTAGCCTTTCTTCAGCTTCTTCCTGGACTTGTTTTCGTCCTCTTTCGTAGTGCGATTTCTGGGCGGTACGGCCAGCACAACAGCCATGCTATTCCCGGTAGCATTGGGGGCTACTTAAAGGGAGCATTAGGGAAATTGGCATAGAGAATGAGTGAGCCATTAGCCTAACAGCTCAAATCTCTGCCTAAGCTGCTGCTGTTTTCCTGAGAAGATTGAGAATATTCGATTTCCTCGAGTGGCACATCCCCAAAACAGAGCATTTCCGCATTGGGCCATTTCCACGTCTTTTTTGTATTTTTTTTTTAACAGAGTACGTTCTTATATTTCTAATCTTTTCTATATGTTGAATTACTTCCATTAAGTTCAATTTCCAAATTCACAATTTCTTCAATGATTAAAACAACCACTAGATTTCTAGTGATTGGTTTCCTAAAATAATGGGTTTCCAAAAAGACTTTTAACGTCAAATTAGTTTACAGCGCGCACCATTAATATTTGCTCGTCTTTACTTGTTCTCTATCAAACCAATTGAACTATAAAAAGACCTATGCTTCTTTTTTTGAATACTAATGAATAAAATGATGCCCAACACAGAATCCTACAAAGATGAGCTCCAAGTTGTTGGAAGATGATGAATTATTGATTGAAGACCGGGATTTGTTGACTGAGTCCCAATCAAATGAGTCTCGAAACACTGACGAGGGTCCTGGTCCAGGTTGTGCACTTCATAATTACCGTAACCTACCACAAGAGGAGGAAGATTTGGAATACTATGCAACTTTGAAAGAGAAGGAGGAGGATTGGTTTGCAGAATCTCAAACTTATTTCCAGAAATTGAAATGGTATGTAAGACCAAGCAAGAAAGTTATCTATTTGATACTTTCGATTCACACCCTATCATTCACAATTTTGATGGGCCCGTTAATGATGTTGATGCTGGATAATATCTGTACTTCTCATATGAAAAAAGTTTTCCCCAAACCAACTTGTCATCATGGTGGCCACATGAATATGGCAGCAAACCATACAAAGAGAATGGATATGGATAATGGGCCTTCAACCTTACATACAGATGGTCCTACATACCAATGCAAATACGAAGATGCACAAAAAGTATTATCTAATGTTCAAAGTACATTATCTGTTATTTCTGGAGTTTTGGGATTCACATTATCTGGGAAATTTGGCCAATTTAGTGATCGTTTTGGTAGAGTTTTTGTTTTTAAAATTTTTGCTGTTATTAACTTGCTTCACACTGTTGGATTATTGATGTATTTTATGTTAAACGAGAAGACTTTTAATAGTGCATTTCTAATTTCGGTTTCTTCAGTTGGCTATTTTTCTGGTGGGATCATGACCTTACTTGCAAATGGTAATAGTTATTTGAATGACATTGTTTTATCAAGAGAAAGGACCTTTTCTATTAGTTTACTCATGAGCTTTGTGTATGCAATGCTGGGTGTGGGTCCACTACTAGGTTCATTCTTGGTTAAGTTGACACATGGTAGCAATTTAGCTCCTTTAGTTGCATCTTTGGTGTTTGGGATCATTAGCGCTATATTGATATTTACGATCATGGTTGAAACAAGACACCCCGTGGCTAGAAAATTAGCACAAGAAAGGTACGAGATTAAAAACAACAGACACATGAATCATAGCCATAATGTAATTCTGAGAATTTTGATGGTCCAATATGATTGTATTTTAAGTTTTTTCAGACCAATGAAAAGGTTATGGATCCCCAAAACTATTAGGCATGGGTCCACAATTCCAAGATACAATGTCATTACTTTGATACTGGTGGATGTGTTCAATATGGCTTCAACAGTAGGAACCTTTCATGTTGTTATTTTGTACTGCATGCTTAAATACAAATGGTCAAGTGTTGAAATTGGTTATTATATGAGTATGGGTGGATTTGGAAGGGCAGCTGTTCTGTTATTTATCGCACCAGTGTTTTTAAAGATTCTCGAAAAAAAATTTGGGTACAAAATAATTACCAGCTCTGTCGATAAACTTGATAAAACTTCAATTATGGTTTCCCTCATTTTTGTCTTTCTTTCTAGTTTGTCTATTTTCATTTTTGATAGTTCATTGGGTGTTTATTTGAGCAGTGTCTTACAGAGTTTAAGTGGATTAGTTTCTCCAACTATACAATCATCAGTCATCAAGTATAGCAACAAAACTGAAGCTGGTGAAATGTTTGGAGCTATGGCTTTGGTGAGACATTTAGCTATGTTGATAATGCCAGTGCTCTTCTTACAGATTTATTCTCGCACAGTTGATATCAATCCACTGATCTTTAACTTTATTACTTGTGTTGGCTCAGTTTTGACTATAATTTTAGCAGCCGTTGTGTTGAGGGTTTATGAAGAGCAATTGGAAGAGGATCCTGAGCTTACTATATGATGAAAATAACTGTATATAGCCCAAATACTTTATTTCACACAAAAAACTGGTAGAGTTTATATTTTCGAGGTTATCGCACGTGACTCAATGTCCTCGTATTAAAACAAAAGGCAGATTTTCGGGACAATAGCTGATCTGGAAAATCTGAAGGGTCTTGAATAAAGATTTCGAGATTTTGACTACTACTTGAAGATTTTTACATGAATGCTCTCATTAAGTTCAGAGGTGTGATATGTTCACGGTAGAAGTATGCTCCTATTGCTGATCACACCATCTTCACAACAGTGAACGCACCCCGTAGCTGCTTTAACGCGGGATTTTAACTTGAAGTTTGATAACAGAAATATTTACTCACATGCACAGGAATCTATTGTTTTACGAAGGATTTCCAGCACCTCCAACATAATAATTTGATCATATAGCTACAAGTTGAGTTTGGAAAGCTAGCCAATGGGCTGTTTGAATTTTATTTAGGACCGAAAAAGCTTCTCCTTTGAGTTAACAGTTAGCCCATTTAGGTCATCGAGAGGGTGGTGATAGAATACAATGCTCCCTTTTTTATTTGCTCATATATTTTGAACAACGTCAAGAACTCCAAGGTTGTTTCAAAGAGGCATACCAATTATCAATTAGCTTTAAACTAATTTCGAGGAAAAAAATTTCAAGTTATTCGATTTGTATATGAATTGGATCAAAACCATTGTTTCTACAATTACCAGGTATTCGGTTCAAAGAACAGGCAAGAGTTAAAATGAAGTTATCATTCTTGTTATCATTTCTCAGCACTTCTGCTATTGTTTTGGCAAATACTCAAAACTTCACTTTGAAGTGCTTTGCTCCAAATACTGTTCTAGAAGATGCTAATCTTCATGTTGATGAGGATAACAAGATTTATATCGCCAACGTTTCGGAAACTGCAACTGGTCAATTATTAAATAATGGGTCACTAGCTATTGGAGATACTATCATGGGGATTGGAAAAAACTACTTATCGTTAGAAGCTGACTCTACTAGTTTTGAATACGTGAATTCCTGGTCCATTGAGAATGGTTACTTGAAACTATATGGTTCAGACTTTCACGCAGTTCCATCAGGGATGGATGGTATTTACGTTCTAGGCAGTATTAATGCAGCAGCTGGTAGAGACGATGTTATCCCAATTGCAATCAAAGCTGAAGATAGCTCAGGTGCTACTATTGCGGACTTTAACCCAGAATCCGGTTCAAGTTCTAGCGTTTTGAGTGTTTTGGGCTCTCAAACCTTTGATCATAGCTCAGCAAGTATGACAGCATTGAAATCTAGTGTATCATCAAGTAACTTAGGCTCTGAAAATTTTGTGAAGCTGTTTGGAGCATTAGGTAGTGGTTTGGTCGCTTTGATTATGATGATTTAGTAGTTTCCAGGATATTTAAAACTTATTAACAATATTAACACTACTTTAAACTTATCATGTAGGAATGAGATTCTAATCTGTTTTTATTCTAGTGATTTAGTTCGCTTCTTATTATATATTGAAATCTGTCATAGATTGCAGATCGTCTCGTCCAGTGATTTTGTACGATACTATTTTAGCATTTTATAAATACACATGATTATATTTAGATCGCGTATTCATTGAAAATTGAAAATACTTTTATATATGAATTTTGCACAAATGGGTCATAGTATTCCAATAACAATACCAGCAGCTATTAAACCACTTATCGGGTCTAAATGACCTGAGGCACCACTTCCTGGGATCGAGAATTTATTAGCACTCTTCCCTTTAGAATTAACACATTTGATTTCGACCTCATAGACACCTTCTTTCAAGTTAGAAGTAGCTTGGGCACTTCCTAATGTCCATCTAGCGGAGCCTGTTCCCCCTGAAGGAATAGCCTTGAATTTTTTGGAACCATACAAATTCAGTTTCCCCTTCTTGTCAATTGAAAATGGTTGAGCGTACTCGGTAGTATCATTCGTGACAGTGAATAAATTCTTGCTTATTCCGATGAAGCTATTGTTTCCAAGCTTTAGACTACCATCATCTTGAATTGTACCATTCAATACCTGGAAATAATCACTTGATTGGCCAATGAATATATCTTCATCTGTTTCCATTATCTGTAAGTTTTTCAAACCGTTCTCTTTAGTGCTAAGCTCCAAGGTAAAGGAATCTGAGATTGCATTGACAACAGAAGGGACCAGCAAAGCCAACAACCAAATTTGAGGATTCATTCTTTCAATTTTTAGTGAAAAATGGTTTTTAGTTTAAAAAGCAAAAACACAAGGAATTCTGTTATATTTTAATTAATTCTGATATGATATTCACTACACACGTCGCCAAAATACGAAAACCCCAGAACAATGAAAACAAAACGCTTGAACCTCCGTTGACCAATTAGAGTAACACCATACAGTAATACCTTTATGGGGGTTTTTGATCACCACTCTTTGAATTAAGTGCCAAATTTGCTCGTTATTGCACCGCAGCAGCAGCAGAAGTTTCTCGTATTAGAAGTTATCAACAACCTGCAGCCGAGCCTAAAGATAAATAACCAATAAACGCAAAGGAAGGGAGAAAGGGTTATACCAACTTTTATTGAATAATGTATTGGATCAAGGCGTGTACTGTGTTGTTTCAAAATTTTTCCCATATGAAATATCAAGTTTGTTATGAGCAAATTATCAGAGCCCTGGGTATACGTAGCTGGGAAGAATGAAAGTTTAAAAGGCATCACTGTTCAAAAATTTGGAGGGTTTTCAAATGTTTATTATTGATTTATAGCTTGATTGTAAACAAGTAGCATCACCAATCGGCTAGAACGTGAAACATGAGGTTTTTTATGGTTGTAAGCTCCTATATATTCATGGAAATTAATATGGACGCTTTGACGAAAAAAAAGGAGCAAATTGAATAAACAGACCCACATCTTCCATTTACTTTAACCACAAAAGTGTTGTTTGTAGATGGTAAAGGAAGTTTTGTATATAAATAATTGCCCTTCACCTCTTGGGTGACCAAACAAAAAAATGGGTTGTAAATTAACATCAGGAATTAAAATCTTTTGATACCCAATATGAAATTTTCCACTCGTTTCTTTATTTCTTTATCATCTCTTGCCAATATTATCATTGCAGCTTCTGAAGAGTTCACTTTGAAGCTACAAGCTGATGGGACTGCTTTAGCAGGTGATAATATCCATATCAGTTCTGACAACGAGTTCTTTATCAGCGATACCGATCAAACTGCAACTGGCCAAATTGAAGATGATGGTACTTTGAAAATCAATGGTTACACTGTTGGTGTTGGTAAAAATTATTTGTCTTTGACTGCTGACTCTTCAAGTTTCATGACTGCTGAGCCTTGGTCTATTGTTGGTGGACAGTTGAAATTATATGGTTCAAATTTCCACGCTGTTCCTTCAGGACAGAACGGTATTTATGTCCTTGGTACCATTAATGCTGCTAGTGGTCGGTCTGATGTCATTAATGTTGCCATAGAAGCTCAAGGCTCAAATGGGAAAAGTGTTGCTGACTATGATGCATCTGTCAAATCATCATCTGTCCAATCGTCATCATCATCATCAACTGAAGCTTCAATTACCCCAGTGTCATCTGCTGAACAGACCACAACTAGCACCTCATCATCCATTGTTGAGTCGACAAACAAGAAAGAAACATCATCAACTGTTGCATCTTCAGTAAAAACCAGTGTTTTTTCATCAGAACCAGAGCCATCCTCCGAAGGTACGACTTCAGCAGTTCCAGAATCATCATCTCAACTGCCAGCTTCGTCCTCCACTCAAGAGGAAGTGCCAAAATCATCTACTGCAGCAGCACCATCCTCAACTGATATGTCTAGCTCAACCATCATTGACTCAATCTCTTCAGCTATTGAGTCAACTTCCTCAGCTGTTGGTTCAACGGGATCACCAGCTATTACATCTTCTTCCGCCTCAGTTGCACGTTCAGCTACTTTCTCAACCGTTTCAAATTCAAACCTATCATCCTCAGCTGTCTCAATTCAAACTTTTGATAATGCGGGTATGAAGAAGGGTGCCAGTGTCTTTGCTGCTGTTGTTGCTGGTATTGCTTTGTTTTAAGCTCCTTGCTTCAATTTTTTCAAGTACCATGCAACTTTGTATAACTCTCAAAAGCGAGAACCTGTGTATCTTATAAAAACGCAACAGATCTAAGGTTTACTGTACTATCCTCGCATTAATTCCACACTGTTTGGTGTTCGTTTCGGTGACCATCTTCTATCGCCATTCGCGAATTCCCTTTTTGTGTTTATTGACACGTTGTGTTTGTCAGATGTGGGATTTACAAACTAATACAACATACCTGGCAGTATTAAAAATTGACCAGAATAAATATATCTTAATTCAAAAACCTCACCAAAGAGTGAGGCTCCTTGGAGGTTACAATGACATCCTTTTGAGCCTTCTTACGCATGTAAAATATATGGCAGTGCCTATTTGAACCTAAAACATCTTGGTGTAATGAACCTTAACGTCGTTGGCAGTCAGTCCATAGCCTGTGTTGAAACCATAACATAACAAGGGTAAGAAGAGTAAATACTGTCTTTCTAAGCACAGGGAAGCTTGAAGAATACATTGAACCATTATATACTTACAAGACCTATATTCAACAGTACTTAAACAAAATATAACAAACCTTAGAATATCAAGTCTCTCTGAGACCCCTCTCTGACAAAAACTATATTACACAATTCAATCATTTTTTTTTCTTGACTAAAGTTCTTATATTTCTAATCTTTTCTTGTATATTACTCCGACCAATAAATTATTCAATTGTCAAATTCAGTATGCATGATGTCGTCAATAAATAATTATAGAACCAATTGAAACAACCACTAATTTCTAGTAATTGATTACTTCTTAAAATAATTGGTTTCCATCTAATCATCAACTTATCAATCAACATAATATTTCATAATACAGAGGGATTTAATCTATCATTGAAACACACTATTGATGTTGAATCTGTCCTCAACGGTATATCTATCCTAGCACCTTAACGACACAACCTCCAAACCTATTCACAAACTCTAGCTCCTCTCTAATCACCTCTAGAACCATATTTCTGTTGGATAATTCTCTTGTATTTGGTACCTGAAACAGCTTCATCAAATGTTCTATCATTCTTTCTAGTGATACGAGCTTATATCAAAGCATCTATCCAGAGAGACATTGTTCTTAGGACTTTTTCATTTTCTGTGAATTCAGTTGGAGTTGTTAGTTGTGTTAAGCCAAAAGGTGAGCTAGCAACACGTTTAAAGCCTAATTGTCCCCATAGATACTTTTTTCAAAAACATGGTATAAAGTTTCATTTGATGTCTGTGATGGATCCTTGTTTAGGTGATAAGCTGTTAAGTTTCGATCCTTGATAACGGCAAACTATCAGTTGGTCTTGGGCAAAATCTGTGTGAAAAGTTCTCTTAGCTTAAAGCCCTATGATAAGTTATATGAAGAGTTCTCAAGAGTAGTTTAATAATTAAGTTGAAAGTGATAAATCTTGTAAATTGATTGTTAATTAAACCAAATAGGTTGAATCTAAACAGTTATTAGTATCATAATTATTCCTGAATCTTCTAATTTTACATTAGTTTTACGCTTCTTGCTGGAGTTCTTTTCGTCCTCTTTCGTAGTGCGATTTCTATGCGGTAAGGCCAGCACAACAACTATTCCTGGTAACATTGGGGGCTACTTAAACGGAGCATTAGGGAAATTGGCATAGAGAGAATGAGAGAATCACTAGCCTAGTAGCTCAAATCTCTGCCTAAGCTGCTGCTGTTTTCCTGAGAAGATTGAGAATATTCGATTTCCTCGAGTGGCACATCCCCAAAACAGAGCATTTCCGCTTTGGGCCATTTCCACGTCTTTTTTGTTTTTTTGAAAAAAAGCCAAAAAAAACAAAAAACACACTAAAAACGACTCGAATCAACTGAATCAGCCAACAACCGCCAGAACCATCATCCTCACCATCCACCAACAACCATCCTCAGAATAGCCTGGAAAGAGAAGCGCTGCTATAGAATAGAACCAGAGCCTCTGCTACTACAAGGAAAATCTATAGGTGCTCTTTTCATCGTCCATTCTGTCCCATTGCCCTTATCACCTTTCTGAACCCATCCCATTTGCTTTTGAGAGGCCTTTACTATCAAGAACCAAAACCCACAACAACAACTATATGGTCACATCCCTTAAATAAGGTCAACTATTTCATTTCATCATGGATTGGCGAAACGAACTCACAAACAATGAGCGTCTTAGATACGTTGGGGTCCTTGTGCAGGCCTTAAAAGAACTGGCACTGACTGCTAATAACAACAACCCTGCTGCTTTTGATGTCAACAAATTAAAAACTTCTGCTGGAGAATTCGAAAAATACTGTTATCAAAATGCTAGCAACAGAATTAGTTATGTTCATTTCTTTAAGCAAAAGATCCTCAGTATTAAGAATTCTATTCAACAACAAAAGCTACAAAAACAACAGCAACCAGGTGGTGTTGGTGCTAATACTACTGGAAACATCGGTGTATCAAATATTCAACTTGGAAATAATACAAATAGTAATAATAATGCTAATATTCCCAATCAACAGAATCAACAACTTGGTGGTACTCCAAATTTGAATGCTGGTGCTCCTACTCCAAATCAAAGTCAACTCTTTTTGGCTCAACAAGCTCAGGCCAGACAAGCTGCTCAACAGATGAGAAATCAAACTCCTTTGCAAGGTGCTAATGCTAACGTTCCTGGTCAACAGCAACAACAAAATTTGCAAAATGCTGGATTGAATGCTGGATTGAATTACAACAACCAAATACCTCAACAACAACAGCAACAGAGAGGTAATCAAACAGCTCCATCTCAACAACAACAACAGGTGCAAAACTCTACAAATAACAGCGCACAGGCTGCATTGAATGTCAACATGAAGACTGTTCCTATCCCAATGGCTCTATTGCAAAGAATTCCAAATTTACCACCTAATGTCAATACATGGCAACAAATTTTTGAATTAGTGGCATCAAGACAATTGGATTCAGAATATATTGGTATTATAAGACAGGTTTATACTATTCATACTCAGCTGATCCAAAAGCAACAGCAACAACAAAAACAGTTTGGTTCAAATCAACAAGCTCCTTCAACTACAGCTCCTACAACTGGTGCGAATATGGGCGTGAATGCTCAAATAGCTAGGCAACAAGAAGAGCTTAGAAATAGACAACTTCAACAGCAACAACAACAGCAGCAACAGCAGCAGCAAAACCAGATGCCTCAACAGCAACAGCAACAGCAACAACAACAGCAGCAGTTACAACATAACAATGCAAATCCTCAACAACAACCTCAACAACAATCAGCTATACCCCAGTTAACTCCTGATTTGCTGCAGAGACTGACTGAAAATGCATTACAACTGTTGACTAAACTGCAACAAGAGAAGCAAATTCCTGACAATCTGACCAATGAACAAAGAAACATGTTCATCAAGAGATATATTAGTCGTCAACAACAATTGAGAATGGAAGCCTACACAAAGCAACAACAACAGCAACAAGGTGCTAATAACGGAGGTGCTCAAAACTTGAACCAACAGGTTGTTAATCCAACAGGCGCCACTCAAAGTCGTCCTGTCAATCAAGCTCAGCTTCAAGCTAGATTACAGAATGCCAACAATCTGGCTCAACAGAATCAGCAACAAGCCTCACAGAACCAGCCTAATCAACAACAACAGAGATGGAATGAACAAGGTAATAACAACAATAATAATAGTAACAGCAATAATAATACCACCAATAACAATGTTCAGATGAAGTTGAACAATTTACCTACTGGTTTGACAGCTGAACAACAACAACAGTTGAATGCTAGAAGACAGCAAGCTTTATACCAACAACAGTTACAGCAACAGCAACAGCAACAAGCTGCGAGAGGTGCCAACTTGAATACCAATGTTAATCAAACAGTCCCTGGTGCTGCTAATAGTAACGCTGTTGGAGGTGCCGGTGCCGGTGCTGTTCAAAATCCAATATTGAAGAATAATGTTTTGGTTCCAACAGAACAGGATAGAGTTGAATTGAGAATGATTCTGAATGAGGTTTCTAAAGTTCCTATAAAGTTGACAAACTTGACTGCTCAATTAACTCCAGAACAAAAATCTGTTGTTAGTTCAAAAGTTCATAGTTTATTACTACCTTTATTCAATTTAATTGAACAATTGGTTCCAACATTCTATACTTTAACTAAAAATGTTGATGGTACTAAGAAATTGTTACATATGAGATTTATGGTTAAAGAAGTTTTGGATGGGTTAAGAAGAAATGAATACTATGCAAGTCCAGAGTTGTTGGAAAAAGTTAAAGCTCAATCTCAAAAGTATGTGTCTTTTGTTAAGGAACAAATTAGTCGTAAAAATGCAGCAGCTGCTCAAGCTGGTGGTGCAAATGCCAATGTTAATACAGGTAATGCTAATAATGCTGCAATTAACAACAATAATAACAATTTCAACATCAATCCTCAAATTACACCACAACAACTGCTGCAAAGAAAACAACAGCAACAGCAACAAGCATCTCAGTTGAATCCACAAATCACTCCACAACAATTGTTGCAACAACAACAAATTGGGACACAGCCATCTCAGTTCATTAATAACAACAATAACAACAACAACAACAACGCCGAGTTTAATCCTCTCGAACTTACAAATATTCCTGGATCCTCCTCCAACAACAATAACAACAATAATGGGAACTTTCAAAATGTTGATATGTCTATGATAAATGGTGGTAGATTAAATACACCAGATCTTTCTCAAATGAATGTTACTCCAAAATTGAACCAAATGAATATCAGTGGTGTTGCTCCATCTCCGGCAATGGGTAATGCTAATTTTGGTACAACTCCAAATTTCTCAGGTTCACCTCAGATGATGAATGCTGGTGTTTTCAACAATAATAATAATCAACAACAACCACAACCACAACCACAACCTTTGGTACAGGGAACTTTCACACAACAACCTCCAGCACCTCAACCAATTCAACCACAACAATCCTCTACACCTGCCGCCTCCACTCCAACCACCAAAAAAGCACCTGCAAAGAGAAAATCAACCAAGGGAAGAAAAACATCAAATGCTTCAACTCCAACACTTGCACCAAAATCTGTCCCAGCTCCAACTGCTGCTAATGGTCCAACACCTGGCGCTACTGGAGTTAGTGCTCCAACTGGCCAAGCTACCATCAACAATAACAGTACCCCTACAACTACACTTGCCAATGTTGGTGGTGCTGCTCCTGGTACTATTGCACCAACTGCATTACAAGCTCAAATGTTGAAGAAGGAACAAGAGATGATCAGCAAGGAGGATCAGAACAAGAAGCAATTTGAAGAGAATAAAGCCAAAAGAATGGAATCATATCATACAAAACCAATTGATTTCTTTGCAGCTTCTTTAGCCAATTTGTTGGAATTGAAAGATGAAGAATCAAAGATCCTGAATGATTCTAAAAAGAAAACTAATGGTGATTTCAAGTCTTCTCCTGCTCAAAAAGGATTGACTCCTTCTACTATTTTACAAACTCCTTTGACTTTTTCAAATGCTGCTAAAACTCCAAACTCTACTACAAAGGGAGGTATTCCTAATGGTGTTTCAAATGCAAGTACCTATTTGTCACCTAACTTGTCACCTTCTTCTACTTTGAAAAATGTGAATGGTGATGTATCTACAAAATGGGGGCCAAGAGTTTCAAGAGAGGCAATCCAGAAAACTTTTGGTAATGTTGAAGAGATTAAAAAATTGTTGTTTGTTGATGAACAGGAAAATTCAAATGGTGAAGAAAGTGGTCCTATGATTCCAACTCCACCGCCTGATAATGAAAAGCAGTCAAAAGAACAAAAGGATTCAGTTGATGATGATAGAAAATTCAAAAAGATTAAAATTGATGATGACAACAGATTTTATGATGAGAATGATAATCAATTGAATAGTGACTTGATGTGGGATTTTGATTATGTTTCAAGTCATATTGATGATGATGATAGTACTCAACCAGATTTTTATATTAACATATGAAGTTGTGAATTTAATTGAGTGTATTTAAATAATTTATTCGTGTTTTTTTTAATGAAGTGTGTTTTTAATGTTTTTTAATAAAAGAGTTAATAATTTGTTGTCTTATATGGCTTGTAGAGAAACCTCACAATTTAAATAAATTGTCAAGATTGGTCTCATACTTCAACGTTTCAAAATCAAAAACATCACCACTTAAAAGTTGATCCAAATTTACCAAGCCTGTGGTTGGATCTACTCCAATAGAGTTACTAGAGGATGGTGTAAATGACATATCTGGAGCATTGGATTGTAATAACACATCATCACCAGTGATATCAAAGCCTTGCATAACATTAGTGTCACCTGAATTAGCTCCATGTGTATTCACTCTAGAGGTCTGTTTCTTCTCTAAACTAGCATCGAAAGAAAGACCCCAAAGTGCAGCTTCTGAGCTTAATTCTTCATCTCTTAGCAGATATGAACCCTCACATATTTTGATCAAATGTTTATAATCTTGAACACCATAATCAACAAATGAATTCATATTATTCAAGTTTTTCAAAATTTTTTTAGAAAACCCTTGTTCATTTGCCATTTTTTCAATCATCTTATTTTTATAATCAACTCGTTCTATTGTTGAGTTTGAAGTCTCCCCGAAAAAGTTGATTGTATCTTTTATACATTTGAACCCATCTCTTTTCAAACTTCTAAGGTAAAATTTTGTCATCAGTGATGCCTTAAAAGCGGGATAATATGTTTTGCCCAATTTTCTTTGAGACGAAGTATTAATTCCATTGGCAACTCTGAAAATGAGACTTGTTAGGTCATTAATAGAGCGAATCATCATGGTATCATTTGTACTGAAGGCTTCTATTAACATATCTTTAGCATGGAGCAATCTTGAAAGGATGGCAATGAAAGCATTTGTGACTCTTGAAGTAGCATTTTCAACCAATATGTTGAGGTAAAAACGATAATTTGGATCAATGAAATCATTGTAGTCATCTCCTAAATAATTTGAAAGGATATTCGACAATTCAATTGCTGTTTCAACCACTAACGATTGGAAATGTTGGTATTTAATGAGGTTATAATGCTCCTTCGATTCATAATGTAGTGCTAAACTTTGATAAATGAGTAAAGAAATGGATCTTGTAATGATGTTCTGTTTCACAGAAAGTGTGTTCTTATAGTTTGCTTCATCTTGATTATCTTTTGTAAGAGGAATCAGCTTATTGAGTGAGTGGTTTATTGTAACATATGAATGCATTTGCTTCACCACTGCAAGAACATCAGATACTCTCGTTGGAACACCTATATTGTTAACCAAGTTTGAAATTTCTAGCAATAGTTGATTCAATCTTTGTTGTTTTTCCAATTCCTCCACAATTATTGGCTCCATTGGACTATCTTGATCCAAAGGTTCTGGGAACATGATCTCATATGAATTGACATTTTGAATGACACAAGATTGACCGGAAAGTACAGAACCAACTCTATCCATTGACAAAATTGATAACCAGAGTTTTCTCCAAAGATTCACATAACCTTGGAAGTTGCTCAGATGTGAGTATTTTGCAGCATCTCTATTCAACCCCATTGTAAACGCAGATTGTATAATTGTACCCGAAAGAATTTGAGATTGATTTAATTCCTTACCATCACCATCTTCAGGAGCATATGTGAGATACACTTTCAAATAGAAAAGTGCTTGGACAATGTGAAGTTTTGTCTTTCTCATGATTTTGAATTGTGAAAGTGCAGTTTGTGCAGCAGTTATAAAAGTTCCTGGGATTGGATACTTCAATAATTCTGAGACATCTTCTGTACTTGTTGTAGGGTCAATTGAAATATAAGCAAATCTTAAGAAAATCAACAAAGTTGCCAAAAATGCAAAATCAAACTTATCTTCAAACACCAATTTGACTGCTGGACTGTTTTGATCTTCTTGCATTATAAACTTTTCAATTCTAGCCCTATAAAACTTTTCATCAACGGCAGGAAAGAAAGGGTAGATGTATTTGAAAAACCTGTCCAAATACGACTCAATGATTGATTTCGGTGGAAGCATTTTCTCAATATCAGAACGTAACTCATCAATATATAAGGGTTTTGAAATATTTGTTAGAGATGTCAATGGAAATAAAGCACTTTTGTTATCCTGATCAGAGTTGAATCTTTCTTTTCCGAATCTTGAGATTATATCCTCCAAGTGAGGAGATTGCCTTTCACCTAATAGCTCAAGACACATTAAAAGAGAGTTGTCCAATCTTTTATCCATTTTAACTTTTTGTTTCTTACAAGTTGCACCTTTTAAAAAGTTACATAGGAACATATAGCCCGAGACCAATGATAAAAAATGATCTTTCTTTGTAATGGCCGAAGAAGACAAAGGTTTGTGATCTAGCATTCCCGATCTCTTTATTGTCAAACTATTGTAGGCCCCATAAAAGTCAATGATATCATCTTCATACTCTCTTTTGATGCTTTTTTGGGACGAAGAATCTGGTGACTGAACCAAAGAGTTTTCGATGGATTCTAACCGGTTTCTTAGCCTCTTGACTTCTTCTTGCAATGCAGCTTCATTACCACCAGAATTAGGCCCAGTAAGAACCTGGGGTAACAACTCTTTTTCTCCATTATCTAGCTTTGATTGACCTTCAGTATTGATCACTCTGTTGACCCAATGAGGAGCTTCATACCGACAAAGGTGGCCAACGTTGCACTTGACACAATTGGTACAGCTTGGCCTCTTCTTGTCACATTTGATCTTTCTGGCCTTACAATTCAAGCACACAACTGACATTCTTTGTCTTTTTTTGGGTCTGGTAGCTTCATCTTCTGAAGACATTTTACTTGGTTGATGGTTATATTGACCAGCTGGAAACTCCATCTTCTCTTCTGCTTTGATGATAGATCCGATAAGATAAAACAAACCCTATTTAAATCATTCAGCACTGATGAATCAGTCAGACCAAAATTTGCCAGCTCAAGGTGTTAAAAAGATGTTATTGTTGTTTTACGCGGCCAATACCTGAAAATCGCCGGTAATTTCGAGTAAAATTTGTAATCTCGGAAATACCATCCCAATATGGAAGTTTACCCAATCAGGAATAAATTAGGTTTCGCGAACGCGTTTGTTGATTTTTCGCAACGTTTTTATCAGTTTGATAGGAAACATTTTTCAGCTTCCTTGCATATAACTTCAGTCGAGGTTGGATATAAAGTTGGCTAGCTAGTTGGTTGGCTGGTTTATATTGCTATACAGAGTCTTTGGATAGGAGCTAGAATAAGATCATAAGTCAGATGCCTCGTAAAGCAGTTGTGTCAGATTCAGATACTGAGAGTGAAGATGTGCCACTTGCAGGTGGATTCATAAAAGATGATCCAGACCTAAAATCATCAAAATCAAAGAGAAAATCTACCCAAAAGAAGGTAAATGGTACCAAGAATTCAAGACCAACGAGAAGATCAACTAGGGCTACCAGTTATGTGGAATCAGATTTGAGTGGCGTTGACGATGATGACGATGGCAAACTTGATCTAAGTGATAAGAACTCAGCAGCTAGTAGCAGCAATGGTACAACACCACCAAATGATGAGTTTTCCCCAAAGAAGAGAGTTTCTAGGACCAGCTCAAAGTCTGCAAAGAGAAAGCTCAAGGAGTTGGATGACGACTATGATGAGTATAATGATGAAGACGATAAAAACTTTGTTGGCCAAGAAGATGAAGACGATGAAGAAGATGATATTATAACTGTTTCATCAAGAAAATCTAGAAAAGGTGACGGTTCTTTCAATGAGCCATTTGAATTAGAAGAATCAGACTTGGATTTAAAAGATGAAAATGTTGCTGATCAGGATTCTGATGTACCTCTCAAGGAAGTGAAGAAAAAACCAAAGGCAAAAACTCCAAGGAAACCAAAGGCTAAAAAACCAAAGATTCCATATCATACCAGAATGACTGGTAAGTTATATGAGATGCATCCAGATTTGAAAGATGTTTTCCCCAATTTGGAAATTGCAGAACGTATCAAACCAGAGAGAGCTGTACAACCAGATGGTATGAGCATTACTTTGTTACCTTTCCAACTTGAAGGTTTGAATTGGTTGGTTAAACAGGAAGAAGGTATTTATAATGGTGGAATTTTGGCTGATGAAATGGGTATGGGTAAAACTATTCAAACTATCGCTTTATTCTTACACGATAAAACTAAAAGACCAAGTTTGGTTGTTGCTCCTACTGTCGCCTTGATGCAATGGAAAAATGAGATCCAACAACACGCTGGTGATTCTTTGAGTGTTGGTGTTTTCCATGGTGCTAATAGATCTGGTGACAAAGAAGACTTGGAAAAGTTTGATGTTTTGTTAACAACATATGCTGTTTTAGAAAGTGTTTACAGAAAGCAACAGTATGGGTTCAAAAGAAAAAATGGTACAGTTAAGGAAAAATCACCTCTTCATGCTATTCAGTTCTACAGAGTTATCTTGGATGAAGCTCATAACATTAAGGATCGTCAAAGTAATACTGCTAAGGCTGCTAATAATTTAATGACACATAAAAGATGGTGTTTATCAGGTACCCCATTACAAAATCGTATTGGTGAAATGTACTCATTAATAAGGTTTTTGGATATTGAACCCTTTGGGAATTATTTCTGTACCAAATGTCCTTGTCGTTCCAAAGAGTGGAAGTTTGCTGACTGGAGACATTGTGATATATGTGGTCACGTTCCTATGCAACATACCAATTTCTTCAACCATTTCATGTTGAAAAATATTCAAAAGTTTGGTATTGAAGGTGAGGGTAAAGTATCCTTCAGTAATATTCAATCTTTATTGAAGAATATTATGTTGAGAAGAACCAAGGTTGAAAGAGCTGATGATTTGGGTCTTCCTCCTCGTGTGGAAGAAATTAGAAGAGATTTCTTCAATGAAGAAGAGAAAGATTTATATCAAAGTTTGTACTCTGATTCTAAAAGAAAATTTAATGAATACGTTGCCGAAGGTGTTGTTTTGAATAATTATGCTAATATTTTCACATTGATTACAAGAATGAGACAATTAGCTGATCACCCTGATTTGGTTTTGAAAAGGGTTAAGAATAATGCTGATTTAGCTGTTGATAAATTGAATGGTGTTATTGTTTGTCAGTTGTGTGATGATGAAGCAGAGGATCCAATTGAATCTAAGTGTCATCATAAATTTTGTCGTATGTGTATCAAAGAGTATATGGAAAGTTTTGGTGGTGAAGAGAAGAAGCTGGAATGTCCAGTTTGTCATATTGCTTTGAGTATTGATTTATCAGCTCCTGCTATTGAAGTCAACAATGAAGATTTCAAGAAAGGTTCCATTGTTAATAGAATTAATATGGGTGGTGAATGGAGATCATCAACCAAAATTGAAGCATTAGTTGAGGAGCTTTATAAGCTGAGAAGTGACAGACAAACAATCAAATCAATTGTCTTTTCACAATTCACCAGTATGTTGGATCTAGTTGAATGGAGATTGAAGAGAGCTGGTTTTCAAACTGTGAAATTGCAAGGTTCCATGTCTCCTATTCAAAGAGATAATACAATTCGTCACTTCATGGAAAACACGAACGTCGAGGTGTTCCTAGTCAGTTTGAAAGCGGGTGGTGTTGCATTAAACTTGTGTGAAGCTTCACAAGTGTTTTTAATGGACCCATGGTGGAATCCTTCTGTTGAATGGCAAAGTGGTGATAGAGTGCATAGAATTGGTCAATACAGACCTGTGAAGATCACTAGATTCTGTATCGAGGATAGTATTGAATCAAGAATTATTGAATTGCAGGATAAAAAGGCTAATATGATCCATGCAACAATCAATCATGATGATGCTGCAATCAATAGATTGACTCCTGATGATTTGCAATTCTTGTTTATGAATTGATTTTACAAAAAACATTATAGAAGGCAAAAAAAAAGGTTAGTGTTGAGTTTTTAGAGGTTAATTATATTGTAAAAGGATTAAAAGTGAAAGAAAAATTGGTTTTTATGTGCTACAATGTAGTTTACTAAAATAAATCAAAACGTAACATCTCTAATCAAATTTTCTAAGTAATATTTACATAACACATCTCATTCTAGTTTGAACTACCACGAGAACCGGCACCTGAAGTTACCAATTCAAATTGTTCTTGAGATAAGGTGATTTCTGGTAATGGTTCCCCAATGCTTGTTGGTCTTGGTAAAAATCCGACCTTGATCAAATATGCAACATAAACGCTCAACTGTGCTTCATCAATACCTCTACCAGTTGAAGCATCAACACCAGTCCATTCAGCATCTTTTTTCAATGAAACAACAGCATTTCTATCATCTAATTCTGGAGCTTTAGTGTCTTGTGGTAAATCATCTAAAACGAAATGCAATAATGGATATAGGGCACTTTCTTTAGTACCTTCAACAACAAAATTCTCTAATGATGATTTCCAGCTAACATAGTCTTCTAATTCAATTTCATAGCCAAATTTTTTCAAAGCACCAACAAATTGAATAAAAGTAATACGTGGATGACCAGTGACTTGAACAACAGCCAATTCATCGGATTTTGGTGGATGTAGAGCAGAGGCAACGACAACTCTTGCAACATGATCAACTGGAACCATATTGATAGTGTTGTTGATGTTTGGATATTTACCCAATTCAGCACAACCTTTCAACATACGTAGCAAGAAATCATCAGTGTTTGATGAACCAGTATTAGTTTCACCAGTAACATAACCAGGTCTGATAATAGCACCTTTCAAACCACGTTCACCAGCACGACGGATAATGTATTCTGCAGCCCATTTACTTTGACCATAACCGGATCCTAAACCATAAGCAGAACCTTGTAAATCATCAGCTTCTGGAATACCAGCTTTACCTTCTGAAATTAATTTATCAGATAATTCAACAAAATGTTGAGTATCTAAGGCAGAGGTTGAAGAAACAAATGAAAAGTATTTAGCTTTACCAGTAGCAGCCAAGTTCAAAACGTTAACAGTACCAATGACATTAGCATCACGTAATTTATCATATGGGTAAACCCAGTGGACTAAAGCACCATTATGAATGATAACATCGATATTTTCAGTCAAATAGCTCCATTTTTCATTATCAAGACCGAATTGCTCTTTAGATAAATCACCCAAGACAACTTCAAGTGATGATTCGAAAGAATCCTTCCAATTACCATAAGTGACACCGGCTTTTTTAACTCTTTCGAAACCTTTAGCTTCATCAGCAGCACGAACATGAGCGAAAACTTTGATGTTTGAACCACGACTCAATAAATCAGAAACAATGAATGAACCCAAGAAACCAGTAGCACCAGTAACAAAGACATTGATGGTATCATTTTTACCGATTTCAGTTTTTGAGTTATAAGAAGATTTCAATGATTTTTCAGATAATTCTTGAGCATCTTTGTAATAATCAGCAGTTTTAGTTACCTCTGTGGTTTCATCTTGCGAAGCACCAGAAGTTGATGGTAAAGCAACAGCATCACCACTTTGAACACGTTCAATCTCTTTTGCAAAAGCTTTAATGGTTGGGAATTTGAAGATGGTACCTAATGGTAAGTCAATAACTAGTTGTTTTCTTAATTCGAAAATCATTCTTGTAGCCAAGATAGAGTGACCACCTAGATCAAAAAATGAATCTTCAGGTGAAATTGTTGATGGACGTTGAGGTAACACAGATAACCAAACATCCCGAACCTTAGCTTCAGTTTCACTGAACTGAGAATCATCTTGATCAGCACTTGAGTGTTTAGCAACAGCTTCTAATTGGGCAGTAGTTGGGAATGGTAATTTTGGCTTATCAACTTTACCGTTTGGATTCAAAGGTAATTTATGGAATGGGACAATGATTGTTGGGATGGCATATGAAGCTAATCTCTTTTTCAAGAATTCTTTGATATCTTTGATCAATAAACGGTAACCAACTAAACCAGAAACAACTTGATCATCTTTCTTTTCTAAATCTTCAACAGAGGATTTGAAATTTTCCAATTCTTCCAATTCAACTTTTGGAACAATGTATGAGATCAGAGTTGGTTCATTGTTGTTATCTTTACGAACCAAAGTGATATTTTCACGAACAAGAGGATGTTGAGAAATATTTGTATCAATTTCACCCAATTCAATACGGAAACCACGAATTTTAACTTGATCATCGGCTCTACCACAACATTCGGTATTACCATCTGGTAAATAACGGCCTAAATCACCAGTTCTGTATAATCTATCTCTTGGGCCTTTCCAGAATTGTCTCCAAGGCTCATCTTTACTAGATTTATTATCTAAATCAACCCATTTTTGTTGATCGACATACCAGTTTTTAACAAATTTTTCTTCATTTAATTCAGGTAAACCACGATAACCTTCGGCCAAACCAGCAGCACGAACATAGATTTCACCGACTTCACCAACACCACAAGTTTGGGATCTATCATTTCTGTTGACAACTAATAATTGAACGTTCAGCATACCTTTACCTGCAGGCATGACATCTTTTTGTGATTCCAAGAAAGTTGAATCATGTTCTCTTGAAGCAACTTCAAAGTATGAAACAGCTCTTTGAGTTTCAGTGGTACCATACATATTGACAATGAAAACATTTTTAGCTAAAGTTTGTAATCTTAAACAATCTCTCTTGGTTAAGATATCACCAACAAAGAAAGCATGATGTAAGGATGGAATTTCAGCAGTAGCTTGAGCAGATAATAATTGACCCATAGCTGGTGTCAAATGAGTAACAGTGGCACCATATTTGCCCATCCATTCAGCTAATTTACCTGGTGTACCAATATCATCAGCAGTTGGGACTAATAATTGAGCACCCAAAAAGATAGGAGTGAACATATCTCTTTGAATAGGATCATGTGCAATACCTGAAAGCATGGTGAATTTATCATTTTCATTCAATTTGAAAGTTTTAGACATCCAGTCAAAATAGTAAGCTAATGAAAAATGTCTACCCAAGACACCTTTTGGTAAACCTTCGGAACCAGAAGTGAATGATAAAGTTGGGTTAGAATCTGGACCAACCAAGACACCAGTTGGAGTTACTGGAGAATCAGCTAAAACATCTTTACCACTGATATCAACACCACCAAGAACTGAACCATCATCTTGTAATTCAATTTGAGGAACACGTGAAATGACATCTAGTTCATTTTCAATATAACTTTCCACTAGTTCATCTAAAATACCAGCTTTCTTGATAACAATCAAACCTTTTGGTTTAGCAACTTGTAAGTAAATGTTTTGACGAGCTGGAGGATAGGCTGGATCAATGACAGAGAAAGTGGCACCTGCTTTCAAGACACCCAAGACTGAAACCATCAAGTCAACACCTCTTGAGGAGTAAATCATGACAACATCACCTCTTTTGATACCGGTTTTGACCAAATAATTCCCGACAATGTTTGAAGCTTCATTAATTTGTTTATAAGTGAAGATTCGTGATTGTTTTTCTGGGGTCAAGAAACTTGGAGTTTCCACAACACAAGTTCTTTCTGGGAATTTACCAGCATTTTCTTGGAAAATGTCTTGAATAGCACCTCTATACCCTGACCAATCCAAGTTTGTTGTTGGGTCTGGTAAGAATTCTTTTTGAGATTTAGTGATCAAGTTAACTTTGGTAACTTCTAATGAAGAATTTTTAGCAATAGCATCAAAAAATTGATTCACTTGTTCTCCAAAGATGGATAGACGAGCATCTTTGTATAAAAGAGCATTGAAATAAACGTCATAAGTATCATCATTAACGAAAACTGATAAGTCTCTAATTGAACCGTATTCAGAAAGTTGTTGATGTTGGTTACCATATTGGAAACTTAGTCTAAATAATTGTGGTTTGTTTTCTAAGCCATTTTCTTTTTGTATTAAAGCTGATAATTCATCATAATCAACAGCTCTGTTAACGTTATCATTGTATAGGGTAGTAATTTGTTTGACCAATTCAACGAAGGAAATGGTTGGGCTGATAGTGGTTCTAATGACGAATTCTTTTCCATTTGGAGAATCGGTGGAGATAACAATATCGTCATCACCTGTTAATCTATAGATTAAGACTGCAAACACAGATAAACCAACAATAAATTCATTCGAGCCTTGAACTTGAGATATTATTGAATTCCATGACTCTTTGGATGGAATTGAAAAGCTGTGTTTGGCTTCAATAACTTTGTTATTGGAAGGACGAATGAAGTCATGTGGTAGCACTGAAAGAGTAGGACTACTCAATATTTGAGCCCAATGTTGTAAATCTGAAGACATTTTCAAGTCTGCAAGTAGTAGGTTAGGGTATTATTCATGGGGAAAAAGAGCTCATTAGAATTGAGTACCTGGGCCTATAGATGATCGTAGCCTCGTTAACCAATTCTAATAGGAGAGCAATTATAACTTACCTCTATTGGTTTGCAAACTCTAGAAATCTGGGTCTTTAGGAATGGAAAATAGTGAAAAAGTATCAAATCTTCACGGTGATGATGACTTTGATTATGACTGATTCAGACGTCGCCAAAAAAAAAAAAAAAAAAAAAGCCGGATTACTTCAAATTGGTCGGAATTGGAATGGACCAAAATTTTGGTGAAGACGAACGACCAAATTGCAAAGTTGGCGTGGGAACAATAGAGAAAACAGCTAAAAATCCATCAATTTTGAATAGTGAAAGTGGGAATTATTGCTTGCTACTATAGTATCTGATACTGATTTACCAAAATATTGAAAATTTCATTGGATACAATTGAATTAGGAGTGTGAAAAGTTGTTGTTTTGTTGGTTTAGAATACTTCAAATTAATCATTTAAAAACATGTCTCAGAGAAAGTTATTACAAGAGATTGACAAAGTCTTCAAGAAAGTGAAAGAAGGTCTTGAGATATTTGATGGCTACTATGATAAACTACAAAATTGTGAAAGTCAATCTCAAAAGGAGAAAATTGAAGGTGATTTGAAGAGAGAAATCAAGAAACTACAAAGACAAAGAGATCAAATAAAGAATTGGTTAAGTGGCAATGAAGTTAAAGACAAGAAGAACTTACTGGAGAATAGAAGATTGATTGAAAACGCAATGGAGAGATTTAAGACCGTGGAGAAGGATATGAAGACAAAAGCTTTCTCGAAAGAAGGATTAAGTATGCAAAGAATTGATCCAAAGCAAAAAGAGAAGAACGAGTCATCTGACTTTTTACATCAAATGTTGGAGGAACTAGAAAGACAATGTGAGAAACATGAAGCTACAATTGATCAAATTCAAAGTTCTGGGAAAAAGGGTAAAAAACTGGATGGTGCTAAACAACAAGAAATTGAAGAGTTGACAAAGAAAATCTCTAGAAATCATTGGCATCAAGAGAAAATGGAACAAATGTTGAGACTATTGGCTAATGATGATATTGAATGTGAACAAGTTAATGGGTTACAAGAAGATATCAAGTATTATGTTGAATCCAATGAGGATGCTGATTTTGCAGAAGATGAAGGAATTTACGATGAATTAGGATTAGAAGATATTGAAGACATGTATGGCCATGTTGGTGACTATCCTCAAGCTGCTCCAGAAGATGAAATAGAACAGGAAGCTCCTATAGTGGACCCATCACCTCAGAAAAAACCTTCAGTCAGTTCACATCCATCAGCTACAAATGTTGCTGCTAGTGCATCTTCAACTTCTGTCAACACAATCTCAAAGCTTCCACCACCGGGTTTACCTCAACCATCAACAACTTCAAGTACAACAAATTTGAAACCTTCAGTTACACCTTTAAAGACAGATTTGAAGTATTCGTCAGTATTATCAGCTGGTGTCCAATCAAATAACAATACACCAATAGCCACACAAGCACCATCAATCAGCACACCACCTATATCTAATGCAGCATTGAATAATAATACTAATAATAACAACTTTAATCATAATAACATTTCATCAACTGCTGCATCTTCACCACAGGTTGCACCACCAGGATTAACCAAAACATCAAGTATCACTACTGATCAAAGTAGAGAGACAACACAATCACCAGTTTTGATTCCAAGTGGGTTCCAAGATTTGATACCATCATTTGAGAAATCCAAACAAAACATTTCAAAGCCTCCACCGCTTGATGAGATTTCAAAAATTTTAGAAACTTCACTATTGAACTGCCCAGACTCTTTAGATGCTGATAAACCAAAGACTTACTCACCATTAAATCCACATCCTACATCAGTTTATTATCCTCAAGAACCGCTTCCTGAATTGAGCTATTCTTCAATAGTATCGAAATTGGATCTAAGTACTTTGTTTTATAATTTTTATTATGAACAAAATCAATATATTCAAATTTTAAGTGCAAGAGAATTGGTAAAGAAAGGATGGGCATTTGATAAATTATCAAAACATTGGTTTCAAGAAGTTGAAGAAATCCAGCCTCCAAATATTGTTAATGATCAAATCATACATTCTGAAAAGAAAATTGCTTGGAAATATTTTGATAATGATGGTGTTTGGTTACCTCGTCGTAAAGAGGATGTATTTAATCCAGAGCAGGTACAACTTGAAACAAATTTCTAGTTTGGTCAAAGCCTCTATTTTGTATATTAATATCTATAAAGATTCATTCTAAGTACATAGAACATTCTAGTTTTTTTAAACCTAGTTTGTATTTCCCACCCTATAATTCACTTTTCAAAAACTCTTCACTGAAATAAGAACATTGTTGAAAATTATATTCAAAGCCATCAATACCACCATAATAAGGATCATCCACGATTTGATTGAATTTTTTACCAGTATTCCATTCCCCGAACAATCTAGCCTTGTTCTTTGTTGAAGTCTTTGATCTTATTCTTTCATTAAGGTTGTACAAATTTGATTCATCCATACAAATCACATAATCAAATTCATTAAAATGTTTAGCTTTAAACTGTTGAGCAAAATGATCTACTGGAACACCATGTTTTTCACAAGTTTCTCTTGATCTGAAATCTGGTGAATCGCCAACATGATAAGCACCTGTACCAAATGAATCTATTTTGTTGAAACGATCTGATAAACCCAGTGTTTTCACTTTGTGTTTAAAAATTGCTTCAGCCATTGGGGAACGACAGATGTTACCTAAACAAACAAAGGCAACTGATATTTTCTTATCTTGAGTCATAATGGCGATTGTGATTGTGTGAAAAGAAGGTGGATTGGTGAGTTAAAACTTGTTTAGGCTCTTAAATCTCGATGTTATCCATATTGTGTCAAGTATTTTTTTTTTCTCGCTGACGTTTTTTTTTTCATGTCCAAAAAGAAATGAGTTAACAAAACTACAAGATAAAGTTTAACCAAAAAACCAACAAAATTGTATTCATATTATAAAATTTAAAAAGCGTATATAATCTTCATTACTCTACCAATTTATCAAATGATTTATTCGTAGTGGATTGAGTAGAAAGCCTTGTTCAATGGACTGACAATCTTTGAACCTTTGTAGAAATCAACAGTCTTGACAGCTCTCTTTGCAATACCTTCTGGAGTAAATTCAAAGAATTTGTAAACATCAGTAGCTTTACCTGAAGCACCGAATCTATCAATACCAAATTGTTCATGAGAGTATTTAGCCCAACCTGAAGTGGCCAAAACTTCAACAGACATGATTGGAACACCATCTGGGAAAACAGATAATTGATATTCTTTTGGTTGTCTGTCAAAAGTATGGGTATCTGGTAATGAAACAACTCTAGCAGCAACACCTTGTTCTTTTAATAATTTAGCAGCGTCAACAGAAATTGAAACTTCAGAACCGGTTGAGACAATGATAACTTGTGGTTCAGCGACATCTTGCAAGACATAACCACCTTTAGCAGCTTTTTCAATTGAAGAACCTTCCAATTGTGGCAAGTTTTGTCTTGATAAAGCAATAACTGAAGGAGTATGGTTTTGTTCTAAGGCAACTTTGTAAGCAGCTGAAACTTCATTACCATCAGCTGGTCTCCAAACTTTCAAGTTTGGAATAGCTCTGAAATGAGCTAAAGTTTCAATAGGTTGATGAGTTGGACCATCTTCACCTAAACCAATAGAATCATGGGTAGCGACCCAAATGACTGGATGACCAGATAAAGCAGATAATCTTAAGGCACCAGCAGCATATGAAACGAAGTTCAAGAAAGTACCACCGTATGGTTTGTAGTTGGCACCGAAAGCAGCAATACCATTCATAATAGCACCCATACCATGTTCACGGACACCATATCTGATGTAACGACCTTTGTAGTCACCAATACCTGAGCCATCTGGTTGGAAATCAACAGAATCTTTAGCTCTGGTCAAGTTTGAACCGGTCAAATCGGCAGAACCACCAATTAATTCTGGTAATGAATCAAAGACTGAGTCCAAAAGCATTTCTGATAATTTTCTTGAAGCTAAAGCTTTATCAGATGGAGTATAAGTTGGTAATTTAGATTCCCAGTTAGCTGGTAATTTTTGAGTTAATCTTCTTGATAATTCTTCACCTAATTCTGGGTATTTTGATTTATAAGATTCAAATAATTGATTCCATTCTTCTTCAATTTTTTGGTTTCTTTCAGTAACTTCTTTATGGTAGTAATCATAAACTTCTTGTGGGACAACAAAAGTTTCATCTGGGTTGAAGCCCAAGTGTTCTTTCAATTGTTTAACATCATCAGCTTTTAATGGAGAACCATGAACTGAATGAGTACCTTGTTGTAAAGAACCATAACCAATGATTGTAGTGATTCTGATTAAAGTTGGTTTATCAGATTTTTTAGCTTCTTCTAAAGCTTTGGTGATGGCATCAGTATCAGTGTTACCATTTTTAACCCAGATAACATTCCAACCATAAGCTTCATATCTTTTGTTAACATCTTCAGTAAAGGAGACGTTAGTGTCACCATCAATGGTGATATGGTTATCATCATAAAAGGCAATCAAGTTGTTTAATTTCAAATGACCAGCTAATGAAGAAGCTTCTGAAGAAACACCTTCTTGTAAACAACCATCACCCAAGATTGAATAGACATAAGAATCAGAAATTGGGAAATCTGGTTTGTTGTATCTAGCAGCAAAGTTTTTTTGAGCAATGGCTAAACCAACAGCGTTTGAGATACCTTGACCTAAAGGACCAGTAGTGACTTCAATACCTGGAGTTTCAGATTCTGGATGACCAGGAGTTTTTGAACCCAATTGTCTGAAGTTTTTCAAATCATCAATTGTTAATTCGTAACCAAACAAATGTAACAAAGAGTATAATAAGGCAACAGAGTGACCATTTGATAAGACAAATCTATCCTTGTTAATCCATTCTGGGTTTTTTGGGTTGAATTTCATTTGTTTCCAAATGATGTGAGCTAAAGGAGCTAAACCTAAAGGAGCACCTGGATGACCAGAGTTGGCTTTTGAAACTTGGTCAACAGACAATAGTTTGATGGTGTTGATGGCTAATTGTTCAATATTCGAAGTCATCTTTGCAATTGAATTGAATTATGATGGAATTGAATTGGGTTAATTAAAGAGCAAATCAACACCTTGTGGCGAAATCGAAACTTTTATACGCTGCTTCGCGACGAAGACTTTTTTTCTTCTTCAATTGCCGGGAGACTTCCAACCGGGTGTTGCCCGGAGTGTGGATTTCCCTGGAGCCAGGCGGACGTCTCTAGGCAGAGCTTAGGCAGGTGGTCTGCCTGCGGTCTGTTGGGGGGCCTGTTGGGCTAGGCTGGGTGGTCTCTTCGGAGGACAGTGGGCAGGCAGAGGGAATGGTGATGACTACGATTTAATATGAAATAGATTCAATTCAGACTATGAGAACGAGTTCATAGAGCCATGATAACCGTGTAACCACTTTATTTGAATGGTTAAACTGTGTTGTTCAGGGTGAAAAGGCTTGCTATATCACGTGGAGCAGTAGTGCTAATAGTAGAGAAGGAAGGGCTGGAAAGCCAGTTCCAAGGAGGCTAAAACTTGGTGATGATGAACTGGCTCCAAGTGGAGTCCATTTAATCACATTCTCTTCCCAATTTCAACCATGAACAACAGATTCTTTCATGATTTCTACTCAAATTCGCCAATTCCATTATGACACTAAAAAAAACCCAACGGTTATACGTTTACACCAGTTCCACAAAGGGTATAATCCGATTTTCAAATCCCCGGAATACGAATGCACTGAAAAGATGAACCATAAACAATTAAAGCGTAAACAACAACATTGCATTGATCTTTCACCATATAGTTCAGCATCATGTCCTTTGAATTCAACACTAAAGCTCATACCCTGGAATCACTTCCCAAAGATACTGATCAATTCGTTAAACAAGCTGATGAATTGGTTGAATCAATCACGTCAAAATGGTCAAAGAATAAAGAATATTATTATACTTTGAAAGATGGTTCAAAAGAATCTGTAAGAACTTATCATACCAAAATAGCTAAAGAACAATGGGTCAGTAGAGTTAGTACTCATGACAATACAAAATATCCATTTGATAAAGTTATAGGGTACCTTTTAGGTTGTGAACATCATGGGAACGGATATGTGATTAATGATTTATACAAGCATACAGAATATGAAATGGAATATATTGAAGTTTTAAATAAATGGAAAAAAGTCCCACTTGAGAACTACCCAGAATATTCTAACCAGGATCATTTGAAGAATTGGTATTCAGTAATAACTGAATATGAATTGGGTGCACCATTGAAGACAAGACAATTTAATGAATTTATCTTGATAGTCCCACCTAGTGAAACTTATCCAACAAAAGCATTTGTTATTAGTGTTGTTGCTGATAACTCTGGTGAAGTTCATGAAAACGTTCAGGGTGTTTATTCAAGTATTGAAAGAATCGAATTAGATGAAACTAAAGGGACATGGAACTGGAGAATGTGTACATGCAGTGATGCTGGTGGTAATGTTCCTAAATGGGTTCAAAATGCAATGATTAGTAAAAACGTGGCTATGGATGTACCAAACTATTTGAATTGGATTTCTGAAAAGTGATAGAGATATCGATAGACTAAGTACAAACAATACAAAGTTTTAAAATAAATTGATTAAACACAATACAATTTAGTTTCTTTCCATTAATGAAACATTTTTCCCATACTTCACAGCTCAAGTATCTCTCCATCATCAATACATTGCTTCAAAACTTGTCTCTCAAAAATTCTTCTGTCATATGGAACCTCACCTTTGTAATTTTTAGAACCCAATAGCGAAATTTCACCATTATGAAGGGCAACTATTGGCTCAACCTCGAGGTATTCACCCAATCCAAACCCTTCTTGATGATATCTCTCTAATTTTCCCAAAGCTTGACTCAGCATATCTGATTTGGTCATGAGTGGTAAAGGCTTCGAATTCTCAATATCAGAACCTTTATGTACAAAAGCCATCATTTCACCCACACATAACAATTGTGATTTTTCATTTCTGATCTGGACAAAGCCACTTTTCCAGAGCTTAAAGTTACTCAGACTTAACTGCTTTCGAGATTCAGTCTCCTGTAATTGCTTCAACTGGTAGAGTTCATATGAATATTTTTCTTCCAATATGGCTTGATTCTCGAATGCATCTTCACCTAGCGGGAATGATATTGGGTTGAATAATTTCACAAAGACTAAGTCATCACCTTTGTCATTAACATCCATCAAATCTTTAGGGAAATGTCTCTTTTGCAATTGAAAAAAGTTCAATTCTTTTTCCATATCTGATATATCACTTTCCATAAATTTCAATGATTGATCCTCTTGAAAGTTTAGCTCAATATTTATCATCTCTTTTGGTGAACATTCACTTACAAAAGACTCACAAAGTTCATGATAATGCTTCTGCCGTTCTTCATAACTCAAATTCAATATGTGTTCTCTTCTTGCCCATTCTACTAAATCTCGCAACTTTCTCTTCTTCTCAGCACTTGAATTATATACCAAATGTTTTGATAGAAAGTAAATAAGTATACCTTTCAAAGTCATGAGCGGTTGGTCATTATCAATAGAAAGCATTCTTAACTTTAATTTACAAGTATCATGGTCAAACCAGCACTTATCCCAATCCATTTCAATGATTATTGTAGTTTTATAGCTTGTTAATATACCAAGTGTGGTGTTGGAACTAATTATTGATTGTATTGTTTGTTCAAAACCTTCTATCTCTAATATTTCTGTCGGCTCCATCTTTCGAATATCATGAACACTTGGTAGACTCCTTTCGAACTCCAGGATGCAAGATGACCCACTTCCACAATTTTTTATAGTTAAGTCAGCTCTCTTGTGACAAGTAGGTTCTTGTTCTGTTAATTTAAGAAGTATTGAGGGCCTATTAATTAGGTTTATAATTTGGAGAACAGGCCCAAAGATATATTTCAAGCACATGGTTTTGATGCCACTTTCACTCTCTGGTCCATCTATTAGATGAGAAACATTTGCATCAGCTATGTTGGAAAGAACTTGAAATACTTTTTGTTTTGTCATAATTGAGCATTTAATATTAAAGAATTCATTCAACTTGTTAAACTCTTTTGAAATTCCTCTTTCAATTTCCCTTTGGTCAAATTCTTCAATCTCAATCTGGTTGATACGTCTGAATCTTTTAGGCAGCACTAGAGAAGCATGATGTTCTTTTTTACCTTGAACAGGTTTGGGAAACTTCCAATAACCACTGGCTGGACTTGGTGAGCTCATAAGGATCTTTGGAATTAGTTCTACTGGAATTTTTTCCTTGAAACCAATTCTAAAAAGGCCAAATGTCAGATCAAAATATTCACTAAAAGTTTCAAGTGTTGTTATACCGTGTTCATCAGTTTGTAAAAACTCATTATAATGCAAGAATGGAGGATCTAATTCTAGCAGCTGGCTATCTGTATTATCACCAAGACTCTCTGATCTGCCAGTATTATAGCTGGTGCTAGCTTGAGAGTTTCCAACATTAGTTTGTGAAGAGCTGAATAAAGCACATGAGCCACTAGCTGGTGTATTCAAAAGATACTTTCTTTGTAATTGTATGGAGAGCCGCCCATGAGCGTATAACCTTTGGTGATACTTGGTGATTCTAACTCCACTTTTAAACATTACTGACTGGAGATAGAGATTATATCAAAAGGTCTTTCAAATCTGGTCTGTATTAATCACTTTAAGCTTTCTTTCTTTAAGATTATGTGATTATGTGTCAAAACGAGAATATTACGTTATTCTTACATAATCTCTGGGCACAAGCGCCCTTTCACAAACTCCGAGAATTTTTTTAAGCCTGTTTTCGATTGAAATATGGGGCACTTGAGTTCAACAATTGTACACGAATAAAAGTTAGGAGATGCCTTTGTTTTTGTAACATGATCAGCTAATGACTGTTGGAGTAAGGGCTCCATTCACCCAGTAATAAGCTACAATTGACTTTGTTGGATCAATTGAAATGTAATCAAAGAGCTGTACTAGAATCAAGGGTAAACTTGTCGAAAACTCCATGTAAATATCCGTTAATCGTGACCAATTGGACTTGATAATATCAATCCAACAAAATTAATTATACGGTGTTTCTGAGCGTTCTAGTCCAGTACTGTTATTTTCACAAGTGGAGTATCACCAGGGACAGGTGATTGATTTAAATACCCTCTTAATATATTTGATCCTTGTGCTCCAGAGTATGGTACAGGGCTACAAGGCAGCCAGTGATCCTTTGGCATCATCAACAATGAGGAGCTCTCTTTTAAAATAACTCAAGAATCATAGCTTCAGTAGGCTTATATGATCTTGTAGTATATAAAAGGAGTAAAATATCATGATTCATGCTCAATTCTCTAATTAACTCATTTCAAACCATCCTATTCACAAGATGCTCAAAACTTTTAGATTCAATTCCAATCCTACTCTTTTAAGATATCAAGCCCTAAGAGGTTTAGCAACAACTTCTATCCCAACCACTCAAAAAGCCATTGTCTTTGAAACAAATGGTGGTCCATTAGAATATAAAGATATCCCAGTTCCAAAACCAAAACCAAATGAAATCTTGGTCAATGTTAAATACTCTGGTGTTTGTCACACCGATTTACATGCATGGAAAGGTGATTGGCCATTACCAACGAAATTACCACTAGTTGGAGGTCATGAAGGTGCAGGTATCGTTGTGGCTAAAGGTGATCAAGTTAAAAATTTCGAAATTGGTGATTATGCTGGTATCAAATGGTTGAATGGTTCATGTATGACTTGTGAATATTGTCAAAATGCATTTGAGTCAAATTGTGCAAAAGCTGATTTATCAGGTTATACTCATGATGGGTCCTTCCAACAATATGCCACTGCTGATGCTGTGCAAGCTGCTCAAATCCCTAAAGGGACTGATTTGGCTCAAATTTCACCAATTTTATGTGCTGGTATCACTGTTTATAAGGCTTTGAAGACTGCAAACTTGAAAGCTGGTGATTGGGTTGCCATTTCAGGTGCAGGTGGTGGTTTAGGTTCATTAGCTGTCCAATATGCTAAGGCTATGGGGTATAGAGTCTTGGGTATTGATGTTGGTGCTGATAAAGGTGAATTGGCCAAATCTTTAGGTGCTGAAGAATATGTTGATTTTAAAGCTTCCAAGAATGTTGTTGAAGAGATTCAAGAAAAGACAAAAGGTGGTCCTCAAGGTGTTATTAACGTTTCAGTTTCCGATGCTGCGATTTCTCAATCAACTCAATATGTTAGACCAACTGGTTCTGTTGTTTTGGTTGGATTACCTCCAAAATCTGTTATTCATTCAGATGTGTTCTCTCATGTTGTTAAATCAATCTCTATTAAAGGTTCTTATGTCGGTAATAGAGCTGATTCAAGAGAAGCTATTGAATTCTTCACCAGAGGTTTGGTTCATTCTCCAATAAAGGTTGTTGGATTATCTGAATTACCAAAAGTTTATGAATTGATGGAACAAGGAAAGATTTTGGGAAGATATGTTGTTGATACTTCAAAATGATGGCTGCTAACTTATTTATTTATTTATGACCTTTTATTTATTTATGAATTTACTTGTGATTTGATATTACATTCCTTCAGAGATATAACGACTTTATTGCCAAAATCATCATTGTAGCTACATCCCAACCCACAATTTAACCTCTTTATGTATTTGTATATATAGAAACTTTACTCATACTGAAGTCATAATCCATTAAAAATATCACAAAATTTACCCTTTTCAAATTGTCCACATTACCTTTTAATCACAACCATTTATAAAATCACAATTCATTAGACATCATTAATTCATTCTCATACATCAAATTTCAACCAATCTAAATCAACATTCCCCATCTCGACATCTCCATCACCATTTTCATGACCATCACCACCACCGCTCAACATTAAACTATTTGGATTCAAGAATTGTTGATGATCAAATTCTTGAGTCTTGAAAATCTGTTGCTGCTGCTGCTGTTGTTGTTGCTGATGGATCTGTTTGGATAAATTTGAAGATTTTTGAAATTGTTGAGGAATTCTTTTAGAATTAAAACTATGTGTTAAATTAGTGGATGAGGCATTGAATGGGATAGCAGACTGTGATGCAGATGTTGTTGTTGTTGATGCTGGTGTTGATGCAGATAAGAATGAAATATATTCTGAAGAATATGAAGGTGATGCAGGTGATGGATTAGTTATTGGAGATGGTGTATTGATGAAATTTGAAGGACTATTGGAATAATAATCAAATGGTGATGATGCGATATTTGTTTGATTTGAGCTCTTTGTAATACTTTTCCGTTTTCTTTGTTGATTTGTTGTAATGGTTGTCGGTATTGAACTTGTTATAGGTTTTGGTAAAATTGGAACATTTTTATAACGAACATCATTCTTAGATGGTAATGAAGTTGAAGTCATATTGATTGATTTCTCCAAAGAATTAATCAATTTTTTATTATTTGTAGAAGTATTATTACCAACGCCTTCACCATTAACTGAAGAACGTCTTGAGTTTCTCTTTTTGATAACATCTGTCTTTAATGATAATGGTCTCATTGTACCATGTAATTTTTGAAATAACCCACAAGCATTACAAAGTGTATTACCATTTGGATCTCTTCTCCATAATGGAGTCTTTTGAGTATGACAATTAAAACATTCCGTATTGACACCATTTGAACTAGTAGCCACAGGTTTCTTCTTAGTTAAAGCAGATGGAATAGATGTTGAGGATGAAACACTTGAACTTGACATTGTTCTTTGAAATTGTTGAGGAGGTAATGGCATTGAAATTGGCATTGAAGTGGAATTTGATTTTTCCTCCCTCTTCAATTCTTTGAAAGGTGGGATTGCAACTTCATCAATATTAAAATCCCAAGCCATATTAATTTCACCATCACCTGCACCATTCATAATTGGATCTTTAAATTTATCAAATTGACCATTATTATCCTTGAGTTTAGCTATATTAGCATTCGAAACAGTTGAAGATGACATCACGGTAGTGCCGGCACTTGAAACGCTATCAACGCTTTGCTTATTTGAATCTATACTCAATGGACTTGATGAATCAATAGAACTGACATCAAGGTCCTTGGTGGTAGTGGTATTATTGATATATTGTATGTTTTTGCAACTTTCTCTTAATGATCTATTTTCAATTCTAGGCTGTAGCACCAGCAGTCTCTTTGCAGCAGAGTAGATGTCCCAGATGGAAGGCGTCTCGCTATCCATGCTAGCTTCCATAGTCTTCTGGTCTTGTAGCTTTATCCTTTGTTGGTTCTCGTGCTGTTCCTTGATGAAAAATGGGGATTAAACCTAGTCAGCCACTATGAATCACACACTTGTTTTACACTTTCCAGCTGTTTGTTATTCAAATTCTCTTGTACTGGTTCTTTCAATATCACCAACGCCTATTCTTCCAATACGGAATCTCTTTCTTTCTTCTCTCTTGTTTAATGAATGTAATAGTATAGAAATACCCTACAAACGTATTGTCCTCGTCTGCTTTTTCACTTCTCGTTTTTTTTTGTTTTTATTTTCTTTCGAAAATGGCTGCTTTTCGAAAAAGAAAAAAGGTTGACTTCCCAATGCGGTAACTACTGGTCATGTTCAAAATTAAAAAAGATTATATTCAAGATAAAAGATAAAAAAAACCTAAAAAACAACACCAATATACATATTTATATAAAAAATTAACCCATTCCCATATTCTAGTTTCATTATTCATTAAAATGAAACAAAAAAAAATACCTCCCATCACTTATTTTTACTTGGTTTTAATAATTCAAAACTACACATCAACTTCTGATCAACACTCATAACTGCACCCCAATTATTAAATTCTCCACAATAATTAGGAGCAGAGAAAATAGTGACGAATTTCTTTCTTGCAAAGAATTCATAACCATCCTCCACAACCATATGACCTCTAATGATTAAATCAAATTTAAACTTCTTACAGAAATTATCCACAATTTTTTTACCAAAACAGTATGAAACACCACGATCATTTTCACTCCATTCGGTAACGTTTGGATCTGGATCTGACCATAATAAATCAGCCAATAATCCAGTTTCTGGGATATCTGTTGGTCTTTTCAAATCTTCAATTTGTTTTAAATTTGTTAAATGAGGTGATAACCCACCATGAATACAAAAAATCTTGTCATTAATCAATGCAGCAATTGGTAAAGTATTGAAAACATCAACGAAATTTTTCCAACTTTTCAAATTTAATCTTCTTTTACATTCATCATAAAATCCATAAATCTTGGTAATATTTGCAGATTCATGATTACCTCTCAACATGAAGAAATTTTCAGGATACTTAATCTTGAAACAAAACAACAACAAGATTGTTTCCAAAGATTGTTTACCTCTATCAACATAATCACCAAGGAATAAATAATTTGAATTTGGAGGTAATCCACTCAATTTTAAAATTCTCAACAAATCATTAAATTGTCCATGAATATCACCAACAACTTTAACAGGTGCACTCAATCTTAATAAACTTGGTTGGTTTAAAAACACTTCACGAGCTTTTGCACAAATTATTGCAATTTCATAAGGTTTAATGAAGAATTCATCCTTGTTATTACTATTACCAGCACTGTTCTTAGCTCTCAGAACAGGACTTGAATTAGTTGAAGATGATGACATTGTTAATAATTTCTCAATAATCGAATCAATATCAATATCATTTGGTCCTAATTTTGGTTTCCTGGTAAAATTTTTAATTTTTGGTTCTTCTAAAATTGGAGGTAAATTTGAAAAAACAGGTGGAGTTGTTGATAATGAACTTGAAATTGAAGAATCAATAGTGAATAAATCACTAAAAGAGCTCGAGACTTCATCTGTACCTGTACTTCCATTACCTGTACTACTACTACCAACACCACCAATTTCTTCTTCCTCCTCTTCATTTTCGCCACCACCACCACCAGCATTCAAAATTGGAGAATTTTGTTTTAACGCTTTAGCCATTGATAAGTTAATCTCCATCTCGAAGGGACTAACATTCTCATCGCTAATGGTATCATCAGAACTATTATTGAATTCATTAAAATAAGTAAATTTTTTTGGACTTTTACTAGTTTTTTTTTTTGTAATTTATTTTTGTTATAACTTTGAGTTTTTAACCCATTATTTGTAGCAACATTTCGTTTGTTATAACTTGCTTTATTATGATTATTTGAGGAAGAAAACTTCCTATCATCTGGTTCAACAGGTTCACCACCTGTGGTTGAAGTTGTAGTTGTAGTTGTTGTTGAACCATTTAAGCTTGAGATCGCGTGGGCATTGGGGCTGGCATTCTTTGACGGGCTGTTTCCCATAACTTGGATATGATTTGATTAGTTTGAGCTAGTAACGAACACAAAAAAGGATCTCTGACTATTTTGAAGGCAGTTAAAAGGGAAAGGGGAAGGGCTGTTGTGATAAAAGAGTATCGTAAAAGGGTCAACGTAACTGATTTGAAATGGAAATTGAAATTGAAAATGTTGAAAAAAAGGAGTTTTTTGGGTGCTGTGCTGCGCGTACCAGGGACATTATGTAATAGACTAGTCATTGAAATTATGAAATATGAGTTTATTGAGGGAATAATGTTAGGGAAAGTATATTTTTAACCATGGAAGTCAAGTTACTAGTATTGATTATATTGGATATTTCCTTTTTCCAAACTCTTCAACCCCAAAATAACCAGATTCAGCATTTATCTCGTCTCTCATCACGTGCCAGTCACGTGCATTTCTATTTTTTTTCTGTCTTGCGCGAATTACACAAATACAAGATGAGGAAATTTTGGTTTAAAGAGCTGAAAGAATTCGATTCGAATCAGTTTCAACAACTTTAGCAAAGGCAATAACTGGTATCGAAATGTCATTGGCAGAATTCGACGAGATAGACTTCACCCACTCTGCTCCAAGATTGGACAGACCTTCAGAGTATCTTATGAAAAAAGCTGTGAGTATTAAACAGAGATGTATAATGATGATGATGGAGTATTAACATTATTTGTCATAGAGAAGAAGACCTAATGGATTACAAGATATAAGAGAATCATACAAGTCAGCAACAATCTATGTTGGTAATTTATCTTTCTACACAACAGAGGAACAAATCTATGAATTGTTTTCAAAGTATGTATAACATCAATAATTGAGATGTCAATTTACTAACTTTTTAATCATTAAGGGTTGGTCCAATTTCTCAGATTATTATGGGATTAGATAGATTCAACTATACACCATGTGGATTTTGTTTTGTTTTATATAAAAACCCTCAAGATGCTATCAATGCTGTTAAATATCTTGCAGATACAAAGTTAGAAGATCGTTTGGTACAAATTGATTTAGATCCTGGTTTTAGAGAAGGTAGACAGTTTGGTAGAGGTGCAAGCGGTGGTCAAGTTAAAGATGAATATAAATTCGAATATGATAGTTCAAGAGGTGGGTTTGGTGTTAATGGAACAGGATTACCACCTGTAAGTATTATTCCAGGCGGTAATGAAGTTCAAAGATTTGGGGCAAGAAGAAATAATTTTAATGAAAAAGATCAAAATTTAGGTGATTCTTATGTTCCTGGTGAAGAGAATAATGAACAAGATGTTGAAATAAATGATGAACATCATCAAGAACAAGAACAAGAACAAACAGCTAATTAATATTATGATGAAATGATATAATTAATGAGATCTATTACAGTCGTTGAAAATGTAGACATAAAACACATGATTTTTAAAATTAGAAATATTTTTCTTTTATACAAAATATGTATAACAAATCTGATGGATGATTTTAACAATAATTGTACAATATGGGAAAAACATTTTTTGAATTGAAAGTGAAACAAAACAAGCAAAGAAAACAACAACAACATTCAAATAGAATAAATAATAACATGGCGGCAAAAGAAATTGTTCACAATCTATCAATCAATCTTTTCTTCTTTATAGGTTGACCATTATTCCCACTAAGATTACTAAACAATCTTCTTCTTCTTTTATTAATAAACCAATTACTCAACTGAACATTACTTAGACCAGTCTGCTCCAATAACAATCTTTTCTGGGTATGATTTGGATAAGGATTATCCATATTGTTTAGAATCCATTCATTCAAAATCTCAATAGTTTCCCTTGGTAAATTTGTTCTCTTTTTGTTATTTGAACCATTTGGTGTTAAATTTGGCGAATCTAGGCCTGAGTCAACAGAACTGTCACGAGAATCATAATCATCATCCATGGTATTGATTGATAATGGGGTTGTGGATCTTTTCAAGCTTGTTATTGCATTTGATGTGGAATTTCTATGAATGTGAGATGGTCGTTGTTGAGACTTTGTAGTCGGTATCTGAGGCTGGCTTAGACTATGATGTGGTATTGGCTGATGATGTTGTTGTTGTTGTTCTTGTTTGAGTTCATTTTGGAAGGCCTCTATTGAGTTTGTTGATTCAGATCTTTGTTGAAACGTGTATTGTTGTTGATATTGGGAGATGGTGTTTGAATCTTGTTCTGGTGATGTTTGGACATGTTCACTTGATTGAGAATTTCTTTGATTGAATTCTAACAAGAGTTGAGAATCACTTAGTTGTTGTTCATTTTGATAAGATTCTATATTCTTGAGTACATGGTCCATTGACGGCAAAGACAAGTTGTTTGGAGCATCTTTATTATAAATCATTTCCTTATGGAGTAACAAGAATCTTCCCTTCTCGTCAGCGGAGGATTCAGCAGAAGAAGTGATTGAGGTTGAATGTGAAGGGGTTGTTGTTGATGTTGGTGTTGAAGCGGACGACACTGAGGTATTTGACTCGTTGGAAATGGACATTCTTTGGAGAAGAAGGCGTATGGATTGGGTAGCCAAGTGGAACGATCTAGAACAGATTCAGCAGTAGGGGGTTTAAACAGTCTATAGCACAGGAAAGGAACGGTGGTGGTTGTAGTTGAAATGTTGATGGTTGCAAAAGATAAATTGTGTCATTATTCGATTTTTTTTCCTTGATCAAGATTTCCCACCAAAAAGGAAAAAGAAAATCGGCTTCGAAAAAGAAAGAGTCAAAACAGCCATTCGGCTGGCTTTACAGCACCTACAAAGGGGAAATAAAGAGATGATGCTCTACTGGTGTAAAGAGAGTCTACTGATGTGTAATTAGAGTATAATAAGGAGTTTCTACGCTATTTTTCTTGGTGTTTCCAGCTCAGTTTTCCCATGTTTTGTGTCAAATCTCAGCACTCAATTTTCAAAACTGACTCGAGCGCTGGTGAAAAATTTTTTTATCCTGCGAATTTGATTGGGAGATTTCTGGGACAATAAGAATGTGACAAAAAAAAGTGGCACCAAAGTGGACAGACACGGTGGGAATTGGATGAGTTTGTATTGGGTGTAGTACTATGATTGGTATCATTGAAATCGCATATCATAGGGCTATCACCTCCAACAACTCATATCTTCATATCTCTATTGGTTCATTAGTTGTAACGACATGTCCTAAACAGGTAATATTTTGTGACAAAATACAACCAGAAGGGTAAGCAAGTCACACAACGCCTACAGTGCACCGGTGTATCTTGTGTAGATAGGCTAGGACAAGGTTTATTATCACAAAGATCAAGACTTGGATTCAAAAGAGAGATCTCTATCTTCAACACATCATAGTCTTGAGTCTTGACAGATCTTGACAGCTTGGGGATCTGGAGAAACGTCAACGTCCAAGAGTAAAAAGTCTATTCAAGATCTATCACCGTTGATTCAAGACCTGATAATATGGCCACCCATTGAAAACCCACATATAACTAATAGATACAATATTGACCTTAATCGATACCAAAACACTCCTTGACTCACTACTTTATAGCGTATTACAGCTGCCACAAGTCACCGTGTCAATTAAACCCTATACACCAAATTATAATGGATAAATAAACCTCTTGTTTTGTAAATCAGTCAAATCCAACATGGATATATCCACTTCTGTCTTGACTTCATTCCCATCAGAATCATAACTTGTAACAAACCCATGTTCATCTTCGATTTTACCATCCTCAATATCTTGAAGAAATTGTCTTCTTTGTTTATTTCTTCTTGATAAAACAAATCTAATAATTTGCAAGATTAATGGTGCAACAAACCATGATAAAACAATACAGATTGTCCAAGCTAAATGATATCTTGGTTTATCCTTAGCTCTCCAAATCTGAGGAGCAATAAGATTGGAAACACCATAAAACACTGACCAAACAACAGTTCTAACTAATTTCTTTGAATATCCAGCAGCACTTGATTGACACCATGAAAATGAAGCAATAAAAGTATTTGCATTGGCATTTGTTAAGAAAATACCTGCAAGAATACCTTTACTCAAATGTAATGGTAATGAAACAGTGATAATACCACCTAATAGTGCAATTGATGCACAAACTGTACCAAAATGTGCAGATTGGGATCTAAATATACTTAGAGCAATTGAACCTGCAATTGACATGAAAGTGGTCCATCCAGCAGATGCAACTGAAACTAAAGTGGAATCTAAATTGGAAATACCCAAATTTTTATAAATGATTGCACTTTGGAAACTGATATTATTACACAACATACTCAACAAGACAAATACACCAAATAACCAAGTGATTGGATCTTTAACAGCTTCAATAACTTGATCCTTCTTGACCGTTTTCTGTTCGATCGAGGACTTTGTAGCAGCTTTGATTCTTTTAATAACATGGATCCTTTCCTGGACTGTGAAATATCTATAAGTTGCAGGATTATCAGGAAAGAAAAAAAATGAGGATATGGATAAAACAAATGATAACCCACCAAGAATTGTCCAATAAACTTTCCATGGACTGATATCACCAGGAACAAATTGAACACCATAAGCTAATAACCCGCCAGGGATCCCCTGTGCAATACAACTGATCCAAAAGATAGGATTTATTATAGCTTGCTCTGCAGGTGTAAACCACATTGCCATTGTATGTTCCAAACATGGAGTGACACCACTTTCAAAACATCCCAATATGAATCTAATAATTGCTAAATGTGTGAAGTTCTTAGCAGCTAGTGTGGTTAGTGTAGTTATGGTCCAAACAAACGTAACACCAGATATATAATGAGATAATTTTATTCTTTGAAATAATAAATGACTTGGGACTTGAAATAAGATATAACCAGCATAGAAAATCGTTTGTAAATCATTATATTTTGCTTGATCCAAGTTTAAATCTTCAAACATCCCTAATAGGGAGGCATACCCAGTAGCATTCTTATCGAAAAATAACATAAAATTAACAAATGAAACAATAGGAATGATAATAAACCATAATTTCCTCTTGATTCTCTTCTCCAATTCTGGTGTTAATTCACCAGCTTCCTTCTCATGTTGTTCAAATAATTCCAGTGTGACATCGGCATATTTCAAATTGACAACCTTGGCATCGTCTGTATCGTCTGAACTTTCTTGATGACTTCTTGATCTGGAAACACCAACGGTGAAAGTGTCCTTTTGATTAACACTCATTTTCCAAAGTGGGAACAATTCATTCCCTTGGGAAGAGATCACAAACTTTGAACAATAGCATATGTTTATATAGAGCTTGAACTATTCATTGTGGCAATCGGAGTTGTCTGCTTTGATGGTCGCCAAATTGGATGAATTGAGTCAAAGCTATACCACAAATTTTTTCCACAGTGGTGGCTTCAAAAGCTATATCGCGAATGTCAACTAAGCTACAAATAAATGAACAAATCAACAATATTTGCATTACAATGGATTAAATAATTGATATTTGTGTAGTCCAAGTAAAGATATTATAGAATAGTGTTATTTGCTGTTAAGAGAAGATACTGGTTAATCTCCATCTCATAATATCACCAACTATTAACATGAATAAAATCAGTTTATTAATGGAATAATCAATAATGGAAGTAATACCCAAGTCTGAATTGTTAAGCCTAATTATATCTTAAGTGTATAAGGAATCATCTCGGAATTGAACTGCAGAATGCACGTTATAAACGATGTAAAATAATATAATATCAGCTATAAAGAAATTAACTACCCCATATTCTAAGCTGATGTGTAAAAGTGAAAGTCCAGGAAATTTTAGATGGAGAGCTTTTATATCACTTTGTCGAAGACAAGGATGACTAATTCTAACTATCTAGAGTTCATAGTATAATTACCATCTAATTTGGATCTCAGAGAGTAGTCAATGAAGCGGTGAATTATCAGTTGTAACTAAAACACAATATCGGTTAGCAGAATAGCCCATGATCACCTTGAACTGAACCGCTTCATTTGTTAGCTCTCAATCAAGCTATCTACTCTATAAAACCCCCTATTCAATACCCTTTTTCAGATACAATTGATCAATTTTATTATTGTCAAATGTTGGCGGCTAATAACAAAAATGGTCACGTGCAACCACTATATAATTCGAATTGCACTTGATGAGCCATAATTCTGAGCATTGTCAAGAATGAGAATGGACGTTGTCATACTTGACATGTCTGCTATACATTGCAAAGGTGAATAAGGAGAATAGACAAGCAATGACGGGGCCAAAGATCATCATAATTGGTTCTGGTGCCTTTGGACTCAGTTCAGCCCTTCATCTCGTGGAAAACGGATATGAAAACATTACAGTCTTTGATAGATTAGATCTTTTCAAACTAGGTTATATCTTTGACAATGGAGCAGACACTGCGAGTGCTGATGTTAATAAAGTGTTCAGGGCTTATTATGGGGATAAGGATCATTATCATAGACTGGCATTAAAGGCTAAAGATATCTTTACGAGATGGGATAAGGAATTAAAGAGTTATTCGAAAGAGGAAGCTAAAGAGAAGTTCAACATTGATGTCCAGAAAATTATTGAGAACTCTGGATGGTTAAGATTGGATAATACTAAAGAATTGGCCGATGAAGAACGTAAAAGTTTGGATATCTTTGCAAAGACTGGTATAAGAGATACTCAATACGTGATAAATGACCCTGAGGATGTTGAAAGAGCTCAAAGAGATGGATGGGCTCATAAATTAGATCCATTGAAAATTAAAGAGAATCCTTTATTTGAACACATTAGTGGGGTTTTAGATTCAACTTCTGGAATTTTAAGTGCTTCAAATGCTTGCTTATACGTTAATACCCTATTGAGATCAAAAGGTGTGAATTTCATTACTGGTGAAGAAAAAGGTCAAGTTAGTCGCTTCATTGAATCTTCTGATGGTAAGGTTTCAGGAGTTGTCACAAAAGATGGTGTTGAACATTCAGCAGATTTAGTCATTTTAGCTGCTGGTCCATGGTCTGCTTCTTTATTACCTGAATTGGGTGGGTTGAGTGAGGCACATTCAGGTAATGTTGTATTGATTAAAGTCCCAAAGGAGGAACAAATACTAAGAGAGAAATTTTCTCCCAAGAACTTCCCAAATATTGGATGGAGACTAGGTGAATCTCGTGAAAGTTCAAGGTTTGGAGGGTTTGGTATATTCCCAATATCTGAACCTCAAGGTTATGTTAAAATCATCTCAAGACAAAAAAAGTACTTGAACCCAGTCAAACTTCCAAATGGCACTGTCGTTTCTGTTCCATTGACTTCAAATTCATCACCTCCTGAATCAAGATTATCCAAACATATGATTGATCAAGTTAAGGATTTCATTAAAGTGTTCGTTCCTGAGTTGGTGAAGTTTGGTATTTACAAAACTCAACTTTTATGGTACACAGATACCATCAACAATGATTTCATTATCGATTTTGCCCCAAAAAGAGAAAACTTGTTGGTTGTTACAGGTGGATCGGGTCATGGGTTCAAGTTTTTACCTGTTTTAGGTCAATTTGTTGTTGATGTTTTAGAGAAGAGAGAGAATGAGTACACAAAGATCTTTAAATGGAGAGATCCATCAAAATTTAATGATTTAAACAAGATTGGAGATATCAAGACAGGTAAAAGTTCATTCTATGATCAAGACTTAAGTAATGTGAGTGATCTCAAATTTACTGAAGAAGATTTGAAAAGAAAAGTTGTTATAGACTAGACACTTACTTAAACACTATAATCTTTTGGTAATGCAACCTCGTACAAGTAGTTCCCCAAAGTTATAATATCCCAAATAGGCAAACCTGTTTTCTTGTAGATGGCATTTTTAAATGGTGGGATATTGGTACATTCCAAAACGATTCCTCCAATACCATCGTGTTCCTTCAATAGCTGATCAACAGCATCCAAAACCTCCTTTTCAATATCTTTAAAGTTGTACTCTTTTCCCTCTCTTAAAATTTGTTGAAATTCACCACCACGTTTAACACCAGCAATAGGAACATCGTAATCAACACCAACAGCTTTCAAATGCTCTTTCCCCAAATTATCAGCATCAAATGTAACAATACCCAACTGTTTCCCCGGTGGGATCAAAGCCTGGGCAATAGGGATCTGTAACAGGGCAGAAGTTCCAACAGGAACACCAATCTTTGCCTGTAGGATAGGATGTAGAGTAGCTAGGAATCCACATGATGTGATCAGAGCAATTGCACCATCCTTGACCAATTCTTGAGCAGCCTCCACCCACAAGTCAACAAAACTTTGGTTATAGTTTTTTGAAGACTTGACAACTTCATCACCTACTGCCTTGTCGACAATTTTGATCTTTATTGGTATGTTCCAAGTTCCTGGGTTGGCAACATCGCCTAATGGTCTGTGGAACGTGGTGTTGACTTGTAGGATTCCTAAGAATGGCTCAGTTGTCATTATGGCTTTGATATTATAGATAAACTTTTATCAGAATGAATGATTGAATTTAGATTTCATTAATTTGACTCTTATTTATTTCTCGAGTTCCACAGTTATAGATCAGCCACAGATCTAGGAGTACCAGTTCCCTGAAGCAGAAAGCATATCCGCACTCGCAAGCTCTGTCCACTTAACATCAGCTATAGTCAATTGGAATACACCAAGCATCGCACAATGGTAACAATATTAACAATGAAAAAGTAATGTTTAAGAACAAGCCCACGTTAAATTACTACTGAAGCCTCATAAAGATTTCGCGAATCTCGCGAACACGTTCTGTGAAAAGAAGTAAACAAAAAGTCTTCTCGTTTAGCTATATAGAGAATGTCAGTTAAGCTACAAATAAATGAACAAATCAACAATATTTGCATTACACTGGATTAAATAATTGTTATTTGCGTAGTCCAGGTAAAAACATTGCTGAATGGTGTTGTTTGCTGGCAAGAGAAGATACTGGTTAATCTCCATCTTAACCAGAATTGTATCACCAACAAATATAAAACACTAATCACGTCAATGGAATATCAGGTATAAAAATCAGAAATCAAACTACTTCGACACTGTACATTCAGGTTGACGAACATATTTCAATGCAACAGCATATCGGGCGAAGACATGAGATGGCTGTATCAACAACGGAGAACCACTCATTAAAAAGAAGACCATGGAGCACTTCCCGTAAGCTTTTTTCTAGTCCATTTTTCGCGTCTATATCTAAAATTTGTTAACTATGGTGAAAAACTCGTGTCCGGACCGAAAAAATGGTAGCGGCTGCTATTTTTGTATGGCGAAAAAAAAATAGACTCAGCTTCGGAGCTGAGTCTAAATCTATTTTGCAAAATGGCTTCTATTTCGCCCTTCCAAAAAAATAGACTGAGCAAGAATGAAAATAGCATTGACACATGAAAACAACAATAAACACTCTTAAAAAGTACCAATAAGAGTCGAATATACTGTATTAGGCCATGCTGATCAATAGTCCTATGGTTTTAATACACATTCGCTATATATATTTGGTGTTATTGGCCTGTTCTCTATTTTGTATTTTGTAGGAAAATAGCATCCTTCTAAAATTAATGGTTTGTGCCCTGGCCGTCCAGCTTTTGGCGGGATACTGACACGTTTTTCTGCCAAAACTGCCATTTTGTAGCACCCAAATCTATTTTTTAGAGAACGCCCAAAAAATGGCTTACGGGAAGTGCTCCCATGCTCAGTTATTGCTGAGGCTTTTTTTTTTACAAAACTCGATAAAAATTTCGCGAATGTGCGCGAACGCGTTCTGCAAAAATAATGTAAACAAAAGTTTTCAAGTGCTCTTTGCCATTACAGATACAAACCATACATCACTCAAAAAAGAAAGAATGGAGGAGGCCGATATACGCAGAGAAGTAGCCGAACATTGGGCTAAGAGGTTTGAAGAGCATGAGTCTCATACGGAAGGATCTAAAGAACCTGCAATTGAGGCTATTCCTGTGCCTGATGTTCCTGTACTGCCTGTTGCTGATGAGAATGAAGAAGAACTAGAGATCTTGGAACCAGCGGCTAAGAGACAAAAGAAAGAACCAATAGAAGACGATGTGGAGGAAGAGTTGGAAATTGAGATTGTTGACTTGTCAGGGAACGATGATCAAGTTGAAGTTGCACCAATTGATGTAAGTTCAGAGGTTGATGATGATGTTGTTGCTATAGAACCTGTTGAAGTCACAGAGGATACACCAAAGGGTAATGAGCCACCTTTTTTACCAATCCATAACCCAACTTATGATAATCCTAAATTGAAAAACTCCCTTACGGTATCGGATTTATTGTCGTCGCCCAAATTGAAGTCTTGTTATTTGTTCAGTTATCAACATAATCTTGAATTCATATTGCCACAATTTCATTCAAACACCATAGATCTCACAATTGTGTATCAAGAAGGAACAGTTTTAGATTCACCCCTAAGGAAAGGGTTCCCAAATATTCAATTTGTCAATGTCTACATGGCTCCTTTCACTTCACATCATCCAAAGCTAATTATAAATTTTTATAATGATGACACTTGCAAAATATATCTAGTATCTTGCAACATGACCCAATTAGAATTTGAAACAAACAATCAAATGGTTTGGCAAAGTCCCTTCCTAAAGCAAGTTCCAAACTCGCAAAATACACCTTTTAAACAACATCTTTTCAATTATTTGAAAAACTATCAAAAATCTCCGTTAAATACATTATGTTTAAAATTAAAAGCATATAATTTTGAACCTATAAAAAGTGATTTTGTTTCATCAGCAACTAGCAAAAGTGACAAATTTGGATTCTTAGGATTATACAATTCATTGTTGTTAAAAGGTCTAATACCTAGAAAATTTGAGAAAAATAGACAAGTATTGTATCAAACGTCATCAATTAGTTCATCAATCAGGTGGTCCAAGGCACATAATGAATCAGCAAACTTGTTCACTCATTTGATTGCACCTTTGATATCTGGTAAATATAATATGCAAGGTAATTTGAACCTTGTACAAAATTTCCCCTTGAGAAATGGGTATGAGGCAGTGGAACTATTCAGTCAAGATTATAAAGTGAAACCATACATCATCTTCCCTTCTTTGTCAGATATAAGAAACTCATTATTCGGGTATAGATCAGGTGGATGGTCTCATTATAACCCTTTTTCCAAATGTAATATCCCTATGAATGATTATTTACAAAAATATTTCTTCCATCATAGTTATTCAAATCAAAGAAGAACTAATTCAAGCCATACAAAATTCATACTCATGTCAAGTGATAATTTTCAAACATTGGATTGGGTATTATTCACAAGTGCCAATATGAGTAAGCAGGCATGGGGTACGACACCAACGAAGGATACGATCAAATCACAGCGTCCTATATCTGCAGTATCAAATTATGAAACTGGTGTTTTGATATCGCCAACTGATTATGGATCTGGCAAAAAACTTGTACCATTGGAGATTGGTGAAGAAAGAAAATTAAGTGATGATGAGATTCCAATTATTCTACCATTCAGATTACCGCCTGAGCAGTATAAAGCTGATGATCAGCCTTGGTGTATGAAAAATGCTTGTAATTTGCCAGATATCTTGGGTGCTATTCATTTAGGCACAGATTGATGAATACTTCTGTCGGGATGATTATAGGGCTCGTTATTGGTGTCAAGTTGTTTTCAATGCAATACTTTAAATGACTAATGAAGCTATATATATATAACATATATCCCTTGTAGGATGCTCCTGAATCGATTATTAGTAGCCATCTGTTACTTGTTTACCTTTCGACTCTTGACGCACTTCTCAAAAACTTTGGAACGTGTAAGTAACGCTAGGCCCGAGCCTAAAAAAATCGAGACGGGATCTTTTTGAACATCGAATACACTCTGCAAGCTATTTGTCATGAGCATCAAGAGTCTACTCAATTATATTGAATATCGCCAATTGATTCAAGAACCCAATCTATAAAACTTATCAAATTCATCTACCGAGACCTTGACACGTCGGTTGGCCAGGTTTAGAAAATCGTTACATTTTAAAGCTTCTCATCGGTATTAAAAAAATCCACCGTGTGTCTAATTGACAACGCTCCCTTTGTTTACTAATTTAATGGCTATTAAGAATGTCAGATATCAACTATATCAACCAGTGGGATCCAAGTAATGTGATTTTGAACGATCCTAACGTTGATTATTCATGGAAGATTTGTGTTTTACAAGAAACTTATTTTGCTGGAAATGAAATTGAAGGCTCATCAGGTGGGAGAATCTCTTCAATCTTTGTTATATTCTTTCTCTCTACAGGGTTCACAATATTTCCAATACTTAGTAGGACTTTCAAATGGATCAAAATGCCGCTTCATCTTTATTTATTTGCAAGGTATTTTGGTACTGGAGTTATTGTTGCAACAGCTTTCATGCATTTGATGGATCCTGCATATACACAAATTGGTCCTAATTCTTGTGTTGGAGTTAGTGGGAATTGGGCTGAATTTCCTTGGGTGCCTGCAATTATGATGATTTCTCTGTTCACAATTTTCCTAACAGATGTTATTTCAGATGTGTTGGTGGAGAGACGTTATGGTGGTGATGGTGAATCACATTCATGTGCAAGTGATGAAACTATGAAAGCTATTTGTTCTGGTTATGACGATGATGACCATTTTAATGATGAAGAGCATAATCATTTTTTGAAAAAGGGATCACAAGTGGGATTCTCTACAGAAATGACAGATTTCAATAGTGCTGCTGATGACTCGACACTAACTGTTAAAGCTGAAAGAGGATTCAGGTCTCAAATAGCTGCTTTTTTGATTTTAGAATTTGGAATTTTGTTTCATTCAGTCATGATTGGTCTAAATTTAGGTGCTGTTAATGGTAATGAATTCAAGACGCTGTACGTTGTTTTAGTCTTTCATCAATCTTTTGAAGGTTTAGGTATTGGTGCAAGATTATCATCTATTCCATGGCCAGAAAATGTTTCTTTTGTTTGGGCTTATTTGATGTGTTTACTATATGGATTAGTCACACCGCTTTCAATTGCTATTGGAATAGGAATTAGAGCTTCTTATGTTTCAAATCCTTATAGAGTTAATGTAATATCTGGTGTTTTGGATACAATTTCCTGTGGTATTTTGATTTATTCTGGGCTTGTCGAACTGCTAGCTAGGGACTTTATATTCAATCCACAGTCAAGAAAAAATTTGAAACTGCTGACCTTCAATATCTCATCAGCGATGGTTGGTGCTGCTACTATGGCCATCATTAGTAAGTGGGCTTGAGCCTTTGAGTTAAAACGAAATTGAACATTTTATAGAGAATTTCCTGTAAAATGTAGACTCAAGTGGACGCTCGATAATATTTCGGCACGATCTTGATTAATTTGGGACACCTGAGGTAAGTAGAATATCATAGTTCACCTTTAATGATGTACTCAACCTCTAATATCCGTCAAATAGTGCCCCTACCACTTTGTTTTAACCTGGCAAACCACAATTTTTGAAATTTTGAAATCTGTTCCTCGTGGCCCAATGGTCACGGCGTCTGGCTACGATTTAATAGCTACTTCTGAAACCAGAAGATTCCAGGTTCGACTCCTGGCGGGGAAGATTTTTTTTAAAATTTTTGCGGAAATTGAGCTATTGATTAATATTGGAAATTTATTTGGAACAGTGTTATATTGGAATTATTATATTGAAAGTTGAAGTGTAAAAGTGTATAAGATTTTAGAATAAAGTAACTTTACCATTAAAAAAAAAAAAAAAA